CCCCGCTTGCTTATCTTTCCCCGCAAGGCTAATAAACTACTAATCATATTTGATACTCGTCTGATACTTCCTTGATACTCGTATCATACCACATAACACATTAACACACTTTTTATCCGCTTACCTAATTGCTATTACGTAACCTNATACGTAATCTTCGTATCTCGTTCTCACTCCGTTACATCCTGTACAGAAACGGGCGGTTGGTGTAGTGGTTAACATATCTGCCTTCCAAGCAGGTGTCACGGGTTCGATTCCCGTACCGCTCATTTTTTCCATTTTCAACTCAGCGAGTTCCATTAAACACCTTTTTTGTAAATGTATTTGAACAAGTAGAACCAAACAAACTCTACAATATTCTAGAAAAATTTGTTGCCCATCTTCCAATTTTAGCTTACTTACGAAATATTCAAACCACTGTGACAAAACAATCCTCGATTGCTCAACTCCACCCTTTCGCAGCTGCGTAGCTATTGCTGACATTATTCCGCTTTAAATTCTCGACTCTCCACCATACAATTGAGCACTATCAATGGCTATACCCTCTCCACTAACTAGTAACCTATACTAAAGCGCAATCCTACAGCAGTTTATCTCCTTTATACGAATGCGTTTCTACCATCTGCACTTGGTCTCGTTCCTCGCTCTCTACGATCTCTCACTATGCTGGCTGGTCTCACTCGCCAGTCCGGTCTGTGTGCACTCCTCCCAAACTCATTGAAAATACACACAACTGGTATCTTTACACCATCCATCAAAATGCCTTCGACCCACCTCGAATCGGCCAGCAATTTTGGCACGCCTAGAGCCAACGGCCAGATTCATACCCCGAGGAACCATAAAGTGTCACGTTCCAAGGGCCAGAGCCTTCTGACTCAACCATTGAGGATCGGGTACCAGAAGGTGAATATCGATGTCGACTTACAAGAACAAAAGATCATAGGGGCCACCGAGCTCACAGTGTTGCCCATGTCATCTCAATTGAGAAGTGTGAAGTTAGACTGTCGTGAGATGACAATCAAAGATATCTATATCAATAACTCAAGAACCATCAACTACATCTATAAAGATATGTTATACATCAACGACGAGAAATACGCCACCAGCGGCCAGGCTGTGAACCTTTTCGATTTGTACAATAGTGATGTCGACATCTACCAGCACCATCTTTTGAGACAGAAGCTCAACTACATTTTCGGAGAAATTGATTGGGAAGCAAGAGACTCCTTCGGAAACACCGAGGAGCTCACCATATTGCTCCCAGATAATTTGAAGCTAGAACTCACAGGCATCACATCAGCACTCACTCCTAGTGGACATGCCAATACTACTACTCCGTTGCATCTAAAGTCCAAGAGTACCCATAACGATACCTACACACCAATCCATATTAAGATCGAGTATGAAGCGGTCAACTGTAAAAATGGTGTCAATTTCATAACACCAAAGAATCAAGACAAAAAGTCCTGGCATGCATACACCACAAACTCAGCATATAATATTTCAACATCATCATGGGTTCCTTGCATAGATAACTTGTGGGAGAGATACATTTGGTCTATCGAGGTGAACATCCCAAGAACCATAAAAGACATCGGAAATACCAGGATAATAGGGGCACATGATCCGCGCAGAAGAAGGAGAAGAAAAGATGGTGAAACACAACAACGAAATGATGACGAAGTCAACGAAGTCGATGACAATGACAACGATGATGATGACGATGACGACTCTAACTATGACCTCGTGGTTTGTTCCGGTGATTTCAACAACATCAAAGAAACTCCCCACCCTATAGATTTGTCAAAAAAGGTTGTTTCTTGGTCCATTTTTAACCCAGTTTGTGCCCACCACGTTGGTTGGACAATTGGATGCTTTGAAAGTTTTACGTTGGCAGAGAATGAAGATGAGGAAGATGAGGAGATGGATTACTTGAAGCAATCAGATGATGTGGATAAAGATACATCCAAATCCCCTGTGATCATTTATGCCCTTCATGATCAAGTGGATTTGGCAAGAAATACTTGTATCTTTGCTAACAAGGCCATGGACTTCTTTGTTAAAGAATTTGGGTCCTACCCTTTTAGTTCTTATGCAATTGTGTTTGTGAGTAAGAGTGCTTCCGCCTGCAATAGTTTTGCTGGACTTTCAATAGTTGATGATACAATGTTGTATCCTCCAGATATAATTGAACCAATATTCAAGTCAACGGAAACTATTTTGGAATCAATCGCATCCCAATGGTCAGGAATTAATATTGTTCCCCAGACATTCAATGACATTTGGTGTACTTTAGGTATCGCGAAGTACATGAGTTTCCAGTATCTTAAAAAGTTGATGGGTAATAACTACTACAGATTTAAGATCAAAACCAGCATAGATACAATTGTGAAAGAAGATATTGGACAAAAGCCATTGGCATCGCAATTTTTCAGATATCCCATTTGTGATGACGATTTATCGTTTGTCAGGCTTAAGGCGCCAGTGGTATTATTCATTTTAGACCGTCGAATGACAAAAACTGATAAGTCCTTTGGTCTTTCAAGAGTGCTACCAAAGTTGTTTTTACAAGCTATTTCTGGAGACTTGCAGAACAGTACATTGACTACTCAGCATTTTCAATATGTTTGCGAAAAAGTCAATAGGAACAAACTTGAGATCTTCTTCAAGCAATGGGTTTTTGGAGTGGGAACACCAATATTTAATATTGTTCAAAAATTCAACAAGAAAAGGGGTGTAATTGAAATGATCATCAGACAAACCCAGCATCAAGAAACTAAGAAAGTCCGTCCCAAGCCAAATAAATTCATAAATGACTCAATTTCATATCTTGAGAATGAGCCACTATACCCAGTTCAACCTGTGTTTTTGGGACCTATGACGATCAGAGTCCATGAATCAGATGGTAGTCCTTACGAACATATTGTTGATTTGAAAGAGGGCCAAACCAAAATTGAGATCCAGTACAATTCCAAGTTTAAGAGACTCAAAAAGGTTAAAGAGGAAATGGGTGAAGTGGGAAATACGTTTAGAAAATTAGGAGACATTCTTGATTCTCCTGAAGAGAAAGCTAAATGGGATCTAGCCGATTGGATAAGATATGAGGAAGATATTCTCAACGAACCATTTGAGTGGATAAGAGTCGATGTTGACTTTGAGTGGATTGCAAAATTCAACATGAAGCAATCCGACTATATGTATGGGTCTCAATTGCAGTATGACAAGGACCTTGAGGCACAATACGAGGCCATTAAGTACTTCGGTGAAATCGAAAAACCTGGTAAAGTTCATTGCTCAGCTTTGGTACGAACCATACTCGATAAAAGATACCACTATGGTGTCAGAATAGAAGCTGCACGAGCCTTAGTGAGTTCCTCAAATCCGGAGAATAACTTAGCTGGTCTCGGTTACTTGCTAAAGGCGTACAAGGAGTTATTTTGTTTCAAGGGTAGTTCGATTCCATTAAGCAATGATTTTGGTGACTTTGGTGATTTCTTTGTCAAAAAAGAAGTTCCAATGATTCTCAGTCAAGTCAGAGACAGCGAAGGAAATGTTCCCATAGAAATTAAGGACTTGCTCTTGAATTTGATCCGATTTAATGAGAACTCCAACAATCAGTTTCAAGACTGTTTCTATGTGTCTAGTTTGATCGAAAGTTTAACCAACTGTATTGTGGGAGGAGAGAACTCGGGCCAATCGGTAGATGAATCGCTCAACGTCAATGGACCTCTGAGTGCAATTGATTTCTCTCTGAGTGGTTCAAGATCCCTTGAAACACCTTCACCTAGAGATTTCCCATTGGTGGTAGTTCACGAGCTAAACAGACTCCATAAGCTTGACCAATGGACTCATTCTTATCACAGTGTCATTTCCAAGACCTGCCTTCATCAAAAGGTTCGATTGTGCAATCACGGTACTCTCAAAATTTCCTTCGAGGACTTATTGTACTACACTTTGGATAAATATGATTATGACATAAGGATAGAAGCTTTCAGAGGTTTATTAATTTTAGGAGGCTTGAAAAACTCCTCTGTGTTAGCATATTTCTTGAAAACCTGCCTTCTTGAAACTAGCGGCTCATACTTCAGATCCCAATTGATATCCTTGTTGACCGAAGCGATTTGTGTGGCTGCAATTGAAGGTACGCCTTCTACACTTGATGACGAGGAGTTCAAACCATATGATAAATTGACAGGTTCGACTACCAAAGTTTCGACAAACCTGACAAATATGGTCATTATTGAGGATGGCTCAAATAATGAAATGGATTCTAAGAGAGACACATTTGCAAGAGCTACCCTAAATGGTGCTATTGAAATCTTGAGGAGAGATTACTCAATTGGGCGTGGATTGAAGAATGTACTTTGGGAACTCATACATAGTTCACAATTGAGCATCATTGAGAGAAGAGATGTCTTCAGTATATGCCAAGTATTGTACCGTGAGATTGACAAATTTGTGGTCAAAATCTCTGTTCCACATGTTCCTGTTCAAGAATTAAAGAAGAAGATTGTTTTGAAATACTTGGGTGAAGGAAAGATCATGATTAAGAGAGAAGGAAGATTTAAGATTCAACTTCTTAACAGAAAACTCACAACTCAAACTAAGGCTAATTTGAGGGCTGATACTAGTGCTACTCAATCTACGACTGAGCCAAAATTGAAATTGAGTTTGGGAGCTAAACAAGCTCTGAAACGAGCCAGTAAAAAACCTAAAGCAGCTGAAGATTATACCACTCAGGATGAACCTGCTTTTGTTGACTCTCTTCCATCTAAAGCTCCCACTTCCAGCTCCAGAAGACAACCTATAACGAAACCTGCCCCAGTTCCAGGACCACCGGCTGTTACTCCTCCTCCTCTAACTGCATCGAAGTCAACAAGATTAGATCCAATGGTCACCTTTGACGATAAGTTCAAAATTAAGATCACCTTGAGGAACAAAAAGCTTCCGGTGGTTGCTCCAGTTGAGATTCCAGCAGATGCGGTGCCTGTGAAAGTTGGACGCAGCTCTGTACTTGTCAATGGCTCAAAGGTCACTTTCAGTTTAAAGGGGGCTTACAAGTCGAAGCTTAGGGATTTGGTACCAGTCGAGGTACCTGATGTTCCGAAAGCAGCCCATAGATACGTGAAAATTCTGACCAAGAATAAAACCGTGTCGCTCTCTGCAACACCATTTCCTGATGCATCTGAAATCAGATCCGAGGCTAAAGTGAAGGCCGAACCCGAGTCTGAATCCAGTTACACTCCTGCCAAGGCAAATCGTGGCAAGAGTTTAGAACCCCAGCTGGCAGAGTTAGCTTCTCCCAGTAAGCGAGGTACAGCCAAGGCCATCCTTACTTCACCAAACAAGTCACACGGAAATTCGAAGAGTGTACAAGTATCTCCTGCTAAAGCGAAAACGCCCTCGTTAGCATCTCCGATAAAAACTAAGAGCTCTTCTGTCCCAGATTCGAGTAAAAAGATCAGGACAAAGAGTCCCCTGGTAGAACCAGAAATCAAAACTGAAAAGGCACTGACCCCATTCTCCAGGTCTGGTAGTCCATTCTCACAATCACCCTCTGCCTCTAGTGTGAAGAAGAAGAAGACAAAAATTTATATTCACTCCGGAGATAGCAAAAGTCTGACTCCTACGGACAAGGAAGTATCCGAAAAAAATGGTGAAAACTCGGGTGATTTGGCTAAAGCAGACCCCCCTGAAGAGCAAGCCAAAGACAAGCCAAAGCTGGGCATCAAGCTCAAGCTCAATCTCAAACGATAGATCATACGACTTAATGATAGACATGTATTATATTAAAGAGCACTGAGTTGGTAACTCCAACAAACGTAGAGATAGGATGAACATAGCAACAAGGCTAAAAAGATAACCCATTAGTTCTGGAAAAGTAGGCTTGGCAGCTGTAATTATGCTCTCTGGTATAAGATCAGCCATCAAGCCAGCCATGTTTGTCAGTGATTATGTAATCAGTGGTTATCTTGCCTTTCCAAAAGCTCCGATCTCCACAGTATGACGACAACTGAATTTGGTTAATTCTCCACCACTTCTAAGTCTAAGGTGTCTCATTAACCAATTCGACTACATCATGTCGTTCAGTAACCCTTTGGCTTTCAATTTGTCTAAATCGAGTCCTACAACCTCAACTACAAATGCTTCAATTCCTTCCACAGCAAACACCACCACTGATAGTGTCTCGGGCTCCGTGAACCAATCCTCGCCCAAATCACCATTTCTCCTGAACATACTTGCTAAAAAAGGTAGCCCTGCCGACTTGTCTCACTCATTTGATGGTGGGTCAAGCGGTGCTGCTCCTACAGTATTGACCGTAGGAAACGAAGGGTCAACAAAATCAGCCACAAAGGATAACAATAGTAAATCGGAACTAATTGATTTATTTGAAAGGTTTGATGTAAGTGGGAAGCCCCAGAACCACGATGAGGAGTCACTTATTGAGGACAGCAGTGTGGAAGGAGAAAAGAAAGAAGAGCCTGAAGATCAAGCAATTGTCAAACTGAGTGGCGATATGGAAGAGAAGTACACTGGCAGTTTGGTTAGACCCAATAAACCTGTGAAAAATGATAATGATAGCACCTCCGAGGTTCCCGGTGAACTCAAATCGGGAAATAGCGAAAAGACTCAGAGGGTCAACGAGCAACTTGCCGAGCCTGAAGCCAAAGATACCATAGACATTCAAAATTTGCAGGCAGAGAAGAAAATCATTACAGGGCATTCCAGTGCTAACGATTTCAAGACTGAAAAGGATGGAGGTAATAAATCTGAAGATCCTCGAGACAGTAAAGTAGAAGAGGAAGACAAACATCTCAATATTGTTCAACCCACTGCCTTAGGATCGGAGGATGCAGAATCTGAACAATCAAAAACAAATATTCCACAAGAAACCCGCTCCATAGATATACCGAAAACTACATCAAGAGATACACAAGGCAACAATTCATCCTTCAATCATGGTGATTACACTGAGAAGGATATTTCTTCCAAAGATATTTCTGATATTTCAAGCTCCCCATTTGAGACTGGTATTGAAGATTACGAGGCTAATGTTTCCTCGGCTGGAGAAGCACAAGAAGTAGTGAGTGGATCAAATGACGAGACGGCTACTAGCTCGGAGGAGCAATATCAACAATCACATAAACCATTTGACTTCCAGACATTTTTGGCTCAGTTGAAACATAAGAGTGCTGACCCGGTGGTCAGGTATATCAGATCTTTTTTAGTATCGTTTACTAGACAAGGACATACCTTCTCGTGGGAGCAAAGAGTAAAAATTGTCAGAGAATTCAAGCAGTTCATGAGTGAAAAATTCAACATATACGAACCATTCAAGTCGATGGACGATATTGATTTGGAAAATTCTCGAGAAGGGTTGGAGAAGCTTATTATGAACAGAATTTATGATCATTGTTTTCCACCTGAAGCTAGGAAACAATTTCCCACTCAATTACCTAAATCTTTTTGGCAGGATATAGAGGATGACGAAGCTTTATCGTTGCAACTTGAAAAATTCAGCTGGGTTAATGGCTCACATTTAGATATTGATTTAGATGATCTATCCAAGCAGAAGAAAGGAAACCCTAACTTCATGGATTATGCTGTTACTGAGCTAAGCAAGATTAATAGTTACAGAGCTCCTCGGGACAAAATTATTTGCCTTTTGAATGCTTGCAAAATCATCTTCAGCTTTCTCAAAGTTAGCAACCAGGAAACTAATGCTGATTCCTTTGTTCCACTCCTCATTCTTGTCTTAATCAAAGCGAAAACAGAGAACTTGATCAGTAATGTCCATTATATTGAGAACTTTAGAGGTGAGGAATGGTTATTACATGGAGAAACCAGTTACTATTTATCTACCTTGCAAGGAGCTATTGGTTTTATTCAAAACCTCGGAATCAAAGAACTCACTATTGATGAAGCTGAATTTAACGCTCATATGGAAGCTTGGGAAGCCCAACAAAATCAAAAAACTAAATTTGCATTAGCTCAACCACAGCCTCAACATGTGCAGTCAGCACTTTCAGATGATCTTCAGTCATCTAGAAATCCACAACAAAGTCTTTCACCATCAAATGTCTTGATGACCAGTGCCGAGTTGTTCACCAAGTCAATTTCTAGTTTTCTTTCTCCTTCACCACAAGAAGGCGTGAGAGGCAGTGAGTCTGAATTTCAAAGGCCAAGTGGAGCACCACCAACTAGCGCTGAGAACGTCCCCACTACGGAGGAAACTGAGCAGATGAAGCAGACCTACACTAGTTTAAAGGAAATGTTTCCTAATTTGGACAAGGCAGTCCTCAAAGATATCATTTTTATGAACAAAGGAAAGATAGAGGAATCACTCGATGCGTGTTTGCAACTAGTAAATGACGTATAAATCTACCACGATGTTCGCTCCCTAGAAGTTGATTAATTTTATAGACGATAACAAGAATCAATGAAACATAATTGTACTAGTGAAAGAAAATATTTTGAGGTCATTTCAATTACATTAATAAAATATCTGAAATATATTACACTTCAGGTTCCGTAGATGCCCCAATTCTGCTTGTCAAATTTCAATCCTCACCTTTACATGAAAAAATGAAAAATTTGTAAAATATTAAATAAATCTAGATGGTAGAAAGTTTCAGTTCAGAGGAGAAACACTAGAAATTCCAGCTGCAATAAAAAAGCCCCTGACATAATTGAGTTAGTTTAAATAGATGGTTTCAAACAAAATGTCAAATTGTCTTATACGTAGCCTACGAGGAGTTGGAGACTTATATGCATTAGTTGATCGCTGTAAATTATACTGCACTTTCCAGGTTACCCAATAGTTACCAAGTAGCTAACCAAACCTAGTCGGGTATGGCTATAAACCTATAAAAAATGGTATACACATTCTTAATCGTCGTATTAGTAAGCAATTACTAATCTCACTATAAGCACAAGTAAATAGCTTAAACTGAAACATCAACAAGAAAAATCCGTGATAGTTTAGTGGCTAGAATTACCGCTTGTCGCGTGGTAGACCGGGGTTCAATTCCCCGTCGCGGAGTTTCCTTTGCGCAAATGGTTTAGTGGTAAAATCCAACGTTGCCATCGTTGGGCCCCCGGTTCGATTCCGGGTTTGCGCATTCTTTTTGTATTGTGTAACTTCAACTAAAGAAGGCTTTTTTTTCATCTTTTAAACTTCTATTGAATAAATTTCTGCAAAAACCAAGGTTTTGATGAGAAACTAAGAGGTTATTCTAGTCTAAGAGGAGAAAAATGAGGCAGAAGCATTTTTTGTAAATCAAAGATTAGTATCATCAAATATGTTCATAAATTTATTCATCAATGTGAATTAGTTTTCCGTTTCTAATTTTATTTTGCTGTTAGGTTTTTTCTGGACCTCAGCCATTATTTCCTAAATCCAAAATGGTTACTTTTATTGTTTCCCACTCAGCACCCTAAGAAACTTTGGAAGATTCTATAATATCAGTGCATTAGGTTTCAGGACACTCACAACTAGCTAGTTTGTCTCCACCAATAAATTTAGTGTCCATAGTAAGTATTGTAGGATTTTGCCACTTGCAAGCTTCTCAGGTATTGAATAATATGAGTGGCAGAAGAATACAGACCAGGCAAATATAAAACGAATTGATGAACTTTGGGAGACGCAAAGTGGTTACCTCCTTTGCTTCGTTATAGCATCAATAGAAGGCCTGGTTCAATCCAAATATCAATTATCATGTGTTAGACTTTTCAGGTCGCCTGTGAGAGTCGTGAGAATTTAATAACCCACGCCTCTTTGAAAGAAAATTGCTTTTCAAGAATCTTCTAATTGATTAGCCTTGTTACATTCTTAATTAATAGAGGAATACCCAAGCGGAAACGAGAAATTAAGTATCTGGGATATGCAACGATGTTTAGCGCAAATCTTATGTAATTTTTCGTGTGGAAAAGTAGTTATAAACCTGTTATGGTAGCTGTTGATACAGCAGGAGACAAATCACTATTAGCTATTTCTTGAAGCTGATCGAGACTTAAAGAGTACGAATAACAAAGCTCTGAATGAATCTGGGTTATAAGAGACTACTCCAGACTGCTACTAACTAGGATGCTGTATCTTGATTTTGCACATATCTATGGGCAGTGCGCCAACCAAAAATCCTAATGTACACTCAACAAAGGCGTAAAAATATAATGAGAAAACACAAATTGGTTGTATAGTGTAGTGGTTATCACTTTCGGTTTTGATCCGAACAACCCCGGTTCGAATCCGGGTACGACCTCACCTTGTACGGTTGCGTAGTGTAGTGGTTATCACTTTCGGTTCTGATCCGAACAACCCCAGTTCGAATCCGGGCGTGACCTTACTTTTTTTGCTCTTGCTACCCATAGGGGCTACGTTGCGCTTGATTGGGTTGTTCATTTCACTTAACTCCGCACAACCTTAGTCTCGGGCCTAAGTGTTAATCGGACGTGCGCGCACCATTGCCCCAGCTTTCAGAGAGCATCAAGAACTGCCCTACTAATCCAACCGTATCACAATGTCTGATGAAGATCTGGTCATAAACAGCACCGAGCTCCCCGACGAGCTTGGATTGAATGAAATGGAAAAGCTTGCCATAAATTCTTCTGATTCTGTGGCCAAGTACAACGACTCCATAGAGATAGACTCCTATCTCACATCTTTCAACCTAGTTGACAAGGATGACAAGCCAGACATTAGAAACGTCAGGTACAAATCGTCCACAGAGCATCTCAACTGTCCTATCTGCCAACAGCCGTTCATAGACCCTTTGACTACCGTTTGTGGGCATACATTCTGCAAGGACTGTATCTTCGAATGCCTCAAGATGTCCAATCGATACGAGACCACGTCTGAGCTCAGTGGGTGTTGTCCATTAGATAGAACCCCGCTTTCCTGTTCCAATACCAACGACTTGTTTCCTACTCCGCTTTTGATAACGAACCTCATCGACGATCTCAAGGTACATTGCTTGAATAACGAAAGAGGGTGTGACTGGGAAGGGAGCAGATGGGAAGTGGAGCACCATGTCTTGGTCGACTGTGGCTATACTGGGGTCAAGTGTAATGGAGTTAGAGAGGAGGGCCAAGTTTGCCACTTAGTGGTGGAGAGAAGACACCTTGACGAAGAGCATGAATGTATCCACAAAATAATATCGTGCAACTTCTGCAAGCAAAAGACCACGAAAATAACGCAAGACACACATTTGAACGAGGAATGCTTATTGAATTACCAGACCTGTGAATTATGCCTCAATGACATGATCCCGTTGAAAAACCTTGAAAAACACCAAGAAAACTGCTCAAAAATTGGCCATGTCAAATGTCCAGCGCACGAAATTGGGTGCAAATTCATTGGAAACAATGAGACATCGTTGGAGATCCATTTGCAATCAAATAACTGCCAGTTGAATCAGTTCCTACCCTTCTACAATAAGTTGAATGACAAAGTGGAATCGCTTACCCATGAGAACGGGTTTTTGCAAAGGCAAATCAACAAGATTCTAGACTCCATAATACAGGGCAAGATCACCAACCTCGGCTACAATGAAGCTATTGAGGAAATCAACAAGTATGGAATAGACGACCAAGATAAGTTGGTATACTTGAACTTCGAGATCGACAGACTCAAGTTTGAAATTGACGAAAAGTTGCTTCCCTTTATGAACAAGGAGAAAAATAACGAACGTGAGAACATGATGAACAACCTTATTAACGATAATTTTATGATGCGGGAAGACCTCAATCTCCAGAGAATGCTTATCAATAGCTTGAGAAAACAACTACAGTTTTTGCTCTTTGCCCGGAGAGGGGGCATGATGCCTGGCACAAATATTGCTGGGCCATATGGGGTTAATGGATCTGGAATTCCTAACCCGGCTAGTGACGATTTAAACGACTTGTTGGATATTTCCAGCACCACCAGCTCTGAGGAGCGGTTAAACTTGAAGTTATAGTGGTATTACAATTGGACGGCATGGTGTTGGGGCTATGTAGCACTTCCAATAGAATGTAAGAATCAAATTTCGAGTAATGCAGGCACTTCCCGGGATATTTCCGGATAATACATCGGGGTGGTTCCACCTAGCTACAAAGTATAATCCAGAGTATTCCTAGTACGTCAGAATTATTATTAGCTTGTAAATTACAAATCGCCAATACCTCCATTCGTAACTCCATAATAGTCGTACTACCATTCTCAGGAACATCTTCCCACTAAACACCAGTCCACAATAATCCCCGAATCATTGGCTACCAGACAGCTCCACATCGATTCTCTGTGTGCACCCACACTATGATAACGAAACTAGCAATGTGGTGCTTAGATGTTCGCTATGTTCACGTCTGACTCCACCAGCATGTCACATGTCAGTGCCTTAATCCTCATACTCTCACCCAACACGGCACATGGCCCTCGCTTCACGTGCAGAGAGTCGCTAATATCTCCGCGTGGTGCCAAAGGCCCCGCTCCATTCATCATGTGCTTGGATTTAGTCCACGGATATTCAGGTAGGCACCCGCCAAACTCGTAGACATAAGGCGTCAAATTCCCAGTGTGAATTACCCCCACATCAACTGGGCCTCCCTAACTGCCCCACATTGCAAGCATTTCGTCTTATTGTGACAGTCGTAACTCCCACTATCGCAATCATTCGCAGTAAATTTATCCTGCCAATTGTTGATATTGCGGAGAATATCCACCCAGTTCTCCCCCATCCAAATCTGCCAAACCTCCAATTGATATCCACCTCCGCCCACTAAAGCAAGCACAGGTACAATGGAGACCCTCGAGATACACTCCAAGGACTTTTTGGTCAAATGGGTCCATGCACCAGACAATTCCACCATTGACTGGCAGGTCAAGCCGTTGAAAAAGTCCATCAACTTGGCCATCTACAAGAAGAAGGACGAAAAGAGGGCCACTGACGATGGCGGCCCGCTCGCTCCTCCCAGCCCTGCGTACGCCGACGAGGAACAGCTCAACCCTCCCAGCAACAGTGGGTCTTCGTCTAACTCTTCGTTCAGGGCACGGTCAGGTTCCACCGCCAGTGTCAACAAATTTACCGACAACAACGTGTTTAGAACCAAGTCTAGGTCCTCGACGTTTTCGTCCAACCTTAGCAATTCCGATTTGACGTTGTTGAAGAACTACAATAAGTTGATCTCTGACGAGTTGGTCCATGGCACATTTGAAGTCACCAAAGGTGGAATGTTTGCATTTATATTCGACAACTCGTTCTCCAAGACCACGGGGAAAAAGGTGTACTTCAGTTCCAAAGTCAATAAACAGGGCCTTCCCGATTTTCCCAGAAGACAACTGTCATTTAGCGGAAGATCAAGACCAGAAAAGAAACTGGTCAAAATCAGTGCAGCTGAAGGCTTAGAAGAAAAGGAATCTGATGATGAGAACCCGATTCAAGCAAATGGAACTACTCTTCGTCCCAAAAACGGAGAATTGTTGCAATCGATATTGTCAAAGAGAAGAAGAAAAAAGCTCCAAGGGTTTGGTAAGAGATACTTCATCTTGAATTTCAAGTATGGAACCTTGTCATATTTTAGAGTCAATGACAACAAATTGAGAGGCCAAATGCCAATCAAGCACTCTATCGTTAGTGCTAATCCCAAATCGAGAGAGATCATTATTGATTCGGGAATGGAAATTTGGGATCTTAAAGCACTCAATGATCATGACTTCACTATCTGGGTTGATGCATTCAATCAAGTCAAAAAGAGTCAGGGCGAAAGTCTAGAGGAAGAAGAAAGCGAGGTTGACGACAATATCTTGGTCAAAGAGCTTGAATCAATCTCGCTTAAGTTGGACAGATTGAAGCTCGAAACTACAAATTCTTCACCCGAAACTTTGGCAGGTGGCATCTCAAACATTTCCCAAGATGTTCACAAGCTCTTATCGAGAATAAAGGGTGATCAAGAAACTAATGGATCAAGAACCAACGATGCTATTTCAGTATACTCCACGAACGAATTTTACGATGCCAACGAGTATGCAGATGCATTGAGTTCGGGTGTTATGTTGTTGGATTTGCCCAATGACGATAGGGGTACATACCCTAAGAGGTTGTCGAACATTAAAAATGAAGTCCAAGAAATTCAGGATGACGACGACGATGATTTATCTTCTTCTTCTTCAGAATCCGATGGCGAGTCTCCCGTGAGTGTTATTGATCCCTCCGGTAAAGAATATGAAAGTGCAACTTCTGAAGAAGACGATGTGGATGATCTTTATCCTTTGCCTCACAAACCTGTGCCAAGAGAGTTTGATATTCCCGAATGTGATCATTCTCCATCCAGTTTTGTTTCGTTTATAAGAAAGAACGTCGGAAAAGATTTGTCAACTATCGCAATGCCAGTTGATATGAATGAACCACTCAGTGCTTTGCAAAAGTACACCGAAATGTTCGAGTACTGTGATTTGGTTAACAATGCTGTTCAAGAGTCATTTGATGATTCCACTGGCGAGAAGATCTTGAGAATTGCTGCGTTTGCTATCAGTTATGTTTCCAGTGCTAGGGCCAAAATCAGAAACAATCGTAAGCCATTTAACCCATTACTAGGAGAAACATTTGAGCTTGTTAGAGAGGATTATGGTATCAGAATGGTAAGCGAAAAAGTCAGTCATAGACCTGTTGTTTTTGCCTTCCATGTCGAATCCGAGCTTTGGACTTTTTCATTCAGTCCTTCACCAGCACAAAAGATCTGGGGTCATAGTGCCGAAATCATCACTAAAGGTACTGCAAAATTAACCATCAAAAAGACTGGTGAAGTATTTACTTGGAGCCATCCTTCAACCATGTTGAAGAATATCATCGCAGGCGAAAAGTACACCGAGCCATCATCATCGATGACCATTAAGTCATCCTTGGGTTACAAGGCTGTCATTGAGTTCGCCAAGAGCGGAATGTTCAGTGGTAGATCCGAAGATTTGACCATCACTGCTTATGATTCCGGCAGGAAGAAATTGCCCTACACTGTCTCCGGTAAGTGGACCGAATCATTAACCTTGAAGACCAATACGACCGAAAAGTTGATCTGGCAATCGGGAGACTTGTTGCCCAATTACAAGAAGAAGTTTGGTTTCACCAAGTTCACCGGAACACTTAACAAGATCACCGATCTCGAAAAGGGCAAGCTCCCACCCACCGACTCTAGATTGAGACCTGATATCCAGGTCTACGAAAGAGGCAATGTGGACGAGGCAGAGAGACTCAAGGTGCAATTGGAAGAGGACCAAAGAACGAGAAGAAAGGATATGGAGACTGCAGGCGCCACTCATGTGCCCCAATTTTTCAAGCATGTTGGTGGCGATGAGCCCGACTCTGGAGAGTGGGTTTACATCAAGGGAGAAAAGAGTTACTGGAACAGAAGGAAGAACGGCGACTGGGACGGATTGACCCAGTTGTGGTGAGTTCTCGCAGCCACTGGAGGGCCCAGACTGCAAAGCATGAGTATGTGTGTTTTAGATGACGTTGCTGTCAACGAGGCTGTAGCAGCAACGCCAGTTTAGTTAGGACCAATGCATAGTCCAATGTCGCGATCGTAGTGCAAAAAAATGGTGGGAGTGGTGTATGGTGAAGAGGTCTGGCTCCGATAATATGTCCCATTTCGCTAGTTCCGGACCACCTGGAGCACTTATTCCTATTGTCCGGCCCCATCGTAAGTACTGATCCAGCCTTAGTGTGCCTTCTATGTTCCAGATACGATGTCGCATGTTGCAGCCTGGGATTGTCTAAGCACTCATTTGTGTCCCGCATTGGGAAAATCATACACAAATGATTTTTCAAATCGGGCACTCTAAAATCATTCTTCTAAAAGTGTCATTCTTCTTTACATTACCTGAAACTCTCAAAATCATAACAAACCAGCAGTGAAGTTTCAGATCCAGAGCTTCATTTAACTCGTGCAGTCCCTGTGAACATCACTACTTCTCATCTTCGAGCAAACCCTACCTAACCAACACCATTTGCTTCTAGCCCGGAAATCCCGAATCCTTCCAGTCCCCACATTCCACTATCCGTCCAGTCCCGAAACATCCTCGTTGATCCAATATGACCTCCAAGATGGCCAACTTCTTCCGGTCGCCCAAGAACCAATCGACATACGACGATGTGGCGGACATTTCCCAGTCCATGGAGAACGTGTCCATATCCTCCAACATGATGGACATCGACACAAGCTACAAGGCTTACGACAACCCACCACGGACCCCACAACACCAACAGACCAACAACCTCCTCAACAAAGAGAACATCACTCCCTTCAGCTCCCCTACCAAATCCATATTGCACAACTCGCCCCAACCATACTCCAACCAGTCAAGGTTTCCGTACGGCCAACAACTTCCCCTGGCACAAGCTGCTCACGTCCAGAACATCCACCAAAATATCACTCAGTTGCAACCCTCCAACCAGAAAAAGTTGTCAAAAGAGGAATTTTACAAGAAGGCTAACTCCCCCAAAACGAAGAGATTGGCTTCAGTCGCTCAATTGTACTTTTTAGACTACTACTGCGATATGTTCGACTATGTGATCAGCAGGAGAGAAAGAACTAAATTGGTGGAGAGCAAGTTGCTAAACGACCCATCATTCAACGCAAACCCTCAAAGACAACAGTTAGAGTGGAAGAACTACGTGGGCAGAGAAAGGGCTCTTTTGAGAAAAAGAAGATTGAAGCCAAAGCACAAAGACTTCGAGATGATCACTCAAGTTGGTCAGGGTGGGTATGGCCAGGTGTTCTTGGCCAGAAAGAAAGATACCAAAGAAATCTGTGCCCTCAAGGTCTTGAACAAGAAGTTATTGGTAAAATTGGATGAAACCAGACACGTTTTGACAGAGAGAGATATCTTAACCAACACCAGAAGTGAATGGTTGGTCAAATTGTTGTATGCATTCCAAGACCCCGAGAAGGTCTTCTTGGCAATGGAATTCGTGCCTGGAGGTGATTTCAGAACTTTACTTAACAATACCGGATACTTGATTCCACCCCACGCAAGATTCTACATAAGTGAAATGTTCTGTGCTGTCAATTCGTTGCACGAGTTAGGTTTCACTCATCGTGATCTTAAGCCAGAGAATTTCTTAATTGACTCTAAGGGTCACATTAAATTAACTGATTTCGGTTTAGCAGCAGGAACTGTTTCAAATGATAGAATTGAGCTGATGCGTCTCAAGTTGAAGAGTTTGGAAGACCTTGACAACTACGAAGTACCTTCTCGTTTGATGTTAGAAAGACAGAAAATCTTCAAGCAATCACAAGGTCACCATAATTTAGCAAACTCCATTGTTGGCTCGCCTGATTACATGGCATTGGAAGTGTTAGAAGGTAAGAACTATGATTATACTATTGATTATTGGTCATTAGGGTGTATGTTGTTCGAGGCATTGTGTGGATATCCTCCATTCTCTGGATCAAAGCAAGATGAAACTTACTATAACTTAAAGCATTGGAAATCGTGTTTAAGAAGACCACAAACTAAGGATGGTAGGTTTGTTTTCAGTGATAGAACGTGGAATTTGATTATTAAGTTAATTGCTCTGCCTTCCACAAGACTTCGCAACTTCAAACAGATTCAACAAATGGGTTACTTCAAGGATATTGATGACTGGGAGAACTTGAGAATGAAAACCCCTCCATTTACTCCTCAGCTTGATAACGAAGAAGATGCTGGTTATTTTGACGATTTTGAAGATGAAGAAATGATGATGAAGTACAAAGATGTTTTTGCCAGACAAGAACATAATGAACAATTGTTGGAGAAATCTTCTGGTAAGAACAAGGTATTGGGACAAAATAACTTCATCGGATTCACCTTCAAGCATAAGTTGAATCCAAATAACAAGTTTGCCAATGGGGAGGTGAATTTATTGAATATCGGGGGTGGTGATAGAAACAGATTGGATCCTTTGGCCACATTGTATTGAGTAAGAAAGTCGATGAATCGTTGAGGCTCGGAAACTCAAAAAAAGGTTTTTCAAGACGACGAACGCTTACAGTATTTTAGCATACCTATATTTTTATCTACATTTGATAATCATTCTGATTATTTTAGTGCTGCATTACTATCTCTGTATGTACATATGATTACACGGTTACTTTTTAGGTTGATAAAAGAGCCTCAACCTCGTACTTTCATCTCGCAATGACTGTCGTAGAGAACCCACAGAGCAGGTCATAGTCCTGTCGAATCTAAAATTATACAAATTTTTGAATGCCATCAAATCGTGATGAGTTTATTGTTGATGCGCTAGCGCATTTATGCCTTCCAGATAAAATCTCTATCTATCTTTTCACCGATAAATTTACGTTGGTCCTGGTGAACTTTTTCACACTCAGCAACACTCTTTGCTATAGTGTCAAAGACCTCCTCCTCACTGAAATCACCCTGACTTTCAAGCAACAAGAGCTTTTCAGCCTTGCCGTCCTGAATGCTGAAGCAAATGACATGATGGGAGTCGCTTTCACTTAATTGTTTCCATGCTGGGTCCTTGAGATATTTGCCTTCGTTAAGAGAAACAGAAACAGCTGCAAAGGAGTAATTTAAGGCTATGTTTGCATCTATCAAGGCATAAAAAGCACAGTTTATGGCAGCGCTTAGTTCATTATTGGTAAACACATTAGATTTACCTTCACTGGAAAGAAATTGGACAACAATCTGGATTAGCTGTCTTGGATACTTATATCTGATGATTATGGTTTGTAGCAAGGATCTGAGCTTGTCTTCCAAGAGTTTTTCTCTCGTGGTCGGAAGACCTTGTGCTGGTCTGATGACTATTTCTAAACTTGCAAGGTTGGGTAACTCTTGTCTTGCTTTTGGTTCCGTTGGACCATTAACGGAGGTGATGACTTTTGTGGAGCCTATGGTAAGCTGGGCAGACCCATCCGACCTGCTGAGTACACCTGTTTCAACTTGATGTGACATGATGGTTAATGTGGAAATCCATTACTGAGAAAATCACTTAGATGCGCAGTCACGTGGCACGCTGTTTCGAGAAGAGTATAGTAGAGGAGGGCATTTAAGCGGCTGACGGTAGTATAGCAGGGGGATGAAGCAAGTTAAAAATGATTTATAGCAGTAGGGATATTTATGCCTAGAGCTAATTGAAATTGAAGCAAGTTGAAGCTATTAGCACAACTTTTGGGTCACTCTTGGTACTATCAATGCTTGAGTTCATTGTATAAAAGCTCAAAATTCCGCCCATACAACCTGAATATGGCTCTAAGCGTCGTGTTTCAGAATGTACTTGTTTCGATGTCTTTTTAGTCTGTTCTCTATAGCTGCAAAATGCTTTGATGGAGCTGCACTACCCTGGTCATCTCGTGTCACGTGAAGGTTGAACTTACAAAGTGACTTCCACTCTTCCACTACTACTTATCGATATGGAAGACTATGCAAAAGAATTGGCAGATGACTTCGACAGTTCCGAAAGCGAAGAAGAATTAGTCCAAGAATCGGAGGTCCAACAACCTCTTAACCAATCCTCGGACGATACCCTTTCTTTTGAAGCTAGACTCAAACAACTTCTTGAAACAAACTTAATAGATAGTCGACTCCAGGCTATCCTCGAGGGTTCAGGCACTCTGGGAGTTACTGACTTCTACAAGTTTTCTCGAGTTTACCCTTTGATACCTGATCTCAAGGCACGCATTGCCAAGTACTCGGATCAGCAGGACTCGGACTATGCTGAACTCTTATCATTCGTGAACGAAGAAAACCAAACTGAAGAATACAAGTTCTTGTTGGCAGTGAATGAAATCTCGACGTTGATAAATCAGGACATCGAGGTCTTTCATACATTGGTGAAGATCCAATACAAATCAGTTTTTCCAGAGTTGGAGTCGTTGGTCTTGAATCCAGTGGACTACGCAAGAATTGTTACAATTATACGACAAGACTTGGCCAATATTAGACAACACGAGGACAAGCTCAAACTATTGGTGTCGAACGAAAAGGTCTTGGTGATCATCATGGCCGCGATCCAGCAAGTACGGCAGCAATTTACATTGGACGAGGAAGATTTAGGTAAAATTTTATCGTGCTGTGGGATTCTAATGGAGCTTGATGCTATTTTAAATGAACTATCTACTTTCATAACTGAAAAATTAGCCAAATTTGCTCCTAATATCAGTGCAATTATCGGACCTATTACTACCTCACAATTGCTAATTGCCACTGGTTCACTCAGACAGCTAGCACTCACGCCGTCTTGCAACTTGCCATCGCTTGGTGTGAAAGACTTATCATCCCAGTCCAAAACAAGAGCTAGATACAGACAAGCAGGTTACTTGTACCACTCGGATCTCATCAAATTTTTGCCTGAAGATATCGTGCGATCAGTCCTTAGAATTATAAGTGGAAAAGTTATTTTGGCAGCAAGAATAGATCTCTCCAATTCCAAACCTGGTGGAGAGATTGGAAGGGGTTACCTACAAGAAATTTCCCAGAAAATAGATAAGTTGTTGACACCTCCTGAACAGCAACCAGATAAAGCGTTGCCAATACCAAAAGAACAAAAATCCAAGAAGAGAGGTGGTAAAAGATTCCGAAAGATGAAGGAAAGAACCCAAATGTCCGAATTGCGTAAAGCCCAGAATAAAATGGAATTTGGTAAAGAGGAAGATACAGTCATGGATGCATTTGGCGAAGAGATTGGAATGGGGATGAGTCGGAGTGGTGGTGGGAGAATTGGACAGATCAAAATCAACACAAATACGAATGCAAGAATGACCAAGGCCATGGCAAGTAGAGTACTGAAACAGAACCACAATCAGAGCAATAACCACCTTGACGATTTTAATTCTATCCTCTTGCCTGCAAGCACCCCCAAGGCTATAGAGTCAAAAACAAACACAGAGAAATGGTTTACTGGATTGTTGAAACGAAAGCCTGAAGCTACTGAAGCCACTGACTCAAAAAAACAAAAACTAGAATAATTCACGCCTACGCCACAAGGCAACCCAGGAAACAAATTTATGATTCCGTGTTCTATTTTTTTGATCTTGGATCAAAAGGCTTATAGAACATATTCTACTTGAATTAGAAACAAAGTCGCAAAAGTGAGTCAGAGCATTATACGCATAGTACTACTGCCCTTTTCTAGATAAGGATTTGAGTCACTTACCAGGCTTGCTCTTAGCTAAAATGGAACCATACAAGTCATACTCTTTATACACGAGAGCCACACCCTATGACTCACCAACCCTTTTTGTAGGCTAAACCCTGTGAAGATCTAAAACTCATGTGAGTTACGTAAGCAAGAACACAAAAATGTGACTCAAAATTTTTAGAAAATTTCAACCAAGAGTTGACTCTTGTATGAATTTAAATAGGTTACTACTTCGAAGAATTCCAACTAATTTTCGTCCGTGTATCCAAATTCGGTATAGAATGAGTAACCCAGAGTCTTCAGGAAAGCCAACCGGTGCAGCTCCAGCAGCCTCCCAGGCCCCAGCTCCAGCCGCACCAGCTGCTGGCGCCCCAGCTGAAGGAGCCCCACCAAAGACCGCAAAAGAATTAGAAAAAGAACGTAAGAAGGCTGAAAAATTGGCCAAGTTCAACGCCAAGAAGGCTGCTCAAGCCGACAAGGCCAAGACTGAACAACCAAAGAAGCCAAAGAAGGAAAAGAAGGTTGCCGAGCCAGTCCCAGAATTCATTGACGAGACTAAGCCAGGTGAAAAGAAAGTGTTAGTCTCTTTGGAAGACCCAGCCTTCAAGGCCTACAACCCAAAGAACGTGGAAAGCTCGTGGTACGCCTGGTGGGAGTCCCAAGGGTTCTTCAAGCCAGAGTTAACCAAGGACGGTAAGGTCAAGCCAGAGGGTGTTTTCTCTATTCCTGCTCCTCCACCTAACGTCACCGGTGCTTTGCACATCGGACATGCTTTGACTATTGCCATCCAAGATGCCTTGATCAGATACAACAGAATGAAGGGTAAGACCACCTTGTTCTTGCCTGGTTTCGATCACGCTGGTATCGCTACCCAATCGGTGGTTGAAAAGCAAGTGTGGGCCCAAGAGAAGAAGACCAGACATGACTATGGCCGTGAAAAGTTCATTGAGAAGGTCTGGGAATGGAAAGAAGAATACCACAACAGAATTAAGGGTCAAGTCAAGAAGTTGGGTGCCTCCTACGATTGGAGCAGAGAAGCCTTCACCTTGAGTGATGAATACAACCCTGCTGTGATCGAGAACTTTGTCAAGTTGCACGAAGATGGTACTATTTACAGAGCCTCCAGATTGGTCAACTGGTCTGTCAAGTTGAACACCGCCATTTCCAACTTAGAAGTTGACAACAAGAACATCAGCGGTAGAACCTTGTTGGACGTTCCAAACTACGACAAGAAGGTCGAGTTCGGTGTTTTGACCTCGTTCTCTTACCCAGTCGAAGGCTCCGATGAGAAGTTGACTGTCGCTACTACCAGACCTGAAACCATCTTTGGTGACACAGGTGTTGCAGTTCACCCTGATGATGCTAGATACAAGCACTTACACGGCAAATACGTCCTCCATCCATTCTTGGACAGAAAGTTACCAATTGTCACCGATGCCGAAGCTGTTGATATGGAATTCGGTACTGGTGCTGTCAAAATCACCCCAGGTCATGACCAAAACGATCATGCCACCGGTAAGAGAAACAACTTGGAAGTCATCAACATCTATACTGATGATGGTTATTTGAACGAAACCTGTGGTCCTGAATGGGCTGGCATGAAGAGATTCGATGCTAGAGTCAAGGTCATCGAACAATTGAAGGAGAAGGGACTTTTCGTTGACCAAAAGGACAATGAGATGGCCATTCCAGTGTGTTCCAGATCTGGTGATATCATCGAACCTTTGTTGAAGCCACAATGGTGGGTCAAGCAGAGCGACATGGCCAAGGAGGCCATCGAGGTTGTGAAGAGAGGTGATATCAAGATCATTCCCAAGACTTCTGAATCCGAATACTTCCACTGGTTAGAAAACATCCAAGATTGGTGTATTTCGAGACAATTGTGGTGGGGCCACAGATGTCCCGTCTACTTCGTCAAGCTCGACGGTGTCGAAGAACACGACAAGTTGGACAACGACTACTGGGTTGCTGGTAGAAACTTGGAAGAGGCCCAAGCCAAGGCCGACAAGAAGTTCCCTAACGCCAAGTTTACTCTTGAGCAAGATGAGGACGTTTTGGATACCTGGTTCTCCTCTGCTTTGTGGCCAATTGCCACCTTAGGATGGCCAAACAAGAATGCCAAGGACTTGGAGTTGTTCGGACCATTCTCGTTGTTGGAAACCGGATGGGATATTTTGTTCTTCTGGGTCACTAGAATGATCTTGTTGGGGGTGAAGCATACCGGACAAGTGCCATTCAAGGAGGTTTTCTGTCACTCTTTGGTGCGTGATGCCCAAGGCCGTAAGATGTCCAAGTCGTTGGGTAATGTCGTTGATCCATTGGACGTGATTGCTGGTATTCCATTGCAAGGATTGCACGACAAGTTAAAGGTGGGTAACTTGGACCCTAGAGAGTTGACCAAGGCTGTCGAGGGCCAGAAGGCATCCTACCCTAACGGTATTCCAGAGTGTGGTTCCGACGCTTTGAGATTTGCCTTATGTGCTTACAGTACTGGTGGTAGAGACATCAACTTGGACATCATGAGAGTCGAGGGCTACAGAAAGTTCTGTAACAAGATCTACCAGGCCACCAAGTTCGTGTTGGGTAGATTGGGCGAGGACTACAAGCCACCCCAAACTTCTGCCAGAACCGGCAAGGAGTCGTTGGTCGAGAAGTGGATCTTGCACAAGTTGACCCACGCTGCTAAGAACGCGGCAGACACCTTGGACAGCCGTGAGTTTGGCGAGTCCACCAACCACATCTACAACTTCTGGTACGAATTGTGTGATGTGTACATCGAGAACTCCAAGAGCTTGATCCAAGACGGTACTCCCGAACAGCAGCAGTCAGCCAAGGACACCTTGTACACCTGTATCGACTCTGCGTTGAGAATGATCCACCCATACATGCCTTTCGTCACCGAGGAGATGTGGCAGAGATTGCCACGTCGTGAGGGCGAGACCACTCCCTCCATCGTGGTGGCCAAGTACCCTGAGTACTCGGCCGACTTTGACGATGTCAAGGCCCACGACGCCTATGAATTGGTGTTGGAGATCACCAAGGGTGCCAGATCGTTGTTGGCCCAGTACAACATCATCAAGAACGGCCAGGTGTACGTGGAGTCTGCCAACGACGACATGTTCGCCATTGCCAGTGCCCAACAGGACTCCATTGTGTCGTTGATCAAGGGTGTGGAGAAGATCACCGTGGTCAAGGATGCCAAGGACGTTCCTTCGGGATGTGCTCTCCAGGCCATCGGTGCCGACTGCACGGTTCACGTGTTGGTGAAGGGCCAGATCGACTTGGATGCCGAAATCGCCAAGGTGCAAAAGAAGTTGGGTGCTGCCAGAGAGTTTGCCGACAAGACCAACGAGGGTATCAGCAAGTTCACCGACAAGACCAAGGAGAGTGCCAAGGAGAGTGCCTACAAGAGATTGGAGAAGTTCACTGCTGAGATCGAAGGCTACGAGCAGACCATTGCCATTTTGGAGAAGTTGAAGCTCTAAGGCTGCTGAAATTGGGCAAGCGATTCTGGAGTTCATATTGAAGCTAGATCCTTCCGTTTGCAGATGAAGCAGTGACGGAGTGCCTCTTCCACGCGTAAGTATTGTTAATGTATATAACCTAGACGAGTGTAGCGGACCAATCGCGTGGGCGGCGCAGCATGACGTCGGAATGGCTGCGCGCTCCGCATCGAACAGTGCCGCAGAAGATCTGTCCCGACGCGGTACATGCCCCTGAAACGACTCACCATCAGCGATTGCCCGGCCCTGTTTTGGCCACGTCTTGGCCAATGGCTCGTGGCATATCCCGGAACTGGCAGTAGTAGCGCCCAAATCAGCCTCCGCTTTGTCTCACACGAGTCCACCGTTCCAGCGCTCTGCAGCTAGGTGCCCCGGCGTCCAACGTTGATGCAGACGTATGCACATGGCGCCCACTAGATCGGTGAAATTCAAACAATCGGGAAGCGCCACCTTTGGCCCGCTCAACAGTATAAAAGGAGACAGACCCGGACAATTGTCGCCACCACTACATTTTTTGACACAATGGGATTCGACGATTTATTAAAGCAAGGCCAAAGCCTCCTCAACCAACAAGGTGGCAACAAGGAAGGTGGCAGCAGCAACGCCGGCTACGAACAGTACGCTGACGACGCCAAGATCGTCTACAACGAGTTCAGCAAGACCGACAGCAAGGGTAGCTTCATGGACAAGGCCCAGGCTGCCTACGGCGAAGTCCAGAAGAACCACCAGAAGAAGAGCTCTGAATCCAAGGACTCCAAGGACTCCAAGGACTCGGAGGAATCCAAGTCTGACAACTAGCCGTGTATGTGCGAATAAACAAACTACTTGAACAGTGTAGCCCAGGTCGTGCTATCATTAATTGAGAAGTACTGATGTTGGGGTGGTGTCTTACTCCCCAAATAATAAACTATTACGATTTTGGGAGTCTCTTATAAATGCACTCCTAGATGCTACTCGTACGCCAATGGTTTCAGTACCAGCTCAGTAGTGCTCGAACACCAACCCCATGCTACTCCCACACCAACGCCTCATGTATCCCTCAATGGGTGTACTCAGACATCACCTGCTTGTAGATCTCTGGGTACCACCGCTGGGCCACGTCGTGGTGGGACTTGATCCTGTTTCTAAATACCGCGTAGCCCACTGGCTCCTTCGACACGTCAGGCTGGAACTGGAACCCCACGTCCACCGCCCAATCCTTGATTTTGCCGTCACGAACCTCCTTCAAGGCAATGATCTCGGCTGGAATGTGCTCGAGGGTAGACTTGTAGGAGTCCAAGTCGATGGTCAGGAAGAATGGCACCGAGATCCGGGTGCCACTTCCTGGCTTGGGGGTCAACACCCGGTGAATGGTAGCCTTACACACCCCTTGGGTGATGGCCTCGAGAGTCTGGCCTGCATTGACCACCAATGTCCTCGGCACGTTGGGCACCGTGATCCACTGGCCCTGGAAGTTTTGCACCTGGAGCGAGTCGGTGTGGTTTGTGGCCTGGTAGATGTACGTTAACAAGTCGGAGTCTCTGTGAGGCCCCACGCCCTGATTGGTGGCGCTGGTGTCATTGAGTGTGACCGACTTCTTGCCTTGCAACGCGCTCGAGTCGGGGTAGGCCACGAGCTTCATCTTACACTGCTGGTTTGGCTTGAAGTATCCGTCCAAAATGTCGCTACTCAACCCGATAGACTCCATCACCAATCCCCTAAACACCGTGCTGAGACGGGTCATTTTGTGGATGTAGTCCAGGATCACTGGCCGGAAGTTAGGGATGGCCTCGGCGTCAGGCCACAAGTTGGGGCCCTCGATGTTGCGATAGATGGGCTCATCTGAGCCTGGAGCTGGCAATTCAGTGGCCAAGTCGATCTGCTCCCTCCAATCGGTATGCGAGGCTGTGACCTCGTTAGCCAATCTTGTGTAACCCAAAAAGTGAGGACTATGGATCATTTCGCAGCCCAACTTGACTGCGTCTGGCAACGCAAAGAAATCCTGCGCCTGGTGCTTGACATTGGCTAGGGTCTCGTCATCCGGGCCTAGGGATTCGTAGTTCTTGAGCAAGAGAAAGCCGATATTGATGATAGCGTGGCGAAGATCAAGGAGGAATTGGGGCTTGGTGCTAGGGTCAAATGCTAGACTCAAGTCGATGATGGGGATTTCCGTGAAGGACATGGTTGGGTGGACACTGTCAATTCATCGAGATCCAGCGCCTTTATAAAAGGTGCCTTTGCTAACACACAATTAGATTAATCATTAGATGTCATGTGCGCTTCGCGCCACAGTTTGGTGACGGTTTTGCCATGCAGTTCGAGCATCAAATGGGGAATGAACTCCGAGGTGCCAAACTGAAGCAAGATCAAATGGGGTCGGTCGGAGAATCTCGAGAAACAGAAAACCTTTCTGGGAATATCGCCCACGATACTGGTCTATAGTCTGGGTACATCGTCCACGATACTGGCCTACAATCTGCTGAATCCTGCCGATTAGTAAGGTTACCGTGTTCCGTGGTGTGACTCCGGCTACTGGCGGTAACTGGGCTAGGTGCATCTTCGGGGTGCAAAGTATCAAGTTGCCTACTTGAATCTCAAAATGGCTAGAGGTACCGAGATCCCTACGGGCAGGCAAGAAAATTTGCGTCTAGTGAATTTTGAATTAATAAGCCGGTTGTCGGTAGGTTGTACCAGTCTCGCTTAAGTGCTCAACGAAAGGACTGATTTGATTGGCACCGGGGTGCCGCTGGTCTACTTTCTAATTTTCGGTATTGGAGTATATTTTGAGGGACCTCGGTACGACTACAAAAACATCTCTCGAAACCCAATAATTAAAAAAATGGTGTACGTACCAACACCTCTGGTAGCGACATCGGTCATCATTATAGGAGACTTTCCGCTCCTCAGCTCCTACAACAACCAGTCGCTTTCACTTTCTTGTTTGTCACCGTGAATGGCGAATGCATGGGCTCTCAAGTAGCTAGTATCTCATCTTCACAGTTTCTCTTGGTAGAAGAAAACAGTAACAGGAGAAACGTTGCTTTCACGGTCAATCTGTGAGGAGAGTTCACTCCGTGCTCCACACATATTACACTTTGTTGTTGGGAGATTTGTATGTCTTGTAGGGACATTTTGCACCCATCTGTGGTCACGTGCATGGTGTCTGTGTGTCGTTGGCATGCGGCTCTGGTATGAACATAGAGGCGAACTAGGAGTGAAATGGACGCCAGATCGCTCCACGATAACTACTGAACGATAAATTTGGCTCAGCTAGAATTTCAGTGAATAAATCAATGGCTACTCTGCACTAAGGCGTGGCATCGCTACCAAGAACGAGTTTTGAGAACCATCAGACGAGAGAATCATTAAAAATTCCATCATCCTTCTGAAGAGGAGATAAAACTTGCGCATTGCAGAGGAACGATTGAATATACTCAACTAGATGAAAATAATACTTCAAAGTAATAAAATTTACTGATTTCTCAAGCCAACAATTTTAATGCGATACTCAGCGACACCAGACTGCCCCACGCTAACGAGTTTAGCATTATCACTACGGGGAGATTTGCAATGGCCCGCTATAGATTCTCTGGCCCGCATCTTTTCAAGCCACTTGTCCGAGTAACCTTGACCACCATATCTCGTTATCTCCCCAGCAGACCCACATCACCAGCTGTCCCACTACGCCCACCATCTGGGGACACGCGCACTAATTTCCACGCGATAGTCGTGAACAGGCAAACCAACCCAACCATGGCTTATCAGGGCCAACAGAACAGGCCCGAATCAGCCCGTAAATACGGCCAAAGACCAACCCACTGGTCAGACCGTTCCCCCCAAGTACATGTAGCAACTCTTTGAATCGTCAATTCCTCTCTGTACACTCCTTTCTCGCTACTCTCTCGTGTACGGCTTCTCACCCGCCCTCGTCGCCACTGAAAAAAGTTGATCAATTCTCCCAACTTCTTTTCGAAAGATTACCACTACTACAGGTAAGTTAGCACGATGTCAGAAATCGTCAACAACCCCTCTGTGTTGGCTGCAGAGTTGCTAGTGCCAAAAACGTTCCTCCTAAGACCATATGTCTGGCCGTTCACCATCATCTACCCTATCTTTGCCGAGGTGTACATCAATAGGTACGATAAGTACATTGGCGGATCGGAATGGACCTTCGTGTATCTCATGGCCATCATCTCGTTCAACTTGTTGTTCTGGTTGATGCCCCACTGGAACCTCAACGTCGATGCCAGCTTCAACTACTCCCCTGTCAAGACCATTGCTGAAGCCTCCCACATCAAGATCACTCCTGCCCCCAACTGCGGCGTGGGCTCCATTTGCAAAATCAACCGTGAAACCTTCCATGACGGCGAAAAGCAAGTCAGCTTCTTGTACCAAAAGAGAAGACACTTGTTCCACACTGACTCCCAGAAATTCTCCCCTCCTGAATTCTTCTTTGATTCGAACCCGCCTCTCAGCACCTTCCAGAACTCCAAGGGGTTGTCCGGCGACTTGGAAAAGGACATCAGAAACTACGGTGCCAACAAGTTTGACATTCCAATTCCTACCTTCTTGGAATTGTTCAAGGAGCATGCTGTTGCGCCCTTCTTTGTTTTCCAGCTTTTCTCGGTGGCTCTTTGGTGCATGGATGAGCAATGGTACTACTCGTTGTTCTCCCTTTTCTCCACTGTTTCCTTCGAAATGATGACCGTGTTCCAAAGAAGAACCACTATGTCCGAGTTCCAAAGCATGGGTATCAAACCATACCCAATCTATGTTCACAGAGATGGTAAGTGGAAGCAATTGCAAACCACCGAGTTGTTACCAGGTGATTTGGTTTCCATTACCAGAACTCAAGAAGAGTTCGCTCTTCCATGTGACTTGCTTTTGGTGGACGGTTCTGCTATTGTAAACGAAGCTATGTTGTCGGGTGAATCTACTCCTTTGCTTAAAGAATCGATCAAGTTGAGACCTGGTCACGAAGAATTACAAGCTGAAGGTATGGACAAGAACTCTATCTTGCACGGTGGTACTATGGCTTTACAAGTTACTAAGCCAGAAAACCCAATTATCCCACTTGCTCCAGACAACGGTGCCTTTGCTATCGTCTCTAAGACTGGTTTCGAAACTTCCCAGGGTTCTTTGGTCCGTATGATGATCTTCTCCAGTGAGAGAGTTGAAGTTGGTAACAAGGAAGCTTTCTTCTTCATTTTATTCTTGTTGGTTTTCGCCATTGCTGCCTCCTGGTACGTCTGGGTTGAAGGTACCAAGATGGGAAGAATCCAATCTAAGTTAATCTTGGATTGTATCATTGTTATTACTTCTGTTGTTCCACCTGAATTGCCAATGGAGTTGACCATGGCCGTCAACGCCTCTATTTCTTCCTTGCAAAAGTACTTCATTTTCTGTACTGAACCATTTAGAATCCCATTGGCAGGTAGAATTGATGTCTGTTGTTTCGATAAGACTGGTACTTTGACTGCTGAGGATTTGGTTTTTGAAGGTTTGGCTGGTTTCAAGAATGATGACATCCACCATTTGTTCAAATGTGAAGAAGCTCCTCAAACCACTTCTTATGTTTTGGGATCTGCACATGCTTTAGTCAAGTTGGATGATGGTGAAATTGTTGGTGATCCAATGGAACAAGCTACTTTGAAGGCTGCCAAGTGGAACGTTGGTTCTAAGGACATTGTTGAAAGAGAAATTTGTAAGGGCAAGAGTGAAAAGATTAAGATTTTACGTCGTTTTCAATTCTCTTCTGCCTTAAAGAGGTCCTCTGCTATTTCCTCTATCAGCACCTTGCCTGGCAAAAACTTTGTCGCTGCCAAAGGTGCACCAGAAACCATCCGTACCATGATTGTTGATGCTCCAGAAAACTACGAAGAAATTTACAAGTCGTTCACTAGAGCTGGTTCCCGTGTTTTAGCATTGGCCTACAAGTACTTGGATTCCAATGTTAACGTTACCAAGGTTAAGAGAGAAGAAATCGAATCCAAATTACACTTTGCTGGTTTTATTGTTTTCCACTGTCCTTTGAAGCCTGATGCCATTGAAACTATCAAGATGTTGAATGAGTCTTCCCACCGTTCGGTCATGATTACTGGTGACAATCCATTGACTGCTTGTCACGTTGCTAAGGAAGTTGTTATTACTACCAAGGACGTTTTAATTTTGGATGCCCCTGAAGATCACCATGAAGTCACTGAAGAAGAAAACTTAGTCTGGAGAAATGTTGATGAATCTGTCATCATTCCATTCAAATCTTCTGACAGAATCAACTCTGAGTTATTCAAGAAATTCGACGTTTGTATCACTGGTTATGCTTTGAACTACTTAAGTGAACATGACCAAATCTTGGAATTATTGAAGCACACTTGGGTTTACGCAAGAGTCTCTCCTTCCCAAAAGGAATTCATCTTGACATCCTTGAAGGAAGCTGGTTACAATACTTTGATGTGTGGTGATGGTACTAACGATGTTGGTGCTTTGAAGCAAGCCCATATTGGTGTCGCTTTATTGAATGGTACTGAAGAAGGTATGAAGAAGATTGCTGAGAACAAAAAGATTGAAATCCAACAAAAGGTTTATGAAAAACAAGTTCAACTCTTTATCAATTGGAACAGACCACCCCCACCAGTGCCTGAAGTTATTGCTCATCTTTATCCACCAGGACCCTCTAATCCAAAGTACTTAGAAGCAATGGAAAAGAAGGGTATTGAGATCACTAAGGAAATGAGAGACGCTGTTGTTGCTGCCAACCGTGCTGGAGGTATCTCCAGTGACACCAAGAACAATGCGCAAGCACAAATTGCAGACACATTTTTGAGTGCTTTGAACGAGGCCGAAGGTGAAGATGAAGCTCCAGTTTTGAAGTTAGGTGATGCCTCTGTTGCTGCTCCATTTACCTCCAAGTTGGCAAGTGTTGCTACTGTGACTCACATTATCCGTCAAGGTCGTTGTGCATTAGTCTCTACCATTCAAATGTACAAGATTTTGGCCTTGAACTGTTTGATTTCTGCTTATTCTCTTTCTGTCTTGTACCTCGCCGGTATCAAGTTTGGTGATGGACAAGCTACTGTTTCTGGACTTTTGTTGTCTGTCTGTTTCTTGTCCATTTCGCGTGGTAAGCCTGTTGAAAAGTTGTCCAAGGAAAGACCACAAGATGGAATTTTCAATAAGTACATTATGGGATCTATCTTGGGACAATTTGCTGTTCATATTATCACTTTGATCTACATCACCCGTGAAATCTACATCTTGGAACCAAGAGAAGCTCAAGTTGACTTGGAAAAGACTTTTGAACCATCCTTATTGAATACTGGTATGTTTTTGTTACAGTTGGCGCAACAAGTCTCTACTTTTGCCGTCAATTACCAAGGTTTACCATTCAGAGAAAGCATCAGAGACAACAAGGGTATGTTCTACGGTTTGATTGGTGTTGCCGGTTTGGCCCTCGCTGGATCCACTGAATTCATGCCTGAATTGAATGAAGCAATGAAGTTTGTTCCAATGGACGTCACCTTCAAGACCAAATTAACTGGTTGTATTTTGGCCGACTTGGGTGTTACTTGGGCTATTGAATTGACCTTGAAGCATTTCTTCATGAACTCAGCCCCAGCTGATATTGCTTTGAGAGACGATTAAGTACAACCATTTCAAGAATGGGCTTAGCCGTGAAAGTATCAATCTTATAGAATTGTATATAATAGACAAGTAACTGAGAACAAACTGTACTGGAATTGACAAGCGATTTTTAATGGGCGATTGCCTCAAGTTCATCGTCATTGGCAAATTTGATTGTTCATCGTACGAATAGTGCATTCCGAGTGCTATTTACAAACTTATTTCTAATGTTCTTTCACCAGTGAATGAACAATTAGTTTTTGGCCGAAGAAATACTTTCCCCATCGGAAGCCAAAACTTTCAAATCGTCTTCTCTGCTAAGTATTCCAACCTTCAACACAGTCACACCACCCCTTTCCAACACAACAAACTTGTCACCGAGTTTCTTGCTCATAAGCTTTATAGCATCCTCAACTTCTTTCTTATTTAAAGGGTAGTCATGACTGTTCACGATTGTTGCACATAATTTCTGACATGAGAATGTTCGCACCGCTTCCCCTGGCCCTCTATTAGTATTACTCATATGGTACACCATATCATATATTTGGGGAAACTTACCGACCAAGTATTTTTCGTATTGGACTTCAGGTGTATTTGAACCATTTTCCCTTTCGAGTTGTTCTTTCCGGAGCTTTTCCTTCAATTTTATTCTCTCCAACAAGCTCATACCGTTGCTCTTTTGTTGCTCTATTAATTCTATACGTTCTTGAAATTTGAATTTAGAAGAGTCGTTCTTTAGATCCGCTAGAGATGACTTTCTCGTAATTTTAGTGATCCGGTTTGGCAGTTGGCGTCCATTAACTTCTTGTTTCTGTTCTTTTTGTTTGAGTATCTCCGGAATGCCTTTAGGAAAAAATGTCTGGGTGTCCTTATTCTGGAGAATCCAGTTTTCGATATCCTTAGCAAATGCCTCTTTCCTGGTCTGGATCATGCCCTGGTTGAAATTGCTGGGGAACTTGATGAAAATCTTAGTATAGTCGTAATTGTTGGAACCAGTCTTGTAGATCGAGAATATCTCTGGATTTATAAGGAGAATAATCTCTACATCCAGGACTTGGATTCTGCACTGTGCCAATGTAGCGGAAGAGTCTAAGATCTTCACTAAGAGTGGATCGACGTTGTGGGCAGTGTAGTGGAGAGTGAGAGTGTTGTCAATGGCACAGAATTTTCTGTGCAAGTCCATAAAATGGCTGCTAGAGATGGTTGGGTGGTTGGGTATTTTGTCCATGGTGAATTGTGTACAGTGGTGATAGGAGACAATGCTGATCTGCTGGTTTGAGGATGTAAGAGCCCAGTAGTGATGAAAGGCGATGTGGAACTGATTATGGATATGAGAGCCCAGTGGTGAACGCTTACGAGCTCAATAACGAGATGGAAGGATGGTGGTGATCCTCTCCTAAGATCTGGTGAATAGGGCCCTGTATATGGCACACGACAGAAGGTGTATGAGGTAGCTAGGTCCGAGATGAGACGCGACTCGATGGTATATCTCCTGCACACTCATCTATTCAGGAAAGTCATTTTGCATCTTAGGCGAAGAGGCTTTCTGTCTGATTCTAATATTCCACCACATGTCATCGAAGGACCATCTACGAAAAGGAGCGGACGTTTCCCCTTATGAGGCCCTCATGGCGGGCTCTTTGTCAGGAGCCATAGCAAGGTAAGCATGCCACAGTTTTTCGGACTTCGAAACACGCTAACATTTAGAGCAGTGACCGCCCCATTGGATACGCTTAAGATAAGGCTCCAGCTCCAGGAACGAACGTTTGCCAGTCGTCCCAAGGTCCACACGGTCCTCAAGAACCTCATTCGAAATGAAGGTGTGGTCGCCCTCTGGAAAGGGAATGTTCCTGCCGAAATCATGTACATACTCTACGGAGGCATCCAGTTCACCAGTTACTCGGTGCTCAGCAGGGCGTTGAGCCAGGTAGAGAACCAGTACAGCTACAACTTGAGTGCCTCTAGCCACTCGTTGGTGGTTGGGATCGGAACGGGGATCATGAGCACCCTTGGAACTTATCCATTTGATCTATTGAGAACGAGATTGGTAGCTAACTCCAACAAGGAACTTCTTTCGATGACTACCACCATTGCGGGAATCTACAGAAAGGACGGGTTAGTGGGTTTCTTCGCAGGCATACGACCAGCCATGCTCTCGGTAGCTGCCACCTCGGGGTTGATGTTCTGGGCATACGAATTGGCCAGAGATTTCTCCAAGGAATTCAACAATATTCCATTCATCGAAGGTATCTGCGGGTTTGCCGCAGGTGCCACCTCCAAGGGGTTGACGTTTCCTCTCGACACAATACGAAAGAGGACCCAAATGTATTCCATCACCAAAAAAACTGCCCCTATTTCTGCATTCAAACTAACAGGCCAAATCATTGTCAATGAAGGTTTGTACGGGTTGTACAAAGGTTTTGGGGTCAGCATATTGAAGACAGCCCCCACCAGTGCGGTATCTTTGTTTACCTATGAGTATGCCTTGCGCTACATCAAGTCTGAGTCCCAGGAACAACTAAACTAGACAGCACTAATTAGCATTCTCAGGCTTCTATTATCCTCCTACTAGCTTTTGTATGGATTAGCATCTCATATAGCCATGTAATTCGTACCTTGTACTATACCTTGAACAAATAGTCGTCATCTTGGTCTTCTGGGACGACTCCGAACTCGTCATAACTTTCGTTCACATTTACGAAATCCACGTCATCCTCGTCTAGAGCCCGTAGAACCTCGTCATTGCTATCGCTGTCCTCAAGCTGTGCTCCATAGAATCGAGTTAACAGATTGGGCAGAATATACTCCTTATCTTCCTCTTCCGACTCGTCCTCTACATTACCATTGTCTGCACTTTCTGAAACATCCTTTGCGTGGGAGTAGAGCGACTGGGAATTAGATAAGAGATTCTGCAAGCGGGTGTTTTTCTTGGGACTTCTGTCCTTCGATGATTCGTTTGAAGAGTCCTTCGTGGCTATTTCTCTTGGTGCTCTTTCGTCGATGACTGGCGATGCCGTGAGAACAGGCATGTGGTTGATATTTTCTTGTATATCCTTTGGCTTGTCTATTCTCGAATCCTGAACGTCTATTACTGCCGATCCGTCAATGACTTCTTCCTGAAGCTGTTTTCTGATATACATCGGTAAATTCATCCCCACCACAGACAGCCGTCTCCGGTTTCTCTCAGTCAGTGCTAGCTCGCCGAAGTTCGGAATCTCTCGAGGACTATTGGGCGAGTTAGGAAGCTGGGGAGTTGGGGGAAGCTTCGGTTCCTTTTTCTTCCCAAGCAACATCAACCTATTCTGGACACCTTTGAATCTATTGAGTACCTGTGGCTGTTTTTTGGAAGTTTCAGCGGGTCTATAGTTAACCTCAGCACGTGTGATGACATTGATATTGGAAGTACTGGTTTCTGCCGGTTTTGTCATGCTAGCATCTCCTTTAGAAAGGCTGGCACCATTTTTGAACCCTGTTGGTCTAGGGAGTAACTCAAGTGAAGAACGCCTCTCTTTCCTCAGGGGGTTCGTAGGAGGACTGTGAATGGATCGTACTTCTTTGGGACGGGCAGTCGTGACTCTGGGTGGCTTGCTCTGTACGACTTGTCTATCTTTCTCTAACCCTAGTGCATCGATCAGTTGATTGACTTGCTGGAAAAGTGAGTTGTCGTTGCTTTTCCAGATGACAGGAGCAACACCTTGGATTCCATACAAATAATCGTCTAATAGTTCATCGATCTTCAAGAGCACATATTGATGGTCGTCCAAGTCCAAACTTCTAGAGATATACTTCCAATCCAAGTCTTTGTAGAAGCGAGAAGGGTCTACCAACTTGGATAAATAAACCTTGATGTACTGTTCAAGCACCGCTTGCCTTTGAATGGTCCAATCAATGGCCTTGTATGTGGCATCTATAGGCATTGCGGAAGAAGTAGGTGATATTCCCTCCAGATAATGAGTCAATCCATTGCGATATGAGACGGAGGTTGCCATATCCGTCGAAATAGTGAAAGCGACAGTTCTTATCAGAATGTGGGGTCCTTAGCATAAAAATATTTGAAAAAAATGGACGAGTCCGGAGTCGAACCGGAGACCTTTCGCATGCTAAGCGAACGCGCTACCAACTACGCCACACGCCCGTTCAAGAAGTGGTCCCTAGCAGGATCGAACTGCTGATCTCGGCGTTATTAGCACCGCGCCTTAACCAACTGGGCCAAGGGACCTGTTTCTTGTGGTTTGAAAAGATTAGTAGCTTCTCACCCAGTTGAGTATCACGTGATTTTTGCAAAACGTTTTAGTCAGGACGTTTAGAGTATTTACAAACGTTTAATCACGGAGCTGAAAGCTTATCTTTCTTGTTGGATATACTTTCCATTAAAAAAAAAAAAGATAAAACTGGAAACTAAAATTCTCCAAATCTAGTAGGATAAAAGATGGTTGGTTTGTGCGGCACTTATTCTAATCGATGGTGGTCAATCAGTTGTGAGGTCCCTAATTTTTTACTCCTCTATCTATACTAGGACTCAAAATTATTCGGAATCCTTACCACCAGTATAGCACTCAACTTTCTATTTGATAAAATCCGAGAAACGGATGGTCAAAAGTATAATATGGAAGGCTATGGATTTGATAATATCTGAATTGACCTGATTTACAAACTACAACAGTCTACAGAACCTATTATCAGGTTAATCCTGGAGAATTCAACCAAAGAAGATTCCATCAGAATACAAATATGCGGAAATTGACACAACCCAAATTGAAAAGGTGTACCCAAGCATGTAATATTCCCTTCTAGTGCCATGTCGTGGGGTAACTGGCCCTTCGAGGAGTCTAATTCGGTGTTGTGAGATGCTTGTTGCCCCAAACCAATCGCGGGCCTGAGTGGTCGTGCGCCTCAAATTTCCATCTCATCTCTGGCATCACCTACTCCACCACTATACTCATTGCAATGAAGTTCATAGTTGCAGCTGACGATACAGGCTCGTTGAAGGAGGTCATTTGCAGCAGAGGTACAGACACCTCGAAGCAGGATGCGGTTCAGCCCAAATCAATAAAAAACTATCGAGTCGATACCGGCAATAGTTTCAGAAACAAGATAACCAAATTGGTAAACTTCCAATCCACATACTTGATAGGAGCTAGAGTTGGAGGTGAAGTGTCGATATATGACTTAGTTAACGAAGAGGAGACCCCAGAGGAAGAGAAATATAGCCTTTTGCACACATACAAGTTGGATGTTGATCAGAAAGACAAACCAGTTTCCCTTATTAAACTCAGTCCTTTGGATAGTATCCTCATTGCATTTGAGTCCAGCAAGGTCTTCATCATCCATTTCCAGGGTGACGAGTTTGATTACGCTCCAATTCCAGTCACCTTACCTTCCACGAAATCGATCAATGCATTTGTAGCCAATCCCAACGTGGAAGGAGTATTCGCTTATGGAGGACAAGAAAACGACTTACAAATTATCAAATTATACGAGCAGCCTGCCACCGGCTTGATGTTTAATGACAAGGTCGAGTTCAAGCCAAAGGTACTCTTTAATGCTAAGAATGTCAAAAATGACCATCTTGACTTACGAGTACCTGTGTGGATCAGCAACATTTTATTCTTGAAAGATGCTCCTACTCCAGACGCATACAAAGTTCTCACCAGCACCAGGTATGGACAATTGAGAATCTATGATACCACTCATGGAAGAAGACCTGTCAAGGACTATAAGATTTGTGAAAAAGCAATTGTGGCTATGACTTTTGGGGACGAACAACAGGAATCTGTAATTGTCACTGATGTCCATAACTTGATTGGTAAATACTCGTTGATCAAGGAGGATGAGAAGGCCCTGAAGATTCATTCAGCTTCTGCTGGTGATGTGGTCAGACCAGTACTTAAGCTCTTGGGTAAGTTTTCTCAAGGAGGAAACACCGGTGCCACTCATGCCCTCGAAAATGCTGAAGATGAGGTTCTTGTTGCTGGAGGTTTGGACAGATACCTCAGAGTTTTTGATATTGAAACAAGAGATATCTTGGCCAAGGTGTATCTTGGTGTCGAAGTGCTGTCAGTATTAGTAGATGATCTTGAAGATGAGGAAGAAGAGGTTGAAGAAGGTGCTGAAAAGAAGATTACCATCCAGAGAAAAAGAAGAAGAGATATCGAAAAAGCGGAAGAAAGTGATGAGGAAGAAATGTGGAGCAAGTTGGATGAAAAGAAGAGCAAAAGGTAAGCCTATAGTCGTTCTACGAATTACAAAAATGTTCGATAAAATAATACATTGTAGATGAGTAGGTCATTAAAGGTCCAAGGTTTTTAATCCATTAGTTATGTAGTTTGAATTTTGCCTCATGTTAAAGCGGATAAGTCTATACTTGGAAAATAAGGCACGAGATTTCTGCCAAAAAAGGCTGAACCTGTACCATCTATGAAAAAATGATCATGGCTTGGGTTCCTCTACCCTATTCACTGATCTATTGTCAGTGTTGATCACGCTCATACATTTCCACTCGTTCAAATAATTACACTTCCATAACCTGATTTTTCCGTCATCGCCAGCAGATGAGAGAATCGTTCCGGTCAAGTTCCACGAGACTCTCCAAACCTCCAGCTTGTGATCGTTTAATTTGGCCAAAGTCTCCACCTTCAATTCTCCTCCTGGAAGCTCAATTCCCTTGAAAATTCTCACATATCCATCTTTACAACCTGTTGCAATCAAATGATAGTTTCTTCCCATCGAGGGTGCCCAACTGACCGATCTAATCAAACCATTATGTTCAGGCAAGTTTCCCAACTTTGAGTACTTGTTGTCACCCTTATTTCCTACCTCTTCTGCATCGCCAGCCTCCTCTATAGAATTTTGATTGTTTGGGACTGTGCCATAGATGAAGCCTTGATCCAAAGCGATGACGATAAACTTTTCAGTTTGACTGAACTTTGCCGGACACCATTCAATAGCAAAGCTACTCTGTAAGCTCTTTGCAGGCAATTGCAGGTACAATATTGGCAACTCTGTGGTCAATGCCCAATTGGTAAGATCACCTGGCTCCAAAGATTCATAGATTCTGAAGATCCCATCAGATCCTACGCATCCCAACTTGAGACCTAAGTGATTAGGAGCAAATACAACGTCGTAGATGGGCCCAAAAGATTCGATGGCCAATGTGGCCAATTTTATCCACCTTCTACCTGAACCATGAAGCTCATCGGGCTGCTCTTGCCATATCTTGACTGTGCGGTCAAATGAGCACGAGGCTAGGATCTTGGAGCTGGAAAACTCTGGGTGGGCCCACAGGACCTTTGTTATCGACGAATCATGGGCTTTCCACAGGTCGTTGAGGACCCAGGTGGATGTGGAGGTGTCGAGGTCGAACACCTTGATGTGCTGGTCCGAGGAGGCCGTGGCGATGTGCTTGCCATAGAAGTCGTACCTTATATCGTGGATGAGTTCCTCGTGGCCGGTTATAAACGGTTTCATGGTGTAAGGTGGTCTGGAATGGGATTGGGAGTGGGGGCAAGCTATATCACCACAATTCTTGCTTAGGTGTAGTCTGAACGTATTTATTCAAACAATAGTAAAGTACCAGAGAGGGTATGGCCTGGACGTGTCTGTTCAATTCAATAGTAGCGAAGGGATCTGTCCTTGAGGTAGCTGTTCTATTCGGGGGGATTATTGAAGAATTGGGCTGATCAACGTCCAACTTCAAAGTGTCTTCGAGTCTAGCAGCAGGTCAAGTGGTACCAGCAGTTTTTATCAGCCTCTGCCGTGTAAGTTCTGAATAAAGAACGTCAATCGCAGGTGCAAATGATGGTATGTCGCTGGGCTATGTAGGTGCACGTGAATTAGCTGTCCCACCGATGCTTTCTGTCACTTCTCAGCTATCAGTCACCTGGTAAATGTCTCATATCGCACTATCGCGACACGTTCTGGATGCAGTCCTCCACGTCTCGCTTAGGACACATCTGCCAATACAACCATCACCACTGCCACCCAATTGACGCCTCCACGCCATGAACAAGTACATCAGACTCGCGGTGTTTGGGGGAGCGCTAGCCTTCGTTCACCCCAACAACCCTCTCCAGACGGCAGTCTGCTTCAGTATCATAGGCTATGTCACCACCATCACCCTCATCCCCAGACTCTCAGAACCCTTCAAAGGCATTGGGCTCAAGGGCAAAGACATGTCCAAGCCGCCGCCCGTGCGGGAGCTCCCTGAGTCAATGGGCATTGTCAGTGCTGTGACGTACCTTTTCATCATGTTCAGTCTCATTCCGTTCATTTTCTTCAAGTACCTCGTGTCCTTCAGTGCCTTGTCCAACGATCAAAGCATGCTGAACACCTACACAACCCAGTACGAGTCCACCAAGAGTCAGTTGTTCCCTCACAACAAACTTGCCGAGTATTTGAGTGCGGTGTTGTGTCTTCAGTCCACCACACTTTTGGGGCTCTTCGACGACTTGTTTGACATCAGATGGAGACACAAGTTCTTCTTGCCAGCCGTGGCCTCCTTGCCGTTGTTGATTGTCTACTACGTTGATTTCAGTGTAACTTCCGTGGTGATCCCATCGTTTTTGACCGACCTCAAAGGTGGAGAACAGGCGTTGGAGTTTCTCAACTTCTTCATTAGATTGGGCAACCATGTGGTCACCTCTGTCACTGGTTTGTCTTTTAGCTCGCTTCCCACGGACTATGTCATTCCTGAAAATTCGCCCAAGTTGCTTGATTTGGGTATATTCTACTACTTCTACATGTCTGCGGTGTCAATCTTTTCGCCCAATTCCATCAATATTTTGGCTGGGATCAACGGCCTTGAAGTTGGCCAATCGGTGGTTCTCGCAATCATTTTCTTGACAAACGACTTCTGCTACTTGTTCTCCTCCAATGTGTCACAAGCTGCCTATGACAGCCACTTATTCTCAGTTATCTTCATTATTCCGTTCATTGGCGTTTCCTTAGGGTTGCTTCAATACAATTGGTTTCCTGCTAGAGTTTTTGTCGGAGATACCTATTGTTACTTCAGTGGTATGGTGTTTGCAATTGTGGGTATTTTAGGACACTTTTCGAAGACATTATTGATTTTCTTATTGCCTCAGATCCTCAACTTCATCTACTCGGCTCCACAAATATTCGGTGTCATCCCATGTCCTAGACACAGACTCCCAAGATTCAACTTGAAGGACGGCTTGATGTACCCTAGTTTTGGCGAGTTGAAAAAGCAAGGTCCAGTTCCAAGACTCTTGCTTAACATCTTGGAGAAGTTGAAGTTGATTAAAATTGAGAGAGGAAATGAGGGACAGATCGTGAAGTTTTCCAACATGACGATTATCAATCTCTTTTTGGTGTGGTTCGGTCCAATGAGAGAAGACTCGTTGTGTCTCTTGATCTTGGGAGTACAACTCTTGGTCGGGTTCTCCATGATTGCAGTCAGACACACTGTGGGCCCATGGTTGTTTGGCTACGATAACTTGAGCTGGGGAGTCAAGTAAATGAACCGCCACGCTCCATGCGAGAGGAAGCGAATTGTAACTACTAACCCCCGATTTAGCAGTTACTGCAAGAGAATAGGTCACAATCCTACCCCTAATAGAGTGCAGAAATTTGAATGAACTATTGCCGGCTTCACTGGAGTGGAAAGACAGGAAAGTCATATTGCTGAAACTATTTCACTTGGTTTATTATGTGAATATTAAATGTTGTCAATTCGTTTACTACGAGAAGCAGGCTGTTCGCCTTCCGTTAGAATAATTTAATTCTGCCTCCGACTCCGCTCACTGTACATACTAATATTATTTTTCCTACCCATATGGGATTTGATACTATTTATTGATGCAATATCAATTCAGCAAAGTAATATTAAAGCAACAAATACTAAAAACACATACTAATAATACTCTACTGGAACGCCTCTATTGCCATATCTACCACAATACATTTTCGAAGGACCAATCTTCCGTCTCCAGGAGGCTGTGTCCACCTACAGTCATTTCCCCAACTAAACACGTGACTACTCCTACTCATTTGCTACACCATAACTTCTCTGATCTCCATCATTCACCACCATGGCAGGCCCACCACCACCTCCACCCCCTCCCCCAGGGCCTCCGCCCCCCAGCTCCTTCGCGTCCTCGTCTCCTCCACCTGCCCCTCCGCCAGGACGAGATGCATTGCTTCTCAGCATCAGACAAGGTACCTCCCTTAAGAAGGCAGTCACCGTGGACAAATCCAAACCCATGCTCGATTCCAAGACGTCTATCTCAACTTCGGCACCTTCTGGGCCATCTCTTGGATCTGGAGGATCGTCTGCTCCGTCAGCGCCCGCAATTCCTAACGGAGCACCCCAATTGGGAGATATCTTTGCTGGAGGCATACCCAAGTTGAAACATGTCAAAGACAACAGAGCTGGCGTTGTTCCAAGCTCAGCTCCAAAAGTTCCCGGCTCAGGGGGAATCCAGGCTGCTCTGGTGCCCCCTGTAGCCCCAGCAATGCCCCTGGCAAGGCCCTCTGCTAGAAAAGCGACACCTCTGGGCCCCCCAATACCATCAGCAGTTCCTCCGGCTCCTCCAGCTCCGCCAGCTCCACCATCTTCAGCACCAGTACCTCCTCCAACCACTCCTTCCCCTGCAGCAGGCAAGGCTGCTCCAAAAATGCCCCCAAATAGACCTAAAAAGTCGTCACATTTGAAGAACCACTCTTTGACGGGTATTTCTTCGGCCCCTACAACCCCACCGGTCCCTGACGCTCCACCACCACTTCCAACAGCCCCTCCACCATTGCCATCTGCGGCTGCCCCACCACCTCCTCCGCCTCCATCTGGCATACCTCCACCTCCGTCTGGACGACCATCCTTTTCATCGACTTCATCACCTTCTTCTGCGCCTCCTGCTCCTCCTGCTCCTCCTGGGGGTCTCCCATTTTTGGCCCAGATCAATGCCAAAAGGGACAACACTCATGTGGTAGATTCAGTTCAATCTACTCCATCATCGAGCGCCCCTCCTGCACCACCAGCACCACCAGTACCTGGATCCTTGCCTCCTCGTTCTACATCATCGGTTCCTGCGCCTCCTCCAGCTCCTCCAGCCCCTCCGGCTCCTCCATCTTTTGGGTCTACTCCTCCTCCAGCTCCTCCAGCTCCTCCAGCTCCTCCAGCTCCTCCAGCTCCTCCATCTTTTGGATCTTTTGCGCCAACCCCACCGCCTCCTCCTCCAGCTCCTCCTGCTCCTCCTGCCCCTTCGGCTTTGGGTGCTCTGAAATCAAGCAGTTCAGCGCCACCGGCTCCAGCTATAGCAGGAGGAGCGTTGCCATTCTTGGCACAAATAAACGCTAGAAGAAATGAGACCTTTGTGGTCGATGGTACGAAAAATGGACACTCTACAAGAGATGAGAGGACAGAAGACCCCCCTAAAAAGACACCATCAGTGCCAAGTCTGGCTCCTAAACCTCCGCAGATTCCTTTGGGTGTTCCACAACTTCCTAACATAAAGCCCCCAACGAGAAATACATCTGCAGCTGCTCCTCCTGCTCCTCCAGTTCCATCGACACCTCAAGCGCCTCCTTCCATTCCTGCTGCTCCTCCAAGCCAACCACCACAACGGATTCCTTCCTTTCCACCTGCACCCCCTAAATCTGTTCTGCCTCCACCAACTCCACCAGCTCCACCAGCTCCACCAGCTCCACCTTCCCACTCTTTGCCACCAGCTCCACCTTCTCAATCTATTCCTCCACCCCCTCCTCCATCTGTCCCAGACTCTCCTCCTCCCCCACCAACTGCTGCCCCACCCAAGAGAACAGCACCTCCTCCCCCACCACCACCTTCGGGACAATCAAAATTGGACCAGCAACAGAATGCTGGAAGCTCTTTGAGAAAGATCTCTGCTCTGGCATACACTATCAATGCTAGAAATGGTTCTTCGCAGTCTTCTTCTTCTTCTACCAAGGTGGTGATAGAAGACAAGAGGTTCAAGTTTCAAAACTCTAATGCATTGCCACATCCAAGAAGATTTGGAGAAGGTACTAAGGAGAAATTATATCCTAGTGGTAGAGGCTCTTCGGTCCCCTTGGATTTAAGTTTATTCAATTAATAGCATCCAAGTTGTGAAGAGTACGGAATGACTACACTAAACCAGATAAAATCTGTCACCCACGATAGAAAAATATGTTACTATTGGCTAATTTACTTTGGTTGGTTCCCACACTTCGACCACCTTATCATAAAACGAACAGGTCACCACGAATTCACCTGAGACACCCCAGCTTCCCCCGTAGCACATACTCTCATGTGCACCCTTGAAGTATTTAGTTACTTCGAAATCGTCGTCTTGCTTCACATCAATTATTCGAGCTCCGTCGTACATGCAACATGCAAGAAGAGTATCGTCGTTTTCAACGGGGCTGGGTATCAATCGCCACACTCCACCTCCGAGGTTTTCTTGTTTAGCCACTCGGGGAATATAGCCTGGAAGAAGCGAGGGGTTCAGTTTGTCCATGAGTCTAAGATCAAATATACGTAAGTTATCATCATATGAACCAGTCCATAGTTGGTGCGGATTCTGTAAGTTCCACTGAGGCCCCGAGGATAGGATGGACACTACCCCTGCCTCGTGCTGGCGCATGGTCGTTGCCCATATTTTGTCGTTGGTCCTCAAATCATGGGCTATCACCTTTCCGTCGTCCCCCCCAGTATACGTCACGTGCGCCAACTCCCCAGATTCCCCAAAGCTTCCAGTCCAGCACTCGAGGTCATGATTGGTGGGAAATGGCTCGTACGTGCCGGTACGCAAGTCCACAATGCCCGATTCGCCCGATGTGAGGGTGGCAAGCAACTTTCCTTCCTGGGAAGGCGAAAAGAACAACGAAGTGACGAGGGTTTCTGTGTCGAAGAGCTGGAGGTCCTGTTCCACCACAAGCTCGGAGTCCTTGTACCTCCACACCCGTATGAGACCCGTGGAATGAGCACTCACGAGCATTCTGGTGTCAAAGGGACTGAATTTAATGTCTAGAACAGCACTTTCCGTAGGATATCTACTGGTCAATGTAAGAGTCTCTCCATCCAACCTCATCACATCGATGGACCCATGTCTTGTGCCATCGTCTTCAAGCTTGTACGTGCCTAAAAACACAGTCGAATTGTCTGCGTGTACACATACACAGCACGGTGGTAGTTCTGTATGGGTGGTAATCCGCATGGCGGTGTCAGTCTCTGGGGTAGCTGGTGATGAGATGTCAGTGTGCGAGATCCAGTAAAATCCACCTGATCGACTGAAAAATTCCGGACCCAACAAGTACCGTGAAATAAGAACCAGACACTCGATTGTGTTATCACTCCATCACCATGGGATTGTTTGCTAAATGGAATGCTTTGCCTGTGAAGGCTAGATACTACATCGGTGGCTCCACCTTTTTGTTTGCGCTTATTGGCGACTACGTCACCAGCAGGGTCAATGACGAAGTGGTGGCCAGAAAGGAGGTCATGGCCAAGTTGAACGAAAACGAGCATGACAATACCCAAAATTAGGAGCTGCCATGATATACGCCTAGCTCTCGCCAAGAAACACTTGCCCACGTACACTGTTGCCTTTATTCATCACTATCTGGCGAGCTCTATGACCTACGGCAAGCCTATGGCCTGGGATAGTTCCGAATAGAGCCAGTCTCTTCATGAAACAAGTCTAATCAAGACACACCCTGATGAAATGGGGATTTACCAAATAATTGGAAACAATAGTGTCCCTTAATGGCCAGGTCATTGACCTGATCACTACAACACCACCTCAACCCGGTAATACCAAAATTTGCATACAAATAGTGCTTGTAGGTGTATTAGTACCAGCAAAGCAACTTATAATACGTTGTGATTGTATGAAACCATACAACGCTCGAGTGATGTGAGGATAATTCAACTAACTTACTTAATCGACATCATGAACATAAATTAACATTAAATCAAGCATTAACTTTTCCTACCAGAATCTATATAAATATGTAGGCTGCCTTATAGGCACTTTATAGTATGTTTTTAAAATTTAAGTAAACCCTTCTTGACATATTCTTTTCTGGTGGAAGAAATGAATTCCAAGAACTTAGCAGGGTTGGAATCAATACCTCTAGAGTAGACAAAGCGAGAAGCTAAGTGAGTGGCGAATAAGGCTCTCAAATAAGCAACTGGAACTCTAGCCAAAACGTTCTCAATACCAATAACGTCCAACAACAATGGTGGTAAAGAGTCGAGTAAGACGGCATTTCTAAATTCAACATCGTCTTCCCACAATTCCTTGGAGTTGGCCAATTCATCACCCAACTTGTTGATGGCGATAGACAACTTGTCAGACAATTCAGTGTAAGTGATACCAGTCTCTTCGTGCAACTTCCATAAAGCTTCGAATTCGGCTTGAGCGTTTCTAACAATAACCTTTTGAACTTGTTGAACATAGTCTTGGTAGAATTTTGGTTTTTCGTGGGTCTCAGAGTCAACACACATGTTGGCCAAGAATCCCTTGTCATCGAAGGCCAAAGCAGCCAAAACTTCAAGAGATGATGAAGTGACACCACCCTTGTTGGTAGAAGCATCCTTGAAGATGATAATACCAGCCTTCTCCAAAACGAGCTTAGCGGATTGGGTAATGAACAAGTTGGCACCTTCAACGAAGTATGGAACAACAGGCTTACCAGTCTTGGCGTTGATTAATTCATGGACGTTATTGGTGTCAATTGCACCTGGTCTACCACCACATGGGACAAACAAATCAACTCCGTCAGCACCAAATTGTTCTTGCAATTTCAAGTGGAAAGTGTTTCTGAAGGTGACACCATTACCAACAGTAATACCGTTTGGCAATACGATGTCGACATCATCAACCAAGACAACATAACCATCTTTAGACAACTTAGATCTGTCGTAGTGTTCAATCATCTTTCTTTCCTTGGCCAATCTTAACAATTCTTGCTTGTCGAGACCATTAGGGTCAGCAATAACACCGGAACCGTCAACAATACCAACGTAGTTTTCGTTTCTGGATAAGAGAATTTCGTTACTTCCCAAATCACCATCTGGTCCACCAGTTTGGAACTTTCTGATCTTAGCATCGTCAATGTTCAACTTTTCGTAGATCTTGTTGACGTAAGCTCTGACAGACAAGGTGGTCATACCGTACTCATCGTGAGGAATACCACCAATTTGTGGACTCTTACCAGTCAAGAAAGATCTCCACCATGGAGCACCTCTAGCTCTAGCGTGCAAGGTAGCCCAGTCGGTGTAACCAGCGGTACCTTCATCAGGACCCAAGAACAAAATTTCTGGTCTGTTGAGCAAGTCAACGTAGGATTCCTTGACACCTGGAATGTGTTGTTTCAACAACAAGTCGATCAAAGAGTCGATGTACTTTTCGAAACAAGCCTTTGGACGGTCTTGGGCTGCACCAGGGTCCAATAAGATAACACCCTTGGAACCACCTTCTGGGATATCCTTGTTCTTTCTTTGTTGGGTGTTGGCAAGATTGTAGTTCTCGTCAAACAAGTTTCTAGCGTTGACATGGTAAGCATCGACAGATCTAGACTTAACAATTCTGATACCACCTCTAGCAATGTCTCTAAATCTGATGTGGAAACCTCTGAAGTCACTACCGACAACGAAGAACATACCGTAAGGCTTTTCAGGGTACTCAGATTCTGGTAAGAAAGATGGGTCTAATCTGAAAGAAAGAGCAACCTTGGTAGAAGTGTAGAAGTTGGTCTTCAAAATAGACTTGTTGAAGACGTACAATGCTCTCAAAACGATGGCATGGTGTTCGTTTTGGGAACATTCACGGCTCAACAACTTTTCAAACTCTTCTTCAGAACCAACTGGAGTGATTTGAGACAATCTTTGGTAGGAAAGAGTCTTCTCCATGGAAGAACGGATGTAGTGAACATCAGCAAATTGACGGTACAACTTTCTGACGATATCACGTCTGGTGTCGAAAACTTCTTGAATGTAGTTTTGAGTGTAAGTCTCAGCTCTCAATCTCTTCTTCAAGGAGTTCAACACTTCGGCGTTTTGGTTAGACTTGGAAGCATCCAACAAAGATTGCAACTTGGTGTACTCAGGACCCAATCTGTTCAAGAAGTGGGTAACGAAAATAACACCAGATTGAGCATAGATACTTTCTTGCAAGGACAATTCACCGTTGGTGAATCTGTGGTGGAAGAAGTTGTGAGGAATACAGTACAAAAGAGAAGCTTCCTTGATCACCTGGTAGATGGACAAATCCACTGGGTTCTTCTTTTGCTTAGAAGTGACGTACATGGAAATGATGGTAACACCATTGGCGAACTGTTCCACGTACTTTCTGCTGGTTTGAAGCTTGTAGTAGTTGGCCAAGTCCGACAAGGCCGAGTTGTATCTGGCCGAGGTCTTTTGTCTGTAACCGATAACCACTCTGTATTCTTCGGAGTCTTCAATTGGGAAGTGTTGAATAACTGGACCGGTGGTGTTGATCACCGACTCAATGACCTTGGAATACAACTTCTTGGTGTTGTCGGAAGCGATCTTCAAGAAGGTGGTGTCACCAATCTTGTTGATGTCGGTTTCATTAGCACTGATGGTTTCGGCGGACTCAGGGTACTGGTTCTTGTACACGAAGAAACATTTCACAAGTTGGTTTGGAAGGGACTTGTTGATTTGGTAAACTCCGGACAAGATAGGGTCGGACTGGTAATTCAATGGAGCCGAGAAGTATTCTGCTCTGTAACTCTGGGTGGTAGGAGATGAGGGGTCGATGTACTTGTCATCGATTCTTTCCTCGTAGAGATCGCGACCAGCAGCGGTGGTGGTAGATCCTGGGGTGGAAGAAACGAAGAACACGGCGTGGTCGTCGGCCTCGCGCTTGTATTGGATCAATGGACGGTCGGACTCGGAAACTCCTGCTGCGTAGGCCTGGACCTTACAGGAGTAAAGTGAATGGATATGACCAGCAATCCCTTCTGCCGATTCTCTGGCAAAGAACACATCGTCGATGCCCAAGCATTCGTAGAACCAGCGGGCCTCGGACTCAATCAAGGACTCAGGGATGAAACCGGTGGAGTCCAAGATGTCGAGAACTTGTTCGTACTGGTCTTTCTTGCCGGAGAAAGGACTATCGATGTAGCCGTGTTTTAACGATGGGGCGGACGACGACTCGTTGGAGACGGTCTTGGCCAACGTGAGGTTCTGAATATCTGGTTCCGTGACGGCAGTCATGATGTGGTGAGGATGTTTGTGGTGAGGGTAGTTAGAGGTAGCAGCAATTGGGGGGACGGCAGGGTATTTATAGAGGGATGCAGAGGGGTAGGCATTGGGAGCCATTTGCGGCCACAATGGCGGGGTGGGGGTGATGCATTTAGCGGTTATGGAGGGTCGAGGTAGGCGTGACCGACAGTTGGTGCCTGAGTGGCAGAATGACCGCCTTGGGCAACGGCGGCAGGGTGTCTGAGGTGCGCAGACAGACTGCAAAACATCCGGAGAAGAGGGGTTGGTGTTGGCGATGGGGGTGACCGTGCGGGACTTTGGTGAGGGCCAAGCGAGCAGTGGTCTATCGCCGCACGGTCCCGGGGCAGGTGGGCCACAGAAGACATCACCCAGGTGTGGTGGTGTCAGGCGTCCCACGTGAGGGGCAGGAAGGCGTCAGTCGAGGCCCTGGCTTGCTTGGCCCGGGTCGCGGTATTGCTAAGCGAGGTGGACGGGGTGCAAACGGTGCGGTCGCTGGCACCCGCACCCTCAGAAAGGAGGGGAGGCATTTTCCTGACACCGCAGGGCCTCCCAAAAATACGGCTACCGAAGGCTTCCTGGTCCCCATCGGGATGGGCTGGCTCGGGGTGCTACCGCCGACGACGCCCCCATGACAGCCGGTGGCACCCCATCCCCGAATCCTGTCTCCTCCGCCAGGTCACCACCGGTGCCATTGGTGCCGGCGGCTCCGTCCCCATTGATCCTCCCGCCACTGCCCCACTTCCCCAGGTTTCGGTTTCGGAACCCCCATGGCCTGCTGCCCCATCCCCCCAACCGCCGGCTTTGTGTCGGCCCCGCCAGATTCTATCGCCCTACGGTTTCCCACCATTACCTAAGAGGGGCTTCCGAAATTCCCCGGAGGGCTTGTGTGTGCTCATCCCTCCGTGTTGGGCGAGCTACCCCACGATTCGCACCCCGCCAATATTTCACTCGCTGTACCCTTCCACCGTGGCGGTGACGTTGGTGCAGCCAGTGCTCTTGGCATGGCCCACCATCACTGTAGGTGGTGGTTTTGTTGTGGCCACACCAGCTATTTTTGGCCTGGGCCCATACCACCTCGTGCATTTGCGGGGTGGAAATACGTGGCGGTCTTGACGTGGCAGTCTAGACTGCGATGCCCGCGTGTGAGCACGGGCAGATCGTGCAACGTTCGTACTGTTGCTATGGTGCAATGCATCTAGCTGGTGAGGACAACCAATAGTATTGAAGCAAAGGTTTGCAGATTGCGGTATTGTGGAGTGGGATGTGTGGAAATCCAGACCAGTAGAGGTTTTGCGAGACCACCGGGTGCCATTGGATTAAATGGAAAGTGCAGAGATTGAAAATTTAGGGCATTGAAATTCAGAAATTGAAGTGAATGCACCATAGCCAGTGACAGCAAAAAGGTGCCTCTGGTGGTTCTACTGTGGTTCGGGGCATTTCGAGTAGTTCTGGTGATTCTAGTGGATTTTGCAGTGACGTATGGATGCATCCACCATAATCCGGGGTCAATTTCAGATTTCACACATCAAACTGTAGCAATGAAAGGCCACTCAATTCTACTACCAGCACATATGCTGTACGGATTCGCCTCCATTGCGGATCCACGTCGTTTCTGCAATGGCCCCCGAATCGAACTCACCTCCAAATGCTCATTGGAAATCTCTTCGCCAGTGTGGTGACATAAATCCGTCGCAGCTTGCTATTGCGGAGATACAAAATAGCACCAGCCAACAATTCGAAAATATCCTTCGGATCATGTCAATCATCGAGACAATCCTCTCAAATGGATTCATTGTGGCCATAAGATGAGACTGTGCATTTACGGGTATTCTACATGAGTCTATACGATTAGGTTCCTGATTCAATGGATAGTTCTACATGAGTCCATCCGATTAGATTCCTGATTCAATGGACAATTCTACATTGAGTCTGTATAAGAAGATTTCATCTTTAAAGAATTATTTGCCAGAGTCCATTTGAAGAGATTTCACCTTTAATAATGAACCATTTTCCATAGACTTCTTACGGCGCTTCTACCTTTAGATTATTCTCCACACTTCTTTTCTATCAGAATATAGAGTCCTTCCTGTAATCCAACTCCCATTGCAATTGACCTTTTAAGCTTTGTGTGGCTCTCAGAGGCTATAAGTGCTGTTGATATCAAAAATGAATCAACTCCACCATATGGCTTTGTGCAGCAATGTCCATGGAACTGGACTAAACCGAAATTCGCCGTTCATATTCACCTCAAAGACTTATACGCCAATAGCATAACGTAGACAATTCCAATGAACAATTCAGTTCATATGGACGATTCCACTAAAAATAACCGAGTCAATTTGGATGATTTCAATATAAAATGAACAATTCACTGCAAGCTTCACCTCTAATGAATACTCCTCATAAGCCCGTAGGGCAATTTCACCTCTGTAAGTCTACATGAACCATATGGCCGTTCGAAGGCTCTTCGCCATCCAGATTTTCATACCTGTTATATCATTTATACCTTCATGTGTTTATTACTATTAATTGGCTACCATCCATGGTCGAACAACATCGACACCGACTCCCCGTTGTGGATTCTACGGATGGACTCGGCAAACACCCGTGACACATCCAACACCTCCAACTTGTCGCCCAACCCTGCGAGGTTGTCGTTCTGCGGCACCGAGTTGGTGGTGATCACCTTGTCAATGGCCGACTTGCTGACCCTATTGATGGCATCCCCAGAAAAGACTCCGTGGGTCACCAACGCATACACGTACTTGGCTCCCTGGTCCTTCAAGAGCTTTGCTGCACGAGTGATGGTGTAGGAGGTGTCCACGAGATCGTCGATGAGAACACACGTCCTGTCCTTGACATCTCCCACGAGCATCGACACCGTGGTGTGGGTGCCTGGCGATGGGTGGTGGTTGACAGCCGAAAGTCCCGAGGTGACTCCCAACGGACCAATGGCCTTGACTCCCTCGGTGGTCTTGATGCGTCTCTCCTTGTGAATCAACGCAAACGAACACCCAAGAGCATCTGCCAACGAGGTGGCACGCTTGGCGCCTCCACTATCGGGAGACACAATCACACACTCCTGGTAGTTAGGCACGTAGTCGATCAAGTAGTGCTTGAGGAGCGGCTTCAGGTAGAGGTTGTCGACTGGGATGTTGAAGAAGCCCTGGAACTGGGGATCGTGCAAGTCCATGGTGATCATACGGTCAGCACCAGCCGTGGTCAACAAGTTGGCGATTAACGTACCGTTCTGGGCGATCCATTGCTTGTAGCCACTCTCGGTTTTGCCACGAGCATCCACAGGAGTGCCCACTGGGACCAGAGAGTCTCTGGGGGTGATTTCTCTGAAAGGGTCCTTCAAGTCCCGTCCTCGTAACAGAGGCGTGATGAGCCCACTGGAGTCGGGTCTGGTGAGCGAGGGGTCGCGTGGTCCGTTGAAGCTGGACAACGGTTTAGGGGTCCCAGGACGGCTCTCGTAAGTATACTGGTCCTTCTTGGTGCTGATGGAGGGGGCTCCGGTGACCGACGCCATGTGGGGGATGTCTGGCTGTCTGGAGTAGGGAAAAAGCGGCAACACTGCCGTCACCCTGCGAGCACTGGCAGTTTTGCAGGCGGCTATCATGATCAACAACTCGATGAAGTTGTCGTTGACATTGCCACATCCACTCTGGATGATGAACACATCTTTCTCTCTGACAGACCCTTTCACCTCAATGCTGGTCTCTCCGTTGGAGAACTTCTTCGACAACACCTGGCCCTGCTCGATTGTCAAGTTCTTGCAGATCATCTTCGTAAGTGCAGGGTGGGAAGATCCTCCTAGCACGATAAGGTCTCTCATGGTGGATGTGATAAGGAGTTGCTTCTTGTCGAGATGTACTGATTCAAGACTAGCTTGGGCGTACGAATGCTAGATAGGAGCGGATCTGGAGTTGGATATGGAACCGTCTGGTGAGCCTCATCGAAATTTTTGATAAACGTGTGTCACGTGGGACAGAGGTGGAATCTACAAGGATGATTCAACTATGTAAATGTGAGATGATCACAAGATGTACAATCATTCATTGCTCTTTATGGTTGACGTATACAAACGTCACTCCATCGTTGCAATAATCTGGCAATTATACTGAATATTACTGGCTGATACTACAGCAAATAACTCTTTAAGCATGATTTCATCTATTAATATTACCCATATTCTTTAAGTATGATAATCATCGGTAATATTAACCAATTTCTTTGAAATGTAATCATCTGCAAAGTTACCCATATTCTTAGAGTATGATAATCATGCTATTATTCGAACAGGTAGTGCACATCACCCCTACTCTTTAATTCTCCCTATTGTGTTCACAAAGCCATTCTCTACTGGCCAGTTGACTAGTATCTCACTTCATAGGAACCCGCTTTTGTCGAGTACTTCACCCATTTCACGGTTCGATAGTTACTCTTTTCTTGCACTCTCAAGTATTTCACCGCCAACCCCGAACTCGAAAACATCTCTAACTCGAAGTCAATAGTGATCGGAGGGCGCAGCCATCCCGGATTCCGAGTGCCTCCTTCCGTGTTGGGTGTATAATCTAACTCCGCTGTCAATGTGTGGGATTGTTCTCCGAAAAACTTGGAAAACTTCCAAACAAAAACGTTTTCATCCGGCTGATACTTACACTTGCCTGATGTAGTATCGCTGTAGGACTTAATCACTCCCTTAGGAGTGGGAATTTTCACTATCACGTTTGTGGCCGGAAGCTTGGAGGGAAACAACGATTTGATCCCCAATTTGTATTGAACCCTAGACCCTCTTTCTTGAACCTGTGCATTGACCTTGAATGGAAGGTGAATGTTCTGTAAGCATCTGTACGACATCATCTGGAAATCACCATCGGGAGGGATGAAGTGGATGGACCTCTCGGAGTCGAATCGCTTGAGTTCCACACATTGGTGGAACTTACAGTCCTCGAGGGTGACTCCAGTGTTGCGGTGATCGGAGTGAATATCAGTGGAAAATACACTGTCATCGCTCAATCCAAAATGGCACTCAGGCATTCCCGAAAGATGGGCCTTCATTTTGATTTCTCCTTCGACCAGCGCCCTCGAGACTTCCGATTCATAATTCATGATGACATTAATTTTTTCCTCCACCTTTAAGAAGATCTCATTCCGACGATACTTGATCCCCCCGTTTCTCCAGGTTATATTCAGGGTGGAAATGCTGGTGTTCTCCTTTTTGGTGGATGCTGTCACTTTGGTGTTTTTGATGTCTTTGAACACATTACCGTTGTTGGGTATACTGGTGATGTGGCTTCTCAAGCCACTGATGTCAAGGTTGGTAGGGTAGCCAAACTCGACCACCTCGTCCAATATTTCATGGATCAATGCAAAGTTGTTAATCAAGAGCTCGTCCGTCAATGGAACCTTGGAGAATGAATCGTTTCCTTCCCGAACAAGAGCACTTAGTAATGCCTCAAGTTTGTAGAGGAACTCCAAGATCATCGAACAATCTTGGTTTGATCTTGTGACAGCACAAATCCAGAGAAGTCCAGAGCGGATGTACACGAACGAGGTTGATCCGAGAGTCAACACTGGTGATCTGACCTCTTTTCCGGTTCCTGAACCGTTGGAGGTGGTTTTTTGATTGGCGCTGATGACCTGAATCCGGAACACGTCGGATATATTTCTGCGTACACCTTCCTTGTACATTTTGGACATTATAACGTCGCCCTTGCCATCGTAGACAAATAGAGCGGTAATCATTGTTGATGAAGCTTTTGGAATCGGCGCAAGTCTTGGTTATATGTGAAGACGCGTGATACGGATCACGCTACTGTGGTCATGTGACCACCCCTTTTCCCAAGGCATACAGTGGAGAACGAATACTAGTGACATTACTTGTGTATTATCTATACAGTATCTAGGACCCTTGCATTCCAATGAGGTCGCCTCTGGTCTTTTTATTGTGTCCCGTTTTTCTGTTATGGTTGGCTCTTGAGGCCTTATTCTTCTCATTTTTAGCAGCCACCTGTTTCAGAGGAGTCTCTCCACTCTTTGTCCGTGAAGGCCCACTCTTACTCTCTGGCTTGTTTCCACGCTTGGCCTTTGGCGCAAGGCGTGGCCGCTCAGTCTTGGAATCACTGGGACGGGTTGGAATATAATATTCTTTCTCCAAGACCTTAAACTGATAAGGCGACTTTAAGAGCACTCTGAGCCATCTCTCAATCTGGTCGTCTGAATAGCCGGTATACTCCTTATAGGCTTGGCGCTCTGGAGTGTCTCTCAGTGATTTTTCCAATGCTTCTGTACCATTCTTTTTGAGGATAGAGAAAAGGTACGTATCTATTCTATCCGGTTGAAAGGGGCTGGGTTCAGGGGCTCCGTCCTCTAGCACAGCCATACGGGATTTTCCACCCTTCTTGCTAGATTCCTCGATCGCTGTTCCCGTGGTTTTTTGTTGATCCTTGTAAGTATCATCAGGCTCATCTTCATCGCCCTCGTACATCAATTCTAAAGCAGCAGTTAGAATCTTCTTCTTGTAGTCTTCAGAGCTTGGTTTGACATCGGTATTCTGTTTCTTTCCCTGAATGACCTGACTCTCAGAAAAGTCGAGTCGAGATATTTTGTCATCGTCATAAACAGATCTTTTGGGCGCAGGCGTATTCGCTTTTCTGTCTGTCTTCGTTGTCTTCTGTCCCTTGATTGTAAATGTTGGTTCCTTCTTTGGTTTGAGTTGCTCCTCCTCAATGCTGTCTACAAAATCTGGATTTTCCAAAAGCATATTGGTAATACCCTCCACATCGCCATTATGATCTCTCAACACCTTCGTGGCTTTTCCAAGAGTTAATGAAGGGAATAAATCAATAAGCATATTCACATGATCTTGATTCACCTCGTTGGTTTGACTTCCCTGTGAAAGCTGTCTCAAAAATGGAAGTCGCTCCTCCAAATTGGGAACTAATTCTTTGAATCTGTCGGATATGATGATCATGCTGAACAAAGGAAATAATTTCATAGTTCTTATATCTTTGACACCCAACTCCATCGTCAATTTCGACAACTTACTCACACTCAAAGACAATAAAGATATAATCATGATGTTTTTAATGGTTTCTGCATGGATACTCTTTCCTCCAGCATACAATCGTTCTAGCAACTCAATCCAAGGGACCGAAACAAAACTTTCAGCAAAGCCCACCGAACTTGCTGACTTTTTGTTGATGTTTCTCTCCTTCACATCACCGTCCAACGAAACTTTCATGGCCTTGGCCGACATCTGCTGACCCAAAAGATAAGTCAACGTAGTCAAGTCTTGGTTGGAGAAGATACCCTGAGTTATCATGGCTTCTAACCTCTTTTGGACGCTTGTTATCGAACTGATATTACCCGATTTTTTATTGTCGTTGAATTTGGATTTATATGTCCCATCCACCAAGCCCCGTACCACTGAAGAGTTCTGCTGAACATAAATCAGAACAAAGTTCCAGACGGACTCACCAGTCAAATTGCTCTTGATTAAGCTGAAATTTCTGATGTATAGGAAGACAAGGTTTCTGAGGGTGGCGGTATTGGTCTTAATGTCTGGATTGATGGCTCCTAGTGAGAAGATCTTGCTCTTCTCCTCTGCAGTCTCGCTCAAGAATACTTTAAGAAACATTTGATGTTGCTGTTGGGACTTTACACTAAGGGTTGCAGGCTGGAGTAGATACTGAAAGAGCTTGATATAAGCCTCTAACAAATGGACCCATATCACCGGATCTTTATCAATTAGTGAGGAGCGGAGCTTGAATGGTGGGTAATGTGGGATCGGAAAGAACGGCGACGGTTCTTCTTCAACTGAACTCATACTTGCAATTGATAGATTGATAGATTTTTGGAAATTAGAATTGATCGAAAATAATTTTTGCGAGAACTTGATCACTTTTATCTTTCAGGGTGTTGTACTTGAATATCACCTTAGTTCGTTAGGTGGACTATCGCTCTTGTTTTTGGTCCTTTCTTTGATGATAAGGATGTGTTAGTAACTTTAGACTAGTTAACCATGACTCATGAACGGTAAATGCACGCACAAATATGGAAGCTGCTTTTAAGACTAAACTACTAAAATTGGGATTGGCCCCTAACCAGCGTTGCCATTCTGGAACTTTCTTTCAGATTTCAGAATGCTATTGTGCTTGTCGGCAACAACTTTTTATGAGAAAGGGGCGTTCAATATCATTTTAGAACCAATTTCGCAACTGGCCATAGAAGGGAGCTGAATTCAGAAGATAACAGGCGTCATTGGAATTACATTTTCACAAACAATTGGGTATTTTATTCCAAACCCTGAGCTCTAATTAAAATAGTAGACATAAATTTATCCCCATTGGTATTTTTATGGCTCTACATATTGGCAAAATATTTGTAGAATTATCAATTATTCTGCAAAAAACTAAAAATCGTAACCAATTGAATTCTCTTGGAAAGATGAACAAAGGTGTGATAGTACCTAAGGAACGTCTCTTACACACTTTCCAGTACATTTCATATCATGCAGTCAAAGAGAGAAGCCTAATAACTCAAAAATGCAAAGATCTAATTAGGTCATGTGATTAAAGTCACGCGATAAAACATATAATATTAAAACAGGCGTTTTCAGTTTGCAAGAAATAAGCGCAGTAGCGAAGTGGAAACGCGCAGGGCTCATAACCCTGAGATCCCCGGATCGAAACCGGGCTGCGCTATTCTTAACTTAATCTTACCAGCGCAGTAGCGAAGTGGAAACGCGCAGGGCTCATAACCCTGAGATCCCCGGATCGAAACCGGGCTGCGCTAGTTTTTTGTTTTTGCACCCACTTTAGTTTCTCTACACTTACTTTACAGAGTCTAGAGCTTTAGCTGATCTTGGAATTGTATTTCATTGGCACGACACGATGTCATAGCTAAAAACAAATTCACAGCCTGCTGGAATGTTCTTTGGTAATAATCACATTTCATCCCAGAATTTCTTCAAACGTTCAGTTGCTGCTTTGAGGGCACCTAAATCTTCTTCAGAGTATACAGGGAACGGTCTTCCTGATACTTTCTCTACCTCACCTAACTTTGTCAAAGTGCTCAGATATGGAATGGCATCGAGAACTCCAATAGTATGGTAGGCTCTCGTTATTCCCTTCAATTCACGTCTTTCAGCTGTCCATTTCCTTTGCTCGTTCTTAGATGGTAATTTGACTTTTCCAGTCAAGTACCGGGCGGTCAACACCGCTTGATACTCGAACACTCTAAACGAAATTCCATCAATTGGCACTCCAATGAATGAAAGCAATGGCTCATCAATATGGAATGTGTGCTGATATAAGTCAGGCACAATTTTTCCATCTAGGGTGATCTTTGACTGGGTGTAGCGGTTCAAAAATGGATATGAGAAATCATACCCTGTCCCATATATGATTGTATCAGGGTTCAGAACTTCAGTGCCGTCTGTGAAGTGGACCTTGAATCCATTTGAATCAAGGGAGTACTTCAGAATCACTGGTTTCTGTTCTATTTTATCTCCTGGTGTACTTCTAAACGACAATGTGCGAATGGATTGATATACTTTAGAGGCATGGGGGGATATTTGGTTTGTCAAATCAGCACCTGAAGCTCTCGAACCGACAACAACAACAGTCTTATCCTTATAAGATTCAGGAAGTCTGTAAAACTTGGCGTGCTCGATAACCTCTGGAAACTTTTCCTGAATCTCAGCGAGTCCTGGAACTTCTGGAATGAATGGGACATGGTAATGACCAACTGCAACAACAACGGCATCAAAGTCTTGTTGGTACCATAAGTCTTGGCTTTCGTTTAAATGCTTTCTCACAGTAAGCCTGAATCGGTAAGGTAATAAGTTTGTATCCGTTTCTTCCAAGTTTTCTCGAGGAATTCTCTCGACGTCCTCGATGGTAGAGTCTTTCTGCAAGTTGAACCTTTCGTTCGAAGAATTTCTTTTGATATAGGTGTCAATGTACTCTTGAACCACCAATCCGTCTACGAACTGGGTATCTTTGGGGTCATTTACTCCAGGAATAGGCCATCTTTTGAGATCACTGAAAGTCATCATTTGTTCGAGCACGTTCGTCTTGAGACCCTGATAACTAGGGGTTTCTTCAAATCTCTCCTGATTTGGCTTGGGCAACACTATTTCCGAAACCCCCGTTACCGTATGGAATGGGTTGGGGAGCTGAGGATCTGATTTGTATGAGGAGTGACCCGACTTCACAATGTGATTCGGGGTTTTGATGGTATCTTCGTCCAATGCCCATACTCCCCCAAGGACAGCTCTTCTTTCGAACAATGTGACATTCTTGATGCCTGAAGTTTCTTGAAGCAAGCTGTCAGCAGCAATGGCACCAGAAGCGCCTCCTCCAATTACTGCAACAGTGTTGATTTGGTGTGGAGACACCAGCACTGGTTGATCTAAGGTGAGGTCAATCTCGGTGGGCATAGCAGCGGAATGGTTGGACGAAAAGAACGGAACGGAAAACGGGGCAGCTTTTATAACGACATATTACTAAGTCCAGGGCACTGATTTGGCATATTCAGGGTCTGGTATGGTGTGGTTTTCGCAATATATTAACGCCACAGTGTAATATTGGCTTAATAGCTCTCGCATCAGCGATAAGGCCCGGAGCAGGGGGCACGGAATTTTGTAGCACCCGAGCAGAGGCTTTTGGCACGGGCTGCTGCTGGCAGCGGGAATCCGGGACTTGGAAGGGGTATCCGTCCATAGTAGTAGATGGGGGTGGTGGGACTAAACACGTGATACATAGCACGTGAACACAATCACGTGAACAACCGATAACCGCCTGCCTGGTGCGGCCCCGCCCACGATAAATTGGGAAAGACCCCACGTGCAACCACGATGCCTATATATACCCCATCGCTGGCTCCGATCGTTTTTGATACCTGATCCCAGTGGCAAAATCTACAATGGCAGTCCAAAAAGACATTGATCTCAACAAGCCGCTCGATGCATCCAACCGTCCGCTGTTGAGCAAGACTCAACTTACTCCCGAGTTGAGTCAGGCATCCCTCAACCTCCATGGTGATTTCTACCGTCAGTTGCAGTCCAAGATGAACAGACACATTTTCTGGCACCCAGTCTCGTGTTTCTACCTTTTCGGGATCATGACTGCGGCATCCATCTACAGAATGTGGGACTACATTGTCATTTCCGACTCAGTGGTGGAGTTCTTCTCGTTCTTCTTCAAGTCTAGAGATTTCCTTTTCCAGCTTACCACCATCTTCCCAGTGTTGATCGTGGTGGTAGGTTCTTTGGGGTTGGTCTGCTACATGTCCAGTGACGACTTGAAGACCGTGACCGACAGATTGACCAGAATCAGTTACGTCGAAAAGTTGTATGGGTTCAACCTTCGTGAGTTTGCCAAAATCTCCGATTCTGAGGCTGCCATCAAATTGTCTTCCAGCAACGTCAAATTGTTGAAAAACGGAGCCAACTCCTTATTGATGGTTTACCGTGAGTCTCCTATTGCTATCGTCACCTTGTCACCTTTGATCGAGCAATCTACCCCAGAAAAATTCATTGTTGAAATCACCGGTTTACACGTTAGAAAGGTGTTTGGTAAGGTTGACTTTGATGCCCTTTTGCTTGACTGGGCCATCTTGAGATCAAGACAAATCTACCAGGACTACGTTGACGCAAAGAACATCAGGAACATTGATGGTAACAATATCAGACTCTACATCAATGGCTACACTTTTGACCAAGGCTTGACTAAGTTGTTGAAATCTAAGAATTTCATTGCAGCCCAAGAAACTTTTGAACTCAATCCATTTGAACCTCTCAATGTCAACTTTTTGCAAAAAGCTATTCAAAAGGTTTTCGACATCAAGAGAATCACCTATGGCTTGAATATCATAACCAAAAATGGTGATAAAGATGTCCTTTTGAATGTTGCACGGGAATCTGGTTTTGTTAACACCGAACCTGTCAAAGAAGCTTCAACTTCTTCCAACAAAAATTTAAGAAAAAGAAAGTAATTCAAAATAAAACTCTATCTAATGTATCAATAGCTGGCTGCTTTGTGAATAACTGCAGGTATTATAGAGACTAATAATTAATGTATCATAGGAGCTTTGTCATGTAGGTAGGAATCGTTTAGTCAGCTTTCCCAGAAACTGTACAGTTATGTGATACTGAAGTATAGCTTTTATCATAGATCAAATACGAATCGGTGCTGAATAAGGCCGAGAGTTATAAATCGTAACTTAATCTAATTTCGGTGATAGACTACTATTAATCATTAAGGTACTTGAAATATGTCACTACAGATTGAAGAGTGATCTGCAACTAAATCAAATCACTTTTACAATAACTAAATGAACGTTTGACATTCACTGGATAGAATGCTCCATAATCATAGTGCAGTTTATCCCAAGAGTTGTGATAACATGATTTGTAACACTTGTAGTCCAGAGTTATTTATTCCAGGGTTGTGATTGCATATTGCATCACACTTCCACGAAAAACTCTGACTTCAGTACATAGCAATTTCTCAAAGGATGTTAAATTATTCTGTCTAAATATTACGTGTGGGTTGATTAATCCAACAATCCTGTGGTTTTACCCTTCTTCTTTTGGGTTTGAACTCTGTATATGATGAAGGCGATCCACACTGCCAAAACCACCACTACTAAGTATATTAAATACTTGATAGCAGTGAGAAGTCTGCTGAGTGTTCTCTTGATGAAAGTAGATTCAGAATCACCATACTTCTCCAATCTCAATTGCTTTTCCCTTTCCTTAAGTCTCTTCTCGGCCATTTTCAATCTAGCCAACGATTTTCTTCTCTGTTCACTTGACTTCTTCTTGAAAAGACGGTTTCTGCCTCCCTTTGATTCATTCGTTTGGTCCTGGGTAATGACCTTGATGTCTTCATCTATATCCTTTTGTTGCTGAATCATGGTTTCCAATTCTTCAACGGAGCCCACGAATGAGCCGTCTTCCTTGTACAATGCAAATATCTTGTTCTCAATCACATCCACGGATTGGGACAATTCGCCGGTTTCTGCAGACAACCCCAAGTATTTGACCACCGGTAAATGAACGTCGGTCAAGGTTACGCAATTGGTCCATTCTTCATGCTTTCCATGAGGATTGAAGTCAATCGACAAGTATCCATCCTTGATGTAAACCAATCTCATCTTGGAGTACTTACCCCTTGGATTGACCAAATCACGGGCAGTACATCCAGCCAATCTGGTTTCAAACCCGTCACTCTCCTTTCTGTACGACGAGTGGCCATCGCCCATCATCAAGTTGACAAATGGGAAGTTTCCTCTCTTACCGTTCTTGTAGGTATCGATGAAAACACCCAATCCGTTGAAGTTGTTTTTGGCACCAAAGACATCTCCGATTTCCGATTTTTGATCGATAAACCAAATGGCAAAACCGTCACCAAACAAGAAATTTGGCGACTTGCTTTGGATGTGGAAGGTCAATTCCATCTCGAACGATTCGGCTTGGATAGGCACCTTAGCAAATATATTCCCCACTTGTCTGGGGTTGTCGGAAGTCAATCTGATGTAGTCATTGTTCTTGATCATGGTACCACCAGCAGTTTCCCAGCCGTTGATCTTGTAAGTTCTTGGCTCCAAGAAGGGGGCACTCAAGCCTTGTGCTGTTAATTCCGTTTTCTTCAAACTGACGATGTTGGACTCTTTATTCTGGAGGATTGAGTTCAATTCCTCGGGACTGAACGCATCATCGGACCCGGAAAACAAGAAGAAATAGCCGAGGACTAAGAGGATGATTACCGTCACCGCCTGGACCGGCCTGGACCTGACAAAACTCATCTTGCTGGAGGAAGTTATTGGTGAGTTTGTTAACTTCCACGTAGCGCTGGGGTTCACGTGGACCGTGTGCAGGTCGATCTAATTTACGAGGTTTGCGGAGGGACAGTACAGGCCAGAAAAGGCTGGAAAAAGCTTGAAAATACTAGAAAAGATGACTGGGATTACAAAACAGGGTTATGTACCAACAACGCTGGAAATTGAGCCCTATTGGTTCCGGTTCGCTTTGGAATAGTATTTAATTGTGTTGCCTATGGTGACAAATCCTTCAACGCACTAAAAAACTGCCAAATATTACATGCGTCGAAGCGCATGCACGTCGTGAAGTATTTTGACCACGAGTGCTCATGGAGGACAATAATAGTATAAAAAGATTAAAATTGATAATTATGAGACACACGAGATCGTGGTAGTGCTATTGAAAACAGACAGCAGTGGGTAATTTAGGAGGTAGGGCCAATCAAGCCAACAAGCAGCTTTTTAATAAATACGTTTGGTCCTATTCGAGGTGTTCGTAGCTTCACTAAGAATCGTATTATTAAATAAATAGTATACATCAGAAAGCACCAATGCCCAGGTCGAGAGCACAGCTTCGCCTGCCATGGCTGCGATGTTTCCTTTTGTGGGGGCAATATTTACAAGTAGTTTTTCATATGACTGAAAATGCCAGGTTCTCCCACAGTCTCAAGTTATCGTTAAAATCCGTCCCCGAGCCTGAACAAAAATTCATATCTTCAGGCTTTTCGCAAGGCCGTTTACTTACCAAAAGCAACGGTTCTGACAGCAGTCCAGAAGGATTCCTTTTTCTCGCCCTTGAGTTGTCCCAAAAGACGGTTGTAGTACTCAGGGTTACCCTTTGGCTTCAACAACTTGTCGTCCAACTTGTAGTAGTTCTTGTACTTGTCGTTGACCAAATCTCTCAACGAGATGTATTGCAACATCAAGTCTTGTTCTGAGATGGCAGCCAAGTGCTCCTTGTTCTGGAAACGGGCAAGTTGCACCTCCTTGAAGGAGGCATAGTGGCTGATCCGGTCCTTAGGAAGGGTCTTGAGAAGTGCCACGATCTTCTCTGCAATTTCGGTGTGTTTAGTCATGGGTTGAGGTGGTGATGTAACAGCGTCAGAAGGGATCTATCTTCAAATTTTTGATGGATAGGTCACGTGCCATATCCGAGTCGAGTCCACGTGAACCGATGCAACAGTGATAGTGGAACCAACAATACACTTCATCATGGCCAAAACCCCAACGCCTCGTGTGATCTTCGTCCGCCACGGCCAGACAGAATGGTCTAAGTCCGGTCAATACACCTCTGTGACCGATCTCGATTTGACTTCCTACGGAGTGAGACAGATGAGAAGCACAGGAAAGTTCTTGATTGGAGACAGCCAGTTCCAATTGATCAAACCGTCCAATTTGAAGTACGTGATCACTTCTCCCAGACTCCGTGCCAAGCACACGGTGGAGCTTTTGCTCGAAGGGTTGACCCAGGATCAAAAGGACGCCATTCCTGTGATTGTCGAGGAGGATATCAGAGAATGGACCTACGGAGATTACGAAGGATTATTGACTTCCCAGATTATCGAGGCTAGAGCTAAAAAGGGCTTGGACTCCCACTTGCCTGAAGGCGAGGTCTGGAACATCTGGAGGGATGGCTGTGAAAACGGAGAGAATCACAACCAAGTCAAAGAAAGAGTGGATGCCGCCATTGCAAAAATCAGAGCCCTTCACAAAAAAGCTTTTGACGCCAAGGAGGCCTGCGACATCATTGTGGTTGGCCATGGGCATATCTTGAGGTGTTTCGCAGCCAGATGGGTAGGCAAAGAAATTGATGTGAACCCACAATTTTTGTTGGACGCAGGAGGAACCGGTGTGTTGAGTTATCAGCATAACAGTATTGACGAGCCTGCCATCTTTTTATCAGGGGCATTTACTGTACCTGTTGAAGGCGAAGATTAGTGAGCCAATTCTATCAAACTAGAACCCCAATAGAATGATTCCAGATTACCTTGTGCACATTCGATTAGCAAGAACTAGCTGGAATTTAGAAATTCACTTAATAGACTGTTGTTTTGTCTGCTGCAATGGAGAATATTTTTGCATTATTATTTAAAATGTAGTGGAGTAGATTTTGAAATCTGAATGGTGGTTAAGACGTACCCATAAATATTTGTCTTGGTTGACTGTCTACTATTTAGAAGCTGAAACCTTCAAGATTATTTGGATTCGAACATGAATTAATTCTATAAAAGTGTATCCTTCTGTGATTTATGCTAGTTGTAATTCGGATTAGCCGACTGAGCTAATTCTTCAGATTAGTATCTTCGATTACTCTCGACTAACGGTTTTTTAGTTATCTGTGCAATTTTTTGTTTAGTATCTTTGATCCCTCTCGAACAATGGTAGTTCAGTTTATGATCTGCTCTCCACATGCTTGACTGCATCAGCCAACGCTTGCAAAACGGAATCCCAAAACATATCCACGTTGATGCTCTTACCAATGTAGACGCCTCCTTCTCCTTCGACAATAACGGACGAGCCTTCACGTTCTCCTTCCTCTATCACTTCCATCTTTCTTCTTTCATAGACGAAGTTGTACTTTTCGTCATCATCTATGAATGCCTGGACCAAAAATAACGCCAAAGGATCGTGCACAGGAGGTCCTGCCATGGGTCCGTATCTGATCTGGTACTTATCGTAGAAGAACATGACCACGTCATAGAACAACTTTCTGATTGGCGAATCGAGCTCGGAGTCGGCCTGGTACATTCTCTGTCTGACAGGCTCCAGAGCCATGGCAGTGTGGGTGATGTTCAAGGGTGCCAAGATGATCTTGTCGCCCAACTCTTGCACGACATGGCTGGCAGCATGGGGGTCGGCGTTGAAGTTGAATTCGGCGTATGGGGTAACGTTTCCACCGTCAATACACCCTCCCATGGCAGCCACGTACCTAATTTTGGCTTTGAGTTCGGGATACTGGCTGATGAGCTTGGATAAGTTAGTCATGGTGCCGGTGCATGCCACTACGATCTCGTTCTCATGGTCCAAGATGGCCTTCTTCATGGCGTCAAGGTACGACATGTCTGTGCTCTCTTGGACAGTAGGATTCTCGGGCAAAACGGCGCCTCCCACACCAGTCTTGCCGTGGACATGCGCAGCGTACTTGGGGGCGTTGACTAGCGGCTTTTCCAGCCCTTGGTACACCTTGACGTCGTCTACCTTGAGCACGTCCAACAAGCCCAAGGCGTTTTTGGTGGTGGCCTTCACTGAAGCGTTACCGTGGACAGTGGAAATACCAAGCAACTGGAAGCGAGGACTGAAGATGGCAAGGAGGATGGCGAACACATCGTCGTTGCCAGGGTCACAGTCGAGCCAAAGGGGGATTTTCTGGTGAATAGTCATTGGTGGTGGTTGTTGGAGTTAGCCTGCAAAAACCAGGAGTAGTATCACGTGGCGCACAGTAAAACAGCAATAATAACCTGGGGTAAGTAACCAGCGAGCGAAGGTCTATTTGTAGTAAAGGACTCGTGGCGGAGGAGATGTGGCGGCACGCCTGGTGGGTTATGATTTGTGTGATGGTGGGGGTGCCATTTGATGACTGGCGACCCCACAGTGGGTCCATGGGAAGAGGCACCCGAACGCGGTCCGAGCCACGGCCAAAGCAAGACACCCGTGCCGCAATAGTTAGCGCCCGTTGAGGTGGGGAAGCGGGCTCATCGGAAGAAGCACCCAGACATCGGCCAGGGCTCGCAACCGCAGAAGCCGTTTCGGCGGCTGCAGACAAAAACCCTAACTGCAGCAGCTGCAACCATCCAGATCGGTCGTCAACGGTAAGGTCTGTGGGGTCGCTGTGTGTCATGGTATTTGCAACTCCTCGTATCAGCTCGCCAAGATTAAGCGGACAAGCTGCGTTTGTAAGAGTGTACTGATTGTTATACCATGAAGGGGTTGGTCGACTAATCCTGGTGTTCATATTCCGATGGTCTTCCAATAGGTACGAAATGATGCTTACTGCACGCTCGAACATGTCATATTTTTTAGTTTTAGGATGCGTACGGTCACTTAAGTACTACATTCCCCAAAATAGGTCTGCAATCCCAAATTAACATTTAAGGTTTGCTATCACCAACTTTACTTTGCATGAAAATCGTTCTATTAGTACAGTATATTATACACGTCTAGTTGACAGCAACCGCAACAGCAGGTTGCTCGAAAGGCAGCTCCAACACCTTTTCGTCCTCATGCACTTTCTCCAGGACGGTTACAGGTTGGCCAGTTCCAGTCAATTGTGCTTGCAATTTCTCGAGCTCTTGGTGGATCACCACACTGATCCGTCCGTTCAAGTCTTCTGCCCAGATGAAGTCACAGTGGTCGTAATCGTCAAGTTCGGTGACCTGCAAGTTTTTGCCTTCTTGGTAGTTGGGCTCGTAGTTTCTCATGTGGGTAATCAACCTCTTCCCATCCACCAAGTGGTCGCCATCGCCAGCAAAAATGTGGATGGGCACATTGACATCAGCGTCGGAAAACCAAGATTTGGTGAAGGGGAAGAACGATTTGGAATCGTCGGTGCCTCTGGCAGTGATGATTGGGGTGTTTGGTGGCAATACCGCGTAGTTCTTGCCCGACTTGTAGTCTGAATGGGGCAACACCTGGTTGGAAAACCCTTCTTCCACGTAATAACTCAACCACCAGTTCATGAGTTTGGCAGACACAAACGTACAGTTGAAGAGAGCATTGTAGTGGCGGACCTTATCGCTCTGGGACCATTTCTTGGCACTCCATCCAAACAAGAACTTGTACAAAATGTAGGCGTTGAAGTGGAAGATGGAGGTCGTTCCCATGTTATTTCTGGCAGTTCCCAATACCTTCAAAAACGCACACAAACCAAAGATGGCCTTGAAGGCAAGACGACCTCTATTGTGGAGAAACCTGAGAAACCATCTCTCCAAAAACAACACTCCGGGAAACACAGCAGGGGCCAAGGGGAAGAAATGCTCAATCTTATCGTGGTAGCGTTTCAAATTGCCGTTCTTGAGCATCAAAAACGTTTGTGTACATCCCTGGGAATGTCCCACCAACACCAATTGCTCGTGGCTCGGTTTGTGAGCCAACACGTTATCAATTATGCATGGAAGGTCGTAGTAGGCCAAATTGCGGATATCCCATTCCCAGTAAAGCTCGTTGTGGAAGAGGTTTCCTTCAAAGTACGAGTGCTTGGGCTCAAAATGAGACCGGTTATTGCCCAACCACACGTCGTAGCCCATTTCTGTCAAGTAGTAGGCCATAGAGTTAGTTCCGGAAGTGATGTATCCACCCGAGCAGCTGAGCAACCCGTGCTGGAGGAGAACGGGCTTTCTGGCGTTTCGCTGTTCCGCAGTTTCCTTGGGGTCTATCACACGGTGCAAGGGCAACACGAACCCGTCTTCCGTGGTGATGGCATATTCCTCGAGGTCAAGTCCCAATTCTAGCACGTAGTATCTCAAATCCAACGTGGGCTTCATTTTCTCGAGGTTGGGGAACGCCTTCCGAGGCAGGTACCCGTTGGCAGCAGGGCTGCCAGAAGCACCCTTTTCCTGTCCTGTTATCAACTGATATAAATGGTAGAAGAGAGCTCCAATGCTCATGGTTCCCACGAACCAGGTGGCTCCGAAGAACGATATGACACGAAGAACGAACGCTTTGAAGGGTCCATGGCGGACCAACTTCTCTTTGGGGGTTAGCTCCTCAAACATGTTGTGAGTCGATGATTAGAGCTACCGTGAATGGGGTTAAAATATGAAGGGGTAGTCGGTCAATGGATGATATACCTGTCGCTGGAAGCTATCGCGGGGAAATGGCTATGGCAGGCTGAGCGTGTCTTGTGATCGGTAAGCACTGGACCAGATATATAAACAACCCATGTGATGGAACAATAGTGGCTGCGTGCCGGAATTACCGTATATAGCAGGAGGAGCAGCAACACGTGACCGACCACCCAGAGTACTCTGCTTACTGGCAGGTGGCGGAAGCCAGAGGTGCAAGCAGGTGGAGCTGGCGGGCAGCATGAGAGTAGGGATGATTTGCAGAGTATTGAAGGAAGGATGTGCCAAATAGAGATTCACCAAGTCAGTTTTGAGCCTCGAACTACTGGTCCTGGCTGGGGAGTTCCATTGTAGCGAGGAGAAAAATTCGAGTAATAACGAACAAAATACCGGTACTACAAAAGAAGCTGCCAACATGCAATTACTCCCATCACCTAGGGTGCCGAGCTATCGTTTGCTGCATTATGTGGTGCTATATCTGGTGTGGTTCGCCTGGTAGAGTTAACTAGGGCACCGAGCCCTAACAGACCCCAGAAAAACTACGATCACGTGTCCAACTCAATGAGGCATCACGTGCGCCGACCCTGTGCTGAAAATTTTCAACACTCCAAAACTGTGAACCAGCTAGACAACCAAGGTATACAAAAATGGGTAAATCGTATGTACATCCTCGAGAAACGATACGGAGGCGATGAATGGACGGCACGGCTGGAATGACCGATCACGGCCGGCCAGAACAAGCTGGCCTCCAGCAAGAACTCCATCACCAACTCTGACCAGGCCTATTTGGTCCCACCAGAGAGCCCACCACTTCCCTAAGCAATACTAACAATTAGTCGTGGTTACAGATCCGGTACTCGTTACGCTTTCCAACGTGACTTCAAGAAGCATGGTGTCATTCCATTGTCCACCTACTTGAAGACCTACAAGGTTGGAGACATTGTTGACATCAAGGCCAACGCTGCCATCCAAAAGGGTATGCCACACAAATACTACCACGGTAAGACTGGTATCGTTTACAACGTCACCAAGACCTCCGTCGGTGTTATCATCAACAAGGTTGTTGGTTACAGATACCTCGAAAAGAGAGTCAACTTAAGAGTCGAACACGTCAAGCACTCCGCTTGTCGTCAAGAATTCTTGAACAGAGTCAAGTCCAACGCTGCCTTGAAGAAGGAAGCCCGTGCTAACGGTAAGACTGTCAACTTGAAGAGACAACCAGCCATGCCAAGAGACTCCAGAATTATCTCTACTGAAGGTAACGTCCCACAAACTTTGGCTCCAGTTCCATACGAAACTTTCATTTAATCGTCTGGGTGTATAATTAGGATTCTGGGTATAAGACATGTAATGTGTTATGAGATCTTGTAGAGATGTGGCAGGTGAAGTCTGAAGGGACACAATAGCCATGCTGACAATTGTAGAGAACTAGCTGAGGATGTTAAGCCAGCTGATCCTAGATAAGTCAAGTTGTCAAGCGATCACTGACTTAAGCGAGATATCTCAACTACTTCAACACTACTATCATTTTTTCAAATAGGTGTAACTGGTGGCTTAATCCTAGATTTCTACTATATTGATTTAATCAACTTGCACAGCCGAGAAAGCTAGTACAAATCAATGCTTCAACTACAATCGATTAGACCAAGCCAAGACAGCTACTTCGGGCTTGAATCTGACATTTGACAATGACTCCAAGTGGGTCAGAAGTTCTCTTAGCGTCTGTCTTATGTAACAAGATTGGTGCGCCAGACACCTTCACCATCAAAACCCAACTTCTTCGTACGAAAAAGCATATCCGGAGGAATCTCAGAGAAACTCAACTCCGAAGGGAATTGTCATGAATAAACGCGAGATTTCATCATATGTTATAAAACTTGGAAGGTCATATGAGGAGCAAAAAGGGTGGGGGATTTTGTGCCTTTTATACTGTCAGTACCAAATCCGGGTAATTAGGAATCGGTATCCTGCACACAACCCTCATCTGAAAAATTTAGGTATGTGATGAGTAGGCTAACTACAGCATCAAACCCCAACCTATCCAAGATGCCCAAAAGAAAGTCAAGCGATAGTCCAAAATCCAAGAAGGCCAAGACTGGACCTTCTTTACCATCCATAGCAGAAATCGAAACTTTGGAAGAACAAGTCATAGAATCATCCCAATACAATACACTCGTTACCCTTCTCAGCCACTATGGGAAGTCCATTGAACACCTCAAATTGAAAGCCGATAAGGAAGCGGAAATCATATCCAGAAAGTTAACAGTCTCTTTGTTCAAGTGCTTTCAAAAGTTGTTCAAAGATGGTTTGTTAGTGAATAGAAAGCATTTTGAAGAAAAGAAATCCTTAATCATCAAATGGTTGGTAGACAAATATGACACATACAAAACCAATTTGTTCGATCTTATTCAATCAAAGTTATCATTCAAGGCCTCTGTCCAGTTGGATGCGTTGGATATCGTATTAAGACTTGTCAAGCTTGAGCTGGAGTACATGGGGAACTCTAAGGACGGATTTTTTGGAAACATAATATACTCCAGATTAATCAAAGCATTATTGTTGAGTGAAAATGGCGAAATTTTGCCTGATGGAACCAGTGATGACTTTATTATATTGGAATTCCTAGACACTTTCAAGGCCAATTGGGACTTGCAAGCTTATTCAGTGAATAACTTATCAGAGCTGTTGGTTGAATGGAACAATATTAAACTGAAAGAAGAATTGAGAAGAGTGTACTCGAATTTTTTCACTTTGATGAAAAATCAATTGTTATTCAATGATGAACTCGAGGAACTTCCAAAGTGGATTTCAACTCCTCTTCCAGCATCTGCTTACAAGCCTAACCACTTCAAGGGGAACTTTCAGAGGTGTTTCATTACCATTTTATCTTATCCATTGACCACATCCCAATATAAAGCCACCTTACTGGTATTGCACAAGAGAATTATCCCTTACATGATCCAACCACAGAGTCTTATGGACTTCTTAACCGAATGTTACGAAATTAGTGACGACTCCACCATTCCTATTCTTGCTCTTAATTCTCTTTACGAATTAATGAAGAAGTTCAATTTGGAATACCCCGACTTTTACACCAAGTTATACTCATTATTGACTCCAGAACTTCTCTATTCAAGATACAGATCCAGGTTCTTCAGATTGTGTGATTTATTCCTTACATCTACTCATTTATCCGCTAATTTGGTGGCATCATTCATCAAAAAGTTGGCTAGATTATCTCTTTCCTCCACTGCATCCGGGGTGGTTATCGTCATTCCGTTCATCTACAACTTGCTCAAGAGGCATCCATCTTGTATGATCATGGTACACAACGCTAACCCTCTGGCCGACTACCAGGACCCATTTATTAATTCTGAACCCAACCCATTATTTACCAAGGCCATTGGGTCCTCTCTCTGGGAGTTGGAATCCTTGATGTCTCATTACCACCCAAACATTGCAACTCTTGCCAAGATCTTTGGCGAGCCATTCAGAAAGCATAGCTACAATATGGAAGACTTCTTGGACTGGAGTTACATCACCTTGTTGGACAGTGAAAAGACTAGAAGGTATAAGTCCATGGCAGCATTGGAGTTCGAAGAGTACAACAAGTTATTTGAAGGCGGCGAAGAAGCTGAAGGGAGCGTGTATGCCGAGGGATGGACCTTATAGAGTAGTACTGAAGCGTTTAGTAGATAAATAGCCAGGTAATGCACAATAAATGGACGTGGAAGTTTAGAGTAATCTACGAAGACCTTAATATGACATGAATTATCTCAATCCCGCAATATAAGATAGCCAGTGAGGCACTAGAGACTATTGGCAAAAACATGAACAGCCCTATAATATCGCTTCCTGAGAGCTACTAAAAGTTCAAATCCTATGGGATAATTTCATTGGTTATAGCTTTGCCTCCAGCATATTGGTTAATGAAAGAATTAAAGATGAAAGAATTAAAGATCGAATAATCCAACATAAGACGATCTCTGCTGGTATAGCCCGATTCGCCCTAGGTAGCAATATACGTACTGTTGCAACACAAATTACACTTGTATATAGAGACCCGTTACTCCTAGTATACAACGGGCCAAGCCCCTTATTAAACACTAGCACTACATTACTTTTGCTTCAGCATCTGCGAACATTGCTTTCGATGACAGGCTTGTTATACGAATCTTTACTGCTAAATGCACCAATCACCGATGTTGGGCCATTAGTTCGCTCCTATTGGCCGCAATGAATTGCAACAACTATTCCAATATTCCTTTGTAACTATTCTATGCTGTTTGCGCTATTCTCGGTCATCCCACATGCTAGACCTTTCATCGGTCATAAACTAGCCACAGAGTCCTAATCAAATACCTAACTATTAGTGTCAAGTCACTAATACGGCAGCGCCGCACAAATATATCCCAATTGGGAAAGGTAATTGGACGCGTCGGTGTGCGATGAAGGTCAACTACAAATTTCAACGCTCACTCCAAATTCTTCTTTACCACCGCTACCAACACCATGGACGATATAAACGAACAGCCCATCGACGCTGTGTTCGGAGACCGTGTGCGTCGGTTCCAAGAGTTTCTCGACAGAATTGACAATGAAGGAACAGACTACCGTTCTCAAATCAAGGACATGTTGAACAAGGGCAAATACAGATTGTGTGTGACCATCGACGAAGTTAGAGAATTTGATAAGGAGTTCTGGCAGGGATTGCTTAACCTGCCAGCCGAGTACTTGCCTGCGTGCGAGCGGGCTTTGAGAGATACGGTGTTGACCATTTACGACCCTTCGTCAGGACAGGAGTACGACCCCAACCAACAGTTCTACCTCTCGTTCAAGGGTTCCTTCGGGGGAAACCACGTCACTCCTAGACTGATTGATTCGGGTTACCTTTCCAAGATGATTTCTATCGAAGGTATCGTCACCCGTGCCTCGTTGATCAGACCCAAGGTGATTCGTTCAGTCCACTACGCTGAAAAGACTAGCAAATTCTACGCCAGAGAGTACAAGGACCAGACCACTTCGTTCGACCCAATCTCAACCCCTGCCATCTACCCCACTGAGGACCTTGACGGTAACAAGTTGGTAACCGAGTACGGTTATTCTACCTACAGAGACCACCAGAAGATCTCAGTTCAAGAAATGCCAGAAACCGCTCCCGCCGGTCAATTGCCACGGTCCGTGGACGTCATCTTGGATGATGATTTAGTGGACTTGACTAAGCCGGGTGATAGAGTCCAGCTTGTTGGTGTCTATCGCGCATTGGGTGGAGGCTCCAACAACAACTCTTCCTTCAAGACCGTGATTTTAGGTAATTCCGTGTATCCATTGCACAAGAGATCGACTGGTGTTTCATCGACCGAGAAATTAACTGACCAAGACATCAGAAACATCAATAAGCTCTCCAAGGAAAAGAAAATCTTCGAGATGTTGTCCACCTCTTTGGCTCCTTCTATTTATGGCTTTGAGTACATCAAAAAGGCAGTCTTGCTTATGTTGCTTGGAGGTGTGGAAAAGAACTTGGATAACGGTACCCATTTGAGAGGTGATATCAATATCTTGATGGTTGGTGACCCTTCGACTGCGAAGTCTCAAATCTTGAGATTTGTCTTGAATACCGCCTCTTTGGCCATTGCAACCACAGGTAGAGGTTCTTCTGGTGTTGGTTTAACTGCTGCAGTAACCACTGACAAGGAAACCGGTGAAAGAAGATTAGAAGCTGGTGCCATGGTTTTGGCTGACAGAGGTATTGTTTGTATTGATGAATTCGACAAAATGTCAGACATCGATAGAGTGGCTATTCACGAAGTTATGGAACAACAGACTGTCACCATTGCCAAAGCAGGTATCCACACTTCGCTTAATGCCCGTTGCTCGGTGATTGCAGCTGCCAACCCAGTATTCGGTCAGTATGATGTCCACAAAGATCCCCATAAGAACATCGCGTTGCCAGATTCGTTGTTATCTCGTTTCGATTTATTGTTCGTCGTCACTGACGATGTGAATCCTACCAGAGATAGAATCATCTCGGAACACGTTCTTAGAATGCACAGATTTATTCCTCAAGGTGTCTTGGAAGGAGAACCAATCAGGGAAAAGTCTGGTTTGTCCTTAAGTGTTGGAGAGGATGGTAATAATGAACAAGAAGAATTAGATCAACCAATTTTCGAGAAATTCAATGCATTGTTGCACTCCGGTGTTGCCAGAGAAGGTAACAAGAAACCACCAGTCATTTTATCAATCGCTTTCCTCAAGAAATACATTCAATATGCGAAACAAAGAATAAGGCCCACATTGACCAAGAAGGCCAGCGACTACATTGTTAGCACCTACTCGTCCTTGAGAAATGATTTGATTGACAATAATCAAAGGCACACTGCTCCAATTACTGCCAGAACATTGGAAACCTTAATTCGTTTATCGACTGCCCATGCAAAGGTCAGATTGTCTAAAACAATCGATGTTAAGGACGCAAAGGTTGCAGAAGAATTGTTGAGGTACGCCTTATTCAAGGAAGTAACTAAGAAGAGCAAAACCAAGAAGCAAAGGACTGGTGCGCTAGTTTCTGAAAGTGAGGAAGAAGAAGAGGAGGAGGAAGAAGAAGAGGAAGAAGAAGAATTCAATGATGATGTTGGTGAAGTTGTCAGACCAAGCTCGACCAGAACAAGACTCAGAGCCCAGCAGCCAACACCTCCAAACGAGGATCTTCAGAATGACCTTAATAACTTGAACCTTTCTGAGCCCCAGCCATTGTCGTCCAATTCCAAGGTCAATGAAGCCGATGGTGAACATATCAGTAGCGAAAGATATGATGCTTTCTTAAAGATCATGGCAAAGCTTGTTCAAACCGATTTGTTTAGTGCAGAAGAATCGGCACCAGTAGATGCCGTATTCGAAGCAATCAACGAGAATCTTGAACAGGAGGAATTGTTTGACACTGAAGAAATCGAGGCTGGATTCGACAGGATGAGCAAAGAGAATAAGATGTACATTGGTGAAGGGAAGGTATGGAAGGTTTGAGGTTGTGTACAGTGTTGATGTTATCGCGAATGGGTTGGTTTTACGTGCTGAAAGCTCACGCCAAATACTAGCGGGATGGGCCTCTTTAGCACCTAAATATTTAGTTCTGTATTCTATTATTATGTTTGATTTATGATCTAACCCGTAATGGTTGCAAACTGTGGTCTGCGCACGACCAAGTGATGAGCGAAAAGCACATCTACTAGAACAGTAGTAGAAGTGCCATTACGACCGTCAATTAGATTATGGCCGAGGACCGTGAATATCCCGAGCCCTATGTTGGTTTTATTGGGAAATATCAGCAGGAAGAACCGTCGGCGGATGAATACCAGGTGGAAGCTCAGGATGAGCTACTCATGCACAACTATACAACCCTACCAGACAATTGCAAGAAGTATTGGAGAAAACGTTATCAATTGTTCAGCAAGTTCGACGAGGGAGTCTACATGACATCCGAGTTGTGGTACTCGGTGACACCCGAGTCTGTGGCCATTTTCACTGCCAAACTTTTCAAAGCATTATTGCCTGAGGCTCGCCAAGTTCTCGATATCTGCTGTGGAGGAGGAGGTAATTCGATACAATTTGCAGAGATCTTTGAGAGCGTGGGAGCAGTTGACATCAACGAGATCAATGAACAATGCACCAGACATAACGCTGCCATCTACGGAGTTGAAGACAAGTTGTGGTCTTTTATTGGAGACTGGAATGAGATCAGCTGTCCCCACGACGATGGATCGGTTTATATGGACTGGATTCCTGAAAACCTCCGCAAAAACCCATCAAATACTACCTTCGACTTTATTTTTGCATCTCCTCCATGGGGTGGACCCTCATACACCAAAAAGAGCCAGGAGTTTGATCTTTATAGCATGGAACCGTTTCCCTTGGACTCGTTTTTGAGTCAGGTATTACAGTATAGTCGCAACATTGGGCTATTTTTGCCGAGGAACCTGAACTTGGAGCAAATCAGTGAAGTTACAAGGGAGATATTCGGTGATGAGGCCCAGTGCAGAGTCATTACAGTCTACAACGATACCCATCCTGTTGGGATCCTCGCACTCTTTGGAAAGGACCTCACTAGGGATTTGGATTATGACGAGATTTTTGGAGAGTAAGTGATATGTTTACTGTGAAATACTGCATGCTACAGCCAGTATTTTCATGAAGAGTCGGCCAAGATTACTCCTAAGTCAAGAATATGAGTAAATAAGGTCCAACTTCCTCGAGAATCTACTGCATACTACGCCATCCCCTTGGTGTAGCCTAGCTCATGTACCTCCTGTTGCAACACCTTCGGCCCTTCGTTGCCACAGTAACTCTGCTCAGCCATGGCGGATTAGTTTCTGGTTGCGGCCGATGGTGGGCTCCTGTTGCGTCACGTGCACCTTTTGTCGTCGAGAAAAGTCTCAAAACAACAACCCATAGCCGACATTTTGCACCACTCTAGCACCATGGATACGCTTAGCACCAATGAGATAGCTGAATCCAAGGCACCCACCGACACTGGCGACCACCAGGACGACCAGGAAAACAACAAACCGGGAATCTCCAGCGAGACTGTTCCTCCCCCTGCAAACCACGCTTTCGAGCAATCCACAGCCACCAACGGAGAAAACCTCGAAAGAATCAACGAATCAATTGAGGAAAATGACAAGATTGCCGCCTTATCGCAGGAGGTGGGCTACTTGAGGCAAATTGTGGATTTCCAGAACAATAAAATTGATAAGTTGACCTCGTTGATCACGGAGTACTTTGAAAACAAGAACGAGGATGCCATCATTAGATCGTTACAGGCCATACAGGACAACGTGATAGAGGAGGACCACGTCAACGAGATTGATCAGGGAGTTCCTGTCCACTTGGATGGCAATATGGACCCTGCGTTGCACCAGGTGGCAGTTGTGGCAGCAGCCGTCCAAGCACAGGAGAACCTGCAACATTCCCAGGAAGCTGCTCAGCAACACAGACAGCACGAAAAAGTACACAAGAAGATATACGCAGCCACCAAGCGCAAGCTCGAGGAGGGCGAGGACGGACGTGAGGACGAGGACGGACGGTACGAGGGCCGGGTGGACGCCAAAAAGCCTAAAATCACGGTAGACTTCTTGCATAACCCCATGTCGGTCAAGGAGATTTACGACGAGTTTACCAAGGGGTTCAGGGGCCAGCTCCCATTGCGGGACATGGATGCTAAGTACGGCAAGCACGAGTGGAGAGGTGACTCCAGGTCCAAAGAATCCAAGAGATTCCAGCGCAGAAAGAAGTTATTCGATGCGGTGGAGAGAGGGACCCTCAAGTACGGGAAACCGGCTGAAGAAATCATTCAGTACATCGAAGAGTTCCGTGGTGACAAGTCGTTGACTTGGGTAATGAACGGCAACTTGCCCCAGGATTTAATTAATTAGTGTATAATATAATGTATGGCGAAAAAAGGACGGCCCTAGGCTACAATGTAAGGCCGCGATTACTCCTGTCAATTGGGGTGTACAAGCCACTCTTTATGGGTTTCCACTTTCTCTTACTAAGCTTGGGATATATATTACGTAAACGACATACCCTCATTGCCGAGCATGACCGGTGGCACTCACCCGTTGGGCTGGTCACCTCGTGGCAAATTCCGGTTCGGGACCTTATCGTCGCACGTGACACGCCACTCACTTTTCTCGAATCTTCCACTTTACGTCCGGGTAACCCGACAAATTTTTCCACTGTCGCAATATAACTAGACTGGATACACCACTCTCGACACTTTTCACCTCACTTTACTAAACGTCCATCCACAATGTTGAGTGCTAGAAATTCATTAAAGAACATATCCCGTCGTGTTCCAAACTTGGCCCGTAACAATTCTACTGCCGCCCCAAATGGCCCAGTTATTGGTATTGATTTGGGTACCACCAACTCTGCTGTTGCAGTCATGGAAGGTAAGATTCCAAAGATCATTGAAAACAGTGAAGGTGGAAGAACTACCCCATCCATTGTTGCCTTCACCAAGGAAGGTGAAAGATTGGTTGGTATCCCAGCCAAGCGTCAAGCCGTCGTCAACCCAGAAAACACCTTGTTCGCTACCAAGAGATTGATCGGTCGTAGATTCGAAGACAAGGAAGTCCAAAGAGACTTGAACCAAGTTCCTTACAAGATCGTTAAGCACGAAAACGGTGATGCTTGGATTGAAGCCAGAGGCGAAAAGTACTCTCCTCAACAAATCGGTGGTTTCGTCTTGAACAAGATGAAGGAAACCGCTGAAGCCAACTTGGGTAAGCCAGTCAAGAACGCCGTTGTCACCTGTCCAGCTTACTTCAACGATGCCCAAAGACAAGCTACCAAGGATGCTGGTAAGATTGTCGGTTTGAACGTCTTGAGAGTTGTCAACGAACCAACTGCTGCTGCTTTGGCCTACGGTTTGGAAAAGAACGATGGTGAAGTTGTCGCCGTCTTCGATTTGGGTGGTGGTACTTTCGATATCTCCATCTTGGACATTGGTGCTGGTGTTTTCGAAGTTAAGTCCACTAACGGTGACACTCACTTGGGTGGTGAAGATTTCGATATCGCTGTTGTCAGAAACATCGTTGAAACCTTCAAGAAGGAATCCGGTATTGACTTGGAAAAGGACAGAATGGCCATCCAACGTATCAGAGAAGCTGCTGAAAAGGCCAAGATTGAATTGTCTTCCACCGTTTCTACTGAAATTAACTTGCCATTTATCACTGCCGATGCTTCCGGTCCAAAGCACATCAACCAAAAGATCTCTAGATCTCAATTCGAAAGTTTGGTTGAACCATTGGTCAAGAGAACTGTTGACCCATGTAAGAAGGCCTTGAAGGATGCTGGTTTGTCTACTTCTGACATTTCCGAAGTCATCTTGGTTGGTGGTATGTCTAGAATGCCAAAGGTTATTGAGACCGTCAAGTCCATCTTCGGTAAGGAACCATCCAAGGCTGTCAACCCAGATGAAGCTGTCGCTATGGGTGCCGCTATTCAAGGTGGTATCTTGGCTGGTGAAGTCACTGACGTTGTCTTGTTGGATGTTACCCCATTGTCCTTGGGTATTGAAACCATGGGTGGTGTTTTCGCTAGATTGATCTCTAGAAACACTACTATTCCAGCCAAGAAGTCTCAAATTTTCTCCACTGCTTCTGCTGGTCAAACCTCTGTTGAAATCAGAGTCTTCCAAGGTGAAAGAGAATTAACCAGAGACAACAAGTTGATTGGTAACTTCACTTTGTCTGGTATTCCACCAGCTCCAAAGGGTGTCCCACAAATTGAAGTCACCTTCGACATTGACACTGATGGTATCATCAAGGTCTCTGCTCGTGACAAGGCTTCTAACAAGGATGCTTCCATCACCGTTGCTGGTTCTTCCGGTTTGTCTGATGCTGAAATCGAACAAATGGTCAACGATGCTGAAAAGTTCGCTGAATCTGATAAGGCTAGAAGAGAAGCCATTGAAAACGCCAACAGAGCTGACCAATTGTGTAACGACACTGAAAACTCGTTGAACGAATTCAAGGACAAGTTGGAAACCGCCGATGCTGACAAGGTCAGAGAACAAGTTGCCTCTTTGAGAGAAATCGTTACCAAGGCTCAAGCCGGTGAAGAAGTTGACGCTGCTGAATTGAAGACCAAGACTGAAGAATTGCAAAACGAATCCTTGAAGGTCTTCGAAAAGTTGTACAAGAACAACGAAAACAACAACGAAAGTTCTTCTGAAGAACCAAAGAACTAAGTAAGCTGATTATGTTCTTGTTTTTATGAATAATGAAGCAAGCACCTCAGGTGCTTCGTGTGTTTAGTCGCTTACTTTCACCTGTATATATTTTAATCATTATAAATAATCTATTAAGTGTACCGCAGCAAAGCCATTTTGTAAGATCCGATACTATCAAGTACAATGAATCAAAACAACGACGTTGTTAGAATAAGCCTTATTGGAGAGCCTGAAATTTTCATGGTTAACAAGATCATACAGCCTAAAGGGTCGATAGTCGTAGACAATACCACTACGCTCCTTTTGTATGGGTGCAAAATAGACAACCCATGCCACAAACGCAACGGTTGCTCACCCGTCTTAAAATTCAATGCCACTCGGAAAAAAGCCAAATCTTAGATGAACTATCTTCTCTAATGATGGGAGAATATAATGCTACTACATCAAGAAATAGTGGGGTTTTTTGTTTATTATTTTCTATATATCTATATAAGAGAGCAAAAATTAAAATCCAAAATCAACGATGAAAGATGCATCACGATAGTAGTTTGGAAACTTCGTTTTTCTGATTCTAGGCAACGGAATAGACTCAGAGAAGGGCAAATACATCTCCTTTTTAATCCCATACAGCTCCAAGTTATCCAGGTTTCTTGAGTCAGGGGCAAAGTCAACTGGGATGCAATCAAAATTGGAGAACTTGCTTAGAATAGAATAGTTATCAAACTGCTTATTTTCTTCTACTGTGCCCGGAATATAATCAAAGATATCCTTAAAGTGTCCCAGGTGCATATCTTTTTTGTCGGGTCCAATGTTAAGATAGCCCTGGTAATGAGATGGATTTGTAATCCATGATTGATTACTCAGTTCGTTATTTCCCAGGAAGATAACCAGACCCAGGTCATCGTTCAAATCGAGGTTATCCAAATGTTCAACATTTTCATTGTCAGCAAGAGCATCAACCTTAAAATTTAACATTTGGGTCGATGGAAAGTTTTGTGGTTGGGGCATGAGCTGATCTTCGTCAGCAAAAACCTTGGGATAATAGAAATCCACAGCTATGTCCCTAGGATCAGTATAAACCTCAGAGTTCAAAAATTCAAAATTCACTTCATTGTTAGCAATAACAACAGGTGCGAAGTCATCATCACAACTTGACATTGCTGCAAACAAGTCACTAGTGAGACAATAATAGTTGATAGTAACATCCAGATAAAAATTGTTAAGGACTGAAGGGTCCCTATTTGTGGCATCTTCCAAATTCTCAGATTCCTCTACCATCTTTCCTTCCTTTGTGTCAAGAGATTTCAAAGGAAGTCGAGAACCCCTCAGTAAACCTTCCAACGGTAATGATGGGTTGGAATGTCCTTCCAGCTGTCCCCCAAATTTAGGAACAGTATCACGAGAAAAATCTAAAAGTATAACAATACCTTTCCTTAAGGACTGAGAATTTTCAAGCCTTGAGAGGAGTAAGAGGAAGTAAACTCCTAGCACTCCGACATGAACTGGGGTGGTTTTAACATGGCCCAATAAGACCAAAAAATTGATGAGGGCGCCACAAAGAGCAATCTCACCATAAAGATAAGATCCATAAGAAAAGTTTTGTCCTTGTGGTCCAACCACATAATTTCTTGGTTCACGGCTAGCTAATGCCATTAATGAGTACCAAGTTGGACATAAGAGGGAGTATGGCGAAACTGTAGAAGTGATGGACAAAACTGTCATCATAAAATGGGTATCAGCAAGGCCAATGTTGTTAGTATTGCCCTGTTGTGGTGGTGGTAAATATGGAATCAATTCTGGTTGATAAATGTTCAACAGGTAAGCTGTCATAATAGAGGCAAGGGCAATGTTGTACCAACCCATTTGTGGTGAGCCACAAAAACAACTAACATAAAATCCAGCAGAAGCTAAAACAGTTATTGCATGAGAAAGTGTCCACATGTAAGTGTACATCTTCCCGGCTGGGGGCAACATCAGAATTGATCCTTGCAACATTTCAATGGGGTTTTTCCCACAAGCGTATCGGTCAATACACAAACAAAACTCATCAAAGACGCTAAAAACAAAGGCTTTTAGCTCAAAGAAGAGTAAAAGAGCCCACCAGAGGAGGACTTCAAAACGGTAACGGAGATTAAGTTGAAACATTGGTGTTATTTTCTTAATAGTGGAGCTTTAGAAAGAAAGGGTGCAGTTGTTGATTTATTTCCTCGCGGATTTTTTGCACCCACTATTACGGTTCACAAATGGGACTCGAAGTCCACCGCCGCCGTAAAGTAGGTGTTTTTGTTACCGCTAAACATCTTTATCAGAAAACACCATCTATTAATATATAAAGCACTTGTAAGTACATAGAAATAGGTCAAACATGAGGAAAAGGCCATATTACAATTTAGGAAGTATACTGGTGAAAATTACTCCAGTGTATTTCCAGAGGAGTAGCTGTTATTCCCGAACGTTGGATCACACAAGAACTGAACTTTCATTAAATCAAATTGATCAAGTGATTATGAACGGTGTATCTTGGTATTTGTTACTGCTCCCCAAAACTAGTGGAGTTTTCGGTAGCAAATTATCCAACCAATACTAACAATACTGCTATATTCTCTAGTTCAGAGTACTACTAATGATTACTACAATTTACTCATAATATGACACATTAACATTTCTATTATTATCATTACTATCGAACCAATGCACTGAGATTATATTGGTGTGCAACTGATCTTCTGATTGTACTCATGGAGGAGGTCAGTGACTGTGATTCCATTCTATCTCTTACAGGTTTTCTTCTTGACACAGTACCATACGTCTTGATGACGCTCAAGTCGGACTGTGTGATGCTCAACTCATTTGTTGCTTCAGTATTAACTGAGGAAGAATCCAGCTCCCCATCAGAATCATACTCTAGCATATCACCCAACATCGATCTTCTGTTCAAGTAAGTCTTGTTGAATTCCTCTGCAGGAGGATCCACAAATATATCGGCCGTGCCTTCAGAATCGGTTGTAGTATAGATAACAGATGGGGAGCCAGCGGACGAGTAGTCACTTTGAACATCGATATCTGCTTGCAAGAGAGAATCCTTCACATCACTTTGGATGTCATCTTGCCCTTCAAAAGTATCTTGAGCCTTAGAAGCCACGAAAGATTGGAACATGTTGATCTCTTGTCTCAACTGGATTCTCTTGCAAAGAACAGCCGTCAAGTACTTTCTCCATAAATCAACCATGTCACCTTGCACAGCAGGGTTGTTGGCAATTGGAGCAAGTTCCTTGTCTACTAAATGTGGAGGTGGAGGTGGTGCTTCGCTCTCTGCAGTATCGCTAGCTCCAGCCTCACTTTCTGCTCTGTGTGGAATTATGAACTCGTTTCTGTTGGCATCAAATCTTCTTGGGTCAAGCAAATTATTCTTGCTGTAGTTGACTGAGCTTTGCTCGGATTTTCTTCTCATAGAACTAACATAATCGGATTGTTGCTGATCAATATAGCTGGACAAGTGGTTCAATTTGCCAGTATCTTGTGGTGGAACCCCAATATTGACATTTTCCTGTGGAGCACCTGCCAGGTACTTGAGAGCATCGTCCAACTCCTTGACTCTTTCCACGCCTCCCCTTCCTAGGTGTGGATTGGTAGATGGGGCCGAAATGATGAGAGGCTTCTTTTCGCCGCTGCCGAGTTTGGCAGTGCGAAGGCTCTTATTGCGTCTGACAGAGTTACTTCTAGATTGGCCAGGTCTCTTAGATGATACCTTAAAATTATGGAATCTCAAAGATTTCATCTTTTTAAGGAATCTCTCTAACCGGATTTTAATTCTGTAAAGTATGCTCCCCTTCTTGAATTTAATGGCTTTCCTTCTCTCCAACGAAGAGTTGGAACTATCAATGGCATAAAGCTGAGCCTTAACTTTTGAAGACTTGGATCTGGTGAACCTAGGGCCATTAATCTTGGATTTTCTGCTCTTTTTAGAACGAGATCTGAGACCCAACCCCTCTTGTTCTTGTCTAGTGGAGAAAATTGTGGCCTGCGAGCCCATCGAGTTTGATATTTCTCGGGACAAAGTGTTAGAATGGGGGGTATATGGTGATGAAGATGGTCTGGAGTGGGATGAAATCTTGGTTTTTTTCGAGCTGGAGGAGTAGGTCCGCTTGTATGTCTTTGCAAGTGGATCGTCACTACCCAAAGATGGAGAAACCGCGGATAAGTTGTCCAATCGCTGAGAAACGTACGGGTTCTGCTGGTCCAAGATGAACTGGGAAAACCGTTTGGGCACCTGGTTGAAAAGCGAGTCGTCCGAGGGCTGGACGGGTTGTGTAGCTGCCTTGTTGGAAGAAACTAAATTGGAAGTGGGTTCGGTACTGGCAGGGGCGTTAATGTGTGAGGTGTTGGGATACTTGGGCCCCTCGTTGCTGCTGGTTCTGTTGAGGAGGTTGAATGTGTCGAATGAGTTTGATCCTTCCGTTATATAGAGGTAGGGAAACGAGATGGGAAGAGAAGTGGTAGATGCTGTTTCCACCTCCAACCTGTTCAAGGCCGCAGGGGGGGTCGGGCGTTCGTCGGCTGGGTTACTCATGTCAGGGTCAAACAAGTATTGAAATTCAGGCGGTAATTGTTTGTACTTTATTTCATTCTGGAAACTGGGTGCCATGATGGATCTGAGGCACTTTTATGAAGGTATGTTGGGAGGAGCCTCGTCTGTCGGGAGCAGGAAAACGCCGTTAATTCTGAGACGATACTGATCGTCACGGATCGTTGCAGCGTCATGTATGCGTCGTGTGGTAAGTTTGGGTGGTGATGGGGTGGCTGGCTATCATAGCCAGCCATCTCTAGAGGTGCGCGCACGCCCCAATCTGGGGTAGATGAGCAGGTTACGGGGGATAGGGGATGCGAGAGGGCTACATTATAGGGGGTGGGCCAGTAGTGGTTTCAGTGGCTAGACGAGTAATCAGTTTTCGTTCAGTGGTTAGTCCTGGTTGAAGCGAAACCGTAGATATTTCATTCTAGATACGATTTTCATTGCAGATCAATAATCCCATGTCACTGCAAAGGAGGAGTTATGTCAGATAACAAAATAGAGTTTCCAGCATAGATACGGTTTGTAAAGGTAGCGAGTTTTCAATATTTATAAATTCACTTATTCTATAAATAAGTCTAATAGTTACATTAACCAAGCACACCATTAACTAAGTCTCGTGGCACACCTTTTTCGTGCCTGGAAACGGCCTTTTTTTGCAAACTGGTGGGATTTAATACATGGCTGGTAACCTACAGGTGCTTTCAGTATTCTGGGACAAATGAGCTTTCACTCTAGATAGACTTTTATTTGTAAAACGGGTAACAGACTAAGAATTAAATTACTTGGACTTGGCCAAACCAACAGCATTCTTCTTCAAGTCATAGATGGAGTAGTATCTTCTCAAGAAGGCATCACCAACAATCGATAAGTCACCGATTGGGGCAGGGAAGTCCATTGGAGTGAATGCAGAAATACACGATCCACTGACTTCCAAGGTGTAGTCGTAGGCAGTCAAGGTGAAGTTGTGACCACCAAAGTTCATGGTCAAGTCTGGCAAGGAGTCTCTAGTGGCACAGTCCACTTGGTATTGACCGGACCACGACTTGGTGGCACCAATCTTAGCGTTGATAATCTCGGCCAAAGAGGATGGAAGGGTGATCAAGGAAGTACCAGTGTCGATAGCGGCACCAGTCTTGAACAATTCGGTGTATTCGTCACCCAAACCAATACCTTCGAAAGAAACTTCCCAGTAGGCCTTTCTTCTGACAGGCAACCAGGTGATGTCGCCAGTGAACTTGGACTTGTCGTAACCACCGAAGGTTGCGACACCTCCGAAGGACTCATCTCTGGAGTTGTCACCCAAAGCAAAGGCAAATTGAGGTTCGTCCAACAAACCTTGGTTGATGGCGTTGTAGATAGGAGGAACAATCTTGTCCACGGAAATGGTGTCGTAGGCCAAACCCAAAACACCGTCAAACTTAGCGAAGGCGAAAGCCAAGCCTGGTTCGCTGGTAGCTTCAGCAAAGTCCTGCTTGGGGATCACCAAGTCACCGAGAGCCAAGGTGTCTTGAGAGACGTAGCCCTCCATGGAGCCCAGCCCGTATTGGATGGCGAATTCAGTACCGTTGGCCTTGTAGGTGCTGGAGGAGTCGTGGTCGTACTTGGTGTGCAAGAAACAGGCCAACGAGGAGCAGTCACCAGAGGGAACCCACAAGTTGGAGGAGCCGGTGTCCAACAAGATCTTGAAGGGCTGACCTGGAGTACCAATCTGGACTTCGGTGAAGTACTGGGCGTTCAAGTAGTTGTCCAATGGGAGTTCGTGCTCACCCTGGGCCACAAATGGGACCTCGGCAAGCGGCTTTTGGCCGTGTTGAACTCCTGGGTTTCCGGAGCCCAAGTTGTACACGTTCATATACTTCTGAGCCAAGCCGGAGGTGTATTCCGAGAAAATGTTGGAGTTCAAGGTGTCCAGGACTGGGACTTTGCCCAACTCCACGGTGTGGACTTTGGCATCGGCAGGGGAGGAGAATGCAACCAAGGCGGTTGCAATGGTGGTCAATACACTCAAAGATAATTGCATAGTGATGAAGACCAAAGAAGAGTGGGGGTCAAATTTGGTGGCAATCTTATCCCCCTAATGACCCCAAACGGAATTGCTGGTTGGTACACGTGACATGGCCAGTGGCCGAGATAGGTGCGAAATGGCCCCGATTGGGCGGTGATTGTCGGGGAGCCCAAGCAGCTCATGCTAAGGAGGCAGAATGGAATTAGTAAGGTTGAGAATAACCATGTTTGGATTCCGCTGGAATCCTCACAGCTAGAGTCCGTGGCAGGAATCCGTAGTTGGAATCCGTGGTGGGATTGCTCCTGGAACCCCCGTGCTGCGCATCTCTGAGATCTCGCACCACAGGAGCAATTTAGTGGAGTAGTGCAGCACCACGACACCTTCCACCGCTTCACCCCGGCCCTAGCCACCATCATTCTGAACCCACCAGATCTAATGACAATCACATAGTCGCTGCTACCTAGCCATCATCGTTCCTAGCCATCATCGTTCCTAGCCACCATTTCTTCCCTCTTCGCCTGCCCTCCCATCCCATAGGCACCTCGCTTCGCCTGCACCTGCAGCATCATTTCTTGACCTCTTCGCATCTACCTCGGCTTAATAAGACTTTTCAATCCTCCAACCTAGACTCCTACTACTCCATCCCACCATGCACTGGAACTGGTTCACCAACACGGTGGAAACCGCCGTCCCCAAGAAACCGGTCAAGTTCGTGTCGCCCGACCACGAACCTGCCACCATGACGGATATTATCGCCGCAGCAGTGCCTGAATTCGCTTCTGGAGCCTCATGCTACATGAGTCCCATGTTGCCCACAGGCCATTTGCACACCGCCTACACCGCCCTCAACAAGTTCGAATACACCGATAAAATCCACTATAAGAGACGCATCTTGACCATCGAAGACATTACCTACCAGGTCAAGGGCGAGGCACTCAAGTACGACGGGTTCCAGGGCGCCAGCACCATCGCCGTGGACTACGTGGTGCCGGAAGACAAGCTCGCCACGGGAACTGGTGACCAGTTCCGTCCCGCATCCCAGACCATCCCGTTATTGCCACGGACCGCCTACCTCGATCCAGCACACGAGCACGAGATCTTGGACAATGACAAGCCGTTGTTGATCGCATTGCACGGGTTGGCTGGCGGATCGTACGAGTCGTACATCCGTGCCCAGCTCGCAGTAATGGCACCTGAATTCGACGCATTAGTGTTGAACGCTCGCGGGTGCGCCAACCACACCATCACCTCGCCTCAGTTATTCAACGGATTGTGGACCAACGACTTGCGGTACCTCATCAACCACCACATCCGTCCCACCTGGCCCAACAAGCGCATCTACTTGATGGGGTTCTCGTTGGGAGGCGCCATCGTGGCCAACTACGTGGGCCAGGAGGCCGACGCCATCGACCCCATGATCAAGGCAGCGGTGGTGGTGGGTTCGCCCTGGAACTTCACCGACAGCTCGCTCTTGTTGCGCGAGAGCTTGATCGGACGCAGCATCTACTCGTCAGCCATGTGCCAGAACTTGCTCAAGTTGTTACGCGCCCACGACGCCGAGTTGCAAAATAACATCCACTGGAGCGAGTTCATCAAAAACCCCCAGGACTACGTGGTGTCCAAGCTCTGGGAGTTCGATGACGTTTTCACCTCCAAGATCTTTGGCTTCAACAACGGAAACGACTACTACCGCCATGCTTCGCCCGACCAGCGTCTCTACAAGGTGCGCGTGCCCACCATCATCTTGAACTCCAAGGACGACCCCATCGTAGGCTCACGCACCTTGCCCTACCATGAGGTCAAGATCAACCCCTACACCCACTTGATCACCTCGTCCATCGGGGGACACTTGGGGTGGTTCAAGGCCAACGGCGCCCGCTGGAACGTGGGGCCCGTGGCGGCGTTGTTGAAGGAGTTGGATGCAAACTGGAAGGTAGACCACCACAGCATCGCCAAGGAAGACTTGCCATACAATTTGGACAACACCTGGCAACATGACAGAATCGTGTCCCACTGATGGGGATAGAAATGGGTAGACTCTGAAACAATTATTTATTATTTATTAACAGCGTCAGCTGATAACACTGGTATGAACATCCAGAAAGAATAGAATTATCAATTATTCATTATTCATTATTTATTACTTATTATTTATTATTCATTATTTATTAAAGAATCACAGCGTATGCTGATAGAACTCACAGAAAGATTTAATTATGTATTGAAGAACAGCGTAGCATAGAATGAACTGCAATAACACACAGAAGCTAAGATTAAATTACTTCTCATTAATTAAGAAATAGCTTAAGGTGATAGAACAAGACTGCTAGAAACTCTTCTTGTCAAGACTGATAGCACTACAAATAAATTCTGTTGATTCTCAATGATCTAAATTAGTTCTTCTTGTCAAGTAAGACTGGCAGTAACACATGGTAGTAACACACAAAAAGATTTGATTCCAAATGTTTAGCACTCGCAAATTTTCAAAGAACTTGGCTGGCTACAATAAACAAGTCATCATATCTGACTGCTAATGTCATGGTGAAGTAATCTTCTGTGTCCTGCATACAGTGTCTGATCTAGAATTCCCCAGATCATTTGGCTCCATACTTACCCCAACCACCATGAAGGCATCCGCAAAAGCCACCAAGCCCAAGCCACTCAAACCCCTGGCCCAATCATTTGGCTGGATCAAACAGGTCAGGACACTTCCTTCAAACCCGAACTCCAATGACTTCCTCAAGTTGGAGTACATCGACATTAACCTCAACAACTCGCGGAAGTTGATCCAGAACTTGGACAACCTAAGCAATTCGACTACTGGCCTTGTCAATGACGTGGACATGAAGGTTAATGGAGGCATGATCGGCGTCCAACGTGTCAAGGCTGCCTTGGACTGGCTCGATTAGTAAAGGATGTTATACTCCGCTACAATGATTAAGAAGATAATGAGATCTCCTATACAAATCATCGGGCACGAAACTAATTCTAATTTAATGGGTAACTTCGGACCCCATCATAGATCCCAGGCAGGAAATACATTTACCTTGCAGTATACCTCATTTTATCTTGGCTACAAGCACTCTCCAAGCTGTAATCTTATCTTTCACAATTAGAGGAACCCATATTGTACCACTGAAGTTCCCAGTCCAAAAAGCCATAAAAGTGAACTAGTCAGGCTAAGACAGAAAACTACAAGTACACAGAAAATAACCCCTGTTGGAAAATACCATCATACTTGAAACTCCAGTGTACTATCGAGCTACAATTGTTCTAGGTAATTTGGCTCTTCAGGTAAGTGCCCTATTGTATTTATTAAGAACGCCTTGTTTAGATCACAAGCTCCGCATATGGTCTAGAGACTATCTATAGATGAACGATGCTATCTAATGTGAGATGGACAATATTTATTGTATAGTCATCTTTTGTTCACTACTCCACACTATATCGATGTTTATTAAAAGTATCCCAGCTGTAAAAAGAATTGAACTATTAGCGGTATCGCTCTATGGACTAAGGGCGGCCTTATCGTCGCCTGGAGGACGCTCGACTCTTTCGGGGTCCAGTTCGTCCTCCGAATCTGCTATAAGGAAATCCTGTAATGCAATCAGCTCCTCGACATTGCTGCCCACCACGCCATACTTAACTTCGTCTGCAGTGGACTGATCTCCTCTTTCTAAATCTCCGTCGTTATTATTATCTTCGGGCTTGAATTTCACGATGATGGCCGCGTTTCCGAGAATCAACATCATACCCAAAAGACTCAACAATCCTGGAATGTGTCTCCAGATTAACAAGTCCCACACCAAAGCAAAAACCATATTAGTGTATGCGGCCATCGAGGCCTTGGAGGCTTTAACTCTTTGGACACCTGCTGTCAAGGAGAATTGCATGAAAAACCCAGAAAGACCAATAAGAGCGAACAAAAACCATTGGTAGCCGTTCTTGGGAATGGCAAATTCTAGCGAAGGAATCACTAGGATGCTGAAAAACGTCACTATCGTACACGTCAATGCGAAGTAACTCACCGACAACAACGGATGGGCACCGTGGCCAATCTTTCTCAAAATGATATACACTGAGGATGCGCCACACACACCCACCAACCCCACGGCCGAGGCCAAGAGCCGTTTCTCGGTAGAGGAGCTTTCAATTTCCTCACCGACCGAAGTTTCTGAGTCGGACTCATGGCCAAACAAGAAGTGTGGTTTGGCAATGAGCAATACTCCCGCGAGAGACACAATGGAGCACACTGCTTCGAGCACCGAGTAGCGTTCGTGGAGGATCACGCACGCAAGGAAGGCAGTGACCATGGGCACCAAGAAAGTGATGGCCACGGCGTCCGACAACGACAAGTACTGCAACGAGTAGTACAATCCGAACACACCCACGAAACCCACGAGGCCTCTCAACAAGAGCAAGAACCGGAGGTTGCGGGGCCCGAACGGGGCCTCGGGCACCGAGCGGGTCACCACCATGTACGCAAGGCAGCACACGTAGGTGATGCTCATGCGGACAAACAAGATCTGCAACGGGTGGATGGGAGTATCGAACTCCTTGTCAGTGACCAATAACTTGCAGGTTACCACCATGATGGAGTTGAAAAACTGGGATAGTATCAATAGCGAAAACCCGACGTTGGGATCGATGTAGCGCTGGTAGAGCTGGGTGAGCTTGCGGTGGGCTTTTTGGATCGGGCCGCTGGGGACATCGTCCCACGGTTCAGATAGTACGGATTCCGACATGCTGTGGTGTGGTGAAAGAAGTCTGGTGTTAGCTTCAAATAATCCCGGGCCTGGTGCGAAATGTAGGGATGGCATTGCACAACTGCGGAGTCGCAGTTGGGGATGGACAGGAGCGCAGGCAGCCACAGATCACCATGATCGCTACGGCAGCAACTGCTACGGTGGGGGTGGGGGAGCCGCCGTGCCTCCTGCGGTAACTCTACAGGCTGTGCCCTCCTGCAATACTGTGCCCTTCACTGCAAACTGTGGGAGCTACTTACTGCTGTCATGTCCTCCGGCCTGTGTCAGGACTGTGCGTGTCACGAAAAATCGCCATCATTTGGCCGGGCCTGTGGTGCATCAGATCAGCACGGATGACCCTGTCAAGGGATAGGTCTCGTGACGTAATTGGAGGGTGTGTGGGATGGCGGGACCAGCTCCATCCAATGGGTACGGATCTTACGTGTGATTTGTTGGGAACCGTTGCCCTACCACCACATTGGTGGCATCATCTTCCCAGATCATAGATAAGCGTTGCGGCTGTCATTAGTAATGACAGGAGTCGCACTAATTACTTGCAGAACCGAGGGCATCTGTGCGAAGGGGCTATCAGTGAGGAATGCCCCCACCCTGCACAGAAGAGGAATGCGGGCTCTGGTGGTTAATACAAGGATCTTGAGGGACAAACATACTGGACTTCTATGCTTCGGTGTGAAGGGGCGTAGCTGTCACCTCGTGGCGAGATGACTGCGGCCACAAATGGCGTCACATGTCCTACAGTGATGCCAAGCAGCCAAGAATGCGTCACCAGCGTTATCGGCGTTTGAAGCACTGGTGGGCGATAGTGGCATAGACTCCAGAATCTGAGAGAAATCGTATATCTCGGTGCAAGATACGTTGGAGTCGGACATACTAGTGCCTCTTGTTAGGAGTGGATTTATTATTATTTTGAGATTTTTCGAGTTTTTCGCAAAAGCCGTGTGTCTAGAGTTCTATACACTGAAAGAATTTCCAACCTCCAATAGACACATTGCACAACTCCAAATTTAAACCAGCATATTCTACAGCTAGAGCAGCTAATAACTACCCGAAATATATAGTTTGAATCTTTTTTTTTTTTTTTGCTAATGGGAAGTATATTATATTCTACTGACTACTTTTTTTAATGGGACGATTGTAGTCCATTCTCTAATTGACACTTTAGTTGCAAGTTAACGAGCCAAAGCTATCCAGATATTACTATTAGCCTATTTAACCTATTTTAAAGGGATAAACCATTAATTTACCTCAAAAATAGTCAGAATAGTCCGACATGAGCAAATCAAAGCTAAAATAGTTTAATTAGTCATCATCATGCTAATATGTTTCAAACTGGGACACAATTATTTCAAGAAATGGTTCTGTGGTCTAGTTGGTTATGGCATCTGCTTAACACGCAGAACGTCCCCAGTTCGATCCTGGGCAGAATCATATTTTTAGCTGCGAAAAGGCACTTTTTTTATACTGATCGTCTCTGCTTTTCAATATGTGAGTGCCTGAAAAGTTCAAAATGAGGCAGAGAAACATGTCGGTTCTCCGGTTAAAGCATAATCTATTTATTAATGGGTTTTCTCAATTTATGCCAAGAGCTGGCCCATTTGCAACGCGGGCAGAAGAATTTGGAGTGATCCGAGACACTTTTCCAAATTTTCACTTGAAGTGCCTGATAACGTAGGTGAGCTTTTATATTTGCGAGATGAGTCAGGTATTATTCAAGGGTTTAAAAAGAATTTAAGCCTTTTAACTCAGACCAATACTACCTGTAAAGGTTATTTCTTGATAAGAAAGTGTATTTGGATAATTCCTCTATTTGCGAGTAAGAAAAAAATGACGACAACTGCAGGATTCGAACCTGCGCGGGCAAAGCCCAAAAGATTTCTAATCTTTCTCCTTAACCACTCGGACAAGTTGCCAGACGATGACATTGAATAGCCTACTGGCAAAACCGGTCAGGTAACAATGGCCAAAAAAAAATACCCGATAACATCCTAAAACGACCATTTGTCTTATCATATATGCATTAAAGAAGCTTTTTATTCGACGAATGTTGTGTTTGGAATAATTCCAGTTCTACAGCAAATATTCACAACAGGAAAAAACATCACATGAATATTCACCAAGCTGGTAGAAATATCTGGGCGGACTAGCAGATAGAGGATTACCCCTGCTTTAAAAAAAAGAAACATATCAAGGGTACTTTGTGGGAGTGTATGGAATATGTGATTAATCATTGAATAACTATTGATTTTTAGATTGAACTAGGAACTAACCACTGCTATGAAATAGGATAAAATTAAAAAACGGAATACCTGTCCTCTTTCTTAATTCAAGGTCTAAGTCTTGGTACTAATAGGTTTCTTTATTTCTCCTCAACCGGTCGATAATCCCGGACATTAGGTTAATTTCACTCATTTCTAGTAAGCCACTGGAGTTATCATCAAGAAACTCAAGGGAATGCTCGAAGAAGCGATCCTCCAGTGCGTAGTGGTAGATTATGAGGTTACTGGGGCAAAAGCTCTTTGAAAGAAAGCTATCTAAGTAGACCGCACCATAACTTTTGTCCACTTATCTACGGCCGCTACAGGTTTTTCATATACCTAAAATCACATTCAAATAAAGTATCTACTAGCCTTAGTGAGTGGCTTCTCTCAATCTTCCGATAACTGGGAAACCTTCAACAAAGTGCATAAGAATCCATTTCCAGGCGACGGACTTGCTAGCTCTGTACTTTCTCAAAACTGGGAGGGTGTACTTGAAGATCTCGATAGTGTGGAGGGCGTAGAGGACCAATCCAATCTTACGTGAGTATTCGACGAAAAGAGAGTAGGCAGAGGGCACAGCTTGAGGCAAGTAGCTCACCAACTTCAAGAAAAGGGCATCGTTTCCAAAGATACGAGGTAAGATAGTTGGGTCGTAACTATTGATAGCCAACAATACCAAGGTAGGGTAGGCAACAATGAGATAGGCGAAGGGGGGACCGAATACCTGGGTGAGCCTGGTGTGAGCATAGCCCTGCTTGTGGGCAGCATACTTAGCCATGGCGATCAACTTGGCCTTGATGTCAGACCACTCCTTGACCTCAATTACCTCGTCCTCGGTGGCATCCTTCCACTTGATGGTGAAGGTAGCGGCCCTATTCTTGGAAACGTAGTCTATGGATACCTTCTCAAGGTCCACATTGGTGATGGCGGGACTGGACTCGTCGAGGTGGACTACATGGCCGTAGACAACAAGGTAGTCGATCAAGGCCAATTGGTGGTCCTTGTTCATGTGTTCAGCGATTCTGGCGGCAGAGGCGTCCATATTGGTGGTTAAGTGGTTAATGGCGTTTGAGGGTTGGATTTTCTTATGATTTTGTAGTCAGAAGATGTGACGATTACATAAGCTGAGGTGGGGAGTTCTTCCGTGTGCATGTGGGGCAATATAATAAGCCTGCCAATGAGCGAGATTCGGAGCATCGGATCGATATCCACCTGTGCTAGAGGGCCCCGTTAGTCCAAGGTGTGGACTTTGAGGTGATAATCCGCATGGAATTACCAGCTTCACACCGTTCCACGGAAAGCGAATAAATACTTACAAGCGACTAGAAACGCCTGTTGAAGACGTCTTCGATAACTGGATTACACTAAACTTACAAGAGATCAGTAAGGATCTGGAAACGAAACATCTTCGAAAGCTTGTTACATTACTTTTCATTAAAACAGGCCTCAAATATTATGGCTAGTTCTTGGTTCTCTTGACGTCTTCTTGGACATCTTCAGCTGCACGCTTGTTGGAGACTTCGTCGTCGCTCAAGTCCAACTCTTCGCCCTCGGAGCTGTCGTCCTCATTACTGTCATCACTGTCCTCGTCGTTTGGAAGTGCCAACACGTAGTACTTGGTAGCGTTCAAGAATAAGTCGTCCACGATCAATCTGGTCAAGTCTTCTCCGTTTCTGAACTCCTTGCCAGGTTTCTCTCCTGTCCACGCAAACCACGAAAAGAACGACTTCATTCCAAGACGATAGTTTTTCTTGTCGTCTGCAGACAATTGCTTGCCCTTGTTCTTCTTGATCAAGGCAGGGTTGATGGCGTCCAACTCGTGGGGCCACTTGATGTCAACCGGCTCGGAGATAATCTTTTCTTCGCCATCTTCAATGATGGTCTTAAAGTGCTTGGTGACTTTCTGGTCAGGAATCACTCCGTCCTTGGAGCTGAAGTCAATGGTGATGTAGAAGTCCTTGAAGTGCTTGAGGTCGTCCTCACTGGGGTTTTCGATGTCGGCTATGTTGTAGTGGACATAGATGTTGTCGATGAGCTCCAAGTACTTCAAGTCCTCCACGCTGATGTACTCGGCAAAGTCGTCGTTTTCAGCAAGCACAATGTACCAAAACGTGGGGATCTTGTTGAGGATGTCACGACGAGATGCATAGATGTGTTGGGTTCTCTTGATGCGAAAGACCTCGGAGTCTCTCTCGGCGACACTCATGTCCTTCTCTAGTGACGCCAACTCGTCCAAGCTTTGCTGGAGGGCGTTTGATTCTTCATTGGTGGGTTCTTGGGACATTGGTGGGTTGGATGTGATGAACTCAACTGTGAGTAAAAGTAGTGCGGATGCGTGATGGGTGCAAATGGCGATGGGGTCAAGCACGGCGAGGATCTATGGGCCAAAATGGCGATGGGTGAGCCAATGGTCTGTCATAGACAGAGACAATCCAGAGTAGTGAAGTATGGGTTGTTGGAGTACGGATGGAAATTGGCCATTTTTAATTCTGGAAGTGTCCTCTTCGCCCAGTCACTACTACACCACCAGAGGTGATTACATTCTGGTGAAATTGTAAGGAAGTGCTCTAATTCCAAGCATACGAGTGTGTATGCTAATGTTCCAAGCAGTCACTCCCTTTTTGGGTCGCCCATTACATTTTGGAGGTTCTCACGCCGTTTCAGGTGTCAGTTTCAGGTGCTCACGAAACAAACCCAGCCCAAGACTTACCGATCCACGAGATTACTACAACAATTCAGTAATCCCAGTAGCTACACTGTCTAGAAGATCTTGACCATCTATTCCGTCTAGACGATCTATACTAAGCCAATTAAAATCCCCGCCACTCGCTGGCACCAATTAGAGCCTTCTTCCCCAACAACGTTGGCACCCAGGCGGCGCGATCGCACCAGGATTCTCGTAACCCCACACACACCATCAAATGTTATCACAGCAGTCATCATCTCCAGTTGTTGCTGCTGAAGGGGACCACCATGCTCAAAGAAAATGAAATCATCTCCAAGGTGCTCCTCACCATCGACAAGTTCAAGGGCAACATGGCCAGCTTCAAGTCTGCCATCACCGACAACGAATATACGCCGTCCCACAAGTCTTGTTTCACTCGGACCTTGATATGGAAATCCTGCCTCATCACAGACAGCTTGAAGATCCAGACTTGGGACTCCAAGCTCAGTGACCTGAGGGTGGTGTATCACGAGTTGCTGAAGCGTGAGGACATGGCAGTGCCGTGGTGGAAGCTTCCAACAGACTCCCCATTTTACCAGAACAGAGACATCTCCAGGAAGTCCAGCATGAAGAGAGAGATCACTCTGCTGCGCAGATTGAAGAGAACCGCCTTGACTAGGGTCTCGGTGGCCGACGACCCGTTGAAGAGCCCGAGTCCCAGTAGATCCAGAAGCCAGACTCCTACATACGAGACTAGTGACAGTGACCTCGAATTACTAGAAACAATCATATTAGATATAGACAGGTTGTTTCCCGGCGAAGACTTTTTCCATGCATCCAACCCACTTTCAATCACAACCAAGCATCAAATGATAGAGATTCTTTACTTATGGGCCAAATGTAACCCGCAGGTGGGCTATAAGCAAGGCGCCCACGAGATTTTGGGATTGATTTACATCAACTTGTACAAGGAAGCGACCCAGGTCCCCAGTACCAACACGTTCACCGACGACGACTTGAGAATTCTCAGTCTTTATGATATTACCTATTTACTGCATGATTTATTTACTATTTTCAACAAGTTCATGGTCCAGAGTGGAATAATGGCCAGGTTTTACGAAAGTGAAGACGTCTTGTGGAAATCTATCGAAAGTTTCAACGTTATGCTCATGAAAGTGGATCAGTTGATCCACTACAACCTCATCAATAAATTGAAGATAGAGTCCCAGTTATGGATTATCAGGTACTTGAGACTCCTACTCTCTAGAGAATTGGGGAACGATTTATCCGTGTCGATATTCCTTTGGGACAAACTTATTGCATCACAGTTATCTAACCACAACGGAAACAGCATTACTGCGATTCCCGATCTCATCATGATAATGACTATCCAGCTTTTAATCCAGTTGAAGACAGAACTCATTACTTGTGATTTCGGTGAGTGTTTGTCGTTGTTGTTGCATTATCCTATCTCCGCCAAGTTAGCGCACCATTCCACCGCCAATGACTTTATATTTCACCTATATAAAGATGCAGTGAAGCTTTACCAGAGCAGAGATGACGACTTGAAACTTTATGAGCTTGGAATTAAGCTCAACAACACCTACAACCCGAATTTGAAGATCACCATGAGCTACACTGGAAGTGCTAAAAACAGCCAGGATTCATCTCGTGCTGCATCGCCCCGTCCATCCACCGATTCTAAGGCTGAAAAATTGAAGTTCGAGAAGTACAGGCTAGAGATGAGACTAAAGAAGAAGGCCCAGCTGATGATCAACAACACTGATTCATAGAGTCTGTACATAGAAATCGAAGTTCCCTAATCTACCGCCATGTAATCTCAACCAGCCCTCACGTGCGCACCTTAAAACTTTTATTTGGCCAAACGAGATTTGGAAGCAAACATCACCGTCCAGCATGGGTAAGAGAAAGTCATCGGCCAAGCCTCAAAAGAAAATCAAGCAGAAGTTAGATATAACCTTCACCTGCTTGTTTTGCAATCACGAAAAGTCCGTCATTTGTACCTTAGACAAGAAGAACTTATTGGGAGAGCTCCACTGCAAGATTTGTGGACAAAGCTTCCAATCCGCCATACACTCTTTATCCCAACCTATTGACATATATTCCGATTGGATTGATGCTTGTGAAGATTTAGCTGAAGAAGCGGACAAGAATGGAGGTGCCGGGGGTGAGGCTGACGAGTACTCTGACGATGAGTTTGACCGTCCAAAGGCTGTCAAGGCACCTGATTCAGAAGATGACTATTGATCATAGTGCTACATGATTTCCTACTGGTTAGAGTGTCATCTTTTTCATGTCAATTGTATTATAATCATCCTTGCGGATAATGTATGTAAATACTAATAAACTAAGTGTACAGCGAGCACAACCAGCGTAGAATGATATACAGTGAGCACTGCTCCCTGTGAGCCCAGCAGCATTCCATCCTAAATGGTCCTTGCTGTACTCCAATCCAACACCTGGGGGTGAGAGCGCTCTCAGTTATTATGCGGTTGGAACACTTGAATGTCGGCCATTATTATTTCGAGCTTATTGTGGATTAGTATCCTTCTTGGCAAGGATATTCAAAACCTGATCGTAAGCATCGTTAATCGTACCGTCAGTAAATGGATCCTGTTCTTGTTCCTGTTGCTGTTGCTCCGCTTCTTTGTTTGCGGCAGCCTTGGGTGTATCCTTAGTTTTCAGATCAGGATCGGCCAACAGCTGTAATTTCTGCTTAATATCTTCGATATCAAGCCCTTCTCGTTTCGAAAGATCGCGGTCCTTTTGACTCAGGTTAAAAACCGCTTCTAGAGTTATACCTTTGGTCTTTAACTGCTCAAGATATTCTATTATCTTGTCCAAATCACTGAAATCAACACTCATCAATTTTTCTCTGATTTCTTCTCCTGATAAACCGACCAACGATTCGAAGAAATCGGCAGAATCAGAATTGGGAATATGGTAATCATGAAGCCTCGATAACTTCAACATAGAACCCTCTTCTCTGTTCAAATATTGCAAGTTGGATCTTGAGTTTGACCTGGACATGTTCAAGGGCGAGATACTGGATGGGATCCCACCATTATGGGGCAAGTCCAACCCCGTGGCAGCCTCGGTGATTTGATTGTTCTTTTCTTGAATCAAGCTATATTTGTTCTTTTCATCCTCTGCTGAAACTATGACGCTAGGTATAAGTTCAGAATTGGTTTCCACTAATGAATTATCTATCAATTGCAAACCCTTCTCGATGGAAGAATCTATGAATATAAACTTAATCAAGGTCTCCTTTCCTTCCAAATTAAGCTCACTTTTCAACTGAAGTTTCAATAGTTCATCAATTGCAACTTTGAGTTCATTTCTGATATTCTTGGCTCTATTGATGAATGTTACCACTTCCGTAGATTTCAAGTCCAATTTCTGTTTCGATTTCATATCCAAGATAATGTTTAATTGCTCCGTAAGAGACTCTGAATCAAATACGGCCTCGTCAAGAGAATCCTCCTTCTTGTACAATAACTTCTCCATATTTCTCATGGTGTAAAGACCAATCTTTTCCTTGAAATAATCAGGAAATCCATCCAAGTCACAGTCAAGTGTTATTATACTCTTGGAGTTCTTAATTGCTTGAATTAATGAAGATAATGAAGAGTAATCCAATTTGTTACCTGACAAAGAAAAGTACCCCAAATACTTGCAAAACGGAAGAACCTTTGCAATGGATGATATGGAGTCATCACTAAAGTTATTATTCTCGAGATGTAATCTAACAAGCTTTGGAAACATTGGTAATTTTGATGTGAAATACGCGGTGATGGATTCTTCTGAAAGGGAATCTGAGTTAGTTCTTGATGTACTCTTTTCAGATAAGGGGTCCGAGTCAGCGTCAGTCAATGACGAAGATAACGAGGAAGTGGTTGTTGTTGATCCATCACTAGATAAGTTATGGTTTAAAGTTCCAAATAATCTTTGGTTGTTGGAGAAGTCTAGATACTTCAAGTTTGGTAGTCTCAAGAAAATTGTTTCTACGACTTGTTTGAAAGAATCAGTGAACAATAAGTTTGTTGAGTTCAAACTGATAAATGCAAGTGAGGACTTGGCTAATTTGGCCTCAAATGTCGGTGTTTTAGAATAATCCAACAAGATCTTGTTCATGCAGTTGGACAGGAAATCGTTGTACCCCAAATCCAACCCAGCAGCAAACTTCTCGAACAACCAATTGTGAACCACGATTTTGAAGTGCTTGGGGTTCAATTGATTGTAGGCCAATCCTAATCTAATTGTCTTGATCAGTACTGCCAACTTAATCAAATTCTCAAACACATCAAGATCATTTATACAACAACCTGTCAAAATCAATTCGCCTATACCCCCACGGGCAACCAAAGTGGCGACTAACAAAGACCAATCCATATCGGAACGGTTGTCCTTGTTGCAAGTCATTCTTTGCTCTTCGTCAGTTTTTTCATTACCCTTCTTTTTCTTCTTTTTCAAAACATTAACCGATAATGAAGGACATTGGGTAATATCCAATTTGTCGAGCGTCTTATTACGAGATAGGAACCAACACAAAAGTGACCAACCATCATTATCAATTGGAGTGTTACGCAAACTCAATTTAAGGAGCTGGGTTTTGGCACTCATTGCCGAAAGCACGATTTTAAACATCTGGAATGTGAGACTGACTCCATCTAATGACACACATATGATTGGGGCGATTCTGATGAAATCAGCAAATGTTTGGATTTCAACCAAGGTTGGGGTTGGGTTTCTCAATTGCAAGATCGGTAATGGTGCCATCGACCCCTTTGGAATCTGTTTGAGCATCGCAGGAATTGGTAAGATTTCTCTGAGATGACAGCATCTTGTGTACATGAGATCCAAGGCCATTTTCTTTACCTGAGTGGTGGAATGATGGTTGGAATGAGAAATCATTGGTTTATCGATTCCCAACAGTTTTGCATGTTTATCAACAACTGGATCTTCGGCTGAGTTGTTCTCTGTGGTGGACGGATGAGGAGTTTGAGTTTTCACACTTGAATCTACTTCTTTGGAACCCAAAGAGTAAGAGCCACCAACAACAATTCCTCCCCCATGACCCATTTGGGATTTTTCAATGGCCAATTTATCTTCCTCAGATAACGGGTTAACTTTGATCACTCCTCCAGGCAATACTTCCACATTCCCTTTTCTTGGGTTTCTGGAAGGGATTTGCTGGGGTGGATCTATGAGGAACGTGGACGAATGAAATGCGACTCTTTTCAATGGTTTCAATTCCTTGAAGCTGGGATGCAAATGGACATTGGTGATAGATGGAGGAGGCGAGATTGACGAGAGCCTGCTAGCTTCTGGAGGTGGGCTCGTTTGTGGAGGAGGTAAAATGGTGGACATAGTTGTCGATCTCTTTCTTAAGAAGGATGAGAACTTGCTCGAGGCTGCTGGTTCTGGGGAAGCTGGCTTATTGTAGGTTGGGTTTTCAATTCCGTTGATCAAAGCACTAGGAAGCTCTCCCTGCAAAGAAGCCCTAGAAACAGAGGATCTTCTTCTCATTGGTTGTTGCTTATAGAACTTGATGTAGTCGTTCAACCTTGGATCGGCACAGTCTCTCGCGGAGTTGGGTGTGGACATGGTTCTGTGCAAGGTGGTCTGTAGATTGGGAGCCTGCGATTCTTGATCGTAACTGGTTCGGTTTGTACCCGTGGAAGCGGGACCATTTGATGATATGTCATAGTTGTCCTTGAATAAAGATTGCTTTGGTATGGGTTCAGGCTTGTGGCCAAGCTTGCCCTTCAACTTCGAGAAAAAGCCTCCTGTGCTGCCAGCACTGCCCATACTGGACACACTGCTTTTTCTTCTTCTGGAGAACTCGGAGCCGACAGTTTCCACCGGGGTAGCGGGTGGAGACGACGCAATGTTTTCGGAGAGAACTGTGGGCTCTGACGGTTTTGACTTGGAGATGTTGTGTTCGTTGGAGTTGGAGATTCCCGTGTTCAAGTGGGTGGTGGACACCAACGAGTTCGAGTTGTGCACAGGCTTGGCCTTGGGCTTCTCGCTGATACTGGCGAGGCTGTCTGACAGGGGCATGGTCACGGTGGACTCTCTGAGGAACCAGTCCACATCGGTGTTCTTGACACCCTTGAGGTACGAGTCATTCTCGATGATGTCTCTGATGGCGCCCAAGTCAAAGCTGGAGCCGTCAGGCGCCTTTGGCTCTTCTTTGTTGGTCATGGAAAGGGTCTATTGCAGCAGTGTTTTGGAGGGTAGTGATTAGAAGTATATGGGGGCCATGCGCTGGAGACGAGTTGGTGATATTAGTGTAGAGTCAGGCGCAGGAATGGTCTAGGACGTGGTCTAGGGCGGGAGTAGGAAGGGTCTGCGGTGGTGGCTGGTGGATGGTTCTTGTCTGGGACTTTATACAGTACCAAAGCAAGGTGACGAAGGGGGGTATATATCGTGACTTTGTAACTAGGACGGGTGCGGCAAGTGCTCATGCATAAATCAGCTGGTCTCGGCCGTAAACGTGATAGGAAAGTCAGATGACGATCAATTTCAGGTGGAATTGAGAGTGGAGAATCGAGACTGAGAATTGGCCTGGAAGGATTGTCGGAGGCGTGAAGGGGCGTTGGCAGGGGCGAGAGTGTAGCTGGACTGATTTGGGCTAGAAGTTGGTGATGCTGGCGGGGGTGATGAAACAGCAATGGGGAAGGGTGGGGAAGACTCGGAGTCAGCCAGTGTATGCAGGCGGCTGCTCATGAAAAAAAAGAATGACGACAACTGCAGGATTCGAACCTGCGCGGGCAAAGCCCAAAAGATTTCTAATCTTTCTCCTTAACCACTCGGACAAGTTGCCATTTCGATGGGATTTCATTGGCACTAAGATTGGGGTGTTGCAGATGTATAAATTAGTAATATATTACTAATGAAGGTCGTAGGTGTGTTATTCTTGCAATAGGTATAGTCAGTCGATTGAATTTACTTCCCATTAGCAAAAGAAAAAGAAAGTCAGTGGATTATAAGGTACTTCCCGTTTATTTCCAGTGGGCTTGGGGCCTCCTACTTCGATTAATCTTATCCTCAAGAATATTCTCTTTATAGTTACTTTCTCTTTGGCGTTCCACACTGTAGGTTGTATGGTGATTTTTACGGATATTTAAACATCCATAAAATTTCACAGTTAACTATTGTCAGACTATTGGCTTCTATCCGATCTCAAATCTACTAGTTAGTGAATAGCCCTAGAAATTCTGAATTTTTATCACCAAATAGGTTTCCATATCCTCCTAAATTCAGCAGCATCGTTTGTTCTTCAATCCTATAAGGAGAGGCTAACTTGAGCGCCTCCATGATCTTTAAGTTTTATTCAATTAACTATTACGTCTCAAACCAATTTTCACTACATTTGGTTGTGGTTTCTGTTTGAGGAAAGCCACAAAATTTTCATCTGAAGTATGGGGTTTATCGAGTTTCCCTGCTACGTGTTAAAGTCTATGAAGAACGTTCTAGCTTCTATCCATTAGTAATGTTGATGTTTAAACTAGAATTATTTTCTAGTACGGCGGAGTCAGAGGTCTATGATAGCTATCTCTTTGAGGCAGCACTCCTATATTCAGAAATGTGCACCAGCCATTAAGCGTTGATTTAGTTCAAATCCGATTCAAAAATTTTCCGAGATCTTGGCAGGTATTTTCCAAAATTAACATTATCAATCAAATGTTTATCTGCAAGGTGCACAGAATCACAATAGATGCCTAAGACCACTTGCGCGAGAAGAGATGACCACGGGCTTTAAAGCGCAATCCCAGTAACTCATCAAACCCGAAAACACGCATCTAAAATTAGATAATATTGATAAGGTGGGCGGTATAACTCATTTTCGGTGATGGTATTTTCTAGAACTCTGACGGCAAGAGTCCGAATTCACGGAAGCGCATCACTGGAAAATATTGTTAATCCCGGCATGAAGGCATTTTCGCGTGGTCGTTCGGCGTCATGCGTTAATTCGGCGAGTCCCATGGAACCACGTCTATTCTTGCCTGGTGGAGGGACACCCAGGAAAATGAGCAACCGCTAGATCTGCCAAGATATGGGAGCCCAGGTCTCGTAACGACCCACAACTTGGGCAACAGCGCGCAAGAGAATTCTATGCATGAACAAATCCCAAACGGGATCTTCCGCTGATGATAATTTGCGTATCTGTGTGGAAAAAGCGTGAGTATTTGTTGGCGATCCGTCAGGCATGAGTGTCGATCTTGGCCACCAGTCACATGCCTATTGTCTTGATGTGGCCCAGAACTTATTGTCTTGATGTGGGCCCAGCACTTTCTAGACATTCCATGCCGGGACTCGGGTGATTGGGGTTCCGGTGCAGGAAATCCGCCTCCATCAGGTTCCACACGTAAGATGGATGTTCGGGGACAGTTCCGTAGAAAAATTTAGTGTGACCGCGTGCCCCACCTGAGATGTAATTTCTTTTGCGAGGATGGTAGTAGGCCAGGCGGGGCACCACGAGACAAGGAAACACCACGAGACAAGGTGGCAGCGACCCAGATGTGTAGGGTGGTGGAGTGTGCCCAGGAGAGGCGGGCCTTGGACGGCGCGGAGTTGTGACGGGTGGGCATGAAACTGTTCCAGCTGTCACTAAAATCAACCCCTTCCCTGCATCAGATTTCCATACCTTGCCACATCTGGAAGCGGATAATTTCTTGCGTAATTCGGCACTGGAACCTCAGACAAATGTCAGTGATCACCTTCACCTGCATGTGACGTATCTGCAACATCCGATTCTCCCAGGTAGGACTTCCCATCTGGGTCCTCGGCAGTGCCGGTGGTTGCATCCTTCCATGCAACCGTGAAACCCGAACCAATGGCCAATGGTTCTGGCGTTGTGGTGGTCAGGTGCAGAAAATAACCCTTTTAGTGGCATCATCTCGTAAAAAGTAGATCGACGCACATAATTTAAGCTTCTATAGTTATTCGGAACCGTTTCACACATGAAATTCACAGTGCCGTTTCATGTGATGCGGTCACGACGTTTGGAGGTGGCGGGTGTCATCGTATGTGTGGATGTGATCCGACACTCCTGCGTGTTATAAGTAAAATGTACTTTGGTCTGAAACATCAACTCCAGCAAATGTGTAACTGATGCCCACATCTGACCCCAACGTGCCAAAGCATCTCGTGTTGACAGAACTAAATATATATTCACAGGTGCTCCTCCAACAACCGTCATCGTCCCCCACATCCATCGTCATGCTATCCACCATCCCTCCCAAGCAGAGAAGAGTTCCCGAGCCTAAGATCACCCGCAAGGTGGTGTTCAACGTGTCCCAGAGCTTCAAGGTGGATCGTGTTCTCGGTGAAGGTGCCTACGGAATAGTATGTCTGGCCGTGCACGAGCCCACCAGCATTCCTGTGGCCATCAAGAAGATCGAGCCCTTTGAAAAGCCGCTCTTTTGCTTGCGTACCCTCCGCGAAATCAAGCTCTTGACCAAGTTCCGAGGCCACGAGAATATCATCCAGCTCTTCGATGTACAGAAGCCGTTGAGCTACGACCACTTCAACGAGGTCTACCTCATCCAGGAGTTCATGCCCAGTGATCTTGCCAAAGTGATCCAGACTCACGTCTTGAGTGACGAGCACTGCCAGTACTTCACCTACCAGATCTTGCGGGGCCTCAAATACATTCACAGCGCCAACGTGATCCACCGCGACCTAAAACCTTCCAACGTGCTTATCAACGGCTCCTGTGACGTCAAAATCTGTGATTTTGGGCTTGCCAGACTCGACAACTTGCGTCACAAATTCAAGGACGATACCAGTGGTGCTATCGGAGGCATCTCAGCCCTCACTGAATACGTGGCTACCAGATGGTACCGTGCGCCCGAAATCATGCTCACAGCGTCTCAATACTCCACTGCCATAGATTTGTGGTCAGTGGGGTGTATTTTGGGTGAATTTTTCACTTACATACCATTATTTCCTGGCACAGACTACAGAAACCAGCTCAGCTTGATCTTCGAGCTATTGGGCACACCAACAGGTTCTGATTTCCACAAAATAAAATCTCCTCGAGCAAAGGCATATATAAACACCTTGCCTTTCAGAAAGAAGTTGGACATAGACAGTGTGTTGAATAATCATCCTATGCGATTGAAAAAGATCGGAAACGTGCCAATAAACCCCCTTGGCCTTGATTTGTTAAAAAGATTATTGACTTTTGACCCCGAGAAAAGAATTACCGTGGATCAAGCCTTGGCCCATCCTTACTTAAAAAATTACCACGATCCTAACGACGAACCCATAACTACCCCAATGAGTGCGGAAGAGTTTGACTTTGATGTTCCCAAGGACCAATTAAGTACCGAGGTCTTGAAGAGAGAGATGTTTGAGAAGATCATGAATCGGTAAAATTCATATTCATATCCCTAGGAGATTTGTTGACAAGATACACCTGGTTTTACATCCTACTCTTCATACCCCATTATCAGAAAATGTGTAACAGGCAAGAAAGATTCAGGTCGAACATCCCAAGACCTCAGAAGTACAATTTAGTCTGGTACAATATTTTGGCAAGTTTTATCCACAGCTTGTTTTGGGTGACAAATAATTGATAGACTTAGTGTCCACACATGTAACATTATTGGTACCGTTCTTGCATTTGCTCGAAGGTACACTGTATATTAGAAATGCATATTTTAAGAAATCATCAGGGTAAAGTATATTTTGTCGAATCTAAGTTGACTTAGCGCCTTTTGATCGAGTCTAGACCATTGTAAAACAACGCAATTTTCTACGAATAACCTAATTATTATCAGGCTTTTTCAGCAGTTGGGCAGATTGTTCCCGAACCTATCTCTTCTCGACAGTGAAGAAATGTAAGAAAACATAACCCAAAACTAGGAAAATTGCACCCAATCCTCCTAAAAACTTGACATCCTTCCAGAAAGCACTCACAGTGAAACCAAAAGAACTCAAGATAACAGCTCCAGGAACTTCAATAGATAATCCAAACTTCTTTTCTCTCAAAATCAAGTCTTTAACTTCATTAATGGCCAACGCCTCGTAGGCATAGTGGAAGACGGAAATCCATTCCAACCACTTGATTTGCAAGTTCAAATCAGTACTGTTGATGAAGAGGCCCGCGAACAACAAGGACATTAACAAAACCAAAACACCAATCATGGTTGAAGTACCAGGTTCCTTGATTAGGATACCAACAATAAGCATCTCAATGGCCACAGTGACATTGAATAAAACCAATATCAAAAGAGTCTTAATGAACCCGTTATGCTCCATTGTCAACCCAATCATTGGATAGGCAATACTTGCCAAGATGACTGGGGGCAAGACTCTCAATGGCAAAACATCACAAACAATCTTACTGGCATAGTAACTGAATGGGTGGTAGTAATTGTTGGCTCTTTCTCTGACAAAAATTATTCTCTCAGTGGAGAAAGAATGTAATCCGGTCAATGACGAGAACCCAAAGAATGCGAGCATGAAAAAGAACAAGCCCAATCTGTTTTGGAATCCACTGATATCGTTGGAGACATCGTAGTATAAGTATCCACAGAAAGTCCCCACTATCAATGACAAGATGTAATGGGTCAAAAGTAATCTAGGATTCCTGTATAAATTCTTGAAAGTTCTGGAGGATAAAATCAAGATTTGATTTGGAATGCTTGCCTTCTCTAAGTATTGCGAACTTAACTCCAAGGGAATGGAATTTGTGACTCCATCCTGAATCTCAGTTTTCAAGTCATTTGCCAATGGTGAATCACCGTAGATTTGGGGTAGTTTATTACGAATCTGGACCAATTGATCAGTTTCATCAGAACTATCTTTGGTACGACCCAAGATATCATGATTATATTCGTCACGATGAACAGCAAAGTGTTCCCATTCTCTGGTAGTATCTTCAGAGTTAGATTGGACAAATTGTTCATGAGAGTCAGCGGGGACAACCGTCTCACTAGTAGTAACACCAGCGATACTAACTGGCAAATCAGATGCCTTGACAAGTTTCTTATGATCCACAGTTATATCAATAAGATAATCAGCGATGTTATAACCCAACGGACATTTGTAGCCATTTCTACTGAAAAAGTCATTGCACTTGATCATGTCACCAGAATAAACCAAATCGCCTTCGCTCAACAACAACAACTTATCAAATAATGAAACGATGTTACTTCTTGGTTGATGAATAGTGAAGACAATGGTTCTCTTGAAATCTCTTGACAACTTGACTAAACATTCAATAACATTTCTAGCATTATAAGAATCCAAACCTGAAGTTGGTTCATCCAAAAATAAAATGGAGGGGGATGTAACCAATTCACAGGCGATAGAGACTCTTCTCTTCTCACCTCCCGAGATACCTCTTTTGAAGTTGGAGCCAATGACACGGTCTTTAATCCCGAGAATTCTCAATTCGTTCAATACCTCGATAACCCGAGCTTCCTTTTGTCTAACACTCATAGTTCTTGGTAATCTCAATAATGCACTGTTTAAAACTGTTTCATAAACGGTTAAGGTCGGTATTAAATGATCTTCTTGATCTACGAATCCAATTATTTTCTTGTAATCAGACTTATTCAAGATGTTGCCATTAACATAAATGTTTCCAGAAATTTCACCTTCCTTATTCTTGGCTGCCAAAATATCCAATAAAGTCGTTTTACCAGCCCCAGAGCCACCCATGATAGCGAGACATTCGCTTGGATTAACCAAGCCGAATACGTTATTCAAAACCTTATGACCATTGGCCACTTTGAAGCTTATGTCATTGAAAGAAAGTGTAGTTGGAACGAAGTTTTGGTTCAATGCAGAGGTCTCTGCGTCGAAAGAATCATAAGAACCATCGCTATTTTTAAACAAAGGTGACCTGTTGATATTGTAAATAGAGGTAATAACAATCAAACCACAAATGAGGGCGACTCCAGTGATGACAAAGATGTTTCCTGTGGTCAATCTCCTCTTTCCAGGCAAGTCATAGCCTGGAATCTCACTCTTATGTATACATTCACCAGCATTACACTTTAAGGTAATGTATGGATCTCCGAAAACACTCGAAATCAAATCATTCATGCTTGGTTCGGAGAATTTGCAGGATTTTTGCTTGACATTGCAAGCGAAATCACCAGGTCCTCTGATGGTCTCGGTTAAAAAGTCAGAAATATCGATTGAGCCTTCTTGCCCACACAACATTTTTCCTGGTAGACACTTGCATGCTACTTCTTCACAATTATAGTGAGTTGTGTTTGATTTCAAGTCGAAGTCAAACTTACACTTATCCAAGTCACAATAGAATGATTCCTTTTGATCGATCCAGAATTGGAAATCACACTTTTCAGCGGTTTTGTTGCATGAAAACGTGGCTTGGGGCTTTAAGCCGTTCAAGATGGAGATAATTTTTGGATTAGTGACATCACACATTTGATGGTTTTTATTAACAAGGATACCTGATTTGTAACAGGTTCCCTTGAGGCCCTCGGGCATGAAGGCATCACACGATTCGTCAGAAGTACACATGTTACAGTTGATACCATCCCAACCGTTTTTGCAAGCACATGTTTCGTTGGCATCTCTTACAGGTCTGTTTTTGTTGCCGTCCGACAAGCTGCCACACAAGGGCTCCGAGCAGTCCATACCCCCGTAACCATCACGGCATTCACACATACCTGTAAATGAGTTGCACTGGGAGAACTGGGTACATTCGAAGTTGGGCAAGTTGCAATTGAAGCATGGAGGACACTTATCATTGTCTTCTGCAGGTGGCTGGGGCCTGACGTTGAACACGTTATTAATTGCGGCGTTGGTGATGATTTTATCGAGAGGGTACGATGTTAATTGGCCTTCAGCAAGCGGTTCAGAGCTGGCTTGTAGACCAGCAACGGTGGCAACCAACCAGGCTAAGCCAAGGTGGAACTTCATCGCTACTTATGGAGGACGGATGAGGTAGCACAGGAAGGGTGACACGGGCAAAGGAGGGTTTGAGCGATGGATTAGGCGTGATGGATAGCCAGCTGGTTCTAGATATGATAAGGCAATTGGGGTGGGGCACGTGAGGGTTGCGGGTTTGCGATCGCCGAGTTAAATACAGGTCCCGTGCGGGTGGGTCACGGGGAATGTGAGTGGTATAGTATCACAACTATACACAACACCGTACTACCATGGCCCTCAAACAGAGCAAAACATATAACCAGGGCCGGTTCCGAAGAGTCCTCCAGTCCAAGCTCGTGGCCACTGACGACGGAGTGCTGAAACCAAAGCACAAGGCCACCATCGCCAATGACAACAGTGATTTGTTGATCTACTTGATCTATGTCAACTACATGAGTGAATTGTTGAAGGAGGGTGCCAGCTCGCGCAACGGAGACTCAGGAAGCGAGGGGGAGGTCACCACGGAACGGTTAGACCACGCTCACGCCAAGTTGATGAAACGGTACAGGGGTTAGGAATCAAAGTGTGAAAAAGCCGAGAGAGAAGAGATAGGGATTATGTACCAGCTGCTGGTGCTGGAACAGTGATCCCGACCTGGCACATTAATTAATCCAAAGGTCAAACGAAAGGAATTTCCCGTAACACCGGAGAAGAAATCGTCTTTGGTGCCTATGATAATGCCGGTGATGAGGTCGATGACGATATTTCGGGCTAAAGTGGAGTAATCAGCTCTGACAAAGAAAGGGTATTGTTGGCCTAATGAGCTGTAATTACGGGTACCTGAGCATTCAAGTGACGATTGTGATCTTCTGTCCCCCTTCAGTTGTTTCGATTCAATGGGAGTGAACGCTCACCCAAGTACCCTGGGTATCGTTCCAGTTTGGCATTCAAAGGAATCGCGGCCGTGAAAGTATTCGAATAAAGTGGTAAAACACGATTAATAGCAGATAATATTGTGTTTGGGCACCAAACACCAAAAGAAAGCCATGGTTGGAGAAAGTTGGAAAGTTTAGACAGGTATCAATTTTGGGACTACCTTGGGCTTGAACAGCTGATCAAGGTTCCTGTGGTAGTGGGATACTATAGCAAATGGATGAATGTTTCCTTAGGTATCTCTTACTAGTCTCCGGAATGAATTTCACCCACCTTTGATTTGATAAATTGATTCATTTCGGGTATTTCATACATGGTCTCACTAATAGTTGGCACCCCGCTTAGTGCGAGAGCAGCAAGTAATCCCTACAATAGGCACCATGGCACAATTAATCACCAGTCTATTTATTCCCTGCTGTATCCAGCAAATCTATGTACATCAAAAAACGGTGTATGGGTTTTTGAGGGTGTCAACCATCTCAATGGCTTGTTTAGGGTCTCTCTTATTATATACAAACAACCCTTGCAATTGAGCGGTGCTGACCGATTTCAAGTTCAACGACTTGAACTTGGCTATGAACTGATCACATAACTCATCTTCATTTTCATAGAATCTCATGAACATCTTTCTTACTTGGAATTCAGTAGCGTTGTCGATCATAACCTTGAAATCGACTCTTCCAGGTCTCAACAAGGCGGGATCGAGCTTCTCAGGATGGTTGGTGGTCATGAAGGTGATGCACTCTTCTGCACTAGCCACACCATCCAATGCGTTTAAGAGTCCGGAAAAGGTGACCCCCGAGTTGAACCCTTTTTCGTCACTCTGATCTCTCTTGTTGAAGGCAGCATCGATGTCTTCCAATAACAAAATCGATCTTTCAGGAATATGGTTCATGAGATGGTTAAGTCTATCGTCGGTCAAGTTGTTCTCGGACAAGTTTAAAATACAAATGTTGTAGTCCAATTCGCCAGCCAACGCCTGAATGAAGGAAGTCTTACCACTTCCAGGCGGACCATATAACAAGTAGCCTCTTCTGTAGGGAATACCTCTCTTGTGGTACCAATCACCGCTTTGCAAGAAGTCCTTAACATCCTCCACGATGGTCTCGGTGATGCCGTTGTCCAAGATAACCGATCCCAACATGCGCTTCTTGCGAGGCTGGCCAAAGGGTCTCCACTCGGGGCCCCACGAGGTGTAGAGAACGGTTTTGCCCTCTCTGGCCTTGAGAGCCAACTTTTTGGCTTCGCCCAACAACTCGCTGAACAAGTATCTGTCCTTGTAGAGGGTGGTCAAGGTGACGGTTTCGAAGGGGGTGCCGCTGGTCATGTCCAAGAGTTTTCCCGATCTTTCTCTGTTGACCAACATGTAGGCGCCCTTGTACTTGATGAGATGCTTGCCGGGCCCTGGAACCAAGGAGAACTTGGTGGAGACCGCGCCGTTGTCGTGCTGGACGAAGTTAGTTTCCACCGACAAGTGTCTCAGGCTTCTGTGCTTGTACCTGGACATCCACTCGAGGAACCAGAGGTACGACTTGTCCTTGGACGGAATCTCGAGATCCACCAACATTTGCCGGTACAAGAAGCCACTGGTACGGACGATCCCCAGCCGTGCCAACGCTAGCGTGGTTCCCAACACCATGAGGCCTCCTCCCGCGGCGAAGTACGGGTTGTTGACCACCACCTCGTTGAAGCCTGCCAGAAGCATGCCAGTGATGGTGCCGTCAGAATTGCTGGTGATTTTCTGCAAATCGAAGGCGGGAGCGCCTGGACGAGCGCCACCAGCGCTGCCACCAGCGCTGCCAGACGAGCTCACGGGCTCCTGCGTCAAACTGGTATCGCTCATGTTGTTAAGATCTCAGCGACTAACATTGCAACCGCAGCGAAGTGTGAAAAATGTCGTGCTCGTTGCCAAGATCCATAACTGTGATCACGATCATCTATACCCACCGCCATCCCCAGGCACCACCGTTGTTTCGCCATGATTGAAAACACCGAATTGATGTCTGGCCCAGCGCCCCCACCACGCTCGGGGTCGGGGTCGTCATTGTCTGCCGATTTGGCCGAGCCCTTGAACCGATCAGCCACTGACGTGGCATCCATTCCTGATCCCAACCGCCAATTCAAGAGCAACAATCCGTTCCTCCAACAGGCCGACTGGAACACTACCGCTGCCACAGTTTCTGGCGGCGAATGGGCAGTTCCTACCAATTCAGAGGACTCTGGAGCCACGGAAGCCCCCCAGCGTGATTCCAGCCCGTTGGAGCCTTCCCCCACCCCAGAGGAATTGAAGGCATATCCGTTCAAGACATTGAACAGAATCCTCGATGACTTGAGATGGACTGTTCCCTTCAAAGCCAAGTTCAGCACCAGTTTGTTGAACAACAAGCCCATCGACTACTCCTCCAACTTGAGCAAGATGGCTCAATCCAACCAATTCGAGTACGACGTGTTGACCTTGAACAACAGCTTGAACTACGCCCCCTCCTACGAGGAGATCCCCGAAGCCGAATCCAACCGCACCTTGAAGATCATCAGAGGCTTGATTACAAATGCCAAACACGACACCTACCATTTCCGGTTAATGATATTGGAGAAGGTCACCAACCCATTCTCTCCCATCGACAAGCACGAGTACCACATCATTCCCCACTCTGTGCTCGCCAAAAATGAGTTGGATGTGTTGAGACACGGACAAGAGTCCGGCTTACTAGATGACGCATACTTTATGAGCTCGAATAGCAACCTCAATCACATCTTGAGAGTCAGTGTGTTCAACCCTGAATTCTCTCGCGATGATTTGTTTCAATTGACTGATGAAGAAACTATCAAGAATAGATATTTAGAAGGCATGAAGAACCATCCCAATTTATCAGCAGACACCATCCCCAATCCCATCCATTGCTTCAAAACCATGATAAAAGTGCTTAAGGGTCCCATATTGCTACCTCCTACAGATTCCATTAAGACTATAAGCTTGAAAAATACAGTCTTGGACTCACAGGTTGATATTGCGTTCCTATTGAATAGGTTATCATTTAGCTTGAATTCAGAAGAGACTGATCTCATACCTCCAAGTCTACACACATCTCCAGAATTGAAAGAAGCTTATGTCAGAAAGGTGATTGAGCTCATTTTTTGCGCCAAAGTCTATGGGAAGAAGTACTCCAACAATGAGTTTGAAACCCAATATTCATACTCCGATAACTTTTCATTAATTTTCAGTCATATTCCAGAGTTTGATAAACACATAAACTTAGTTCATTTCAAAACCCACAATTCAAACCACTTACCATTCTTGATTAATCTTAGTATTTGTTCATTTTTCCAGGATGAGCTCATTGTTAAGTGCTTCGAGAACACTGTCAAGTCTGACCTCACGAATAAGCTTCATTATGTCGACTCATTAAAGAGCACTATTAATTTCAGGAACGGTTCCTCTACCAATAACAAGCTTGCAAAATATCTCAAGAACTTATCCACGCATGGAGAACTTGTGGGTTGGTACGATTATGTCGAGTCTATGAAAGCGCTAGGATTGACAGCTGAAGATGCCCAAAGTCTTCAAAATATAGATGATGATGTTGTCATTGCGATGTACAAAACCAATTATAAGTCGGATTTGAAGAACTACACATATTTCCATCGCCATTTAACTACTATTGCAAAGGCCAGAAATTCAACGAAACTCACTAATTTCATTGATAATGAGATTATTCCTTTGGAATTGGCTTTGGAGGAATTGGGTGTCGAAGAAATTACCGAAGATGAAGTGATTATTACTGCGTATGAATTCGGCCTAGACGAAGTGATGCAAAGTAATGGTTTCAATAGTTCATCTCCTAAGGTTTCACTTTTGAGTAAATCCTTACTTTCAGTTGCTGTAAACCGGAAAAGTTATCTTTTGTTGAATTATCTTGAAACAAAGTTGCCAGACACTATCAAGGTCTCCAAAGATATCACTTATGCAAGAGCTCTTGAAATTTTAGGATGTCAAACAAGCTCATCCGAATTTGAACTTGTTACCAATTTCCAGAGCAGACTTATTTCTAACGTGGAAAATGAATTAAATGATGTCCGTATATTGAGATACAGTTTGAAATTGATAGCCGAGAACAAGAAGTCGGATATTTTATTCAGTTTCTTAAAGAATGGTAGAATAGACCCAACACTATTGCCTGCAGAGAATTGGCCAGCTGGTTTGGATAATATCGGGAATACGTGCTATTTGAACTCATTATTGCAGTATTACTTCTGTATTAAACCATTGAGGGAGTTGATATTGAATTTCGAGGAGAAGGACCTTGATCTCTTACAAAATCGTAAGATTGGTGGTAGAAAGGTAGAGGAAGCAGAAATTGCTCGTTCCAAGCAATTTATTTATCACTTGAAGCACTTGTTCAATGAAATGATTCACACCGATAAAAGATGCGTTGAGCCATCGAAAGAATTGGCTTACTTATCGTTTTTGCACCTTTCACAGCCTGTCACATTCAAAGAGAATAGGTTCGACGAGAAGGAAAATGATATCATAGATCTTGAAAGTGATGAGCCAATTCTTGTCTCGTCTCAGTCAGAATCAGATTTAGATGTGGAAATGATTGAAAGCTCAGCACCTGAACTCGATAGTCATATTGAAAATGTGGAAATCATTGCAGATGAAAGTCATGAGGAGCGTAATCCATCCCAGATTTTGCCAATCAGCACTGATCAAATGGAGAGCACTATTGAAGTTGGTAGACAGCAAGATGTTACCGAATGTATCGAAAATGTGACCTATCAAATTGAAACGGCCTTGGAACCGGAAGAATTAGAGGAAGATGGTGAGCAGGTTGATCTAATCAAAAAGCTCTTTTATGGTAAAATTAAACAAACAATCACTCCGTTAGATCTGATCAACAAACAACCCAGAATATCAGCGGAAAGGTTCTTTAGTTTGATCATTAATGTGAGTGATAATCCGAAGAATATTTATGATTCGTTGGACAATTATTTTAGTGAAGATTTGGTTAAGCTTGAGGAAGGATATGTTAAAAAGTCTCTCACTATTAGTGAACTTCCAGAAGTGTTGCAGTTCCATGTTCAGAGAGTCATGTTTGATAGAGAACGTTTGGTACCTTATAAATCATTGCAACCGATCCCCTTCAGCGAGAAAATTTACCTTGATAGATATTTGGATACCACCGATGAAGAAATTTTGTCCAAGAGAAACGAAGTTTTCAAATGGAAATCGGAGATACAGATGTTGCACGAAAGAAAGGAAAGCATCTTAAAGGTTGATGACACTACTCATATGAACATCATTGACTCTTTAAGGACCACAAAGAAGTTTATCGAGTCAAAAATTATTCCTAATGAATCTTTTACCTTTGATGAAGCAACTTTAATGAAGATAGACAACCAAATCACTAGTTTGAACGAAGATTTGACAAAGATAGAAATTAGATTGACTGAATTGAGGGAAAAAGTTTCGAACCAATTCACTTCCTACACCAAGGTTGGCTATTCTATATTTGCTATCTTTATCCATAGAGGAGAAGCAAGTTATGGCCACTACTGGGTGTATATCAAAGATCCTCATAGAAATGTCTTCAGAAAGTACAACGATGAGGTGGTGACTGAAGTTCCATTTAGCGAAGTTTTCAACTTCAATGATGGCAACACTGCTACGCCATACTACATCGTGTATGTTAAGGAAAACTTAGAGAATGAGTATGTTGAACCATTGAAAAGGGTAATTGGTACACCCAACTAAGACGAGCATATAATAGTTAGAGAACGGTGATGATCGGAGATTTGAGATCTTCCGAATAAACCAACGTTCCAAATTAAATACAATAGCGTGGCGTCCACGTAGTTTTATAAATGAAAAAAAATCTACATTTTAAGCCACAAGTGATTAATAAATGAAAAATTAAAATACATTACTCAAATAAAATACACTGATAGAACACATGATCCATAAGCTCTGCTCTCTGGGCTCGACTTATAGATCCTCTATAATTTTCTTTTCTTTAAATCTGGTTCGGTCTCGTTCTTCTCATTTTCACCAATCGTAGGCTTTTCTGCTGGACTTTCTTCCTTGTGCAACAATGATTGCAATTTCGTCTCAACTTTGCTAGGCGATGTCGGACGGGCAGTTATGTTGGTTATTGAAATGGATCTGTCGAGCTCACTCACAGATGGGAGTTGGTTTTTGGACTCACTTTGTATTGAGGCAACATTAGGGGAAGGTACACGTTGAGGATCAATATCCAAGAGCTTAGCAGATGCTTCAGGAGTTGGGGTCAACGGCTTTGGAGAATCAGATCTCAAGGTGTTTATGGTTGGGATGGTACTTCCTGAAGTGGAGGCCGACGAAGACTTTTGCAAGGCTCCGAGAGGGGCCACCCCACTGGCAGCACTATTGTTGCTACTGAGTCCAGGTTGCAGTTGTGGTGTTGGTGGTGGTAAATGAACACTGTTGGGGTAATAATGCAGCTGGGAAGGGTGTGGATGCTTATGTTCATACATCGAAGTGAAAGAATTTCTCTGACTATGATAGTGGTTTGCTTCAGGATTTCCAGGGCCTGCTGATGTTGGTGCACCATCTAAGTTTTGGGTGTGGTCAATTTGGGGGTTCGGTAACGAGTTGGTCCTGCTTCCAGAAAGCTTGTGATGGTGGGTGATTGCACTTGTATGGGGAGGAAGCTGAGATTGGATCGGATGAGATGGGGTATTAGATCCACTGCTGTTTTCGGTTCCATTATTGCTCATGTTAGGAAAAGGATATTGACGATAGTTCTTGAGCTCTGGAAGCCCGCCCTTTATGTTATCATATATCGAAGATCTTGATGATGAGGACCCAATTTGGCTCGGCGAAGCTGTCACTGCACCTGCCACCATGGTAGCTGGTTGTGATGGGTTTGGCTTGACGGAGCTGGTAGGCCCAGCGTTGGCACCACCAATTGTCAAGGGGCTGTAGCTTTTGGACTCTGCTCTCATCCTGTAAGCGTTTGAACTGTTTGCAGCTGCCGATCCCTGGTTGCCTTGGGGCCCTGGTTGGTTTTCATCGCAAAGAATCTTGGACTGTCTTGATGGAATTGGTTGTAACGGGTCCACAAACACCGACATATTTCTGGGGTTCTGTTGTTGGACTTGGGATGGGGGTTGGCCTGGCTGTTGCTCATCGTTGGATATGAGCAGCGAGGTGCTGACCTTGCCCGGGTGTCGATGGGGGTTGTAAATGGTGTAATGAGGGTTAAGTGGGTAGTACTGGGGAACAATGTGGAGGTTAGAATTCGATGGTTTTTTGGAGGTTGCTGAGTTGAAGTTGGGGGTGTTGAGGTGGTAGGCAGGGCCGGTTGCGTTGGAGGAGATGTTGACGTTGTTTAAGGTGTTCTGATTTATTCTTTGCAATAAAACCGACTTGAACTTTGAAATTTCGTTGAGCAACGGCGCGCTTGCTTTTAAGGGCTCCAGATTGGAAATAGCGGCTCCAGCAGGGTTTTTGTTGGAGTGGACAACTGACATGGGCGAAGTATTAACTTCGTCCTCTTTTTCACGGAGGGCCTGAGTGGCAGGCGTATTCACGGGCGTGCGGTTGTTCTCGGCACGATTGAATATGTTGGAGTTGATTGTGGGTCTATCCGATTCAGGTTCGGGATTTTCTCGCTTGACTTGGGTGTCATTTGCAGGGGCTGATTGGATCAAGTTCTCGAACATCTCCAAGATCTGCAAGGTGTCCGACAGGTTGCGTTTGAGCTCAAGGAGAACGGTATCGTACTTGGAGTTCATGGCAGACAACTCGTTTTTGAGGGAGTTGACTTGATTGTTCAAGTCGAGGAATTTGAAGTTGATTGAGTTCTCAAATGAGCGGGAAGTTTTGAGGGGAGGCGGCACAGGAGCACCGGACGGAGGTTGTTGGGGCTGCTGGTGCTGGATGTGAGGGTGGTAGTGCAAGGGAGCATGTCCCTGGGGAGAGGGAGCACCATGGGGAACTTCGTGAGGATGGGCGTGGGCGAACTGGGGGGTGGAATGATTGCTTCCTTGGGTAGGAGGCTCGGGTCCTGGAGTCGAGGCAGTGGGAGGAAGCTTGTATTGAGGCGGAGGGCCCAGGGGCTGGGGCGGAAACGTGCCGTTTAACACTGTTTGGTGCTGGACCAGAAGTGCCTGGTGGTACAGGCTGTCGGCGGAATGGTGTCTTGAGTGGGCTCCTGGGTGGGCAGACTCGTCCTCGGAATAGTATGGCGGGTAGGCGTAGTGGGGAGGGCCGATGGGGTTGGAGGTGGGAGGAAGGGACTTCAAGTTGACGACTTCCTTGTGGGAGTTAATGTTTTTGGACGAGCGTCTTTTGATGAGCTTGAGCGAGTCCACGTCGCCTTTGCGGAACTGGTTGGCTGAGTGACGGAACTCCCACTTGTTGGCAGAGGTGGTGGAGGAGCCGCCAGCGAGCGCAGCCGCGGACTCCTTCTCGGAGTTCTGGAAGGTGTCGTTGACCTTGTGGAAGCCGTACATGTTGAGCTGCCGTATGAACGAGGCGATGTTGGTGTGCTTGAAGTACTGGCTCAACACCTTGGAGAAGTCTTCGCCCGGAAGGAGGCAGAACGAGTCGTGGGAGGGGGCCCACCAGATCAAGTGGGAGATGGTGGGGTCGTGGAGCATGTCGTAGAGCTTGTGGATGAACACCGTCTGGGTCTTGCCTGTGGCAGCAGCCGAGGGAGCAGGAGGCTCCTGGGGAACACCAGGAGAGGGACTGGGGGAGTGAGCGGGTCTGGTGGGGGTGGGGACCAGGACGGCTATGTGGGGGGACAGCCGCAAGGGGGGCTGTTCGGACAGCACCTGCGGTGGGCGGACCGTATCAGGCTGGAGGATCGACATAGGGCAGAGTTGTTTAGCTATAGACACATCAACCAAGATGTCATTTAGTGGCCGGAGTGGACCCGTAAAAAATTTACCGTTGAGTATGTGGTGGCGCGGGTGCAGGACCGTTACGTAAGCCGCACCAAACGGCATTAATTCCGCAAGATTTTTTTGGTGAGGGACCTCTTGTATCGGGACACGGCTTCGGAACTGGAACGGGCCCAGCTAGGCCGAGACAATGACTACCCTTGGGAATGTGATGATTGAGCATGGAATCCGAGCATGAAGCGTGACGGCCCTATCCGTGCTACTCGGTGCATACGTACATCCTCATCTGCTCCTTACTCGGGTATCCTTGCCAACTTGTTCCACCACTGATTCTTGATTACGGTGCTGTTCCATCTTGGCAGATACGAGGAACATCTGAAGGTGGCTAAGGTGGGAGGCCGCCTTCTCTCACATGCCGGGAGGCTGGGCCAGGGCTGTGCGGAGTTGTGGTTGGACACACAATGTGCTGTACGGACTAAAAAGCTGTGGGCACAGGTGAGACACACCAGTTACGTAAACGCAGCAACGGCTTTTGTTGTGCGTGCCGATTGTTGCGAGATGATGTCACTGCCGATCGCATTCAGGCCAAGCTTTGGGGTGGATTTAGGGTGTTACACTTACGGCGACGTTTACCGACGGTTACGGTACCGATACGGGGGCTCATCCATTTCACCTGTCACGTGACGCTGGCGATTGGAGGGGTGTGTTTGTGTGCGGCGCCAGCCTGCAGGCGTCGGCACCCATTCGGGTGGCCCCGAGCAGGTGCCAGAGAGTTTTTGCTGGGGGCACGTCCGCAGCCATCATCTGTGAGTGAACTGTTTACGTCCGCACTGGGAGCGTTACCGTTACCGCCAGCGTCGTCGGGAGCATCCGATCAGGGCCCGGTGCCGCAAACGGCAGGAGGCGGTAAGACGGCAAGAGTAGGTGAGAGAGGAAGACAAGGCAAGAGTAGGTAGACTATGTAGAGTAGGCAGAGTAGATGACAGTAGTAAGGATGGGCCAGTACTGCCAGCAGTTGGGTGCAAACTGCCACCTGGCCACTGAGTGTCTGGACTGGGTGACGGGTGACTGACCCATGGCGTTGACCATCCTCCCTCCCACCAGATCAGTCATCGCAAAAGAAACCGCACGGTCATGTGACAAAAGAAATTGGAAAAAGAAACGGTCCGTCCCGTGACCCCTGGCTTCCAGGTCCACCCCCACGATGAGCTCCAGATCGCCACCGTCCTCTGGCTGTCCCCCTCCCGGCACCTGCCTCCTAGTGGCAACCTCGCCTGATCGTTTCACCTCCGCCCAATCAGGCTCCATTCTGGTGGTGACTCCTGGGGCGATTTTTTCGCCCCCCCCGCGCACGCCCTCTCACGCACTCCCTCCTCCACTGCCGAATGCCCCCTCTATCGCCTTGCTATTATCACCTCTATTATTTCATAAGCATCGTCATCTTTCTTTTTAATTTCAGTCGTATATATAGTTTGCCGTTCGCATATCGACCTCCCTGATCATATCCGCACACCTATTAAAGACTCCCACCACCACCGTCCGTCCCCCACGCCTCCCATCTATTCACATCGCCTCCTCCTCCTGCCCCTCGTCCGCCCCTAATACCCACCCCTCGGTACCATCATGATGAACTCCCACATGAACAACCAACCGCAAGACCTGGAACAAGTATTTCTGGACGACCACCAGTTCAGACAGGTGTGCTTCGACAAGTCGCCTGCCACCGCCAACCCGTCGCCCGCCGACCCTGCGGGCGCTGCTGCTGGCACCGTGCCCAGTGCCCCTGGTGCCCCCTCGTCCGTGGCGCTGGCGTCGCCCAGCTCCACGGGAAACGGCCCCCACTCGTTCAAGCGCAACTCGTCACTGGCAGCCTCGCCCTCCACCTGCCTGGACCAGTCCAAGCGTGCCCGTCTTGACCCGTCCCTCCAGCTGCTGGCAGCCGCTACAGCTGCGGCAGCGGCTGCTGCCTCCTCCAGCGCCTCCTCGGCATCGGCACCCTTCGACATGCCATCTCCCAAATCATACACCAACGACATCATCAAAAAGGGTGGCCACCACCACCTTCCCATCTCGCCGGATGCGTCCACCCCTGCCGACGCTGCGTCGTCGTCAGCGGCGTCCGTGACTTCCACAGCCGGCACGCGTGTGGCCGTCATCGAATCTGCATCCAAGTCCAAGGCCCCAAAGCTTATCAGGCGGTTCAGGTCCCGCTCGTTGCCCATCATCAACTACAACTCGCAGCGGGCCCAGCACTTCCACCACCATGGCCACCATCAGCAACAACAGCAGGGCCACCCCCACTCGCACCACCACCACCACCACCATTCCCATCACACCACATCGTCATCCAACATCTCTCCATTACCTCCCATCAACCTCCAGTCCCTCAAGGAGATCGATCTCCATGAAATCTTGAAGAACCCCCAGCTCCGCCACGACATCCTTTTCGACCCCCAGCTCCAGTTCAGGCCCAACTTGGACGGCGAGCGTGGCAAGCGCAAGAAGTCCATAATAGACAAGTACTGGCTCGAAATCCTGAAGGAATGTGGCCAGTTCTTCAAGACAAACCCCCAACCGGCCCCCATCAAAATCCACAGACTCCCCATCCTCTTCACTACCCTTAGAGACATCTTGCTCTCGCTTCTTCCCACCAAGGACAGACAGCAGGTCAACGAAATCATGGACATCGAGCTTCTCATCCAGCAGCTCAACCGTGGCTCGTTCGACTTTGTTGAAATGTCTAAGTGGCTCGGTGATGTCTTCAAGTCCCACTGTGCTCCCATGCGCGACCAGTGGGTGGTGGAGATGCACCAGAAGTTTGTGGACGCCTACACCAAGAACTCCGTGGACTACTTAGTGGGTGGTTTACGGATGATCTTCCAGATTCTCGAGGCCATGAAGTTAGATGTAGCTAACCATCAAATTAGAATACTCAGACCGGTTTTGATAGAAACCGCCGTGGATTTCGAAAGAGACTACTTCCAAAGTTTAATCAACCATCAAAAAATCAATATCAACGATTCTCTCAACTGGTTCTACAAGAAGTTTGTTAAGAAGTCAAAGTCGAATGTGATTGTGGATGAGGAAAACCAAGAAATGATCATTAACGATACTGTTCTCAAACCGGTTATTGTTTCTTCTATCATCGACTTGCTCTCGTGTCGCCAAATGGCCACCGAGTTTCCTTCCACCTTGGCATTTGATCATACCCGCCTTGTTCTCCTCAGAGCTGACGTTAGGCAATTGGTCTGCGTCCAATTATGCGTGGTGTTATTCAAACAATTAGTTCTCCTTTCCAAGAAAAAGAATCCTTCTATTCCAAGTGCCACCTTACTTGCTCCTGCAAATATCCTCAAGGTCCAGCAGCAAATTTTGGCAATCGTGACCGATGATAATGGTAACATCAAATGGACCAAGAACATATCATCCATCTCGCTTCAACTTGTGAAAAATGTTATGGGAACTAGTAGCAGCTTGCCCCCTGATATGGTTGATTTCAGTTACAACTGGCTTATCAAGCACATCCAACCAAGCTCGGAAGTTTATGGGTTGATGGAGGGTAAAATCTTCAAGGACCTATTGAACGAAATCGTTGCCAACATGGGCAACGAGGAAAGTTCCACATATTCCAAGGATGAAGCTACCAGCGAAAGTTCTACTTCTAGTGCCAACAACGGGGCTTCTGAGTTGAAGAACATCGCTGCCAGGATTGCTACTTTGGTCAGATTCCACTGGAATGTCTTTGGAAACTACTACATTGAATACGTCAAAACCCAACAGAACAAACTTCAACAAGACAAGATTGCCAAGCGTAATGTCGTTGTCAGCAACAGCAAGAACAAGTTGCTTGAAAACAGCATTAACGAGGACGGCAACAGCAACCAAGGATTGAAACCCAGTAAGAATAGTGCTACCAATGCCACCATTTTGTCCACATAAAGATACTGGCAAATCATCTCCATCATATTCATCATCATCATAGACCACCATCCACCTCATTTTAACGATCACCTTTCACTTCGTAATACAGTCATCATACACCCCCTTCTTGTATTCGTACCTTTCATGATTTCAATGACCACTTCGTGTCGCGACATTCAACGAGGCACCAACCACTTGCACCAGCACTTTATGATTTTTTTTGATTACTTATCTATAGGAAGGGTTTATTTAGTTAGTTCACACCAGGTTTCTATTTCTCAATATATATACTAAAAGTATAGTATCCAGTGTAGAACCACAGGGTTAAGGGTTACCAGAAGATCCACGTAAGCAAGGCATTCACTGTTTGCCAGTGATCCAGAGAAAGTATTTGCTTCGAAATTACTCGGATCGAAATTAGTAGATGACATATTTTTTAAGGAAATGAAACGAACTTTGTTACGCTTGTGATTAAGCGTGGTGACTTCATCTCTTTTAGAGTTCAGCAGGATTTCTTGAACGGGAAGTTTTGGTTGGTATATTCGCACTACCAAATATCACTGCCAGACTCTCACAGCAACCACATTATCACCACCATGGCTATTCTGACACCAATGAAACTGATGCCCCTATCTATCGTGCTTGCGCCCTTTAGGCTTGCCTACAATGTCACGTCCTACACCGTGAACTTGGTGGTGTCTGCGGTCAGCCACACAATAGTGATTCCCGTCTTGCTTACCTTCAACATCATGATATACACGCCGTTCATTAGGATGCCATTCGTTGGTCCGCTCGTGTGGCTCCTTGAGTTGAACAATTCGGAGCATGTATCGGACTACGACTGGTTGAGCCAACAACTCCACTTGTTTCTCGTCAACGCCTTCCATTTCGTTCTAGTGGCAGTTTACATAGGGGTGATTGTGGGGGTGCTCAGCGGCTTGAACTTGAAGGTGATTAGATTTGTGTTTGGGCTATTCTTGCGCTCTGGGGATGCTGCTACTTCTCGTCCTAAGGATACCAAGGCGATGCAAACCACCCCCTTTCTCGACGAGGTCTACTCCAGAGCCCTCAAAAAAGAGCAACAGAACAATGCTGCAGACAACATCGAAGCGTTTTCACCCGTGCAGTCAATTCCGTCCAACTCCACGGAGTCGCTGGTGACACACTTGGAGCCACTTTCGCCCCCTTACTCCCCACGAGATGGCGTCAGGTCCACGGCAAGTGGCATCGAAAGCCGTCTTTCTGCCCAGCGCTTGCGGGAAAGGTTCCGGAACAAAGACCACTTTGTCAACGACGGTGGCATGGACATCTACGAGGACGACGACGGCTACGGCTACAATGAGGCAGGTGCCGAAATGGCCCAAGCGCCGTTAATCAACACCATCGAAGAGGAAACCGAAAGCGAGGACCGGGAGGACACGCCCCGCCATGAAACACTCTCTTTACGTGGTGGCTTCGACGTCAATACGACCAGTACCAAAACGACCCCCCACGGCTCGCTTAAAAGATGATAGTTACGTAAGCGGAACCACCTCATAGCAGGACCACATATTTGCAGACTATAAATAAGTGGTGTTCTCCAACAGCTTCACTCCTATACTTGACAACCACCACCGCCAAGAACGCTTCTTTGGTCATGCAACATCCCACGGCCCGAAGGGCCAATACGCACAACAGGCTCCTCTCCTCCGACAATTTCGCCCTCTCGGAGTCCCACCACGATGCTTTGGGTGCCGCCAACACCTCGATCCGGCAGGTCAAGGTGGTCCAGAAGCTCGTTCCTAGGCCGGTTTCTTATCCCTCGACTAGTCGGCCGCTGGGTGTGTTCGCAACTCCTCCACACTCGTCATCCGACTCTGCCATCCACACCACCAACTCGTTTGTGAAGAGAATATCCTTTGTCGACAGCAACAAAATGGACACGGCAATTCCTTGGCCTAGACTCAGAACATGCGTCGACGAGTCCCGTTTCGAGGACTCGGGCGCCACCTCCCAGCTAGCACGCTCACTAATTCGATACTTGAACGAACTTGGGTTCACGGACTCTAACTTGGTGTCGCCCGATTCCAGATTGGGTGCGACAGACACTTCTGACTTGGGTGAAACAGATGCAAAGAGGTACTTTTGTGAAGTCACATTTCATGTGCGCAAGAACCTGAAACCTTATACCGTCAATTTAAAGTTGACTTATGAGCTAAAAAAAGTGGCTTTGAATTCTAATCTATTCATATCTAATGAACAATTGTCTAATTACTTGCGAGATAAGTTGGTTTTCCGGCGGCCAACATCGCTTTCGCAAAGCGAGTTCGAGCACTTCGAGCAGAAAATGAAGTCAATGGAGTTGACAGAATTGAAATGTTATATCGATGGATTGATGATCGAGATCTAATGGTCTAATTGTTTTTATCCACATGTCCCACGCTTGGTGGAGCTGTGCCTGACTCCCACACCACGGGATCATTGGTCATTTCAAACACAATCGACCCTCCCTTGCTAAATAATGTGCTGTGATCTACCCAGTTCTGGTTATGTGCAGCTCCGTTGATTGTGACGCTTTGCACATATTTGTTCTGTTCGCTGAGCCCGTTGGCAGTGATTTCCAATTTATTTCCGTTATCAAGATTGATACTGAAGTACTTGGCCTTGGGCGAAGTGATCAAATAGTTCGGGGTCCCAGCTATTGGATAAAAGCCCAAGAGTCCAAATATAAGCCATGCTTGCATGGCTCCAGCATCGGAATTTCCTGGTAGCCCCTTACTTCCAGTGGTGAAGTAAGTGTCAATTATCCAACTTACGGTTTCAACACTTCTATACTGCTCATTAACAAAGTTGTAAAGATACGGAGTAAGGAAGCTTGGTTCGTTTCCAACATCAGCAACCTCTTGTGTTCCGTGTAATTTGTACATGTCATCCAATCTGGTGACGAATAGTTCTTTGCCACCAATAAACAGGATCAAAGTCTCAATATCCCAAGGAACTGCCCATCCGTACTCCACAGCCTTCCCTTCATAAGTAAGGTCTCCCCAGTAGCACTTACCGCAGTCGAAAGGGTCGTAGTTGGTGCTATTGAATGTACCATCGGCATTTTTTGGTTGAATGAATCCTTTATACGATTTTCCTTTGGCAGTGGCATTGAAATTCCAGATCTTTTGCCAGTTAGAGGATCTTTGAAGATACTTTTCGTAGGCAGTTTGGTTATTGAGGCCCTTAGCAACCACAGAAAGAGCAAAGTCATCATAGGAGTACTCTATGGTTCTTGTCAATGAGCGAGTATAGTTATTTGTGACATATCCGTACTTGAGCCAGTCGGGAAGAGCACCTCTTCCTTCTTTAGTATCAGCATCAGGTGCAAACGAATCATGCCAATAAGGAGGAGCGACTTCTGCATTTTTCACCATCGCTTCAAAGGCATCATCCCAATCAATTCCTTGGATTCCCTTGACATAGGCATCGGCCATCAAAATATCCGAGTTGGAGCCTCCTTGCGTTCTTCCATTTTGATTGGCACTTCTACCGTCAGGAGTGTATCCATCGTGTTTGTAAATTTCAATTAAACTCTTGACCAATTCCGACCCTCTGGATGGGTTGATAATGTTAAACAAGGGATTCAAACACCGGAAAGTATCCCAGATTGTGAACCAGTCGTCGTAGTATACAGGCGCATCCCAATGGGGGTTTTCACCTGTTCTGTTGCTAGGTAAAAGATGCGCCCCATACAAACTGGTGTAAAGATAGCTGGCAATGGTAGCATTTTCACTGGATATGTCGATCTTGCTGAAAACTTCATCTTGCCAGATCTTCTGGGTATCTTGGACAGTCTTTTCCAAGTCGAAATCGGACCCCAAATCGTTATCGATATTTTTAAGAGCTTGATCAGCAGAAATGAACGAGATACCAACCTTAGACTGAACAATGTGATTTTGATCCCACAGGAATACCAATCCGAATGAGCCATCTTGAGTAGTGGAAGAAGCTTGCAGACTATTCTCGCTAACCTTGCTGGCCTCGTAGCTTTTCACTGAGCTCGCACTGGTATCGAATTTGGCTGCGAAATATAACGTCCAGGCGTCCAGGTCTCCCCAACCTCCTTTCAAGGTGGTATGACCAGAATAGCCCGATAAGTCAGCGTCTGCAGTAATAGACCCATTCACGAAGTATTGGGTCCACCAGGGCCGCTTGGGGGCAGACAAGTGATGGGATCCATTGACCAAAAGTTGAGGCGAGGTTCCTGAAGGAAAAGTGTACTTGAGAATACCCGATCTTTCAGCAGCAGCAAATTCTGCCACTATGCCACTGGTGGTATTAAAATTGTAGTACCCCACCTTGGCCACATCATGAGAGGACCGCGTTAAGTTGTGCTCGACACTGGGGTCAAAATCGCCAATTATAGGCAATTGCGATACTAAGCCATATTCTGGCGCACCTCCAGTTCCAGACTCGTGCATCATTGAAATGCCCGTAATCACACCGCCAGGGGTGTATCCGGAATATGCATCTCCGAAGCTGGGGTCAATGCCGTCGACGCCGAGTTTGGCCATGCCAAATGGCCGGGTGGAACCTGGGAACATGTGCCCACCATTTTCGGTTCCATAAAATAAATCCACATAGTCAAGTGGATCAATTTTAGGCTGATTTATGGGGTATTGGAACGAGCTTCCAACCAAGGACGCGATGGTTATAAGTGAGAGAAGCATGGACTGGGGAATCGGCATCTACGACTGGCAAACCCCTTATATATGGTTCCATGCCCGGACAGAAGCCGACAGCCGTTATTGTGCCTTTTGGCCAGGAACCCCTGGTTATTGCAGAACGTGGCTTTCCAGGTTGCCATATGGTGCTCTGGCTATTTTAGGAGCCATTGACTGGAGGTTGTCAAAACCCACATGGCTGTCAACGTGGTTTAATAATTAGGGGCGCGCAGGAACGTTAAATGTCAGGAAGCGAGGCATGAGGAGTGAGAGGAAGAGGAGGAGAGGTTGCGTATGGGGCCAATAGGCCAAACAGCACAGCACTCCAGTTGTATATACCAGTGGCTATTGCCAACAATAGTGGCATATGTGGTGGACACTGTCAAGCGAGCATTAATGAAGGTCCCAAATAGGTATTGAAGTTGCGAAATTATGGGCTTTTTTGATTGACGTGCGTCGAGATTAGCAGGTGGTGATCCGAGGCTGCTGACAAGCCAGGGGAAATGAGGGTGGTGATTACACGCGAAAACTTCAATACAGCAGGCCATTGGTGTGGCTGAACCACGTTTGGAGTCACATCACGTTGTCAGGGCAGTTCTGGGACGAAATTCTTTGCTACGAGCATCTAGTGCCATCTGGTAAAGTTTGTACTTCGTTACGTGAAGGATTAGCGGTGTCGACAAACATCGTTTATAAATAGACTGGGCAGATATTAATAGGAGGCACCAGTTGGAATTCGGCACCAAGGTGCCTCGTATTTGTCGTGTGGAGAGTAACTGGCCGTATAATCAATCGCAATGATAAAATAATCAATCGCAATGATATTTAGGGATGTTTTTACGAGACTAACTTCTGGTTCGATCGATGGGTGCAAGCGTTCTAAGTAGCTGTTGTGTGCGCTGGACCGACAATTTGTGGTTCATGATTTCCGTTAGCTGGCGTTGGAAGACTAATTTTACCCACGAAACGGAACTAAAAATTTAGACAGCGTTGAAATAGGAAACCCAGTGCCGTGTGGCGCCAGGAGCCAGGGGGCTTAAGCGGAAGGGCACCAGGACGACTCAGGGCCACCGAATATAGTGCACATGCCTGGGATCACGTGGCGTTCGGTCATTTCACCCACCAGATACGAAACGAGTCGCAAGCCTGGTCGTGGGAGTAGATCGTGAAACGGTATTTCCCTTGTAATTATCACGCACTTACTAAATGGATGTATTAATTTTCAATGTTTGTTTAGCAATAATTTGGCTTAAGCAATTAACCAAGCTAATCTGGACCTCTGAGATCGCTCAATAGCAAAAGGGCTATTTCTTCACTACGAATTTTGTCGGGAGGGTTGATAAATAGCGCTCCTCGATATTTCACGTAGTAAAGATGTTATAATCCAAAGAGTTCAAAACAAAATTCTTGGAGTAAAAGAAACGGCGAGTCGAGGATTGGCCAACAAGTTCAAACTACTTAAATGAGATCCATGAAGATACTCATGGACAGGAGACATTTGCCGGGAACTACCACTGAAAATGGGCACGTGATTGCAACAATCACAGGCCACCTGAGATGCCCAAAGTAGAGTAAAGGGCGAGAAAATTAATGGATTTAATACTGGGCAGTAGTAAAGGAGCTTGCAAGGAGGGACCACTCAAGGCCCCACCGAGTCCACCGAGTCGGTGTGTATTCCAGTAGAATAGTGCAAGTGGGGATTACCTAATCAGAGGCTTCACCCAGTCGCTGCCACTGGCTCACTCCCCATCCTGGTTGCGCCATCGCTATTCCACGGCCAAATTAGGCGTTGCGCTGCAAGCGGCGATCACCCCTCCAGATTTCTCCTGCATCCCTGCCTCGTCGTGCCGTCGTAAAATCAAATCCCTCACCGGGTGCACCATCCCAAACAGGCAGGATCATCACTATTAATAGCGACCGCTGCGATGCTCACCAGATGCCAGTAATAGCGGCAGGGAAAAATTTGTCCTGGCTTGGCGCCAGACCCTTTGCCAAGCACACCCCCTACACGCCGTCACGGTTGCCACCCGCCGCACCACCCGTCATGCACCGCCGCTGCCGCCTGTGATGTGTCATCGCTGGCATGGTGCCGGGCGCCGGGCCCTGTAAGCAGAGCGTGGGCGCGGACACGACCGCACCCTTGCCTCACTAGTAGTGGCGGTTATTTGTGTGATGGCAGTGAATAAATCAGGAATCGTTGTCTTTGTCTTTGCTGTTTAATCCATTCCTATAGGTGTCGTGTCGTCGTTGCCGTCGCCGTTGTCGTCTTCGTCGTTGTCGTCGTTGTGACCTTTGTTGATATCCTCGTTCCTTCCTTAACTACCATGGGAGACTCCAAGCCCAAACGTACCATTTCCAAGCTCGGGAAGCTTTTTGGCGTGCTGTCGACCAACTTAGCCCACGACGCCGACCGTGCCCGTGCAGCCAGGTCGCCAGACGCCGCAAGCGCCGAAGTTCCCGAAGATCTGGGCCATCAGCCTGCCTCCAGCATCCCATCGCCCACCGTGCCTTCTTCAAGGTCCCAGACCCCCATAAACACGGCGGCTGCCGCCCAGGCCCTCTCGTCGGGCAACACATCGCCATCGCTGATGTCCTCGTCCAACGAGGCCACCAGCTACCTCACGTTTGGCATTGAAAACCCCCACTTCCACCCCCCTCCAAACAACACCGTGAACGAGGCCAACCTCCAGAAAATCAACGCGTCGTTGGCCCTGGCCAAACCCTCGCCCCCGGTTGCTCAGAACAGGGCTTCGCCCACCGTTTCGAGAACCTCTTCCACCACCATGGTACCTCGCAAGATAACCTCGCCCTCCAACAAGTCCAACCCGGTGTCTCGCTCGTCTTCGACGAAAATTCCCCAGGGCCTGTCGTCCAATATAGCATCCAATCCATCCTCTGCAAGCATCAACACCTTGCCTTCCACCCAGGTGACAAAACCCCGGTTCCGCATGTTGGAGAACGGAAACCACGAGCATAACCTTAGATCGGCAAAAAGACAGGAGAAGTTGTCCAACATGTTGAAGGACTTGTTGGGAGCCAAAAAGCTCCGTGACGAGGCCAAGAGTGCGGTGCCGAATATTCTTCAGGGTGCAATTAACTCCAACCCTCAGAACAACAAGGCCCAGGACAAGCCCCCCACTCTTTTTGCTGGCTTGGTTAATCATATCAAGAACAACACTTCGCCATACCACGCGGCCCCTGGCGACAATTCGGCACAGCCAGTCACCGATGAGTCTGCCACTGTTCCTTACATGCCTACCAACCCTACTCAACCCGATGCCCGTTCTTTCGTGCAAAAGTACGGACGTTGTCAAGAGGTGATAGGAAGAGGGTCTTTTGGTGTGGTCAGAATATCGCATAAGAAGGTGGCAACCTCTTCATCCCAAGATGAAGTGTTGTACGCAGTCAAGGAGTTCAAAAGAAAGCCTAGCGAATCAGACAAGAAGTACAACCGTAGGTTGACCTCAGAGTTTTGCATCTCTTCGTCTTTGAAGAACATTAATATCATTGAAACCTTGGATTTGTTGAAGGATGCCAAAGGTGACTACTGTGAGGTGATGGAGTTTTGCTCTGGTGGTGATTTGTACACCTTGATTATTGCTTCAGGCAAATTGGAATATGCTGAGGCCGACTGTTTCTTCAAGCAGTTGATTAGAGGTGTAAACTACATGCACGATATGGGTGTTAGTCACCGTGACTTGAAGCCAGAGAATATTTTACTTACGCAGAACGGTATCATTAAGATCACTGATTTTGGTAATGGTGAGTGCTTCAAGATGGCGTGGGAAGACGAGGTCCAGTTGAGTGAAGGTATTTGTGGATCCTCGCCTTATATTGCGCCTGAAGAGTTTACGCAAAGCTCGTTTGATTCGCGTGGAGTCGATATCTGGGCTTGTGGAGTTATCTACATGGCCATGAGAACCGGGCGTCAACTTTGGAAGTTGGCAGACCCTAAGAAAGATGAGTTTTTTGAAGAGTATCTTGTGAAAAGAAAAGATGCCACTGGTTACGATCCCATCGAGAGCTTGAAGAGAGCCCGTTGCCGTAACGTTATTTATTCCATATTAGATCCCAAGCCCGAGAGAAGAATCACTGGGAAACAGATCTTGAATAGTGAGTGGGGCCGTGAAATCAAGGTGTGTGAAGCCGGAGAGGGCCATACATAAGGGTAATAAGCATGCTACTGGCAAGTAGTGGTTAGGAAAAAGTGTAGAGTAGAATCTGTAATACTAAATGGTATATTGTTCATAATTAATAATGGTTTAATCCCAACTGATCCATGTAAATGGTGCTTCATAAGAAATTAATTACACTGCAATGAAATGGTAAAGGTAGGAGCATTGCAACATATCCAGACTAGGTGTAGCCGACGGAAGCGCCCCACTGTTGGCGAAAAGGCAGGCGATATACTCGCAAGGTGTCGGGACCCGCCCCAGGAGTATTGAAGTATGGATGTTGCTGGGCAGGTACTGAAATATGCTGAAAAATATTATGGGGGTGTTTTGGAAGCTGGGTTCGGCTGGGTTTTCGAGCCGAAACTCAGGGTTTTCCAACTACAAGGCTAGACTGCCACACTCAACACTGCTGAGACGGTTGGTAGAGTACACTAGAGCAATGTTGAAAAATACAGCTTTTAAGAGAATCAATTTACCAGCTTTCTCTCGCTTCCCGAGTGTTGCTGTGCAAATTATTATTTCATTGTCGCAGAGTGAGAATGCGGATTTGTCACTGTTCTGCCGGGAGGAACAAGCTTGGAACAGGTGATGTGTGTAGCTAGGAAGCCCAGGCTGTCTAGCTTGGCAGATCAGATGTTTCTGACTAGCTTCATAGCCCAGCAGAATTCTCAAGCAGGACGTGCTAAGGGTGGAAACGGATCCCACTACCCCAAACATCCATTCTGGGGATATTCCCCAATCAGGCATTTTCGTGCCAAATTTTGTTCTATGGAGAAGAGCGCAGGTTACGGGCGCGCACACTGGAGCCTGTTTGTGCTGATATCCTGGCGGAATTAGCGGGAGGTGGGACCAGACGACACACGGAGATCGCCAGGGAAGGCCAGGTGGAGGAGCTAACCTGCCAGGAGACACCTCGAGACATCGAGGCGAGCTGGTCACGTGATCGGATATCCAGGGCTCGCTGGGACGCTCGTCAAAGACACAGCGAGTCCACCGCAGCCGGTACGCCACGGTGCTGGCACCAGAGTTACTCTGTGGCTGCCCCCCCAGACACTCCCCCCGCCCTTTCCTCGCTGTAGCCCTCTGCCCGCTCCCACGAAATGAACATTCCCTCTTCTTTGTGAGCATCTCTCCTTTGTGAGCATCTCTCCTTTGTGAGATTTTGTTTGTTGTGGTCTCCTGTACAGGCCGCCATGAGACGTGTTTTAGGCTGGAAACATTTGAGCACCACGACGGACCTTCTTCTCTTTCGATAATAATCTTGCCAAATACAGACCCTACAGGATAGACGTCACTGGTGCACATTATGGTCGAGTTATCAGATTTCCAGCGTCAGGAAAAGGTGGGTGAAGGCACCTACGGAGTGGTGTACAAGGCGCTCGACACCAGACACAACAACCGAGTGGTTGCGTTGAAGAAAATTAGATTGGAGTCGGAGGACGAGGGCGTGCCCTCGACTGCCATCCGAGAGATCTCGTTGTTGAAGGAGATGCGGGACCAGAACATCGTCCGTCTCTACGACATCATCCATTCGGACTCCCACAAGTTGTACCTTGTGTTTGAGTTCTTGGACTTGGACCTCAAGAAGTACATGGAGTCCATCCCTCAGGGCGTGGGTTTGGGCGCCAACATGGTCAAACGGTTCATGAACCAGCTCGTCAAGGGTATCAAGCACTGCCACAGCCACCGGGTGTTGCACCGGGACTTGAAGCCCCAAAACTTGTTGATCGACAAGGAGGGTAACTTGAAGCTTGCTGACTTTGGGTTGGCTAGAGCGTTTGGAGTGCCCTTGAGAGCATACACCCACGAGGTCGTCACCTTGTGGTACAGAGCCCCCGAGATCTTGCTTGGAGGCAAGCAGTACTCCACCGGAGTCGACATATGGTCGGTAGGGTGCATCTTTGCCGAGATGTGCAACAGAAAACCGTTGTTCCCAGGTGACTCTGAAATTGACGAGATCTTCAGAATCTTCAGAATCTTGGGGACTCCCACCGAGGAAACATGGCCTGACGTCAGCTATTTGCCGGACTTCAAGCCCACTTTCCCTAAATGGTCCAAGAAGGAATTGGCAGAATTCGTCCCTACCTTGGACAGCGATGGTGTTGATCTTTTACAGCAAATGTTGGTTTACGACCCTAGCGGAAGAATCAGTGCCAAACGTGCATTAATCCACCCATACTTCCAGGAAGATGAAGGTGAAAACTACGATGGGTATTCTAGATCGGTCAACATGGGGTAATGACTGATACAGCAATGGTATAGTTCGAGTCTCTTACATAATTACACATCAAAATAAATGGCGAAAATCATAATTATTCTGTAAAGGTGATTACATCGAAGCGAATGGTTATCATGACAATTTTTAGAATGTCGGCCTACCAGACTTGTTTATCGTCACCAAGTGCTGAACTCTTTGATACTAATACTCTCAAAGTTAACTACATCAGAGTCGTAACTATTTTGCAGAGATTATTATTGCATCTAACTGTGTACTAGTATGTTTTTACCTATATTCTTAGCATCGTTCATAGCAATGTATCGAGAAAATATGTAGCAGATCTGACTAATTGGATAGAGAAATAATCAGAAGAACCATGGCAAGAATTGCCACGATAAGTGCTAGTGTGTAACCATTGATCTGGGTATTATTGTGCGGAGCTTGGGTATATGTTCCTGGAGCAAGTTTCTGGGATTCTGTTGTGGCATCTTCTGGTTCAGCTATTGTTTTTTTGGGTATTGCAACTTGAATTGTGGTTATTTTATTAGCTGATGTGGTTGGTGTTGGCACTGTATGTGTTATGGTTCCCTCTTCGATATCATTTGAAGGTATAGGTGTCTGCAAATGATGGGGACTGACTTCATGGGCTGGTATCGATTCATTGCCTTTATTTATTATTTTTTGAATAATTGCGTCATCCTTGTGGGTGTTAATGGTAGTGGTCAAGTCTATGCTTTCCTTGATAGGTTGTGGGTCTTCTATGATTGGCGCAGATCCAGGTTTCTTGACTTCTTGCAATTGGTAGCTGATATTCATTAGCTCAGACCTCAAAGACCCAACCCTTTCAATCATACGATTATTCTGACTGTTGAGACTAATCAAGTTCTTAAAGTCGTGGTTATTCTGGTTGCTCATCTGGTTAAGTTCGATTTCGATGTTTTTGAATTTACCCTCAAGATTGGTGTGGAATTGTTGTAGATCTTCCAAGGATTTCTTCAATTCGAAGCCCGTGAACTTATCACTTCCTTCCTTTATATTTAGGTCGAGGGACAGCTTCTTGGAAATCCCCACATCGTCCAACAGCTCGGTGTCCTTATCGTAGAGGGTCGCAGGAGACCCATCCGAGTGTGCTGTTTCCATTAAGGACGCAGTATCATCGTAATCATCATCAGTCATTTGGTTCTCTGCTAGCATATCGTCCACTTGGGTTACGAGGGCATCGATGGTCGCATCGTACTCAATATCTGGGTACCTGGCGGAGGCTCGGCCACTCTTAACAATCAAATTGTTAAAGTTGTCCTGGTAATATCTCACTGGTTGGTCCTGGTAGTAGTCGTCAAAGTCTCCATAAAGCTTCATGTTATCGTAATCGAAAATCTTGATGTCTTCAAGCACATTTTCCATCAAACGGAACATGTCATTTTTGGAAATCAAAAGCTCGTTTCCACACCTTTCAAAGGTGTTCTCAAGGTTTTTGACAGTGAGACTGATGTGATGGCTGATTATGGGGTCGTGAGTGAAAAATGGCGCTGGTGAGTCTTCGCCTAAGAGCTCGAGCTCGATCATCCTGATCAAGTCAGCGAGCCTGTGCAATGCTAATTGGCCCGATTGCTGCGGATCGAGCTTGCTCCAGGCAGTCTCGAATATGGAATCTTTGTGGATGGAGGCCTGCTCGTCGTGGTGGTGTCGTATCCTTCTGGTATCGGATCTGGGGCGGAACGAGTCAGCAAGAGGCGAATTTGCGGCCATGGTGGAAGCAGCGACGAATGGCAAATGGTTTGTGGAGAAAACTCGGGGGTCTTAAAGCAGTGGGGGTGGATAAGGAAGAGGGAGTAGTACCCGGAAAGGAGAATCGACAGCCAAATATAGCAACTGTGGATGGAGATGAGATTGGTTATATGGGTCTGTTTGGGGCCCAGCACGACTTATTTACTATTTGCGACGATTTGCCAAATCGGGAACTGTAATGACAGATTGTTGGCCACTTTAGTGCGAAGTAACCTGTAGAATGGGGGATGGGGGCCAACATGCATTTTACCCTGGGGCAGGGCTAAACTGCAACACGCCACCACTAAAATGCAAACAACCAAACCACCGCTAACCACCTCCAACCACACACAATGAGTGAAGGCGACGGCTACGGCAGTAGCTACAACGACGGACGCCCGAACGAGTACGACGACTACTACTACAGCTCGTCCTACCAAGGTAGTGGCTACAGAGGACGCGGACGTGGCGGTGGCTACAGAGGAAGAGGTTCCAGTTACTACGACAGCTACAGCTCTTCTAGTTCCAGAGGAGGCAAATACTACGGGCGCTACGGCTCATACTACCAGGGTGGTGGGAGTAGTGGCCGTGGAGGTCGTGGCGGCAGCAGCGGGTCCAGCTACACCCACGACACATACGAAGGCGAACCACATGGCGAAGAGCCAGTCCCACACGAAGGCCACGACACCTACCGAGGCTCAGGATACAAAGGATCAAACTTCAGGGAGGACTACCGTGGATCGTACCGCGGGTCATATCGTGGCAGAGGAAACTACCATCTGCAGCCCCACTATAGCAAAGAGACCCTGAACCAGAACGACGGCACCACCACGCCAAAGGCAGCCAGAGAAACGGTCAAGCCAGTGGCTAAAGCACACAACAACCCTTGGATTGACACCCTTGGCATCAAGGACCTGGCTACGATCGACACCTTAGAGGCGAGGTACAACGAGCTTCAGGCCACCAACAAGGACATCATCGAGCTCCAGCAGGCCAAGTTGAAGTTGGAACGGTCGGTGGCCACCTTGGAGAACCAGGCTTCGCGGGAGGAGCTCCATGTCCAGTTGACCACCGAGAAGTTGGACGAGTTCACCTATATGTAGTGTATTATATGTATATTAGCTAGCGGAGCTAGCAATGGATAACCGAACGGAGCAGGATGTAAGCGGAGAGTAAAATCATTGGCATAGGGTTTTATAGCAGATCATCAGGGGAATAGTGAGACTGAAGATGTAACACGTACAATATTTCAGGTACTCCATCTAGGTGCGTGCTGACCATTATTGTACTAAATTATAGAGAAGACACGGACAGTTATGAATAACTGGCTCTTTAATCTAGGGGAGTCAGGTTTTCTTGTAATCATCCAGGAGAGACCATATAGTTATAACTTGCAAAGCGACTTTAATTTTAAAATTAGAATAGTTCATTATTTTCCCCTTGCTACTCCTCTGGTTTCATGTAGTTAAAATTAATTAATGAACCGATCTACAAATTTATGTACAGTAAAATAGCCCGACTGTCAGCTACAATTCCCAAAATGCCCCAAGCATTCGGAGGTCTCTCGCAGCAATGTCACTTCAAACTCCCAAGTCCATGTGATCTAACAGTGGTTTTCCAAGCACCCTGTATTTGATATCCCCAGTGGAGCCCTGTAGATATAGTATTGCCCAAGAGAAAGCTCTATTTCTACCAAGGCTTGATTCTCACCTCAGGGTCTATTTCTAAGTCAATATGTGAATCCATACTGGAACCTCTTCTTGCTTTGCAACGACCCGACTTTAAAACTATATCATCCTCCCCTATTGTCGACTTCACGTTCCAACCTCGCGTGCCCAACACCAAAAACACCCAAAAAATCCATTTGTATCGCGTTCTCTTCAACACTACACCATGGTTTCCAACTTTGTCAGCACCATTTCTGATTGCAGCTCTGTCCAGGCCTTGCTCTACGGAGCCTTGTTGGTCGGAGTGTACAAATTGACCACCTTCACCTTGAGTTTGACGTCGCTCTTGCTTGACGCCTTCGTGTTGCCTGCCCAGACCTTCCACAAGTATGGAGCAAAGAAGGGCAATTGGGCGGTGATTACCGGTGCTTCCGACGGGTTGGGCAAGGAATATGCGTTGCAATTGGCCTCCAAGGGCTTCAACATCGTGTTGGTGTCCAGAACCTTGTCCAAATTGGAGCTCATTGCCACCGATATCGAGTCCAAGTACAAGGTGCAGACCAAAGTGGTTGCTTTCGACGCCTCCACCGATGAGGCTGCCAACTACATTGTCCTTGGCGACGCCATTGCCGGTTTGCCTGTGTCCGTGTTGATCAACAACGTGGGCCAGTCCCACTCCATTCCTGTTCCCTTCTTGGAAACCGAGGACAAGGAGTTGAGAGACATCATCACCATCAACAACATTGCCACCTTGAAGATCACCCAGACTGTCACCCCTGTTATTGCTGCTACTGTTGCCAAGAACAAGAAGATCAGAGGTCTCGTCTTGACCATGGGTTCGTTTGGTGGTTTGTTCCCCACTGCGTACTTGGCTACATACTCAGGCTCCAAGGCGTTCTTGCAAGCATGGTCTAACGCTCTTGCTGGCGAGTTGAAGTCGCAAAGTATCGATGTCGAGTTTGTGCTCTCCTATTTGGTGACCTCTGCCATGTCCAAGGTCAGACGCACTTCTTTGGCCATTCCTAACCCTAAGGCATTCGTCAGATCCGCGTTGGCTAGCGTGGGCCGTCGTGTGGGTGCCCAGGAGAGATATGCCACCTCCACTCCCTACTGGACCCATGCCTTGATGCACTTTGCTGTCGAAAACACGGTTGGAATCTACTCCAAGGTCACCAATTCCGTCAACCTCAGCATGCACAAGAGCATCCGGATCAGGGCGTTGAAGAAGGCCGCCAGAGCCAAGAAGGAGTGATTCCAATTGTATTTCAGTGTATTAGCCGTAATCTATGCTTATCAGGTCATGTGACCAGCCGTCTCCCGGCACGCGATCCCTCTCACGTGGATAGAACCTTCTAGAACAGCCTCGAACCTATCGAGGCCGGCTCCACTTCAATATATATTTTATCAGGCTTGCTCAGCAACTTTTCTCCCAACAGTATCAACATGGTAAAGGAAACCAAGCTTTATGACCTATTAGGCGTCTCTCCCTCCGCGTCGGAGACCGAGCTTAAGAAAGCATACAGAAAGACTGCCTTAAAGTATCACCCTGATAAGCCCACTGGTGATACCGAAAAGTTCAAAGAAATTTCAGAAGCGTTCGACATTTTATCTAATGAAGACAAGAGACAAATCTACGATGATTATGGTTTAGAAGCAGCCCGTGGTAACGCACCTGCCGGAGGTGCTGGAGGAGCCGGAGGATTTGGTGGAGGTAGTCCTTTCGGTGGATTCAGCGCTGGCGGTGGATTCTCTCAGAATGATGCTTTCAACATTTTCTCCCAAATGGGAGGATTTGGAATGGGAGGTGGTGGTGATGACTTCGGTTTTGGCGGTGGCCACAGCTTTGGAGGTGGTGGCATGCCAGGTGGCTTTGGAGGCATGGGTGGTGGCATGGGCGGACGTCAAGCTCGTCGTCCCGAGCCCGATACCGTGACTCTTCCATTGCCTGTCTCCTTGGAAGACTTGTACAACGGTACCGTCAAGAAGATGAAGATCAACAGAAAGGGTCTCAATGGTCAAAGAGAACCAAAGATCATTGAAATCAGCATTAAGAAGGGATGGAAGGTCGGCACCAAGATCAACTTCGCTAACGAAGGTGACTACCAACCAGAATGTGGTGCCAGACAAACCATCCAGTTTATCCTCGAAGAAAAGCCTCATCCTATTTTCAAGAGAACAGACAATGACTTGAGCATGACTATCCCATTGAGTTTCAAGGAATCATTACTCGGATTCGACAAGGAAATCAACACTATTGATGGTAGAAGAATTCCTTTGAGCAGATCCTCTCCTATCCAACCGGGAAGCTCCACCACATACCCTGGATTGGGTATGCCAAAGAGCAAAGCCCCAACCCAAAGGGGAGATCTCCAAATTCACTTCAAGGTGGATTACCCCATCTCCTTGAATCCTAACCAGAAACAAGCCATCCATGAAAACTTCTGAACATAGCACGCATGACCATTAATGATTATTATAGACCCATCATTTATCTAGTACATACAATATAAACCTACAATTAAACAGTAAATAACCTTGCAATGTAAATTCGGCAGTTTTGTATTACGTAAATGCTTACGTAACTGCACTCGCCATCAATAGCCCACTATCACAGCGGCCACCCAGTACTGAACACATCAATGTCGGTTATTCTAGCATCAGCAGGCTATGACCACACAATCAGGTTCTGGGACGCCCTCACGGGGGTGTGCTCGAGAACGATCCAGCACACAGACTCCCAGGTGAACAGGTTGGAGATCACTTCAGACAAACGATTCCTTGCAGCAGCAGGGACCTTGTATGTGAGGCTTTACGACATAAGACAAGCCGGAAGCTCGGGAAATGCCACAGCAGCAGCTTCTGCCACCAACAATGGTAACGTCAATGGCCATGGCAACCATAATAACGGGAACAACAACCCAGTGATGACGTTTGAGGGCCATACCAACAACGTGACCTCGCTAGCATTTCAAATAGAGAACAAGTGGATGGTGACCTCCCTGGAGGACGGGACCGTCAAGGTCTGGGATGTGAGATCCCCGTCCGTACAACGGAGCTACAAGCATCATTGCCCTGTGAACGAAGTGGTCATACATCCCAATCAAGGAGAGTTGATCAGTTGTGATCAGGACGGAAATATTCGGATCTGGGATTTGGGAGAGAACCAATGCACCCACCACTTGATTCCCGAAGACGATGTGCCCATCAATTCATTGAGTGTGGCCAGTGACGGATCGATGCTTGTGGCAGGAAACAATAAGGGAAACTGCTATGTGTGGAAGATGCAAAACCAGCGGGACATCACCTCGCTCACACCTATAACGAAGTTCAGATCCCACCTGAAGTATATTACCAGAGTGCTTTTGTCCACCGATATGAAACATTTGGCCACTTGTTCTGCCGACCACACTGCTAGAATCTGGTCCACCCAACAAAACTTCAATTTGGAGACCACTTTGCAAGGACACCAGAGATGGGTGTGGGACTGCGCTTTCAGTGCAGACAGTGCTTATTTGGTGACCGCATGTTCGGACCATTATGTCAGGTTGTGGGACTTGTCAAATAGCGAGACCGTCAGACAGTACAATGGTCATCACAAGGGAGCTGTGTGCGTGGCATTGAATGATGTCTAAATTGCCTAGTGGCTTGGACGAAAAGTACTTCCAGTAATACCATCAGAGGACTTATTTAATTGGGATATTCAACTAGAACTAACCATCGATTTGTCTCCGTCCAGACCATTGGGTGCATTATTTCGGTACAATCTGATATTTCTTGATATACAAGAAGTTAATATTAAAGAACTCGACGCAGACTAAATTGTATGCCATAGAAATCCTTGACCCAAGTGACTTTCAATATATGTAAGCTCGACTGGATGCTTGGATTTGGGATGTTTCCCAGGATTATAGTGGGATTGCTGGTCCAAATTTAGAAGTTGAAATCCCGATTAAGAACTACGCTCATTTAATGCTGAGTTTATTCACTAGCGTGCTATATAAATAATATCGCTAGCTTTCTATGCTCTTATGTACTATGTATGAGTCTAATCTCGATAACTAATCTGATAGACATGTTAATGTTGTTGTAGAATGCTATGGGTATAACCTAATGGTAATTTTCGTTTGTATCGTAATTCAACAAGATGTCAGCACTATTGCCAGATCCAACATTGGAAGCAGACCCAGTTGTGGGCTGGTTGGAAGAAAAACCCAATAAATCAACGGTTCCAAATGAAACGTTTCCAACGTTAGAGTCAGTGTGATCCGAATGTTCACTGATGTTGGGGAAATTTGATCCCGACATGTTGATACTTGAATTAGCAGTCACGTTGGCAGCTTCAATATCAAGGCCAGCAGAGCCAGCCTCGATATTTGCATTTGTTTCCACGGCTTCTTTGGGTTCAACTGAATCAGCACTAAAGTCCAGTTGGAACAAACCACCTAATTCAAATCTCCATGAAAGGAACTCATCAATCCAACATCTAACAATCCACCATGCACCAAAACCTTGACCACTGGACAAACTAATCTCTCTCAAACAAGTAGTCAAAAGGTTACTTGTTAACAAGATAAATAATCTAGGGTTGATGTTGTTAAATTTCCCTGGCAACTCGGAAATGTAGTTGCTGATTTGCATCATCATTTCATTGCTGACATCGTTCTCTTCTGCATCGTGTGAAGATGTGAAGGATCCGGTCAACATATGCAATAAATCATGGTTCAAGATTTGAAGAAGCACTTCGATATTTTTCTCGCCACATGGGATTTCTCTTGAGATAATTTCATGAATATCGAGCTTCATCCAATCATCAACCATTGATTTTTTCTCATTTGGATCGTTCAAAATCTTGGCAGCAGACTGACCAGTTTCAATGATTTTGATTAACCTGTTCAAAAAATTGACAAAGTTCTTCGCAAGTTTCAACTTCATGATGATGAAGTTTTTGGTAACCTTGTTGTTAATCAAGTTGTTTGACAAAGCCTGCACGTACCCCCCGGATATTTGTTTCAATTGGGTGAGTACCTCAGGAGGAATCTGATATTGAAGTTGTAGTTTGCTCAACATTCTAATCATGCGCTTGTACATCACCAAATCACACTGTTTGACCCATTCGATGATGCTCTCGTGAGTGTAGAGCTTGAATACTGGGGCAGTCAATGTGCAGTTGAAGTTGTTGAAGCTTGAAAACAATTTCTTCATTTGCATGTATCTCAAGGACTCAAACAAAGAGTTGATATGAACCTTGTAGAGGGAGTAGAGGGTGTCTGCAATGTCATAGTCAATATCTCTGGGCAAATAGGGGTATATGGAAGGCAATTGGAGCGGGAAGTTAGGGTTGGAGATTTCAGCCGAGTTTCCAGCCAACAATTCGTCCAAGTTGGCAACGTGCTTCAAGTGCGAGACCAGAGGCAACTGGTCAGAGATGGAGTTCGAGTTTGCGATCGAAGGCGAGTTGATCGGGGTGTATGACGGAGTGTGGATATGCGACGAGGTGATGGGCGAATCGTCCAACGAGATGGACGAGTTGGTGGACGAGATGGGCGACTGGACCTGGTGGGCACCCGAGGTCGAGATTCCCAACCCGCTAACGTGGTGCAACTGTTGCGCCTGCTGGTTCTGGTCTCCGAGCAACTTGATGCCACAGTAGTGGTATTTGGATTGGCCTCGCATGCCCAATCTTCTAGTGGTCAACGTAGGGAACAAGATGCGCACAAGCTTACCGAAGCTGGCAGGAGACAATGGAGTCAAGCTGTTGTCGGCACAGATCTGGACATAGCGGGCGTAGATTCTGTTTCTAGGAACCACAGCAGTGGGAGAGTGCTCGCACGAGTTGATGAGCCAAACCATGCCAAACAAATTGCGCTGTCTCTCCTTGTGCTCCTTAAGCTTGTGGGACTCGGAGGGCTCCGAGGCAGGAGCGCCCGACTCGTCGCTCTCCAACTGCTTGATCTGGAGCGCCAACAGCGGCAACGGAACGTGGGCAGTCTGGAGGGCGAGGTTGCGGAGCTCAAAGTCGCCTACGTCCACACTGGCGTCCAGTTTGCGGGGACGCTTGCGCTTGGAGGCCAGGTCGCTCACGCCATGGATCACGGAGGGCACGGCATGGAACGTCTGGGGGAGCGCCTGGTGGTGTGCTGGCGGAGGAGGCGGTGGCTGCTGCTGGAAGGCGCCCACGGCAGGATGCATGTGGGAGGCGCCGTAGTCCACGTAGACCTGGTCGTTGTGGTGGTAGGAAGAAGACGACGACGACGACAACGGAAACGAGCCTGCGGTGGCGGCACGAGCTAGTGGCTGTTTGTAAAACGAGTGCTGGGGCGGCACGAACGCCAAGTCCGATGGCTCGGGCTTGATCTGGTGGAGCATCAGCGGCGTCGACTCCTGTGACGGATGGACGCTGTAGGACTCGTCTGGTTTGTGGTGGTAGCTGGGATCCATGGGACGGGTAGTGCCGCTACGGACGGGCCAATGACGAGGATGCAACGGGGCGGAGGTACTGAGACGAACAGGGCCAGGGTGGGGCCGCGATTGACAAAGAACCGGTTCCAGAGGAGGTGTTGGAGTGCCTAGGTAAATCCCAGTGATGAGCAAATGATCCACAGGATGGGAAAAAGTTTGTATGGTGCATTTTTTGGTTAGGGCTGGCACAAAAATGCGGGAGGCACCAACCTGCGACGGTAGTGGGGGAGGGGGGGAAAGTGAAGAATAGAGTGGAGTGAAGTGAGAGGCTACGAAAGGGGAGATAATATTCGTCACTGTGAACGGTGAAGCGAGTGCAAATTAGCTGAATACTCCTCACTCTGTGGAGAGTAAACAGGCTATAATTAACTGGTAATCTGCCAGCAACGAGAAAACAAACTTCTAGGCAACTACTTTATAGTTAACCTAAAATTGAGGCTCGAAGAATTTAGTTAAAACTTAACTCTGCAGAATTGGTAGAGGTATGTAAAAGTGTGGGTGTAGAGGTTACGAAGGTGAAGAGTCATTTGTTCTCCTGCTCTGATAGACATTGACTAGCAGTTCATCCAATTTGAGATAAATCCACGATAATTGTTCAAATACCAACATAGGAAGGAATAAGCTGGCGATCTGGCAGAAGTCATGGTGGTGCTGTGGCATGCGGTGCTGTGGTGGTACTGCTGTGGTACTACGGTGCGGTGGGACTCCCGTCCGCAGGATTAGAGAGCCCTTATCGCCGATCACGTGACCTCGTGGGTCAGTAGGTCAATGGCTAGTGCTGAGAGGTGCTGGGCCCCAGGAATGGGTTCAAATCTTTGTGCCCCTGGCACACCCTGCAGTTCTGAATATCTGGCTTGGTTTCAGGTCCATTCCTGTTCATTCCATTCCGTTTCAGTAATTCCTCCATTCCTCGCCCATTTGGTAGCGCCCCCATCGCGAGCCATGCAGGATACACCATTTTTTCAGCTCATCACAACTAAAAATTCAAACTTACTCTACTCATCAAGATGGCCGTGTTAAACTCCAACCCAGAGATCCTCTTGCGTAAGAGAAAGGACAAGGACAGAAAGAGATTGCAGAAGCAAGAAGAGGCCCAAGAAAGAATCAAAAAGAGCCAACAGTTAAAGAAGGCCCAGAAGAACAACTTCATCAGAGCAGAAACCTTGGTCAGCAGATACAAGGCCAATGAGTTGGAAAGAAAGCGGATCTCCAAGATCAGCTCCAAGAACGAAGAATCCCCTCTCATCAGTGAGGATGGAGAAACCAAGTTGTTGTTCGTGATCCGGACTCCAAACCACGTCAAGGGCCTCACCATTCCCGTGAAAGCCCGTCAGATCTTGGCGGTGTTGAAGTTGCAGGACACCGACACCGGGGTGTTTGTCAAGGCTACACCTACCACAATGAGCTTGTTGAACTTGATCGCTCCCTACATCATCGTGGGACGTCCCTCGTTGAGCTCCATTCGTCAGCTCTTCCAAAAGAGAGCCCGTATAATATCTCCACAGGCTGAAGAGGGTGAAGAGAAGAAGCCCATGCGTTTGGACAACAACCAGTTGGTTGAAGACAAGTTTGGTGACTCTCTTGGCTTGGTTTGTATCGAAGACATTATCCACGAGCTCCTCAGCTTGTCCGACAACTTTGTTGCCATCACCTCTTGGTTGTTACCCTTCAAGTTGAACGCTCCTGTTAACGGATGGGGACCCCAGGCCAAGTTGGCCAGATTGCTCTACGAAGAAGCCAACAAGAAGAGTATCAGTTTGAGTAAGGATTTCAAGATTAAGGAAGTCGAAGATATCGACTCCATCATCGCCCAACAGAACTAGGCGAGTGTGTCAGCCCACATGGGTGTTTGTATAGTAATGCATTAGAAATAGTCGGAAGAGAATGTGTAGATGGAGAACTAGCCTCACTATGGTCGATAGAGGAGTTACAGATAATATATGTGAAACTCTGACTTACCCCTTAACAAAACCTTGTCCAGTCACGTACAACTAGAGATGGTTTCAAGCACGTATCCTATATCTAGCTGATCTAGCAAAAAAATATGAAGTATCAAAAAGCTGAAGCAAAAGACGGATAGAAATAAAATATTGAAATCAGGAAATGGTTGTACCCGTGTGCAACTAGATGTTAATTCTAACAAAACCAGATCTTAATTAACCAGAGAAAACTTTATAGTTCAAAGTTTTATTTTGTTGACTAGTAAATTTTGTATCTTCCCCATTAGAAAGATCATTGTTAAAAAATTGAAACTGAAATAAACTAAGGGCATGGTGGGAAAACAAAGCAGGAGTTAGTCGTCTCCACGGGGAGGGTGGTTGAGACTAGACTTCGAAACTCGTGACCAAATCTACCCGTTGTTACTGTGGTGTAAGATGCTGTCCTCGGCATTCACCAGAATACCCAAATTAGTATTTTATGAACTACGCTGGGATTCACAGCAGTTACCAGCTAATTAAAGATTAATGCATTCACAATCAACTGTTTGCATAATTAGATGTATTGAAAAATTAAAGACTCGATTTCTAGATCAATGTATAGCTTGTCATCAAATTCTTTACGATTCGCTTCGATAATGGCAATTGTTAGATTGTCGTCCAATTGAGAGAATTCGAACAGATCGGAAAACTCGTGATTTCTTGAAATACAAACACAGTATATGAAGCCACGATCAGTGTTAACATACAAAAAGTAACCTTTTCTGCTTATATGGTCTTTTTGCATTTCAAGTTCATAAGCTTCAGTGGTGTTTTTTGCTATTTCAACATCGAAGCCAGGTAGTTTGTTGGCGGAATACACTGTAACATTCAAGTATTGATCTATGTTATCAACAACTGTGTATTTTAAAGAGCTTCCTAACATGTTCTTCACCCTTATTTCATCGTTAACAACAACAAAATATGTACTGTGGGAAAACTCCATATCCATCGAACGCAAAACTGGAAATATGTCTGATTCAGATTTGATTTTGATATATTTTAAGTTGAGTTCATGTCTGGCTCTTACTTTCTTGCTATTTAATAGGAATACCACAAAAGCCTTCATACTTGATGGAATACTGCAAATCGTAGTTCCCATTGTGATCAACACTAAAGTAGTACGCTATGTTCTGGTGGTTATGGGAGCCTTCCAATTGCTCTCGTTTATTCCCAATAGTGGGCGTTCTGGCTAGTACATTATGTCTTGAAACATATGTCCAAACGACATTGTGAAAATAACTACATTGAATCAGACCAAATACGAACATTGGTATAAGGAGTGGAGTCGATTACGATCCAGACCTCCGAAATGAAGGGAGGATAAGCCCAATAATTAAAGCTCTGAAATAAGCAAGGTAAGGACGATGAACGAATATAGACATAGGGCTATCGAATCGAGTAGAAAGAAATGTCGAGCATTTGAGACGGGAAATTGGGGAACAAACACCCGAAGGGATCCGTGAAAAAGAAAAGAACACTAATATAAATTAGCGGCAAATCTCAATAATCAATCGGTGTGCCTAATAGTATTATATTGTGTGTTTTATTACTAATAGATATATTTGTAGATAAAAGTATTCTCAGAGTAAATTTCTAGCCTGCACACAGAATCTAGATTATAATACGTATACATCTAGTATCGGACTATACTAATCTCTATCATCTGAAGAAATACCCTTGAGAATATCTTGTAGCTGAGATATATCATACTCTTCTTGGTACTCTAAAGTTCTTGCCACATTTTTCTTATAAATCTTGTCCTTAGTTACATAGAAATGATAACTTGGTGGAAACCAGTGATCAAACTTCAATTCCCTTTTGTAACCCTTGAACTCGTCAGGTTGTGTTGGAATCACTCTCAATTTCTCATCATCAACTTCGATAGGGATCTCGGTATAGACATTTACTTTATCATCTTTGTCCACAATCATTCCTTCTTTATAATCGAACCTCTGTTCCTGCCAAAAGAACAATGTCTCTATTGTACCAACAACATTAGTGATTTCACCAAGACATGTAAGCATGTCAGCTCTATATCGACTGTATAGTCTGTGTTTGGCTTTTACGCCTTCGTGTACCACAAAGTAGTATTCCGAATATTTCTCAGGGTCACAATGCATCAAGAACTTTTTGACTTCCTTTTCTTTCTTACATGCATGGAATTCAAGATTTTCGTAATAATTAAATCCTTCATACTCAAATTCCTCTTCGGACGTCGGAATTTCCTTGTTGATCAAGAAGACTAGATACGTCCCCTCCATTTTATGAATAAGGAAATGATTCTCTAGATTTAATTGTTCGCGTTGCTACGCGACAAATCTGAACTGCCATCACCATCACTGCCATATTAGGATCATCATTAGCGTAACCATATTAACGCCACCACAACCTCTACAGCCACCAATGTCCTATTCAGTGTACCAGCAGATCTCGTACCCTGAGAACCACACCTACAAGTTTCTCCAGCTCCCTCCAGACCTCTTGGACCATGTCAAAAACAATAAAGATGGCCAGTTGTTGATCAAATCATCCCCACTAGACCATGATAGAACCGATGGAAACTCCAACAGTCACCTCGTGGTGTGCACCAATGACAAGACGTGGAAGCTACGTCAGATGAACCATTCCAACACCGTGATGCTCATGAACAACATGAATGTCAATAAGCTAGGCACCGAGGTGAGTAAACCTGGTCCCAACCAGCTCTTGGGATTTGCTCTAGGAAGCTATGAGTACGAATTGAGCAAAAGCACAGGCCAACTAGATATCTCGGGCCTTCCACGCTACCCTGGACCTCAAGCACAGGGCATGTCGTACCACGAATTATTGCAAAACACTCCAATATCGAAGAGAGAATTCGAACAAAAATGGTTCGATTTGGGTGGTTGTGAAATTGACAATCAAGTCTATATTTTAACGGAATCATACATCACAGAAGTGCTCCACCACATTATCACCACACTTATTAGCCAGCAGTTTGACTATAAGTCCCAGGAGGGCAACCTTGACGAACTTTATGCCATGGCCCAGAGTCAGGAGCACAACCCGACCGCGATCCAGACAATTATCCACAAGTTTGCTTTGGTGACAAACGAGACATTCAAGCTTGATAATAGCAAGATTTCCAGGTGGTTCGGAAAGCAGACCCTTGAGGCCTCCAGGATTATTTCTGTTCCCGATTTCCTTGTGAATTGGAAGTCTTCGTTGCCGGAATTCTACAATGTTCCTCTTGATTTGTCTGACCTCAAGGGATACTATTTCCGCTCAGGGAATTCGATTGGATACGTCGACCCTATGAAACTCTCAACATCGTTGCCTTTTAGGTTTGAGCAACTCTTCTACTTGGATAAGTCTTGGGCCTACGACGAAATCGTTCCGCTCATTGAGAATTTTGTGCCTGTCGGGAAAAAGATCGACTCCGTGATTATCAAGTATGCCAAGAAGAAGAGGGTGGGAAAGAACTCCTTTGTGGTTACTCCAAGAAGCTGAGCATACTGAAACTTCTGGATATTTTGTCACTCAGCTAGGCTAGAATGATCATTTTCTAGCCCTTACCACAAGAAGCAAGTTATTCGTTTCCTGACAGCTTATCCCCACGACTGCTATATCCTATTAACTACACTCAGTCTGCTGATAATCTTCCCGCTGGATGGATCCGCCACAATTGGCCAAGCAACAACCATGACTACCAGCCATATGACTACCACTTGACTCTGAGTCTTGCGGGCTTACGTAAGTGTCGCGTATTGAAAAGTTCGAAACTGGAAAGTAAGTCACATTGGACCAAACTCATCATGGATAATCTGACATTCTTGATCTCGTTGATCGTAAGTACCTGTCACGACCATACTGAGCCCTACTAACTTCCAGAGTGGAGGATGTGCCGGTACATCCACCGATTTAGCATTTTTTCCCATTGACACCATCAAGACCAGAATCCAAGCCAAAGGAGGCTTCTTCAGAAACGGAGGATGGTCAGGAATCTATAAGGGGTTAGGTACGTGTGTGGTGGCTTCGGCGCCCTCGGCGTCGCTTTTCTTCATCACCTACGACTCCATGAAAGCATACACAAAGGACCGCATGCTGGCCACCAAGAGCCACATGTTGTCGGCATCGTGCGGAGAGATCGCTGCCTGTTTGGTGCGGGTGCCAGCCGAGATCATCAAGCAGAGAACCCAGGCTGGAATTGCCGGCGTGGGTGGCAGGGCCTCGTCGTGGGGCAACTTCTTGTACTTGATCCAGAACAAGTCTGGAGAAGGACTTTTCCGTGGTCTCTACCGAGGCTGGAACACCACTATCATGAGAGAAATCCCATTCACCATCATTCAGTTCCCCCTCTATGAGCGCTTGAAAAAAGCCTGGGCTGCCAGAGACGGCACTCCTGTGCTTGCAGCCCCCAAAGCTGCGCTTTGTGGATCAATTGCTGGAGGTGTGGCAGCTGCTGCCACCACTCCACTCGACGTGATCAAGACCAGAATCATGCTTAACAAGAGCAGGGTGGGACTTCCCACTATGATCTCCTCCATGATCCGTGAGGAGGGCTACCTTACATTTTTCAAAGGAATTGGGCCTAGAACCGCTTGGATCAGCGCAGGCGGTGCCATTTTCCTCGGGTGCTACGAGGTAGTGCACAAGAACCTCACCGCCTACACCGTCTCTCGGTTGGAATAAAGTCGACCGATTGAGTAGAATGCCCATAAGGGCCAAACTCATTCTTTAGAATGGGTTTGTTATCTTGCATTGAGCGAACTGCGGCAGGGCCCGCCGTGTATAGACCCGTCATGGGACCAATAGAACAAATGACGTCCAAAGCGTACTAATTTTTGCCACAAGGCCGATTCGGAAATGGTAATCCAAGTTGTTAAATTAATCTTCATATGAAGCCTGGCAACCCTTGTAATGAATGGGTAGTGGCGACCACTATCGTCTTGAATATACTCAGGATGTCGTGGCAAATCGGGATGCCTAGCTACTTTCCTATCTTCATAAGGATGTAGCATACGAAAAGCTTCTCTATCATTCTCATACTATTTATTCGTACATAACGATGAAACTTTCAAATTGGATTGTCAAGCTCAGGAAAAAGATCTAGGCCTTCTAGCTCAAATTGTATAACATCTCCGGCTTCCGTAGCTGCAAAATCTGGCTACTTCAAGTCTAAGTTCCACAAAGTGTAACATTAGGCAGACATAGTCAGTAAATATAAAACTTATTGCTCTCCAATTCCAACCATTTATTCTATATCGAACAACTATGCTAAAACTGAAGAAATCTTGTATTCATTTAAGAGATGTCAAAGCAGGAGACCAAATTTCACGAAAAGGTAAATTTACGAAATTAACACAAAATTTGGTAGAAAAAGTAGAATTTCAAGGAGAAGATATATAATAATGAGGAGATTCAGTCCTTTATTAGTTTAGACTAGTACTGAATAGTCTAAAAAAATGGTCTAATACCAAGGCAATGGGTATTCTGCTGATCGTTATGTGATATGCGTAAGTTTCAAATTAAAAGCTACGCTTTCGCAGCAATACTATCAGCTGTAGTCACAGGAACTAGCCAATCTAGAATTAGTAGCAATGGCTGGTCTGAGTCACCAGAGCTTCATCAATAGTAGGATTGCGAACGGCTATAAGATCCAGATATCTGTTGAGCAAGACCAAAGCTCCACCGAATTAAGACATCTAATAACACTATTATTAATTGATGGTCTTGCTCATTGGAGCCCAGAAAGTTGGTTACTCATCAAGAATGCTGTGAAATTACCAAAGCAGTGACAATGCACCGACAGCTACAAACTGGGCGGCATCCTCCATTACCCGAAAATGCCACAGTTATTGGAGTTCCAATTAATCCCTATTGTGGTAATCAGGAATTGCTTAGTCATATCCATCGCTCCGATGATTCATGTCACGGGACCGCAGGTGCCACCAGAGCCCCGGCTGCCGTCCGGAGCCCATCATGGGACAGTACCCACCACTATAACCATCTCTACCCTCCCGTCACGGGAATCGTCACGAGATCAGCCAGAAAACATGACTCCTAATGGGCCCTGGCCATACCCCGTAGCCACCAAGGAGCGGCCCGCGCACGACCTGGCGGAGACTGTTTTTCAGCCAGTGATGATTAATACCAGACCCCAGTACCTTTTTGACCCAAGGATCCACCACCGCCATTAGGATCACTACAGTCATGATGAAATCACTCGCCAGGTTCGGAACGGGACTCTCCAGAGCAGCCACCTGCTCCTTGGCCCGTGCCACCACGGTACGGGCGTTGGCCACCACCGCCACCTCCGTCCACACCTCCAGCCCCAGCGCAGAACCAGTGGTGACTCCTCCCGAAGGTTCCACCATCTCGTTGAAGAGCGCCTCCCGCGACGAGTCCAAGTTCGGTACCCGTCCCATCTACTTGGACGTGCAAGCCACCTCACCAACTGACCCCAGAGTGGTCGACAAGATGTTGGAATTCTACACGGGAATGTACGGAAACCCCCACTCCTCCACCCACGCCTACGGGTGGGAAACCGACAAGGAGGTTGAGAAGGCTAGAGAGTACATCGCAGCCGGCATCAAGGCCGACCCCAAGGAGATTATCTTCACGTCAGGTGCCACCGAGTCCAACAACATGGCCATCAAGGGTGTGCCTCGTTTCTACAAGAAGACCAAGAAGCACATCATCACTACCCAGACCGAGCACAAGTGTGTGTTGGACTCCGCCAGACACATGCAAGACGAGGGCTTTGACGTGACCTACTTGCCAGTCAACGAGCAGGGGTTGATCAGCCTCGACGACTTGAAGAACGCCATCCGTAAGGATACCATCTTGGTGTCGGTGATGGCTGTCAACAACGAGATCGGAGTCATCCAGCCCTTGAAGGAAATCGGCCAGATCTGCCGTGACAACAAGATCTTCTTCCACACTGACGCCGCCCAGGCCTACGGCAAGATCGACATCGACGTCAACGCCATGAACATCGACTTGTTATCGATCTCGTCCCACAAGATCTACGGCCCCATGGGAATCGGTGCCATCTACATTAGAAGACGTCCCAGAGTCAGATTGGACCCCATCATCACCGGTGGAGGCCAGGAAAGAGGATTGAGATCGGGAACCTTGGCTCCTCCCTTGGTTGCCGGCTTCGGTGAGGCCGCCAGACTCATGCAAACCGAATTGGAAGTACGTATTTATGGAATCACTTGAGGAATCAGACTGCTTACCAAACAGCCCATCTCTGCTGTTTGGAGTGACGAGCACATTTATGCAAGGATCTGATGATTTGCCTGCACAGCTACTAACATTCTAGTTCGACAAAGCCCACATCACCAAGCTCTCGGAGAAGTTGAGAGCCGGTTTATTGTCGATTCCATCCACTCAGCTCAACGGCTCGCACGACCCCAACTCGCAGTACCCCGGATGTGTCAACATCTCGTTCGCGTACATCGAGGGAGAGTCGTTGTTGATGGCGTTGAAGGACATCGCTTTGTCTTCAGGCTCTGCGTGCACTTCGGCCTCGTTGGAGCCCTCGTACGTGTTGCACGCCTTGGGGGCCGACGACGCGTTGGCCCACTCTTCCATCAGATTTGGCATTGGTAGATTCACCACCGAGGCAGAGATCGATTACGTCATCAACGCCATCAACGAGCGGGTCGACTTCTTGAGAAAGATGTCGCCGTTATGGGAAATGGTCCAGGAGGGCATTGACTTGGACTCGATCGAGTGGAGTGGCCATTAGTGCCCTCGCTGTTTTATAGCTCTTATGTACAAATATGTGATCTGACTCATGCGCCGTAACCGGGGGCGCGCTGCCGCAACCGGCCCCGCTGAAAAACTATATAACGTGGTTTGGCCGTGTCCATTTCTCGCCAACTACACATCCATTCAACATGTCAGAACCTAAGAGGGCCAAGACCACCATCACCAAGACCATCACCGTGCTCCCAGGAGACCACGTCGGTACTGAAATCTGTAACGAGGCCATCAAGGTCCTCCAAGCCATCGAACAGCACACACCCTACCAGGACATCCAGTTCAAATTCAACCACAACTTGATCGGAGGTGCTGCCATCGATGCCACCGGCGTGCCATTGCCCGACGAGGCTTTGGAAGCTGCCAAGGCCTCTGACGCTGTCTTGTTGGGTGCCGTGGGTGGCCCCAAGTGGGGCACTGGTGCCGTCAGACCCGAGCAGGGATTGTTGAAAATCAGAAAGGAATTGAACTTGTACGCCAACTTGAGGCCCTGCAACTTCGCCTCCGACACCTTGCTCGAGTTGTCGCCATTGAAGTCCGAAATTGTCAAGGGCACCAACTTCACGGTTGTGCGTGAGTTGGTGGGAGGTATCTACTTTGGCGAAAGACAAGAACAAGAAGAGTCTGCGGACGGCGAGAGTGCTTGGGACACCGAGAAGTACTCGGTGGCTGAAGTCACCCGTATCACCAGAATGGCAGCGTTCATGGCCTTGCAACACAACCCCCCTTTGCCAATCTGGTCATTGGACAAGGCTAACGTGTTGGCATCGTCCAGATTGTGGAGAAAAACCGTGGACAAGGTGATGAGCGAGGAGTTCCCTCAATTGAAGGTTCAGCACCAGTTGATCGACTCTGCAGCCATGATCTTAGTGCAGTCGCCAACCAAATTGAACGGTATTGTCATCACCTCCAACATGTTTGGAGACATCATCTCTGACGAAGCCTCGGTCATTCCAGGCTCCTTGGGGCTCTTGCCATCGGCTTCCTTGGCCTCGTTGCCAGACACCAACTCGGCTTTTGGTTTGTACGAGCCATGTCACGGATCTGCTCCCGACTTGCCTGAAAACAAGGTCAACCCAGTGGCCACCATTTTGTCAGTGGCTATGATGTTGAGGTTGTCGTTGGACTCTCTCAAGGAAGCCGAGGCCTTGGAGAAGGCTGTTGGCCAAGTGTTGGATGCTGGAATCAGAACTGCCGACTTAAGAGGTACCAGCACCACCAAGGAAGTGGGTGATGCCATCGTGGAAGCCGTGTCCAAGATCTTGCAAGAAGCCAAGTAATGCCAGCGGTGCTGGCAATGTTACGACTATAGCCAAATAAAATATTTAAGTTCAGATTTAATGTAGGTAGTTCTATTCATATACGAATGAGCCATGAAGGGATTGGCCAGACGTTACCACCTTTGCCCGCTGCAGTTGTCTAATGTTCTATCAAGAGCCACAATGCTGATGATATTGCAATGTTTGTAACAGCTATAGTCCATCAATCTACTTTCTCTGTAGCGCATCAATAATATTTCAGATCTATCCTACTGAAAGTAAACTCTTCACAAATGAGCTGGATTACAAGTGTGGACAGGTACTTTTAAAGCTCCTTTATCACCATTGCATTTCACAGTTTGAATATCAGTCTATCATAAAACAAATGGATAATAATAAAAACATCTGGAGGCCAACAGCCTAGGATAGAGCGTTTCTAGCTTGACCACAATTGATTTGTCAGTAGGCGAGAAGTCTGATGATTATAATCTGGTATTCATCAATAGTTCATGGCATGTAATCTATGGAAGCTGCTAGTGTTTGCCAATTCTATGAAGACTGTCATGTTGCCTTTCTCGACAATTCTATTCCAATTGTGCGAGGACCCATCTTGTTCTCTTCTCTGCAATAGCTTCGATCTTCTACTTCTTATTATTACAAATGTACTGTGCTAAATCGATTAAGCGCTATAAACTTTGCTAAAAATTAATCTGGCCATTCAATAAATCAGACAAGTACGCAATAGATTCATCTTTGGTGGTGAAACTGTTAAAGTATCTTTCTTTGTCCTTGGACTGGGCCTGGTTCTTTTCGATAATAGTGGCGTCGCTAGACGAGGACGTAAACGTTGGCGAATCCAATTTGGTGGACTGGATAAGATAACTATCAGACTGGTTCTTGTGACGTGCAACCGGATTGTTAGTCTGCGTCCTTGAACCAGCAGCCTTCGCATCGTCGATCAATTGATAGAGACTAGTACTAAAATCAAATTCGTTTGGCGAGTAATACTCGTCTTCAGAACTGGTCAAAGTGATGTTACTCAGGTTGGCCCGTGGGCTGGGGATAATGCTGGTGTCTTGGTCGTGAATTTCAGGAACGGACAAGTTCAAAATATCAAGATCCGAATCAAAATCGATTGTTTTTTTGAACTCTTCAATTACTTGTGTCGAGGACAATGATTGGATAGATTCCTCTTTATTCTCTTTTCTAAAGTAATTTGCAGGAATTTCGAACGTCGACGATGATCCATGACGAGCCTTAAACAATTCGTGAACTTCTTTGGTATCTCCCTCTTTAAATTCGGTGACGAACTGATCCACTAATCCATCAGCCGTATGCTCTAAACTGGCGGTGCTCTTGCCTATATCGAGGGTACTTTGTGAATCAACTGTGCTGTCTGGACTTTCAGTACTTTTGCTATAGTCCAACGCACTTTGGAAACTCTGGTCAATCAATCCTTGGTCCTTTTCAGCCTTTAACTTCTGGACCTCCCCGTATAATGAGGAATTATCTCTGCTAATCGTAACCCAGTTAGTTTCCCCATCCCTATAAAATTCCTCAGGTGGCACATTGCCAATATCCAAGTAGGAAAAGGAAGGCCTAGACAGATTGCTCTTCTTCCTTTGCTTATGAAGCATGTCCAAGGCCAACACATTTTCTTCAGTGGTTGATCTTGGAATTGATGCCAACCTATCCCGAATTATTGAACTGGTGCTCGCAGTAAATGCTGAAGAATTTCTGGTAGAACCAATATCATCCGATAACTCTGGGTTGAATGAGATTTTGCGGGTTTTCATTTCATGTTTTCCCAGATCTTCAGGAATTCTCAATGGTTGTGGAGCTCTTGAAACTTGAGATACATTGCGAGGAGTGGAGCTCACGGGCTGAGGCGATCTCATTACACCCTGAGACGTTTCCACAATTGCTTTCGGTTTTCTCACCACTGCTTGTGGGGTTTTTGGAGTACCTTGAAAAGCCATCACATTTGGCTGTGGGGTCACAGGTGCCTCACGAGGACTAGCTACCATCTCTTGGGATACTCTTCTCAATTCCTGCGATGCTCTTTTCAATTCTTGGGAGTTCCTCATCAATTCTTTTGAATTCCTTGGTGCCTCATATTGAGTGTCGATTGAATATTTGGGAATACTCACAGCTCTACTTTGAACCCTTTGGAGTGAAGGCTCTTCGATTGTAGATTCATCGGATCTCTTAAGCTCTGGGATAGGCTTGTACAAATGAGTATATTGAGCTTTATCTCCCCTAGGAATATAAGTATCAGAAATCTTCCTATTGGAATCATTTGCTTTTGAGGCTTGATTATTCGGAAGTTTATTTGCGTCATTTGCTCTTTTGAATGGATGAAAAAGCTTATGAATGAGTGATTTCTTTTTATTCAAAGTTCTGTCTGGAGCATCCACCGGTCTTTTGACAGGTTGTGGTACCGGGGCTTTAGGAGCCGCCTTTCTCTTCTGCTCAATTTCCTTTTTCTTCTGTGCTTCCAATTCTTCATGCTCTTTTTGCTTCAAGGAGGACTTCAAGCTTTCAGTACTGTATCCAGTGAATACGTTCAAGTAGTAGTCCAAATCGTTCTTGTAGCCGATAGAAAGTGCATCAGTGATGTTGTTATGAGTTCTGAAGATGAGTTCATAGTTAGTGATCAAGATCTTCTTCAAGGTTGATTGCAAATCTTGAGCCTGTATTGTTTCGTCAAGCTCAAAGCTACCATCTTTACTAAGTCCGAATAATCGGATCGTATAATCATTCACGAAGGCAGCATTTATGATCAAATACAAACCAGGGTGAGTTTCAAAGTATCTTTGAGGATTATCGAAAGTAATGTTCAAGAATAATGCAAATGGCGAGTTGCAAGTCTCAACCTCGTATGCATCAATACTATGAGCTGTAGAGTAGATGGTGAACTCTGGTTCCTGAGTATCACAATGCAAGGATGTCACCGAAGTGCCAGCACCAGCTGGAGAAGCAGATACGCTTGTTGGTGTCGATTTGAACAAATGAAAGGATTGACTCTTGTGTAAGACTTTGGCCTTGGTTATCAATTCAATGATCTTGTTGCCATCATCTTGGGTATTCACAATTTCATAGTTCCTGGTGATGTTGGTGTATTTTGAGGAAGAATTAAAGCCATATGGCTTTGTGCTCAAAAACCTCAAGAAGGATCCTTCCTCATCTTTCTGGATCGAAGAAACACCCTTGTAGGTACTGGCAATAACGTGATCAATCTCAACCCAGCCACTAACTTCCATGGAAGGGAAGATTTCAAGATTGGGCAAAGGTTTCTCATTAATCAATGAATGCATTAAGATATCTGACACCGAAATAGATCTCAGCGAGTCTTCATCCCTCTTGAGGTAAAACTTGGGATCATTAATGGTTAAAATCAACAAATAATCCGAGAAAATGATGAGAACATCAGTATGGCAAATACTGTCTTTGGCAGGTTTGACATTCTTTAATTCGTAGATCCCAACCACTTTTCTTGACAACCAGTCATATTGTAACTGTTCTGGCCATTTTGATGCAAGTTCAGTCAACAATTTACCGGAAGGAGTGAAAAAACGATGCTTTGGATTTGAGATTTCGAGGCCCTCATCCGGTAAGCTTCCTCCGAATGCATTGATGACTTCGATTGCAATATTATACGAATTATCGATGAAGGCCATTTCTTCACTGTCCGTTCTGCTCCCCAATTGGGTATAGATTGTATCATAGAGTCTCTTTAAAATCAATTTCAATTTAGGTAATTCGAATAATGAGCCAGATACGATGGAGTCAATTTCCCTGACCGTATAAGAGCCCTTATTCAAGTTTCGGTTTTCGAAAATCTTCTTTTGATTCCTTTGACTGAACTTATTGATTTTTGCCGAGAAGCTCTTAAGGTTGGCCTCATGACGAATGAATGCTTTGTAGAAGTACGGTAAGATCATTCCGAGGACCTTAAAGACCTCTACATAACCGTAATATTTGGCTTTGTTGAGGGAGTCGTGAAGGATGCAGTTGATTCTGGTGATTTCGTCGATGGTTGGGGGAAAAACCTGATTAATTTTCGAGATTCCTGATTTACTGTTGGGACCTTCGCCCGATGCAAGTTTAGAGTGGGACAACACATGGATTCTCAAAGGGATGATGAAGTTCTGGAGCAAGTTGACAAGGCCCATGGTGTAGTTTGTTTGGGTGGAAATCAATTCCTGGATGATGGAGTCCACCTTTTCATTTCCGTCCAACAAGGGAGGAGCTGTGAATGCGGTGGAGACGTTGTAATTGATGTCCATAGCCTCAGGCGAGTACTCCAACAACGGGTCGAAGAGCTGGTCCAACTGGTCGCCCAACAAGAACACCATTTTGTTGTTGTCTTCCACGATCTTGGGGTTGGTCTGGTCGGAGAAGTTGTCGTAGACGGTGTCCAAGAGAATGGTGGAGAAGGTGTGAGGCTGGATGAGACCGAGTTGGAGCAATTTGTTTCCCAAATCGAGGGGGGGTTTAGCAGTCATGAGGTTCATTTCGTTGGCCAAGTTACCTGCGTTGGTCTCGTCCCAGGGAAGGGACACCTTGACCTCGTTAGAGAGCTTGGTGTAGTTCTTGAGGGTGGAGATGGCGATGGCCTTGCGGACGTTGGAGCGACGGTACTCAGGCAAGAGGTTCTCGCACCCAGGCCAGAACCGTGACCGCGAGTCGAGGATCAAGTTGTCGTAGGTGGTGACTCCGTACTGGGTGATAGACTTGGTGGAGATGCGTCCCGAACGGGAGTTCTGGTAGATCATGATGACCATGTGCTGGAAGTAGAGAGGGTCGTATCCGGAGAAGTAGGCAGCTTTCGCGAAGAGGTGCTGCCAGTCCTGGATGGAGTGGGAAGGACTGGCTCTGGTGGTGGAGTGGGAAGGGCTGCCTCGTGGTGCTGAAGCTCGGGTCGTATTAGCGGTGGTGGCATCGCTGAGACGGACCCCATCAGTGCTCCGCCACGAGTCGCCTGCAAACTGGGCCCCCAATGGAGGGAGGCAGAGGCTGGAAGGGCCTGGAAGCGACTGGGTCGAGGAATTGGAGCCAGTTCGTGATGTTGAATGTGCTGGTTCAGGCCGTTTGTGGGACCTGAAGAAGGCCTCGTCGTGCTCTAGCGAGGCAAACCGGTGGTAGATGCTCATTGGGACGAGGAGAAACAGGCCATGTAGTACTGATGTTTTGTAAGTAGAAGATACATCCCGAGCTACGGTATGGTAGATGAGGAAACATAAACAAAGGTGGTGTATATAGTGGGTTGCCAGATTGGGCGCGCGGAATGGAATGTAGTAGGGAGGAAAAGGTCGAAGCAAAGGAAGAGTGGGGGAGAGGTGGGGCAGAGATGGGAGTGGAGGTGATGGTGGAGGTGACAGGCTCAAGTGGAGCGGTTTCCGACTGAGAGACCGTTCTGTCGTGATTGTGATGGTGGTGGAGACTTGAAGCTAAGGTCTCGTCTGGAGCAAGGTCACGTGCCGCGAGACGGCTGTATTGTGGTGATGGAGGCATTGTCGTCAGATGCTATCGTTGTTCCTTATTCGGGAGTGTTGGTGGTGTCTTGCGGGTGTGTCTCTTTCTGTGCCAAATTGTGGGCTGGTGTGCACTTCGAGGTGTCCGAGGCGGCTTGTGTGCCAAATCGAGACATCTTCGGTTTTCTCAGTAGTCATTGGTAGTGCACATTTTGGTCGCAATTTAACCCTCGGTACATATGGTGAAACAATTGCTTCCATGGCTGTAGTAATGTCGTCTTGGTTGTCGTTCCACGTGGATCGAAAGAGAGGATTTGGGGCTGGCCCAGGTGAATTTTCGAGATGCCCCTGTTCTTCTGCTTCACGGTAGGTTATTCCTACCAGTGTTATAAGGGTCCCGCCACGTAAATGAAAGAAATATCTGTTCTGTGCTATTATCCTTTTCCTCTCTGCCAACATAAATTAATAGGCATATCCCGAGCTGTCCAATTGTCACTTTTCAGTGTCCTTCCGGGGCCCAAAATGTACACTATGGAGAGGGGTAGGTCGACCGTCCACTCCAAATTCTCAGGGAAGCACAATTTTACGATGATCGCCTTGACATGCCCCATTGTGATAAAATCAACTCTCCGACGTAAATGAAAGATAGTCTTGATCTGTCCAATTACCAGGTTTCAGCTCCAACGTAATGATAAGGACTATCCTCAACTATCCACATTACGTTTCAGCAAATCTGAGCTGCGAAATAGTCACTTCTCAGTAAATGAAAGGAATATCCCGATTGTTCCCATTTCAAGCATCCAAATTTCAATTACAAGGAATATTCTGAGCCTTCCAATTATCCCAATTCTTGACAACAACAAACAGTCCCCTCCTAATAGTATTCAGCATTGCAAAATGTTTCACATCTGATTCATCCTATTGTTCCACACTTGAGTCGCAATTCTTCCAATCGGTACCATCAATCTACTGTTATCTTCACCCCAATTAATTATCGTAAAAGTACCTCTCTTTCTCTCATTGTATCCACGCATCCCCTAACCCGCTAGTCAAACGTCACAAGCTTGGGGTCGCGAGGCACTCCATCCTTATCGATGCCATTGGAGTCCAATTGGCGCTGGGTGTAGGCTAGTCGAGCCTGGTCAAATGTGAGGCCCTCCCTCCGCATAATCCTTGTGATCTCCTGAGTTGCTGCCTCCAGCAAACCCAGTCTGGAGTCACTGCTAGCGATGTTCTGTTCGAGATCGAAGGTGCTGCTTGTCAAGCCTCGTTCGATATCGTCTTGAAACCCGCTGAGCCCAAGATAGCCCCCTGACCTCCTTCTGGTCCTGTACCTGTCATGGGCCTCAGCGATCTTGTGCCTAAAGTGGAAGATAACAAGAGCAGCTATGATCACACTGAGAAGCAATACATGGTGGGACTTGACCCGGGAGTTGCCATCAGAATCGTAGTAGTATGACCAAGAAGCTGAGAAGCTGGACCCATCCTCGGAGGTGGTGGAGGCCACAGAAGTTCCGGAAACGGCAGTGTCAGAGGTTTTGGAGCCGGAATATACACCCTTCAACCATTCCAGACGGACACTGATCATACTGAAGCACAATTGGGTGGTAGGGATGATGTGTTTTGCGGAGTATTTTGCAGAGTGTATATGGATAGAGTGCGCTCTACGGTGCAGGTATACCCTTTGAAGGAGCAGCAAAGAGGAGGAAAAAGGACATAGAAAACGCCGGCTGGACTGGAAAGATGCCCTAATATAAGTATGATACCTATTATTGACAGAAATAGATCAGTTGTATGTTATGATTAAAATTTTTTTCAAAAGTATATGTCATAAATGCGGAGTAAATTATCGAACTAGATAACGTCTTTTATGATTGATTCGAGATAAATAATGATAATTGTCCGCCAAAAGTCCGGGAGCAGTCCAGCCAGGTTTCTGGCTTAGGCATGTGGTGGTTATTTCTGAGTAGGCAAATTGTGGGTTCTTTGTTGGCAAGAGTGTTTTATTCGTCAGGCGTTTGGTGGGCAAGTGTAAGTTCTATGACTTAACTACCGTTCACTAGAAGAGTGGGCTAACCCTGTGAGATACTTCAGAAGTACATTTTTACCTAACATTGGCATTTTTTGAGTGGATAGACAATACGCTATTACTGGGAATAAACACAATGCTTGGGGGTATAAGCGATCAGGACCACGGAAGATATCGCAAATTGAGTGAATCTCGGATGGTCGTCCACTGTTCATTCCCAGCTAAAGCTGGCAAACGGTGGATCCACGTGTGGACGAATTCGTTTGGGTGCAAAACAGCTGGTTGCGAAAGACCATGTGCGGAGTTCACCAAATGTTAACTAACTCAACTGCAGACTTACGCCACACACTACAAGACTGTGCCTACTTCGCTATCAATGTATTCCGGCTAGATGTCGGATCATTTATTGTCTTTTAGCGTAACTGATTTGGAGGTTTCTACCTCCATACAAATAGTTGTCGAGGTTCTGGATGGCATTTTCTGCAAGCTCGGCAAGCTCAAATTGCACCACCGCATTCCCAGTAGCCTTACCGTTTTCGTTGTACTGGATTTCGGCTTTGTTGGTCCTACCAACGGTCTCAAACAACTCGTATAAATCGTCGTTGTTCGTCACGTACGGCAAGTTGGCAACAAATACGGTATCGGATCTTTCTCCTCCTGCTACCACACCTTCAGTGAATTCGGTATTCTTGGGTAAATCTGCTGGCGCATCACGTCTAGATCTGCTACCATCGTAAGTGTCTCTTGTACGGGATTGTGTGGCACCATTAGTGGCCGTGGTTCCTCTTCCGGGACGGGTGTCGAGCTTTCTGCCTTCTATTTCGTATCCCTGGAACATCTCCACCGCTTTGGTAGCTTCTTCTGGAGTCAGAAACACAACAGTACCGAATCCTCTTGATTTTCCCCAGTCGTCCATTCTGACGTCAGCTCTCTCCACTTCTCCTGCACCTCTCATGAGGTCCTTCAATGCTTGCCAATTAACTGAAAACGGCAAGTTTCCCACGAATATCTCCGTGCCTGATTTGGGGGCAGTTGTGCTTCTTTCTGGGTTCTCCACTCGTTCCTTTTTGCGAATGGGTTCTCTTTGCTTTTTGTCGGGTGGGGGGTAGTCCTGCCTGACGAATATTTCTCTTCCACGATATTCATGATGGTCGAATTTAGCAATGGCATCACGTACATGATCTTTGGTGGAGAACTCGACGGTGGCCATACCTCTCGACCTACCCTTGTTTGTCACGATGTCGGCTCTGACTATGGTGAACTCGCTTCCAAACATCTCCTCCACATCTTTGGAGGTACAGTCGAAGGGAATATTTCCAATGAAGATGGAGTTGTCGTAATTTCTTTCTGTTTTTGCACGATACACCTCGTCTGAAGAAGCCGAGGAGTCGAAGTCTCTTCTGGACGAGTAGTCTCTTGCGCTGCCTCCTCTTCCACCACGTCTTCCACCACGCCCGCTGTCGTAGTCTCTGCGTCCGCCTCGGGATGATCGGTCGTACGAGTTACGCGAGTACCCGTAGTCTCTTCTAGAGTAGTCTTTGGTGTCCTGTTCACGTTCTCTGACCGGCTCCCTTTGTGGGGAGCGCGATCTCTCTCTCACCGGAGACCTGGAGCGATCCTAATGTTAGCATATTCCATCAACAATTCCAACCAGGCACGAGGCCAGAATTCCCACAACGAGGCTCTGGTATGAAAAATCTCGCCCCAAACCGTCTGAGAAATCCAAAACCATGGCCCAAGCAGCTCGATCTGTTCTGCCATCCAGCCACTGGGTAGCCAGCACCAATCAACGTACCCTTGAATAATCATCAATGTCCATTTCCTCCATTTTGAATGTCCAACTAGCGTTTTCAGACTGGCAATGGAGCTCTCTAACCTGTATATCTCGGAAGGAAGAGGATTCCGGATTGAATCCGGTGGATTTGATGTCGGTGAAGGGTGGGCGCGCACGACCGGTGTCCACGATTAGTCAGGCGCTGGCGCTGGCAAGGCTAGCGCGGTGCCATGGGGAAGGCCGTGGTGCGGGCTTGGTGGTGGCGGGGAGAGCGCGGCTAGTGGCCGCGGTAGCGTTCGCACTGGCGGGACATTACAGCGAGCAAAACGTCTCTAATTACAGATTTGGGCCTGGCGTGGGTGAAATTCTCTGATGTTACGAGGGATGTGTAGTAGGTAATTGTTGCTAGGCATGCCTAAGCGAGGAGATATTCATTTAATGGGGGTGGGGAGTTATTGCTGGCGCATTGGTATGTCATCGCTGGATGGATGGATTGTCTCTCTGGATGTTAGACGTAAACTCCACAATGTGCTTCTGACCCTATTGGAGGGTGATTAGCGTTGGAATTCCAGTCTGCATCAGTGCCAGCCCAATTGGCAACTCTAACCTGCCAGACCAGGTTTTCTAGCGACTTTTAGCCGTGAAGGAGTAAGGATAGAAGCTCGTTCAGTGGCTCCAGGCTCGTGTATTCCCCTGGAATACATGTTATGACTCTTTAAAAGACGAATTTGCTCTTGAACTGTGTCTTACGTCGCTGGAGAAGGTGTTGCTGTGATAGCAACAAGATTTTTGTGGTCGAGGCGATTCTTGGATCTTATGTTGGCCCTTTTGGTGTAATTATAATAGCTGTTGGCCCTTTCTGGCCTCTACTTCTCCGGGAACGGCAACACCAATCTCCTCTCAACCTCGGTTTCTTTGTTTACCTCCTCCTCACCATCGAACTTCAACCGTACGTTTCCGTCTTTTCTGTTACCCACCACTATCGCTGGGTAGAACGTAGTAGTTTCAGGGTACCTTGCAAGCACCTTGGTACCGTAGGGATAGGCTGCCAAGTCTTTGACTTCCGACAATGGCGGTATGAGGAGCAACTCTTTGTAATTAGCCTTGAAGGTCTGGCCTGGGTTGTTGTTTTCGTCAGGTTCTGGATCTCTGATCTCGAACTTGATTCCGTCGCCAATCACCTTCATCACCTCACACTGGATCCACTCCTCAAAGTGACGGTTACGGAGCTTGTAGGCCACCTCGGACCCAATGAAAATGGGCTCCAGCGGATTGTACTTGGAGGTGTAGTACAGGCGGCCCACTTTCTTGGTGTTGCTCTTCTTTACCACCTTAGCAGCAGGGCTGCTTTTGCCAGCCGGCGATCCCTTGCCGCCAGCGGTGCCATACGACTTCTTGGTGATGTTGTTGCGGATTGGTGAGCTGGCGGGGGTATCTTTGTCGGCTTTCTTCTGGAGATACTCGATTAAGGTCTGGAGATTTTGCTGCGAGGTGTCGATGAGACGTTTGGCTGTGCCGATGTTGGATTTGTGGTCGCTGACTTCTTCCTTTAGCTTGTTGAGGTCGTCTTCCAGCATTTCTTGGACCGACACTTCCTTGAGGTACTTTGCGTGCACGTTATCGAAGGTGAGCGAGTCGTTGGCGTTGCAGATGTCCTGCAACGATGTGATGACGATGTCCCAATTGCCTTCTATTTCTTGGGCTTGCATGGTGTTAGTGGGTGGTGGCAGCCAATTGTGGTGAACAGAAATTCGATTTCGAGAAAAATCGCGGTAGCGAGACGTGGAGGAGAATGGCGTGGTGCGAGCGCTGCGGTAGCGACGGGATAGCGACAGCTAATGGTGCGAGCGCGCTAGCGACTGGCAAGATTACCACAGCTAATGATCCTTCGCCATGGACCACCGCTGCAGCGCTCTTATACCTTTATTACTTCAATCACCAGCGGCAGGAAAGAATCCAAGGAAGAGAGCAATTACTCGATATTCACAGAGGACCTATTCTTTTACACACCACCCATGCGCAGAGTGTAAGTACAACAGCAGTGATTGTGCTTATCGGCTCCTATGGGCCTCCTGGTTTTGTTTGCTTAGTATATTGCGATAATTTGCGATAATGATTGACAACGGAACAAATGTGCTTGAAGGCAGTACTTGTTCACCTACGTGCGTACTATTCAATGACATCGTATCACGTCGATAGCCCATCACAACCAGAGACGAGCAACCGGCTTCAGGCTCTCGTGTCTACATTGCAACGAGTTCTCGCTCGTGCGACTAAGGTTTTCCCATCCAATTCACTAAGGGTATTCAATTTACTAGCGGTAGTTCTCGCAGGGTTCTCCGTTAGCTGCCTAAATCCCCATTCTCTATTTCAGAGCGGTTCTCGCTACGTTCTCCGGTATTTTTCACTAGTCTCGCTAGTGCGACTTCCTCTGCAACACCTCGCCCCTCCCGGCAGTGCTCTTGGCAGCCATTCCGACCCGGCTGCGTTTCTCACTGGCGCTTGGCAGCCACTTGGCAGCCACCGTGCAACCACCCCCTAGTGGCGTGTCGTCCCCCGTAATTCTCTCTACCGCCACTGTTGCTGCCTGGCTTACTCTCTCGCTGGAATACCACCTCGCTGGGAGCCTCTACCGGCAATCTGCCCCAAAATGCCGCTGTGGTGCCGCACCACTTAAGCCCACACGATCAACACTCCCTATTCCTCACCATGAATCCCCTGGAGCTTTGTATGGCAGCAGGCCACTTGGTGCTGGCAGTATCGGCAATTGGCCACATTCAGCACAATAAGCACAAGCGCTCGGTTTACGGCGTCTCCTACGACACCGTCCTTCTCACTGTGGTATCGCAGCTGTGCTCAGTAATCAGCACCCTCAACTACTACCACAACAACACCGTCAAAGTCCAGTACCAGCACAGGTTCCCGATTCACCCTATCCCTGGCATCAGCAAGTCCGTGCTAGCACTCGACTGTGCCCTGGTGGTGCTCTCGTGGTGCCTTCTCTGGCAGCTCTGTATCAGTTACTCCCGGACCAGAAGCGTGGAGCAGGGCTTCAGCGGGATCTGCTTGGGCCTATTGGCGGCATTCAGCATGCTCGTGGGTTACGTGGGTCTCCAGACAGTCACAGTGTCGTCGATCGTGGCCTTGGACGTGGTAGACGCAATCTGGCTCGTGGGCAAGGTCTGCGGCACTGTGCGGCTCGTGCCCCAGGTGCTGACCAACTGGATGGCCACTAGTGTGGTGGGATTCCATAGTTACTGGTTGCAGCTCGAGTGGATAGCGTTGGGAGTCCTTTTGGTGGGCAAGAGCCTCCTGAGCCGAGACTACCAGTGGTACGCGATTCCCGTCAATTTCGTGCCATGGACGTGGCTAGGCTTCGGTTCTATTGCAGTGGCGGTAATTACCATCCAGAAGCTGTGGGTATACAGAGGCAGGAAAGGCTCGTTGGACTTATACTACAAGGACGGACCATGGCTACCATAGTCTGCAAATGGTTACGAGTCTAGGCAAGCTAGGTGCGCGTTAGATCGTTACACAGAGCTCACATGTGGGGCAGGCCCCTCCATACAACTGCGTCCGAACAAGTGTTGCGCAGGTCCACAGGAAGACTATTAGAGAGAGAATATTTCGGCGAAATTGTGGTGCATGTTATCGGAAACAGTATTGGTGTCATTTCTGAAAATAATCATCAAACGTGAAGCAGAGCTTCGATTTCACTCAACCCTAGATTTCACCCATTCGGTATCATGCTTCTGTTGTCCAGGTCCAAGAAGAAGCCCCATTTCAGTACTAAATCAAAGAATAATATTTTCCCCAGCCCATTCTAAATCTACGAATCCCCCATCTGTCACTATTATGACTAAAATTTATATTACAATACTGTTCAATGCAGGTATACTTATCTATCAGAATCCTAAAACCGTCCCCCAAGCAATTTCAATGCCAATTGCACACCATAGCTGATTTTCCTGTCCTCATCAACCTCGTACACAACGTCATCGTCCTTGTTGACCAGGTGCACGGAGTCATCATCCATAGTGGCAACAGTGTCAATGGCTTGGATGGCGTTCTCGGACACGTCAACGTGGGGATTGGTCTTGGTGTCTGGGGTGGAAGACTCCAGCTCCTGCTTCTTCTGCTTGGGTTTCGGTTGGAAATCGGTCAATTCCAACTTTTTGGCGTATGTCATGAGATTGGTGATTTCATCCTTCATTTGTTGCTTCAACACTTCGTCTTTGGTAATGATGATAGCGTTGCTTTCCAAGTCCAAGGAGTATGCTCTTTTGGTATAGTTTGAAGACCCCACCACAGTAATACTGGGCACTTCTTCGTCTGGAGCGGTCAACCACATTCCCTTTGCGTGGTATGACCATCCTCCAAGGGTGTTGACCACCCCTCGTTGCCATTCGAACACCGTGATCATGGACGACTTGCCGATTCTGGCCACTTCCTCAAGAAATTTCTTTGCGAATAAAAGGTAAGCTTCGGGAACATAGTAGGAAACCCCAGAAGACTTGTAGAACGAATTGGCCTTGGGAGAGGCGGTGATGACGGAACCTGCGGACTTTCCGTTGATGAGTCTGTCCTGGATTTCCGGGAGCATGTTGAAGTAGCCAGCAGTGAACCACCATTTGATGGACGAGGTGTCAAGGTACGAGAGAAGTCTCAACACTGCCGGTTTTTCCGTGGAGTTGTCGATCATCTTGGGGAACAACGGTGTGAACTGCGACACGGGGTACACCAAGGTGTCGTAGTCGTCGGTGTCGTCGAACTCGTCAAACGAAGACAACTGCTGCTGCTTCAAGAGAGGGTCCAACATGTAGGAGGTGTCGCTGATGAAGCGGCCAATGTTCATGTGAGGTTCGCACGAGGCGTTGGAGGTGGGCCAGGTCAATCTAAAGCCCTGCTTGAGCTTCTGCGAGGGTAAGACCTGGTACGAGATGGACGAGATGGCCTCCTGGATCTTGTAGTAGTAGTCAGTCAACCGTGAACTTCTGAAAACGTAGTAGCGGTCTTGTCTGTCGGTGAAGTAGTCGTGGGAAAGATTGGCTCCACTGAGCATGATTTCGTTGTCGAACCCGTAGAGCTTCATGTGCTGCAAACCGTAGGTCTCGTTGAACCGTTTTGGCGTGATTGCCTTGGACATTCCCGCCAAGTTGGGGGTGTGGTACATGCGGACGTCCACACGATGCTTTCCGAACTTGGCCACCAAAGGCGTCAAAAGCGACGCTGAGCACACGTTGTCGGGTGCCTCACGGGTGCCTCTCAACGCGTCGATGAGGATGTACACCTTCAAGTCTGCACTGGCAGCGAGGGCGTCGTCGAGGCACTGGATCAACTCGGTCTGGGTCTTGCCGACGTACAACGACGACAAGAAGATCCGCGACTTGGCAGAGGCGATTTTGGCCTTGAGGGTGGAGTAGAACTGGTCGGGACGGTTGAGGATCTCGATGTCGCCTCGCTTCATGGGAAATCTGGGGGCGATGGAGTCGAGCTGTTTCATCACCACCCGGAGCTTGGGGTGGAACTGTTGGTCGATGGTGGGGAGCAAGGGGGGGTTGTTGGTGGCGTAGGTGCGCCGTTGCGGCTGCTCGCGGGCCGGGAAGAGATAGCTGAAGACGGACCACATTCTGTTAGGGTAGCGGCGTGTAAGCATGAGAAAAACCGGCTGTTTATGGCTGGTGATGGGTGTAGATAAGAGGAAATGATGGACGGCGGTGTGCGCACGACAGGGTTTGGGGTTTGGAGGTTCGCGTGGGGTGAAGAGGTGGAGTACTGTAGAGTATAGAAGCAGCTGCACCTGCTGGTACTGAGGGTGTGGCTAGCTGGTACCGAAGCTGGTACTGAGGGTGTAGGTGGCTGCTACAGAGTCTGGTCTGGGTTGTTCTTGGCCTGTCAGATTCACGCGTGCCCTACCCTTTTGGGCTTAAGGTTGCGTGCATTATCAGAGACGGAACAACCCGGAATCCAGTGCAAAAGCCACCACATCCCCCGGCAGGCCAGCTGAACGCACCAGGATGGTTCTGGATGTGGAGACGGTGATAGTGAACCAGTTGTCGCGAGAAAGGGACGATTTTCGGGGCCAAATGTTCCTTGCATGTCCAGCAGATCTGTTGGGCCCATCATTTTTGTGGCAGGCGATGCGATTGTTGGATCTGCTCGCGGGATAGAGGCTGGCAAGGAGGGTACAAAATGGGCTGGGCTATGTAGTTTATAGCAAAGAAATGGTTCGTACAGATGTGTGGTCTTCGATGGCCTTCTGATTCCCTATTGGCCATGAAGTGGGACAACCCGAAAGATCCCAACAGTAGCGATTGAGGCACCTTTATTTTGATGCTGGTCTTCCGGAGAGAGTAGTTCGAAGAACTCGTAAGAGACACCTTTTCTACTGTAATTATTAAGGCACTTCCTTTAATTCGTTGAGATTTGTGTTTTCCGGAGAGTGTGACCCCAAGAAAACTCTTTATCGGAAGCATTTTATTTCCTTGCATATTGATCGATACTGCTATCAATATCCTGTGCAGTAATTCTTGATAGGCACCTTCTTGACTGTAAATTAATGTTGGCGAGAGACGACACTTTAGCATCCTTTTACCAGGTTCCCTCTACGGTTTCGTGGTGAATTTTCATGGCATTTGAGTTTTTTGAGCATTATTTTGGTAATTTTACAAAGTGTGGAATACTCCGGCAGCTACATTTTGTTAAGTACTAGAAGTTCTCTTGTGCTTGAAATCACTAATCGTTACCCAAGCTTACTGCTCCAGTCTTGAAGATCACCATGAAAATATAAGCCCAAATCTTTTCTTTCCACTTTGATATTGGAGCCCTAGAATCTTATGCATTACCACTAGCAAGCTACAAGGGATTGATTCACGACTACACAAAAATTATAGGCTGCTGCAACCACTAAGGTTTAATATATGGCCAATTTATCAATACAGATAATAGATTTTCTGAAGGATATTTAATTAGTTAATCTAATAAAAAAGCTTTCAAAGAAATATGCAAATAAAACCACCCTGCTATTTCGTTCCTCGAGAAGACCAACATTTTATTCAAAACCAAATGATTGATTCTTATTGAATTCCTCAGTAGTGACTAGACGCCGTAGATAATGTCACCACTAGTGATCTTTCTGGATAATATTTTTATATGACATTACCAAATAGCGACATTTACAGTAGGTGAATTACATTTGATGCTTTTTCGCAATCAACAATTCTGCTAGAATAGTTCATGCAATTTATTATGTTTTAGATGGGAATCTACCTCCAACAATATTCGATAATACAAGTTATTAAATGCAAGCATATAACTAAGACAGACAGGCATACTTTGACCGTTGTCTAAGATGCTTACCGTACTTGTAGAACAAAAACGGAACTGGAATCAACACCACGGACACAAGCCCGACCAACAAAGTCCCCCAATTCATATGCAAAGCAGTGAACATTTGTCGGGCAAATAACGGAAACGCAGCTGCAAAAGCCGATCTGATAAATGCGTTGCCAGCTAACGCAGATGCAGCCAATGAAAGGTAACAGTCTATGATGTAGTTCAAACATGGCATAAAAACTAAAATTAGGCCAAAACCAATGAAGCCTAGTCCAATGGTGGGAACTATCCAGTGTATATGCTGGGCATAATTTCCAGTCCATCCGAACCAGAACAAGCCAATAGAAAAGAAAATTCCACCAATCATCATAGGAGGCAATCTTTCTTCGGGAACCGGCTTTCCGTTGTTCGCATCCATAGCAAGTGCATACCTACCTTCAAAATAGATAATGAGAGCTATGCCGAGAATAATGCCTATGAACATAGAAAGGTACGGCAACTCAGCGACGCCAGCCACAAAGTGGTACCTTTCAGCAAACACCATAGGGAGGGCGGTCAAAAATAGGTAAAGCATCCCATAAATGAAAGCGTTGTAGATGGACACCAAGAGCAAAATTGGCTCGGTGGCCAACATGATTAGCGGCCGAGAAATGTACTTCTCGACAATTTCCTTTATCGATATTGACAATTCTTCGTGGGGAGCATAGATGGCCCAATTTTCGGTTGTTCTTCTCAAGGCCTTCGCCTTTTTGACCAAGAGTAGCTGAGGGTGAGTTTCTGGCAATAGAAACGCAGTTATCAAGACTGAAACGGCACCTATGATGCCGCAGAAATACGAGGTCCATCTCCAGCCGAGGGCATGGTTCTTCACAGTGAACCCGCCGATGATGGGAGCCAACATGGGCCCGCCAAACACCATAAATGCAAACACGGAGATGGCAGTGCCCCTGCTCTTGGGTGAATATAAGTCGGCTATGACGGCAGGAGCCACCACCAATGGAGCCGAGCCTACGAACCCAGTGAAAAATCGACAGATGATGATGGTCTGGATGTCTTTGGCGGTGGCCACGGCAAAGCTGAAGAGAGTAAAGCCAATAGCACCCACAAGAAGAGGGCTTTTTCGTCCATACAACTCAGACAATGGTCCAAATATAATGGGTCCCGAGGCGAACCCCAACACGAACAACGAGGTTCCAAGCGTGGTGATGGTGGGGCCCACCAGAAAGTGCTTTTCGATGATGGGACCTGCCTGGGAGAACATAGCAGATCCGAGAGTAAGACACAAGGCATTGTAGCCCACGTAACTGGTGAACAAGGCTTTTTGCGTCCTGGGATAGTTCTGGGGATGGATGGGGTCGTCTGGTCCGTCAAACCCCACAGCGTAGCTGGTCCTATCAAATGGCGGAGGGACGTCTGGTCCGTCAAAATTCACGACAGAGCCAGTCTTGGGCCCATGGCTGCCCACAGATGGCAACGACTCATCGGTTCCATTGGCACCCATATGCGGCTAGTTCAGGCAGATAGGATGCACTTGTGGTTTAGGTTCTTGGCATGGCTCCATCTTATAGCACTTGAGACCTTCGAGTGGGAACCGCCGATCTGTGGGCATGTCATTGTAGATCTTCAACAATTGATCCGGCAGGAAGCGGCATTGAGCGGTGGCAGATGAGCAGGGAGAGGAAGTGTTGGCAGTCAGCACCATGAGGAGACCGGGGAGGATTAGCTATGGAAAATCTAAGGCATTGGGCAGCGCATCGCAGGAATTAGGGCCATTCGTCAATTAGGGCCATTCGTCGCTCAACATCATCTCGTGCAAGATCTCACCGCAGTCGTTCATGGCTGAGGACCGCCAAGTCACAGCTAACTCCGCAGGGTTGGGCAGATATCTCGGCGATTACGTATGGGATCTCTTGAGGATTAATTTTCACAATTGACTATGGACCGTCTCAATTTACTACGTAGTACCATAGGCCTGGATTACGGACGATCGGACTATTATGGACCATCTCGAACGGACGATCGGACTATTATGGACCATCTCGAACGGATCATCTGCAAATTGGGCAATGATCGGTGGATGATCGCCACCCAAAGCTGGAGGCGGGGGAAGCCTTCGCTGTGGCTGGCATGCCCCTCCTTTGTTTTTCCTGAAGTTTCGCCTATTGGTGTAACATCCAAGATTGCTCGTTTTGGGTCAAACGATATTTTTTAGATTACTCCGGTTGCACTAAAATAGGGATCTTGGATCAGCTGATTGTCCTGCCAGCAGATCCCAAGCTGTACAGCCCACCCAGGACCGCGTGATCCCTTGCATTGCTGTGCCTATTTGTGACTATTTGCACTCAATATGGGCTTGCAAAATATTACTATGACAAGTCGATTATTACACTTGAACAGCATAAAATATCACACTGCCATGTGTTACTGCTGGTATGCCCCACAAAATATCTTACTTTAATCTGTAGGGGCGCAAAATATCCATGTGTTACTTTGCCTTGGCCCCAAAAATATCACTGACATGATGTTACTGTAACCAAGCCCCAAATAGTGACATGATGTGGCTATTTACATCTCCTATATTATTTACCTATGTACATCCTGCAACCTGGGGTTATTTGTACATGATGCTTGTGAACGACCATAATATCCCAGCTACACCTTCTGGAGGCCCCCCCTCCTGTCTCATACCCCGATACGATTACCGTGTACGCCCCCCTGCTGCTTTCACCACCATCACGTCTCCGTCCTCCAATTCGTACTTCTTGCCGCACCTGTGCTGCTTGCCTGCAGCCTTCAAGCCTGCTTCGTTCAACGGAGCTTTCTCTCTCTCCAAGTCCTGCCACTTGTACACCTGTGCAGAGATAAATGTCTTCTGGAGGTCGGTGTGGATCACGCCAGCACCCTCTGGGGCAGTAGTGCCCTCACGAACCGTCCATTGACGTGCTTCTTTGGGGCCACAGGTGTAAAACGAAACGAGATGCAACGCACTCCGCATTTCATCCACAATGGTGGGAATGGCACTGGCACGCTCAGCATCACCCAGCTCCTGTAATTTACTCTCGAGCTCCACACTGACCATCACCAACTTGTCATCCTTGCAGTGCTGGCCCATCCACGCCTGAACTTGCTCCAAAAATTCGTTTTGGCCCTGCAAATAATCGGACTCGCTGACGTTGAGCAAGTACACCGTAGGCTTGGCTGTTAACAAATTGTAGCTGTTGATTAACTCGATCTCCTCCTCGGACCACGTCTCGGAAATCACCTTCTTGCCCTCGTACAAGGTGTCCAGGACCCGGTTGAGCGTGGCCAACTCGAAGTCCACCACTGCACGGTTGACATTGGGCTTTTTCAAGCTTTTTGTCGCAAGCTCGAGGCCTGTTTCCACGTACTCCAAGTCCTTCAAGATCAACTCGTCGTTAACCACCTCCATGTCTCTGACGGGATTGACGTCGTTCTCGATGTGGATGATCTCGTCATTGCGGAACCCCCTAACCATCTGGAACAACCCATCCACCTGACGGATATCTGCCAAAAACTTGTTTCCCATGCCCTCTCCGCTGCTGGCATTTCGGGTCAACCCTGCAATGTCGTAGATAGTCAAGGTGCTGGGTAACTTCTTTTCGGAGCCAAACAACTGGGCGTAGTGGTCAAGTTTGGGCAGTTCCACCACGATCAACGACTTTTCCGGCTCGATAGTAGCGAATGGATAGTTGGCTGGGTTTCCGAGTGTTGACTTGGTGATGGCCTGGAAGAAAGTGCTCTTCCCGACATTGGCCAATCCCACAAGGCCCAGCAGGAGATTGTTGCTGGGACGGCCAAAGTACTTGGTCATAGTCGAGGCCTTCTTGGCCGCAAGAGCTGCCGTGGAAGTGCTGAAGCTCCGCAAGGACATTATCGATTTTTCAGTGAAAAGGTGCACTGTGCATAAAACGTTTGGTGCAACTGATGGGCGCAAAATAGTGGCTAGACCGAGAATTTACGACTAGTGAGGAGGGAGATAAATGGGTCAGCACTGCAGTATAAGTAGAGGATACGGCTTAGTATGGAGTTTTGGGAAGCGGTGAAATTTTACCCAGTCTTTTTGGATAACAGCCATTGGTAACATCAGAGATCACCGAAATAGCATGGCATTGCTGAAAATAAAGACACTTCTTGGTAGATTTGATCAGCGATACAAATAGCAGAAATTGTTGGGACAGATCAAAATAATAAGAGTTAGAGAAAGAAGAAGTCAGAGGCTCGCTTGATAAATCACTTCACTGGCGATTAATCGGAATCCGAAGAAGGGATAGAAGGATCGAACTTACTGGTTTACTAGAAAATCCAAATGCAACATCAGCACGATTGAGTACTTGTTTGATGAGATATCCGACTGCAATTCAAGATGGATGAGTAACTTCTTTCTGTACTCTCAGCCTCCGCTTGAAGAACAAACAGTTTAATGCTTACAAGCTTTCTCATTAAATATTAGCATTATTATATTATTATAGTCGTTTCTATCTACAAAACGAAAGCATACTTCGATCTTTCTCTGAAGGCTTTACCATACCTGTAGAACAAGAATGGAACGGGTATCAACACCAACGACACAAGACCCACCAACAAAGATCCCCAGTTGATGTGCATGGCCGTGAACATTTGTCTAGCGAATAAAGGAAATGCAGCAGCAAAAGCCGATCTAATGAAGGTGTTACCAGCTAACGCAGAGGCGGCCAAGGCGAGGTAACAATCAATGATGTAGGTCAAGCAAGGCAAAAAGACCAAAATCAAGCCAAAGCCAATGAAGGCTACTCCGATGGTGGGAACAATCCAGTGTATATGCTGGGCATAGTTTCCAGTCCATCCGAACCAGAACAAGCCAATAGTGAAGAAAACTCCACCAATCATCATAGGAATCAATCTCTCTTCTGGGACGGGCTTTCCGTTGTTGGCATCCATGGCAAGCGAGTATCTGTGCTCGAAGTAGATGATAACGGCAACACCAATGAGGATACCAATAAGCATGGAAAGATAAGGCAATTCAGCAACTCCAACAGCGAAATGGTACTTTCCTGCAAACACCATGGGGATGGCAGTCAAGAACAAGTAAAGCATTCCGTAAATAAATGCATTGTAGATGGACACGAAGAGCAAAATGGGCTCTGTAGCCAACATGATAATCGGTCTAGAGATGTTGTTTTCGACGATCTCTTTCATGGACATTGACAACTCTTCATGGGGAGCAAAAATACCCCAGTTTCCGGTTCTTCTTCTCAAGATTTCCGCCTTTTTGACCAAGATCAACTGGTGATGGGTTTCTGGCAACACGAAAATATTCATCAAGATTGCAGCTGCGCCGATGATACCACAGAAGTACGAGTTCCATCTCCAGCCAAGGCTTTCGTTCTTGGCGGTAAACGCTCCCATGATGGGTGCCAACATGGGACCTCCAAAGACCATCATCGCGAAGATGGAAATGGCCTTTCCTCTGGCTTTGGTGGAGTACAAGTCGGCCATGACGGCAGGAGCGACCACCAATGGAGCCGAACCGATGAACCCAGTGAAGAATCGACAGATCATGATGGTCTGAATGTCTTTGGCGGTGGCCACGGCAAAGCTGAAGAGAGTAAAACCAACGGCACCCACAAGAAGAGGGCTCTTTCTTCCATACAACTCAGACAATGGTCCGAACATGATGGGCCCAGAAGCGAACCCCATAACGTACAACGACGTACCAAGAGTGGCAGTTGCTGGTCCGATGTGGAAGATCTTCTCGATGGCAGGAGCCGCCTGCGAGAACATGGCAGATCCCACAGTGAGACACAATGCATTGTAAGCCACACAGAACGTGTACAAGGCCTTCCTGAACGGGGAGTAGTTCTGTGGATGAGTGGGGTCGTCTGGACCGTCAAAGCTCACGGCATAGGGAGCCCTGTCAGGCAATGCAGGGGGGAATGGCTTATCGCCTCCCATTGTGGGCAAGGGCTCGTCTGTGGCGTTGGCACGTTCGATCAACTGGTCGGCTCCTGTGATTCTTCTGCTCAAGGTCCTGGAAGCTTCGTATTCCGACTCGTACTGGGACAATTCGTCGCCTCCTTCCGGCACAGGCTCGCCATCGACAGCAGACTTCTCCAAGACGTCGCCTGTGAAGGCTTGTGGCTCACCACTGCCGTTGTACGACTCGGTGGCATACTCCTTCTGGTTTAGGGGAGTGCTGTCGGAGTGGTTGGTGGACAAAGAGGCATTGGGCTCGAGCTGGTTATCTGCAGACATTTTGGATCTATAAGGGGTGGTATGGGCCGAGTGGCTGTCTATGATGATGCTGCAATGATAAGGCGATAACAGTTATGAGGAACAGCAAGCTATTTATACTGGATGGGCGTCAGTTTTTGGTGCAGTGGAACTGTCCCAAAACGGTGGCAGGGTGCAGGGAACGGGGCTCGGTGTTACCGGATTGGGCGGATGACAGCGAGGACCCTTGCTATAGTTAATAAGCCGATGGTTCCGCAGACGAACATGGCCGTTTCATAAATAGAGAGTAACGACGGGCTACGCGGGCCAACGCGGCGATATGGGTGGGGCTGAACCGGCCCAGAGGGAGTCCGGTAGTGTCGGGAGTTGCCTTGAAAGAGCAGTGATGGGGAAGGGGTGGGAACGTGGGGAGAAGGTGGAGGGGGTGGCTCCGGTGGCTCTGGTGGCTCTGGTGTTGTAATGCTTTTACCGCAGTCCGTGAATCTTCAGGATATATGCCAGTCACAGCTACAGCACAGTTACAGCACAGCTAGCTGTCAGTCTAGCATGGTGTCACTTCGGACTGCAGTGCGTGCGTCCGGCCGTATCATTCGGCCGAGCCTGCATGTGCACCGACTGCGCCGTGACATTTTCCAGGCTTATCATCTCTACTGGGAACACCATTAGTAATAGCCCTCGAGCGGTCTGCCAGCGGACCAGATGTCTCCCGGGAGGTCCGGCATGGTAGGCGAATAAGCAGCAGGTGTCAATATCAAGGGGCGCCTCTGGCAGCTGGTGGCGCCGCCCAGCGGCCCCTGGAGCCCAACAGTTGGCCGCGATGCCCTGGGCGCGAAATACAAAAACAGTGCTAGCCGTTCGTGTAGCCGCACACGTTTGTAGGGCCAATGGTGGTGTCTATCTTGTTGGGGAGTGGATAGAGTGTATGTCGGACATGGCTGCAGGTGTCACTGTGGGAGACGCCAGAGCGTATTAACGCCTGCTGGTTGCGATTGCTGTAGTCATTGCAAGTAACACCTGGTGCACTCACCTACAGCAAGGTGCATGCCATAACTCCGTGGAAGCACGTCTGTCAACCAGCGAGGTTCCCCTCTTCGGCGCTGCCTGCAGTCCGACATCCAGATTTCACATTTCATCACAGTAGTATTATCAAACCCTGCATAACAAAAGTTCGGGTATAGTCGGGGATATCAGATGGGCTATGGGCTATCTGGTTTGCGCTGGGTGCGCTTCTCGTAACCAGCTCCTATGTGTGCTGTGCCAGCGTGATTGTTGGTGGAGGGGGAATACCCACAAAAGCGGAAAAAAACCTCGCCGTTTATTACCGGTGGGTTAAGCGATTTTTGCAGGTTAGTCACGGGGGTCCACCCAAGGTGCAGTAGAGAATGCGCGGTATGCCACAACATCTGCAAAGCGGATTGCCGGGAACACTGCCGACAATTGCCTGATGATTGCACCGTTCCTAATTGGTACCTTCCTGGACTGGGCTGTGTGGGTGATGGGTTCATAGAGGTTTATTACCCAACAGTTGGGGCTTGGCTCGCTACTAATGCCGACTCGGATTCAACAGTAACCAAAGGCCGGTAGCCAGCGGGAAGTGCATTACGCTGGCACATGATGTAGACAGAACAATCCTAGCTCCAGAATAAAGTCTCAGCCGCGATGTTTGCAGGTTCGGTGCGCAGGTAGCAGGGTGCTTCATTGACTACAGCGGCGTCAGTGGGACTCTGCAGGGTGGAGCTGACCCCAGAGCTGAAGTTCCAATGGCGGACATCCCTTCCCCGTTCGAACTCAGCAAGGCACCACCTGCATAAGTGCCCGCCGCGATGGACAATGCCCAGCACCACACTTTGCAATGTGGCTTGTAAACCGGTAGATGGTGATCTCTCGAGGCGTACCAAGGCTTCCTTCTTCAAACCTTATCAAGCAGAACAAACTTTACTACCAGTTCGGCAAAATGATACTAACGGATTTAATGTCTGTACCTCGTTGGGGATGCAAACCGCATTTCGTACCTGCAAATAATTGTATCCGAGAGTAATGACAAAACAGCGGCTTTCCTAATTTGGAAATAAAGTTCCCTGCTAATTATGGTTGATCTACAGGGTCTGTCACAGATCTTTAGTGGGAGTTCACAACAATTTCCCCCAGTGCCCTCAACATCATTTGTCAATAGGCGATGTAATGCAACCACATCATTCAGGCGACACTTGTAGCTCAACCCACCCATTTGTTGATGGCCCGCTGTCCCCGCTCAGTGCTGAACCGAGTGATACTTCTAGACGTTTCAAACCTGAAATTGCTGATTATGTTTCCAAGCAAGCTTCTAGACATCCGTGGTTATGGTTCACATGACCTTTTTTTTTAATTCAACTTCACCACCTTGCGATAGAAACGTTAATCTTAAGAATTTGCGCATGGTGCATATCATCTAAAAAATAAATGAACAATGTATTTTACTGCTCGGGCCGTTAATTGTTTTTTCTCTCGCTTTTTGCGACGGGAAACAGATATTCACAGATATTTTTTAACTTTCAAATATTATTCAAGAAATTTACGTAAACGTGCTTATTATTCTATTTTTTCACCCAAGTAGATGTACATTATAACCGGCCACCCTGACATCTACAGCTGAATTGGTCACACAATTACAGTCTCAACCAAGAATGCGTTTCCAAATTCCTCGGAAAGTCCCCTAAACAGAACCGCGACCAACCATATTATCAATCTAAAGTAAATCTTTTGATCAGCGGACGCAGGGATTGCTACAGACATCATCGACTTCAAAATAGACCATGCATCAGGATGTAAAGTCCAGCTAGCTAGCAAATCCAACAATGTCATTCCTTCGAGGGCACGATGTGTTCCACAACCTGAGACGAGTAGGAGTAATTGCGAACTTATTCCCGTGTTTACATGCTAACTCGGGATTGGGTGTCCATTCGGGAACGCTCATAACCAGCACCGTAGAACGCATGCATGATTATTCTAGAAGCCCGATTAGTATGAAGACCCTGTGTCAAAAGTGAAATTATCGTTAAGGTTTACTGGTTCCACTATTTGGCCCTGGCAGAATGCGCATTATTTGCGCTCGGGGTTATAGTTGTCATATTATCTGTGGAAGTCGCAATCCTAGTCAATTTAGGAAAAAGCTCTGACTGTCCATATGGTCTCCCTGGCCCTAGCGGTGTAGTGGAGGGCCTCTCTTTCACTGCACCCTTGGCTATTGAGGTTTATTGATACTCCCAATCGTGAACCTTCGCGAGGAGATGCTGGACACGTTGTGTTCGACACCCTGGGAGGCGTAATTCGCCATTCCACCGAAATTCCGTGGAAATATCCGTGGTTTGAGGCTTGTTTTTAGCAGCGGTGCAGGTTTCTAGAACGCCTGTGGCTTCCATCACATTACGAACTGCCCTGCCTTAAACTATGTTGTGCTCCGAAGTGGAGTTCCACCAGAACCTAAACTCTGTTTGCGCCAAGCTCCTCGGAACCCCAGCCAGCGCATGTGATGGCCTTGATTTAGGTTTGACGGGAACTCTATGCTGTCAACACTTTGTGTACTTTCCAGGAATATTGCGCTAGGATGACGTGGCGTGCGCCCACCGCAAAAAATGTTGAGCCCATTCGGGCTAATTAGCAGCATGATCTAACCATACAAACCTTTCCCACCAATGAATCTGCTAGCTGACTTGCCTGACGGCGTGCTTCAGCGCATCCTCCAATTCCTCCCGCAGCAGGCCCTCCTCAATCTAGCACTCACCAACTACCGTTTCTACACTCCGTGCCTCCAACAACTCTATGCCCACATCACCATTCAATGCACTCCCATACTTAGAATCTCCTGTTCAAAAGAGGCTGCGAAATCTCCAAGAAAGCCGGATTTCTTGGACTCCACCCAGACCACCATCTACGGCTTGAACCACAGCTACGATCAGGGCAAGGTGTATCCAATTTCGACCCAGCTCAAGTTGGTTGGTGCTCGGTTGACAATATTGAACGCCTCGCTCGAAGTCAATCCTACACTTCTCACGTACATCCAGAGCATTCGGGTGGTCAATGGGTCCAGCGAGCGTGACAACTACGAATTCCGATCCGATACCGTCGTAGTCCAAAATCTACACAAATTGTTGGATTTGTTAAAAGGCACTTCGATGGACAGAATCTACATCGGCGACGAGAAACTACGAAACATGTTGCAGGTCAATACCCGAGGCATAAGGCTCAAGTCCATGGTTATAGACAATTCCAGCGAACTAAAACGCATTTCATTACCTGTGGAGGAAATACTTTATAATGGGACCGATGAAATTTCATTCCATGCGAGTGTTTCAGTTTTGGAAAACCTAAAATCCCTCATTTTGCCAGTGGACAACGAGGCCTACTGGCGCTTCATGGGCCCCGTCTTGCAAAAGGGTGTTGTTTTCAGGAAATTGGAAAAGTTCAGATTGGTGCTAAATTCTAATGAGCCAGAAAATGCCTCGAATCTTTTGCTTCTGGAACGCATCAAGTGGACAGGGATAAAGGAGCTAGAAATAGTGGTAGGCTCGCCACCAGGCTATAACGACGCAAGCGATCTATTGGTGATTGACTGTTTGAACACCATACCTTCTGAGCTGTTAATTAATCTTAAAAGATTATCTATCGTCCAGAAATTTGAGTATGATACACACAAAAAGAACGAGTTGTATGACATTAATATTTTCACGTTTATCGGCCAGGTTATCCAATCCCAGTTAGACCAAGAAAAGCCAGCTTTGCTGTATTTGAGCATTATTCACAATCTTCCAGAGTTAGGAAATTTTATTGATGGTTTCGAGGGTAATTATCTCAGGAGAAAGAAGTTGTACTCTGCGGTTTTACCAAAGATACTTTCAAAATCCAAGAGTGCTATTGAGCTTGCATTGCCCAACTTTTTTCAATCGTTAGCGTGCTATGAGCAGCCGATGAACACAATGCTCTGGAACGGCTGTAAGTGTTCCCATTGCAAAAAGCACTTGGAGTTGTTGGATCAATACTTGTTGTACCACAAATATTACAATAAGAAGTACGGTGCATGGAAAGACATCAATTCGAGTTTAATCATGTTCACCATTGGCCAAGCTTTGTTGGAGAGGATGAAACCATCACCAGGCCTGTTGGCGACACACTTGGAATACGGGCAGGCTCCGTTGAGTGACTTTTTATGGAACTATCATGACAGTACCTTCAATGTTCCGTTCAGGTGCTATGACACACAAGTGGTGGATCAAGGAGAATTCGATGAAATTGACAAGCTCGATGGAGAGAATCAAGAGGTGGAGGATGTATTTTTCGATTCGACTGAGAAAATAAAGCCCTGTTCATTCAACCAATTGTACTACAAAAACTTGACTGTTTGTATTGCCCACTACATCAATGACTTCATTTTACAGATCATCAACTTGAATAGGGGCAATGCAGAGGAGTTGGTGATTGGGGAAGAGCTCAAGGACGGGGGCGATGACGACATCAAATTGAAAATCCCAAGACTCATAATCAATGGAATCTGCTACAATTTGGACAAGGAATTGAATGGCACCAACTTCTTTGAAAACGTATTTGACGATTGCATATAGGAGGATTATGAATCGCAACAGGGCATCACCTTGCATGGTGATCTATTGCCAGAGGATCGTCAATAACCTCCTAAAACATCCATGCTTCAAACGATCGTCCTGGGTAGGGATCCAGGGCATCATGCAGGTGGCGCATAGTGGATGTGTCAGCCAAGCCAGGATCCATCAGAGGAGCCCTGGGAGGTTACAGTGGTGGGTGGGAGCACTTGGACATCAAAAAAATGTGTAAAGAAGGGGGTCCATTAAGGGCCACGGAAACAAAAATATGGGGTAGCACCAGAAAATGGGCTTATCACCGTTGGTGCTGGGAAATCATGTGGGACTGCCACCCCATCGGAGGCACAGACGAAATTCCCTGGTGGAGGTATGGTCCAGTATTATTTAGCCTTAACAATAGTGTACGCATCGATAATTAAGCATAGCCGCACGCTGCACATAGATAATCGGTCACAAAAGACCATCTGTCACAGGTACATCCGCCTATCCCTATTTGTTGGTGCGTCGCACAGGCTCGTATCCACGGAAGAACACCCAGGAGGGGCAAGTTTTCGGACCTGCAGACACCAAGTCCGTTGTGGCTTCCAGTTTGTCCCAACTTTGTGGCCACCACAAACGTGGGGAAACATTTCTGACAAGAGAGGGGAACAACATGCACACGACTCTGGGATGTTCCTTTTTCCATCTCCCCAGCACCACCCCCACCGACCTCCACTGGTAAAACAGATCGGAATTCGTCCCAGCGTCCCATTTCCATTCCCCGTGTAGACGCATCTAAATATAGTCGCACTAATTTCGGCATGTAGCCGTGCCGTTGATTGGCCAGTCCGTCGAAAAAGATCGCAGGATCTGGTGATTTTGCAGATAGCAAGGGTAGTTCAACCCGACAGAGGGCCCTACGAACGCACGGTGCGTGCAGCTAGTTGCATTCCGTCATGTCGGGTTATCTGACAGGCAAAATACGCTGGCAACGCTGGGCAACTATCACCATCGCAGGTACCAGCAGGATAGCCAAGAAACGGTGTGGGTTGTGGGCGTTGAGGCGTTGTGGAGATGAACAATCACCCCTCCGCAATAATTCAGCAAACCCCTAGCAAACCCCCGGCTGGCTATGGCAGCAAAGCGCAACTTTCACAGGGTAGTAAATTTATTTTGGCCGCCTAGGATCTACGTACACGAAGGACCTTGATGTGCATCTCGCATAAGTAGGTAGTGAATGTGACACGCGGGTGCTCAAGGGGTTGCGAGCGCCTGTAGCTTTTTTGGCTAGATTTACTTGGATAGATTGTTCTGAGCCGCTTAAACTTTACCACTGCCACACGTGTGATAATTATTTTACAAGCCGTAGACCGCGGTATCACCCTGCATATATTTTGCTCTGACGAGGTGTTTCGTGTAGCCGGTATGGCGACAGGGCTGAATGTGAGTACCGGGACTTGGGCACGGCACCAGCTGGAGATGCGCTGGGTTTAGGGGTGGCATCCACTTTGAGTCCCGTAAAATTTGTTCGTTTTTAAGCCCCCGTGAGTTTTCTTGGCAACGGTTAGCAAAGGACGCGCCATATTACTATGTTCGGAATTTGGCACGCAAGTTCCGATCTAACATGGTCAGCATGAGCCCAGTGGGGTGGGGCGAGCCAATGCTGAAAATACTGATCTACCGACCCCAGCGCTACCTCACAAGAAAAGTGGTGGTGGTGGGGATCGGCGCTTCCTGGTGGGGGGGCTTGTCCCTCCACCACTCGAAACAAGGTTTGGCATGCACCATGCTTGGTTTTAAGGTTATCAGAACTATCACTAGCAACGCACATTAACAATCTATTTTTGAGGCTGGTCATGCACGATCTTCCTAGCCGCGATAAACCCTTTGGGATGGCTCCACACCCAAACCGCCATGGCCCTGTTCCAATTCGGCCCGAGATTATCGAGAGATGGAATGGCTGCACCACACAATAATAGCGTCAGCAACCTGCCGTAATTCTGTTCCATGGCTACAAACTCATGGACAATAGCCTGTTTCTTGCACAAGATATTGTTGAGATCCAATTACGCTTTTGGACGTCAAGCGTCAACAACAATCAAGGTTGTTCCCCTCGCAATTCGCTTGCCACGCACTTTTTGTCGGACCGGTACGCAGGGATGATTCTACTGGCCCAACAATGTCGCGGGGCCTGATTCTAGAATGTTGCTTATTAACGGGTCACATGACGAGGCCATCCGTGAAAGGGCCCCATGCCGTGGCGTGGATGGGGCCAGCGTAGTGTTGCCAGATCGTGGGGGTCTGGATTGACGCTGGCAACGACATTGGAGGACACGTTGTTGGCAGTTGGGCGGCACGGCGGCAAAAGCAGGTGTCTGTCTGAAGATGGGCAAATGTGCACCGTGGATTGAGCGAGTGTGGGGCATGATGCAAATAAGGTTGGGTGTACGATGCGAGTCCATATCCTAAAATGTAATACTATAAACAGCCCTATATACCGGTGAATTGAATGTTAGTGGGGGTAACCCCGTGTAAAAGATGATCTATAACGAATTGAAACATGTGCCATGAGCTCGTGGGTGCAGCGGGCGTGTCAACAACTACTTGGAGCCCAAACTGTTGGATTTAAAGTTTAACTTGCTTCTCTTGTTTCTACCTTTGGTGTGCGTCTTGTAGTGTTGCATGCAGTTGTCCTGTCTGGCGAATCTAGCGTCACAGGTGGGCCAAGGACACACATGCTTTCTTTCTCCAGTATGGACCCGGTTGTGTCTGGCCAAGTGCCCGGAGGTGGTGAACGATCTGGCGCAAACCTTGCACACATGCTTCCTCTTGGCGTCCTTGGACCCGACCACGGCCTCCTCGAGCTCGGGGGACCCTGTCTGAAGCGGCGACGCTGAGCTGCTTCTGCTGGTGGGAATTGGAGACGAGGTGGATCGTATCAAAGCAGGTGCATCTCTGCCACCGTCGATGGACCCGCTGTGTGCATGGCCATGTGCTGGTTGCGTAGCGCTAGAGTACACCACAGGAAGGGGCTGGAGTGGTTGTGCATATGACTGGTACTGGTAGTGAGACTTGCCTCCAAAGCTGCTGTACGATGCACCAACGGATGGAGACAGTGTCTGGTGTCCGGGGATTGGTGGACTGAGGTTGGGCATTCTTGGGTGGTACATTGGCTGGGAGTAGTAGTTGCTGGGGGAGGATGAGGCCGAAGAGCCACTAGCCGAGCGGGAGGCAGAGGTGAAGTCGTGGGTCAAGGGTATCGAGGTTAACAACTCATTGAAAGAAGGTAATGAGGTGGATCTCGAGCGGTTCTCGGGCTGTGATCCAAGCATGAAGAGTTGTTGAGATTGTGGTTTGGACGGTTGTAAAGAGCCTTGAGAATAAAACATGTTGGTGGTGACAGAAAAGTTGATGGTCGAGGAATTGGGACCTTATATAGAATGATGATCAAAGTGGTTTTAAATGCAAATGAGATTACGTGAAGGAAAATTTATCAAAGCCGCTTCCCGCTTAATACGCTGACCTGCGTTTTAGCTAAGATTAGGTTCAGGAAGATAGGTAGACAAAGCAACTCAGTCAGATTTTGAGGCAGGGAATATTGTTGTGAAAAATACTAACCATTACATGGGTGAGATGCAGCTACAGGAGGTACTCCCCATAATAAAGTTATAAAATATTGGAGGTTGTGCAGCAGAAACTCACATATACGCACATTGCATACTGGGGCTCCCAGAATTTGTGTGGATGGTTGGTGTCAATGGGGACGTGGGTGTCACCGCCAGAAGACGGGCAAAACATGGCAGGTTAAATCCTGTCTGACAAGCACACTGAGCGGGAAACCGGGGTTAAGGGAGCCACCAGGCGCCCCCAGGAGGGCCGGCCTTCCCCGGTCCATTTAAGGTTAAGCGGGTATAGAATGACTGTTTAAGGTTTTGTGTAAAGGAGCTGGCAAAATATCATTTAAAAAATACGCGGAAAAGTTGATTTGCAAGTTGAATCTATCGTAACCCAGAGGAGTTTGTGCATGATGCGTCACGGTGCCGACCTGGGAAAAAGTTAAATCTGGTGACTGGTGGTGAGGATGTTTCGATATCCACGACACCTCGGCATTCTTCCGTGCCCCGTATTGGTGTGCTCGTTAAGGCCCTCCAATCTCCCCACTAGCCGCGCATCATTTTGCGCTTCTCCTCATCTCATCGCTTCTCTCCTTCAACCTCGCCCCCATCCTATTTCGCCACACGTGGGCCCTCCAGTTCGCCGTCTAAGATGAACGTTTGACAACGTCCATCATCGCAAAAAATATCCCTCCAGTAGGACCCCATAGACGCACGCTGGGCTGGATTGGCGTTTCCCGTAAATGTTATCCTCCACCAAAGGAGTACATGCAGTTGGTCCTGGGGTACATTTACGCAGTCTCTATAATGGAGCCGTTTCATATGAGCACTACTGTGGGTGTCGCTAATCCGATTTGTGTTAATGTAGTGTGCACCAAAACGCTGTTGGCGGCAACCAAATTAACGATCACCTGTTCCTACATACCGCTGTGGGGATGTAGGGTCCGGTAGGGTGTCCGCAGCAGTGGCAGCAGCGTCCACCACTAGCAGCAGCCCCCGCAGAGTGACAGCAGCTTCCGCAAATATCATCATCACTGTCTGCTCAGAACCATCACGAATAACTCCGACTACAATTGCAACCGCGATGCGTTCCAGCTGGTCCTGGAGAAGACGACTCATAGTCATCCGCGCCGCTGGCCAATCAAGGTGCACTCCGCCCTATCGCCTGATGGTGTGCCTTCTGCCCGTTTAGGCAAGAGCCGCCGTGGCTAGGGGTAAAAAACCGACCCCACTTGGCCCCAACTTGGAATTTAGTGACACGCCTTGGCGCCCATCGCATCTCATCGGACCGAGCCTGGTGGATGGTTTGTGTCCAGTGGCTGGCAGGAGAAGGTTGAGGGAAGATCTTCTTTGCCACCCTGTACATGTGTCACTCGCCAGCCGCTAGCCACCGAGGCAAAGCTGGGCATTTCAGGATCGCATGTACGATGCACCAGCATTGACGTGTTGGTTCCAGATCCGCTAGACTTTCTATAAATACGACGGCGTTGATGCTTGACAGGCATATCGCCTATTGTTCCGTAGTCTAAACTTTTGGGGCGGTGAAACACTCCTCTACCAGCGGATCGTTCGCGTAATCTGACTATGCAACTGGCACCGGTCCGCTGTTGCCTGTCAAATCGGGCACATCGCCGTGTCTCGATGTGTCACCGTATTTCTCGATGGAATTCTCCAAATACTCCGGTGCTTGCTGCACCGATCGCTTGTCGGCACGCGGCGCACACTCACAGGTGTCGTCAATCGCATAATACGGCAAATGTCAAATGGAACGGTGCCCGAGAACATCCATACTTCACTAGATAGCGATTGCTGATAGCTGATTGCCTGATCGTTCCAGATTACCCCTTTCATTGTGGTTGCCGGTAGTCCGACAGTTCTGGACGATTGGCGGCCAGTTAACCGCGAGAGCAGTCTGGCTGGGTAGTATGGATGTAGCTGGACCGTGAAAATATCTGGACTCAATAAGAAATAATTCGTGATATTTTGATTGCTGCCATGGACATGTTGCGAACACAATCGTCGAAGTACTTGTAGCCTACAGTAAGGTAAGAACGTACTTAAAGGAACACTATTTATATACCTACAGTGAAGTAAGAACGGAAAGGAAGCGCTGTGTAGTTGGCAGTGTTGGGGAACGTAAGTACGGGGAACTCTGTGGATATAGCCAGTATTGGAGAACGTAATTAAAGGAAACGTTGTCTATATTACAATGGGTGTTGGGAAAATCATTGAATAAATTAGAGGAACATTATCGAATGCGATAGTTGCAGTGCATACTTGAAAGGAAACAACGTGCTAATGTGATAATGTTCAAAATTAAGACACACCTCTAGGAGCTATCAAAAGAAACTGTATCTATATGGGTATGCCGTTAAATTTGAAGACTATATTAGTTGCTCACAATCAGAGTAAACCGTTACCTATTTGCTTGTATGTAGTTTTTTAACTGAAGGATATTAGATTTAAACTACCTAGCTAACAGGAAGTAATTGTAGCAAAACCTAACGCTACATAAAAAGGGTGGAGAACCCCTACCGGTTGCGAAGAATGGAAAGAGGGTAATTGTTAATGATTGAAAGAAACGACATCCACGAATTAGGAAAACTTGAAAATTATGCTTTCCACCAGAGAATATTGTTGCAAAATAATTAAACTAAATGTCTATGACTATACGAGTATTTTGTGAACACAATTAAACGAAACGACATCTAATTGTCGATATTCCAGAAGATCCTCTACACTGTCTAGCCAACACATCACATTTTGCACCAAGCATCCGTCCTAAACCATACTTACTATCACCAGAATAGAACTTCCCTGGTACTGTTCTATTCCCACCACTGCCCTATTTTACACAAACTGCCCTTATTCTCAGGTGACTCTCCATTCCACGCACCATCCCCATTTGACATTTGGGTGCAACTCGACCCTGGTCGCGGTCACGTGAAATCACCCATCCACCACCAATATCTTGATTATCTCCAACCTTCACCTTAAAGGCCACCAACATGTCGAAACTCGTCAGGTTCTCGCGTTCCATCTCGATCACCGCCAACGCCCCGTTCAAGCCGCCATTCGTGCCTTTGGTCTCGGAAAACGGCGTTCCTCAGGCCATTGGAAACACGCCTCTTCTTCGTCTTCCCAGAATCTCCCAGTCAGTGGGAAGAAATATCTATGCCAAAGCCGAGTTTATGAACCCAGGAGGCTCCATCAAGGACCGTGCTGCCTTGTTCATTGTCAACGATGCTGAGAAAAAAGGGTTGATCCAGCCAGGTGGAACCATTGTGGAAGGAACCGCAGGAAACACTGGTATTGGACTTGCCCATGTGTGCCGTGCCAAAGGATACAAGTTGGTGATCTACATGCCTAACACACAGGCTCAGAGCAAGATCGATACCTTGCGGTTGTTGGGAGCAGAAGTCCATCCTGTTCCGGCAGTTGCGTTTACCGATCCGCAGAACTACAACCACCAGGCCAAAAGACACGCAGAAAGCCTTGAAAACGCGGTCTGGACCAACCAGTTCGACAATACAGCCAACCGTCAGGCGCACATTGAGACCACAGGCCCTGAAATCTGGGCCCAGCTCGACGGGAACGTCGATGCCTTCACTTGTTCCACCGGAACTGGAGGCACTTTTGCAGGTATCACCCGCTACTTGAAAAGCATTTCCAACAACAAGGTTAAGGCCGTGTTGGCGGATCCTCCAGGAAGTGTGTTGTACTCGTACATCAAGTCCAACGGACAAACTATGGAGCGTGGAGGCTCCTCGTTCACTGAGGGCATTGGCCAGGGCAGAGTCACCGACAACTTGCAGCCAGACGTGGAGCTCATTGACGATGCAGTCAAGATCCCAGACGAGGAGTCGATAGCCATGGTTTACCGCCTCTTGGACGAGGAGGGGCTCTATTTGGGGGGCACAGGTGCTCTCAATGTCGTTGCAGCCATCAAGGTGGCCCAGGATCTTCCTGAGGGAAGTAACGTGGTCACTATCTTAGCAGACTCTGCTCACAAGTACAGCGACAGGGTGTTTTCCAAGAAATGGTTGCAATCCAAGGGATTGTTGGACGCCATTCCTGAGCACTTGAAAAAATATGCTATTTTGGATTAGTAAAAGTATGCTAGTAGTCAGGGAACAACCAACGTAGCCGTCACGGTGTAGATTGATTTTGTTAAATGATATTTAATAATTTTAACATAACGAATCCATGGCAAAGTATGATTAAATCTTGAGATTGATAAAAGATAATAATTTATCTAAAAAAGTCCAATTAATTTAGTAAAGCCTCTTGAGGTCAAATAGCTTACGGCCCACCCTTATCATTTACTTCTTTTGCACCAGTTCCGTCAGGCTTATTGTTGAAAAACATCAACCAACGATAAGCTTCCAAAAGCAACGATATGAAGTATGGGTGCTATATCACAATACTCTTTGGTAAGATACTATAATGCTTGCAAAACGCTACTTTTGATAGCAAATCTTCTTGTCTTATCTGAAAGCTGAAAAACGTTATTATCGCAAAAAAGTAGCGCAATATATGAAGGGGAAAGGGAAGCTGAAGCTTGCCTTCATGGGATCAAGTTCTCATTGCAACCATTAATTCTCATCATAAAACTATCCACGACGTCTGGCCCCTGTCTGTAGTTTTCACACATACTCCAGAAGTCCAGCAATACGGTGGGTACAGCATCTATTTTGTATAAGTATTGCTCGTTTTAAGGAATGGTTAATTGTTCTGCTTTTTCAAGAGCTTCTAGAAAGCCATCATAGAGAAAGACGTGAAGATATTTTAATCCCGTCTTCTTACATCTCGGGACATCAAATTAAATAAATATTGCAAACTTATTCTGATCTTTACTTTTCTCATTTTTTTGCAGCAGATCCTCAAAATACGTCAATCTATATTCTAATGTTTTTATCAAATATCCTAGAGTTCCCGACACAACCCACAGATTTGGAGTATTGTCACCTCAATCACTAGCCTTCCACTTGCAAGTATGTCATGAGGTCGTTTGCTGTTTCACGGAGCTAACAGATGCGAAATCAACGAAAAAGTGATGCGATACAACAGAATCAAGTTGTACCATTCGTACACCACAGAGGTCCAAAACTCTGAGAAAACAGAAGATTTGACCGTTGAGTTTTCTACACTGCCAATTGTGGCCGGTTCTCCAGATACTCCATCCTGCCAGACAACCAATTTGCGATAACCGCCTCCAAATCCCATGATCAGCCACCAGCTAACCTACGTGAACATCCATGCTCCAACACTAGTCTAGAACAAGATAGATTAGTGGCCATTGGTCTACCAACACTCAGCAGCTAACTCCCCACTCCCTAAAGATCCAATCAGGACCTCACTCAGACCCAAAAATAGTCTACAAACTCTGGGTAAATCATTATCTGACCGCATTTTCCCTCCTAGACCTTCTGAATCTATTGCAAGTACATTTTCATCCACTATTAAGGTACAAACTTCATTAACAAGTGCCAATTGTGGCCACCTCCAGCCGTGGCCGTTATCGCTCGGCGTGGGGCACGTCGGCCTTTTGCAGCTATTGAAAAAATTTGTCCTTCCCTGTCGTGTGAGGCTAAAAAAATTTTTATGTGTACAAGATCACTTCACTCCAGATCCAAGACGAATCGAAGTACTAGCTTACAAATCAAGTCATAATTGGTGGAATATATATGACAACCCGTTTGTAAGAATCAGGAACTGACCACTACACACCGATCCAAGGCCATCCCGCTTTTACAGCCTCAGTATCCCCAATAAAAAAGTCATAACCTACTCCGTCACAGAAGTGATCAGTCATATCAAAAGAGTAACCGAAGCCATCCACTCCGTTCCAATCGATTCAACTCAACCCCTCCAAGCATCTCCACATTCCTTTCTCAATGGAACAGCAAATTCACCAGGCCGTGGAAATAGCCCTTAGCGCCACCAGCAGTCAAGAGTTGAAAAATCAAGCCATCGAATTCGTCAATCAGATCAAGTCCACCGAAGAAGGTTACAAATCATGTCTCGATATCTTGTCCAAGTCTCCGGCGCAACCGATCAACGAAAGTCTCAAGTTCTTTATTTACCAAGTCCTTGATGAAAATGTTGATAAGTTGAATGAACAACAACTCTTTGATTTGAACACCAAAGTCTTTGAAGTATTGATGGCATACTTATCAAATAATGTGTCGGACCCTACATACTTGAGAAACAAATTTGCGTCCATTTTTGGAAAATTGTTCTGTTACGTATACACTTCCATCTACCCAGCTTTTTTCAAGGATTTGTTCAATCTTATCAACCCTCCTACACAATTGTCAATTGATTACTACACTAGAATTGTTATCGCCATCCATTATGAAATTGGTGACAAGTTCATCTCCAGAACTAAGGAAATTCAAGAGAGAAACAACTTACTCAAGGATTCAATCAGAGCCAATGACATGAATGAACTAGTCTCTTCCTGGTTCAAAATTTTACAGACCCCTACAAATAGTGACGAAATTTTAAACAACGCACTCATCATCATTGGCCAATTCATTAACTGGATGGAGATCAGCTTGTTCGTATCTGGGGAATGTGTTTCAACAGTGCTTCAATACTTAGACAAGCCAGAACAAAGAAATGAGACTTGTTCCACAATTATTGAAATTATATCCAAAAAGATGAAGCCAGCTAATAAATTAGAGCTTCTTAACTTGTTCAACTTGACCAGCATTATTGGTAATATTAATTTGCGAGATGAGGATGACATCGAATTTTTGGAGAATGTGTCTAAATTATTAAATCAAATTGGAGGAGAATTACTCATCATCTTAGAAACTGATGCCACCTTGGTGAGTCAAGTTAACGAGCAATTCTTCAAATTATGGCCCTTGATCTTTGAATTCTTAGGACACGAATATGATGATATTTCCCAACAGGTTTTTCCCTTCATTCAACAATACCTTTTGTTAAGTAAAAAGGTTAATGACCTAAACTCCCCAGAGTTAATATCTACCCTCTTAAACAAGATCATCTTAAAGATGAAATTTGATGACGATACTGACGGGTTGAATGACGAAGAAAATGAACAATTTAATGAAATAAGATCCAGATTGAAAGTATTCCAAGAGACAATCTCAAACTTAAACCCATCTTTATATGTGAAAGTATTACCCATGATCATTGAAGAGTCCTTGAGATCCATTAGTGATGAGAAAATGGACTGGAGAAAGTTGGAATTGGGCTTATTTGAATTGAACAACTATAGCGACAGTTTGAGAAATGGATTTTTGGGAAAAGCAGAAGTTGCTGAGCAAAACGAATTGCTCCTGCAACTTTTGGTTAACTTGATTAACTCAGATTTTATCGTTCAAGTGGATCATCCAAAAATTCAAATTGATTTTTTCGAAATCATTGTGCGTAACATTAGTTTACTTTTAAAACTGACCAATTCAGGTCCTGGCCCCAACCCAGTTATCATCAAGTTAATCAATATTTTCACCAGTCAAATTGGATTGTTAAATCAAGTCGAAAAGGTGAGATTAAGAAGTTGGTACTTATTCTTCAGATTCATCAAATTGACGAAGCCAACATTAACAGATGAAGCCTTTATCGAGTCTATCTTGATAAAATTACAACCTTTGTTGGTCATCAAGGCAGAACTTCCAGTAAAGGATGAAGACGACAACTTAATTGAGGAAGAAAACTTCTCTAATCAACTTTATTTGTTTGAAAGCATTGGATTACTTATCTCATTGATTCCAAATGATTTGTTGAACTCTAAGTTGAAGCTCATAGATTTAATTTTCCAACCATTGTTCAGCAATTTGGAAGCTTGCATCAAGAATTCTGACCACCACAACCAGCCTTTAATCACATTGCAAGTCCATCATTCTTTGATGGCTATCGGTACTTTTGTTAGAGGTTTTGAAGATTCCTCACAGATCCATGACGAAGTAATCAATAAAATTAACAATGCCTCTCAAGTTGTTGTTATTTCACTTGAAAACTTTCCAAAGTCTGAAATCATCCGTGAAGCTGCCAGATTTTCCTTCTCAAGATTTATTCCAGTATTGAAAAATAGAATTGGTGTTCACTTGACTAAATTAATCACTTTAATTTTGGCGGCTCCAAACTTAAAATTGACTGAACTTTGCGACTTCTTGAGTTTCTTGGGTCAAATTGTTCACAACTTTAAATCTGATGATAACATTTATCAATTGATCAACAATTTGATCAGTCCATTATTCAACAAAGTTTTTGATATGTTGGCATCCAATGACGATGAGTTGTTTCCCGATTTAAAGAGAGAAAAGGTGCTATTAAAGAAGGCTATGATGAACTTCTTAAGCTCCATCATCATCAACCATGTTACCAGTCTTTTAGTGACTGAAACCAACAAACAAAAGTTCCCTACCATTCTAAGCTCATTATTCGAGTATGCATACGATTTATCAGAAACCTCGGTATCTAAGTTGGCTATCACTCAATTGATCAACATTGTGACTATTTTCGGCAACGGTGATAAAATCAATGATCCCAATGATAAATATAGCGAAAGTTTACCCCCACTCGAAGGAATCAACGAGTTTTTGACCGATAAAGTGACTCAATTATCATTTGAATTGCCATTCAAGTATCAAGAGTTTGATTTGAAGGATGCGCAATATAGGTTAATCGCACAAGAGTTGGCCTTGTTGTTGAAGACATATCAACAGGTGGGTGGAGATACTTATTTGACCTTCCTTTCTAATTACTTGGTCAACATGGGGTTGTCCCAGGAATTGATGAATGATTTTGGGTCCAATTTGGTGAAGAGTGATTCCCGTGGTTTCAAAAAGTACTTTATAGAATTTGTCACCCAATTGAAGGCCCGCTAAGCCGCAAAGCAAGACTAGGGTGTCGGAGTCCTGGCTCAGATACTGTCAAGATCATTACCGGTAGTTTTACTACAAGCATTATAGAATTTCATACATTGAGATTTCCTGTATTTATATACTAATATTAGCATTGCATTACTATAATGTAGGATACTCCCCAGTCTATTTTACTCAGTACGTAGCTGTTTTCAATATGGATTAACTATAATCCTAGATTTTGCAGACACCATATCGTAGCACCATATGCAGGCCGGTCGAAAAAATTTATATCTGCGATCTCATCTCATCTCAATTAAATAAACCATCATCACCAACATGCCTAAAAACCTCGACGGTGAAGACGTGACACTCGATCCGCCAGACCAGGAAGAGCTTCTTCTTGAGAAATTAATCTTCGGAGACTCGGAAGGATTCGAAAACAACCTTAAGAAGGTCGATAATCTCTACGACTACTCCTCAGATGAAGCAGATGGAAACAGCGGCAAATTCTTCAATTCTTCGTCGGAAGAAGAGTCCGATGAAGAGTTGGGGGGTGTTCAAGACGAAGACTTGTTTTTCATCGACGATGGAGCAGACAACATGGACATAGATAAAGAAGGGTCTGACGCATCCGACCAGGAAGAATCGGAAGCCTCTGACTCCGACGCAGACAATGCATGGAATGACAGCGACGACGACAACTTCAGCATCTCCTTGGTCAACTCCGACAGGCTCAAGAAGTTGAGGAGATCCTACACCGACTCCAAGATATCAGGAAAATCATACATAACAAGATTGAGATCCCAGTTCGAAAAGATATATCCCCGTCCCGAGTGGGTGGACAAGTTGGAGGAAGACATCGAGAAGGGTTCCGACGACGAGGAAGACCCCAGTGCATTAGTCAAAGCCAATGACGTCAACTCGATCTTGAAGATCCTCAACACCAGCCAACAGTTCATAATGCCCACCCAGATGAGACTCCTCGCCCCCAACAAGATAGCCATCACCCGTTTGAAGGACGCCAACCACCAGAGGGTGTCCAAGTCCGCTATCCAGTCCATATCGTTCCACCGCAGCCACCCGTTGTTGTTGACCGGAGGCTTCGACAAGACGCTCCGTATCTACAACATCGACGGTAAGAACAACACCTACGTGACCTCGCTCCACTTGAAGGACTCGCCCATCAGTGCGTGCCAGTTCTCGCCCATCAGCACCGACAGAATCGGCAACGAGACCAACTTCATCTTCGCTGCTGGTAGAAGAAGATACATGAACAAATGGGACTTGAGTTCGGGAGACGTGGAGAAGATCTCGAGAATGTACGGCCACGAAGACACCCAGAGGTCGTTCGAGTACTTCAAGATATCGCCCCAGGGTAACTACATCGGGATGACTGGTTCTAGTGGCTGGTGCAACTTGTTGAACGGAATAACAGGCCAGTGGATCAGAGGGTTCAAGATCGAAGGCACCATCGTGGACTTCGAGTTTGCCCACGACGAATCCTTCATCATCATCATCAACAGCGCTGGAGAGGTATGGGAGTACGAGTTGGGCTCGCCTGCTGGTGCCAGAGGCTCCAAGACCCTCAACCAAATAATAACAAGATGGCAAGACGACGGAGGCATTGGCATTACCAAGATCGCCTTGGGAGGTGCCAACGACCGCTGGTTGGCCATCGGAACCAACAACGGTTACGTCAATATTTACGATAGATCCTCACCTTCCAAGAAACCATTCAAGACGGTGGATAACTTGGTTACGTCCATCTCGTCGCTCAAGTTTTGTCCCGACGGCCAGGTGTTGTGCATTGCCTCCAGAGCCAAGAGAGATGCCCTCAGATTGGTGCACATGCCTACGGGTACTGTGTTTTCCAACTGGCCCACCAGTGGCACTCCGTTGGGGAAGGTTACTGCGGTGGCATTTTCTCCCAACAACGAGTTGTTGGCCATTGGTAATGAAGCCGGCAAGGTCACGTTGTGGAGATTGGATCATTACTAGCCTGACGCTAGGCAATAGCCAGATAGGAATAAAAGGCCTGATAGAATTAGCGATAGTAGCCCGAGACTGTAGCGAGAATGGTGCCAGGCTGTAGCGAGAACGGTGCGAGAACGGTGCGAGAACGGTGCGAGACTGTAGCGAGAATTGTGGGAAAGCGTAGCACGACCGGGGCAAGAGATGCCACGCAGACAAGTTCATTTCCGGGCAACCACCTTCAATACCTACCAATACTCTTAGCTAACGAGAGAATAACATCTCTCTCGATCTTACAACCGCAAAGTGCTCGGCTTGGTGCTCTTTCGGTTTGATTCCTTGCAGCTCCTTCCTCGGTAGCTCCAGAACGAAGCCCGCGGTCCACCAGGACCCGGTCTCCACGTGATCCCAACCCACCAAGTTTTTCAAAACCATCACACCATCTTGATCTTCAAAATGGGTAAATTCATTGGGGCCCCGTAAGTACATCACACTGCCGTTTGCAAGGTCCATACTAACAGCTCCAGAAAGGGCCATGACCGTTACCGTGATCCCGTCACTCATCAAATGACCCCTGCTCTTTACAGAGTCAGAAAACCATACTTCTGGAAGAACATGCTAGGTTTGGCAGTGTTTTCAGCCATTCCACTCACGGTCTACTACTTCACATTCAAGACCTTGAGTGAGGACGAGTTTTCTGACATTCCTATCCCACCTATTGCCGATGACGAGTTGGCCAAGTTAAAGAAGCAGTACGAGCAAAGTAGATCTTGAGCCAGCAGTGCTGGCGAAAGAGCAGGCACGGTGCCGCAAGAGGGTATAGTTACTTGTATATAGAGTGAATGGCACATTTGCTAGGAACCAAGAAACGTAGAGGAGCTAAAAATCCAGATCGTAGGATCTCGGCACGTAGAGAATGAGAGAGGCTCACCAATGGGGATCGGGAGTACTTCAGAAGAGGAATTATTGATTTCCGTATCAAGATGAGGCCCCATAAGATTCAAGCTGCTATGACCTACACCAACAGTTAAGCGGCCTTCAATACGGCTATTTCTGTGGTTGAAGAAACTATTGAAATGCTCTAGTCTAAATATTCTTGTAATTCTAGATGCAGATTCTCGACTTTCAGAGATACATCTGTTAGAACATGAAGGAAAAGACTTAAATGTAGAGGACAAAGAGAAGTAATCGTTATGACGAAATGAGGAAACATGTAAGAGGTAAAACATTCGTGAATACTCCTGAAGACTTTCAGAAGGATCCGAACAATAATAACTTGAATTAAGAACAGCAATCCGTAGTATATTTCTTTATCCTGAACCATAAACCCTACCTTAACATAACCCAAAATAATTTCATCAATATGAATACAGTCTTACCAAGACATATTACATTTCCTTTTCTCCATTCGTCAGAATATCGCAACAACGGGGACTATATCGTTCCAATTATTTCGCCAGAATCCGAACATCCTGACTCGTATATATTACACTAAAAATTATCATTAAGAATGCCTATTTCTGTACCGATTTGCAGAATCATCATTGAAGCTAAAATCCTCTTCATACACGGACACTCCACGTACAGGGTAAGGGGTGTTCTCGGTATCATTCCGTGTGTCGTGCATAGGATAAGGCACAGACAAATTACTCTCCGGCTCCAGATACTTTCTCGTGGCATGAGGACTGTTGAAGTTATCAATTAACAAGCCAGTTGTGGATTCGTTGTTATTATTGTAGTTGACTGAACCCTCTGAAGAAGTGCTGTGGTTCCGCTCGATGTGAGCAGATTCGTTAGACTGCCGAGCATACTCGGCGTTTGGTGCATATTCCTGGAACTCATACGGTCTTTGGGGCTCATAGTGGCCGTGCTGGGAGGAAGAATACACTTGGCTATCGTCTTGTTCATAAATGGGTTCTGGTGCCTTTCGCTTCTGATGGTCATGGGCAGTAGCTGATCTTGGCAAGTTGTGAGGACGGGAATGACTGACTAAGGAAGATTTGGATGAAGCATGGTGAAGTGCACGCTCTGGCATAGTATGAGAAGGAGTGACTTTCTGCTGGGAAAAAGGCATTGGTCCATAAGATAAAGAGCTCTGCGAACCCGATCTTGGTGGTGGGCCAGGGTTACGGTTGTGATGGTTGGATGCCGAGAGCGTTGACTTGTACAGGTCGTTGTAGGACGAAGCCTCGAAGGGATTGTAGGAAGTGTTCTGGTCCACCAAGGAGGTTTGCGGCGAGTTTTCATTGACAAATGGATTGTTGAAGGGAGGTGGATTCTTTCTATGGATGTTTCTATTACCAGCCACTGATATGGCTGAGGTGCTAGGGTCGTTTCCAGGGTGGGTAAGTGAAGACAAGGACTCGGATCTTTTGCCGTGGGACTCCATTGGGTCCGCAAATGGGTTATGGCCACCATCATATCTCACCAAGGTCTCGTGGGATCCGTTATCGCCATTTACAAGGCCGTAGAGCTTGCCATTGTCATTGTAAGCAAAGGTACTCTTGTTGGTCAAGTTATGGGCAGGAGCCGGCTTTTTGAGGTTGTGGGAGAATTTGACGGGGTCCGAGTTGGAACTGAGGTTGTCAGAACTCATGTTCTTGAAGGTGGTGGTCGAGGAGTTGAGCAATGGGTTCATCTCGATGTCCTTCGTGTCCAAGATGCCCTTGTCCAACAACTCTCTCTTGGACTTGTGGTGCTTAATCACCAACATCTTAACGGTGTCGTTGACTACCTTACAGCAGTACTTCTTGAGAGACTTGTGGCCCTTCTTTCTCAACTTGGACTTGATGGGAAGGAACAAAATCACTCCGTACAAGAACTTGAGGAAGAAAAAGGCGAAAATCACCACGGAAACACACATGAACGATAAGATGATGGAAAGCGTCAAGTTGGTGGTGGCAATGTGCTCGATGTTGCCCAAGATGTTGTTGTCCTTCTCGCCTCCCGTGGCGTAGTACCGCAAGGTCAAGAAGTTGATCACTTGACGAGGGGCGTCTGCAATCAAGATCTGGAGAGCCTGGTCCATCTGCTCCAAGCAGTAGAAGCAAGACCAGTCGAAGTGGTCCACGCGTTCAATCAGGTGGAAAAGACAGAAGTAGTTGTAGGAACGAACAGTGTACATGTTTTTGGCGATGCTGTTAACGTAGTTCAAAGCAATGTTGCGGGTTCTGTAGGTGTGGATGGCCCAGATCCAGTGGTAGAGGAGCAAGCAGAACTCGAAGATGATACAGCCTGTGAAGATCCACTTAGCGACGGAGTACTCGTAGGGCTGGTACTCCTTGGACGACCAGTGGTGGAATACCAAGATGCTTAGACAGGTGTAGATGTCTGTGCCCAACAACACCCACGAAAGGATCATGAGGAACCACTCCCACAAGTAGGCGAGCACCGTCTTGGCACGTACGTTGTGGAAGGAGTCGACATCGATGATATCGAAGGTGGATTCGTTGAGCTTGTACTTCTGGATCTGCTGCTGGGCACTGAAATGGTTCAGGTCGATAGCCATGGTGAGATTCTGAAGTAGAATGCGAGGCACTGGGCGTAGTACAAGGTACTGAAGTGCTAGCTTTACTTGGAAGTGCTAGCGGGCCGGAGGTACTGGAATGTAGTACGAGTGGTGGTGCTGGAGTAGTACGAGTGGTGGTGCTGGAGTAGTATGAGTAGTAGTGCTGATGCTGGTGCAGTACGAGGACTCGGACTGGTGCTGAAGTGGTGCTGAAGTGCTATCACGTAGGGAAGTGTAGTAAGGATGTAGCGAGTCTTGAAAAACTGGCTCCAGTTGTGGCTCTAGACGGAACAAACTGGTCTGGCGCAGTGGACTTGGAAGTGGATAAAAGACCCCAGTGGGCAGTGGTGACGGGCAGCGGCGTATACTGAGCTGCTGAGAGAACGAGTGGTGCCCGATGGTGTCTGTCTGAATCTGATACCAATGTGATACAGACGCGCGCGATTACGTAATGGTGCTAGGGTTGGATGAGGGGGTGTTACAGTTGCGGGTGGCCATTGAGGCCAAATCGGTGCTGCTGGAGGTCGGGTGGAAACTGTGGCTGGTAAGTGCAACAGTGCCACTCTGGAGCGAAGTGCTCCCGCTGGGCTGGGGTCTAGAACCCCAGATCGGATGCCGATATGGATGGTGCGCTCGCCCACAGGAACACGCATATAGTTTCGCTAAATATGCACCCGCCGACACAGCTTGGTCAGCACTGACGTAATTGGATCTTGGTTGAGAGCGTGGTGGCTGGCTCCAACACTGGCTGGCGCCAGCAATAGTGGCAGTGCGGCGGGCCAACCACTGAAGGGATTCCGTGCAAACTCTGCACTGCAGACGTTCTAGAAATTCGCAGCGGGTTGCCAGGTCGAGTTAGAATTTCACATCATTATCTATATGAGAGTACAGTATTAAATTTACCTCCCTGCCAACAGACCCAGGGCCAGGAATCCTGCGCCTGGAAAAAATACCTAAATTGGCCTAGGGTTAAATATAGAGTAGATAAACATTTACCAAGAATTTTCGAGTGGGTAAAGGATGGGAGCTGATTGGAACTTCGGAGGCTCAGTTGGGCGCCACCTTTGGAATTTCATGCTTAGAACCAGTTGAAATTGCGGCTGTATCGTAGTGGAGGTTTTTGTCCACCACCAACAGATGTAATGTAGTAAAGAGAGGTTGTTAAGCCACCTACGAAGAGCACTCCACCATCAACAGATAGATGGAGAGGTTTACCGCAAACAAAGTGGGGATAAATAGCCCAGAAAGCCATGGTTCACGTCATAGTGCGCCAAACCAGTGGATTCGCTGCCATTTTGATAAGGCTGGAATGGAAACCAATTGAGATGAATACTTATGTTACGAACCTATTGACCAAGTCTATTCAAAATTTGATCTAGGAATAGCTGATTTCAATGTCGCTGGTCTTGCCATAATTTCTCCTTCAACATGATATAAAACTGCTGATGCTGAGATAATATTAAAGCCACATTGAACACTAGTTACGACCAAAGAAATAGCACTAACTAATGATATTCCAGAGAATAGATGTTTGGGTTTTCAACCCTGCAAGGATATTATTCATCAATTTCCAGAGGATGGATGTTAGGGTTTTCTGGTGCAGATCTGCGACATTGTCCTCTCTAGAGTCAAAAAGGACCAGTACTTAGCAGGATAGCACTCGTGCCTTCAGCACGAAGTTGCTCAATCCAGGGACTATTTCACTAATCACCTTACACTGCTGGATAATGGCCATGTCTAATAGTGGAAACAATTGCTTCCTAAACCACGTTTCGTGCCTTCCCCATTCTCGTAGTACAACTTCTGCCCAACATTCCATCTCGCGCTCGCTAACTCGCCATCACTTTCGCGCTAACTGCACTCGCTTCTCGCTAACTCTCCCTAATCTCTCACTAACTCTTCCCAACCCCTCGCTAGCGCCATGCCTCGACAGCACCTGCGCCGGGTAACCGCACCTTGAAAAACATCTACACAAACTGACATCTTCATACCACGACCTAGTATCTCCACCCTGCGATGTCGTTCAGTCCCGATCAGATCGTCGAGCAGCTCGATCAAGCCAAGAACCTCGCCTACACAGATGCCTCCACATACCCCCAAGTGTTACGACAAATCTTGAACTTCGTGACCAGCCCCGAGTCCAAAATCCAGTTGTGGTGTGTTCAATTCCTAAAGGAATCGTTTGTGGAAAACAAAATCGCCAACCACAGTGACAAGGTAGACCTCGCCATAGACTCGTTAGATTCTCTTGTATTTTTATCCAACATCCCTAACTTGCATATATTCAAGCATGTCATCTCCATCTCCAGTGTGATCTACCGGTTAGTGTTCAGATATGTGGCGGAAAACGACGGATGTAACCCCATCTGGAGCAAATTGACCGAGTTGAAGAACTCATTAGTCAACAAGTTCCAGTCCAATTTCCCATTGGAGGCTTCCGATAACGAGGAATTTGATCTTTTCAGAAACATCGACACCAAGATCGAGCTCGTCAAATTCATGATGTTGGTGATCGACTACCAGTCCAAGTCTACGGTGATAAATGGCTCCTCGTCCAATGGGTCGGTGTCGCCGCCTCCAAACACTTTTTCGTTGAACAACGTCACCACCACCCATTCTTTAATTAAATACAGCAACATGGAATATGAAGCCGTCAACCTCTTGGACTTGCTCTTGAAAACCTTCAGCAATAACGTCATAGTGGCCCCATTGATCACGGCCACCTTGAACCACTTCATCATCATCATGAAAAGAAAACCGCAATATGTCACCAAAATCTTGAACATGGTTGAAAACTATGATACCAACGCAAAGTTCCAATCCAACTACCAGAGTCTAGAGGAGTTCAAATTGGCCAAAAAGTACGTCGATAGAATCTTCAGAGTATTTCTCTTCCATATATTAAGAAACAACTTGGTCCCCACCAATTACCAAAACACTCTCAACAAGAAAATGAACCAGTTGGTGGAAAGAGGAAATGATATCAGAAAGAAGAACATCTTTGTTATCAATGAACCAAACATCAGAAAGAGGAAGTTCGATGGGTTCCTCAATCCCACCAAAAAGATTAAAACTCTCGACTACAAGAACCTTTACTGTTTAAACGACATCAACAGCGACTTGAACAACTTTGATTTGACGTCTGTGCCCCAACACATATTGACCCAAATGGTGGTAACTGCATTAAAAAAGGCTAGCGTCAACAAGGTAACCAAGGCATTGGAAATTATCAGTGAAAGATACACCGATGCCATTTTGGGGGTTGCTGGAACTGCTAACCCTGCGCTAAACAATAACATCAAGGTTGAAGCGGGGGACGCTGGTTCAATTCCAGCACAGCCTGGAGTTGCTATCAAAAAGGAAGATGCCGACGAGGACGACGATGACGACGATGTGGGTGAAAATTATAACCCCGAAACGGTCTACACATTGCCTCCACCAACCGATTTATCGTTCCAAGAAAAGAAGGAGCACATCAGCATTATTATCAAAAACTTCTTCAAGTTGGCCAACAATCCCAACGGGATAAGTCCTGAGGAAGAGAAGGTTGGCGATGCTGAAGAGGGAATTAACAAGGAACTCACCAAGACCGCCATCAACTCATGGAAAAAGGATAGTTGGTTGGTGCTCTTGACCCGGTTGGCTACCCGAGGCATGAGATCCGCTGTTTTGCAGGAGGACGAAGATAACGAAGCCGAGAAATCGCCTGATGCCAAAGCCAACGAAGAAATGAGCGATATGATCAGAACTGCCATTTTCGACTATTTCTTGGATAACATCCATTCCAGAATAGATTTGATCATCGAGTGGTTGAATGAAGAATGGTACAGCGAAAAGGTGTTCAACGAGGAGATCCAGATCAGAAAGGCCAAGGCACAGAAAGCAGTGAAGCAGGAGGCGAGCGACGATGCCATTGTAGACACTCCTCCCGTCGAGACTGCCAAAGTGGAGACTCCCATTTACAATAAATGGGCCGGAAAGGTGTTGGACTCCATGATTCCATTTTTGGAACCTAACGATCGTAAGATTTTCATCCGGTTGTTGAGTGACTTGCCGTACCTCAACGAGGATTTAGTGGGTAGAATCAAGTCTTTGTGCTTGGATCCCGTGAGAATTAAAATAGGGTTTTTGTCGTTGCAATTCTTGATCATGTACCGTCCTCCAGTCAAGGATGTCTGCCTTAAGATCTTGACCCAGTTGAGCGAGAGTGACCAGGACGACTTGCGGGAAGAAGCCAAGAAGTTGCTCGCTAAGTATAGTGTATGATAGAATAGACGGAGGGCTCGAGGAGTTCCGAACACGCACCAAACCAATTGTAGTCCCAGACACTGTCTGGGACACTGTTGATAAGTTACTTATGATATTACCAACATTGTCAGGCAAAGAAAGTAGTTAGTGCCCACTGTAGCGAAGTAGAAAGTGACCACCGTAGCGAGACCATCAATCCTGGTGCGAGACTGTCGCTAATTTACCACGACGCTCAGTGCGATCTCGCACTAATCCTGTCGCTAGAGAAGGGCTTGCGGTAAACGACAGGGTGACAGATCAGACCAACACTCCCTCAAATCACCCTGTGAGATTCCATAAGGCACTGAAAACTGACCAAACCCTTCAATATTCATCCTCTAGAAGCTCTAATCCCGTCCAATCCTTCCTTACTTCTCCCTCTATCTCCTTATGCCCAAATCACTCCCACCGCTCACGCTCCACTAGCTCGCGATTGCCGCGATCAAAATTAACTGCGTACTCCTTCTCCCTTATCACAACTATCATGTCAAGCTCTTTGTACGGGTCGGGCGATCCGTGGGAAAACGGATGGGCCAGTTCGGAAGACCAACAGCGTCCTGCCTTTGGAACGGCCTCTAATTATCTCACATCTTCACAATTGCTCACTACAGTCGAGGAGCCTGAGCGGCTCTCCGTCAACACCAGTAGAGTGCCAGAATCATTCAAGCGCATCCAGGACGGCTTGGGGGCCCGGTTGACATCTGTGGAAGACGTGGAGAACTTCGTGTTCTCCAAAGTGGTTCAATTGGGCTACTTGAAGAAGTACCAGACGGCTAAAATAGTGGATACGTTGTACGACCATAACTTGGTGACCCCATCGTCTCCAAACACGTTGGTACAGATCCTAGGACTTGTTTCGTTGGAGATTGATGCCACCGGAACTGGTGATTTTGTGACGTTGCAGTTCAGATTGGGAAACTTGCCTGAGTTGCCCCAGGAGTTGGTGACAGCGCTTTTGGCTCGAGACGAACCTGCGCCCTCCAGCGACTACAACGACTTCATCGACCCTCTAAGTGCACAATTGGCCAACACTTCTATCAACGAGAACGATGCCGAGGACTGGACCTCGCGTCCAGGAGACGACATCCCAGATCCCTTGTTGCACGATAATTCCACCACCATATCCAACAAGGCGATCCTAGAGCCTGATACAGATGAGGGACAGGCCAAGCCTATATTGGACAGCTCCATCACAAAGCACGTTGAGGAAATTAGAGATAGATTCAAGCCCTTGATCAACACCAATGATCTGATCAAAATAAAGGAGGTCCCCGAGAAAGAAGGACTCTTATTCAAGCATATCAATTATTTCATCACCCACGATCTCAGATTGGGCATGAACTCCCACTCCGGGACGAAAAAGGTCATAAGAAGATATTCAGATTTCGTTTGGTAAGTATAGCGAATATTACTGAGGCTATGGTATAATGATACGAGCATCGCCCCTATGGACACTTACTAACTTTCAGGCTTCTTGAGTTTCTTTTACAGAAGTATCCCTTCAGAGTAATCCCAGGCTTACCCCCCAAAAAGTTTTCTGGTACGTACGGATAAAGCATTTGGATTCAACAGTATACTAATACATATAGTAGGATCTTCACCAGATTCACAGTTCTTACAAAGACGTCGTCGTGGCTTACACCGGTTTTTAAACCAGCTAATTAAACACCCTGTCTTGAAGCAGGAACCAGTGGTTATTACCTTCTTAACGGTGCCCACCGATATTTCTACATGGAAAAAGCAAGCTAAAATCGATTATTCATTAGAGTTCAAGGGGCAGAAGATTCAAACACATTTCATAAATTCCATCTGGCCAACTATTGGAAAAGAATTCTTGCAAAATTGGGCAAATGCCGAAAACTCAATTGCGAAGTTAATAGAGACTTGGACAAAGACAGTTTTGTTGATTGAAAGGTACGAGAAGAGACAACAACAAATCAGCTATGACAACAATAAGTTTGTGGAGATGATAAGCAGTTTCAAGGCAGGTAATGCCAGCCTTTATCCGGCATCCGAGAATAGCATAATAGGGGAGAATAATAAGGATGACATGGGGACCATCAACGAATCGTTGGGGTACATCAGCGAGTTCTTCAATAAGTCAAGCCAGGTATTGATTGATGAGAGCTACAGCGTAAATACTGGAATTTTGGAGAAGTTCAAAAACTATCTCGACTACTTATACTCACTCCAAGAATTGTTTGAGAGAACCAAGCGGTTATCTGCAAACAATATTGACCAACTTGAGGCCAGGATCAAGGAAAACGAGGCCAAGTACAAGAAGTTGAGCACAGAAGAGGCTGATGTCAAAGGAGCAGATTTGGCCAAGTTGCGACAAGTGATCATAAATGACAAACAGGAAATTTTCCAACAGTTGAATAAAGACTGGTTGATCAAAAACTGTTGTTTCGAAGAATACATTATGTTCCAGGAGACGCAATATCTCGTGAGTGAGTTGTGGATTGAATGGACCAAGGGCCGGTTACGGTTTCTGGAGAAAATGAACGGACTTCAAACACACTTGAACGGCGAGATCGAGAATAACATGCCTTTGAGCCGCTAGCTGAAAACTACCTACAGCGTCGAAAGGAGTAAAGAAACTAAAACCACATACTGCGATGGCCTGTATGTTATTAAATATTAATGGAATCTTATTTAAGATAAGCAGTAGATTTAGCAGGTTCCCAATGGTCAGTTTGGAACCAGGTAAAACAAATAAATCACCAAGAAAACCAGTAGTGCTAATTATCCCCACCGAAGGTAATTGGATTCACCGTTCAATGAAGTAGCAGAGATTATTGAACACTATGGTGAGTATTAAGAGCCCAGTATCACTGACCTTGCGAAGAGTAAAGCCACTACTTGTGCACCGATTTTCAATGAATTATCAGTAGAAATTACTGATATAATTCACGTAGGAAGTTGTCACCTACGGCAAATTATAGAACAAAGCAACAGGGTCAAAGCAGCTATCGTGATGATTTGGTATCCAAACCCACTTGGAATCGAGAGACGAACCCAACGGTACTTTGTTGTAACCTCTCAACTAGAATATGGCTTTAAGTGATGTATTTGCCAGTAGCCTATGATTGATACAATCTTCACCAGTAGTAAACTAATTGCAAGACAACTGGAAAAATGAGCCCTCTTTAGCTGGTAACTAATACACTAAAAAGCTCCAATTTTCACCTAAATGCCCTTACTGCAACCGCTTCTGCCACTTTTCAAGAATCTCATGCCCCTCTGCCATCTCCAACTCGTCATTAAAGTATTTCTTGCTCAACACCCGTTCGATGTGCAACTCCCGCTGGGCCTCCTGGAACAACTCGGAGTTGCCAGTCGCCATCGCTTTGGCAAGTAGTTGGCCCACGACCATGCCCAAACGGGCACCCTGTGGAAACGCCATGTCGAACCCATGCTGCAAATTGGCCTCGTTGGCCTGGGTCTTGCCGTCCAAGTACCCTTGCTTGTGATGGCTGCGCTTGATGTCGGCGTTGGACGAGGCCAAAACCTCGTCGTCGCCCCAAATGTCGTCCAGATCAGACGCTGCCAACCTGTCCTCAGCCTCTACGGCAGGTTCAGTACATCCACACGCCATGATATCCCACTGAAACAGTATAGCCCAATTATAGCCTTGCAAAACCCATCTCAACCCAGCACCTATGTCGCATGTCGCGCACCCGTTGCAGCCGTACCCAGTCGGTGCCCGCACTCCCTTAGCAAGGAAAAATCGTGATATCAAACAAGCCTCCCACCCAGCGTCTAAACAGTCACTTCGCTTACTGCATCTTTTCCTCATAATCGTTCCTTGATAGACTCCTATTCCTTTCGGGTGCTGGCAACCTGATACTCAACCTCCACAATGGCCGACAACTTGATCACCCAGGTGAGTGAGGACAGCTACAACCTTCCGGCATCTCACTATGACGACTCCAAGAGCAACATAGACTACAACTCCAAGATCCACTTGAACATCCGCGGCACCGAATTCACCATCACCCGTGATGAGTTGATGAGCTTGCCAGAGAGCATCTTGTTGTGCCTCTTCCCCAACGGGGTTTTTTTGGACAGCGAGGGCCAGGTCATCACCAACTTGACGGAAGACGATATTGTCCACGTCAACTTCGAGCCTTCCTGCTTCAAATACATCATGGACGTGTTTGGCGAGGCCCAGCGCGACCTCTTGGACATGCCCATATTGTCTCCGCAAGAATCCGTCACTTCTGGCCGTGCCCCACAAGAAAACGTATTGCAGAACAAACCGGCAATCATAGTGTTGAGAGAGGACTTGGACTACTACGTGATACCTCCCAACGCCGGGTTGGACGCAGACCAGATAAGGCAGCTTAAGGTAGGCGTGGCTGAGACCTTGTTGAAGAATAAACTCATTTTCAGCGGCTTGGGCTACGACCCATCCTTACCTTCGGCCCTGCAGAAGGTTGGCCCTGCGGAGCAGCACTTGTTCGACATGTTGTGCTCGTCAGGGTTCAACCCCAAAGGTCTCTGGGGCAGTAGGTCCTTGGAGCCATCCAAATGTGTCATCCTGTCATTGCTGTTAGTGCGTCTCAACAACGGGTCTCCTTCCCCTCCAGAATCTCCATCATTAGACCCAGTGAAGTCCAATGCATCGCAGCTGTCCAGATCCAGATCCAGATCCCGTATAGCGAACTTGGCCAATAGTGCATCTCGTGCTGCCTCAAGATCTTTATCCAAAGCCAGAAAGCAAGATACCACGCATACTAAGTTGCTCCTTTTTTGGAGAAAGCCGGCAAGAAAGTGCTGGTGGTCCAACCAGACTGCTGAAGTCCAACTCGATGGTGCTTTATTTAACTCTACGGAGAAGTCCATGACGGTGAAGGTCCACATTAGAAGAGTGTGGACATTAGAACTCTCTGTCATTGGCGTGCAATAATTTCTTCTGCTGACAAGGCATGAACTGCTTGTAGCATTAATTAAAGAAAATAGGGCCGAAGGGTAACACCGGGGTTCTAGATATCGTCCACAATACTTGAGTAGATGTTGGCGTGTTTTGCAAGTAATTGGGCAAGCCAACCGAGCCTCGACACTGATTGCATTATTTTGTGTGTGATAAGTGGAGACAAAGATTGCTTTGGCCTGTCCACCGAACAGGTTACTAGTCTTACCATTTAGATTACCTTGTCGCTGTTTACTGCGTTTAGTTTCTCCAGTTGTATATTAAATATCTAATAACCACAAAAAGAATAAAATTGGAAACTTGTAACCCAGCAGCCATGCCATAGTGCACCACATGTAGTTTACGAATACAAATGATTTCGTTGGTGATCTGAAATGCCAGGCGCAGTTGCAATTCATATATATATGGTTCTACTTGTCACATTCTCCTCAGAATATACACAGAAGACCATTTGAGACAACTCAAAGCAACTTAATGCAGCACAGACCAACCAATCCCTTCAGTGTATCCTTCACTACATCACTCATTTATTTCTGGTGTGTCTTTCAGTGTGTCTGTGAATGCAAAATGCTAGGTGAGAAAAATGGTAATTTTGCATTCATGCAAATTGAACCGCGCACGCCCACGCGTCTCGCGTACACCAACTAAACTTACCACTGCAACAGCCCCAGAACCAATTCTCTCATCCCACATCATGACGTCCCTCCTAGGCAAGAACCCGAGGCTCGAACAGTACGAGCAGGAAAAATTACAGCACACACCGTGGGTGGAAAAGTACCGTCCCAAGAACTTGGACGATGTGGCATCCCAAGACCACGCCGTCAAGGTGTTGAAAAAGACCATCGAATCAGCCAATTTACCCCATATGCTCTTCTACGGTCCGCCTGGAACTGGTAAAACTTCCACGATCTTGGCGTTGGCCAAGCAATTGTACGGGCCAAACCTCTACAAGTCCAGAGTGTTGGAGCTCAATGCCTCGGACGAGAGAGGTATATCGATAGTCAGACAGAAGATTAAGAATTTCGCCAGATTGACGGTGTCCAACCCTTCCAAGGAAGACTTGGAAAACTACCCTTGCCCTCCCTATAAGATTATCATTTTGGACGAGGCTGATTCTATGACCAACGATGCCCAGTCTGCATTGAGAAGAACAATGGAAACCTACTCTGGGGTCACCAGATTCTGTTTGATCTGTAATTATATCACCAGGATCATCGACCCATTGGCCTCCAGAACTTCCAAATTCAGATTCAGATTGTTGAACAACGAAAACGCTTTAACCAGACTCAAGTACATCTCGCACGAAGAGAACATTAATCTTTCCCCAGACGAGCCGGTGTTGGAAGAAGTGTTGAAGATATCGGCAGGAGACTTGAGAAAAGCTATCACGTTTTTGCAATCTGCCTCCAAGCTAAACAACTCGTTGAACTCAACTGACGAAGATGGTGATAGTGCCATGGACAAAACTCCAATCACGATAAAGTCTGTCCAGGAAATTGCGGGCGTAATTTCTGAAGAATTGATTGACACAGTGATCGATTCCATTCGGTCCAAGGACCAGAGAAAAATCATCCAACAGGTGGACGAAGTTATCCTAATGGGTTGGAGTGCCCAGCAATTTGCGGACCAATTGCATACTAAGTTGATATTGAATGATACCATCAACTCCATAACCAAGAATCAAATAGCCAAGATTCTCTTTGAAATAGACAGAAGGTTGAACAGCGGTACCGATGAACATATCCAGCTTTTGAACTTGTGCTTGCAAATATCCAAGGAGTTCTAAGCAGCTGGTGCTGCATTGAAACCACCACACTGGCACTAGCGCGAGGGTGGTTGAAAGCACAGGCAATAAAAAGGTAGCTCAATTTAAATGCTTTGTGAACCGAACAATCGGATAACCCTTTTCCTAATCAATACCTCTCATTACATGCAAATAGCACATCAACTCAGCAATCAGGTAGAGCTACTATCCTATTTGATAGGTGTATAGTAAATTTAAAGGTCAACTAAACAATACCTCTTTAGCTACGTCACGTTATACGATGTACTTGATTCTCATTAGCAAACACAGCGATCAAATATTTTATCTACAATTAGGGAAGCAAAGAATTCCAGAATCTTAGCTAGCCCAATTAATAGTCATCACGTTTATGGTCGTTACGTAAATTAGCTAAGCATTAACGACGATTCTGCTGTTGGTGCTGCTGCTGAAGCTGCTGCTGGAGCTGTTGCATTTGCTGCTGCTGGAGATGCTGGAGATGCGGAGGAAGCTGCTGCATTTGCTGTTGCCCTTGCATTTCCTGAGGTGGTCTACCTGGCTGTCCCTGGAGGTGTCCTTGTGGATGACCCTGTGGGTGGCCCTGTGGATGGCCCTGGGGTGGACCTTGTGGTGGGCCCTGTCTTCCTTGCATCTGCTGCTGGATGTGTGGAGGCATTCCTGGCGGAAAACCCATGAACTGTGGGGGTACAAACTGTGGGTTACGGTTACCATTGGCAAATTGAGGAGGGACATGGCCTGGTGGTGGCATGAAACCGTTGGGGAACATTCCTGGCGGTGGTGGTCCTCCTGGGCCATTTGGACCACCTGGACCACCTGGACCGCCTGGACCGCCTGGACCGCCCGGACCACCTGGACCACCTGGACCTCCTTGCATGTTAGGAGCAAATTGGAGATGAGGAGGTGGTGGTGGCATACCGTTTTGAAACTGCTTCATCCATGGAGGCAATTGTTGAGTGTTTGAAGGACCTGGTCCTTGAGCTTGCCCTGAACCAGAAGGATGTCCTTGTGGCTGTTGATGGTGCTGCTGCGCAGGCTGCTGGGGCCTGGATGCTGGCGACGCTGTTGAGGTGTTTTGTGCGCCTTGTGAAGATTGTGCATTAGCTGGTTCTCGTCTTTGAGATCCTTGGGTTAATTGCTGTGGTGATTGCACATTAGATTCAGTTCTACTAACAGATGACTCGTTGTCTTGCTTGGATTTACTCAAAAGCGCAGCCAAACCATTCTGAGGGGTACTTGAAGCTGAAGCGGATCCTTTTGGGGATTCTTTCTTGTTCATCAACGACATGAAAAACGAATCATCTGTGGATGACTTGACGACAGGAGTTGACCCGTACAGCTTACCAGAGTCTTGGGAAGAGATACTGGTTCCTTGGCGTGGTTGGACCATAGGAGCTGGGTGTTGAATTTGAGTCTGTTGTTCTTGTACTCTTTGTTGTATTGGGGAAGGAACTTGTTGAGCGTTTTCAGGGATTGGGTTGGACCCGAAAAATCTGGAGAAACCTGGTGGAGGTTGAGTAGTCGACTCAGCTGGGGAATCCTTGGGTTTGGCGATCGGGACAGGAGCTTCTCTAGCGGGTGTATTGAAGAATGAAGAGAATCTGGAGCTCTTGTTGGAAACCTCTGATTGGGCCATATTTGGAGTGGAAGCACCTGCATTGGCAGTGGCAGTGGAGGTGACGTTGGACTTGGGCTTAATGAAGGAAAAGAAGTTATCCACTTCGTTACCAGCGTTCTCGGCGGCATCGCCATTGTTCAAGTCGGCAAAGTCTTCATCAATGGGCTGACCATTTTTACGACGTTCTTCCAACCTCATGTGGGACTTCCATTTCTCGAAGTCCTCGACTGTCTGGCCCATATTGATGCCCATGGATTCGGATCCACCCAAGTCGGCAGAGTCCCATTCTGGCTCGACCTCCTCGCCAGTTTCGCCTAGCAATTGTGAAATCTTATCGGTAGACAACGAGTCAAGCTCGCTTGCCTTGCTAAAGCCAGCGGGTCTTCTTTCCCACGATTCGTTCTGGAATCTCTTGTTGTTGGAGGAGTTTCTCTTGTGGGACTTACCTTCACGGTTGTTGAAATCTCCACCGGCACCTCCAGATTTGGCCTTGTGCCTCCAGAAGCCCTTGTCTGGCAATCGATCCGAATCCTTGAAGTCTTCCACCAAAGGCGAGTTTCTCAACTTTAACAAAAAGTCAATGGTATATACACGGTCGGGGTTCTTTCTGTGGGTCAATTGCACTATGGAGGGACTGCTGGAGTTGGATCTAGGCTCCAAGTCAGGGGTTGTTTCTTTGGCAGCCTTGGCCATGGCGGAGTCCAAGAGCTTGGACAACACGTTGCCAGGGTCCAAGTTGGTGGAGGGCAATGGCAGCACCACATCGTCGGACGATGCAGAATTGTTGACCTGAACGATCGATGGATCGTTAAGAAGCGGGTTGGACATGGTCAATGGCGTCAAGTTCAGGTTGTTTTTGGTAGTGGTAGAACTTGTTGGGGTAGGAAGGGAGTCTAATGGTACAGCGGGGTACTCGTTGGGGAGAACGGAATGTGATTGGCTTTGGGCGTGGTCAAGTAGACGCTACGAATTGGCGGTTTGGTGTGGCGAATGGTGATCTGGGAATCGTTGTCTGGCGTGCAATTTTTGGGTGAGCTGGGAAAATTTTGCTAGCAAGGTACAGGAAGGGAGATAAGGCTGGTGGTGGATTCTGGGCGAGCGTAGAGAGAACTAGCGAGGACTACCGAGATTTAGTGGGCGCGAGCTGTTGGGCGCGGGTTTGCCGCCACCAACGTTACCGCGGGCTCGTGGTAGAATTGTGGCCCGGGAGCGAGAGAGTCGCAGGGGGAGTGTTGCGGGTGAGGTTTCACGATCGAACCCTCTGAAGTCAAAGATAAGAAATCGACAGATTATCTTCATGGATTATCTTCATAATATGTAGCCAGGTATATTTTCTTCAGCCAGCTTCTATTAGCTAAACCTACTGGTGGTGTTGGTGAATCTGCTAATTAGAAATTACTAGCCATAATTGCCAAGAATCCCTGATCTCCACGAGCCACCTAGATTGTAGATCCCTGATAACCACTTTTAGCTAAGCTTTCCCAGACTCCAAGAGTAGCAAGTTCAATGGGAATTTATGAAGAATTGTTGCCCGCACACTGATGGATTTAGATCTTTTAATCTTACTTGTCCTTCTATTGACTCTATTCGGAACGGGTCATTCATTACTATATAATACAACTCTAATAATACAGGCAGCGGCGCTAGTTGTTCAAGTACGGGATATTCAACTTCATGATCTCCCGACACATCATGAACCAGTCGATCTCTCGCAAATGGCCCTGCTGGTGGTCGCGCTTCTCCTTTTGCGCCTCTTCCCACTTGAACAACTCGTACATGAACCGAAGGTTGGGCTGGATGATGATGTTCAACCGTCTGACACGAACGTAGAGATAGGCGTCGGGAAGCGAAAGCCCGAGCCTCCGCATAGTTTCCGAAATCACCACTGTGGCAGACCTACTGACCCCGACACGACAGTGGATTAAGATCTTGGTGTTGCCATCAGTCTTGACGTACTCGTCATCAATATACTGGAGCATGTTAGGAAGAGACCTCGTGAGCTCGTCAATCCCATCATCTTGCAAATTGTTCACCTTCATCACCGATTCAATGCTGCACTTGTGAGGGTGGTTGGCTCCCAAATCTTTTTTGGGTTTGATAGTATACAACTGAATATTACCATCATTAATCTCTTGGACTTCAATGTCATGATTGGCACGAAACTTGTATCCGTTCAACCAATCTAATTGCTCACCAACAGAGATAATCTTCTTGATACCAACCTTGTTTAACAACGGAAGAGAATTTGCATGTTTCAACGAACCAAGGTAAAGATATGGCAAGATTCGTGAAGGAATTGACCCCTCAACTTCACTAACCCAGTCTATAAGTGGAGCAAATTCCAAGTCAGAGTCAGACTCATCTGATGATGAAGACGAATCATCATCATCATTGGCAATGTACCCTAGTCTGACATTCTTATTCGGTTTCACTCCGGGATTAGATAGCAAGATCTCATTGATCTCTATATTGGTCAAGGACTCCAAACTCAGCCACTCTATTTTGTTTTTGTTCTCAGGATTGGCAGGACTGAACTTTCTTAGTAATATTGACAACTTCTTTAATATGGTCACATCACTGTTGAATATATAGAAAGGTCTTCCGTAATCAAGATGTAATTTTAACATGGCATCTTGAAGCGAAACATTCTGTGAATACATGACGTAGCACAACACCAATAAGGACAGTTCAGTATATCCATCCGAACAATAGATCAATGTACTCAAAACATCCGAGTCTTCACTTGTAGATGATGAATAAAGATAGATCAACTTACAAGTGTTCACTATTGAAATTAAGTTGTCCTTTGAACAGTCACCAATTCCAATGGATCCCGAAGGTGGAAATTCTAAGACAGTAAAGTCAGGATCATCATCCGAATCTTCCTCTATACGGTGAGATGAAAGACTGTATTTGAAAAGCAACGTGGATAAAGTCATCAAATCTGGAAATGAACCCCCGCTGTGGCAAAATACAAAAAGTCTCCAGTTTGCTTTGGGCAATGATAAATAATCTAGTAAAGAGCCGTTCTCAGATTTCTTCAAAAGGTTCGTCACAATAGAATTCTTTGGTTCACAGTATAAATTGCGTAATTTCAAGCTGTTGAAAGAAAGATGTTGTGTAGAATAATGTTTGAGATATGAAGTATTGTGTTCCATTAGATATGTCATCATTATCTGATAATCCCAGTAATTTCCAATCCATACATTTCTGGTGATACTAGTTGCTGATGACATCCTAGTAGTTTCAATCTTCTCCTTAATTTGATAATCATTGTTCCAAAGTATATCAGATGTAGGTAAGATGTGAGATACACCACTTTCCAAGCTGCTAGTTTCATGCTCATGTATATCGAACACTAGCTTAGATTCCGTTCTGGAGAGACTTGTTGGCTGATTCGTAGAATCGTTCACTAAGGTGTCAAGACTGTCATTTGAAATAAAAACGTTATAATGGCTTGAACGCTTGTTAAGAGCAAGTTCATAACGCTGAGCCAACCATAATACTCTTGCACAGCTTTCCATAGTTGGAGAAGATGGTCCATAAACCAAAAAATCAGAACAGGTAGCAAGCTTTGCCACCTGGATATGAAAATTTCTTAATGACACACCTCTGTCGGGGTCTAAATCTAAAAAGATAGGTAAGTGATTAATGCGTATGCAGTCCTGTTTGAATACTTCCATTAGATCATCAGGTATCTCTTTGTCAAATGCTTTCTTGAAAATGTCAGATATGATCAGAGCAATCTCAAACCTCGAAACATCGATCTGACGGAGAATCTCATTCAACTTTAAAGTATTCTTCAAAATAGGAGGAAGTTTTTCTTTGGTGTCTAAAAATAAAGCGTTATTATTCTTTAAGTTGTTGTTGAATACAACTGAATTTTGACTCTCGTGATTATATTCTTCTGCGTTGATGCACATCAAGAACCTTATATTCTCTGGCTTCTCGAGGTTGAAATACAACAGGTCCAGCGATTGTTGTGACATAAGAAGTTGTTGCTGTTGGTACAAAAAGAACTGTTTTTGGGCAAAGTTATCTTTGTTCAACCCATGCAACCAGGGGAACATTTTCTTGGTTGGAGGCAAAGGTTGATTGAAATACCATGCAAATACTAGCTGCAACTGTGCTAATGACAACGATTTGATGACAAGTCCAAATGATTCCTTCAATTTGGGAGATGTGATGAATGAGTCCGGGAGGCTGGAGTAGAAAGGTTGTGCTTCGTCCAACGGAGAGTGATCGGATTTNCAGGCTTGAAGCTCTTTTATAGTTTTCAACTCGTCTAGCTTATCATGTAATACTAAGGGGATGTCTTCACGACTTCTAAAGTTGAGCTTGGTAGTTTTCAGTCCAATCTCATCACACACATCGCAGGAGGCGGCGTCAGACATGTTCAGGATGTTTGTGGAGGAAGGAACTCTGCTGTCGGTTTCTACTTCACTGGAAGCCTCATGCGAGGTGTTGAGGTTCTGCAATCTTGCTCTAAACCTATCTCTTTCGTAAAGTAGGTCGTTCGATGATGAGGACGTTCTTTTGGAAGCGCGGATAAAAGATGTGGGGTCAACATCGGTGGAGAGATCCACGCTCTCGAGGGCTCTATCAGGACTCAAAAGGCGAGTGCTTCTTCTTTTGGAATCATCGGGTCTGGGAGAGGTTGGTGGACCTTTGATAGGGCCCAAAGGTGGGGAACTCATTGCTGCCTTCATGACAAGCTGGTTGAATAGCTAGTGCAAAGGTATAGGGTTTAGGGGCAAAGCTCCAAGCCCGGGCTGAATAGATACTCGACGATACCGTGACAGATAGCGTGGATTAACACTAAGACGGGGTTATGGCTCGACACGGAAAGCGCCGGGACAACCTGAAAATAGCACCACTAGGGTTAATTGGATCACAGCAGGGACAAGCAGTAAGACAAACGGTGTCACCAGTTATTCAAACCAATAAACCAGCGACCACAAGTGGATAGAATGAACTGCTCCTTGTAGAAGCTTGACGCCTTGAAGAGAAATAGCCACAATGTAAATGATCAATTTTGATAAGATAACAAATTTTTAAGAGCGAGGATCGCGGGTGGAGGCGAGGCTGGAGATTTGACCAATGGAGGCCCTGCATGGGGAAAAGAAGCACTAGCTTGGCACAGGGGCGATAGGGTGGCTGCGGAAGGTAGTGGATGCTTCTCTAAGGGGCGTCAATCCAGCCGTGGCCTCCGAAAGTTCCAGGGCGGCCGGAGGAGCCCCAAACCACCGTTAGTGACAAATGACACAAACGGCACTAGTTTCCGCACCTGACGGTAGCATTCTGGGGTACTTGAAGCAGTTGCCAGAGTGTGCGTGACAGGGCCATCTTGATGGATCATTAGCGTCTGGAAAGCATTCTGATCTTGGTGGTGGAGTGTGGCTGCTCGGTCGTTTCTGGTGTGTCGTCTGTGGTACCGAGTAGGCAGGTGGCTCGGCGCCACATCGGGATGGTGAAACAACTGGCTGGAGCCACCCTGTTGCACAAGATTGGCCAGAGTAATAAGGATCGTTGTTAGTGGGAGTATGTGTGCGTGTTGGTGGAAGTGAAGTATGGCAGTAGGGATGTTTTGTACGACGTGCCGGAACATGCCAGCCCCAACAGGATCCGTAATCATGACCAGAAGCCGCCAGAAGAGGTTCGGTGTCCACCCTGGCCGTCCTTGGCCTCCTAAACTACCCTAGGCTGCAATATAGCCATTTTGGAATCAGGCCGACTTATGCGTCCACAACCTCTGGAAAAAGTCAAATACGAACCTCGCCACCTCTTGGCCAAGTCAGCTATTAAGCCATGTACTTCATCCAGTCACCATATGGCCCACAGACCCGTCCGTCCCATCCTTCAACGGTTCTGCCATATACCACGATTTTACAGCCATTACGCGCCGTGTGCGCACGCCCTTATCCTACCATTTCTCAACTTCTACCACAGCGGTTATACGCCAATGACACTCTCCGAACAGTTCAGCAACTTGTTGAAGTACCTCAACAGCGACAATCTGTTGGACAGGGCCACCTTTGGCCTTGACATCAACAAGGAGTCGTTCTGGTATAAGCTTCTTACCTGGAGAGCCACCGACGTGGTGCTTATCGCGGTGCTATACTTCATCTACATCGTCACCTACGACCTGGCCCCGTTCGAGAGACAGTTCTATGTCAACGACCTCACGATCTCCCATCCATTTGCTGAGCACGAACGTGTCGATGGCACCCAGCTCATGCTCTACGCCGTGTGGATCCCGCTTGCCATCATCGTGGCTGCAGGCTTGGTGTTCACCAAGCCCAAGAACAAGGTCTACGTGACGTACGTGGCCGTAGTGGGTCTTGGAGTGTCTACTTTTACCACCAGTGTTTTGACGGACCTACTCAAGAACTACATCGGTAGACACCGTCCCGACTTCCTCAGCAGGTGTGTTCCCAAGCCAGACACCCCTAAAGACGTGTTGGTGTTTGCCAAGGATGTTTGCACTACCAAGAACTTGGAACTACTCAGAGATGGCTTCAGAACCACTCCCTCGGGTCACTCCTCCCTCAGCTTCTCTGGTTTGTTATACTTGTCGCTCTTCTTGGCAGGCCAACTTGTGGTCACCAACAAGTATGTGGGTGCTTGGAGAACCGTCTTGTGTGCCTTACCCACAGTAGGTGCAGCATTGATCGCATTGAGTCGTACCGAGGATTACAGACATCACTTCGTGGATATCTTGATTGGTAGCACCATCGGTATTATCATTGCGATCTGGACTTACTTCAGATTGTTCCCCAGTTTGAGTCATCGTAAACCCTACGAACCAATCTTGTTGCAAAAGGAAGATGAAGGGGAAGGTTACAATATCATCAACGAGCAAGTTTAGAACTGTTTTGATGTGGATCGTCTGCAGCACGTTTATTCTAATAAAAACATAAATGAGAGACTTAGTTTTATTCCCACCATTTATTAGTAGTGTCGAAGTTGTAGTTTGTATAACCAATTCCTTAGCCAAGAAGTGCCAAATAATCACATTAACGTGGTTCTTCCGCCAATCTCGTTGCTGGCACTTCCGTCTGGCATATTCCCGTCTCTGCTAGACACAAATTGGCTATATACTGCCTCTAACTTTTTCTTTTCTGAAACAGAGATGGATGGCTTGGTTTCGTTCAAAGACTCCAAGAAATTTTCATGAGTCACTTGGACCTTAACTGATTCCTCTGTGTGTGCTTTAGTTTCTTCCTCTGTCTCGGACTTCTCCATAATCTGCTGGATTTGCTGCATGATTTGGACCCTATCCGTTGGTCTAAGTGAAGTGTTCTTCAATTTTTCAGTATTCACCTGGAAAAATTCAATTGCATCTTTGTCCTCTTTGCTTGGAGCTTTGTTGGCCTTTTCTTCTTGAAGATTCAATTTGACATGGACTGCCTTCAAGTAAGCATTGTAGCCTAACCCTTGCATGTCAGCACCACTGAAACCTCCGGTTTGATCAGCAATTTCTTTTAAGTTGACATCGTCTGCCAAGTCCATCTTAGCAGTGATACTCTCCAAGATATCAAGTCTATCTTCATAGTTGGGCATGTCACAAATAACACTCTTATCCAATCTTCCTGGTCTCAACAAAGCAGAATCAATCAAATCGGGTCTACTTGTTGCAGCCAATACATAAACACCATCCAATCCTTCAGCACCATCCATTTGAGTCAACATTTGGTTAACAACTCTGTCAGTAACACCGGTGGAATCGTGTCCTCTTTTTGGTGCAATGGAATCGAATTCATCAAAAAACAAAATACATGGTTTGGCAGCTTGAGCTCTCTCGAACAACTCTCTGACCGATTGTTCTGAAGCACCGATGTATTTGTTCAAAATCTCAGGACCCTTGATTGAAATGAAATTTAATCCACATTGTCCTGCAACTGCACTGGCCAACAAAGTTTTACCACAACCCGGATATCCGTAGAGCAAGATACCAGATCTCAATCTCAAGGGACAGCTTGCAAAGATGGGGGCGTATTTGGTAGGCCACTCAAGAGTCTCCAACAAGACATTTTTGGCCTCCTTCAATCCTCCAATATCGGACCAATTGATTGACGATTTTTGTAATTTGACTCCTCTCAAATTGGAAGGTGTGTACCCCTCCAAGGCCTTGTCTAAATTTGATTTCGTAACAGTAATCTCGGATTCTGCATTATTGCTGAAAAGAGCATCATGATACAATCTATCACACAACGTTTTCAAGTCATTGGGCAAGTATCCTTCCGACTCTGAAGCCATATCCATGATATCAAAATCTATCTTACACCCCAATTTCTTGACCAAATACTCCTCCAAGAGTTCACCTCTTGCTGTCTTGCTTGGAGGGCTCAAATGATGGAAGTTTTCAATTAAATGCGATTGGAACAATAACTTGTTCAATGCTTCTTTGCTGGTGGACGACATCAAGAGGGACAAGTTGCTATTCTGCTGGCTTTGAATTTTTTCCAATTGAGAAATCAAAAATTCAGTCAGTTGGTTAGACTTGGAAGAGTCTCCATGTTCTTGCTCTGCACTTAAAATCTTGTCCAAGTTATCGAGAATGAGCAAGGCAGGTTTATGCCAAGCACAGCTTTGTAACCATTTGCTCATATGGTTTTTTGACAACGTGGAATAGTTTTCATTCATGAAGGATTCACATGACACAAACTTCGTATGGTAGCCGTATTCCTTTGACACCTTTTCTGCAACGAGTTTCAACAACAATGTCTTACCACTGCCAGAAGAACCATGCACCAAAGTACCTGAATTTTTGCTGGTCACAAAGGACTCAACAATCTCGTTAACTGTCTTGTCCAAACCTATTGCCTCATTCAACGCGTTATTCTTCTGAGGAAGTTCCTCGATGAAGGAGGCATTTCTAAGCAATTCGTCGCCCATCTCAAACTTCATTGGCTTCTTGTTGGAGTCTACTGGCTTTGTCCAGGCAGTGACACTGTCGTTTTTTTTGAATTTCAAAAGACCACCGTTGGGGAGGATTCCAGGTATGATCGGGATTTTCGAAAAATTGGTTAAGGCCGACTGGGCCATCAATTCTTTGTCGTTGAGATGGGTGGTGAGTTGTTTGAGGAGATTGGCAGCCTGGTCCTTCTTCTCTGCGGAATTCAAGTTGAGCTGGCTGTTTTTCTTGGTCTGGGTGATGTAGGGGTGGATTATAAATGCGGAAGGACGTTTTGGCACGCTTTTCACGGCTGGATTCAAGGCAATGATGCTTCCCACCTCTGACTCCACGTTCAAGGCAATGGCCAATTTGGACGAGAGTCCCACCGTATTGGCCGGAGCTTCTGGGGCGTTGACCAAGCGAGCAACGATCCTTTTGTTTTCCTTGACAGGAGCGATTTTCGACTCAGAAGACTTGTCTGTTGGGGCTGTAGATTTTGATTTTTCAGTGGGGCCTGGCACCACTGATACTGCCACGAAGTCGACCAAGAATTCGGGAGACAATTCGGCGTAATTGGCGTAGAGCTCGTAGCCATCGTTGGCAGCCGAGCTGATGAGCTTGTGGGGTATTGGGATCCCCCTTTTCAAGAGGGAAGGCAGCGAGGCGTAGCTCTCGCTAGAACGGGTAGGTTTGGAAGCAGTCTTGGTCTGAGTAGGTGGTTTCTTTGCTCTGACTTTGGGAGCAATGGCAATCTCACTGTACGGTGAGATTCTAGCGTACTGGTGGTCTTTGGTACCGATGTCGGTGACCGTCAACTTGGCAGACGTGGTGTTGGTCGGATACACCACCAACACTTGTCCCACAGCCACACATCGCGACTGGGTGAGGAGCTTGTCCTCAATGTTACCTGCATGCAACTCCACGAGCTCCCAGTCCGAGCTGGTGACCGGATCCAAGGTGAAGCTGGCGGTTTCGTATGCCTTAAGCTTGAGGTTGATGACGATGGATTCACCATCGCTCAACGACAACGCCTGCGCAAACACAGGGTCGATGTCGAGCTGGTTCACACTCTGGGACGGCAATCCGTCCCAGCCAGCGTAATATCTCTTGGTCTTGGCCACCATTTCAACCACCACGTCCTGGGCGTGAATGTTGGCTCCATGGAGGAGATTGCTGAGGCCCGAGGGGAGCTTGATGAGATTGGTTTTGGTGGGGGCGTACCTGACAGCCGCTTTAATATTCTCCATAGTGACGACGGCTGGATGTGAGTAATGTGGATTGTGCCAGACGTCAGGGTGTTGTAATTTATAGCCGTTGGTGGCAGTTCTCCAGATTTCGCAGTGAGCCGAGGTTGGTGCAGGACCTGTGGGGTAGAGTGCAAAACCGGAGAGTGAGCATAGAGAGGAGGACGATGAGATAGAGGGATTGCGGGTAGCGAAGGGCCAGGAGGTCAAGAGATGGAACTGGGGTGGAGAACGACTATTGGTGGCTTTTCAGCGTGGTCGGAGAGAATCAGGAGGGTTGTGGTGGCTCTGAGTGTAGAATCTACAGGATGGATGCGTTGGCTTTGTATGGTACTATATACAGATATTGATGGGGCGAAATGAAGGGACCGATCAGTGGCTGGTGCAAAGAAGCACCAGGGAGGCGATGAAAACTCGAATATGGAGGGAATTGCAGAAGTTCACAGAAGGTCATAGAAAAGTCATAGAAAAGTCATAGAAAAGTCACAGAAAGATCACAGAAAGGTCACAGAAAGGTCACAAGAAAATTCACAGACAGTTCACAAGTTCAAGAATACCCACAAGGCATTGACTGCGAGATACAGTTCACTGAAGAAGCATTCCCATTCACAAGAAATTAATCAGAAAGAACCATTGCAATGGCTGTAAACTCGAGAGAAATTGTTCATTTCAGAAACTGCTCGGTGCAAACTGAACAGTAAATTGTCCCTGTAACCTGTCACCGCAACTGTCACTGCAACCTGTCACTGCAACCTGTCACTGCAACCTGTCACTGCAAACTGCAGTGCAACTGTCACGCAAACTTCACTGCAAAACTGTCACTGCAAACTGCACTGCAACAACGCACTGCAAGATTGTCAGTTGTGACTATAACTGTAACCAGCTGCAACCTGTCACCCCGCTTACTTGCTGTTAAACTCCTTGAACTTCTTCAACTGCTCGTCGGACTCGCCCTCCTTCTCGTCCCACTTCTTCTCGTTCTTCTCCTGGTTGGCCTTGCGGGCATTCTCCATCATCTGGAACTGGCGTCTTCTCAACGACCGGCACTGCTCCCACCCGACCACGTTACCCAAGAAAAATCCACACACCGCCCAGTTGATGGACCGGTTGGGGTTCTTGTGGATCAAAAACGTCACCGTTCCCAAAACCCCCATAGCCTGGAACCCCGTGATCATGGCCTCCCGGAAACATGGCATGCCCACGAACCGTTCCACGTTGAAATCGGCCCAGCTGATCTGTTTGGCAGCATCGGCTAACGTGGGCTCTGCACGCTTGGCAGGCTCCTTGTCTTCAAACTTGGGGGGCAAGTCTTCGAGGTACTGTGGTTGGTTGACTTCGCTGACTGTCGACACCTTGGAAGGTGATCCTCCTCCGAACCATCCCATTTTGTAGCGGACGGAGTTTGTAAATGGTGGTCAAATTATCCCCAGCGATGGAGTGTATACAGGCGAGTGCACCACGCCAAAATTACCAGTGTGGTCTGGAAATACTCCATAGAGAGGCTCCACTACTCCAAAACGTGACAACAGCGCCAATGGCTACCCCCGACTTGATCCTCGACCCAGCATTGAAGTACTGGGTCCTCCTTCCCATCTCGTTCGTGATGGTGTTGGTAGGCTTGATCCGATCCAATGTGACGTACTTGCTCAGTCCGAAACCGAAGCTCGAGCCGTACCGAGCAGTCAGAGAAAAGTACGTATGGAAAGGCCAGAAACGGCTTGATATCGTTTAGATTGACCTTCTTGCAAGTGACTATGCAGAGTTGACTAGTGATCCTTATGAAGGAGTCTATTAGTATTAGCAGTGGTCTTTGCACAAGATTTTTATGACATAACTAACCCCCAGGCAGTTCTTGAAGCGGGCACAGAGCTTCACGCAAAACTCTGGCGTGTTGAACGCCAGAGAAATCAGAGACAGACAACAGTTTTTGATCGAGAAATTGAATTCCAGCGACTTCTATGCCAAAGAAGGCGAGGAGGAGCTCGATCCCTTGAGCGCATTTGCCGATCCTGCCAACAACGAGGCCATGATGAACATGGCCAAAGGTAACATGATGAACTACATTCCCCAGACAGTCATCATGGGTTGGGTCAACTACTTTTTTGCGGGGTTTGTGATCATGAAATTGCCATTTCCCGTTACCGACGGGTTCAAAGGTATGCTTCAAACCGGAGTAGCCACCCCAGACTTGAACGTAAGGTACGTGTCGTCCATCTCGTGGTACTTCGTCAACTTGTTCGGGTTGAGACCCGTCTACTCGTTGTTGATGGGGGATAAAGAAGCCAACGAGCTTATAAGTCAGCAGAATCAACAGCAAGGTATGCCCAACATCGGTGGCCCTGGTGGTCCCAAGGCCGACAAGTTGTTCAAGGCCGAGGCCGAGAGTATTCAGATTTTGGGCCATGAGTCGATTTTTGACGGAATAGTTGAGCGTGTTTTGAGTGAAAATTAGAGTCAACCGATTTTTGACGAATGATAAAGGTCCACCAGTACGAGACCGATGCTGTGATTGCCCAGGAGTGTCTCTGGGTGAAAGAGGTGTCATGTATGCGATTTAGTGGCTAATTGTGATGGAATATTTAAGGCTTGGTCTTTGGAATACTCTAGACAGTTCCAATTCAAAAGATCGGCTGTTGTATTCCTGAGAATTATAGGATTCGCTGTCATATGACGTCCTTTTAATTAATCTGGTCATTATTGATTCGATTCGGCTTACATCCAAGATCACTCTAAATAGTAACATGATAAATGCTTATTAGCAATAAAGAATGCCAAATGATTATGTATAGTAGAATTAGCTGACATATAAAACTGCTTTAAAGAGGACGTACCTAGAGTATTGTAGTGTGGATGTTAGTTATACATTATTTTCCAACTAAAGCTTTCACGCCCCCACCTCTCACCTAAAATCCAGAGTATTGAAGTAAGGATGTTTTATCTGCCATACAATGCCAATATCGCCACAAACTGTGAAACAACTCGATAAAGTAAGTAGGTATGAAATTATATATCACGTGACATCCTCACTCATCGCCTTATTAATCATCTCTTCTATCCTTCTACACCATTTCTATCTCTCCAAAATGGCTCCCTCCACCGTGATATGTATTGGTATGGCCGGTTCCGGCAAAACCACCTTCATGCAAAGACTTAATGCCCACCTCCACTCCAAAAAGACTCCCCCCTACGTGATCAACTTGGATCCTGCCGTGTTGAAAGTGCCGTTTGGGGCCAACATCGACATCAGAGATTCAGTCAAGTACAAGAAGGTCATGGAAGAGTATAACCTCGGTCCCAACGGTGCCATCGTGACTTCGTTGAACTTGTTCTCCACCAAGATCGACCAGGTGATCAAGTTGGCTGAAAAGAGATCCGATAAGGTCCAGAACATCATCATCGACACTCCTGGCCAGATCGAGTGTTTCATCTGGTCTGCCAGTGGGTCCATCATCACGGAGGCGTTCGCTTCTACCTTTCCTACTGTGATCGCCTACATTGTGGACACCCCCAGAAACTCGTCCCCCACCACTTTCATCTCCAATATGTTGTACGCATGCTCCATCCTCTACAAGACCAAGTTGCCCATGATCATCGTATTCAACAAGACGGATGTCAAGAAGGCCGACTTCGCCAAGGAGTGGATGACAGACTTTGAGGCGTTCCAGCTGGCATTGAAGCAGGACCAGGACTTGAATGGAGAAGACGGAACTTCTTCAGGATACATGAGCTCGTTGGTCAACTCGATGTCGTTGATGTTGGAAGAGTTCTACAGTCAGTTGGACGTGGTGGGTGTCAGCTCCTACACTGGCGAGGGCTTTGATGAGTTCTTGGATGCCATCGACAACAAGGTGGAAGAGTACAACGAGTTCTACAAGGCCGAAAGAGAGAGAATCCTCAAGAAAAAGGAAGATGACGAAAAGAAGAGACAGGCTGCCTCGTTGAGCAACTTGATGAAGGACATGGATATCAAGGACAAAGACAAGAAGCCCCAGGACTCGGAAGTGTTGTCTGACTATGAGTCCGACGAATATCAAGGAGAACTTGCCAGAGACGAAGATGAGCCTGAAAGAGAATACACTTTCCCCGAAGACAGAAACTCGGAAATCAACGAAAGAACCGATCCGGATTTGCAGGCCAGATACCAGGCCGCCTTTGAATCCACGGCCAAGACCGCATCCTCAAAGACTGCTGAAACCATCGCAGCCTACATCAACCGTCTGAACTAGTTTTCCTCCTACAGAATACATTAAGGAGTCGAAGTGATTGGTGATCGCATTGATCATTCCTTACTCATGCAACGAGACGCTTTCACAACTTTGTTCCATTGTGTCTTTGTACATACTAGGAATATCTATTCTCCTATCCACGCTTGTCACCACGGTCCTGTCAAAATTTTAGCTACTTAATCATTTGAAAACCCTGAAAAAACCTCGTCAAGGTTGTAAGGTCTCGCCCACTCAGCCTTGAAAATAATGTGAGGCTTGTGCTTGGCCAAATACAAAATCGTCTTGCCGAATTCAGAATTGCACCAAGCAAACCATGATCTAGTATAGTCGTACCCACCCCTGGAGTTTACTTGTATACTCTCGTGCATCAATCCCAATCCAGCAGTATTTTCCATAATAAATTTCAATGATGTTTGGATTTCGTCATCATCATCTGTAGTTCTCATTCTGACTAATAAAGACATCGGCCATGCGTTTTGAATTCCAATGTGTGGGCCACCTACCCCTTCGAAGTGGAACCCTTGTAAAAAGTATGGGTTTCCTGTTTTGTTAAGTACCATATTTCTGGTATTTTGATATACTGGGTCGTCTCTAGAAACGTAGCCCATGTCAGGAATGGATAATAACGATGGAATGTTTGCGTCATCCATGAAAATGTTACCACCGTATCCATCAACTTCGTATGCGTAGACCTTTCCGAATTTTGGATGTTCCACTATACCATAGTTTTCAAGCCCATAAGAAATATCTTGAATGAGCTCGTCAGTAACCTCAGTCAACAATTTTAATTCAAAGTCTTCTATCGATTTTTGGGTCATGATATTTTCCTTCACTTTTCGTAATTCAGTCAATGCATGAATGTTTGCTGGAATGAAAAACTGGAGAATGGTGGCATCATCACTTGGTCTGAAAGCACTTCTAATGAGCCCTGTGTTGGAATTAACTGGGTTACCCACCCCGTCTAGTGGCAAGGTCTCTGTACCAATATTGGTTTGTCTCTTGAATCTATAATAGTAAGGCATAGCTTGGCCAGTCTCGTCATCAAAAGTAGTTTTGGATTCTCTTTTCATCACTATCAAGACCTTTTCGTACGCTGCCAACCAAGTTGGGGTAACAAAAGAAAGGTCCCCATCTGAATTCTCGAAATATTCATTAGAGATGGTTAAAAAAGAAGCCAACGAATCCAACTCATACTTACACTCAAAAACACGTTTCCAGTTGGGTCTTGGAAACACATCGTCGACTGCCGATTTAGCCTTTCTGACACCAGATCCTGGAGGAGGGTGGAATGCATTGCAGTATGCAGCAGTGGTGATATAGTAGGCCTGTGTCTCAATGGCTCCACGAATAAGCTTTTTCAACTTCTCGTCGTATTTGATCAACGGCTGGTAGACCGACAATTGCCTGGCTGCATCACGCAACCACTCAGCATGAATGTCACCTGTGACAACGAACGTTTGTGGAATATCGCCGTCGTCGTGCCACAAAATGGTGGTATCCAAGGTATTGGGCAAGCAGTTCTCGATGAGTCTGGCAAGGTCGACGTCGAGAACCCTTTTTTTCAAGTCCTGGATCAAGTGTTCCACGGCCCTCGAGGTAAACGTTCTGCACAGTCTATCTGGTCTCATAAACGGGTAGTTTAACAAACCGTCCGAGAATGGAGGGTGGGCCAGCTTGGAGTACTCCACGTAGTCTGGACACTGGGCTTTATCGTCTCTGGCAGAACCAGCGAGATTTTTAGAAGGATCTCTTTTTGAGTTGGTTTCCGCCACGCGAGCAGGCCTGTTGGGCACCCTCAATGGCTTCTGGGGCTGGTTTTGGTCCACGATCTCTGGTTTCTTGTGGAGATGATGGGCACTGGAAGATGCACCCACTTCAGGCTTAGGAATCGAGTCCCTTCTGTAACGTGCAAACAACACATACACAGCCAACAATAAAGCTAGCAGCAATGCAAGCCGTCTGGCTCTCTTGCCTTGAATCATGGTGGTGGTTGGAGAAGAAAGTGTCGCGTAGCCCCGCATAATGTCCCACCAGCGATGCACTGTGGTTTTGTTCAGGTGGACGACTTTGGTCTGAAAAATATACGCCAAGACAGGGGTTGACAAGGCAAAACAATAGCAGCTAGGAGCGGCCACGTTATAGACACTGGGAAGATCGCTTCCGTGCTACTGTCACGATCGTAGGGGCATTACCAGTGCACTGGCGATCTTTGGATGTAGTGCCGTGCGGGTGGTGCATGGTAGACACTCCAACTGAGTGGTTGAGGAAGTGTACATGTGCAGGACACCGAATGGTGGTTGAGAACGATAATGTGCTGATCTCTTAGTGCTGGATGGGACTCACACTAGCCAGCTTGAACAAGTGGATGGCGCTGCCTGCTTCCTCTGCGTGCAAGAGGCCACACGCCCCCAAGCGAGTCATGAATTTGTGCACTGGCGCTTTGCTGGCACTGGCGTACGCTAGGAGTTGTTTGTAGTTGAGGGGCTGGTGTGGACTGGACTGTGCTAATGCTGTGAAGAACTGATGGATGGCAGGATGTTGGAGCGAGATCCGAGCTGCCACCACCTCGAACTCGGACGAGTCCAACATGTCGAGGAGCTCCTGGTGGTTGCGTTCCACCACTGGGCCCTCGATGGTGAGGATGTGATGCGAGGTGTATTCCATATCAAACGGGAGCAGCTGGCCCATTTCTTCGGCTTGTTCGTACTTTCCCAACGTCCGTATGAGCTCATGAACGGGATGGTGCTGCAAATATTCGACGACGGTGGCCTTCTCCACCGTGTTTCCGTCGTGGTCCACGAAGCGAGGTTCGCTGGCAAAAATGGTGTCCTTAAGACGTGTGCTGTTGCTGACGTGCTCCTGGAGCGCTAATGCAAAGAGGTCGATGGTGTTGAGGTTCGTAAAGTGGTAGCTCCGAGTGGCAGCCACGCCTTCGTCGTCCTGAGCTACAGTGTTGCCCAAGCGAGTGACCCTCTGGGCCATCTCAACTGTGCCCACATCTAGCTGTGCCAATGACGAGCTAGAGAAGAGACGGTGCTTCTTGCGGAGCACCAACACGATGGGGGTGTTTTGTAGTAACTTGCGGTACCATTGCACTGAGTTTTGCAACGAAGCCACTGGCGGAACCGCCTGGAACGGACTGTAGTAGGATGCTAGGGCGCTGATGATCCTGGCAGTGTAGTCGGAGTTCTGTTTGGCGGTACGGTGAGAATGTGAGTGGAGGGACTCCTTGAAGACTGGACTGGTAGCCGCCAGCTGGTTGGGGAAAAGCGATGCAACAAGCTCTTCTGTGGAGACATCCTCCCCAGGCAGCACCTGCAAGGGTGCTTTGAAAATGGGCCGTATAGTTTTGCTGACCAATGGCGGGAAGTCGTGGCTGTTGTAGGCATTGGCCCTGAGTTTGTAGTTCTGGAACCGCTCGTGTTCTCCCGAGGTTCGTTGCATGTACTCCTGGATTGGCTTGCTGGGATAGAGACTGTACCTTGCCACGGCCTTGGAGTAAAGGCTGACTACCGCAGAGACGTGTGGTGGTAGTCGTGAGAGCGTTCTCTGGGACATTTCGTGCTGGAGTTCTTGCTCTTGTGGAGACCTGATCTAGATATTCTCTTCGGATGAGGTGCTGGTCACGTGCTGCGATGACTTCCGGTCGCCTGGGTCAGCAGAAGAGGTCGACTCAACTAAGCAAAAAAACTAGCAAAACCGAATATAACATGGTACGGGAGTGTTTAAGAAAGCCTTTTAGGAACTATCGAGCAGTTTTCGCTAAAGAACTATAGTTATTGCCCCCTTTGGGCCCCTTGCAAAACCACCATTTTGTCACCTGTGCCAGATCACGTGTACTGCTCCGATACTCATCAAGCTGACATCATCCCAGTGCCAGACATCGCCACCACCATGCTTAGATTACCACTTAATATTGCACGCAGATCCTCATATGGTCTTCGTGCTCGTGCCACATCGCAGCTCGCTCGCTCGGCTCGTGCCAGCCTTGCGCTTCGTGCTCCAACTCCCTCGGTTTCTATCCGTTACCAAAGCTCCAGCACAGACAACACAGCTAGCTTCAAAGTTGATAATCCACAAATGATGATCGCCTTCACTTGTAAGAAGTGTGACACCAGGTCATCTCACACATTCTCCAAGCAATCGTATCACAAAGGAACTGTTTTGATCCAGTGTCCAGGGTGCAAGAATCGCCACTTGATTGCAGACAACCTCAAAGTATTCAAAGACAATAGGTTCTCGTTGGAGGAAGTGTTGAAAGCATCCGGAGAGAGTGTCACCACTACACCAGGAGACTTGGCATTCGAAGATATTCCCGAAAAATTGAGGTCCACCATTGGCCATTACGCCAAAGATGCGCCTGAAGAATACCGTAGACCAGAACTCGAGGACCAGGGATTGCCAGAAGGAAAAACGAAGGAGTGAGGTCAACATGTTCATTTACTATGGTCTAGCACACAATACAAAAATCAGCAAACGCAATGAAACTCCAGCTCCATACTGGAAACAATGCTAGTCCATACCAATTGGATTCGTCTACACTCATGAGTATCGTTCTCTACTGGACTACTCGCGGTTCTTTTGCCTCACCATCCAACAGGCTGCAAAATAATCGTTCAAATTGACCTCCCAAGTGGTGGACGCCTCCAAAGAAATCACTGATTACATAATTGTTACTGTTGGATTTCGAAGCTTTTCTATGGGGCCATCTTGCTTCATCTCTGTAAATACTTCCATAAATGATAGTTCCATAACCATGGAGAGTAAGGATTTGTGAGCAGTGCGCGACCTAACCTGAAAAGTTGATTTTCTCTATACTAACTGACTTTCCACCGTATGATGTTGACCAGAACGCTTCTTCGTACAAACCGTCGAGTTATCTGCTCCGCCTTTGGTCGTAGGCTCAACCACAATGATGCTCTTTCCAAATACAGAGAAAAGCTTGCCCAGAAGGCCAAAGAACTCGGATTGAATGATGTCAACGAATTGAAGACTAAGTTAAAGGACGAAATAGAAGAAAAGAAGAAGGAATTCAGCAAAATTGATCCCCTTCAAGAGTTAGAGGAGTATGAGAGAAGACAAGCTGAAGAAAGACAAAGAGATCAGGACTCGAAGACGATAAACGTAAGAAATCCCATTGCCAAGGATGCACCACAGGCTCCATACAAGACCATGAACTCGTACGTGGATGTGGAGAAGGCCAAGGACCTCCCAAGAAAGGAGCTTGAATTCTTATGGAGAGCCAGGTTCCAAAACAAAGAGCGTAGTCTTCATGCTGTGGTGGACAGTGTCCAATTTTCCACCATGTACGCCAATGCGTTCAAGAATCCAAGCTTCATCCTTCCGTTGCCTAAGAATGAGGAAGGCTACGAAATGCACTTTGTCCAATGGTCTTTCGTGGGCCCAAAAACTACCCACTGTATGTTGACTACAGTTGCTGAGTACAAGCTCCATAAGGAATATGCGAAGCCACATACTTCTTTGATGTTCCACCAAGAATTTGCCGAGGACAAAGAGGTGGTTTTGATGAACGGAACCGTCGAAACCGAAAGTTCGTTAACTATGGACGAAGCCCAATTGTTGGTGTTGAACGTGCAAAGATTCTATGGAGGGATTGGCAAGAGTGACAGAAAGTTGGAATTGTTGAGAGCTTTCACCACCGGCGATCAAGAGTTCAACATGGAAGACTTGATTAAGGAAGCCACCACCTTTGAGTAGACAGGATCAGTGAAATTGTACCGGGAAGAAGAGTTCGATTTAAGGAGCTACTGGAGCTGATCGGGGACTGTGTCAACTACTAGTTTCGTTGGAATTTCCAGTGCTTCTACTTTCATAACTTTGTACATAACGTAATCGTAACTTTTCAAACCGAAAATCCAGCTTAGTTGTGGTAAATATTATAAAATATGGGTAATTACTTTCTTTACCGGTTGTAACCAGCTTTCGTACTATCAAAAAAATGTTCGTGAGCCCCTAGCTCGTTGAATATTTACCTCAGATTATGCTTGCATAATCTATTCCATGTAGGCGTCGCTATCAGAACCACTAAATATCTCCACCTCTTGGATTTGCAGCTTTGCTTTGGCTTTCGATTTCCTTGATGGCCTAGAACTTGCTGGCCTGTTCAAAGTCTCTGAATCGGATTCGGAGTTGCTCACATAGACTGCACTCTTTTCAACCTTCGTGGATTTTTTTGGAGCCTTGTTCTTGGCTTTGGTAGTTTTGGTTTTGGTTTTTGGTACCTCTGGCTGTTCTGGTTCAGGAGATTGTTCTGGTTCGTAGGACACGGCCCTTTTCGAGTTCTCCTTTTTTACCTGCGCTAAAACGTGTTTAAATGCATTTTTTGTTTGAGTTTCATCTGCACCGTGAAACTCCTCATCATCAACATCAATCTGAAGCAATAGTTCCTTCTCCTTCCTTATTTCTTTCTTTATGAATTGTTCTAGAATATGCTTGTCGTCATTTTCAATATACTTTTGAACTGCATCATTGATGCCCACTTCTGGTAAAAGAGACAATTCAGCCTGTTTGAGAAACTCGCTCATCAAATCATTAAGTTGAATCTCAGTACTCTTCTTTTTGTTGATACCTTGCTTGAATAGGTCATTATCAACGAACTTTGTTTTCCTGATTAAATTGTCAGTTTCCTTTGCTCTTTTCTTGTGAAACTGAATTACATCATTGACGTTCGCTATTTTTCCCACGAACCTATTCGAAAACCGTTGGGCATTCTCGATCTCGAACCCTCCACTATAATCTACTCTTAAGCGGATCAATGGCAAAGGTATCTTATCCTGGTTAAACAGGGGATCCAGATCAGAGAAAAAGTCCTTGTTGGATAGCCTAAATTTTTGGTTCGCTTCAGCAATCGAACGTTCCGCTTCCTCGGACAAGAATTCAATCACATCATTTTTGGATGCGGCTCCAGGAAGAAGACTTGTTGCCAGCAATTGAATTTCCTTCATAACAAACGGCCTGACGGTCCTTAATTTGACTGGCTCGATGGAGTACTCTTTGCCCTTTATATTCAATATGAAGACAAACTTCTCCGATAATTCGCCTTCTGCCAATGAAGTGGCCACGGAAGAGCCCGCTTGTAGCACATCAAACCCACACTCTGGATTATGGCTAGGAACGGGAATACATTCATGTTCATGGCCCCATAGCACGAAATCCAAAAATTTGGGGAGAAAGTTCTCCGGGATGCTGGATGTGTAGGTGTGCTGGGCGTGGTTCTGGTGGATGCAAAATAAATTGAACCACTGTTGGGTGTGAATGTTGGGTCTTTGGAACTTGACAAGGCCGTCGCGGAAAGCACGATGGAGTCTTTCATCACGGACGTTGGCAAGACCGTATAGGGCCAATTTTGTGAGCCCTTTTTGGAACAACAACGGAGAAACTGTGATGTCCTCGTTATCTTCCACCTTGCCGAAATGGTTGATCAACCCAGATATTGACAAAATGTCGAGGGGCAGGAGGAAGCCGTCGCCCGTGGCATCGTCGTGATTTCCGCTGATTGCAAAGACGGGTACTGATATGTTCAAGTTGGGATCCTCGTAGTTGACAGTATTGAAGCCGTTGTACAACCCCAAGCTGGGGTCACTGAGCATTTCAAGCTCACAGGCCCTATCTCCCATACAGTTCAAGCGGAGAGACTTCATGACGTGGAAGAACGACTTCTTGGACGGCTTGTTGATGTGAAAAAGGTCACCTCCCTGGACGAGCATGTCCACATCGCGTTCCTTGGCTATCTTGGTGATTTCGTGAAAGGTTTTCCAGGCATCGTCGCCTCGGATAGGGTCGTTCTCGTTGTAGCCCACATGGTTATCTGTGGTCAAGAGGATGCTGATGGTATCGGGGCCAGGAGCGATATTTGGTGAGGCTGGCATGACTGAACTGATGGAACAATTGGAGTTCAGATGGAAAGCAAGTATGGTTCAGACGGGAATTATAGCAATCCTAGAATGTTGAATTAAGTGTAATCTGAAAAGTCGACTGCAATCCTGGAGTGTAGGACCCTCACGTTGATTGAGATCCTGGAAAGTCGATTATAACTGAAGTCAATAATTCTGGAAATTGAAGAAATCCTGGAAAGTAATTGAATCCAGCAATTGTGGTGAGTTGTCGCTGTTGATGGTTCTTCAAGTTGAAGACGAATCACAAATTCCTTGGTTTGGATGGTGGCTCGTAAGCTCTGGACGTCCAGTAAATGATGCTGTGATAGCAATCTCTTCCTCAATTATCTATCTGGGCTAGTTCTGCCTGCCAAAGTCTCCAATCCCTGCTAGTGCTGTCTCTCTGGTGGTGCGCTTGTGCTTCCCTGCCAATTGTCTGGTAGCAGTCCGATTCTCAGATTATCTCCATCGCCCTGCATGCGACTGACTATCATCACTTCTCAGTCTAAACTCACTTACCACCACAATGGAAGACGTCTCCATATCGCTGGCGTGTGAGATCCGCCAGCTAGATGAAGTCAACAGCATCGCCTCCATCTATGGCGATATCTTTACCAATATCACGCCGTCTGGGTTGGTGTGGAACAAGAAACCATGCCCCCATTTCCAGATCTCGCTAGAGTCTTGCAACAACAAGGACCGTCCTACGTTGTCATTGACGCTCGATATCGAGTTCACCCAGACGTACCCCCTCACGCCTCCCATAGTCAAGCTCTTGCACCCGAAGAACTTGTTGAAGGTCCGCATCGGAGCCCTCGAGTCCCGGATCAAGGAATTGATCAAAGAATACCCTGAGGAAGAGGTGTCGTTCACCATCATCTCCGAGGTCAAGTACTTGCTCGACGAGTTCCAGCAGGTCACCGAGAAGGTGCTCTCACTCGAGGAAGAGCGGGAAGAGCGCTTGAAGAAGCAACGAGCTGAGCTTGAGAAGAACGAGGCCAAAAAGCAATTGGAGCTCGAGGTGGCCCAGAAGAAACAGAATGAGGACCTCAATCGCCAGATCCTCAAGATCCAGGGCGAGTACGACAATGAAGCCTCCTCCAACCACGACAATAGTGTGTCATTGATCGTGGATGATGAGCTCATACCCACGGACCCCACCCATTACTTCGTGTTCGAAAACTCGATTGTGGGAGACTTGCCGGGCTCACGGGTGGCCTTCAAGTTCAAGGCGGTGCTGGGATTCATCAAGTACAACAAGAACGACCTCCTCTCGTCAATTGGAACTCAAAACATCGTCAAACCATACCTACCAAAAGAAGTACAATCCAAAATTGATAAACAAGGGATAGAATTGTCCTATCTTCTCACTGAAATCGACTTCGACAATGCATACTACAATACCGATCAAGGCAAACGAGAAATTCAGGATCTAGAGACAGAGTTGCAATTAATTCTCAACGTCAATCACGACAACATTTCAAAGCTATACGGGTTCCAAATAGACAAAAAACCCACCAACGGATGGAAGGTGCGATTGTTGACTGAGTTTAGTTCTGCGAGCGACTCACTTCAGGATATCTTGCCCACTGCTGAATTTATTAATTGGGCCCTTGCCAGAACTTGGGTTATCCAACTACTTCCAGCTCTAGAGTATTTGCATAATGCTGGCTTCGTGCACAAGACTTTGTGTCCGTTGACAGTTTTCGTTCACGAAATGGAAATAGATGCATACGAGTCTGCCAGCGATGATGACAACGAGATTTTGGACCACTTGATGTCTACCAAAATCCACAAAATCAGTCATCCAAGCTATGGATTCAGATTATTAAACATGATTCATACCCATCCTAATCCAAAATCCACTGAGACTCTCCGTCCCCGCAAGGGATCTAATAACGAAGGTCTGATCAAAGGATCGTATACATTTATCCCCAAAGATTGGATAGCACCTGAGTTAGCGACTGGCTCACACCATCAGAAAACGGATATATGGGATCTCGGAGTACTACTCATGAGGGTTATGTTGAACTATAATGTTCTCCTAACGACATTCAAAACTCCTCAGTCCTTTCATGCTGACTTCAAGGTGGAAGACTTTTCTGGAGTGGAACTGTACGCCGCTTTAGTGTATGATTTTTTGTCCAAATTACTCCAACAGAAAATTGCCAAGAGACCAAGTCCATTGGAGTTGAATGCTGTGAAGTTCTTGAGAGACGGTCCCATAATCATGAATAACCAAAACCTGAGTGTTTTTGCCAAGTACACTCATCCAGTCGTCATTGCTTCCGAAGTAGAATCAAAGCCAATTGATACCAAAGGAGTGAAAATTAATAGAACTGTTGGTAGGAATGAAGTAAACACCCTTGTGGATAATTTTCGAAGACAAACTTTGGCATCGGTTCAAAGTACAGGCAAGAGAAGATACTCAAACAACCAGCGACCATACTTCGGAGATACTCAACAAACTGGAAGTCTGAGGAATGCTGCAAGGTTTCAGAGAGATTTTGAGGAAGTTGGCAAATTGGGTAAAGGAGGCTTTGGAGAAGTTGTAAAAGCAAGAAATAGAATTGAAGGAACTTTTTATGCTATCAAAAAAATCAAGCACAGAGCAGATAAGTTGGACTCTTTGCTAAGCGAAGTTCTCTCGCTTGCAAGACTTAATCATCAATTTATTGTTAGATATTATGGAACTTGGGTGGAAGAACTAGAAGACTCTAGTGCTGCAATTGAGTCTGATGATCTGGAAAGTGAAAGTGAAAGTGAATTTGATCCAATAAATGCTAGATCATCCTCATTCCTACGCAGTCATGATAGCTCGTTTCAAGTCGATTATATCACCAATTCCTTTGACCCTCAAATCGATTTTGGTTCATTATCTGATGACAACCTATCCAGCGATGGCTTCGAATTTGCTAACTCAGATGATCTGGGGACTATCGAAGATGATTCTGAGGAAGAAACTAGCAATAGTACGAGTAAAGAAGATGGAAGTAAAGGGGCTTTGAAGGACAAAGCTCTCAAGTTGAAGGAGCACAATCCAAAATCTATTCTTTATATTCAAATGGAATTCTGTGAAAATAACACCCTTCTTAATCTCATTGAGCAGGGATTGCCTGGCAATTCGAACGAATACTGGAGATTGTTTCGCCAAATTCTAGAGGCAGTATCCTATATTCATGGCGAAGGCTTTATTCATCGAGACTTGAAACCTATGAACATTTTCATAGATAAGTCAAATAATGTGAAGGTAGGTGATTTTGGACTTGCCAAAAACTCCCAATTTGCCTCGGTTGTCCTGACCAACAATCAAGTAAATTCGACAAACAAGGACTACTCTACAATTGTTGGTACTCTTTTCTATACTGCAAAGGAAGTAGCAACTGGTGATTATGATGAAAAGGTCGATATGTACTCTCTTGGAATTATTCTTTTTGAAATGTGTTACTCATTAAGTACAGGAATGGAAAGGGCTATGATCTTAAATAATCTCAGGTTACAATCTGTTGACTTCCCGTCAAATTTTACAGAATCCAAGTATCACACTGAGAAAAAAATTGTCCGTTTGTTGCTTGATCATGACCCCAAAACTAGGCCTGGGGCTTCTCAGCTTCTTCAAAGTGGTTGGCTACCCGTTGAGCATCAGGACCAAGTGATAAAAGAAGCCTTAAAATCGTTGGCAGACCCTGCCTCACCGTGGCAACAGCAAGTGCGTCAAACACTTTTCAATCAGCCTTATCTGTTAGCTAAGGATCTCATGTTTGATAACTATAGTAAGAATTCCCACATACACCATTTGGAACATTCAACCAGTGACTACTTGATTTTCAGTAAAATGATTCAAGAACTATTCACAATATTCCATAATCATGGAGCCATCGAAGACTACGCTTCTAATATCTTGGCCCCTAAGACGCCAGCCCAATCCTCAGAACTGGTCTATGAATTGCTTGATAAATCCGGGTCTGTATTAAGCTTGCCATATGACTTGATCTTACCAACGGCTAGATTTTTGAGTAGAAATAACGTCACTATTCCCAAGCTCTATCGTCACGAGTTTGTTTACAGGCCAAACTTGAGAGGCTCTGGAATTCCAGATAAATACAGTACAGTCAGCCTCGATATTGTTACATCGGACCCATCCACTAAAGCTTCCAACGATGCTGAGTGCTTGAAGATCATTGATGAAATCCTTCATTCTTTTCCTTGTTTCAAAACGAAAAATTCACAAGCTCTAATTATTATCAACCACTATGATATCCTCGATGCGATAATTTCATATTCGTTTGGAAATATAGGGATCGATGAAAAGAAGAGACATGAAGTGATAGGAATCTTGTCACAACTTGGAATCGACAAATCGACTGATGAGGTGAAGCGGATCTTAAGGGAAGATATTCAAATCCCACATACTGTGACGAAGGACTTGATTGATGGTTACAACTTCACCTCGGAGCCGGAAAAGGTAAGGCAAAAGATTCAAAAATTAATGATCGACTCTCCACATCTTATAAAGGTGGAAAAATCTTTTGCGCAGATTATGGAGATTCTTTTAATCCTTAAGAAACTAGGTGTCAGATCACCTATCTATATGAACCCATTGAGCAATTACAATTCCAAATATTATGGCCATGGAATTATGTTTCAAGCAGTGTTCAAGGTTGACAAAAATAGACGGTTCTCAAGGATTGCCACTGGTGGAAGGTATGATAATTTGATTTCTGCATTCACTAATAAAGATATAGCAAAGCTTAATACTCCTTACTCGGTTGGATTTTCCTTATCTTCAACATTCATCTTCTTATTGATGAAGAATTTACTTTCCAGAAAAGTCAAGGGTGACATCAAAGTCACGGATTTGCAGAAGTGGAGAGGCAACCGTTGCGATGTTTTGATTAGTAGTCTTAATGAAAGTTTCTTCAGTCAGTTTGGCTATGAAATTCTTCGTCATTTATGGTCAAATGGTATTAGCTGTGATCTATTCAAATCAAACTCGCAGGATGATATGTTTCAGAAAGCCCATATTGATGGAGCCAATTGGGTGGTAATTATCAAGCAGTCAATTTCGCTCGTGGGCAGCAAGAAGAAAAAGGTCAAACTGAATAGAAACTTCAAGCCCATAAAAGTCAGAAACATTTGCACTGGAAAAGATATTGATCTTGAGTACGAAGAGTTGGTGAAGCATCTTAAAGAAGAAATTGAAGAAAGAAATGGTGAACAAAGCGAAGCACCAAATGGACAAGATGACAGTACCAATCTGAACACAAATGATGACTTACATAATGAAGGTAAAAGCTCATCTAACCTCCAAGACTTGAATCCACTATACTCCATTGACATTAATCAGAAAGTAATTGTCGTTCCAAATGATGCCCCTCGTGGTAGAAAAAATAATAAAAAGGAGAAGTGGGAACTTGAGAATGATTCTAAGGTTGCATCTGCAGAATTGATGAGGAATCTTTCCAGTTGTACTGTTCTCACGGTGGACGCTAGAGATGAAGTTTTAGACATGATTGCTATAACCTCTATCAGTCAGCCAGACGAATGGTTAAGAAAAGTCATTTTCAGTGCAAACAACATACCTAAGAGTTATGCAATGAATATTTATAACACTCTTACAAAAGAAGCTTCCAAGGGTCAGAAATGGGTAGTTTTGCACTCTCCTAAAACTCAGAAGACCACTATGGTGGATCTTCAGCGATAGACAAAATTAGGGTGGCTCTAATTTTTCGCAACCAATATCAACAGAGCAAACAGAGCAAACAATGCTCTAAGAAGTAGAAAATGTCAATTGACATTGATGATTAACGACTCAAAAAAAATATCTAAAACACTCAATTAATATTTATGACATCTAGTTTAATGAATAAACTGTTACTTAAAAATTAAGTAGGCATTCATCTATAGTCTCTTCTCGACATCAGTATTCTCTCATTTTCGCGAGGAGATTAAATACCTTTTCTATATACCACCCTACTAAAATACTGCAAATGTTGTGCACTTCTCTAAGCTTTCGGTTCATTGATGTCTATAAATAAAGGATATTAAATGCGTTCGAAGAATTGAATCATAAATCAGGCATAAAGATTGATCTAAACAGTCTTGTTTAAATATTGAGCCTTCCAATCCCAGTATTCCTGTAATCTTGACTTACCGTAATTAGAGTAATCGAAGTCAATGTTAGAGATTTCATGCTGAATCATTGCCCATATGCCCCAGTAGAACCCAGGTAACCCATAAAATGTAGAAATTTCTTGAATCAACTCATTAACCTCTTCGGAAGTTGCATTCTCATTGTTCAAATAACCCTTCACCCATTTGGTCAAAGTTGGATTATTTGGCTCCGGTGTTGGGATTCTAGATCTATCACATTGGAACCCTTGCCACTCTGCCAAATGATTGGCTATATCAAACGCTCTAGGAGCAGGAAGCATGTACTCGTAATCAATGAATTTGATTGGATTCTCGGCAAGACTAGGTAAACTCTTTAGAGGGGATTCAAGATCAAATTCATCTGGTACAATTACATTTCCTGATAATAAATCACAATGGGCTACCACGGTTGGAGAATTTGATTTCTCTAACACATTTTTGAGCCATTCAAACTCTGAACCAATAATTTCTTTGAGATTTGTCTCGTTGACTTCAACATCCAAATGATTATTGAATGATGCAATCAAATTGGAGTTTACAGGAACAATGTTGATCCAATCTTCGATCAATTCCCACAAGTTAGAGATGGACCTCTTCTTGGGTTTCTTTGCCGGTTTAGCACCATTCTCGACATTTGAATTAGGTGCAGTTCCATTAAGCTTTCCTTTCGCCTTCAACTTCTTGGAGAACCCACGCAATTTTTCCAACCCTTCTTCAATCACTTTGATTGGCACTCTACTGTGCCAATTTCCCAATTGCTGGGCAATCAAAGGAAATAAATTTTCATGATTCAATTCTTCGGAATCTAAGGATCTACCGGGTAAGAAACCATAAACCAAACCATTCTTGAACCGTGAATGGATGGCTGGTGCTAAATTGAGAGAGTTTAAGATCAAGTGCAGGATGAATTCCCGGTGTCTATCAATAATGAGGTTGGTTCCGTGGCCATACACTCTGATCAAAACTCTATCGTCCATGTATTTGCAGGACAAAAGCATGTTGGTGATTCCTCCGGTGAGCTTCTTGAAGGTGATTTGTTCGGGCTCGGTCCATGAAGGAAACACCTTGGAGAGAAGTCCCCTTAATTGCACGAAGTCGTTGTCCAAGTTTTCGTGGAGGTTGACCACGAGCTTGGGCAAGTAGACGGCATGGGTCGAGTAGTTATTTATGATAGATGTCAACCGATTGTTATCGACTGATACGGATGACAGTGTTAGGGAGTCATCTGCGACGGCTCCCAGCGCACTGGTGGATGTCAAGCTGCTATTCTGCAAGGACGGGCTAGATTCTACCTCCACATCGGATAATGACGGATTGTTCAAGCTGTACAACAAGTTCTTGTTCTTCAAGTAGAGCTTATCAGGGGTGAAGTCGGCGTAGTCATCGGCGCTTTCGTTCAACAAGTTGTCGGAAAACGTGTTGAAGGAATTGACTGGCACACAATGGACGCTGTTGTTGGATATAAAGCAGTACGCTGAGGATGAGTGGTTTCCCACAGTTTCAAAGGACATGGCAGATATACTTCGGTGTGAGTAGGGTAGGTTCCTGGAATGCAAATGACGGCTGCGGGCGATGCTGGTGGTTTGGTGACAGCAGTGGATGGTGTCTGCTTCAATGCAGCTGGGATGGAGGCTTGTGGTCTGGTTTCGAGTACGGTTAGTGTCGTGAACAGCCGCAGTCTATTGTTCTTTGTGGTGGTTCTGGAGCAATAACGTGTCAGTTGGGACAAGCGTGGCAGATCGCAGCGACGGAGGTCGGGTGGGGTGAGGTGCTTGACTGACGTGGGACGAACGATGCAACGAGTCTCGATGGGATACCAGGCGGTGGAATTTGGATCGTGTGAACACTCACCCATGCATCGGTTGTCAAGCCCGGTCGTGCGCCGGTCGCTCGTAACCCTTCGCCTATTTCACATGAACCGCGCACTGTGGAGGTAAGAACCGCTATGGGGTGACGTGGAGGCACAGGCCACTGCTGATCAGGCGATCTATTGCTGGAAGCCTGCTTGGCTAGGTCCTGCTCCTCGACGAACGGGGCAAAAAAAGACAGCTCGCACTCAGGTTCGAACTAAGGACCAACAGATTTGCAATCTGCTGCGCTACCACTGCGCCATACGAGCTGCTGTTGTGTATGGAGTGGAGTCCGAAGGGACATAACGAGTTTTGGATTAGTAATTTCTTACTAATACACCCAACGACTATATCGTAATTACCGGCTAGCTCTGGCCAGTTAATTGGCTAATAACGAGACATATGGAGAGTACATTAGAATAAAACCAACACTAGTAAGATAATAATGATTTTTTCATTGTTGGAATGAATTTTAACAGCGTTATTCCGCCAAACATTAGCCACCATTAATGAAATGTTCTGTAAATCTAGTCATATTCGGCACGTTTGTGATATTTGTATTTTATTCTTCATACCTTGTCAGCACAACGAAATAATCGAAACTTCACATTATGATTTGAAGATCAAATGGCTGAATGTACAATCTCTTGGTTGACTCAACGATGAAAAACGCAGAGAAATGTGATGAGAAATATGAATTGCAACCTTTGTGAATCATCGACTCTTTAAAGACACCCCACCCCTTGAAATATTCCTGAATGCATGCCAATCGATTGTCAGACCTACTTTAGCTAGTGGCTTTCAATTGGCTCTTATTCGGTTTCTGGAAGTACTAGTGCTACCTCCGCTCTCTCAGCTATAAATCAATTTATTGAAGACTATCTAAGCTATTTCAATTGCTAAAATAATGGCGAATGTGACCGGGTCATTCTTGATCTTCTCTTTCAGCAACTAGTACTAAAGCCAGCTTGGGTGTCTCTACTTCGGTTTAAGCCACCTGCAAGTTATTTGCGATCGCTAGTCCCTCTCTTTAGCAAGGACGTTCATTGTATGTTCATACTTTCCTCCAACCCTCACACTAACTGCAAAATAAGTTACCACTAGCCCTTTCACCATAAGCTTATTACTATTACAGCTAGCCATAGTATACAAACGTGCTGAGGTGCATACAAACGTGCCGAGGCGAAGTGAATTTGAAAGATTGATAAGCCGATCTATTTTTAAACATAGATCTTCTTCAATTTGATCCCCATTTGACACATTCCTTTGACACAATTACGTCGAACCGACTTGCTTCAATAACCACTTGGAAGCAAATCATTCAGTCTATCACTCCAATGTGGTCGGTACTGGAACAATAGTAGAGACAAATGAACTGATCCGCATCCCTTATAGACTGCCTACAAGCTTCGATCAGCATCACCCAGATAGCCATTGCAAAGCACCAAGAGCGAGACCCTATGCCAAAAGCCTCCTTGCCAACATTTCAACTCTTCACAATTATTTTGGGCTCATTCGGCTGTACCAGCTAGGCTGTCTCATTGGACTCAGCCCGGCTGCTCATCCATCAGTTCCGCACAACCTTACCGATGGTAGAAAACATGCATGTATCATAGCCTAAGCCTGATACTCGGCGAATACGATAATCTCCGGTAGGTCAAAAGCCAGTTAGAAACTGGTACCTCCCCCCTCGGAAACTCCGGAGTATTCATGGCCCTGATCTTTCCTCGGTCGTCGCACTCACATGCCAAGCTGATAGTGGGGTATTATCAAATAAAAGTAGTGTTGACCGACCCAATATTCCATCTCCTAATCTATCCATCATCATGGTATTCACTCCTAGTCCCCAGTTGATCGAGCAGCTTCAAGAAATCGTCGGGGAACTGACCACACCAGACGAAGGTGAAAAGTATGGTGCAATTCCCGCAGCCATCGTTGGTCTCACCAACAGCGACAAGACTGTCTTTTTGAATGGTGGAGGTGTCAGGAGCATAAAAGACGAAGAGTCTGTACAGCTCGAAGACCAAATGTCATTATACTCGTGTACAAAGTCAATGACTGCTCTTGCTGCTTTGAAGTTGTACGAGGACGGCAAACTCAAACTTGATGAACCAGCAAGCACCTACTTGCCGTTGGTGGAACATATTGGCCTCATTGACCCAGGCACAGTCAATAAGCAAGGCGAATTCACCCAGCAGCCCAGAAAACCCAAGTCTCCTGTCAAGGTCCGTGACTTGTTCTTGCACACCTCGGGGTTGTCGTACAATTTCTTATCAAAAGACTACTACTATTTGTCCAAGAAGGACAAGGGGGAAACCATGTTGAACCCCAGCGAAAAGTACTTTACCAACGACAAGATCCCTCTTATTTACGAGCCAGGATCCAAGTGGCTGTATGGACACAGCACTGATGTGTTGGGGTTGGTAGTGTCGTATGTCGCTGGCAAGCCATTGGGAGAGTACTTGAAGGAGGTCTTGTTTGACCCAATTGGGATGACTTCAACCACCTTCCACTTGAAGTCCACTGATAACGTTCTCAAACCTCATTTCCGCCGCAAGGACCTGTCGATTATCGCTAGTTCCGCGAGCTTGAACCTTGACCCCAAGCTTGATATGGGTGGTCAGGGAGCCATTGGAACTGTTTCCGACTACTTGAGATTCCTCAGAGTATGGTTGAACTATGGTTATTCTCCCGACACAAACACCAGGGTGTTGAAAGAGGAAACCGTGAAATTTGCTGTCAAGAACCACCTTCCTCCTGGAGTCAAGGTAGCGTTTGATATTCCCAAGGCTCCAAAAATTGACGATGGCTTTTCTTTAACGGGGAATGCTGTCAATGAAAGGCCCATGTTCACTGGTAGACCTGCTGGAAGTCTCTACTGGGGAGGGTTGGCCAATTTGTACTACTGGATCGATTTAGAAAATGGCATTGCGGGATTTTGGGCCTCTCAGATTCTTCCACCTGCTGACCCAATCACTGCAAGCACATACTTCAGATGGGAGGCTAGTGTCTACAGCGAAATCAAGAGTTTGAAGAAGAAGGGTAAGTTGTGAAGCAAGTAGACACCATGTGCCATTTTGCACAATCTACTCCCACATAATCACGACCAATTAGACGATCACCTATTTGAAATGATAGAATTCGTATCACCCTGTGTTATACATTATAATGAATTTAATGGTTCTCATCTTGCTGGAGGATGTAGCATCGTAGCGATTGGCATGTACTTACTCCGTATGCACGGTCCGCAATACCCGAAATTAATGTTTATTGACTTCAATTGCCCTTGCCGTACGGACTCAATTCCTTAGAATCGTGCATTATTCTACCCGAATCTTGTAGGTTTTCAACAACTTCAAGATGTCGCATTTTGCAACTATATCAACGATATATGTGTCATTCCAAACCACAGACCAAAATCAACCTTCTTTTGTACTTCAATACTCTTTCGTGTTCTTCACATAATATATGTTACTTTAGCTCATTCTGTCCTGTACTGGTCTTCTAATTTCCCCTGTCTATCAGTGTGGAAATCCATACTTTCCTTTGCGACATTGTACGCGTCGCGCACCACCTAACATCTCGTTATAGCACCAACAACATTTTGATTACACCTTCCATCCCCACAAACAAGCATGTACGGAGATCTTGCCAACAAGCTCATCCTCGATGCAAAGCGTACGACCAATCTTTCGGCACTTCCGTTATACCAAGGCGATTTGGTCAAAGATATCATCAAGGAAATACAGGACCTCAACAAGGACGCAGAATTCCTCGAAGAGCAGACAGACGATGGAGACGAACAGCTCAAAATCAACCAGTGTCAGCTCTTTGTTACCCATTTGTCAATGAGGCGAAACAAGCGGTGTTTATTGGCGTACGAAAGGCTCAGGGCAGAGAAAGTGGCCGAGTTTGCATGGCTCAACATCGATCCAATAGGCGATCCCAACGCCACCAAAAGCCATACTACCATTGCTGACAATTACATTTATTCTAACTATACCACACAGCTCTCGTTGGACAACTTGAACCATGCGGAAGAGGAGTACTTCAAAGCGTACCAGGACTTGATGTTAGAGTACAAATCTGCATTCGCCGACATCGACTTGTCGGGAGACTTGGAGCCCCCCACGAACATCTTCATTGATGTCAGGGTGTTGAAGGATGGGGGAGAAGTGCAAACCGAGTACGGCTCCTTCAACTTGATCAAGGACTCTCAGTTTTACGTCAGAAAATCAGATGTGGAGCGTTTGATCCAACAAGGGTACCTCGAGGAGTTGTAACCGGTTCGCTGCTCCATATTAGCCTCCCATCGACCGGTTTCCGCCCTCTGGTCTTATAGATCCCATCTTATGTATCATGACTGTAATAATGCACTAACGTACCATGTAAGATGCTGTAATTTCCAATCCCTGTCAACATTATTCATCTTTTCCTGCTTCCTCGTTGTTGTCATTCTTGAGAAGCTTGTCCAATTGACCCAATTGCTCGTCCATTTTCTTTCTACCCAAGTTGGTGTTCTTTTGATCAACACTGATGGGCAAGATCATCACATTATCATTATTTTTATCGTAGACTCCTATGTTTTCGTCCATGAACCTCACCTCCTTTCTCAAGTCGATGGCAACCTTGCTTAATGTTCCGTAAATGCTCTTGGTTTGTTTCGAAAACAACTCCTTGACGTCTTTAGGGTCGCTTCTTGATTCCGAATATGTTTGGAAAAGATTCGACACGTCATCGAGCAACGACACAATCTTGCAGTCGATCTCGTGCAACGAGTCGAGCCTTTCTTGTACGAAGGTGTCTGCTTTGTCCTCCATGGTATGTCTGTCAGTTTTCCTCTTGGTTCCTCATGGTTTCCAGTCTGAATATCATACATAATTTGGCACGTGACTGGAACCCAGAGTGGTCTAGTCGGAAGCCAATCTTAATATTTTCAGTTTAGTCAACTTTCTCTAATTCTCCATCTCTTCGCTTCAGATCCATTTACCTTCTCATTAATCTTGTGTGCTTGAGTGTTGGTTTGTAGTTTCTGAAGACTGGCAATTCTCCAATTCTCCAGCAAACCGCTCCGGATACCGCAATCTAGCTCTGGATTTTCCTCCCATTGGTATCCTGAGGGCTACAGATGAACTCTGACGTACTCTTAGACTCCAAACTCCAATATGTATTACAACAGTGGGGTCTGTTTATTTCCCAATTTGGATTTTATTACGAAAAAACCAATATTATAATACGGGTACTTGTATTTCTAGATCGATTAATGCACTATTTCACTGTCAGGACGGTCCTTATCAGCCTCAGACTATCTCTGCCTCACTACTTTGGTCTCGTTGGTGCTCCACCTTTTTCGCTCCATTTTAGCATTTCTCATCGTAGCCCCATTTATAATATCACGATAGACATCACTGCGAATTATCGCGACATGCCTATCGATCTCGGACTAGCAAGAGTGGCCCGACTCTTGAACCACTTGAACAATCCTCACCTCAAAGCCTACAAGGCTATCCATTTGGCAGGCACCAATGGCAAAGGTTCCACCGTGTCGTATCTCTCTTCCATTCTCACCCAATCAAAGATCCGAAACGGACGGTTCACCTCTCCTCACATTCTACACTACAATGACTGTGTAAGTATCAACAACGAAACGTATCCTCTTTCGAAGTTTCAGGAGGTCAGCAAGTTTGTCCAGGAAAAGAACAGGTTGCATGAGCTCGGATGCACCGAGTTTGAGCTCCTTACTGTCACAGCATTCAAGATCTTCGAAATCGAAAACGTCGAAATCGCCGTCATAGAGGTGGGTTTGGGAGGACGCTTGGATGCTACCAATGTGCTAGAACCCTTCAAGGAGGGCACGGGTGTCATAGCCACTGGAATCACCAAAATCGGAATAGATCACGAAAGTTTCTTGGGCGACACTTTGGCTAAAATAGCTTTTGAGAAGGCAGGAATCATCAAGGAAGGTATCCCATGTGTGGTCGACAGAACCAACCACAAGGAAGCGGTGGATGTGGTAGCAAAGAAGGCAAACGAATTGAATTCCCCGTTATACCAAGTGGATGGACTCCATGAGCTGGAACCAAGATCATTATCCGCGGATTTTGGCATTGAAGCCATTAAGGCCCTAGTGGACAAGTCTCCTCTTCAAGGAGATTACCAGAAGCAGAATCTAAGCATTGCCCTCAAAATTATTGAATTGATAAAGGACAAAAGAATCACCAAAGAGACCATCACAAAAGGTATCGAGACCACTACCTGGAGAGGCAGACTACAATCGCTAGAGATTCCTCAGTTGGGTCTCCCAATCCTATTGGATGGAGCTCACAATGAAAGCGCAGCCATTGAGTTGGGTAAGTATCTTACTCGATTTCAGGATGGGTTTATTTTTATTATTGCCATAACTAAAGGAAAGGCAGTTTCCAACCTTTTAAAGCATGTTATCAATAAGACCAACGATAAGGTCATTTGTACGTCATTCACATCGCCTGAAAGCATGCCTTGGGTGTCAAATTATCCCGTAGAGGAATTGAAACAATTATGCAGCACCTTCGTGGAGGACGTGGAGATAAGCGAAGGCGTCAAAAATGCCTTGGAGTATGCTTCCAAGTTGAAGCAGGAAGGTGATAAGCGGGAGGTCGTGGTTTTTGGTAGTCTCTACTTGTGTGGAGATGTATTGAGATTAGTGGAAGAATCACCTTAGACTATCAAACTTGTCTGTTCTTTCTTTATCCTATCAAGTCCTTCATCTTTCTAAAATATTCAGTGCACGGAGGAGAATCCTTAACCCTACTGTCTGCTCCATTGAGCATATACAATGACCAATTGAAGGCCCAAAAAATCAATAATTATTACGGCACTATAACATTGCCCATAAATGTCTAGTTGCTGTTAATTGGGAGGAACTATTACTCTGCAATATCCACACATCGAAGTCCCTGCGAATAAATGAAGTATATAAGTGCAAAACCCAAAGTATTTATTCAGTCAATTATTCACTAATCTAGGAACGATAACGTGGTCATTCTATAGCCTATTATCCCCATTTGTCTTGTAAGATACCAATTGAACGTATTATAAAACTACAACTCTATACCCTCACAATCTCGATCTGGTAGCGCGCGTCCCCATCTGATTCACGTATATTATACGCGTCTCTCCTTTAACAATCACCAAACGATGGCACCTCTTAGTGACTTTGAAAAGCAGCGTCAGGCTAACATCCAGAGGAACAAGGACCTCTTGAAGCAGCTTGAGCTTGACTCCATCTCTAGCTCTATCAAACGAGAATTGCCCAAGAAAGATGTTACTCGCAAGAAGCGCAAGACTGAGCCAAAGGCCAAGGAACCTGCTGAACCAAGCAGAAGATCCAGAAGAATTGCGGGTATAAAAACCGAAACTGAAAACCCGGAGGAATTCGCTCGGATTCAAGAAGAGATAGAGGAAAAGGAGCGTAAAAGAAAGGAGTTGGAAGAGTTGAAAAGAACCAGACTTTTTGGTGACTTCAAGTTGATTGACTTGATAACAGACAAAAAACTGGGGCACCTCAAGTTTGAGGACAAGGTAATAAAGCAGGAAGGCCTGGAAAGCGTCAAGGAAGAGCCATCTGATGAAATCGCAGACATAGATGATGATAATAAAGTACTCCAGGTGTTCAAGAGCTTAGGCAGCAAGTTCTCAGCAGGAGACTTCTACAATGAAATAAGAGACACGATAAGCTATAACGATGAGGTATTGGAAACGAAAAGAAAGGAGTTTGACGATTTGAAAATATACCAAAAATTCGATCCATTGGATATAAAGATTAGCCATTATCGGATCACCTCTATCAATTTTCATCCCTCCACTACTGATAGGGTTGTGATGGCGGGTGATACCAATGGTAACGTTGGTATATGGGCCGTTGACTCGAAAGAAGAGGATGAGCCAACGATAAGCATACTAAAGCCCCACGGAAAATCGATTTCTCGAATCCTTACTCCAAACAACTCTCCATCTAAAATATACACAAGTTCATATGATGGTTCAGTGAGAGAACTAGACCTTAATAAGCTTGAATCATCCGAATTGGCGTATTTGAGCGACCCTTGGGAATCTGGTGACTATTCGTTGGGTGTATCGGATATAAATTTATGCAAGGAAGGAAATCCGAATATATTATACATGACGACCTTGCTGGGAAACTTTTATCAACACGATATTCGGGAAGCTTTCAAGCCAGCTCTGACAAAGTCCCTTTTGAGGTTACATGACAAGAAAATTGGTTCTTTCAGTATAAACCCAAACTTGTCATATCAAGTTGCAACTGCATCTTTGGACAGAACATTGAGAATATGGGATTTAAGAAATTTAGGTAGCTCTAAATGGTCAGATTTTGAAAACCAAACTTCTCCACACATGTATGGAAGCTACTCGTCAAGATTATCTGTTTCGTGTGTTGATTGGAATATTGAGAACAGATTAGTTTGTAATGGTTATGACGATAACATTGCTCTTTTCGATTACAATGGTACAAAAGAGCTTTCTCCAATTACACAGTGGGCATCTGACTATGTGGTACCTTCCAAAGACGAAGAAATTGTTCCTGACAATTTAACTCCCTTTACAAAAATAAGACACAATTGTCAAACTGGTCGTTGGGTATCCATTCTCAAATCCAAATGGCAGACTCAACCTGAAGATGGAGTTCAGAAGTTTGTCATTGCGAATATGAATAGGGGAGTAGATATTTACGATCAGAAGGGTCAAATCATTGCTCATTTATCTGATTCTGTGGGTGCAGTTCCTGCAGTATCTACATTGCACCCATCCAAGAACTGGGTAGTTGGAGGTAGTGCCAGTGGAAAGGTGTATCTATTTGAGTAGAACCACCACGTGTATAATATGGGAGACTACCAAATAATAAACAGATTTGGAAATATACTGTACCTCCAATAATGAAGTTAGAAAGTTAATCTCTTGATTATCTATTGAGAAATAAATTTATTGTAGTTTTTAGACGAATTGATATGTATACAACTGGTTACGTAACTCTACAATTTCTCAGTCTAGATGCATCTAGTACTGCTTCTAACACACTTACACTTGGTAATATACACGTATTATTTTGACCACTATTTAAGTTAATTAGGTTTAATTAATTAATTTAAGCAGAAGAGGTCATAACTTGCCAGACTCTGATAACGTTATCAGTGTAACCAGCGAACAAGTTTTGACCGTCAGCAGACCAAGCCAAGGAGATGGCTTCTGGGTCCTTAGCCTTAGCACCAATGGCGAATTCTGGCTTCAATTCATCCAACAAGGATCTTTCTTGCAACTTGAAGATCTTGATACCAGTGGTGGTAGCAGCAGCTAACCAGTATCTGTTTGGAGAGAAAGCCAAAGCGTGAACTTCAGCAGAGGCAGTCAAGGTGTACAAAGTCTTGTTTGAGTTCAAGTCCCACAAGATGATGACACCGTCCTTACCAGCGGAAGCACACAAAGATCCATCTGGAGACAAGGTGATACAGGAGATGTAACCGGTGTGACCAATGAAGTCAGCGTTGACGTTGTAGTCAATCAAGTCCCAAGACTAAAAGTTAGTAAACAATTCCATTGACCAATGGGTCTAAATCAGAGATCTTGGTGATAAAGGTATGTCTCATTCGAAGCTTGTGCAACGTCTGAAGTAGCAAATATGGTAAACATCATCTAGACCCAATCAAAAATCAAAAAATTACGTACCTTAACGGTCTTGTCCCAAGAAGCAGACAAAACAGTGGCGGAGGTGTCGGATGGGGAGATTCTGACGGCAGAAACCCAGTCACCGTGGCCGGTCAAAGTGGCCATACATTCACCAATGGTGTTCCAGACCTTGACGGTCTTGTCACGAGAGGCAGAAACGATTTGTCTCAAGTTCTTGGAGATAGAAACGGACAAAACGTCACCAGTGTGACCAACAAATCTCTTGGTACATTCACCGGATTCCAAGTCCCACAATCTCAAGGTCTTGTCCCAAGAAGCAGACAAAGCGTAAGCACCGTCAGCGGAGATGGTGACATCTTGAACGATGTGGTTGTGGCCTCTGAAGGACTTCTTGGCGACACCGTATTGGTTGTCTTCACCGCCAGTCAACTTCCAGGTGATCAAGGTCTTGTCTCTGGAACCGGACAAGAGCAAGTCTGGGTGAGCTGGGGTGGTGGCCAAGGAAGTGACCCAACCGTTGTGACCTTCTAAGGTACCTCTTAAAACTAAAACTTCGTCAGACATTGTTGTATAGATGAAGAGAAAAGAATTAAAAAAATTTTCAAATATAGTAATAGTGAAAAATCTCACTCGTCACGTGGCATCCTTGCGGTCCTGATCTGTCCTCCTGCGCAATGACCCATGCTGAGGTTAACTACGCAAACGGACTCGGAATTACGCATTTTACGGTGACTGTGTTTTTGCCGAGCTATATGCAGGTTCAATTTGCTGATCACTTTATATTCGTGATTATCTGCTATTATTGAAATTAAATCGGCAAACCAAGAAACAATGGCTTGTAAGGCTTGCAGAATCTTTCACTAGGCTTCGCTGCCAATACTCAAAATCATCGATACCTATTTTGTGGAAGCCCCCACGATATCCAATCTTTTCTATCGCGGTTGCAAAAAGAGTGGACTATATAGTTTAGTACAATTAGCTCTGCTTGTAAATGTTAGCTATTCAGCAAAGTGTATCCACCCTGATTGCTTAATTCAGGAACCTGTCTATCTCTCTATTTTTACTTCAGTACTCTGGAAATGCCCTGTTGGGGGCATCACCTTCTCACTGATGTGAGTGAGCTCACTTTACACTATTAGCTCAAAATGGTCAGGCCGACTTGATCGGACCCCCTCAATTGCTTTGATTCCCTTATTATCAATTTCTGGTAGTTTCTGAATTTGGAAAAGAATCGCATGCCTCAATTGACTATTCTGTGTATGTTTTCAACGGCCGAAGGTCGATCGCTCTACCCAAGTAATTATTTGTAAACACGAATGATTTAGCTAATAGACTAAAACTGTACCCAAATTAATCTTAAAATTAACTAATTTACTTCACGTAATCTTTATCTTGTCTCGAGAATATTTCCAAAGCTAAATATCATCTATCCTGAGTATACCAGAAAATAAGAAGTCGGGCTAAAGTACTGGAACACGAATCTCGAGACGAGTAGACCTCGGGGGACCGATAAATGTATCTAGAAGACCTACTACCATTTGAAGTCCAAACTCAATTGGTGAGTGTAATTAATTGCCGAGAATGCTGTAAAATCAAGCTCAATGAAGCCGAACCAACAAAGAGATAATTACTATAAATGACCGATAAATCTATATGATTTTATAAAGTGCCGAATAGTACTAAACTATGTGCTATCGTATTTTCGAGTCAATTGCATAAGTCCCTCTCTCTTAGCAACATCTAGCCTGCACACAAAGAAATTAATCAAATTCTCGAAATCTCTAATCACGTGATTCATCATCTCCATCTTACTTCTGTCCGTAATCATCTCCACAAATATGTCCCTTTCAGAGCTTATTAAGTCATTTCAATGCCAGAAGATCCTCAAGAGTAATCCTCAGACGAAGTCTGTGGTTCTTCTTGGTCAAATTTCTAAATCAAATGATGCAATTATCACAATTGAGAAGTCACACTTTGTCACACCAGATGAATCGTATGATGTGGCAAGCTCTGTGGAGCAAACCCTTGAAATCAACCACAACGACATCTACTACTGGTCCAACTCAATTCTTAAGCAGGACCTTGAGGAGAACCCTGGAGCCAAATTGAACTTGATCTATCCTGCTACTGAAACCCATATCAGAAAGTACGGAGAACAGCCCCACCATTATGTGGTAGAGACTCCACAGATGTACAAGGACTATGCAGTTCCATATATCGAGTCGATGAAAGGGGATAGAATCAAATGGGTCTATAACATCCTTTTTGAAGGAAAAGAATCGGAGACTTTCGTGCATCATGATAAGGATTTACAGACCGGGTTTGTGCTCTTGCCAGATATGAAATGGGACACAATCAATTTGGATACTTTGTATTTATGCTGCATTGTCAACAGAACCGACATTTCTTCGGTTCGTGACTTGAATGAATCACACGTTCAGTGGTTAATTGATCTTCAACAGAGGCTTAGAAAATTAACATTCGAGAAGTATTCGGTTGAAGCAGACCAATTGAGAATTTTTGCTCATTATCACCCTTCATATTATCATTTCCACTTGCATATAGTGAACATTAAGCACCCTGGCTTGGGTAATGGAATTGCAGTTGGAAAAGCGATTTTGTTAGATGACATTATTGAGAATATTCAGTTGGCGGGAGATTACTACCAGAAGAAAAACATAGGGTTCTTGTTGGGAGAAAACCATGGTTTATGGCAAATAGAGGGGTACAGAAAGTCCCACGAGGAGAGACAATAGAGAGCATTATAACATACTGATGAAATTTGAAATTAATTCTTGATGATAATTTGCGACTATTCGTTAACTAAGCTAGCTAGTTGCAGTAGCATGCTACGCAGACTGCCCTAATATACATAACTAAATACTATGATGCTAATAATTGAATTCACTCAGATTGGACTTCACGGCCATCTTGGCCATTCTCAACATCTTCTTTCTTGGGTCTTCCTTCTTTGCTTTCTTTCCCTCGTTCTGGGTAGTTCCAATACTCTTACCCAATTTCTTTGGAGTTTCTCTCAAACCAAAACTTTTGGCCAAATGTCCCAAATGCAACAACTTGACGTTAAAGAAACTTCTTTCTGAAGACAAGTGGGTAGCATAAGCTCTGATATGAGAAGTGAACGCTTGAACAGCTCTGTCGTGCATGGTGGAGTCTTCCAATAACCATCTCTCGACCTCGAGATGCCAAGTGGTGGCATGAATATCCCACTTACCTTCTTTTCTCTTTGGGTCATTGCTCTTCTTCACAGGGGCTTCTTGTTCCAGAACCTCAGCAAACCCATCTCTCAATATATCTTCGTATCCAATAATTCTCAAACTTCCTTTCTTTGGATGAACCACCTTCAATTTTCCATCAACGTAACTTTCTTCATTACCAGGAAGCAAGAACAAGGTGGCGTTACCCTCATTACCCACTCTTGCAGATCTACCGATTCTGTGCAAATGGTCGTCGACAGTGAATGGAGGATCGTACTCAATGACGTTCGAGATGTTTGGCAAATCCAAACCACGAGAGGCCACATCGGTACAGAACAAAATAGAATGGTTGGATGCATCCTTAATGAAGGACTGCAATGTGCTAGTACGTGCTTGTTGAGTCATTGAACCATGGAGCTTGAATACAGTAGACCCGGGGCCTAACGTTGGAGCAGTCATCACACCGATCTCTTCCTCGTCTTCGTCATCATCTAAATAGGCTTCTTTGACTTCGATCGTTCCATCTTCATTCTTGACTTTTTTGAACTTCTTACCGTCTCTGGTAAAAACCTGGAAATGGAAATTGACAGAATCGGAACATGAAAAAAAGACGATGGTCTTGTTGTTGGCAACCCTCTTCAAGAGACCGCACAAAGCAACCAATCTCAACTTTGGGGGAACCACTGCCACCGACTGGATCAACTGATCTGGAGCGGTCATATTTTCCTCTGAAGTGGCAGTCTCAAAAGAAGTTGTGCCAACTTGCTCTTTGTCTTCTACCATCTTTGGGTTATTTAAAACAATACTCCCCAATTTTTGGACGCCGTCTTGCATGGTTGCAGAACACAACACATTGACTCTTTCCTTTGGCAAGCCCTTATACTGAGTAGTAGTTTTCCAGATCTCTGACTTCTCGGTGATTTTGTCGGTGATTTTGGTGATGGTCTCTTCGAATCCCAACTCTATTAACTTGTCACCTTCGTCAAGAATTACCCATCTTAGTTGCCCAATCTTCAAGGACTCAGTATTTTCGATATGGTCGGCCAATCTTCCAGGTGTGGCCACCAAGATGTTGACACCCTTACGGAGTCTGGCCTTTTCTGATTTCTTCTTTTCTCCACCAATAACGATTCCTGGAACGATATGGTGACAACATCTGGTCAAGGTCTCCATGACCCCATAGATTTGGTTGGCGAGTTCTCTAGTTGGGGTCAAGATCACCGCAAACAATCCCGAGTCTCTACTGATTCTCTCCTCCATCAACTTGTGGAAAATTGGAACCAAGAACGACAACGTTTTACCTGAACCTGTTTGGGCCTTGAAGAACAAGTCTGTTTGTGAGTTGAGCATGCTGGGGATTACTGTACGTTGCACCTTAGTAGGATGCTTGAACCGTAAGGTCTCAGTAAGGTGGGAAGCCAACTTCTCGTTGATTCCCAAACCATCGAACTTGGAAGTATCCAAAGGAGCATTGGAAGGTTGGTGAGTGGTGTTGTCAGAGGAAATTTCCAAGGTGTTGGCAGTGTTAGACGTGAACAAGGATGAAACATATGATGATCCATTTCCTCCAAACTCTCCTCCCTTCTCAGCGAACTTTATCTTTTTGGCCGATGGTCCAAACGAAGGAACGGCTGGTCTCTTGGTGGTATTACTCTTGGAATCCTTGGCTTCTTTGGATAATCTTGGTTTTTCAATCACACTGGAGTTCACACTGGTGGAAGGAACTGGGGAACGGCCCTGCATCGAAAGCTGCAACTTTCTACGATCTCTCCACTTTCCTCCAGTCACCTTCTCTTGCTTCCGTTCCGTTCCAGCCACGGGAACGGAGAAGTTCATCAACATGCCATCGTCTTCCATTGTATGGTGAGATAGTGTAGGTTGAAATTTGAGATGCGATGAGCTCGCACTGAAGTGCACCTGAAAGATGAAGGCGATCTCTACACCAAATGCGCAGGAAATCAGCTGGTGGTGAGGGCAAGACTACACGAGGTCGATTATCCCCGTGCTAGAGACCCATAATGCGGTCTAGCTAAACCGTGGTGGGCTAGAGAAGTATCTGTATTACTAATAGATTACGTAATTGGCCTATCCCACGTCTGCTCCAGTTGGCAGAGCTACTCTGGTCCGTTGCTGTCGTTGTATTGAGTTTCGTGACTTATGTAATTACATGGCCCTGTCGTGCTACGCCCTTGTCAACTCGTTGATGTAGTCCCCGAAAGTTGTGGCGGTAGTAAGCTCGACGCCGTCACCACCATTTCTCAACTGTTCCTTGGTGGTTTGTGCAAGCTCATCCTGTGTTGGCGTCCATTTCAAATGTGACCATTCTTCCTCGTCGAACTTCTTTACATGTCTCAACGATTCTCCCAACGCATTTCCAAAGCCTTCGGTATTGGTGATCTGTGAGCTGGACTTGGCTGAACTCTGCAAGATCTGGAAATTCGTGTTCTTGTTAGCCTCCGAAGCTTCAGCCCTTCTCTGTGTTTGAGCCATCTGATCTATGTCGTCTATGTATTTGAATGAAGGTCTTAACTGGGTAGTACTGTCGACAGGAACTAATACGATCTTTCTGGAATCGCCATCCTTGACTATCTGGCCAACGTAGTAGCCTCCATCCGTCTTATCCAACACACCATTGAGGGTTTGTTCTCCGATGGTTTCACCCCACTCCTCGACCTTGTTGGCATTGAAGAACTTGTTGGTGTCCAATGGCAATCTGACTTCCAAGTAGTTTGATTCTTCTTTCACGGCGGCTCTATACTCTTCTTGATCTAACGGACGAGTTTTCGGCCTTCCTGGATATTGTAAGACATGTAATGATTGTGTTGATCTGGAGGAAAGAGTATTCATGACGAGTGGAATGCTATCTATGATTGGGTCATCAGGTATCTCTTCTTGTTCATCTTCTTGGTAGTAAGGAGATTCTTCCTTATCATAGACACGCTCGTCTTCTTCGTCCACGAACAACAGGCCCTTTTCTTGTTTAACCATTGTTGATGCTGATAGAGATGGCATCAGTTGAAAAATTACAGGAGAGGGGTCGTGGAGGCACCGCGAACTGGCCATCGACCTAGCTAAACATAGAAAAGAATCGCTCGAGCTACGAAACCAAATAGGGAGGATTTTCTCTTGCTGAATTACTAGCTATGCATTGTTGGCTGGAGCTGGAGACTATAGGACCCATTCTAAGGGACCACCTTGGGAGTATATGTATTTTGTAATGTATTACGTAATCGTCGTATTCAGACTCCAGGAGTGACATGTAGCTGGCACATGTATCAAGAGCTTTCCTTCACTAACAACGAGCCCGTAGTGCCCTCGTGTCGCCCTGGTGTAGCCCCATTTCTCTGGATCTATCATCTCGTGTGTCACGTGATGAGATCTTTATAATCCAAAAAATCTTCTTCAGTCATACACCAACCATGTCTAACGAAACCTTCGATATCAAAACCACCTACCTCCGCTTCTTGGAGGAGGATGAGGACTTGACCATGCCCATTGCGGCCATTGAGTCGCTTGTCACTATGCTCAGAACCAAGCAACCCTCCACTTCATCTGAGCTCATCAAGTTAGTCAAATCAAACATCGATACCTTGAAGTCATCCATTTCCAACGCAATTTCTCTTTCGGCGGGTTGTGATTTGTTCATGAGATTCGTGTTGAGAAACACCAACTTGTATTCTGACTGGGAGTCATGTAAGAAGAACTTGGTCGAAAACGGAGAACTATTCGTCCAAAGAGCCAAAGACTCAAGAAACAAGCTGGCAGAATTCGGGATTCCATTCATAAAGGACGACGACACCATCTTGGTGCATTCTTTCTCCAGAGTGGTGTATCAATTGTTGTTGAAGGCGAGAAAGGAGAAGTTGATCAGATTCAGAGTGAAGGTGACGGAATCAAGACCTTCCGGCAAGGGTTACCACATGGCCAAGTTGTTGAGGGATGCAGACATTCCTGTGGAGGTCATTGTCGACAATGCTGTGGGCTATGTGATCCACAATGTGGACAAGATCTTGGTGGGTGCTGAGGGTGTTGCAGAAAGTGGTGGTATCATCAACCATATTGGTTCATACCAAATCGGATGTTTGGCCAAGACAAACAACAAGCCATTCTACGTGGTGACCGAATCGCATAAGTTCGTCAGATTGTTCCCGTTGGCCCCTAACGATTTGCCTACAGAAATGAGCCAGTTGCTCGAACAGAGCAATGAACAGCCTGAAGATCAAGATTTGCTCAAAACCCAATTGATTGATTTCACTCCTCACGAATACATCACTGCATTAATTACTGATTTGGGTGTTTTGACCCCTTCTGCAGTCTCTGAAGAATTGATCAAGGTCTGGTATGATTGAGGCTTTCTCTAGTCAAAAATGGTCGTTTCATCATGTTTATTTACTATTCATTAATCTAACTTAACCGTTACTTAATGTTGGTTTACTATTTCATTAAGCTGAACCTTGAGATCATCCAAGTCATAATATTCAGCATCAGATACCTTTTTTACCATGACAGGCTTAATTCCCCTGGAGTGTAAGTACTTCTCATCAACTTGAATCTGCGGATTTTCCATGAATATCAAGTGACTAATGTATTTACTCCAATCCACGTCATTCACATCGATAGTAATATTCACGTCCGGCATGACCTTGGTCCTATCAATGGAATATACTGCCAGCTCAACAATCACCCTCACGAAGTCCACGGCTGACATGCCAAAGGTCTCACGATCCTGGCACCCATTGAGAAGGAGGATCTTTTTCTTGGGGACCCCTTTGTTGATGTCGTTGGCGATAGCCTTGCCTATCCCCTTCAAGATCACGATGGGGACAATACTTGTCATTAATGACCCGATAGAATATACAATAACATCTGCACTGCTGACTGTAGAAACAACTTTGCTGTGGGCTGTTGGACATATCTCCTGGCCGTAGGGGGAAACGTAGAAGATTCTCTTAATTGGAGAAAGGAGTGGTTGCACCTTTTCTGTCTTATTGAAATGGAGCTGGGATTTTTTGAGTTCTGGATGAGTGTACTGAGGAATGTTTCCTGATTCTTCTTCTTCGGAATCTGAGGCAATGCTGCCCACGCTGTCACGGCGGGAATTGGCTATGGCCACTTGGTTGTATGGTGTATCTATTGTGAGACCATCTATGGAAGGAGTGCCAAAATAATGAGTCAAGTGGACATTTTCTGGGGTCGAAGGTCTTGTCTTGCTTATGGGAGGAGGGTAGTTATCGACTCTGGGGTTGGATTCCGAGGGATGGGAAATCTGCGATTGTCCAGTAATAATCAACCCATTCTGTAACAATGCACTTATATGGTAGGTGAAATTGGTATTGATACATGGCAAAACCTCTATTTCGGGGTCGATTCCGGTGATCTTTGAGAAAAGCTCGACTGCAGAGTCCAAAGACCCAATGAAAAGTCGGACACCTGTCAAGAAGAGATTACCCACATTGGCCAATTCGTAACGGAATTGCTTCTTGGAGTTGGTTGCCTGAAGCCGAGACCTCTTCAAGAGCTCCACATTGACGTGGATGAAGAATGCCCTTATGATCTCTTTGGTGGATCCTGAGATGGGTGCCCACAACTCATGTTGGCCATCGACAAATTCATTCCATTGGGCCCTGGCAACCTTGGGGTCCGAAGATAATCTGAAGCTGAGTAATTTCTGTAAGTTTTGCTGGTCTTCGGGAATCAAGCGAGTCAACCTGGATCTTATATCTCCAATGGCGGGCCCTCCTATCACTCTGATCAATTCCGACGTCGAGCCTCCATTGTCGGAGATGGGAAGAATGTAGGCCACACGGCCGCCAAGCGACAGAAATAACGATACCAACTCATTGGTTGCGGTGCCACCACTAATGACGGCAATCTTGGAAGTCATACTGGACAAGTGTTCAGTAGAACCAGCTAGTGGTAGTGTGAGTGAGTGACTGGTGATGGTGGTGTCACGTGCGTAGACCCATGAGTGGTTCCAGGCTAACTGTAAAGTGGCTGAATGGGCTCTATTCTCGGCAGAGTCAGTGAAGTGCTATATATTGGCCATGTTAAGTGTTTTTTAGAGAGGAACTGGTCGTTTTAAGTTGATATTTGCCTGTTACGAGTGTTCTCTAATTCACAGCTATTTCGCAACATTTTCAAAAAAGTGCACACTAGTTTAATGCCAATCCAGTTTTTAATACCTCGAGGATTGGTCTCAGTAGTGCACCAAAACACGAAGGGATATCTAGAGACTAGATTTTAACATACTTCCCATTGCAAAAAAAGTAATTATCTTGTGCTCTCTATTTAATCAGAAATTGATTTTAATCAGTATATTAATGTCTATGTACATGCAGTTGTGAAATTACCGAGCCCTTGCTCCTACTCATCCTCCTCTTGCGTATCTTCATCCTCGCCACTGAGGTCAAAACACACCCAGCTTGGCCAAGCGATTTCGTCCCTCAATATTCCTCGCAATTGGTCTATAAGGAATTTCTCCACCTTGCCGACGTTTCTCAACACATTGTGTTCCACCTCACCAATTTCCGACTCAATTCTCACCTTCTTGATGATATCGATCCGTTCTCTGTTGTTGGGCCCCGTAGAGTAATCTACAAAATTGGCTCCGTATGTTGGAGTGTGGTCTGCATGGGTGCCTGTAGATGTGGTGGTACTGAAGTAGTCCGAGCTAGCATCGTTGAGGTCGCAAAGGAATGAGAAGTACACTGCTTTCTTCAAGTATGCAATTGATGCAACAGAATGGATGTTCAACTCAGTAATGTGAAGCTTGATAGGAAGTGTGATAAAATTGGGCGATGGGTAGTTGACCAATAAGTTCACCGAGAGCTGGATGTGCATGTTGCCCGAGTACTTGATCTCCACAATCAATTGCAAGTCGTCAGCACTTCTCAGCTTAGACTTGGTTCCACCAGTAATTTTGGGCACTTCTGGGGCAGAATGATGAGCGAACTGGTTGCGCAAAGAGTTGATGCGCAACGACGACTGGTTCAAGAGGTCTGTGGGCGTTTCTGTGCCGTTGGAGTTGCTGTTGGGACCCAATCCAAGAATGTGGTTCATATTATAGTTTTGGAGGTAGTTGAGGGTGTTGTTACCCAACATTAGCGAGATGGAGTCCAGTGAAGTTCTGAGTCTTTCGAGAGCTGGTGGTGCAGATGACGAGGTTTGTGACTCGTCGTGCTCTTCACCCAATTTGACTGAGTTCATGCCCTGTGTTAATGAAGCCATATCATTGTTTTGGTCTTCGTCTTCGTCCTCATCATCCTCGTCGTCTTCGTCCTCTCGGACGGGACGTCTTGCTTCTTCCTCCTCCTCTTCTTCCTCGTCCATTGGCGTGCGGGACTTCTCTGCCTCTTTTTCATCTTCTTCATCTTCGTAGAAGTCTTCGAACGGGTCTCCGATATGTCTTATCACTACTTCTGGGGGCTGGTCCCCAAGACTGAAGTCTGTAACAGAGAGATGACTCACAAACGATGGTAATTCGATGTTGCTGAACTGGCTGTCGAGAAACTCCTTTATGGACTCGTTGATGGAGTTATCTTCGGTCAACTTGTTCCAGTCGATTTCGAACGACATTATATCAGGTTGAACTGCGGGTTTTTGTGAATGGATACGTTTGTGGGTCAAATAGCAATGATGAGGTGCTGGTGACGTTTGCTGGAGAGCAGTGGGGAGGAATGGTGTTAGTCCGACGGCCGTGTCTGGGGTTTAGTACTAATGGCGTTAGAATCATAGGAGTGCACATAGGGCGACATGTGCAGGTCTGTGACAGATAGAGACTGTCACTTTAGGCATTAATTGGGGTGGTCCAGGCCACGGAGGAGGATGCAAAACTGGATGCTGATGAGGGTTTGCCTTTAAAACGGACTGTAGGCCGAGAGCAGTGAAGTATATGTGTTTATTGTGGATATGACTGGGGGGATACTGGGTAGTTCATATTGGGAAGTACAAGTTACATACATTGTAGATGCAGATTAATGGGCTACACTGAAGGAATATATTCCTCTGGCGTACCATAAGTAGCTGTAGATTCTTGCTGAGAACCTAGGGCCGTTGGGCTAATCATGACAGTCCATTGTACATCAGCAGGAACCTCCAAGAGACTGCTAAATTCAGTGTAACAATTTCCTGCAGTGTAGCAAATTCCTGAAACTGTAAGCATCTTCTCAAGTAGTTTAATCGTCGTGGGTAGGGCCACATCAGAATTCGCTTGCAAATTCTCTTTAGTTTCCACTGTTCAGTATTGTGAAGTAAATTTCCATGGTCAACAGCGGAGCCTTAACGAGCTGGCTCTTCCAGATGATTGTCAACGCTTCTGTCCGAGGAAGTGGCACTTAGGAGTCCATAGCATTGGTTTACTTCACTCTGGTGTGCATGGAGACCCTGCTTCGGAGTTTTGCTCCTCGGACACCTCCGGCCCCACAGTCTCATCGGAGCGGAACCGGTGAAAATTTTCAGGATTTCTGTGCAAATCCGGGGTAATCAGACAGAAAGAATAGACTCCAAACGTAAACTACACCGCTTAGTGACGGAAAACTGGCAGCAGCAGAGAGAGCATTGAGCTACACGACTTACAAGCTTTAGAGACACACACCAAGCTCAATCTCTGGTGGTTAAAACAGCACCTGTCCAAATTTGCAGACTACCCCCAAATTGCACTGCCAACATGATTGCCCCTAATCTTATCCAAATTGTGGTGGTTGGAGCTGGTCTCATAGGGCCCCGTCATGCCCAGCATGTCAACGAGAACCCCTACTGCGAGCTTTTTGGCATAATAGACCCATCTCCAGCCACCAAACAGGTGGCACAGAACCTCCATACTGAGCATTTCAGCTCCATCGAGCAGATGATCGTCCACTGCGATGCCAACGGGTTGGACTACCCCAAGGGTGCCATCGTGTGCACGCCCAACCATACTCACGTTAAGGTAAGTGCTGAGCTAGCCTCATACGGAATCCATTTGTTAGTTGAAAAACCCATCAGCTTGACCATACCAGAGGCCAAGGCCCTCAAGGAGTACGCTGCTAGCAAGAATGTGAGGATTTTGGTGGGACACCATCGTAGATTTAACCCTTTCATCTTAGAGGCCAAGAACAACCTCGCAAAAATTGGTCAGGTGGTAGCCATCCAGGGTTCATGGACCTTACGCAAGCCTGAAGAATACTACCAGGTATCTCCGTGGCGAACAGCCACCGAAACGGGTGGAGGAGTGTTGCTCATCAACCTCATCCATGATCTTGACCTTCTCCAGTACTTGTTGGGCCCCATAGACAAGATCTACGCCGAGTTGCTCCAGAAACAACGACTCCAATATCCTGACGTGGATGAGGGGGCTGCGTTGACTATCCGGTTCAAGAGTGGCGTGCTAGGTACGTTTATCTGTTCCGACAACGTAACTTCTCCCTTCAACTTCGAGTCGGGAACAGGAGAAAATCCAACGGTTCCTCTCCACAGTGGCCTCGAAGGATTCTACCGGATATTCGGGTCCCAGGGAACCCTTTCGGTGCCAGACTTGAACCTCTACCACCAGGGGAACCACAAGTGTGGATCGTGGCTCGACCCTATAGTCAAAGAACCCCTCGCAGACATCGCCACTGTTGGCGAGCTCAGACCTTTTGACTTGCAATTGAGCCATTTCTTGGAGGTGATCAAGGGTAGTTCTGAGCCTTTCTGTACGGTCGACGACGGCATTTCTGCGTTGATGTGCATCGATGCAGTGATGAAGTCGATTGAGCTGGGGGCTGCCGTGTACTTGGAGGACCCCAAGGACGTCCAACCCACACCAGAGGCGTTGGGCCTTGATGGTGGTTTGTAATGGGCCATTTCGGTCATGGAAAATCCGTGAAGCACGCTGTAAAATACGGTACAAAATTGGGAATATAAATTCGACACAGTTGTCGTTTTGGGCTTGAAAATTGCCCACACTTTACTTCTTGGATACAAGTATATAGCATTAGACAAATTGGTTTTGGACTTGTACACTTCTATTAGCACCTTATGAGAGGTATTTTTTTTCCATTTTCGAAGAAAATACAAAAAGCAATACTTGAACCCTACGAGGGAACGCCAGTGTCCCTTCTTAGAAATCCTCGCTGCGGTTGAGATACGGCATACTGGTCCAAGATATGCCAGTTCTCAGTGCTATTGAGGTATCCACCAATTCGCACCCAACCGCGCACGTGACCAGTCTCCGACCAGTAAAATTTCAACCATTACGTTCATCACATCTCCACTAACAATGTCCAAATACGTTTTACCAAACACCTTGAGAGAATTAAGATTCCACTTGTCCCAGACTGGGGAGGCATCGGTGCCGCTCAGAAAATTTTTGACCGCCAACTACCAAACCTTGAAGACACAAAGTAACTACAAGTTGCCTATCTTGATCAGAGAAAGTTACGGTATCCCACCAAGCTTGACCGCCAGATTCGAGAAGGGAAGAGAAATCAAGACCAAGTTGGAAGGATTGGATGAATCCGGAATCGAAAAGGCCTTGAAGGACTTGTTGAAGAACTAGACTGGGGAGTGGGTTGGCGATGCCAACAAACATAGTTATAGTAGGAATTCCCAGGACCATACCACCTCGTTTCCTCAGGCCAGCCAGGATTGACCAAGGTGGCCATTACGCCGCGTTCATCGCACGAGGTCCGAGTTTATGGCACGGACATGACTATATAATTGCATAGTAATACATATATTGGTTATAGGATGATTTGTCAGTATTTCTTTATGAAACAGTGCCACTAGGCAAGCATAGTTACAGGGACAGGTAGTCAATTAGTCTGAATTGTACCCTTTGCGGCAAGGAACCACACGGAGGTTAATGCTATAGTGATGTCATACTAAGCATAAAATACTACCGCTAGTGATACTACTATGAAGTACCTTGCAAAATACCATTACTAATAATAAATAAGGCATCATTAGCACACTCTTAATTACCAAGGTAAATCGATTTTCAGTGGCGGCTAGAACTGGTAAATCCCCCAGCCCAAGGAGCCAGATTCCGAGTTGTACAATTCCTTGACGCCTTCCTTACCTGCGGAACCACTGCCAATGACCAAAGGCAAGAAGTGCTCCAAGGTTGGATGGGCACGGTAAAGTAACTTGGTGTGGTCGTGCTTGATTCTTTCCAACAGCAGAAGCAAGTGGGTGTTGTTGGCGAATATCTGCCTCAAGAGCTCGTTGAATTGCCGGGAGTATGGCTCGGCATAGGGACTGCCCAATTCTCTCAAATTGTGCACTGACATCCCGGAAAAGATCACCAAGCCCTTCAAGTAGCACTGACTGGCGTCGTCCCACACCAAGTGGCTCCGGAACTTGTCGATGGCCTGGCCTAACTTGTATGCTGTCTTGAAATCAGTGTCGTCGTAGGGCAACGACACCTGGATCAACGCGGTGTCTGGCAAGTCCAAACCACCACTGTATTTCTCTTGGGTCATGGTGTTGTAGTTAGTGAATGCAGCCTTGAACGGCACCCACACTCCGTGGTCTAGTCCACGTTTGGTCAACTTGGAGTCAAAGCCGGCTGTTTGAAGCTGGGAAGCGATCAGCTCTCCCACGCTCCTCAGGTTCTTGGTGTGGAATTCCTCCTGGTACATGTACTTGGGGAAGCCATAGAAGTCGTAGATCAACGGGTTTTCCTCTTGGTCAGCCACTGTGGCAACCTCAATCAAGTTGGGGGCGCTGGACTGCCAATGAGCAGAGAGAACAACGATGTAGTCGGGTTTCCAGGCTTTGATCTGGGCACCCAATTGTTGGAGGTGCTTGTAGGCACCCACATCACCGTTGCTTTGTCCATACATAAATGTAGGACCGCCATGACTGACGAAGTAGTTCGGGAATGGCTGTGGATTGACTGTGAATTTAGCAGGCATTGATGGTGGCGTGAGCTGGATAAAAAGGGCGTAGATGGTGACGAGGATAAGGGAAAGTATGAAGGTGACTAGAGCATGGGACATTGGCTATTTAACATAGCAGAATGGTGATGGATGGCGATGGAGCTGACTGAGCCTTAGTAATATGAGTAATGGGTGCGAAAACTACCAATTCTCACACCAAAAAACCACCAAAAGGCGAATCAATAATCCAAGGGAGTGGGCCAGAGTATGGGTGGTAGGATACTGGAGGGGGTTCTTGCCAGGACTTGTGTCAAGTGCCAGGACTGATCTGCAAGGTGTAAAAGAGTGCAGTGGACTAGCATAAGGAAAGCATCGCCTGCAATTCTAATGACTTCGTGCGTTTTATTGTAGATCAATCCGTATTTTCTACCAGAGACCTAAGTAAAGGAATGAAACAGATCATTCTTATTGGATATGTGACCATGGGTTCATATGCTATTTCGTTACCTGCGTCATGTAGCTTTTAAACTGGAAATAATAGGAATAAGTATTCAACGGTGGAAGTACAAGTAATAAGTCTTGAAAATCTGGAACTGGATTCTTGGAATTGGCATTCACTGTAAAGATGATAAAATTCGGATCAACCTGATCTCCTGAAGCTATTACTACTGACAATTTTCAATTGCTTGAAAGCTTAGCTCTAATTGGCAGGCATTTGTGATTACTGCAACTCCTATCTATTTTAGACAGTTTCGAGATAGGTCAATGTTAAATCCCGGCTGCTAGTAGCTGAAGTAACGCCGTCAATCTAAAGAAGATTCCCCGGATAAAAGAGATGCGATACTAGCAATGCATTTATCAGACCAATCCACTAATAGAAGTAGAATATTCAAAAATAACCGAAGCTGCTGCTCTCGAAGTATGGCTGTTCGCTCACTGTGACCAAGAAATTTCGTCGTATAATGGGTAGTCCCATCCATCCATACAAACTACACCCAAAGCTGAGACCCCTTTGGAAGCAATAGCGGAAATCACCACTAGTAAATTGGCTCGGCTTAACACATAAAAACTCGCCCAAAAAAGGGATCCACCTAGAAGAAATAGGCAAAATCACTACCCCATATATAATGAAGAAGTTCCGTATGGAACAACAAAAAGTAAAATAGTTCACGTTCATCCATACTTTACTCTACACTCATGAATCACGACTGGGGGGTCATCGTGATACGATAAAATCGCGGCTGCGAAAGGCACGGCTAAGACTGTCATCAGGCACGAGCCACGAGCATGCCACTATTGCCAATTGCACCGCCAGAAGCCCTCAGTTGTTCTTGATAGCCTCAATTATTGTTACTGCTACTCGTACCTCCACCTCCTCCTTCTCCTCCATCACGAGCACTGCGTGACCCCAAATGAAACGATGGATGCAACGGGTCAGGGGCCACGATTCACCCCCGTGGCGCCAGTTGGGAGATCAATTCCACCACCACCATTTCGACCACCACCACCACGACACTTCCACCATCTCTGTGATAATGTTCCCTACCAAGTCGTCCCAGAATCTGTCCACTACTCAGCTCGTGGGCCTCTTCGCGACTGTCTCGCTAGCACTGATGACCTCACTGTTCTGCTTCACGTGCAAGCATTTCATGCCTCTGGAACAATCGTATTCTGCCTGTTTACGCCGCCAGACCTCTGCTAGCCTTAGTGTATTGAAGTACGGATGTTAGTCCCACCAGCAGCCCCTCCCCAGCCTCTCCCTAGCGCCTCCTATCTCTCCCCAATCTTCCCTTGCCCCCTCGCAGTCCTCCCCAAGTCGCACTATCCTCCCTGTCCTGGTTGCTATTTCAGCCTCTCCCGGACGGCCCAGTAATTTCATCGCGTAGGCTCAGGCGTATATATACCGGACCTCAGTAGCCGCCAAACAATCTTCCCCACCAGTATTCATTTGCACAATTCGTCATGGTGGGCTTCTTCTCTCGTGGCGTAAGTACACCCATCGGCGTATCCCCAGGCCCTACTAACCTCTAGAGAAAGCAGGAATATCACGGCTTCAGCAAGTACCAGGAAGAGCTTCGCCACAGCGCCAGTGGGGGAATGGTGGCAGGCCTACCAAACCCCAGCCAGAACAGGAGCCAGTCGTTTAGCAACGGCGCTGGCCAGGCGGCGGCTGCCGCCTTGCGGATGCACTCGCTGCCGTCGCTGGCCCAGAGACAGCTGTATCACCCTCAGCAGCAACAACAACACAGCCAGCAACGAGCAGGACCCCCCAGAAGAGCAAACTCGCTCTCGTCTGCCAATCGCTCCAACTCGTTGAGATCCTACACCTACCATCCCAAGGGATCGTACACCCCAGGCTCAGCACAAGTGCCCACCGCAAGCGTCTCGTCCAGAAGTAATAGCCTCGTGGCTAGATCCACATTCACGCCCGTACCTGAAGATGACCACTACGACGAGGTCGAAGAGGTGGTCACAACCAAGACTACCAAGATCGTGGACTCCCAGGGAAGAACCCAGTCGATAAAAACAACCACCATCAGAACAATGCCTGACGGCTCCAACGTCATCGAGACAACCACCAAGAACATTTCCAGATCCAATTCCCGAGCAAACTCGTTGAACTCGTCCAATTTACGTGCCGGCTCATTGTTGTCGGCAGACAACCCCATAAACTTGACCAAGATCGACGAAGACTTACACGATTTCGACTACAACTATGAAATGGACTCGCAAATGCGCCCTCAGGTCAAGCTCAACATATCCAAGAATAATGAAAGCGCTGTCAGCGAAAACGCCGCTATTCTTGCGGAGCAGACCACTGAGAGCCCTACTGTGAAGCCACTAAGATCCATCTTGAAAAACAATCAACATACAGCGTTCGAAGCATCAGAAGACTCCCAATTCACGGAAGCTGGAGAGTCTCCGAAAAAGACTTCAGAAGCTCATCCCTACAAGGCTATTCATACAGAAGCTTTACAAGGCCCTAAATTCAAGGTGCCTGCTAGCCCTCCGTTCAACCCCAAGAGCCCTACTAAGAGACATAGTCCTAATAGGGAGGATATCTTATCAAGTGCTTCCTCTTCAATTAAATTTGACGAAAGGGTTGAAACCATTCCAGTATACAATACTAGTAAGAGTAACGGCCTTGGGAAGGCCTTCAATCCCAGAAAGGAGCTTCCAAAGAAAGAACCCCCAAAGAATAAGACTACTACTGATGCAGACTTCTATGCCGCCGCCATGAAAGCAGCTTATAAGAAGGTTTATGGTCAAGATCAACCACAAACACAAGCTTCACCTAGTTCACTTCCAGGACGTAACGTGCCAGAAAGTCCTACCAGCCCCGAAAATCAAACCTCGCCAACTCAATTTCAACCACCAGCTTCTGCTAGAAGTGGTAACAGAACCTTTTCTTTGTCTTCAAATATTTCCTCAATCATGGAGAACAGAAAAGTTAAGACCAAGCCCAGTAAAAGCAAAGCATTGGAAGAAGTTGGCGGAGTTAATTCGGACTTCCATTATGGTGCCCACCATAAGGATTTTGTGAAGCATTCTCTAAGAGAATCAATTCCAAAGTCATCCACAAGAAAGGAGAGATCTAAGGATGAGAAGAGATTACTTAAAGAAGCACAGGCGGAAAAGGATCTAGCAGAGAAGCAGGCAAAGAAAGAAGCCAAGCTTCAACAAAAGCTAGCCAAGAAAGAGAAGAAGAAGGCTCCAGAAAACAAAACCTTTTTGGGTCTTTTTGGAAAAAGAAAGTCCTCAATTTCAGATGGTAATGATACAGAAGCCAGTTTTGCTCCTTTCAATGCCCCTGGAGTAAGCTCAGAGAATAATCATGAAGTAGATTCTCGTAGAGAATTAAGACCTGACCTTGTGATTCCAGAAAAAGATGAATTTACAACCCCCGAACCAGTTGAGATTTCACATGACCAAGATGTAATTGCAATCTCAAATTCGAAAGAAAAGCATACCGTGGATGACGAACTCGCATCTTTTGCTAAGACAAAGGATTCCACTTCGAATTACGCCCTGAGGGATAACAATCCGATCTCCTCTTCCGTCAGTCAAAAAGCCCCCCAAACTTTGACTGTGGATGAACCTTTGGCCACGCCACAGCATAGTGAAGCTGAAGTAATTGTTCCAGAAGTCAAAGCCATTACACCAGAGGTTAGATCAAGTCAAATTGAAAAGGCCAAGGAGATTGATTATGTCAATACAAGTGCCAGTTCTCCCTATTTGTCTGCTTCTAGCCCCAACGAGTATGAGCAAGCTCGTGATAATTTGGAGCAGCTTGATGATCATATCCCCGTTCCAAGTTTAAGTGATATCGAAACACCCGGACTTTATTCAGATAGCGAGGACGAAGATACCCAAGATCATGAGCTTGGAGCTAATATCAATAAAAGCGCTATGGAGAATGCAATTTTGGGTAGACAAGGATCTCCACTCGAATTTGCTAGTGCTAAAGAACTCACAGAAGGAGCAGAAAACAATCCAACACTTCCAGAACCAGAGTTTTCTCACACAGAGAGGGAAGTAGATTCAGCATCAAGTAAGCCTGAAACCATTTCAGAGAACATTATTCAACAAGAATATGAAGTTGCCACTGCCTTCATTGATGGTGATGGGTATAAACCATCTGAGAGTGAACTTAATCTCCCGGAAAGCCAAGTGACTGCGCAAGAAGGCTTAGAGAAAGAAGATGAAGAACCTGTTCCACAATACGGGAATGAAATTGAAGAATCGATAACACCTAAACTACAAAACGCTGCCACTGATGTTGTATCAATCGATGGAAATGGCAAAGCAAGTCACTTAGCTGAGATCCCAATATCCGTTGCGGAATCAACCACCGAGAAAAAGCAATTGAATATTCCATTAGAAACTGATGAAGCACTGAATTCTCAGATCGGGCAACAAGCTCCCGTGCAGCCTAAAGCAGTATCAACCGTTAAAAACGAAACTATTATTCCTTCTGAGGCAACACAATCAAACCCTTCTGCAGAAATCATCGATGCCCCCAAGTTTATTCCTGGAACCTCCGCTCCATTATCACCTCATAGAATTCCTGCTGCTGCTGCCAATGTAACTGCACCTGTGCCTCTTGCAACAAATACTTCAAAATTTGCTCCAGGAGGTCCCCCAGGAGCTGTTGCCAGTAGCTCCGAATCGCCTGGGGATGATAAATCAACTGTTCCAACTTTGGCCAGCCAAAATTCAGAGCAACCAACTAACTCAACCGTTGCCACCGAGCATCAACCGCAGGTAAATCACGGTACTACAGATCATGCCTATGAAAAAGAGGTGACATCGGTGCCTAGAAAGTCCAATAAATCTAAGAAATCTAGTAAGATAAGAGAGAGAATCTTCAAGTATTTCATTAATTCCTATGATAAGTAATGTTTAGTTCTATACTGGTCAACCAGATGTGTTTTAATATATGTATTTATATTTGCAGATTTATATTGAGAGTGTAGATATTTGTACCAGCTAATTAGGGATTATCTTTCATCAAAATTAACATTTTTAACAGACATATCATTCCAATTTTCTTCCAAAATCCTGTCATCGGTTATGATTTTCCAACCATTCGAACTGGCTTCTCGCATGCGAGGTAGTCCAAACTTGAAAGCCCTTGAGGATTCATTTAAATCTTTGATAGTAGTATGTGAGGGGGCATGATGGTTAAAAGATCTGCGATTTGAGCAAAGACAGCTCCCAAACTCTGGGCAAGCAAAACTTGTTCTAGTTCTATTTCCTTCTTCTCCATAGCTTACATCGCCCGAACTGATGTTGAAAGCACTGATTGAAGGAAAAGGAGTGCAAGTTGAAGCAGATGTGGATATGGGGGTAACTGGAAAAAGCTCTAGACTGAACAACGAGTGAGGACTTATATCACTGAGTGACCCTGTTAGTTTTTGCTGCTCCAACACTGGGGATACAAGGTTAAAAGCTGGAACTGGTGAGTTGATCATGGTTCCGTATGGCCAGATTTGGACACTTTTTGCACCCGTACACAAATGCGATTTTTTCTCGGAGGTTCTACGGGGAAGACAAACTTAATTCGAAATTCCTAGAAAAAGGCAAGAGGAGCCACGGGTGCTCTCTCTACCAATAGTCTACGATTTGCTTATAATATAATCATATTTTTTATTTCATGAATATTGCCTTTGCTTCCTTAAAATAATATTTCCTTCATATACCTCTATTCCATCTCATGTATATTATATAACAAGAGTACATATTATTTATTATTTAACAATCCCCTACTATAAGTATATGGTCAAATGAGTCACTGAGATACAGCTGTTATGACTAATTTAGTATCAGCTAGTGTGTCATCAACTATAGCTTGCATAGGTGAAGGATCACAAAATTGACACCAGAAGGATAATCATTGAAGTGGTTACTCACACCTAAACCGAAGCCACTTGAATATTGCGACCATCACGGCTATGAAGCGAGGACTTTTCGAGAAGATTTGCCAGGTTCTAGCACGGTGCTTGAATTAGCTAGAAATGTCTCAAAAATTATTGTTGTATGACAAACACTTCTCCTTCTACTGATGTGAACCAATTCCTGAACGGCACAGAAAAATAGACACATCTGCTTTGTACCTACTGGGATGCAACGCGATGTTTTGGTGTGATAAATCCGGAATTATCGTCACCCATTGCATCCATCTCTTGATTAGTCACCGTTCCTGCACACGCGACATATATGGATCTATATAAGAACCCCGATAACGATTGAGTACCTTGCACACATCGATTTGCACCAGGGGTCTCTCCAAACCAAAGCCTAGACTCCGCTATACATCTTCAATTAACTTGTTGTCCAAAAGGGCCAGTTTGATTGTGATTTTTCAGTGATTCAGTGACCACATATAGTCATATCTTATCGGACCAACTCAAAAATACACCCAATGGCAGACACCACCGTGGCATCGCCACCGTTAGACCTCCCAATGAATTACACCAACATGCCCTCGTCTGAACAACGAGAAGGAGTCGACTTGAGCAAAGCATTCGCTGACCTCTGTCAAGCTTGCCGTTCTGGGGACTACGAAGTGGTGGACTCGCTTCTCTCCACACGTAATTTGAATATCAACCAAGTGGACGAGTGGGACTACTCGCCGTTGATATTGGCATCTTTGTGTGGCCACTTGAAAATCGTGGGATTGCTCTTGAGCAGAGGTGCTGTGTGTGATAGAGATACTTTCCAAGGTGCACGTTGTGTCTACGGTGCTTTGACCGGAGATATCCGGAACTTGTTGATCAGTTTCGATCTTTCCAAGGCAGTGGACATGTCGCAGCCCTTTGCAAGTCATATTTCATCATTGTTGGGGCCCTTGAACCAAACATTAACAAAGGACATTTCGTTCTACTTTCCTCGTGTCAACGGTGCAATGGCTCTGGACTTGCAGTCGTTTAGATTGAACCGGTTTCTATTGGCTGCTAGAAGTCCATACTTCCGGGAGAAGCTTCAGGGTCCCTGGAAGTACAAATCCGTGGTGAAGATGCCCTCTATTTCTGACCCTGCTGTTTTTAAAATTATTGTGGACTACATTTATCTCAGGAGCGATACGTTACCAATTGACCAGGCTCTGACTCAAGACGAATTGGCAAAGTTTGCTAAGAAGCTCAAGCTTGAGGATTTGGCAGAAGGTATCGAGAGAATCAAGAATGTAGTATACAAGAAACAAAAAGCAAAGATCAAGCACGACCTTGCACACAAGTTCGTGGAGAAGGCAAGACAGGACTTGGAAACCTTCCTCAAAGACAGCATTTTCAAGAACCTGGTATCTTCGGAGTTGAATCTCACCGAAGAGGTCGAATTTGAGGATATACAGACATCAGAATATTTGACAGACGAACAGAAGCACCAGTTGATCGAGTCAGGGAGCTTGCCTGACATCATTCTCTCCTGTATCGACTCCGAATCGGAGCGGGTTGTGTTTTTCCCAGTCAATAAGTCCATTGTATCGAGATCCGAATACTTCGATACCATGTTCAAATCAGATATATTCTCTAGCTCACAGGTCGATATTCCAGTATACAAGGATTTTCTGGAGACAGCAAATACCGACATTATTGATCGTCCGGCCCTTCTCCCTCCACATATACCTGTTATCCAGCTCTCGACCAGCATCTCGAGTGTGGTGGTCTCCCACATGCTATTGTCATACTTGTATCACGATGATATCCATGAGATTACTCTTTCGTCAACTATCGAACTACTCTTTGCGGCTGATGAGCTCTTCATGGATAGATTAAAAACAATCTGTGCTGTTAATATCACTTCCAATTTCAACAAATTCACCATCGACGAGTTCCAAAAGATACAGGACTCAGTTGGATACAATGCGTATGATTTGATCAGAATTTCATGGCAAACCAGATGTGATAAGTTGGAGCAACATATCACGAAGATGATTGCCCATGGTCTTGGTTTTATCTACGGCGAGGAAAAGGAACGGAAAGAACTCTTGTTATTGATTAATGAGAGTGCGGCCAGAATCACTGAGAGACAGGACACCGATACCATCGAATTGATTGATGATATTCGTTATTATCTCAGCAAGAAGTATTCCGTCAAAGATGAATTCAAGGACTTTGATCCGCTTGGAGACCAGTTCCAAGATGGAAGTGCACTCTCAAAACCAAGCGACATCAAGGTCTTGAGAAGTGCATGGTTGAAGTATCAAGCAGACATAGACATGGTGGATGGATTGTTAGAAGAGTTAGATTTGGCAGCATGAGAGATGACTTTTTGCCAATTCCCAATAGATTTAGAATGGTTTAAAGATGGCCTGCTCACAATTGAGCTAGGAATCAAAATGCTAACCAAAGGCACAAATAACAGTCTTTAGTTTCGCAGCCAGGTATTTCAAAAAACTTTACGAGAGTTAATGGGTAAATAGATCAGCACAACACATAAATACAAGAAGCTAATGCCCAAAAGTATGTAATTATAGCTTTGTGGAAATAGATAGCCGATTTCAAATAATAGATCTTGAATGGAAAAAGGAGTAAAAGAGACACCAACATTCTACTTTGAATATTTTATCAGCGAAACCAATGACATATAATAATGACATATAAAAAAGATGAATTTCTCGTCTATATCATTAAAGCAGTATGACTTCATCCCGAACTCTTTCGTAACCCCACAGTAGATTCCTGGTACGATGGTATATTCCTGTATATACACGTGACCGCATCTCATCCCATCAAAAAAAATCCATGCGGTATCACAATTTATCTCATCACTACAACATGGATAACAACCCAGATGGCGGAATGTCCGCAGACCTTCTCGGTCTCGAGGACAAGATCTCCAAGATCAGGTCTCAAATCAACTCCAAATTGGAGAACCAAAAGCAACTTGCCATCATTTTATCTGCAGTTGAAGAGAACATCGAAGAACAGCACAATGAAAAGTCCCCTATAACTTATTTCGTATCCTTCTTGTCCTTGTTGGAACAATCCGTGAAGGAAGATGAAATCGCCGATGTCGGATTAGCTACCACCTCCGCCTACTTCCTCGACATCTTCGTTCCATTCACTCCAGCAAGTTTATTAAAGAGTAAGTTTGGTGAAATTTTAACCAAGTTGGCTCCATGTTTGACTCACCCCAAGGCTGAAGCTCCCTTGATAAGATCTACCATTGGTGTCTTGGAGAGCTTGTTGTTGGTCCAAGAGCACCAACAATGGTCCTCAAACTCCAATATTTCTCCAAAGAGAGCGTTGTTGGGTTTGTTAGAGTTATCCTTCGACATCAGACCAAAGGTTAGAAAGAGAGCACAGGAAGCAATCAAGAACATCTTGATGAACCCTCCAGCTTCTCCATCGCCTTACCACATAGCATCTCCATTAATTGGAGAAATTTCATTAAACAAGTTGAAGTCATTGATGGAAGAATCCAGGGCCACTAAAAAGTCTGCTCAAAAGGAAATCAACAGTCAACTTATTCATTGTTTGCAATTGGTGACTGTCATCACCTCTACCAACTCGTGGCCAACCAGCCAAGTCGAAAACTTGTGTGATGTTCTTCTTGAGATTTCCAAGGCTTCTGACCAATTCCTTATTTCTTCCACTTTCCAAGCATTTGAAGGTTTGTTCAAGTCGATGACAAATGAAATTGACATCGAAAGATTCAACAGAGTTTTGGATATCATATTTGATTTGAAACCTTCCCTCAACGATACCTATTTGGCTGCTACTTGGTTAGCCATTATTGCCAAGGGTTTGGAAAGCTTCTCTATCTTGTCGCCCGAAGCTTGCTTCAAGAAGTTAGTTGTGATCATTCCAATTGTTGCTGGATTCTTGGCCTCGGAATCCAAGGATATTACCACATCTTCCAGCCAGTGCTTGATTGCCATTATCAGTCAGACTATCCCAGACAACTTACTCTTGTTCCAAACTCCTCAAAATGGTATTTCTGATGAAGTTGCCGAATTCTTTGATGATTTTGTTCCATTCATTTCCCAATTGATCGAGAAAGAACTCTTCAGCATTAAGTATCAACACTCCACTAAGGAAATTTTGGAGTTTGTCACTGCTTGTGTCTTGAAGTTCAGAACCCGTGGTAGCTCAGACTTCTTTAAGATCCTTATAACTGTGGGTGACTGGCGTACCAATGAATCCAATTCTTTCCCATACAACAAGGAAGTTGAAGATTTGATTTCTGCTTACATCAAAGCGTTGGGTCCTCAATTTGTTTTGGGCTACTTACCATTGAACTTGGAATCTTCCGATCAACCAGGTAGAGCATGGTTATTACCTCTCTTGAGAGACAATGTTTCTAACGCAAAGTTACAGTTCTACAAGACCAATGTGTTGCCATCCGTGGAATTCTTTGATGCTAAGATCAAGGAATCAAACAAGAAGGATACTGTTCATAATAAGATTTTCCAGACCATTATCGATCAAATCTGGTCCTTGCTTCCACGCTTTGCTGACTTGCCAGTCGATTTGCGTGATGCCTTCGATGACAAGTTCGCTGCTCAATTGTCTGAATTGATGTACTCTAATGTTGAATTGAGAACACCAATCTGTAATGCTTTGAGGGTTTTAGTGGAATCCAATCTCAAATACATAGAGTCTGAAGAAAGAGACTTATTCGTCGAACAAGAATTTCCAGTTTCTGAAGCTCAAAAGAACATCGAATACTTAGCATCTAAGGCCTCCAACGTCTTGTCTGTTTTGTTCAACGTGTTTTCATCTACTTTGCCTGATTCCAGAGGTTTTGTGTTGGAAACCATTGACGTCTTCTTGAGAATCATACCGAAACCAGACTTGGAAGTTACCTTCAACAAGGTGTGTGGATTATTGAAACAAGCCATGGATGACGAAGCATCATCCAATGCTAAGCCAAAGAAGGATGAACCTGCCTTGAGTGTCACCATGATGGACTTGGTCGTTGCCATGTCCAAGTACGTTCCTGAGCCATGTCACAATGCTTTGATGTCTATCTTTTCCTCTACTGTCAGCATGACAAACTCCTCTTTGATGCAAAAGAGATCTTATAGAATCATCTCCAGATTACTCGAAACCGATGAAGGTAAGGCTACTGTTGTCAGGTTCATCAAGGAAATCCAGGATGTCATGGTTCAAACCACTGAATCCACTGTCAACTCTGCCAGAGCCCCAAGATTGACCACTATTCTCTTCATTGTTGAATTGTTACCACAGTCTGACTTGTACTTCGTCCCATCCATTTTGCAAGAAATCATCATGTCCACCAAGGACGTCAATGAAAGATCAAGAGAATTATCGTACCAAATCTTGATCAAGATGGGTAAAATAATGGGTGCTGGTGGTATGGTTGAAAACAGCAAGGTTCCAGGCTTTGCTCCAGATGCACCAAGCTCCGAGGCTAGTTTGAACGAATACTTCACCATGGTTAGTGCTGGTTTAGCAGCACAATCTCCACACATGATTTCTGCCACTATCACTGCTATCTCCTGTTTGGTTTTTGAATTCAAGAATGACTTACCAGTTGAGGTTTTGATGGAAATCTCCTCCACTGTCGAATTATTCTTGACTCACAACTCCAGGGAAATTGCCAAGGCCGCCATCGGTTTCGTCAAGGTGGAAGTTTTGTCCTTGCCAGAAGACTTGGTCAGAAACAACTTGTCTGAATTGTTGAGCAAGTTGATGAGATGGTCTCATGAACACAAGGGACATTTCAAGTCCAAGGTCAAGCATATTTTGGAAAGATTGATCAGAAAATTCGGTGTTGAGTTGGTGGAACAGGCCATCCCAGAAGAAGACAAGAAGTTGGTTGCCAACATCAAGAAGACCAGAGCCAGAGCTAAGAGAAGAGGTGAAGGCGAGGATGAAGATGCATCCAAGGGTACCGAGAAGAAGTTCGTTTCTGCTTATGAAGAAGCCTTGTACGACTCTGAAGTTTCCGATGATGAAGCCGAAGAAGACGAGAAGCCAACCAAGGGCAAGAAGAAGTCCAACCAATTTATCTTGGACACCGGAGACGAACCATTGAACTTGTTGGACCGTCAATCTTTGGCCCACATCTCGTCGTCCAAGCCAAAGAAATTTGACAAGAAGGAGTTGACCAACATAATATCCGAGTTCAAGACCGCCAACGGCAAGCTTGTGATCAATGACAAGGACGAGGATCCTTTAGCAGGCAAGGGATCAGGTGTGGATGCTTACTTGGACGCTGTCAAGCAAGCACCTGTCAGAGGTCAAAGAAACAAGTTGAAGTTCAAGAAGTCCAAGGAAGAAGACAACTGGTCCGACGACGAGGACTCCCAGCCAGCAGCCAAGAAGGCTTACAAGGGAAGCAACAAGGTGATGAAGCCTAGACAGAAGTTCAAGGCTAGAAAGAAGTTCTAGAGGTAACCACAGATAGACAGTGGTATATAGTAATTTACAAATCGAAGATGAGCCGTAGAGATTCCGCCAGTGAGTGTGCTTTTACCCTGGGGCGAGCTGATACCCATGCACTATATAGTATTAAATCGAGTTCATACTACCACCGAACCGCACCCATATAGACTGAAAGGGCTTTTCGCATCAACTCAGCAAGAAGGAGTTTCTGTTAAATAATAGCCGTACATGCCGTGTTGGGATGGCAGCATCCTTGCCAGTGCTCTTCTCGAGCTCAGTATCTACAAGACGTCTCTGGAGCCACCTCCAGCCCATTCATCACCAGCCCAACTGCCACTTTCCAGTAGTGCACTATTCTGCTAGCATGTAGCTGGTGCGGCCACTACCGCACCTCACTAAAATTTTGATCTTGAACACACTCGTTCATCACCAATGTCCCTTCCTATAGTCAAGAGTCCGTTAAGGATCAGGTTGGCCCGTTTCGGGAGAAAGCACCAGCCGTTATACAACATCGTGGTCGCCAAGAAAGGGTCTGCTCGTGACAGCTTACCAATCGAAGTCTTGGGAACCTACAACCCAGTGCCAGTTCCATTAACCCCAGAAGAAAAAGCCGCTGGCGTCAAGGCGTTCAAAGATATACAGTTGGACTTCAACAGATCGAAGTACTGGGTCGGTGTGGGTGCCGATGTCAGCGAAAGAGTCACGTTCTTGTTCAAGAAGGCTGGATTGTTGCCAGAAACTTGGCCCAAGCCTCACAAGTTGACTCAGCATGTTGAGAAGGAGATCGTCAAGGACTCTACCGTGGTTTACGAAAAGCCTAGAGAGTTGTATAGAAAAAGATAGGGGGCTTGTACATAATAATAAATAGCATAAGGAAGAAATGCCTGTGAGCATGTAGTAGGCAGACTCGAGAACGAGCTGTTTGAGCATGAAATAGAACCCTGGTAAGCATGAGGGCTATAACTCGCCAATAAAACCCAAACGTTATGGAACCTTTCCTATCATTCCGGAATGGCGCCTGAGAATATTTTCAGGCTATTGCCTGTCTGCAACAATAACCTCGGTCTCTAGTATTGGCTTGGGATTGAGCCATCCTCCTCTCCACTTATGCAATTTCAATAATTTATTTGTAACACTCTTGCATTTCTTTCTGAACCCATTTCGGGTTTGAATTGGAGGCACAACTTCAAATTCACACACCTTCTGAATAGGAATGAAAACACCACCGGGTGATATTCCCGTTGGTTTCCGAGTTTCTGCTTCCCTATTTGATATCAGTAGCGAGCTACTTGAATCACAAATACTCCTATCAAAGATTTTTGGCCATTCTGGCAGAGGAGGAATTTGCAAATATTTCCTATAGTCTCCGGTCTTGGTAATGTGTTTGTAGTAGCACGAATAGCGCTGCACCGTTGGGTTTGTCGTTGGTTTAGCCCTGGACTTTGGTTTCTTGAAAATCTGTCTATGGATCTTCGAACACCTCTTACTAGAGGCCTCTATTTGCGGTAGAAAAAGGGAAAATAGCCGTACACGAGTTACGAAGGCTTCGTGAGCCTTTCCGAGAATTTCGAAGTCTGCATCCCGTTCAAGATCGTAGTAATCATAGCACATGAGAATACAATTAGAGAATGCACAGAACTGTGCACTAATTCGTGGGATATTATGTATGTCCAACTCGAGGTGGGTGAAGAACTGCACAATCTCGAGCTTGGGCTTTGAGAAGGTGACCACCAAAAGCGAAGCAAGCTTGATAAGATTGCATTTATTCTTCAAATCCGTTTTTATCTCCATCATTTGCGAGATCAACTCTAGCCCAGTCGAGCATCCCTGAGGCCCATCTTCGTCTTTCAAGATTGATGACCGAGTTGTACTATCAGGAGGTTCCGTGAAGTGTACATCCATTGTGGTTTGGAGTTGCAGAGCCACTGCCTCCAATTTTTCTAGAATTGATACGGTGATTTCAACGGGTATGGTTGTTTCAAACCTGTGGTCAAATGGGAGCCGAAAGAGCACTGCAACTAGTCGGCAAAAAAGCTTCAACGACCGCTGGGGCGCCACCCATTGTGTGAAGTTGTCGGGGCAATCCAAATCCATTGGTATTAGTTTTTCAAGAAAGGCTACCACAAGCACCTTGACTATTCTCTCTAGGCGTGACGTGGAGAAGAAATCAATTATTTCATCCTTAAGAGTTTCCCCCATCGAGTTCCACTCAGTAGTTCGCTCTAGTATCGACAGAAACTCATCAAGTATGGGCTTTAGCTGCTCTATGGACTCAAAAGGACCATGATCTAGTAAATGCTCAAGCCTGGCGAAACTTAGTGAGAGGATCTTCGAATATGCTGGAGGACTTGTTCTCTCTGTTATGGGGGTTGAACATGAGATATTTGTGTCGTAGCTGGCGCTATTCATGTTGCAATCAAAAATGGGTGCAAATGCAAATTTTGCGAACATTAAAATTTTGGAACATGTCGATGGCACTTGGTGCCAAAGTCTCAAAAGTTGCAACTGCAGCCATGAAGAACTTGAAAATTGCTATACGATATGACTGCAATGTCTAGGAGGCTTTTCGTCTTAAGCTTAATTGAATTCTATCGTGCTATTGCAATTGGGGTCCATTCCTGGGGTCAGACTTGGAAATAATGTTTTTGGAAGTCTCCAAGCTGATTGGACTCTAACCTAACTCGATGGAGAGGTGGTGGTCTTTTCGGTGTCAGTATTGACGGCACCACTGATATTTTAATAAATTTTAATTTCTCTGCTAATGTTATAAATGCTTAATGAAATTTTTGAAATTCAAGAAAACGGCCACACTCAACAGTTGTAAATCAAAAATCGGTCTGTTTAGCGAAAGTGCCAGTGCTAACAAGTCAGAGAAGAGAGCATGACCTGCTGAACAACTAGTCGTCATATTTATCTCTCATCACCATTCATAGCTCTTATCATTCTCACAAATCCTGATCTGACAGAATAGCATAGAATGAGACTATTACTACAACATAACCACACTGATTAGCTCGCGGGTCTACAATAATTAGATGAATACTTGCTAGGTTAACTAGTCTAGTTATTTATTGAACGATCTGTTTAATCGAACAAACCCATACCCATGTCGTCATCGGATTCTTCTTCTTCTTCAGCAGCTGGGGCTTCTTCAGCAGCAGCGGCAGAGGAAGCAGAAGCAGCTGGAGCAGCAGCAGCGTAAGCTTCTGGGTTAGCCAATCTGTCCTTAATAGCTTCAGAACCTTCGAAGGTGTACTCAGTAGCAACAGACAAGGCCAAGACGTTCTTGTAGTGGTTGATGACAGAGTGACCAACGGATGGCAAGGTTGGGTAACCAACAGCCAAGGAGATGGAGGCGATGGTGTTGATGGCAGCAACGAAGTGACCGACCAATTCATCGTCAGTGATGTCCAAGATGGTGGATGGGAAGACTTGGCCTTCGGAGTAAACTTGAACAACAGTCATACCATAGGTGAATGGAGAGATGTTCAACAAGTTCAACAAGGAGGCTTCGGAAGCACCGACCTTGGTGTTGGCTTCGACGACCTTGACGTCAGAGACAATTTCAATGGTACCTCTGGCAATCTTGGTTGGGACACCCAAAGCTTGGAAGAAAGAGGTCTTACCTGGTTCCATACCAGTGTTACCGGCTGGGACCCAGACATCAGCTGGAGCAACGGCACCGGCTCTGGCTGGAGCGGCAACGACGTTGGAAGTGATGACTTCTCTGATTTGCTTCAAGTCAGCGTTGGTGAAGATGAAACCAACGTTACCTCTGACGAAAGGCAACAACTTTTCGAACTCTGGCAAGTCAGCCAAGAAACCTCTGATGGCTCTTCTGACCATGGTGTTCTTACCCATCAAGACAACGGCATCTTGTCTCAAGGCCTTTCTGATTTCGTGCATTTGTTGAGAAGAAACATTGTCGACACCAACAACGAAGATCGACTTGTATTCTTCTAACAATTCTCTCAACTTGGAGAAGTATTGAACTTTCTTTTCACGAGCACCACCCATTTCGACTTAGTAATTAATTGACGATAGGAATATTTAATGGACCCAATATCTAAGGAATAAAAGTAGATTGATGGGAGTGAAAAATATCGACAGAGGTGGTAGAGAATTTTTCGCGGGCAGGACACGACTTGAGGGTTCCAGCCCTCGCGGGCAAACAAAGTCGTGTGATTGGTATCACGTGACATGACTACTGGTATCCTTTGACAGCGCTCCCTCGCTACATCTAGCACCCAGGCTCGGACTCTACTGGTATCAGGTAATTGTCGTGTCTTCATTACTTAGCCGTACCCCTTGTTTTCGTAATCGGAGCTGACAAATGAATTTTTCAAGAAGCTGTCCCACAACTTCTCCAACTGCTTTTGCTGCTTCTTCTTTTTCTTGCTAGGCTTCTTTTTACTTCTAGTAGCGTCTTTAACAGGCTGGCCCAATTTTCTGCCGTACTTAATCCATTCCTTCACTGTCAAGTCCTTCATGCCGTACAACTTGTCGTCGGTAGCGTACTCGATTTCGTAGCCAAACTTCTTATCCCCTGAATTGATCTGCTCAAGGTCGAGGTAATATTGCACGTATCTTTCGGGGGTGAAAGTTTGGGGGATATATGCTGGGCCCAATGGCAAATTATCTGGCATCTTAGGAGGCAAGGTCTTGTCCTTCTTGAGAATCCAGTAACTTTCTTCGTCCTCTTCGTCTAGACTTTGGAATAAACTGTTCAATCCAGTAAAGAACTGGTCCCAAGGAGCAAAGCCATACTTGGCCTGAAACTCGATATTTTCACGCAAGCCGGTGATATTGTATTCCCAGACACGAATACCCGAGTTGAAGGTGGGTACTACACTGGCAGTGACATGAGCGATGGAATATCTCTCGGCGTGGTTGCCCGACTTCCGTCTACCCTTGATTTTGGCGTACACCGTTTCACGCAACGACTCCATGTACTTCACCTTGTTGCTGGGAACACCTCCCTGGATTCTGAACTCGGGGCCAAACTCCTCGAAGGTCTTGTAAATATCCGATTCTTCTAAGGCAGCAGTGAATTCATCGTCGGAATCTGATTCGTATTCCCAGTCCGAGTCCTGGTCCTCAATGGTAGTGACAAACGACAAGTCCTTGGCCTTGGCCTGGCCCTTCAACGATTTCTTGATCGACTTGTAGGCAGCCACTGAGTCCAAGGGAATGAAGTGGTCGATGTTCATGTGGCCGTAGAGCCCACCAATGATGACATCTCTGTACTCGTGGGTCCAAACAATGTACTTCCGAAGACAGGAAATATCGTAGTTCTTCTCGTTGGGAGGCACATGGCCAGTAAGCCACACCTTCATGTTTCTGGCTCTCATTTCCTTGAGCACGTATCCGAGCCATTCGAACAACTTGTACCCTGGCTGCTTCTTGGAGTCACAGTTGTCTACCAACGGGTTGGACTGGAAGAGGTACAAGGTGTTGATGGATAACACCGCCAAGTGGCCAGGAATCACCTCCTGGAAAAAGTAGGCGCCTCGGTTGAAGATATGGAGCTGGGATTGGGGAATGTAGTTCTGCCAGATTTTGAACATCTCCCTGGTCTGGAGGGTGGGACCAGGCGAGAACAAGTTGTGGGGGTACACGTCGTTGTTACCCAATGACGGAATGAGGTCCACCTGCATTTTGCGCAGGTGGTCGTCCGCTTGGTCGTCCTTGAACGCCTCGTACATCAAGTCACTGACCTGCTGGTTCATGTCGAAGATCGACTGCTCGGTTCTGGGGAACCTACGGTCGTTGTCGTGCCTGATGTTGTCGCCAGTCCACACCACGAAGTCGATTTTGTCCTTGAGATGCTTTTTAATCCACGCCACCGTGTCGTTGACGAGGATCATGGGGCTGTCACACCCCAAAATGGCGTCTCCGTACTTTCCCGACTTTCCCTCGCCCGGCGAGTGGCATGCCAGCTCTTCAGGCAGCATTCCTTCCCGGTAGTGGGGGTCAGGGTGCATGTCAGTGATGTGCAAGAACCGTCCGTTGATGATACGCTCGCCGTTCTCGGCACTAATCACACGGACGGGACTCTTAGGAGTGAGCCCAAGACGTCTGAGCTCGTCCCGCTGTGCTTGCGAGAGCTCGAGCTCTTCTGCTGCGACTGGCCCCATGGCGCTTAGCGAGACGCTGGCTGGTTGTTGGGGGAAGGTGTAGGCATAATAAAGAAAGGAAGCCACCACGAGCAAGACAGCATAGTGGGCTACCTTCCACGATAGCGGCAGGAGATGGCGAGGAGCAGTCCTCGTGGGTCGTTTTTCGGAGTCCATGGCGGGAATGGTAAGGAGAACTTTAGTTGATAATCGCAGATAGGTCGCGATAGTGGGCCACGTGAGAGATGCGGCTCGTGGCAGCCGTTGGCGGAGATTGGGAGCAGGAATGTGGTGGTGCGGATTTTGGCAGGGGTTGCGTAGTGATGCAAGCGGATAAGGAGGCTACCCCAGTAGAATTTTGTGGCAGACGGTGGGAAGTGATGCTTGTGGTTACGAAACTACTAAAAGGTGTATCTCGAAGATACTCATAAAAATTAAATTCTGGTGAAGTTATATTTTATTATGATGATAAATTAACTCTAACTCTGAGCGAATGGTGGTTATCGAAATGTTACTATTGAAAAATAGTTAGTATGCTGAGGCACACATTACAAGTAGTGTTACTTCACACCAGACTGGTAATATATAGTGAGGGCCATGGCCCAATATCGTAACGTATGTGGTGACTTTAGGTGCTGAAAGGCATCAAAGCCAAGGTTCCCTTAACATGAATCGGGAGGCTCGATGATATTTTTAAACGGTGATTTTTCCATTACTTTCTGCTAGACATATCAGCACTGTCCATACACCGGTTGATACCCAAGTAGAATTCTGTCATGGAATGTGTAGGGCTCCGCTTTGTAGATTATTCTTAAATATCTAAAAGCAGTGTTTTGAATTTAATAAATCAAGCCCAAGCTTTTACATGTGCAAGCTGTTACTCTTTTGGGACATACACCCACCGACACCCAAGTCTGTCGATTTCATCGATAAAAGGAAGAGGAGTCCAAGTACTATCAGGCAGCATTGTATGGTATTGGTTGGATATATTTATGGACCAATTGAGTGCCGCAGCAGAGGATACTCCAATTGAGTGCCATAGAAGATGAGACGCTCGGTGGATTATGCAAAGCCATCATTAGAGAGACTTGTGGAGTTGGAATATGGAGGAATATCAAAGAGAATTGTTGATTCTAGCATCTGTCTGCCAATGAAGAGGCCAAATACGAATTTACTTTTATGCATTTATAATTAATTCATTTTGCAATATCAATAATTTAAGTCGAAATCTACGAATTTAAGGTAATTTCATTAAAATATACTTTATTAGAGTAGAAGCGACTACTCACTCGACACCCGTTCTTTGAACCAAGAAGTTAACGAATCAGTAATAATTTAGCATATTCTGCCTAAAATCGATTTCCAACAATTTCAAATGCTTTCTATTTCTTTTACGATCTTTTGGGCCAGTGGAGGCTGGTGGCACCGTCGCACGACACATCTGGCAGGTAAATAACCAACACCACCACTTTTAAGAGGATAAAAACTGTTTACTACAAAGAAACTCGCTAATAGCTGGTCTGTCTACTATTCAAAATCTGGATTTGCCTATCTGTTAAGCAACTCGGAGAAATGTTACTTGTAACTCATCGTTGTCCCCGTTGCGTAAGTTGTATCTTAAAGTGTTCCTTCGCCAGTATCGCCATGAAATTTCATTCAGTATAAACAAGAAATTTAGAGCAAATAACGTGACTGAGAAGTGTTTCAAGTTGTGCGTTATGATTGTGGCTACGCTCTGTGTTTAATCAGTAATGGCTCCTCAAACTCGGGATGGTGCACGTGACTGACACAACGGTGTTCTTCACATGGTGCAGGCCCTATGCAATAGTTTAACCCTATTTGTGTGAGCGATCCGTGGCCACCAGGGGCCAGGTGCATGTTCCGAATTGGTCGCGTATGAGGTGCATCGCTATGAGGTGCGTCTAGCACACCCCCCAGTGGTGAAATTCCCGCGTGCCAGCACCCTTGTCTAGCGTGGCTATTCTCCTAAACAAGATGTAATTAGTTTACTCAATACGAGAAATGGGATGCACTTGCATCTGGCGCAATGCATTACCCCAATTGGGAAAAAGCATTTCTGGAACCAGCAAAAGGAGCCACAACAAACAACCGCGCGCGCCTCGAGTTTCGCGACGTAAACACAAACAGTGGGACAAACGGCCCACAATCAGGTTTCTGAATCGGGCGTAATGACTTGAAAATTGCACCGGGAATTGCAGGGGTCCGATGCGAGAAGACCCAGCACCCCGAGGGACTCTGCCGGGCTGGTGCTCCAGCACTGGGCAATGGAGCCTCCCATGGCGTCCCTGATACTAGTCAATGGCAGCAGCTCTTCCTGCTCCTCCACCGCCTACTCCCGACGCTCTCTGCACCCCCAGCAACTCCCAGATCCAGCCCTGCGCAATTGTTTCGAGATGTCACCCCTGACGTGGCACCGCGCGCGTTGCGCGCGACTGCAATAGTCTATTCCATGTGGAAACTCTTTGGTATATATAGGGTGCGTCCTGCCAGGTCAGAGGCACAACCCCACTTCCGTCATGATGTACTTGCAAACCCCCAAGAGGCCCAGTTTGCCTCCCACTCCTTCCAGCTACAGTGGCAAGCCTACCAGCTTGCCGCCCTTGCTGTCAATCCTCAATCTTTCCAAGGACCACTATCCCAACGCACTGTCCACGCCGTTTCTCCCTAAGTTGCCGCTGGTTGAGTTCACCCCCTCCAAGTTCCACCCATCACATCTGCACGCAATGCCCACCCCCCGCGCAGACACCAGCGAAGGCGACATCAGCATCTCCGAAATGAAACGCACGCGGGTGGAGCTTGTACGGGCGCACTCCACGCCAGCCAAGCTGACTGGCGCCAAGGACAGCAAGTCTTTTGCGTTCATCTCACACTCGCCTGCCACTTTCCCCCTGCAAGAGCCTGCCATCGACAACGCGCCACTTGCTAGAAGAAAGCGCAGAAGAACTTCCCCTAACGAGTTGTCCATCCTCAACTCCGAGTTCCAGGCCGGATCCACCCCCAACAAGCTGCGCCGCATTGAGATCGCCAAGCGGGTGTCGATGACAGAAAAGGCGGTGCAGATCTGGTTCCAGAATAAGCGTCAGAGTTTGCGCAAGCAGTGCAGCCACGAAAAGGAAATCACAGAATTGCCTCCTACCCCTCCCATCATCATTTTGCAGCAGCAAGCTGCACCTATGCCGCTTCCATTGGTGCTGTCGACCCCCACCAAGCCCATCATCCATAAGGCCCACTCGTTCATGGGCAGTCCAACCGTGCCGCTAGTGGGCGGAGCCTCGACCTCGTCGCCCATCAAGGAGCGTGCTCGTTCTATTCCCATCTTCAAGTCCGACGACGCCGACTCGTCGCTTGACGACTCAATGATCGCCACCGGCTACGTGCTTAACGAGACGCGCAAGAAGCAGCCAGTGCTGCTTAACTCTAGCAGTGCGTCCACCATGACTTTCAAGTTGACGCCATCTGCAAGCAAGGTTGCGCACAAGTTGACGGTGGCTGCAGAAGACAAGGAGAATAGCGGCAACGCGCGCAAGGACTCGGGTGTCAAGATAGAACGGGTGCCGTTGGCTGCACTCAGCGCCAACACCGCGCCTGCTGACTCCAAGCACGGGGCGGTCGAGAACTTGTTGTCGTTGAGATCGGGTAACTGGGTATAATGGGACGGATTGTGAACTAGTGTATATTAGGTATAATATAATGAATAACGAGACGAATGGACGTAGGAAATCAAATGGATCTCAGTGAGAAATGGAGGAACAGTAATGATAAAACTGGTTGAAATTGAATCAAACGGTAGAGAATTTATAAAGTCAATGGTAGATTAAGCAAAAATTAGTTGGAATTAATTATTAAGATCGACTGTAGAGTAATGGATCAATTGGTTAAGATCGACTGTAGAGTAATAGATCAATTGGTAATTAAGATCGACTGTAGAGATAAAGGACTGAAGAGATATAATATTACGAGAAGGAGGATATTGCTGACATGATCAGGCCGACTCGGGTAATGAATAGAGATATCAGAAGAGGATAATAATGTCGAGAATAAAGTGAAAATGGATTGGAGAGACAATTATGAATAAAGACTTTCTGGGGATAATATTATTATACCGAGTACCGAGTAGGATACTTAATGGTGGTGCCCTCACTCCCATCTAAACACCGAGTAATCCACTAGACCAGAACTTGCTTACAGAACCAGATCAATAAAATCCTAAAGGATTAAATTAACGCTACGTCAAATATCACTTTCATCACCAAATATACCATATGCTAATCTATTGCCTTTTGGACAGTGCAAACACCCATCACCCAACTCTTCCCACTGGATCATTGCTTCCCCTAACAAGCACGTCGCTTATTGCAGCACTCCAGACTTCCTCCACGAACCCATAATCTCCCTGTTGGGACATATACCGTAACTGGTAATGCCATTCGTCTCTGGCCGATACCAGTTTGCACCCATTACCTTTCCGCATTGGGACAAATGGCGGTGGGGCCCGTTTGGGCACTGGTGGGCGCGGATCTGCACACGACCTTTCCTCACCTTCACCAATTTGCCTATCTGGGACACGAAGGGGCCCTCCACGCCGTTCGGCACCCGTTGCTGGGGAAATATCGTGCTCGTCTAGCGTGCCATGGAAGATGCAAAAAATACTCGAAAAGGGGCATCGGGCCAGTTCTTTTGGGCGTGCCTACATACGATTGATCCCATTTGGCTCTATTGCCCAAATAATAGTGCTCCAAGCGTGTTGGATCTGGCACGCGATGCCTCGGGTGTTTCGTGGATTTGCAGGTTTACGGGCCTTGCATAGGCAGGAGGCAGACACCGTGTCGGGTGGTAACGTGGATAAAACACAAACATCCTTACTTCACTACTCTGGTGGATAAGATGGTGCTCGAGGTCCAGGAAAATCACTATGTTCATTGGATCTGGAGCTATTTTGGTGCGTTTGACTCTGGAGCAGGTAGATGGTATGCAAATACGTAAATTGTGGTATATCCTGGCCAGGAAGGCGCAGGGAAGGTATATTCCATGGCAGTTCGTAGAGTGGCAGATCCTGTCCAGAAAGAGCTCCCAGTATGAGGCCGCACCATATTGCGTCTAGCAGGTTGTTACAGTGTATTGAATATCGCAGTATGGCACTGCCACATCCATACTTCCACCTATCTCATCGTAAATTGTATTTGCTGGAAATGCAGCATGGCACCACCACCTACAACTTTTCAACTTTGCCATGAATATAATACAGAAAGTCTCCATGGCAGTCCTTCACCGTATCCTTGTACTTCCGGTTAGAAGGCAGACACTAGATTCTATTGGAAGTATTGCCAGTTGGGTATTACAGATTGAGGAAGGGTTTCGTAGCCAAGAACTTCGAGTTATACATCGATATCTGGCCATTTTCAACTGCTTGCCCTAGCAGAAAATGCCTGAACCATTCTATTCCATGGTTACTTCTCACAAAAACGTAGCCTGCCACCCCCTTCTTGTTTACTGTACAACAGGAGCCAAAACGTCACCAGGGAAAACCTGTAACTGGGCCCCGCTAATTTAATTTGTAATTGGTATTTCAAACCTATCTACTTTGCAATATAGTATCGTATAATTTGGATAATGAATTCTCAAATGGGCAGAATACTATTCGTTTGAACCTCGTTTCATTCTATTCACAGTTTTATACTTCCTCCAATTGGTTATCGAATACATGTCGCTATCATTGCCTTCATCACATCAGATGGCCCAAAAACCAAGATAAAATTCCAATAAGAATTATAGCTGGAGCTATGAGTAAAGGAGTACAGTCTTTATGTTAACAAGAAAAATATTAGTACAGCTCCTCATTATCTCTGCTGTACTTCTAAAAACGTTCTTAACATCTGGTTACTTGTGGTACTGGAACGGCAGATAGCACATATTAGTAAGTTCTTACATAAGCGGGAACCCCTGGGCCACCACCCGAATTTGGACACTACAGCCATCAATGAAACGTTGATTGTATTAAATTACATGGAAGTATAGATATAGATATAGATATGGATAGCAACACTCAACCATAAAGGCCAAGTCCCACTATGATTATGACCACCGATACCGTTATTCTATTTTTTGATTATCTTTAAAGAATACCAAGTAATAAAATTTAACGACCACGGGAAGTGGTCTTGGTGTGTTGACCTCTGACCTTCAATCCCCAGAAGTGTCTGATACCACGGTGGGCTCTGATCTTCTTCAATCTTTCCAAGTCATCTCTCAATTTGGATTCCAAGTTGTTGGCTAAGACGTGGTAGTCCTTACCGTCGACGTGGTCCTTTTGTCTGTTCAAGAACCAAGCTGGGATCTTATAGTTGGTTGGGTTTTGCATGATGGTGACGATTCTTTCCAATTCTTCTTGGGTCAATTCACCGGCACGCTTGTGCAAATCAACATCGGCCTTCTTACAGACCAAGTTGGAGTATCTACGACCGACACCTCTGATCTTGGTCAAGGCGTACATGATCTTGATTCTACCATCAATGTTGGTGTTCAACAAACTAGACTGTTAGTATTGCCTGAGTAAGACTGGACGAAACTGGCTGAGACTGGACGAAATGCCATGCTGAAACTGTGTGAGTTCTTTGGTGACTCCTCTCTGGCTGTGCTGTTGCTCTCTGGTGATTCTGGGCCACTTGACCCTTGACTTCGATTTGGGTTGGACGATGACAGGACCAGCATGAACGCCATCCATCAGTCTCTTGCCGTGCTGCTGTTGGTTGTAACATACCGTAAAATGTGTTGGAATGAACCTGATTCTTGGACAACTAATGGCATCTTGATTTGTTCCTGTTGGTTATACAAAGCAAAAGTATAAAGAACTTTCCGTTAAAAATTTTTAGGTGAGGTTGGCCTGCAATTTTTCACGAAATTTTCGGAGGCAGCGAGTGGGGAGCGTGCGAGGATTGAAGATTGGGCGTGCGGGGGCTAGGGCACATGCCCTAGAGCGCGAGGAGAGTCCACGTGACTCAATCAGTGCCAGTGGGGCAAGAGAACTTCCGTGGTGGGGTCGGGCTGGCGCTGTTGATGGTGTGCTGGTTCTGGTGGTAGCTGGTGGGACTGGTGGCCACGCCTCGGCTGTCTCTAAGCCCATCAGGGCCACTGGGAAAGTATATGGTCACGTGACCTGATATCAGACACCCTTCCTGGTCTGCCAGGCAGTCTAAAACAATTAGCGAAGATACGCCGATACTCCACATGATCTCCATTCCTCTCCGCCTCTATTTTCCCTCTCTCCCTCTCTCCTCTCTCCTTCTTCCCTCTCCTACTAATTCTCATCAAGTATTACTATATACATTAAACACTATACTTGCTGATAAGCCACTGCAATGCTGGCAATTCTATATACACACGGTTAGCTTTCAAGATGTCTCTCACCTCCACGGCCTCCTTCACCAAAACGTCGGCCTTCTTGCCAATCACCTCAGTAGACTCCAACAAGTTGTCTCTTTGTGCATCGGTAATGAAGAGAAGCGACAAACGATCGAGGTCATGTGCGTCCACAAATTGTCTGGTAGTTTCTCCGTTGGAGTACTTGAAATCCAATATCGATTGGTCGTATTCTGGGACTTTGTCTCCGCCAATGATGAAAAGCTTCCCGTTGCGGTACTGCTCTGAGAGCGCAGTTTGGAAACCACGGCTGTAGATCTTGGATGGCAACTCGGTGGACCAGTCGTGGCCTGCCTTGATACCGTGGGCCTTGATGCCATTGTCTCTAATTGGAGAGTTGGCATCACCAACTCTAGCACGACCAGTACCCTTTTGGGGATGCAACTTACGGTTGGAGAATGGCTTGTCACCCTTGGTGGGCACGTTTCCGGATCCAACACGAGCCTTGTCGGCTTCATACACCACGGCACTCCACAAGAAGTCTCTTCTCAAAGGGGCATCCAAGAAGGTGGCAGGCAAAGGCACGAAGCTCTGGGGCTCCAACGATGGAAACGTTCTTAATGATGCAAGGGTGTACTTTGGAGGTTGTGCGATCTTGAAAGCACCGGCAGACGCTTCGGTAGCCAAGGTACGGATTGATTGTCTCAACATCTGGTGAAAAATGGTCGGATTTGCAGGTTTTAAGCCAGTTCAAACGGGGATGTGATGTTGTGGATGCGAGTTCTTGTTTCCCTGGATCTATGGGCGTGAATGGGCCTATGCTATGTCTGTATCAAAACCAATCAATGGGTGTAGATGGGCCATTGTGATTTTTCACTCACCAATATGGATGGATGTCACGTGATCTATGGTTGTGGGGCGCACGACCTGGTAGTAAATTGTTACTGATTTTAAACCATCTGCAATCTACAGTGGGAGATTCAAGGGGCTTTCCTGGTGACAATTGTAGTGACTTATTAGAGAAATTATCACTATCCAAGATTATGTAATTGGACTATGTTCTACTACCACCAATATGTGATTATGCAATTTAAATTGGAGTGAGTTTATTATGAGATTTGTACTAGAGAAAACTGCCTCGATTATCCGTTAATTATGTAATATAAGTCGGATTTTCAAGTGGCCTGTCGTATTCACCTATGCTTATTATTTCAGGTAATTTCCTAGCTATACCTGGTGCGATGGCTGGGAGTGGCCCTCTTCTTCGTCGCTGTCAATCACGAAGTCCGCCACCTCGGAGTCTTGGGTGGCTCTGGTCTCACCCAACTCTATATTTTCCACGTATTGTCCTGGTGGTGCGTACGAGCCCTGTGGGTCAGTTCCCTTCCATTTGTTGATGGTTTTGGAAAAGAATCCCTGGCTCTTTTGCTGCTGGAACTCCTCGTCGTCCTCCTGGAACCTTCTCAACTGGTCTGCCCACTGGACGTTTTTCTTTTTGCCCGAAGGACCGGTTTTGATGATGGAAGAAGGCCGCGATTTGTACGACGCATACAACACGTAAATTCCCCAGATCAAGATGCAAATCACAAACAACTGGATTAGTCTTGTGATGGCACTTGAAGTAGCTGCTGGCGATTCTGGAAGTGGCTCTGCTGAAGCAGAGGCCTGTGGGGCTTTTGGTGCACCAGTAGGTGCTTCGTCCACAGGTGCAGGTTTGGTGATGGGTGCCGTCTTGTCAGGCTCTTCATCCACAGGCGCAGGTTTGGTAATAGGCGATGTTTTGTCGGAATCTTCAGGTTCAGGCTGCTTTCCATTTCTTTGGCCCAAAGGATAGGTCACAAAGGCCTTCTTCTGCTTCTGGTCGGTGTCTTCCTGTTCCTTGAGATCATAGTTGCCTGTGGCCAAATCAATCAAGGCCCTGGAAATCTCAGGCAAGTCGTAGGGCACCATATGGGAAGAGTTGAACACATTCACAAAAGTCAAGTTTCTCTCCATCTTGATATAGCCGGCAGTTTCACCGTTGTGGATCCAGTCGGCTTGCTTTTCAGTGAACCCCTTCTGTCCTCCCCATTTCAATTTTCCGATGAAGTTTTCCGTGCCGATGTAGTTGCAAATGATGTCAAGGTTTCCGTTGAAAAACATAATGGGAACTTCTTCCAAAAGCTTGGGGAGAAGATGGACAGAAGGTGCCGACTCTCTTTCCCGGAGATGACTGCTAACTGAAGAGGTACACTCGTGCCACTGCTTCTGTTTAATCAAGTTCAATTGTGCCATGACTTCTTTCTGCCTCAAGAATGGCGTCACAAACAGGAGCTCATATGGCCAGTTGGACCCACATTGCGGATACGAGTCCTTTTTGCTGTAGTCGTACATGTTGTAGCACCGCTCGGAATCAGGTGCCTCCAAATCCAAGGTCGAATCCAAAGCCATCGATAAGAGCTTCTCGCACTCTGTGTTATCAGCTTCATAGTCGTTAATAGCAGCATCGTCCCAGTTGGCGTCGATGTGGTTGACGATCTTTTGGCACTTCTCTTGCTGGGCCAAAATCCGACCCCACAGAGGGTTCTTCTCGTTGAGAACCCCAGCTTGATACAAGAAAGGCACGTAGGATAATCCTTGCTCGTTGGGGGAAACATAACCATTCCCAATCATCAAGCTTTTGAGGTTGTATTGGGGCTCCTTGTCGCCAACCCTCTTGTTTCTCTCCAAGATATGTTTTGCCACGTATGGAATATACTGACCGGCATAGCTTTCACCAGCCAAGTAGATATCGTTGCCCAAGTCCTCTGGAAATACCTTATAGTACCTGTCCAAGAAAGTGACGAAATTCCAGCCAATCTGGTCGAGAGTATGGGAGTAATCTTCACCATAACTGAATCCAGTACCACTAGGCTGGTCCACAAACACGATATCAGTGGCTTTGTGCCACGAGCCCTTGTTGTAGACCACCTTTTCGTCCTTGTTGACTCTGAATGGGCCAGCCTCGAGCAATGCTCCGTCCATGGACGAGCATCCTGGGCCTCCATTGAACCAAAACATGGTTCTCTTGTTGTTCTCGGGAATCTTGTTGTGATCCACGTACTTCCAGAAGAAGTAGTGGGTGTCATTTTCAGGATAGAGCTCGAGTTGACCCGCAAACATCAAGGGGATATCTGATTTAGCAATATTGTCGTACAAGCCTGGGAGCGAAGACACGAGGTACTTCTCTTGAGGATCGTTCCCCCTCTTTTGGGGAAACGCCAAAACTAGCTGGAGAAGAAAGAACGGCCACAAAGCTAGCATGATCTGGTGGAGATTAACGAGGTATAATTAATCAAGATAGTTGTGCTAGAAGCTGGAAATCGCAGTGCTGTGCGATAAAACACCTTAAGTATTGCTGTGGATGTTTCCGTTAAGCTCTTCTTGCAAGCACTGTCCCGAATACACCCTGTAGTAGCCTTTCCTTGGTGACTGGGCTAGATTAGGGCACTATTGTCCAGTTGATCTGAACTTTCCGTGGTTGAAACAAGAACTGCGAAGGTGACTTTGGTCAAGCAGGTTCCTATGATGGTGTTTGCCGTCTGCCAAACTCAACTGATGCTCCACCGGGTAGACAGAGCGTGATGGAGGTGTGGAGATAAGTTTGGCGTAGAAATATCGCTTGCGGATATAAGCGTCGTGCGCAGTCCGTTTCTGTCAGTGTGTGGAGCAGCAGGCGAAAACGGACAGGGGGTGGCTGAATAGAGCTGGAGGCAACCTCGTCCGACACGTCTGGGTCTGCTTGGAGCCGTAGCTCGGTCCTCCCGACAGTACGTCCAGCTTTCGTAGGCCAGTGGGGGTCCGGAAGCTGTATAACAGTCACGTGATGCGAGTCATGTGAGCGCCCCTGTGGGGTTCACAGATGCACTAAGCCAAAGGTTTGCTGCCAGAACGGACCTCCCCTGCCTGATACTGCTCAAAAGTCTCCTCATTCCACCTCCTAATTATCCCGCATTTATTTCTTTTATTATAGAACCAAGCCCATCTGCCACAGGGTGCATTAACCATATCTTGAGGCGAGAAGCTACACACGCGGAGACGTTTAATTACACGCCCGCATGTTGCTTACTAAGCCGTTACGTGATTATTTGCAATCATAACTCTCATACATGTACTAAGTCTAGCTAGCTTGTATATCTATTGGTTCAAAGGCTCGATGTTCCAAATGTTCTCGGCGTACTCGTCAATACATCTGTCACTGCTGAAGAAGCCCATGTTGGCCACACTTAACACAGACTTCTTTACCCATCTGTGCAAGTGGTCCTTGTCCGAAGCGTCTCCTCCGTGGTGTCCAAACACCTTTTCAAGCTTGATGTGGGCATCCAAAAATAAGTCAAAGTCGTCGCTGACCAAGTAGTGGTCGCCGTGGTATCTGATACCATCAAGCAACACCTTGTATTCTTCTGGGTTGCCAAACGCGCCAGACTCGATGGAGTCGAATACCTTTTGCAAGGTTTCTGGAATCTGGACGCCTTCGTAGATGTGTTTGTGTCTAATCTCTTCCACGGATTCTGACAAGTTACCGAACAAGAAGATGTTGTCCTCGCCGATTTCACGAGTGATTTCAACATTAGCACCGTCGACAGTACCAATGATTAAACCACCATTCAAAGCAAACTTCATGTTGGAGGTACCAGAAGCTTCGGTACCGGCAGTAGAAATATGGTTGGATAAATCAGAAGCTGGGGTGATGATTTCAGCCTTGGAAACATTGTAATCTGGAATGAAGACCACCTTCAACAAGTTTCCAATTTCTGGATCGTTATTGACAACATCACCAACTTTGTTGATCAAGTGGATAATAGTTTTAGCCATGTAGTATCCTGGTGCCGCTTTACCACCGAAGATCGAAGCCTTGGAAATGTAGTGCTTCAATTTGATTTCATCAATCGAGACACCGGATGCCAATAATTCCTTGATTCTCAAGTAACGGTAAATCACAGCAAAAATGTTCAACTGCTGTCTCTTGTACTCGTGAATTCTCTTCACTTGGACATCAAACAAAACAGTTGGGTCCAACTCGATACCAGTCTCCTCCTTCACTAAGGCTGTCAATCTACGCTTGTTGTGGAACTTAATAGCATCCCACTTGGTCAAGAATTCATCATCGTCAATGAACTTCTCCAACTTTTTCAAGTTCCCTAAGTTGGTCAAGTACTCGTAGTTAGGATCATTCAATTTCTCACTGATGAGTTTAGCCAACTGTGGATTAGCCTGTCTTAACCATCTTCTTGGGGTGATACCATTGGTAACATTGGTGAATCTATCCTTGCCAAAAACTCTAACGAAATCTTTGAAGATTGTGGTTTGAATCAATTCCGAGTGTAATTCAGCAACACCATTGACCTTGTGGGAACCAATGATTGCCAAATAGGCCATTCTGACAGATTTTTCGTTGCCTTCTTCTATGATAGAAACTCTACCCAAAATATCACGGTCATCCGGGAATTTGTGCTCAACATCCTTCAAGAAGAAGAAGTTGATGTCGTAAATGATCTCCAAATGACGTGGCAACAATCTTCCTACCAAATCAACTGGCCACTTTTCTAACGCCTCTGTCATAACAGTATGGTTGGTGTAGGCAAAGACTCTGGTCACGATAGACCAGGCGTGGTCCCATTCCAAGCCTTCTAAATCAACAAGAACTCTTTGCAATTCAACGATAGCCAAAGTTGGATGGGTATCATTCAACTGGATGGCAACTTGCTCTGGGAACTTTTCCCATTGGCTCTTGTTGGTCTTTTTAAATCTTCTAACGATATCGTGCAACGAAGCAGCAACCCAGAAGTATTGTTGCTTCAATCTCAATTCTTTACCGCTGTAAAAGTTATCGTTTGGATACAAGACTGCGGTGATGGATTCTGCTCTTTGTTGCGCACCAACGGATTGCTGGTAGTCACCAGCGTTAAACTTGGTGAAATCGAATTCGTGGGTAGGCTTGGCGTTCCATAATCTCAAGTTGTTGGTGTTATCAGTGTTGTAGCCTGGAATAGGGAAATCGGCAGCAACTGCCAAGACACGCTCACCTCCACTCCAGATCTTCTTTGGCTTGCCCGAGTTGGGGTCGTAGTCCTCGTATACATGGCCGTAGAAGTCCACGGGGATTTGGATTTCCTTTCTGTCGATTTCCCAGGGATTCGAGTACTTCAACCAGTAGTCTGGGGTTTCCACCTGGTAGCCGTCGATGATCTTTTGCTTGAAGATTCCGTACTGGTAGTTCAAGCCGTACCCCCAGCCCGAGTAGTTCTTGGAGGAGAGGGAGTCGACGAAGCACGCAGCTAATCTACCCAAACCACCGTTACCCAATGCAGCGTCCGGTTCCTGATCCAACACGTCCTCCAAGTTGAATCCCAAGTCCGACAACGCCGCGGCAGCATTGTCCCTGCCCTTCAAGTTGATCAAGGCGTTGTCCATGGCCCTACCCATCAAAAACTCCAACGACAAGTAGTACACACGCTTTCCGTTGTGCACCGTCTGTTTCTGCTGGGTGTTGGCCCAGTCCACCAACAAAGCGTCTCTGACGGTGGACGAGGCTGCCTGGTACGCAGCCAAATTGTCACAGTTGTACATGTTTCTGGCCAACGTGGTCTCCACGTGGCGCACAAACGACTCCTCAAACGCTCCTCTGTCGTGGACCAACTTGGACTCCAAGTCCTGGCCGTGGTGGTTGCCGTTCAATGGCTTCAATTGCGAATACTTGGCCCAGATGTGTTTAGCGCCCTCAGGAATGGCAGCATCGAGGGCAATGATCTGGTTGGGGGTGAAGCCGGTGTTGGTTCTTTTGAGCTTGGGTTGTGGCAACTCCGCAGGAGTCAAGTAGTCACTCATGGCGGTCAATGGCAGAGCGATGGCGAGTGGTGGGAATGGTGGGAATGGTGGTGGCTTTATATAGTGCAGCAAGAATTGTTAGGGGGCGGGAGAACTGGTCGTGCGGGGGAGGGCCGATGTGGTGTCGGAGTGTCTGCAGGGACAATTGATGGGAGGGGGTGGTGTTGGGAAGCTGCGGGTCGGAACTGGCAATGTCGTGAGGGCACAACGTGGTGTGAAGGATGGTAGCACGTGATGCAGTTTGGGTCTGGAGGGCCTGGGGAAGTAATTGGGGGTGCTGCCAGCACCCGGCTGGGGTCGGAAGCGTCGGGGATGGCGTGGTGTGGGCCCAACAGGTGACGTTGGCAGCGACGGCTGGTGGTTCTCCGGATGGGGCCACTTGACGCGTGGAACCACTCGTGCAGGAGGGCTGCGTGGAACACTCCGAATGCGGAAGTGGAGTGGCATGGATGAAGAAACAGCCACTGAGGTTGCAGCAGAGGATTGGAGAGAATTGAAAGGTATATTCGCTGGCTCCAGCACTGGTGTTCTTCATAGGGGTGGTTCTAGCGGTTTTGGAAATTCCTGGCCTTCTGACGGCTTGGGGGTTGCACCCATTATGGGCCCTTCGCACGGTGGCCAGACTTCTGGGGAAAGCTCCTAAGCCATCTCCGTGATAGCCATGGAATGGTTGCTCTGGCCAGAGAAATCTAGGTCCGGGGGAGAAATTGACTTCAGGGTGAATGTTCAACAATCCCTACTGCAATTGTATTATGTGGTTGACCACTTCCACGAGTTTTCGAACACTGGATGCAATAAATAAAGCCGGTCCCAGGGTGCCACTGGTGAGCGCAATACCCTTGATTTCGTCGTCAAAGAATGAATTTTGCGAATGGTTTTCTGGGGCATACAAGCCATCGAGAAAGAACTCGTTTCAGCCCGAAAGTATGCTTCAAAATCTGCTGAATGATATCCTTCTTTAGATCGTTAGGAAAACAGAAAGTTTATGGATTTGTCGCATCCATTTTGTAGGCAAATCAACTTTTAATCCAATTCCACAATTGGCTACAATATACTTAAAATATACGTGGAATGATTGTTCTTTCGTTCAAAGTGTCAGGTGCTATGCTATTCATATGGTTCTGCATTTTCTGGGTATCCTTTTATTTATTTTTCTACTTAGTCAGCCCAATTCAGGCAGTGGAAGCTGTACTAGCACTGGTCTTGGTCACAAAGGTGCTGGCACCACTGGCATTTGGTGGACACTGGTTTCTACTAGCCAACTCATCGCTCTGGAATGTCTGACAACATTGGTCAGATGGGTAGAACTTGCTGCACCAGTCTTTTCCGCCTTCGTACTGGTAACCAGAATTGTATTCAACGCATCTGTAACCCTGGTCAATCAAGTCTCCGTAAGCTTCTGGAAAGTAGGCTTCGTTCTCCTGGCACGAGCCTACAAGGAAAATCTTGTCCGACTCATAACTGGTATCATTGGTCCTTTGCAACTGGTAAGCAATGGTGAATTGGTACAAGAAGTTGCACAACAAACCCTTAGCAAAATCAAACTTGAATTCCACACCGAAGTTTGGTTGCTGAGAGATCAACTGTGGGTTGTAGCTTTGTAAGACTGTATCTGAGTCGGAAACGTTCAAGAAAGCAAACAGGTTCAAACTCCGGTGGTTGACGTTTTTGAAATACAAGTCAACGGTATAATTGTCGTTTGGAGCCTTCTCGCTTTGGGCAACGTAAAGGTTCAACGAGACAGGAAAGTCAGTAGTGTCGTTGTTTGATTGGATGATAGAAGCAAACTTGTCACAGACATAGTTACCTGAGAAAAGAAGGTCTTGTGGGGTTTTGACGGAGGCCACAGGAGAATCCAAATTGTTCACTTCCTTGATGTTAGATGGGTATGCCAAAATTGTGGGAACAAGAGCCACAAGCGAGATAAAACTTCCAAAAGAGACCATTGTATCGTTGAATCTTAGGCTCCAGGAAACCAGGGGTCGCTTCGCTTCTTATACTTTTGCTTCACGGCTTCAGTATTTACATTTCTTGGTGAGGTAAATACGGTATGAGCCAAGAGAGCACAGCGCAGCCGTGAGCAAGGGGCGTTGCTGTCAGGGCTTCCTTTTTGTATCAGCACAGCTACACGAGCACACCACTTGCGTTAGGCCAATCACTTGGTCTTTCCAGATGGGTGCAAAATTGACAATTGCTGGCATACACAACTTGTGAGCATAGCAATTTCGTTCCAAAAGTGACACTATTCAGCCACAACTGTCGCTACCAGTATCTTTGGCTCCCCAAGTTTCTCTACGTAGCTTTGCCTAGTCGTGATCAAGTACTTACTCTGCGTCAAAGCAGGCACGACTCGCGGTGGTTGTGATCGTTTGACATCTGTAAGGGGAAGGTCCAAAATAGTCACGATTCATTGTTGGCTGTGATCTTACAGCCTTGCCTACAGAGAATAGGACAAGTTACGGACAGGAATGGCGCAGAAAGGGAATACTTGTAAACAAATACATATTGGGGTGAGGTTACTGCTGAAAGGGTTAATGGAGAATGTCATACGCACATGATCGGATGACAGGTCCAGATTCATTCCAGGGCACTGCATCGAGACTATGATTTTTATGCTTTTCTGCGAATATGAAGTATATTGTAATCTAACTGTAAACTTATTGCAATGGAATACACACCATTAATTATCATTTTGATAGCTCAGACCAAACCTTTATAAGACAAGATTCTTTTTTTTTGAATTTCTATTTTTGAAGTTTGCATCTTGGTGTATAGTATGTATGCTATGAACCCGGGCCGGAGGCTCAGTAGCTACCCCAGGTGGGCCTGAAAAAGGCCATTTCCTCCTGTGAGAGGAAGGTCAGATCTTGCAGAAAGTACTCTACTCAGCCCTCGTTTGGGGTTATCCCCGCATGTATGCGTATTACAAGTCGTTTTAGTCACATTCTTGATAGATTGCTAGATTTTTTTGAAAATTTACAAGAATTGTGAGATTTTGAACAATATATGGTTTGAAGGCACGCGAACCAGTGCACATAGAGCAACGCGGTATCCAAAGGGGCAGTACCCAAGCAATGGTATAGATACCCAGCATCAGGTTACATAGTGCAGGGAGGACTGCTGCCGTTACTTGTCTATTACAAGTAGTAGCAGGGAAGTGCCTGGGACCGATTACGTAATCGATGACTAAGCGGCCATCTATGACATCACCCACCAACCTTCAGCTTCCACCACTCCTCCATGCCCCACTTGGTACACCCCCACTCGTCCATAAACTCGGCGTGCTTCGTCCCACACACCAGCTTCCTTCTCACGGGTGGAGGCAACGACTTTGAGCTCAAGCTCCACGACCTTTCCCCACAATCACCCACTTCCACCACCTTTTCAAAAGCGCACGCCAACTCCGTCAACGCAGTCCACACCCTCCCCCACACGGAAGTGGTCGTATCTGCCTCCAACGACACCATAGTGCTCCACGATCTACGCGAACAGACGGTAATTCGGAGTCTCATAGCCACAAGCATAGCAGATGTAGACGGACTCTCCACCCCTCGAGAGCAGGTGCTCGACTGTAAGATGCTCAATCGAGACATGGTGGCTTCGTGTGGTGTGAATCACCACCTCAATCTATACGATTTGCGCCAGAAGTCCAAACGTCCCGTGTACAACTTGAGTCTTGGGGATGACAACTTGAACTCGTTGGACTACAACCACGCACACACCATCACGGTAGGGAGCTCCAACGGCTCCTTGTACAGCTTGGACGTGCGCAAGGAGTGTGTGGTCACAGACACGTTCCCCCATGCCTCCAGCATCATCCATGTGGCGTGCTACGGGTCTGCAACTCGTCTAGTCAGCTCCGTGGATGGCCATATTAGCCTCTACGACGCCCAATCCGAGGCTCTTAACGTCGAAATAAGTGTTCCTGGCGATAGCACGTTGCGATACAAGCGCAATGCCCAGTTTGTGGAGTCCCACAACGTGGTGCTCTGTGGGAGTGAGGATGGCCACATTTGGATCTGGGACTTGGTGCACGGATACGCGCACAGAAACCGCAAGAGGTTCGTGGTGGACTCACCAGTGGCCGAGGGAAGGCTCGTGACCTGGACCGGGTTTGATAGTGCCGCCAACAAGTTGGTGGGGACAACCGCAAACGGGTACCTCTGGGTGTGGGACCGGGCGATGTGATATCGCGGCACGTGCTCGATCATCACGTGAAAAGATATTCACGCGTCTTCAAACTCCATAGTAAGAATCCGGACACTAATCACCATTCCTAGTCCATCCACAGCCAACATGTCGAACGAAGCCGCCGACACCGCAGAGGTTCCCGACGTCTCCGATGCTTCATCGCCGTTCGTTCCCACCACCGTGGTTCTAGCCAAAGTGAAGGGATATCCAGCGTGGCCTGCCATGGTTCTTGAAGAGTCGCTTCTCCCGGCCAATATCATACAAAAAAAGCCCAAGTCCATCCGAGGCAAAGCCTCCAAGAAGGGCAAGCCTGCAATCATCCTTCCTGTCAGGTTTTTCAGTGACGACACCTATATCTGGATCAGTAGCAACGACGTGAAGTTGTTGGAAAAGAGCCAGGTGGAAGAGTTTCTCAAGACCAGCCAGGGGAAGCGTAGGAGGGACAATTTGATCGAATTCGCATATCAGTTGGCACTTGATCCTCCAGACATGGAGATGTTTGTCAAGTATGGATCCAAGGGGTCGCAGGGAAGATCCAAGGAAGACGACATAGAGGATGACTTTGAGGAGGAATTCGAGGAAGAGGAGGAGGAAGAGGAGGAGGAGGAAGAAGAAGAAGAAGACGAAGAGGAGGTGGCGCGGCCCAAAAAGAGATCGAGAGGAGCCAAAGCCCTGAAGGTTAAGAAGGCCCCCAAGGTGACCAAATTGACCAAGGCTCAAGAAAAAAAGATAGCAGCCCAAAAGCAAAAGGAAGAGGAGAAGAAGCTCTTGGCCGAGTATGACTCGGACTGGGGTTTGGACGATTTCAACAGCTTCAACAAAAAAGAAGGCAACTACATTTTTGATACAGAAGAGGAGCAGCGCCAGGTGCTCGACAATGTGCCAGCTGCGGCAGTCATCCAGGAGGAGTTGGCAGAGGCCCACCAGAGATTCCTGGCGGTGGCAGATGATTTGATAGAGCAATTGCTTTCGGAGGACGCCGTCAACGAAAAGTTTGTGTTTAAAAAATTGACTGAGTTTGAAAAGTTGTTCAAGCAAATTCCCAAAACGGTGGTGATGAAAAGCAAGCTACTCAGGGTGATGATTGTGACAGTCAGAAAAAGGGACGGGAACGAGAAGATCAGAGAGAGAGTATGCAAATCATTGAAGCAGGCATTGGATATCGATGTGGAACAAAATTCCGAGGCAGACTACATAGAGGAGGTTGAGGAGCCAAAAATAGAAGGAAGCACCGAGCCTATCGGTACTGACGGAGTGCAAATCAAGGGAGAGTCTGGCGAGGGTGGTGAGCAGGAGCCAAAACCGGAAATTCTCAAGCAGGAAGAGGCAGGGAACTCGAGTGCAATAGTGACTTAGTAAGAAATCGTAAGAAAGAAGTAGCAGAGAGATGTTCGAGCCTGATAACCACCGTGTATTATATAATTTAGTGAAAGTATACCAGCCACTCACGTGACGTAGAGTGGGACATGCAGATGCCTGCAGGGAACCACCGGATTGAGCCAACCACAGCGGGGGGTTTAAGCAGGCCACGCTTATGAGTGCGTGGGGGCCGCATGCGCAAACGCGTAAATGTGGGTCTGCCTTCCGCATTTATGACAAATCACCATATTAGGCCCGCACAACCGCTTTGGACGACGCACCCTACTTAAACAAGCAATCGCACTGTTTTCAGCAAGGGTTAAATTTTACAAGTCCCCAAACATAACAAAAAAAAACATTCTTCCTTGTTCCTTGTTTTATTACGGAAATCAAGTATGTATGATAGACGAGATGGGTTAGGCAGACGTGGGACCAATCGTCATCCCGCCAGTTGATGGATTCCAAATAGGGGCTCCCCAGGACCCAATTGTACACGTGGTGGGTTTGCCACTGGCCTCCCTCCCCCCTGGCACTCGGTTGTACCAGTCACTCCACATCACCACACCTGCCATGCACCACGTACAACAGTGACCCGACCCCTGCCCATGCACCATGTACATCCATGACCCGGCACCAATGATGTGCCAATATTTTCCAGGTTGGTGATGGTCCAGGCATGCAGATGCTATCAACGAAATTACCCAATCCAATTTTTTTTTCATAGGGTCTTACCTATTTTGGATCCGAACCACCAGTCTCCTTGTGCCACCTCCACCACCCACCATACCCATACTAACCTCTAGCATGTCTGGAGCCACTGAAGCCAAGTTAGAAACAGCCGACCAACAGTATGACGGGTCAAACGTCGGTCCTGCCTCCAACAACCCCGTGTCGGGAGGACCAGGCGACGACGACGACGACGACGAGCCCAGCGGAGGCAAGCAGCAGAAGGAAAGAAGAAAGATCGAAATTAAGTTTATCCAGGACAAATCCAGACGTCACATCACATTTTCCAAGAGAAAGGCGGGGATCATGAAGAAGGCGTACGAATTGTCGGTTTTGACAGGTACTCAAGTGTTGTTGTTGGTTGTCAGTGAGACGGGATTGGTGTACACTTTTACCACGCCTAAGTTGCAGCCTTTGGTGACCAAGTCTGAAGGGAAGAACTTGATCCAGGCGTGTTTGAACGCTCCCGAGGAGGGCTTGGGCGACGACCAGGGAGAACAGTCGGACGGAAACTCGCAAGACCTGCCTGACCAGAGTCCTGCGGCCAACAACAACGTGGCCGTGCAGCAACAGCAGGCTGCACAACAGGCAGCACAGGCCCATCACAACCAACAGGTCCAGGCGCAACAGGCGCAGGCAGCGGCTGCTGCCCAGCAGCAGTTGCCCCCAGGCGCGCACATCCCCCACGGGATTCCCTACCCCAACGCGGGCCACACCCAGCCCGGCATGCCGCTTCCCCAGAACGCCTACGGCGACTCGTCGCAGGTGTACCAGTACTTTTCGAACATCCAAAACGGCAACATCCCCAACGCCCAGCAGTACCAGTAGGCGAGGTTTTATTTCTTATTTATTGTGTTTTATACGCCAGTTTCCGCGTGACTGCAATGGTTTTTAATTCTTGATCTGGTAGCGTATGTATGTATATTAGCTTATCGTGCGGCTGCGCCTGCAGACACCGCATCAATAATAATTGTATGGTATCGCGTCACGTGGGCACCCATCCCAGGCTATCTGGGGCCCACCTGGCCAGCAATAAAGGCTGCCAACTGCCTCCTACAACTGCAATGAGACTCACCTTCAGGACCGTTGGCTACTGTGGCTACGGCATCTACCACGACATCAAGTCGCGCCTCCCCTACTATGTCTCCGACTTCACCGACGCCTGGAACTACCGCGTTATTCCCTCCACCACCTTCATCTTCTTCACCAATCTTTTACCCGCCATCGCGTTTGCCCAGGACATGTTCGACAAGACCCAGCGGCTGTACGGATTGAACGAAGTGTTGTTGAGCTCTGCCATTGGCGGGGTGGTGTTTGGACTTCTAGCCGGCCAGCCGTTGTGTATCGTGGGTGTCACAGGCCCCATCTCCATCTTCAGCTACACCGTCTACGAGTTGATCCAACCACGTGGAACGCCGTACTTCCCGTTCATGTGCTGGATCTACCTCTGGTCCATGGTGTTCCATCTTGTGATCGCCGTGGCCAACCTCGTGTCGTTGTTGAAGATCATCAGCACGTTCTCGTGCGATGTGTTCGGGTTCTTCATCTGCATCGTGTATATTCAAAAGGGCATCCAGATCCTCCTGAAGCAGTTCGACCAGGTGGACTTGGCCAGTGGCTACTGCTCAGTCATGATTGCCGTGTTGATGGTGGTGTTTGGCGTGGGCAGCGGTGTGTTTGGCAGCCAGTTGCACTACTTCAGGCCCTGGGTCCGCAAGGTGTTTGTGGACTACGGCGTGTGCATGGCAGTGATCTTCTTCACGGGCTTCATCCACTTTGGCGGCAAGCTCGACGATACTCAGTTGGCCAGGTTGCCCATCACAAAGTCGTTTGTTCCGACCCACCAGGGCCTGGACAGACAGCACGGCTGGTTCATCCACTTCTGGCCAGGCGAGCACATCGCCACCGCCGACGTGTTCTTGGCCATCCCGTTTGCCATCTTGCTCACGTTCTTGTTCTACTTCGACCACAACGTGTCGTCGTTGATGTGCCAGCTGAAGGAGTACCCGCTCAAAAAGCCGTCCTCGTTCCACTGGGACTTTGCCTTGTTGGGGATCACCACGGGGTTGGCAGGCATCCTCGGCATTCCTGCTCCCAACGGCCTCATTCCCCAGGCTCCTCTCCACTCGGACTCGTTGGTGGTCCACAGCCGTGATGGGAAGGCCATCCTGGTGGTGGAGCAACGCGTCACCAACACCCTCCAGGGCTTGATCACCATTGTGATGATGACGCGTCCATTTTTGGTGGTGCTTGGTCTCATTCCGCAGGCGGTGTTGGCTGGGCTTTTCTTCGTGATGGGCATCTCAGGCTTGAACGGCAACATCATCACCAACCGCATCCGCTACGTGTTCATGGACCGCGACTACATCGAGCACGATCCGTCCTGCCCAGCCGTGTTCACCGACATCCACGCCCTCAACCCCAACAGATGGTACTACCTCTACTTGGTGCTCGAGATTGTTGCAGCCATGGCTGAATTTGCCATCACCTGCACCAAAGGTGCGGTGGGGTTTCCGGGAGTGTTGTTGTTCTTTGCAGTTTGTGCCAAGTGGGTGTGGCCATTGTTTATTCCTCAGGAGGAGCTAAAGCAGCTCGATGGCGAGGTGGCAGACGAATTCATCATCAAAAGTCTCCGGATCGTGGACGAGGCCCGCAAGAGCACCAGCGACGACGAGGAAAAGCAGGAGCTGGTGCATTCGCGAGCATATGAGGTGCATACAGGAGGTGCATAATCATCATGGATTAAAGTTGGCCAGCATTAGTGAGTGCATGGCGAATAACGCGGGCTCCAGCACCGGTCATGACGGTGATTGAGGAGACAGGGGCGGGTTGGCACTGCCAGCGCATGCCAGTCCCGCCAGGGGCCAGGGTGCCAGCACAAGCTTCCCCACCACGGGAAGTAAATGTGTAGGCGGCGGTATGGTGGATCCGAGTGGGCATGCAAGCGGGGCCCCGTCTAGAACAATGCCCACCAGCGGGGACCGCCCGGCCAATCACATCGTGACTAGCCCAAATTACGAGATGAACCAGATCTGGGCCACTTGCAGCAACCAACCTGACGCACAAACCACTTGCACCACCCCCCCGCAGGCCAACCCACAGTCACCTGCAGACAGCCGCATGGATAAACCTTCGCTCCTCCTTTACGGACGGGGCCCACCACTTGCGGTGCCAGTCATGCCGGCCGCGGCATTGATCATCGAGGGGTAGTCGCACTAGCCAGATGGTACCCCGTTAATCAGTCACAAAACCGTAATCATCACCTTATTCTGGGGGTCATTATTTCACACTTTTCATCCATCACACCACTATATATAGACCCACCACCTGCCGGAATATATTTGGCTATCCATACAAGCTATTGCCAACCACGAAGTTTGCTCTCAATTTCGCTCCACTTCCAACCGCCCGTTGTCGTCACATTCCCAACCCCGAACCCCGTTCCCCACACCAATTCCTCCAAATAGTTTTAGTCCCGCACCAACCCTGCTACTTATAGCCGCCACCCCCCACCACTTCCCAGCATGATGGCGCTCAACGAATACAACCTTTCCTCCTCCGGCACCCCCCCCTCCGGCACCTCCCGCAACAACTCGGTGGGTAGTGCCACGCCATGGCCAGGCGTCCCACAACAACTGCCCTTGTGGAACACCACGCAGGGTCCCCGCCGGCTCAGTGTGGGCATCGACGCCAGCAACATCTGGTCCACGACTACACACCCCACCATCCAGCTTGGCGATACTGGTGCCGACGGCTTCCTGGCCAGCAGGAGGCACTCGCACAACGACGTTTACACCGTGAAGACGCTGCAGGTGCACGCACAGTCCCACGCGCCCCAGTCCCACGCGCCCCACACCCAGTCCCACACGCAACCTTCACACTCCCGCTATAGCCCCCGCGACGTCTACGACCAGTCCACTCTCCAGCTTGTCAACGACTATTTCGACCACGATCCCCACCAGCGTGTCAAGGTCACAGCCAGGCTTCTTGGCGACCGTTTCTTCGACGAGGAAAAGTACCTCAGCGATGCTTACCAGCTCCCGCGCTTCCCCATCGAGAACTCGTTGCGCAACTACCAGCTCGTGCTCGTGGGCTTTAAGGCCGGTAGAATCGACGTGTTTTACCTCCCCTCGGCTTCGCAACATGAGGGCAGCCCCACCGACCTTCTGGGCTTGAAAGTAGGTGATTTGGTGATTGTGGAGGCCGACAGAGGCCGCGACTTGGGGAGAATCGTCAAGATGAACATCTCCATCGACGAGGCACGCTTGATGAAACTTCTCCAGTTCCAGGAGCAGCAGTCTGCGTTGTCCGATAACGACCACATTGAAGAGGCGTTGTCGGTGCGTGGACTCAGTGCTGAGGGCCATTTTTCAGGCTCAGGCTCAGGCTCAGGCTCTTCTGCAGCTCCACCCACCCTCCATTTCCCGAAATCGATCCTCGCCTTGGCCCAGCCTTCGGAGATTACCCAGATCCTCAACAAGAAACAGGATGAGGAGAAGGCGTGCCGGCTCTGCCTCGCCAAGATCTCCAATGCCACGGGCCAAAATGGAAATTCCTCGTCCACCAACAGTGACTTGCTTCAGATGAAATTGATCGACGCCGAGTACCAGTTTGACAGAAAGAAGCTCATTTTCTACTACTCTACTTCCAAAAGAATCGACTTCCGAGACTTGGTAAGAGAGTTGTTCCGTATCTACAAGACTAGAATTTGGATGTGTGCCGTTGTGGGGCTTCCCTATGTCCCCACAAGAAACTCGTCCAAGAGTTCTCCAACCAAGGCCCAGGCTTCCATCCCGCAATCCTCGCCAGACGTGGCACAGAACAACGCCCAACCGTTTGCTCCGATTGATAGGAGGTTTTCCTACCACAGTGGCATGCCCATGCCTCCAACCTCGTTCCAAAACGAGCAAGTGATTCCAAGATTTGTTGGAGAGCAGCAACACCAGGTGCTTCAACAGGCACCCCAGCCCAGCTTTTTTCAGCCCAGCTTTGGCCAACCTTCGCAATTCGCCCAGTTTGGACCCGGCATGTTCCCAGCTCCTGGCCAAGCAAATGCCAACGACTCCAGAAGAAATAGTGCAGGCGAGCTGTGGTCTTCCAATACAAGACAAAACTACAATCCCACTGATGCCTGGAATGAAGGCGCAGCCCCTCCTGGAGGAAGTGGGTACGTTCTCAAGTCCTTGGTGGAATCTATGGACAGTTAGAACCTTTATGTAATTTATTAGAGCTATTTGCTACTGAGTCAGCTGGTCTGAGCGGTGGCACATTGTATATCCCATTTAGAGAGATATGTTGTACCATGTATGGAGTTAACTCACCTGGGGCGCCTTGCCTGTAATGACGCACCTTCATGCATGCACCCCCGTATTTTTGTGGGGTAATACATCGCATGATGTACTAGACCCTGGAAATAGATTTGAGTGCAAACCACTTTCCCAACGAAACGCGCAAGTATGGCCTTCGTTGCTACGGAGTTCAGTTAATTACCCCACAATTTATTAAAGTTTCGAACGAGAGAAGTAAAGAATTAAATTTTGTGAGTTTGAGGCTTCTCAACAATGTCCTCAGACTTGGTAGAGTCAACATCAGTGAAGTCGGAGTCTTGCTCGACATCGTACTCTTCGGTACCAAAATGACCCTTCCATCCGTTGTCGATCAAGTAGTTCTTGAACTTGACGTCTTCTTCCATAAGATCATCATCGTTAAGATGGGGAATCAAAATCAATGTGACCAAAACACCCGCAAGACCACAAATAGCTGCGATGATGAAGGTCCATTGGTTACCCAAGTTCTTTTGGATTGGAGTGAACGACTTGGTGCCAACAACAGCACCAACCTTACCAATCGCAGCTGAGAGACCGTAGCAGGTTCCTCTGATGGGAGTAGCAAACGATTCGGAAGAAACCAATCCCATCCCGTCACCAGGACCCAAGTTACCCATGGACATCATCAACCCATAGAGCACAATGAAAAGACCAGTGATCTTCTTGACCTTGTGGTAGGCAATACCCACGATCAAACCAAAAACAATGTAGCCAGAGAAACCAATCATGATGGTGTACTTTCTTCCGATTCTGTCGTTCAACCAGGCACCCACAAATACACCTGGCAAAGCAAGCACACCCAACAACAAGTTCCACTCAGCAATCTTTTCCAAATCGTTCTTGTCCTTGATAACGTTGGAAATAATACCACTGGAAAAAATTCCGTTGGGGAAGGTGACGAAATCGTAGAGAAACCACGAGAGACAGGTACCGAGCAATCTTGGCCAATAGTACTTCAAAGCCAACCAGTATGGCGCAGTGGTCTTTTTGATGGCATTCTTCTTGTAAAGTTCAGAAGTGGCCAACTTGAGACGGAAGTAGAACACAGACAAGGGCCAGAAACAGCCAATGGCGAACATGGTTCTCCAGAGAGCCTCCAAGTGCTTGGGACCACAGATTTTGTTCACAATCAAGAAGATGATCAGCGCAAAGGGACCACCGAAAGAAAGCGGAAGATTGGTGCACAAGATAAAAGCACCACCTCTTCTCTTGACAGTTTCGTTTGCGGCTTCCGAAGCAGAAACCGAGGACGAAGGGTACTCAGCACCAATACCAAAACCAGTGACACCTCTGGAGATGATCAACATCCAGAACATGCCCTCCACCGTGACACCGTGGGAAGCAGCACACATGGCAGAACCTACCACAAGAAAAACCGAACCAGTGATGATCGACCATTTTCTGCCGATGTAGTCAGCAGTCAACCCGATGACCACTTGGCCAAAAATGGTAGCAATCAACGAAGCGTTGGAGACGTTGGTGGACATGTCAGCGTTGAAGACTTTGGGATACTTGAGAGCAAACACCTTGTTAAGCATGGACATCACATTGTTCTGGTACCCGTCCGAGATCAAAGCGAACCCTGCGCAGAAGATGGTGAAGATGTCCTTAGCAGAAGGGCCGTTGGCCAACCGTTGTCTTCTCAAGTCCTTGTCGTACTTGAAGTGCTTGACGTTTTTGTTGGCATCAGATTCGATGGAATCGGCCTGAGCCACCGAGATGCTTGCTTCAGCGCCTTTGTTGTCAGTTTCAATGGTAGACATCGCTGGAGAACGAGACTGGAAAACGCATTTCAGACCGCTATTTATATCGTACGAGCCAGTAGGAGGGGACAACGTGTATCGCTGCCAATTTGACGGAAATATTAGCCATGCATGCATGATTTATTACCTTATCTGGAGAGACGGATTTTGGCCGTGATGTTGCACCGAAACGGTTGCGACAAGGAGGAGGCTGCGACCAGATACGCGAACCGCCAGGCGAATACACCGACCCACAGAAGAAAGCAAGGTGCCACCCCAGACAATGTGTAGTGTTCCCAAGACACATGAGCACCGGTCTGTGGAGGTCGAGTCCATCAATAGCTATAGCCGTCCGATCTGCAGACAATACTAGCGATCGTTTGCATCCACCTGTCAATGCACGTGCGGCATAAACAGAACGTGGGGTGGCTTATCGCAAAATAAATTCGGGGTGTCAACCGCACCTCTGGCGTAGAGCACCAGGCCTTCCATGTTGCTCCTGGTGGTACAACTACCTGGGTGTCCTTATGTAAACACGCGAGTAGACACTCACACAAACTGTCTGAGGGTGCTGAATTTTAGTTCATGCACTTCATGACATTAGACTGACAGCTAACGCTGGGCATGCGAATTATGCTTGGCAGGGACAGAGTGTGCGATTGGCGGTGACAGATTAGATGTGAGATCTGCGCTAGAACAAGAGACGATAGCAAGCTCTCGACGCCTTTTGGGGACCAGGATAAGGAAATAGGGGTTGAGGAGGTGCTCATTGAACTGAGTGGCCTCCAGAGGCAGGCATCAGTGGCTGTGAGGATTGTAGGGAGTTTATATTTACTGGTGCGCAATGGGGGAAGTTTGGGCCGGGCATGCGGCTGACGCACCAACTAACGGTTGCAACAGCGGTTTTAAGGGCATTTTGTTTCTCACGCTTGTGCAACCGATGCTTCAGGCGCCAGGACATAATTAATAAGCGGCGGGTGCGGCTCGCTAATTGGATATCCGCGGAGGGGACCACAATGCGCGATGCACCGCACGATGGTGCAACACGTGAAGGCTGGATGATGCGCAATGCACTACCAGATACGGGTGAGGAGGTGCGCTCAACAACACTGCCAGTTGCCAGGACTTCCAAAAATAAAGCAAGGATTTGGGATGCTGACAAACTGGGGGGCAGCGGCACCTTCAAATGAGGTCCAAGCGTCACGCTCAAACACCGGGTACTCTGGTCCTGAAAATAGACACCCCCAGCGCCCCCAACCTGGACCAATACGTGCAATGCCGAGGTCTCGGTATTACCAGGACGGGTGCAGGATCTCGCAGCAAGCAATTGCGCCAATGCCGGCGCCCAATGCACCCGCGATAAAGGGGATGCCACGATGCAACCCTTGCTCTGTGCACCAGTTGCGTCCTAACCTGCAAGACCCAGTGATCACGGACACCTACCCACCACAGACACCCACTCTGTGATGGGTAGGGACACTCGCCACCGGTTCCTAGCTCGGGGGATGTATTTGGGGTGGGTCCCGCGTACAAATGGCACCGATGCCCTCCCCCTTCCCCCCTCCTCGCTCCAGGGGCTCGCCAGCAGCTGCCGCTGGCGGTACCAGGCCATCCTGGCTATAGACGCAGCACCACCACCAGGCCCACCACCGCGCAGACGCATCCCCCGCTAGTGGCCGGCGCACCGCCACCATCTCTCGTGACCATCGCACCATGCGGCATTCCACTGTGGAGACTTTGTGCCGCACAAAGTTGTTGGGCTCACCCCGCTGGCGCCCCCAGCAGGTTGACATATCCGGCGTCAACCTTTCACCAGCGCGTAGACAAGCCCATCCAGCCTGCTCACCACCAGACCCCCCACCAGACCCCCCCTCCTAGCCTGGGGACCCTTGGCCCCGTCTCGAGGCCCCAAATCCCCGATTTGCTACACCCTGTCCGCCTGATCCGTCTCGGTTCGAGCCGGAGCCTCAATTGTGTTATGCACAGTCCAGCTTTGTGTCGCTCGCGCTGGAGCTTATTTGTCTGCGCCCACAATTCGGGCTTGTCCTGTTACGTAATTGATCTCCGACCTAATAGACTTATAGATCCATTTTCCCTGATTTTTGTCTGCACAGCTCCAGAGGCCCACCATGCTTCTTATCCGGAACACCAAGCAGGCTCCCCAGGAGAGGCACCTCGCGCATGCGCCGGGGCCCCACCACCATCCTCCCTACGAACTCACCGCCCCCGCCCACCACGGGTCATCGGCGCTCCTTGCAGACTCCCAGTACGACTCGTCCCACGACTCCCAGCACATATCCTCCCACCACGATAGCTCCCACCTCGACTCGTCCCAGAACTCCTCCTCCCATCATCTCCACACTAACTACACACCACCCAGGGACAAGTTCAAGCTCAACCTCACCAGTTTTTTCAAGAAGGGCGCCAAGCCATCGCCCAAGCTCGTGGTGGACACCTCCAGTGTGTCACCCCAGCGCCCCGCGCCCAGCACGCCCCACCGCGAGCTTCTCTCGCCCTCCGCTATTACCGACGGCCCCAACTACATCACCATCGTGCCCAGCAACGACGACCTCCACTACACGCACACCGCCAGCCGTGGCGAGGACTTCGAGCGCTACACCTCGTTCACTGCCGAGTGCATCTCGCTCCAGGGCAGCGAGATGACGGCGTTCTCGGAGATCGACGACTCCAAGCTCCAGGCGCTTGCACTGGGGTCTCCCGACGTGGCGGCGGCCGCTGCCGCACCCAAGCCCAAGAAAACGTCGTTGCGCAGTCTTCTCGGTCTCGGTGCAGCCCACGAGGATCTCGCTGAGACCTCCGCCACCACCAGCGCCGCCAATGCCAGCACCACCAGCGCCTACGACGAGGATCTCACTGCGTACCTCCTGGACCTGGAGTCCGACCTCAACTTCGACCCCAAGGCCGAGGAGAGCGAGCACGACTACCGCCACGGAGGCTACCACCCTGTGGCCAAGGGCGAGACCTATTACCTGCGCAAGCTCCCCCAGCGTGAGTACATCATTCTCCGCAAGCTTGGCTGGGGACACTTTTCCACCGTGTGGTTGGCGAAGTCGCGCTACAACGCCAGTCTCGCGCGGTACGACGGTGATGCCAGCGGCAGTGCCAGCTCCACTGCCAGCGCCAGTTCTGGTGCTAGTGCTGGTGCCACCACCACCGACACGGCCGAGCGCTACGTGGCCATCAAATTCGTCAAGTCCCACAAGAACTACATCGAGGCTGCCGAGGACGAGATCCGTATCCTCAACACCCTCAACAACCCTGCCGCCAACGCCCTGCACCTCCAGGCAGGCCACTTCCAGGTGCCTTCTGCCAACGCCCAAGGATACAAGCACGTGATGCGCCTCCTCGACGACTTCGAGGTGGTGGGCCCCAACGGGTGCCACATCGCCATGGTGTTCGAGATCCTAGGCGAAAACGTGTTGAACTTGATCCACAAGTACAAGCACTTCTACAACGACGTGTCCAAGGAGCTCGCGAAAAAAGACCAAGCCGACAAACCCGCCAGGCCCTACGCCGACGACCCTGTCAGCCCAACCGACACCTCCGGCATCAAGTTCTCCAAATTGGACGCCAAACCCAAAAAAACCACCAAGTCCAAGCTCAGCATGGGGCTCAGCCTCAACCTCGGACTAAACCTTCTGAAAAACAGAGTGTCTCCCCCTAAAAAGTACGAGCCCCAGCAGTCCATCATCGAGGGCCGCGAGCTAGAGACCCCTACCGACTCAGCAGAGTCCGAGTGGACCCGCAAGCTCCACACCCTCAACTCCGAGTCGTTGATGGGGTTGATCCAGCGCCAGAAAAACGCAGGCGCCATTCCTCTCAGCTTCGTACGCCAAATCGTCAGGCAGATGTTGTTGGCCATGGACTACGTCCATCGCTGTGGCATCATCCACACCGATCTCAAGCCAGAAAATATCTTGGTTGAGGTCAAGGACGTCAACAACCTCATTCGAGTGCTCGAGCACGACGATATCGCCAGAAGCAACAGTATCGACGCCAGAACCAAGGCTGCTGTCAGAAAGAATTCGGCATCGGCATTCCAGGGAGGGCCCAAAAAATTGGTGAGACAGGGCACCTCGGAGTCGATCAAGTCCCGTAACTTATCGATTGCGTCCACTGGCAGCTCCCAGATCAGTGGCTTGTACAAAAAGTCAAGAAACTCCACCAGCTGTGAATGTCCCGTAAGGACATCCAAGCCGTTGAGCTCGTCCTTGAACAACGATGTCTTCTTCAAGGAAGTTTCGTACGACTCGCGTTCAAGAGTCCCCAAATCATTCAGTCCACTCTCGAAATCCAAATGGCAAAACTCAAAAACCAGCGACGAATCCATCTCGATCAAGATCGCTGATCTTGGCAACGCTACCTTCTCCCACAGCCATTTCACCAACCAAATTCAAACCAGACAGTACCGCTCGCCAGAAATCATTATGAAGTACAAGTCTTGGGGTGCTTCCACCGATATGTGGTCGATTGGCTGTATTATTTTCGAGCTCATCACAGGAGACTATTTGTTCGACCCTTGTAATGGCAAGTTTTTCGACAAGGACGAGGACCACCTTGCACAAATCATCGAGCTTCTTGGGGCGTATCCCTCCGACGAATACTTGATCGACTCCAAGTTGACTTCCAAGTTTTTCAAGCTTGATCCTGCCACCAACAAGGTAGTGCTCAAAAACATCGACTCACTCAAGATGTGGGGCTTGGAGGATGTCCTTGTGGAAAAGTACAAATTCGACAAGGACGACATCCAGGTCAAACTTATTAGCGATTTGATTCTCAAGTGCTTGACGTTTAACCTCCATGAGCGTTTCGACTGCGGCTCCTTGCTCAAACATCCATGGTTGAGAGACGGTGAGTACACCGAAGACATGTTGGACGAAATCAACCATATGGTCAACAACCACGAAGGGGTCCCAGGCTTTACCGACGTCTGGGGCGAGGAATACTGATGGCGATCAGCCCTTCACAACACTTGTCGGCTTCAATTCATTCGTGTCTCTTATTATTATTCATTGGCATACTTTGGAAGTATTGTTCAATCGGGAACCTTCAGTTCAGTTTATAGATAATTTACAATCAGGTTATTTGCTTGTAGGATTCAAGGAGATGGCGTGTGAGATTTGGATTTGAATGATTCAATCTGCCATGCAATACATTCTTTTACGAAGATATAGAAGGTAATGGGAGTGGCCATGGGATTTTGGATGGGATTAATTCAACCCACATCCACGCTGGGTTGTACAACTATTTTATACTATCTAAAGCCCGACCACTATCATAGCCCCGATCCTTATGGGTACTAAAACACCTCACCATCACCAGCCACGATAGTGCTATGCTATGACCTACAACTATCCAGCACATGCGATCAGGACCAAATCTGTGGGGTTGCTTAATTAAAATTAATTGAATTAATTACGAGTGCTAAACGGCGAGCCAGATGCTACCGGACCGTTTACGTTGGCAAATGAAGGCTGAGTGTTCGGAGAGAAGGATCCATTGCAAAAACTCCGCCATGAATTGCTCCAAAGATAACCAGGCTCCACCTCGAAAGAAGCTTTAGCTGACCAATTCAATTGTAGAGCAAGCTTCCCAGAGACTGTGGCCAGTTTGGCCTAACTGTCCGTTCTAGAATTTGTGTCTGGACCGTCTTCTAGTGCGAGATGCAAGTGGGGCGTATCTGCGGAGTGCCATTCGTCCAGAAGCACTGACTGGGTCATCTATCCAGAATTATGTGGCAGACTGAATTCCATGCTATGCTATATTATTCAATTCCACGCTAGTGCTGGTTTATGTGGTAAATTCCACACTATTCCCGGAAAGTGGTAGATTCTGCTATATTTTGCATCAGCAAGAGTCGTAACTATTGGCCATGGGGACGTCAGATACCGGGCAGCACGGGAAGGACCTGGCTAGGGCTAATTTGTAGGAGATAATTCGTAGTATCGCATTCTATCTTCCAAACCGGTGCTTGTGTATGGCCTCACTGTCGTGTTCGTCTCCCGAGAGATCCAAGTTGGAGTCGTAGTCCGAGTCCAAATATGGCTCTCTGGAAGGCTTGAGCTTCTTGGTGTCGGGACTTGGCTGTGCCAACTGCGCTGGCTGGGAGGTCTTGGCTTGGGACTTTTCGTCGGATGGCCCAATTTCCGATACTTCTTGCTTGTCCAGGATAATGGTGGTAATGTCTTGGCTGTATTTGGCGTTGTCAGGGTTAATAGCTTCTTTGTGGGAAGGCAATGTGCCTTTTTCGTTGTCAACTTCAGGTAGTTTTCCTTCGTCCTTGTTCTTGTCCTGAGTGGCCTTCTCTTCAATTGTGCCCTCTGGGACTACTGCGGTTCTCGAGAGCCTTTTGTCGTTGAGTACTTCGTGGGCTGATTTCATCTTGAAGCTAGCGTGGCTGTCTTCTTCATCGTCTTCGTCCTCTTCAAATGCTAATTTCACCAGTACCGTCTTCTTTGGCTTCTTCTTTGGCGGCTCTTCAGCCTCCTCAACCACAGCAGAGACACTGGGGATCAAGTCGAAGTAGCTTTCGTGAACCACCACATCGGTGATGATGGCAGGATACAACGGACCAGATTCTCCCATATCGGAATCACCAATTTTGACAACATTGTAGATGGACTCGCCTACCACGCGTCCAAACACGATGTAGCGGTTGTGGAACGGTACCTGCTTCAAGGTGATGAAGAACTCGTCCACACTGTGGTTGTGGTTGGCATTCTCGTTCTCTCGAGCCGCTGCTAGCAGGCCCTTTTTGAACCTGATTCTGCTGTGGTACTCGTTACGGAGATGGTAGCTGACCAGGCTCAGGGTGGTTTGCACAAGGTCCGAGGTGATGGTGCCAAATGGCTGGTTGTGGTACTTCTTGTCGATGCAATTCTGGAGAAATTGTCTCGATGTTTCGGGCACCTCTTTGGCCCACAACTCGAGCTGGATCTCTCCTTTGGTAGTGGTGATGGTGAGGGATGCTGTCGTGGCAGGTTCCGACATGGTGATGAGTGGAAGAGGTTGTGGAGAAGTCGTGATTTGGTGATGTTCGATGAGTTCGCGTTAGAGAGGGTTTACTGGATGTGGGTAAGTTTGATCGAATTTGAGTAGGTGTTATGGGAATACGGAAACAGCTGTCTTATGGGTATTTGCTGTGGTTTCAACTGTCTATTGTAGTGATACTGTAGAGTCATCGGATTCACCACCCCTCTTAACAGGATAACGACAGGAGTTGGTGGCAGAAGCACAGAACTGACACTAGTTGGCTGGTAAGTGGATTGGGACATTTTTAAGCAGTTACTTATGTCTCTCTTTCAATTATTCATCAGTAGCAAAACGTCGACTGTAAGTACGCTCGAAATGCATACCCAAGATTATAACGGATTGTCCCAATACCCAGCTATCTTCCTAGAATCAACAATCATAGTATCTGATCGCATATAACAATTCAGCAGAGAAATGGGTACTAGCTGGTATAATCAACACATACCCAATTAATTATGCCATCACTTTTCAGCCAGTAATCGATCCGATCATTAAAATAGCATAACGGCATTCTACTGTTTGTAACACCGAGACTCGAATCATCATCCGATTATGGGGCCAAAGTATCCTTTCTAGAATACTTTGAAGACAAAATGAGTACGAATCTATTTATGTCTGACAGCGATATCAGAGCTAAGCGTACCAAGTATGCAAAATTCTGTGTCAATCGAGATTAGAAATAATATTCCCGGAAGGAAGATCATTGAAGAGTCAATCTAAAGAAGGATCCTCCAACCTTACAGGTGGGTTATTAATAATATGAAGATATCAAATAATTGACATCTTGAACTATAATTATTTCACTTGTATAAAAGAGTTTGCGAAAAGCCCTGTGTGCAGCAAAACAAAAAGAGCGTAGAACCGCAGCCACTTTTCTCCTCTTCCCACCATTACTCATCTCATCCCTACCTGGTAGCTTGTCCATAAGGATACCCTCCCTTCGATCTCTCCGGGTTGGACAGGTCTACTGGACACGGTGCGCGCACGACCGCACTCCATCCAAAATAACACGATTTCACCGCCCCAACTCCACCTCCATTCCCAATGGGTTCCTTAAAGTCATTCATCAAGGCCGTGCGGAAGGCCAAGACCATCGCCGACGAGAGGGCTGTCGTCAGAAAAGAATCCGCCGCCATCAGAACCTCCTTTCGTGATGCTACCTTGGATCAAACCACCCGCAGAATCAACATCTCCAAGTTGTTATACCTCTACATCATGGGAGAGAAGACCCATTTCGGACAGGTAGAGTGCCTCAAGGTGTTGGCATCGCCCAGATTTGCCGACAAAAGGTTGGGCTACTTGGCCACCATGTTGTTTTTGGACGAGAATCAAGAAGTGTTGACGTTATTGACCAACTCGTTGGACAACGATATGCAACACCCCAACGCGTTTATCGTGGGGCTTGCATTGTGCTGCTTGGGAAACATCGCGTCTCCCGAATTGGCACGGGATCTCTACACCAACGTCGAGAAAATCATCACCACCAACAATACCTACTTGAGAAAGAAAGCGTGTATCGTGGCAGCCAAATTGGTGGAAAAGGATCCTGATTTGTCGGAGTTCTTCTTGCAGAAGATTCCCCAGCTAATCAGCGACAAGCAGCCTGCTCCATTGTTGGGTGCGTCCAAGTTGATCCAGTCGTTGTACTACGCCAGCGAAGAGAACAGACCTGCGTTGATCAAGACGATCCCAAGCATAGTTGCCCACTTGAAGAGAGTCACCACCAGTGGGTACATGCCTGACTACGACGTGATGGGCACCACCGATCCGTTCCTTCAAGTGTCGTTATTGTCTACCTTGCGTATCTTGGCTACCGACGAACAATGCCCCGCAGAATATTTGGAGCAGGTCAACGATATCTTGACACAGGTGGCCTCCAACCTTGAAAGCGGCAAGAATGCTGCCCATGCCATTTTGTATGAATGTGTCAAGTCCATTTTTGCGATTCAATCGGACCAATCCTTGAAAATCTTGGGTGTGAATATCTTGGGTAAGTTTTTGTCGACCAAGGATAACAATACCAGATACGTTGCTCTCGATACTTTGCTCAGCGTGATTAACATAGAACCTTTGGCTGTTCAAAGACATAGATCTACCATAGTCAGCTGTTTATCCGATGGAGACATTTCCATCAGAAGAAGAGCTTTGGAACTTTCGTTTGCAATCTTGAACGACCAAAACATCAGAGTTTTGGCTAGGGAAATCTTGGTTTTCTTGGAAGGAAGCGCAGACAGCGAATTAAAACCTTACGCTACATCTCAATTGGTTATTGCGGCAAGCAAATACTCACCTAATGACAAATGGCATTTTGATACTCTTATTAGAATGTTGAAGGTAGCAGGAAATTACGTCACTTCCGATATCCTGTCAAACATCTTGGCACTCATCCTTCAATGTAACGACGGGGAATTGAAAAAGCACGCAGTCACAAAGTTGTTGTCATCTTGTCTCGAAGACATGTCTCAATTTAGTTTGTCATTAATCACCATTTGGGCGGTCGGAGAGTATGGTGACATTGTTTTGGGTTCTAACATCGAAGTCAATGGGAAACAAGTGCTCGTCGATGAAAAGAAAATTCTTCAACTTATTGACGATCTAATCAACAATTCTACATACTCAGAAAATGAGAATGTACAGTTGATCTCATACATTTTGACATCCATCTTGAAATTGTCTATTAAGTTCAAGGATTCACAATCAATTGAGAAATTGAGATTGATGTTGAATTCCAGAACCTACGATAGCAATTTGGAAATTCAGATAAGAGCAGTGGAGTACCAAGAGATCTTTGCCCAGGATGCCAAATTGAAGAAAGGTTTGTTGGCAAGAATGCCAGCTCCTCCTGTCAAGGAAAGAGAGTCTTTATCATTGAACAACTCCTCCAACAAGAAGACCAAATCTTCTTCTAGCCACGGATCTGCTGGTACTTCTACTACAGAAGATTTGCTACTCGATTTGATGGATGATGGTGGCAATGCCCCTGGGGCTTCAACTACTCAAAATCAGTCTGATTTGTTATCGGATATCTTTGGCAATAATGGCAGCACACCTGCTGCAGCATCCCAAACCAAGAACTCAGCAATTCTTGACTTGTTTGACACTGCTCCATCTGTTCCTGCTCCTCCACCCAAGTCTTCCAGTGCTACAGCCATTCCTGCATTCAACAACGACAACATTAAGGTCTCCTTCACTCCTAAATCGTTCACACAGAATGGCCAAGCATTGATAGAAGCACAGGTGGACTCCAATGCTTCATCGGTCATTGAGCACTTGCAATTGCTCATTGCGGTGCCAAAAACACAAAAATTATCCATTTCTTCCACATCTGGCGGCGATTCGATTACCCCTGGGGGGCCATCAATCTACCAAGTATTGAAACTAGCTGGAAAGGAGGGTGCCAAAATCAAGTTGAGAGTCAAGGTTAAATACTCGTTGGATGGACAAGTCCAAGAAGATCAATTTGATTTTGCTGGCTTCAGCCAAACTTTATAGAGGTAGGTGATACCATAATGATGCAACCGTACTGATAGGTCACCTGATACGTGTAGACAAGGATAGGTCATGAGCGAATGGCGGAGGGTGAGTTGCTCTATTACGTATAGTATTACGTAATAATGGTTGCGAAAAGCAACTCACCATACTATATAAGACTGCCCCCACACCAACTAGTCTTCTATTAAGCAAAAATGTTACCACGAGTCGTATCAAGAAGAATTCTCCCCCAAACAAGAGCCCCAATCGCAAGAAGATTCGCCTCTGACGTCGAAGCAGGAGAAATTAAGGGAAACAGATTCAAGGATCATAAACTCGAAGAAACCCCAAAGACTTCTGGTTACAAGCCTCACCCTCACGCCTCTGCCGGTATCACCAATGGAACTGCTGGCAAAAGATTGTTTCCTACATTTTCCAGCGCATACAACTCATACAAACAGGAAATACCCAAAGCATTTGGTGCGCTAGCTGCTATTGGTGCCATTTTGCTTGTCTGGCCGGCCTTGGTGGTCAAATCAAGCAATTTTATTGACGATGTACCACAGACTAGTACTGCAGCGGTGACGATCGATAAGTTTGGCTTAACTGGCGCCAAGCCAGTTGTTGATATTCCGCAAACTTATTCCAGAAAGGACAAGCCTGCTGACGACGATGAGTAGGTTTACGGTGGCTGCAGACGTGCTTTGTGGCGGGTAGAGCCTTTCGATATGATGGTGTATCTTTCAACGAGCTACGTATTAGTTTATAGTAAGTAGATGATGAATTGTAACGACTAAATTTGGAGATATGTTACAAGTAGATAGTTACGTTATGCCAATGAGTTTACAAGCCACAAGCATGTGACGACTATCGTAACAATAAATCGTTTAGATCATGAGATTATGGCAATGAATAACCTAAAACCTACAAGTATGTGATGACTCTTATAACCATTAATTATCTAGAAGTTACAAGTAGACTATGACTATTATGACAATTGCTTATTCACAAGACCCGTTACATGGAATACACATCAACCATGGCCTTGATTCTATTAAAACGGGCCAAACTTTTGACCTCCCGGACTTGCAAGTCTCGTAAGACCTTCAACTCACTGTCCAACAACAACTCTTCTTCCTTCCCCTTGACATCCTCTCTTTCACATTTCTCCAACAATATCTTGTGGTCCTCTTTGAAGTTCTCGACGTTGGTCAAGATTTTGCCCATGGTGAACATCAATGAATTGCGCAAAAAACTGTAGGAGAAGTCCTCCTTGTGACGGAAAAGATAAAATGTCTTGGATGCTGCTCTATCATTACTTCTTGGGACTTCTTGTATTTCAATCATGTTCAAATTGAAGAGTTTGTAGAGCTCATTTCTGACCGTTTTTTCCTTCAAGAGAACGGCATTGGAAATCGATTTTTCGTCACCGAGTTTGAGAGTTTTGAGGCATCTCAAAATTCTGAATCCATTGTTACCAATGGTGGTTTTTACGAGTGATTCGAAATTGAAGGTTTTGATGTGTTTTTGGAGTGCATAAAAAGGCACAGTGTATGATCCGGGAGTGGTTTCGATTACAAATTGAATTCCTGTGGATGAGCTGAGAAGTTTCAAATGCTGGACGAGTATAGATTCGTCTTGGTTGGCGGTGCTTGGATCGAAGTTAAAGAGGGGTGCTCCTTCGAAAGCTGCTTCGAAGTTAGTGGGAAGCATATCTTGTCCATCTAACGTTAAGGCTTCTGCAAGAATATCGTCAGTTGTACCACTTTCCAATTTTACTCTTTTGTTATCTTCCTCTGCTTCGCTCATCTTTCTTTTATTAAGCCCATTGGCAGGCAAGATTGAGTTCTTCAAATCCAAATCGTCAGGTATTAATCTTTTCAAATCATTGATGCTGAAAACGATTTTCTTGTCATCCACTAATTTGTTTTCCATGCCGCTCAAAAAGCTTTCCTTCTCCAGGGGTTCCACAATGAAATTTGAAATTTTGAAGAGCTCGTATTCCAAGTCAGGAGATGACGACTCGATAAGATTCAAGCATATTTGGTAGATTCTGGAAGATATGAGCCCTATGCGTGAGCGACAGAGGCCCACGAGGAAATTGGTTCTTTGGTGCTTTTGGAAGCGCTTAAAATTGAATTTCACCAACAAATCGGCTCTCAAGAGCTTGTATCCATTTTTCAACACGTATATATCCCTCCTGGCATCAGGCGATTCGCCCTCGCGTGAATCTAACAAATCCACCAATTTTTTCTTGGTCTTTTCTTTAATTTCATTGACACGCTTGACCTCCGAGGTGGTAGACAGTCTGGGGGTGTTTTTGGAGATTTCCTTGAACCACTTGTTCCATAAGTCGTTGATGGGGCTAAAGTTGATCGGCCTAAGCTCCACGATCCATTGGTCTTTCACCAAGCGGATCAACAAGTTCTGTTTATTGATCTTTTCTTCCTCGTCCTTGCCCTCCAAATAGTCCTCAATTCTCACGCTTCCGTTGAGGAGCAAGTTCTGCACGATTTCCGCGGTTGGTTCCCCGTAAAGGTTCTTGATGGTCTGGATGATTTCTCCACTGTACAACAAATTCAACACTCCCTCTTCGTTGAAGCTGTAAAAAATGTCCTTGGACGACTCATCCTTCCAGTAGAACATGCAGTTCAACTGGATGAGCGAGACGAGCGCCTTCTTGACGATCTTGATGTTAAGTTTGGTTCTTCTCGCTATGTCTTTTGCGGACAATCTTTCACATGAGATCAAGATGGATACGATGATCGAGGCGATTTCGCCCAAGTGGGACTTCACTATTGTCGCGAAGAGGTACGACTTGGGCGACTGTGTCTTGGACACTTCTAGGATTTCGGACATGGTGGACACCGACCACCAGCGACGTAAATTTTTGTGATGAGTAGTGTCTGTCATGTGACCACACACCACGTGATCTCAAACCACCAGTTAACGCCAGTGATCGATCTCGCTACACCCACCAATGTCTCTTAAGCAAAACCTCAAGGCTGCTAAGAGCGCCATTGCAGAGAACGACCCCGAGTCGGCTCTCTACTACGTCCAGGACGTGCTCGCAGAGGACGCCAAAAACTACTATGCCTACATTTTCCAGGGCAAGGCGTACCAATTGCTCGATGATGTGTCGAAGGCAATTACTTCGTTTTCGAAGGCCACCAAGTTGGAGCCTGAGAATCTTCTTGGTTGGAAGGGATACTTCCAGCTGGTCAGGAACTCCAAGGACTATCTGTTGGTTTTTGAGGTGTTCACCAGTCTCATCAAAGTCCAGGTCGATCAGGGCATAGGCATAGCTGATTCGTTGAAGGACTTGACGAATTGGCTCGATTTCAAGCAATACAAGTCGGACAACGAGCTTCTTGAGACGTACTTGAGGGCAATTCTCCCTGGAACACCACTCGGAGAGTTGGTGGGAGGCAACCTTGGCCGTGCCGAGAGCAACATCAAAACGTTAATCAACTTGGAAAGGAGGAAGGTCGACAGCGAGATATCTGTACGCATATCGAAGGAAAGGGTCAAGTTTGGTAGGGTCTTGACGCAAGACGGCAAGAATCACCTCAATAGCATCAGTTACTCCATCTACCAAAACTCCGACTTGGACCGTTTGTACGACTTGATCTTGAACGTCAGCAACGACGACAATGTCAGAAGACAGTTCGAAGAGGACTACTTGAAGTATAAGTACAATCTCTTGCAGGTGTGCCCGGAAAAGGCCCAGTTGGTCGACGAAATCAAGGAGATGATTGACGGAATGCTTTTGATCGGCTCCAAAAGTTTGTTCTGCTGGAACTTGTACTTCGACTGGTTGGACATGAAGTCTTTGAAAGAGTTGGACTTCGAGAAAGTCATCCAGTACTTACAAAATTTCCCCAACCAGGGATTGAGCGTCGTTTTACATGCATACTTGATGAGTGATATCTCTACATTCGACAAGGAACGGGTGGTGAAAGCCATGGAAAAACCAAAAAAACTGGGCAGAAGAGGAAACAGATCTAGAAAAAGCCCAAAGGAAGTAGTTACCTCCGACAAAGAAGCAGAGACTCCTTCAGCAAATAGCTCTCCTCAGTCGAGTGTTAGTTCCAACGATGAACTAGTTCTTGAAGAAAAGAAACTTTTAGTGGAAGATGAAAATAAGTCGGACTCTCTCCTTCCTGGTGAAGTCTTGTCTTTGATGTTGGAAGGTTTGAAGAAGTCGTCCGACTCTCTCTTGGTGAACAGAATAGTATGTGAATATTACATCCATGCTCGAGAATACTTCGAGGGATCTCAAAAATGTCGGGAGCTAATCAAGATCTTGGCCGACATGCAAAGAAATATTGGGCTTGACTTGAAGAGGACCAAGGAGTCTGCGTTGTGCTCTTTGGCTATCACCTATACTTACTACGAGGCACCCAAAAACTTTCCTAGAGCTTTGGAATTATATGAAAGAATTCTCACCACAGATCCTAGCAACTCTCAGGCCATGATTGGAATTGGTTTGATATCGATAGAGAAAGGAGAATTGGAGAAAGCAAAGGGACTCTTGGAAGAGGTCACATCCAGGGATCCAGAAAATCAGCAGGCATCGAGAGAGTACAGTTGGTGCTTGATTAAATTGGGAGATCATGAAAAGGGTAGAGAACTATTACTCAAATGCCTCGCGGAGGTCAAAGGTCAAGATTTGTATAGCGGAGAGATTCGTGCATTAATATATTGGAGGTTATCAAGCAGTCTCCTCGACCAGAAGAACCCTGAAATTGATTATATTACCGAAGCATACAATTATTTGATTCAATCGTTGAAAGACTCACAAAATTTTGCCCCTTCCTACACTCTTTTGGGTGTAATCTTCCAGGAGCATTACGACGACAAACCCCGTGCCCACAAGTGCTTCTACAAAGCATTTGAATTGGATGTTTCCGAGATTGTGGCTGCCAAATACCTTGTTGATGACTTGACTTCCAAGAATGAATGGGAAGTTGCAGAAATCTTGTGTAACCGTCTCGTGACTTCAGAAAATGCAAGGAGAATTTTGCTTTCCGAGAAATACAAGGACTCTGATAAAGCTTGGGCCTACAGGGTGTTGGGATGCGCTGCTTTGAACAAGCAGGATGATCCAAAGGCTATTGAATGGTTCCAGACAGCATTAAGAATGGCCGCTATTGACATTCAGTGTTGGATTGGATTAGGCGAAGCATATATGAACTGTGGTCGTTTGGATGCTGCGGCTAAGGTTTTCCGCCATTTGATAACAATTAATGACCAGGATGACGAAAATCAATGGGTGATTGAATATATGCTAGGAACTATAGTTTCACAAATGGGTGAGTTCAATGAAGGGTTATACTACCTCGGACAAGCACTTAACAAAAAGCCAGAAGAAGAGTGTATCTTGATTGGTTTATATGAATCTTATATTGAGAACTCAAAGAGATTAGTGCTTGGAGGGTTTTTTGGTAGATCTGTCCAATCAAATTTGAAGGCTCTTGAATATATCAAGTTGACATTTAAAGTCAACCCAGAAAGTCCAAAACTTTGGAAGAGTTTTGGAGAATCATTGAAGTTGTTTTTGGTGATACAAGAAAAGATGGATTTGTTTCCAATTGAGGCCTTGAAACAGCTTTTCGAGGAGGTAGACCTTGAGAATAATCTAAATGACCTTGCTAGAGAAGCATTGCGTTTGGACAGTGTAACCTTTAAGGATGCCCTTGATCTATTTGAACTGGGACAAACGACAGAAGCAATTTGTTCGTTCATTATCTTGACACAAAAATTGGGTCTCAAGTACTTGCCATCCAAGGTGAGTAAGTACTTGAAGTCTGTTGCTATATATAACCTTGGATTGGCATATTTGGAGTCTTACAATTATACCGATAATACAACCCATAGAGATTACTCCGTTAAGTTCTTTAAGAATGCTATTCAATTGGAGGGTAACAATTCTGCCTTCTGGGTTGGTTTGGGTAATGCTTATGTATCGCTGAACCCACATATTTCTCAGCATTGTTTTATTAAAGGAATATCGTTGGAATCCAGAGATGCAGGTATCTGGACTAATTTGGCTGCATTATACCTCAGATACGGAGACTCAGAATTGGCCCAAGATGCATTCTTGAGAGCTCAATCGGTGGCACCTCAGGAATCCAAGTCGTGGTTAGGACATGCTTTGGCAGCAGAAGCCTCGAACGATGAAGAACAGGCTGCACGGTTATTTACCCATGCTTTCGTGTTATCCAATGGTAGAAGTCCCTTGGCCCAGTTATTGTATGGTGTCTCCATCATCAACAAGCGTGGACAGGGCTCTGATCCCAGGGATATTGAGTCTGCTCAGGAGTACAGTGTTGCAAACTTTGCAATGCAACAATATCTTAAGTTTGCACCTAATGATGTGTCAGGATTGCAGATAGCATTGACAATCAGTGAGAGATGTAAGAACTTTGACATGTCCATTGAGATTGGAGAGAGGCTCTGTCAGATCTTGGAAAAGGACTACGACCGAACCGAAAGCGAGGTCACCTTCAAGAAATACGTGGGAGCCAAAACCCAGTTATCCAGAATTTATCTTGGGTTAGGCAAGTACGAGAAAGCGTTGGAAAATGCTCAACTTGCCCTCGATTTGATTAATAGCTCTGAAGACGAGCAGTTCGATTTGGTAGTGTTGTCCTCTCGAGTTGTCATTGGCTTGGCATTGTTTTTCAGCAACGAGTTTGACGAGTCGTTGGAGCACTTGAAGGTTATCCTTGAATCACACGGCCAATCCAAGAGGCTCATCACCTTGATTGCCCAGATCCTCTATGCGCATGGCACCGAAGAGACCAAGCAAGCTGCTCTAGACCAGTTGTTTGCATTCATCGAGGAAAACGGCTCTTCGTTGATCGTGGTGCTCACCCTTGGAGCAATCTCGTTGGCCGACGGCTTGGAGGACTATTTCGTGGCCATCAAGGAGGAGCTTGAGGGATTGTCTTTGGAGGAGGTCCGTGAGGACGCCTATCGTTCTGTGCCCAAAATGTTGATCGAGATCAACAAGCATCTCGAAGTGAAACTGAGAGAGTGGCAGAAGGCCGCAATCATGTTTCCCTCGGACTTCAATGTGTGGCAGCAGTTGAACAGTCAGATGGCGTTGAGCGTGGCTTCTTTGAGAGAGACCAAGTTGACTGCTCCCCAGTTGAGCAAGGCATACTTGGCTAGTGGGCACAGAAGAGAAATCCAACGGAGTATGCTTATATGCCCAGGGGATGAGGAAACCATGCAAGCACTTGGTAGTTGGGCCAGCTAGGAGAAGTGCTTGGGAGTTTTAAGTGGAGCAAAATATTTGAGGCGAAGAAGTTTGGAGGTGAGGTTAAATAGAAATACATATAATCCAAACCAGAAAAGAGACAGAGAGTAGACAGGCATGTATAGAGTAGATACAGCCTTGACAGAGAGACTCAGAGAAACTAGTTAAATTGATTCAATTACTTCCGAAGACAAATCCTGATACACTGAATGAGAATTGTAAGAGAGAGGGCATAGGAGTTTCAGCGATTGTATCGTAAGAAATCGTTAATGGTGTGGCAGAAAGGGTCACTGAGCCGCCAGCCAATGCGAGAAGCCAGACGAGTCGACACGCATTGAGACACCAGCCGTGAATTTAGAAGACCATTGGGAGGTCGTTAAGACTCCAAAGCAGTCACAACAAGACTAGTGGTCAAGTCATCTAGTCATTGTACTGCGCAAAAATCATTGATTACTCTCTGGGAATCACACGAGTCATTAAGGTATCCATATCCTTGGACTCCATATTAATATGTGTGGACTTGATTGTTCCAACGAGCCAGACTACAAATTTTAGTAGAGGTTTTGGTGAATTGATTGACCCAATCGTTTGCGAGACCACTGGTTAAGATGGAAACCAGCCCTTGGATACCATTGCAAACCATTGAACGCAATCGAACGTAATTTATCTAGCCTAGCAACTCATTATTCCAATAATCATTTCTACATAATAATTTATATTGTTGAATAAACTTAATTGGGAACCAGAAAAGGTAGACGAAATCCACCATAATCACGTATACCGCAAGAATTTGGTCAGCATCTGTAATAACAGTCATTTCCAGAATCCACGCTCTTAGTCATTACCCGAGTTCGTACTACCAGTCATTATCTGAGTCAGATGAGTCGTTAACCACCAGCTTATCCTCGCGAAAATCGCCTGAACGCTCCCCACACCTCCAAGGCGCTAAAGAACGTCTCGAGACACCACCAGTCCCAACAATCCCGCTCACTACGAATGCCACCACCCCTCACTTATCGGCATGTCTTCTCCCTACTACTACTACTACTTCTACTTGTTCCTCCTTATCTACCCCTCTGGCTACCCCCACCCTTATCGGTTGCAACATCGCAACCCTCAGGGGCTAGCGACTGCGCACCACCACCGTGCCCCCGCCACGCCCCGCCACGACCCCGCTAGCGAGCTCTCTACCGTCCCGCTAGCACGCCCGCAACCGCCCTGCCAGTGATGATCCTCCCCGTGACCGCACCATTCTTATCACCACAACGCCACCAACCAGCCCCGATATCCCCGGCAGATTCGCTTCTTTTGGGCCGTAGATCGCCTGGTTGCACGCTGGCGCCCCGTTTCAGCATCGTATAGAGTGCCAGCCAGCGGACAGGCCAGAGCCGCAGAGGACCCCCGCCCCTTCTAAAGTTGTGGTCTGCTCCTCCTGGCACCATTACGTGCGAGCCCCAGTTCTGAGTCACGTTATGACTGCTCCTACTTAAGGAGCACGCACCAAACGCGACCCACCCGCCACCTACCCAGTCTTTAGTGAGCCACAGGGTACATGCTTAGGTCACAGTATAGGGTCTAACTACATCACCCGTTCCTGCGCCACGTCTTCTCTCGTCCCGCTGCGCTGAACTATCCCGATTCCTCCCTGCGGTGTGCCAGTATAGTGCCACCCGTTCCGTCCCTCCACTACTACTCCCGCTAGCGCCTTCCCAGCGGCTCAGCAGAGTACCAGACAGCCTAAGGCAACTCATTCTGCCGTTGCGTGTCAGCTGCTCCGTTTGCGTGCTTATCGCCTCCACCGTCACCACAGACCAAGCTGCACATCCAAGACGGATCACATTTCCTGGAGGCTGCGCTCACAGTCAGAGGTGTTAAACCGCGTGATTGCACCCAAAGGGTCTCTGCAAACGAGCCGATTTCCCCCAACAGTCTCCAACTCCATACTAGACTATTCCATTCCCTGAAAAGTCAAAAGCTGCCAAACTAGCTGATTCTACGCCTAATCACTCTTGTTACAGGCCAAACCAGCCAATTTAACCACCTGCCCCCTGCCGCATTCCACCATGTACTCGAACGAATCCAAGAAGCTCGACCCCTTCGTCAAGAAGCAGAATGCAAAGCTCACCCAGGTCATTCAGAACTTCTTCAACAAGGCGGTGCAGATCGTGCTCCAGTCCCGATCCTTGGACACCTCAACCATGCAGTCGAGCCTCACCAAGAACGAGGACATCATTGCCAGCAAGATCAACAAGTGGTTCAATCTACACATGTACAACCACCCCGAGCTCTCCAAGGACGACTTGAAGCTCTGGAAATCGTGCACTGACCTTACCTCTATCCCTCCCATGATCATTGAAACCTACCTTGACTTGAGGCAATTGACCCCCAGCCAAACTGCCGTGTTGAAGGATGACAACGGCAACGAATGGACGGTGGCCAAGACCGGAAGCAAGAAACAGGAAATCGTGTTGGAGAGATGGTTGATCGAATTCGACCCCAACAACGTGTCCGGGTCTTTGGTAGACGAGTTACCGTTGATCTACAAGCAAGCAATCATCTTGTTCCGAAGCATGTATGGGTTTTCAAGATTAATGCCGGCATTCAAATTGAAAAAGGCTTTGGCAGTGAATCTGGCAAGCTCCAAGTTGAGTAAGCTCTCATTGGGAAACAAAATCCTTGATGGAAAACAGCCCATTCTGTCCAAGGGCCGGATTGGATTGTCCAAGTCTATCATACCACACCAGATGCTTACTACAGAATCGCATGTCAGCCACAAACATTTCCAGCCAATCCAAACTACGTTGGGTACCTTGAAAGTATCTATTGCATATAGAAATCATCATGATTTCGCCATCCATGACAACGAAGAAGTCTTATCCACTCATTTCATATCCATGGATACTTCCACTCCAGATCCAGAGGTGGAAGCGCCCTCGAAGATCTCATCCATTGATGAAGAGTTGTCATCTGGCGAGGGTCAAGCAATTCCCAATCGTGACAAAGATCCCAACTCTAATGCATTCAAAAGATTGAGCATTTTGTCAAATGCTTCAATGTCCATTTCTCCAACCTCGTCTGGACATCGCGACACTTCCATCTCCAAAAAGTCCTCGACACCTATTTCTCAACGACCCTCTATCCAACCTTTCAAGGTTGGTTCCATCAGTAACTCTCCACCAATAGGAGCCCACACTCCAACCAATTCGAATACTGGTGCAGGGTCTTCCTTGGAAAGAAGGGTTTCAATCACCAGTAACAAATCCACTTCCAATGCATCATTGGCCGCTTTATTGAGAAACCCCAGAAGCAGTACCTCTTCCACTCACAGTTTCGTGAATGCTCCTGTCTCTACTAGCTCAGGAAATACACCTATTGCGGTCAATATTTCCTCCTCTCCTCATCCAAGGTCAGTATCTTCATCACATGGGTCCAACTTGGCTCCTGATGAAGCAGGGATATTTTCCAATCTCGAGGGTGCCTCCAATACTCCTCGTTTTTCGTCGTCTTTTGGATCCAGAGCGAGCAGAAGATTCTCTAATACTAGTATTAGGCAAAGTTCCCTAAGCAATGCCGGCCAGGGCTCAGGAACTGGCGGAGGAGATACCTCTATCTTGGGTACTAGCACTGAACTGACTACCTCGTCTGGAGCCCCGCTAAGCGGACTTTATATTGATGATGATATCAGTGATTTCGTTCGTATGATTGATAGCAAATCTGAACTCAGGTTTTCTTCATACAATCATGATTCGAAACAATCATCTCCTTTTCCTAACGATCCTTTGAACAAATTCCAATTGTTGAAAGGTCACCATCAACAGATCGGTGAAAACGTTAGTGCAAGCTTGTTGTTGAACAATCCCGGGCTCCAAGCAAACTCACGGCATTCCAGTCGGAAGTCATCGCATTCCATGTACTCACCACCCGGGTCTTTGCCTTCTGGTTCTTATGAGCATTCGCAATTACCTTCCATTAACTCCAGATTGAGGGAGAGGTCTCCTACGGAAATAATCACCAATAGAAGGTCTTCATCGTCCCATGATGAGAACGCAAGAAAGAACAGCTTTCCGTACTCGAGTCATCACAGCAATGCTTCGTTTTTGAAGGCACCATTAGCCAGCATGAATAGGTTGGCCGCAGCACCTATCACCTCGACCACTAGTGCCCATGCCACGGCACACGGGCCAAGCTCCAAGGACGCCGAGAAAGCGAGTGGTGTTAAAGGACTTGCCACCACGCCCTCTGCTTATGATAAAAGGACAATACACTACGAGAATGTGTTTGATGATGACGACGACGAAGTGCACGAAGATGATCCCCACTATTATCTTTCAAATAATCATTCCAGCGAGAATCTCAACTCGTCCAACCGGGGAGCATTTCATAACGCCAATCACAATCGCCACCAGTCTGATGACTATGACGACGATCTATTGTTCACCATGAGTGACATGAACCTTACTAAGAACTGAGCGAGCGGTAGTTATTATTGCGTAAACTCAAGAGTTCAGTCTCCATCTTGCCCCAGTGAAACATCTTTGAACACTAATTGTTCCAAGCAGCGATGGTTGAACATTTTCAACGGAAGGGCGATGTTCCCCTCCAGGAGGTTTATAGTGCGGGCCACGGATGCCCTGTGATTCTCGTAACCCAAAAAGGCATCGTGCCTGAGGAGAGCCATGAGAGGGTGCTTTTTTGTCTTTGGTTTCGACAACCTCCTCCACTGTTGGAATAGTTTCTTCTCCATAGCCATCCACTTGCCAGCTTCGACTGGCCTCACCACTTATTAATCAATGCAATCCCACCAATCTTATTGTAAGCCCCAAGAAATCCCAAATCTGGATTTTTATTGTGAGGATGCCTGTAATTTGCTGGATGTTATTGTCAATTCCCCACTTGTTTCTGGATGGTAGCTCAAGCTCCACGCATCTGTGTAATTGTACTACATGATGATTATCCCAGCAAACCGTAGTTTCAGATGTTTCGAAAGCAAGCCCCAACTGTATTTCTATAGCTGTGAAGTCCCAGGCAATTCTACTTGTACTGGATGTCTATTGTAAGTAAATCCCCACTTGATGCCAGTCCTGTCATGGTGACATGCGTACCTGTCTTCCGGAGATTGCACCAGGCCATCGCAGCCACCATAGGGACGCATGGAGTGTATACATGTCTTCTGTGCACCAGAAATCCGTAGCCCAGGCAGGTATTGCCTGTTCCCCGAGAGGGCTTCAAACCGTCAATCATGATTGTGAACTCGTGGCTGGCGTTGTGGGCGAGGCTGAAAGGTCTAGGTCGGAAACTACGAGCCGCAGAAGCCAGCGTTCTTGACACATGCGCGAGAGGGAGAAACTGACAAGATTGGTGGGAACAGGGAGGGGCCTTGCCATTAATATTAGTGGCTAGGTCCATTTCTGGGGTAAAGTCACATCCTGGCATTAATGGCTGGATGGCGAATTAGTGGGGTAAGCCTCATGCTGGTTTGGTTATTAAGCGAACTGTCTGAAGGCGTGCACCTGCTGACCACCAGCCATTCCCCAGGCTAGAGGCGTCCGTTGGCGGTGTGTGGGACTAGTATGTGCTCATTATCTCCATGCACGTCCACCGTTATGTTGCTACAGGTGTTACTATTAGCGTGCATTAAATATTAATTAATACTCCTTCAGTTCTATCTGCGGAGATTTGGATGGCCAGTGGCTTGGCAATCGTGTGGTTGATTACTGGTCCCAAGGAAAGAGGATACCAGTACGGATACTAGCAAGGAATTAAAGGCTCCAGTAATTGATTACTGGTACCAGTAGAGAACTTATCCTTTACTGGAATGCTTAAGCGTCAGCATCTTGGCCTGGGTTACAGGTCTCGTAGTTCAAGAGCTTGAGGGCCTTCCAGATGGCAAAGGCAATGACGGCACCCAAGGCTGGGCCAACCCAGTAGATCCAGTGGTAGTTAGGGAAGCTTCTGGAGGCAACAGCTGGTCCGAAAGATCTGGCTGGGTTCAATCCAGCACCGGTGTAGTAGATACAGATCAAGTGTCCAACGAACAAGGCAATACCAATGGCGAATGGAGCCATGAAGGTGGCACGGTGCTTTTCAACGGCCATCAACAAAACAGTCAAACACAAGATACAGGTACCAAAGGCTTCGATGAAAACACCTTGACTTCTGGAAGCACCACCACCCAAAGCGTTAGCAAAGGCAATTGGGCCAGGAGTCATGGCAGAAGCAGCACCAGCGGCAGCCATACCAGCAATCATCTGGGTGACCATCATGATAGCACCTCTCACAGGAGGAATGGCCTGGGCAAGCACCAAGGTTAAAGTAACGGCAGGGTTCAAGTTACCACCAGAAACTCTGAACATCATGAAGACACCAACCATGACACCGAAACCGAAACCAAAGGAAATCATGATGATTTGCGAAGGGTCGGAACCGTTTTCAGGAATGTTAGGGTCTTGGTTGGCAATCTGGGCAATCATGAACGCAGTCCACAAGAAGATGAAGGTACCAAAGAATTCACCTAACACGGCAATCAAGTGGTTCTTCCAGGCAGAAGCAGTGACCTGGGCATCGGCCTTTCTTTCGTAGGTTTCAATTGGCTTTTGGGACTCGTGGTCGATTTCGCTGGAGGCAGTCATGGTGTTGGATAATTGGATGGGTAAATTTCGGGGGATTTATTAGAGTTTAAATAGTGCAAAATAGATGGTCTCTGTCTAGGGTGATGGGCTTGTTCCTGTCTTGTTAGGGCAAAATTAATTACCACCCATGAAGCTTAAAAAATACTGTACCGTCTTACAATTGCAGGTAGATGCATGCTGCGGAGAAGAAAGGTCAGATGAATTCACCAGAAAATATCCCTTAATTTCAGGCGATGGCCACCGTGATGCCGGAATCCTGTCCCGAGCATGCCATTCCAAACCTAAATGGGCACCATTCCATAGTTAAACCGGTCCCAACCACCCCTGTGGCCAATTTGTGCAAGAACAGGACCTGGCACAAACGGGCGAAAACAAAAGAAATGTGACGCATGATATGCATATAAATGGATTGATCAACATTGTGTTGAATTCTCAATCTTCTTCTCTGGGCTCAACACAATAGAAAATGTATTACCTGCATGAAAGGAACGGTGTCTATCCTAGATGTTTCAACTTAACGTAGGAAACCCGATTTTGCGAAAAGAAATTCGGGATTTAAGTTTGAGGCTATTTTTAACATTTGCTGGCTCAAATCACCGAAACATCCTCCTCTGACAGCCTTCGGGCCCGGGTGGCTTGGGAGAAGGCACCAGTCGGCCTCTAGCTTGTAGCACCATTGGCTTGGTGAAGGCTACTCTCCATACTCCATACTCCAGTCACCTCGCTGCGGACGCATCAAACGGACAAGCGGCTGAGGGAATTATTCCTCAACTGCGCGCTCTAAACTCGCATTTTGCGAGCCTGAATGCATTCTTTCGCTGTTTCGAACACGCTAATTCCAAGAATAAAAAGCTCATGACCACCTGGCGGAGTCACCGAATTCACAAGGTCAGCTGGTTAGTAAATATACGACTGGGCATCTCGTATCCGATCCGAAATTCCAAGTGAGTTCCCCAGGTCGGGCCAGCCAGTTTCTCAACTTGTGCCTGGGATCCGCAGGAGCTAGGGCGGTGCAAATCCTTGTGCATCGGCGTGATCTGAAGGATTTTCCAACAGTGTAGATCTTCTGTATGTCTGGAAGTTCTAGAAAATTTCGGCCCTCAGGGTCTGTTTGGTTGTCGCGAGATGCCAGCATCCGAGCCGTTTCGGGATTCGGGCGAAAACAGTTATGCACAAGGGCCTAAAATGGCAATTTCAACTTTGGTGCAAAAAAATGATTTTGACCAAATTTCGATTTCACCTCACATGACTTGACCGTGGTGGGTGAGCCTCCTGTCGGGTATACCTGTCGGAAGGTGGGGAATGTATATGTCAGCATCCTCTAGCGTCCTCGGCATGCATGATTTATGTATGGCAGTAGGCACGAATGGGCCAATCGTAGCACATGACCTTTGTAGGAGTCTGACAGCTAGCACTCTTTCCCAGCTAAGCGAATTATACCCAATTTAGCGCAAGCAGGGGTGGCTGATTGCGTTCCTTCATGAAACTTACACACGCAGGGTTGTAGTTTAATTCTGGCAAGTTTCGTGGGGCTTATGGCCGTTGATGAACATTGTCGAGGAAAAGAAGAATGAAGAGTAGTCTACAAGAATCGACAGTCCGACACATTTTTCTCGTCTACGGACGAGGCACGATAGAACATGGCTATTGTCCTTTTGACTAAAATTCACGTGACAGATTTTGACGACAATCCAACGTGATGCTAGTCACGTTATCTGTCACGTGTAATGCTCCATGCCATCGCTGTTGACTCTCCAGCGCTGTCTCCACTCCAGCAACGCCAATTACGAATCCCTTCCTATTGCGAGCCAGGAACTCTCCACATAAAGAACAGTTCGTCGCAGCTATAGTCCTGACGCAAAATGGGCACATCTCAATTCCCTTCGCCCTTCAGCGTGAAGCGGATTAACCGCAAGGTCAACAACGACACCGACTCCGATAACACAGACACATTCATCAATGCCAAAAAGCCCAATGGCCAACGAAGCATACACATCCAAGCTGCAGGCAATGTTAGCAACACGTACAAGTCATATTCGTCATTTAATACCACCCATAAAGTGAACGAGGATCCAGAGGAATTGATTGACTGGATCAGTAACATCGACATACGGTACAAACAACTAGCTCATAAACAGCATGAGGAAGCCAAGCGCTTGGTCGAGGATCAGAAACTGCAGTTAGCGGAGAAAGAATTACAGGAAAAGTATAGAAACAAGATCTACGAAGACGAGTTTGAAAAATTGGCTCGTGTAGTCGCCAGAGAGGAAGAACCTGTAAAAGAACGGCAGGAGGATGTGGACAATTATGAACATTACGAAGAAGACGATGATGAGCTAGATCAGGAAGAGGAAGAGGAAGAGGAAGAGGAAGAGGAGGATGAAGAAGAAATAGAAGAAGACGATGATGATATAATTGTATTAGGGTCCGAGTCGGAGGAAGAAGCTCCTCCAGCACCCGCTTCTCATATCCATTCAGCTCAAGTGCTCCACAAACCCAGCCTTTTATCTTCTGGCCCAACTATGAAATCATCCAGCGAGTTGTTCGCTGACCAAGCTGAACAGGAAGCGCAAGAAGAAGATGAAGATGAAGATGAAGATGAAGTGGATGAGGATGAGGATGAAGTGGATGAGGATGAGGATGAAGTGGATGAGGATGAGGATGAAGTGGATGAGTATGTGCAGGATCAGGAGGAAATGGAAGAAGAAGAGGACGACTACGAGGAGGAGGCAGATGATTTTGACATTAACGATGAAGTGGACGAGGCCCCGGCAATAGAAAATATCGGTCAAAACAATCAAGTTCAAACGCTTCATGATCAGAATCCCCAACACTACCCCTCTGAGCAGAGCCAGCATTTATCATACACACTCCAAAATGGCAGACCAAGATTATCAAACTACGGTTACCATTTACATCAGCAAGAAGAGAATGCTGAGGAAGGAAGTGAGAACGAGGATATTGATTCCAATGAATATTCAGAGCAGGAAAGTGACCACAATGACATAAATGCATATTCGACTCATTCTCAATCTCATCAAAATCAACCTTACGAAGTAAATGAATCATATGTCCAAACAAATAAGGACTTTTCTCATTTTTCACAGCAAGCAGAAGGGAATGACATTGAAGATGAATCAATAATTGTGCTAGATTCCGAAGAAGATGATGAAGGCGAACAAGAAATCGAACGAGAAGACGAACAAAATGTAGGGGAAGAAGATGATGAAGATGATGAAGATGATGAAGAAGACGAAGAAGAAGATGATGATGATGATAATGAGGAAGAGGAGGAGGAAGTTGAAGAAGAAGCAGAAGAAGACTCTTTGGATAATATTGACCACCAAGATGCTGATCAGATAGAAGAAGATGATGACCAAAATGAAAGTGGTTATCAGAAGTCGCCACAATTTTCAGAAGCTGAGGCCCAACAACTTCAACAAGTAGCAGCGCAGTTGCAAGAATTACAGTCTGAACAATCTCCCTTCAATAACCTTCTAGATGGTCGTAATATAGAAAACTCGGCAGATGCCAATTTCTCGAGATGGGCTGATGTAATGCTTGAACAAGCTAATTCTGGTACATTTAATGAGCCTCAATCTTCCAATCACCAACTGGTGTCTAATTTCTCCACAGGTCGAGCATCTGGATATGCTACTGAATATGAATTCACTGACACTGCAATTAATATTGATGAAGAGGAACCAGAAAAAGTACCTCATGATGACATTGCCCCCTTACCTACCGCATTCTATGCTAATGAGTTGGAGTCAAAGGATGATAAGGAGGTCATGGAAATAATTAGCGAAGATGAGAAAACTGAGGGCTCTTTAGCAGACGAGGAGATGGAGGAGATCGTTCCTGAAGAAATTAAATCGTCGAATCACTCTGCAGATGCAGAAATGATAGAGCAGTTACAGGAAGAACAAGAACCTGCTCACCATCCTGTACCAATTTTTAGAACTGTCAAAGAAGAGTCCCCAGAAGACACTTTATTAAAGCTTAAACAAATTGATAAGAAGTTCAATCTTCATTTAAGCTCCGTGGCTGATCTTGAAAATGAAATCAGATTGAGATCGTCTCCCTTTGGATCTGTTGAGCCGGTGGGAACCGAGGACATTGAAGAAGGTATACAGGAAGATCAACACCAGATTAACAGCAGCATCCCCATTCAGGTGCTGCAAGTCAGGGATGCAGATTCCGCTGACCCGTTCGTGGATGCTGACGTTACATTTGATTTACAAACCAGCGAACCCTTAATATTAAACCAAGGAGATTATGAAAGAGATAGTCAACTTCAAACTAGCCAGGCTGAGCGGATCAAAGAAGCCCCCGATACATCTGTGGTTCTCGAAAATGAAAGCAATGGAGACGTAGTACCTGAACCAAATCCTGAAGTATTGGTTGGAAATATTGAAAATGCTGAAGGTCAATTGAATAGCGATGAGCACAATCTGGTGCCATCACACCTTGTCGGTGCTACTAGTGCTGCCATTAACAATATTGAGGTTCCTATATTAGATAGTATTGGGAGTGAAGATGGTGAATACTCAGAGCTGGAGGACGATGAACACAATGAGAACGAGTACGAAGCATTGGGCCATCATTTGAAATCTGAGAAGTTGGATCATATAATTGATGAGGTTCTTGAGGAGATATCACACGGAGGTACTGACAGGCAAAACATCGACGTATCAAACGATTCAGCCAACAGTTCTCAAATTGTATTTAGTCAAGTCGAAAAGAGCCCAGAAAGTATCCCAGACTCATCATCACAAGTTAACACCGAAAATACTAGACCCGTGGAACCAACACCTGAAGTCGAGAATATAATGCAATCCGATAACAATGAAGCAATTGAAATCGATGAAGATGAAACTTTCCATGACGATATCGAAACCAAAACCAAAGAAGTTGAACCTGATGTTGAAACCATCGTAAGCGACGTGGAAATGGATATTGAAGAAGTACACCTGAAGTCGCCAAGCCCAAACAACCTAGGATCAGACAATGAGCTTATTGAATCTGATCTCAATCTCGGTGAAAAAGTAAACCCATTGGAGTTTGAACAGAATCAACAAATTGCTGTACCCGTTCAAGTTGAGGAGAATCTCTCGAAAGGTAATCTAATTGGCATAACACAAAATATCACAGAAGATCTCAATGAACATTTGGCACAAGAAACTTTGAATGCCGCGGAAAAGGAACTTGTTGAAGATGTGGTACATAATGCCGCTGAGTTGGCTGAATTAATTGGTCAAGAGGCGGAAGAAGTCTCTCGATCTATCATACAACAGAATCGTTCAGATGAAGGAATTGAAGAGTCTGTATCAGATCCGGAAACCCAAGATAGTATCCAGAAGATAACTGAAACTGCTGAAGCTACGGAAGTTACACAAGCTTTTGAGTCAATAGAGCCAAATTCCGGTGACTCCGCTGACGATTTGCCTTTAGACAATGAAGAGAAATGGGTTGATGCTTCCGATATTGAAGCGTCACCACTTGTGCAGGAAGTTTCTGAGGTTGCTGAAGAGATTGACCATGAGGCTGAGAAGTTGAGTCAAGAAATTTTAGCACCTCTTGAAACTGATAGTCTCGAGGAGGAGGATAGAAAGACAGTAGAAGTCGCACAAGAAGCAGCCAAGCTTGCTGAAGATATTGAAGTTCACGCAGGTATGTTGGATCAAGAAATCTCTGAAATTGTTGAAGCAGGAGCAGAAGAGTTGGTTCAAGATGTTGCACAGGTTGCAGAGCAAATATCTGAACACGCTGAAACAATTGCAGGCGAGATCGCAGAAGTAATCGCGGAAGAAATTACGGAAGATATCGAGCAAGGTATTGAGCAAGAAGTTGTGGAAGACATTGCGGAAGATATTGAACAAGAAATCGAGCAGGAAATCGAGCAGGAAATCGAGCATGAAATCGAGCAAGAAATTGAGCAAGAAATCGAGCAAGAAATCGAGCAAGAAATTGCGGAACAGATTGCGGAAAGTATCGAGCAAGAGATTGAGCAAGAGATTCAAGAAATTGGCAATATAGTGGAAGCCGAGAATAACCAAAAATCAGATGCTTTACGTTCAGCAGTATCCTCGAATGAGCAGAATGATACTGACTCCAGTTCGAAGGATACTTTGAGCATTTCTAATAGAGTGACCGAAATTGATGAAAGTGATCTAGGTATCGAAGTTGAAAACTTCATTGAAGTGGAAGATAGGGTTTCTGAAAACTTCTCCGAAGACTTTGCCGACTCGCTTGAAGCCAACACAAAGGAAAAAGTCATCGAAGAATTGGAGACCGTAGAATCAGGATTTCAGGAAATCGTGCATACAAACGAAGGAATTAAGGACGAAAGTGTCACTGCCACTTTTGGAAGAACAATATCATCGGATGATGTTTCCATTGAGACAATCGATGAAGAATCTGAACCAATTAGAACCACCAATGCAGAAGTTGATGAGGTTCGGCTCTCGTCGGATGAAGGTGATGATAATTCCGATAGCAAGAAGCCCCCATTCCTTTACATTAGGGAGCTTAGGGAATCGTCTGTTTTCAGCCAATCCGACGTTATTAGGCCTGGAAGTATAGAGGAAGTTGAAACTGTTATCACCCAAGCTCAAGAAATCGATCTTTCTGTCGAGTTTGTGGAAGAAACAGCCGGAATTGAGGTTATTCAGAGAACGGCTGAAGTCATAGAGCCTGATAGCGATGTTGAAGATGAAGCAGAGTCCGCGTTGCCAGAAATCTCATCCAATTCTGATAAAGTTCAAGTCGATTCTGAGAGTCAAGAACAAGATCTCAACAATCTCGCTCCTAGTGAGACCACATCTCCAAGAAAACGACACTTGGAGGATGATGAACCGACAGTCAGCTTCAAAAGATTCAAGACTTTCTTTCAAAAATTTATTCCGACTCGATTCAAGAAATCTGTTCGGCGTCCGGAATTACAACCAACAGGTGATAGTGACAATGAAATAAATATCAATACTGGGTATGCAAGTCTTGAAGATGAAAATGAAGAGCAGCACTCGGAACAAGAAGATAGAACTAACCAAACCGATATCAGTTCTGCGGAAAAGAGTAATACACCAATGGAAGCAGTTCTTGATAGGCTCACTACCGAAAATCAAAAAGTTATTTCAAAAGAGATTCCAGATATCAATGATGACGAAGTATTGTTTGGTGATATTGAAGAGGTCAAACATGCAAAAGAAGTTGCACAAGAGGAATCTGAAATAGATTCTAAAGAAGAGGAAAAGGAGATCGAGGAAGAGCTTGCTGAAATTGCAAGGAAGCTGGAAGATCCTGTTTTTAGTGGTGATGAGGTTATTGAGCAAGAACCGGATTCGGGAGAATCAACTGTAAAACAGGATGAATCTTTAGATGAGGTTGAACTGCCCGAGGCTTCTGAATCAACTGGTAATGAAGAACTGTTGAACGAGCAACCAGAACAAGAAGTCGAAGTAACACCTGGTGATGTCGCAGATTTTGAGAATAATTCAGAATACGATAATAAGGAATCGGAGCATGAAGATGAGATCATTCCAGATATTATTGTGGGTAAAGCTGCTGAGAATAATTCAGATAACGAAAATGAAAACGGTTCTGATGACAGGACCAATGTAACTTCTAATCGGGACGAATCTAGCATTGAGACTAAGAAAGAAGAATCGAACTCCATTGCTCAGGATCAGGCTATGAATCTCGATTCAGGAATTGATGGTTCCGACACACACCCAGAAAGTGACAGTGAAGGGGAGGGATCCAACGAGGGCCTCTTACCCTCATTAGAAGATGATCTAGAAAAGAAACCTCGTGTTAAAAGGGTGCTTGGCCTCGAGATTGGTGAAGTTGATTTAGAACCCAGGAGATCTTTGAGAAGCGGTCATATTTATGGAGAAAACGGTTCCCCTGTAACCTCACCCAAGAAGCCCACCAAGACCACGAAGGTGTTGCCAAAGCTAGACATTCCAAAGCAAAGAGATTTCACTCACAGTTCACCAACTGACTCCAGTAGATCACCACTGCGGAAGGGCTCTGGAGCGCACAATTGGAGATTGGAAGCAACTGAAGATAGGCCTGCCCAGCGGACTCGGTCTAAATCACCATTGAAGAGAAGCATGAAAGAAATCCTTGGTTCTAAGGAAGAGCAAGCTACAAGAAAGAGAAAGGACTCTGGAGGTGATGTTGAGGATGACCACGCACAAGAACCAAGTTCCAAGAAGCGTGCAAAAGGCCAGAAAACCTATAAGGGACACATCAGAACTCGAAGCCAGGACGTTAAAAGCGAAGACGAATCGCAAAGAGGCAGACCAAGAGGCAGACTGTAATTTTTGATTATGTATCTAACCAAGACATTTGAGTTTAATATTTTTGACATTGATGTAGGCAGAGAAACCTCTTTTTGACTTATTCAACTATAATTTACCTCTAGTACATGTATCTGCAAAGCAATGCTGCTTTCCGGCTTTATTAAGTTTCAAAGGCCACACGCAGGACACATGGATTTGGCCCTAAAGCGGCTCATCTTAAAAAAAGAACAAAGAGGCAAGACAATAATTGAAATACTCCCAGGGTCAATGAAACCCAAAGTATAAACCAAGAGACAATTACTCGTAGCCTTAACTATGGTATTAATGTAATATTCTACGGTTCATTGTATTATACTTCATGGATGAGGTCCAAAAGAGACAATTACTCCATTTACGATGTCGTACAATTCAAGTATTAAATTTGCAATACTAATACATAGTCTAAGCCTAAATAACGCACAATAGTCGGGAATTTCTTTACAAGTCCTAATCGGTCTACAACTGACTGGCGTTTTAAACCCCCTTTTATTTTATTCCTGATACTAGTAAGGTACATTTCTATTATTAACAACTATCCCCTTCACCAATCCTATTCACGTATATAAGTCATCATGCTGTTTTACAATGCCAAAGTATAATCTATAATTAACAGTCTCAATTCGCTACATTTTTGCGGAGGGAGAGTAATTCTTTTTACCAATAATAGATGAAAAAATTTCGAATATGTCTATTTCGAGGTAATCTCTATTGGCCGTTCTGCTTTGCCATCTATCAACTATATACATTTAATATTAGCTCATGCTAAGTACTTCATGGCGATCTCGTAGATATTGAAAAACGCCATACTGACCAAAAACGATCTTGTACAGGTGATGCCGACTCCCTTGTACAACCTCCTGTCAAAGCTGAGAATGGGACGCTTGTTCAATGGTAAGGGCTCTAATCCGTGTTCCTTGCGCAAGATATTGGCAATAATATCCTTTTGGAACAACGACTTGGCACTGTCGATGGGGAACATCACGGCAGAGGCGACAATCCCTGCCATACCTCCACCCATCAGGATGGAAATGGGCGACGACTTGGCTGGGTCCAGGTTGATAAGGGCATTCATGGACCATTTGGTGGACTCGTACACCGAGTAGTAGGTCGCTGAAAAAAGGGCATCACGGCCCATATGGTACCGGAGACCCGAATACAAGCCTCCAAGGCCCTCGTGCTTGACAATCAGCCTTACAATATCTCCTGTGGAAGCACTGGCAGTAGCATTGACCATGGATGGTGTGTGAACCAACTTTTCCAATTGGGCATAGACTTTGATGAATTCAAACGGACAGGCAAAGAACGAAATCGTCACTGCTGTCATAGCTCCCGAGGCGAAACACACAGGGATGTTACGGATAAATGGATGGGCTGGAGTGCCCGTAGATCCAGCGTAGAGGGTATCGTAGGTCCATGGCTTTATCTTGGTGAACAAAGCCACGTTTGCAGACTTGGTGAACGCTGACGAGAACAACGGAGCGTAGATGCCTCTATAGAACCCATTTACACCCTCCTTAGCGTATGTCTTGCGGATGCAGTCAAATACGCCTCTGAATTCCTTGTGGGCCTGGAGTCGAGTCTTGACGGTGTCGAGAGGAAATCCGATAAAAGTGGAACAAAAAGAGCAGGCGTAGGCGAGGATGGAGCCCTTGAACGGGCGCAACGGCTCTGGGAAAATGTGGAACGCGTTGGAGGTGTCGATTTGCCCGGTGATGGCAGGAATGCTACCGTTGTTGGAGGCCATGGTGGATCCGAAGCGATGATCTGGGACTGGTTAGTTTATGATGCTCCTTTGCAGAATGATGCACGTGCAGCTGTTGTGGAGGAGGGAGAGCTTTGGGCTGGAGGATAGGTGGAAGCAGATGTTCCAATGGGGGATTAGGGCGTGGTTGTTTAGTGCAGAGCGTCGTAGACTTGACATTAAACGGTCCGATAAGCACATCGCCGTGGAGTGCATATAGTCCGAGTCCGCGATGACTCTGAGACGTGAGTCAGTCTGACTCACGGATGGGTTAGAGCGCTTTCTGGGGACGATATTGGGAAGGGAGGGCCCTCGAAGGGGCACTGATGGAAGGGGAGGATTATGAAGTAACTTGGGTATAAATTGGCCGGTTTATCTCCTGATTTTACCAGTATGATGAGAATTGTTATCACGGATTGAGCCTTCGAATAATATACCACGTGACTCCTCTTTGTAATAATCGCTAAGCGATAGGGTGGCATATTGTCAGCTTCTGTTTGTGGCAAGCCCGAATGGATCCCTCTATGCAGTTTTTGTGAGATGCTGGCGATCAAGTAACATGATGATGTTTTTACAGCTTTGGCACTACGGCAATGACTAACTAACTAATTACTACAGGTATTATAGTTTTATGATCGATTTTGGTAGTATGGTTGTTATGCATCTCTCTTGGATTCTGAGGCGAATTCTAAGCTGGATACCTCTTAGGTGCAATTTGTAGAGTTTTGGAAGTGTGGCTAGGGACCAGCCTAGATCAATGCTCAAGTACTGGTTAGATATATTGCACAGTCTCAATCACTATTTTTCCATCAAAATGATTTTAGAGACATGAAGTCTTCTTTGTAAACTCTTTGCATTAATACCTCCATGGCCCCACAAATCGTGCTGACTCCACAAGCTGAGTATTCATCTACTTTACATTGCTATCGCAACTGTACAATTTCTTATTTTCTCACTTGACCTTTTATTAGTCTATATATACAAGAACCACAGACCTGTGTCAGTCACTGCTGATTAGGCAGGCCCGCCACACGACTCATCCAGCTGTCATAGTGCCGAAATATTAAAATAATGTGCTCTTCCCCAGAGTCGCTCTAGCTCCACACAACTCCCGTCTAGTAACCCCTTCTTCTGGCGTCTTGGACCTGGCCCATCAATTCCTTGAAACCATCGCTGAACTTACGTCTCCACCATTCTCTTCTCTTCTGCTTGGTGTACTTGGCAGGACGGATGTGCCTACTCTGGATGTTCTGCAAATATCTGATCTTGTTGTTGATGTTTATGCCGTTCAAGCTGTAGAGAGCTTTGCCAATACTGTTGTAGTGGACGTCCACGGTTCTTCCAGCGATTGGGCCGTTTTGACGGATGCTCTTGGCTACGTCTCTTGGGTTGGGGACCATGTTTCCGAGTCCGTACTCGTTGTTCTTCTTGCCCAAGTACGAAGTCTCTGGGAGTTCTAACGAGCTGTTCAACAAGTCGTTGATGTCACTCACGGTGCTGGCGTTCTCCTGGCTTCCCTTTTTGTTGGACTGTTTGACAGCGGCGTTCAACTGGTCAAAACTGGAGTTGAAACGGGCAGAATTTATGCCGAAAACTGGCTGGACTCTGGTGTGTGTCAACGCACGGAGAGCAGGTGCTCTAACGAAGAAGGACATGCTTGTGTGGACGGTTTCGATGTGTAGTCTTGCAAGCGTGGGAAACTAAAATTTTATGGACGTGCGACATGGGTGTCGCGTGCGTGTCGCATGCGCGACATGATCCCTGTCATGAGCCCGCTGTCTGCGACATCACACCATGGGGTAGACAAGGCTACCATATGGCGTTCACCACGACACCCGGGCCCCATTCAAGATAGTACCCTGCTGAAAGATGAAAAATTTACTTGTTTCGAGCAGCGCAGCCAATCAGACACTTTTATTCCCTCCTCAGCCTCTCTCCAGCCACTGGATGTCGCGACACCTCTTCCGCCAGCCCATCCGCCATCTCGTGTGAGGAGTCGCCAAAGTTCCAGTCACTGTCTCCAAATCTTCTAGTCAATGTCGCTGCTCCTGATGCCGCTCTTGGGCTGGCACAGCAGGCCTATCAATCATTGCTCCGTCCCCTAGTAAGAATGTCGCGCTCAAAATGAGCAACTGAGAAACTCTCAATTGCAGCCAACTCTTCTTTCATGCCCTACACACCAAACATCGTCTCGACCGTGCTCTTCGAATCTTCGGAGGTGGTAGTCTTCAAGATTCCGCCAGGGCCCTCGAAGCTCGCCAAATGGAATCTCAATGAGTCCAATGTCATATGGAGAGGCAGCATCAGGTTGGTGGAGCAGGAAGTGATCCAGGAGGAGACCAAAGAAACCAGAGAGACCAACGACAACTACGACACACACATACAAGGCGAGCTATTGACCTCTGTTCTGGAGAACTCGTCCACTAGCTCCACGGCAGTCGACGGAGATCACTCGCCTGATCCCTCACCTGATCCCTCGCCGCCGCATCAGGGCCTAAGGGCGAAGATCGAGCTCTTCAACACCCAGACCATTCCGCCTTCTGTAGGCAGCTTGACCAGCGTTAGAAAAGACACACAGTGGGCAGAAGTATGGTACAATCCAATAGACAGAATCGCCTCCGAGGGCATCAAAATCGCCAATAACGGACAAGATACCGTTCAGATCACCGAATCTTCCAGATACTACAAGATCGTGGCCCAGCTTCCACAGACGGGCTACCATCCAAGAGCCATTGACGACGATGACCTCGATCTCCTTCAGATCGGTCTAGGTTTGAAATTCCGGGAGTCGTACCAGGCAATATCATTTAGTGAGAGCTTGAACTTGTATAGAAGAAGGTACAGAAACTTCGAAGAGCAGTACAATTCCGATATCAGAGCATTGGAGAGGGGAATTGCAAGGAAATCTTTGTACCAGCACGAAAACTTGCCCACCATAAGTGAAGATGGGGCATCCAGTGAAAATGGAGAAGATGACGAATTTGATGAGTTTGTGTCTGCAAGCTGAACACCTTTGAGATGAGGATGATTGATGTATTAATCTCTGAAGACTAACCTATGTCGCAAACAGAACTACAATTACGGATTATGAAACGATTACTGGTGATGTGGGGTCTCCCGAAAAGCAAGATCGAAGATCAAGTGTGCTAACTTATTGTCTACGCGTGATGAAATTACCTTTATTACCCATTCTATAAATTATTGATTCCGCAGACTGTTCTGAGCCATTAATGCTTTTTCTTATAGTACATCTTTTGGATCAATGGATGGTGCTCTTTCAGCTCTCTCAACTCCTTGTTCTTGTTCTTGCTGTACTCGATATAAGCCATATCCTCACCACCTGCCAAACCAGCCAAGGATCCGGCTTGTCTAGTAGCGCTGGACTGCTCCATTTTCATTCTGTCTTTCTTAGAAATAAAGTTGGTGTCAACATCATCTCCAATCTCCACACCAGCAGCGCTCTCGTTCTTCAAGAGAACTTGCTGTAACAATTCTCTTCTTTCTCTAGCTGAGGCATACGCCAAGTCTGGTAATTGTTCCATTCCACTTAAATGAGTAATGACTTTGAAAGCATAACCTTGATCGACTAAGAAAGCTTGTCTTTTAGTAGAGTAGTACATTTCCTGGGTATCCTTGGAAACCAATGAGTAGAAAAATGCATTGAAACCCTCGTCGTTTCTTCTTTTAGCTCTCAAGATTCTACCTAATCTTTGAGCTTCTTGTCTTCTAGAACCATAATGGGAAGAAATCTGAATCAAACAGGTAGCTTCTGGCAAATCGATAGAAGTGTCACCAACCTTTGAGAGGAAGATTGTGTTGATTTGATCGTTGTGTTGGAAATTTTGCAAAATCTTCATTCTTTCCAGCTGAGGAGTAGAGCCGAAAATAAATGGCTTACCCAACTTCAAAGCATATTCTTGCAATGCATAGACATTGTCACTGAAAACAATGATCTTGTCACCTCTCTTTTCGTGGTAGTGGATCAAAAACTGGCATGCCTGGAACTTGGTAGGATTCATAATGTACAAAAGCATTCTCTTACGAGCAGATTCTCTTAAGTATTCCTGGTAAAATTCGGAGGTCATTGGACACCAAACCTCTGCACACTGAACATTGGCAATGTGTCCCTTCTGAGCCAAATCCATCCAGTTGGCCTCGTACAACTTTGGACCAATCAAGAAATTCAAATCTTCAATTTTATCGTCCTCTCTGACTAAGGTAGCTGTGAGCCCCAACTTCGCGTGCGCAGCGATGGTAGTGACCACTCTTCTAAACATGGCAGCTGGAACCACGTGAACCTCATCAAGAATAATGAAACCCCATTCTCTCGAACGAAGGAAATCCATGACTTTCTGAGAATCGTGTGACCTATTTCTGGTATTGGCCACCATTGAATATGTCGAAACAACCAACCCCGACTCACTGGTAAACATTTCCTTATTTTCAGAAGTGAAAACGGCCACGTTTTCTGGCTGGATAGTACACCATTGCAAGAATTGTTGTCTCCATTGCATAACAGACACCGAAGACGTACACAACACAATAACGGATTTACGAATGGTGCATGCAGCCGTGATACCAACCAAAGTCTTCCCGGCACCGCAAGGTAACACGATAATTCCCGATCTGGCACGTCCATTACCAAACATCTTCGAAAGAGACTTTTCCTGGTAGGGTCTGATTTGGGTGGAAGGCTTCAAGTCGATCTCGAGGTTGGGGTTTCTGCTATCGTTTCTGAAATCGTACTCTTCTAAAACCGGATAATCGATTTCTTGACATCTTCTCTTGACAATTTCCACCGATTCGTGGGATATCTCGAACGAGTGGACAGTATCTATATCGTCATCTTCCTCGCCGTCTTCCTTTCCTATGACTGAATTAAATATATTGTCTTCTTTCGACTGTTCTGCTGTCTTGTCCTTGCTCGTTCCTGGGATTTGTAAGTCTCCCTGGTTGGGGGCAGCTGACTGAACCAATCCATTGTTTGAGCCCTCCGAGAACTGAATTCTCAAAGGCCCCAAAATAGGGTCTTTAAGAAGCATCTGTAAAATATCTGCTTGTGTGCTTTCGACGAAGTATCTGTTATCCTTCAAGACCAACTTGACTTTACCGTAACTGACGGTAGCATCTCTGATAAACCGAACGATGGAATCTGCCACTGGCACCTTGGATAATCTGTTAAGCACGGAAATGATGTCTTCTGTTTCAAGACCCACGGAAACTGCTGCGTAGAGTGAATATGCTGTGATCTTGTACTCGTGGATATGTGAAGGTCTGGAGATTGGCTCGGCAATGGTGATCAAAAAGTCCTGTGCTTGTTCAGCCAACGGGGAGAACGATTCTAAGATGATCCTTCCGTCGTTGGGGGATATCCAAAGTGGGCGTGAGAAATGATCAGGCTTCAACTTGAGGTAGGAGAAGTCAGTTTTGCCAAAGGCCCGGGAAACGGCGTCGGGAATGTAATCAGGGGGAATATCTGGGGTCAATTCAATCATTTCTTCATCAGAGAAGTGGGTGTCTTCAAGTTCAGTCTTGGCTCGCTCCATGAAGTCCTGAGCCCTCTTCTTCTTGGCCGGATTGGCGGAGCTGGCGCCTGGATCACCAGAGGCTGCTGCCTTAGGTCTTCTCTTTCTAGGAGCACCGTAGCTGACATCATCGTCCTTCTGCTTGTTGACGTATCCGTCATCGGAGGAATCGTCAGAGAAGTTTCCAGCCTCAAGCTCAGCGTAGTTGACTTCACCTGGGCGGCGACTCATGGTTAAGATCGGACTGGGTGGTGGTTTTTAACCCTGGACGCTGTGGCAGAACTGTACGGCGGGATGGGACAGTACTTGGAGTCTAAAGGACGGCTGTCGAGACTCGTGGATACTGGGAAATATGGCCGTTGATGGAGGAATTAATGACGCCAGTAGCAAGGACTGAAAAGTAGTGGTGAGTTAGTAATGCTAGGTCGTGCGAGAAGCGGTGGAGGGCTAGCGAGGAATTATGCGCACTAGCACGAGACACACCTCTCCACTGGCCTCTTTTCTCTGTAAGTTCCCCCTAAGTTCGCATGTCGATCTCGCTATCATTCGCGCCTTCTCGCTGGCTCTCGCTAAGTCTCTACCGTGACCTTACACCACTACTTGTCCTATTCTAACATCAATTATATGAACTAAATATGCTTCTACTGCTCTCTATTATACACTAATCAGTAAACTTGTACGATCCGGAGGCCAAGGTGATGGAACCTCCCCTGTAAGCACCCTTCTTCATCTTGTTCTTGTTCTTGGTGAAGTCTTTGCCCCTGACTTGCAATAACTTTTCACTGGCCATTTCTCCCCAGGTTCCAGCTGCGCCCTTGTAGGTGTTGTCTTGCAATGCCTGGTTCTCAAACGAGATCTTGGATCTGTCGATTCTCGAGAAATGTCTTCTTTGGCCTGGTTGCAATTCTGGCTCTGGAGTTGCTGCAATGCCAGGAGAGGCAGATCTGGAGGAAATCGACTCGGTCTGCGATGATGCTAACTCCACCTTTTGTTTCTTGATGGCTGGTGGAGGACTGGCCTTTCTCTTGTTGGAGGAAGAGTCCGATTCAGAGTCCGATGAGCTGGAGTCAGAGTCGGAGTCGGAATCCGAGGAGTCTGAGGAGTCTGATGAATCAGAATCGGAATCGGATGAATCGGAATCAGATGAGCTGGAAGAGTCGGAATCAGAATCAGAATCGGACGAGCTGGAAGAGGAGTCGGAATCAGAATCAGAATCAGACGAGCTGGAAGAGTCTGAGTCAGAATCAGAGCTGGAAGAAGTGTCCTTCTCTTCCTTCTGCTCTTCTTCTTCTTCTTCCTTTTCTTCGGCTTCGGCTTCAGAGTCAGAGTCAGAGTCACTAGAATCAGAATCGGAATCGGAATCAGAGGAACTAGAACTAGATTCGGATTCGGATTCGGAATCAGACGAGCTGGAGCTTGAATCAGAATCAGAATCAGAATCAGACGAGCTGGAGCTTGATTCAGAATCATATTCTTCCTTCTTGTCTTCAGCCTCAGCCATTTCTTCGTCCTCATCCTCGGAGTCGCTGGAGTCGCTAGAGTCGCTCGAATCAGAGTCGCTAGATTCAGAGTCGCTGGAGTCGTCAGATCCAGATTCGCTCTTCATTTCATCATCCAAGTCCCCAATCAAATCTTCCAACTTGTTGGTGACACTGCTCAACTTGACGGAGTCCGCAGCTACTTCTTTCTGGAAAGCCTTCAAGGTCTTTCCGAAGGCCTTGTCTCTAGACAAGTACTCTTCGATGTAAGCCAATACAGATTCTCTGGAAGCACTCATGGTTGTGGAGGTTAATGTGGTTGAGAAAGTGAAGATGAGATGAGAAAAATCTTTGTGGTCACGTGCGCGATAACGACATGGTAGCGCGGCACTGCTGGGGTGGTCTGTGATAACTGCCCCTTGGTCCAAGCTTTCCTATCAAGTATCCATTTAGTCCTAGTACATGGTGAAACTCTTGATATTTGGCTTTTAAGATCTTCCATAGTGACAAGTGGTCCATTCGTGATCTCTCTATTTGTCATAGTCTTACCCCAAATACCTAATTGGATGCGATGCTCTTCAATTGCAAAGGAGCCGTGGGTGCTTATCTGGTGCTCTAACTAAGAGAAGACTTGATCTGTTTATTTTCTTTGTTCAACATTCTTAATAAACCCTACAGAGATTTTCAACCCTTTTTGCACCCAAAGTGCTTCGCCTCTAGCTCCTTTGTGATGGTTCTAGTCACTAGGATGATCAGCAGCATGATTCGACTGTCTAAAATCATAAAGATTTCGAATAAACCTCGGGTTTTGATCAAAATTCCTATGGTAATACTCAGGACGCAATTAATTGTCAATAACAGGCAACAATGTAGCCCATGGCTCTCTAACGATACATATCAGGTCACCGTCAGTAAGTGAAAAATCGGATGCAAAGGTTGTTACATCGAGTGATGAAGTTCAATCTTTCGAGTCTATTAGATAGTTTCCTAATCCAGATGTCTCTCATTTTTTATTGTATCTGGTATAATAAGGAGATGCATTCGCTATTGAACAATTACAACAACTCCCTCCGCTGTATGTTTCCGGATGGTAAAACTCGGGGGATTTAAACCATGAAGAGAAACATTCTAACTGAGCCTACTGTGAATTTATAAAGAAGATTTCAGGTGACAGATGCTGGCTCTGTGATATACACACCTACACTGTACAAAGTATTACTTGGATTAGATCACACTTTCCTGTGAGCCTATAGCCTTGCATTTAGTAGCGCCCTTTCTTCCATAATTGACCCCAACAATTGGACAATCAACTCCGGTTCTTCGGCATGAACCATATGGGTTGCTTTGGGGATAGAAATGCCTCTATGTACCCTTTTAAGCAACAGAATAAGCTCTTGGGTGTGCTTAGTATTTGCCTGATCATTCTCCACCGATATTGAAAACACGGGAATGTTGATATTGCTAAAACATATCCTGGAGTGTTCGTTGTTGAACCCACGATAGAAATATAACATAATCAGGGCCTCGGTAGTGGTGTTCAACTGTATCTTATCTCCACTAGACACAGAAGTGAGGTCTGATGGTATTTCATCTTCCACCATATTCTTCAATATCAGAGGGTGGCACTTATAATAGAACCCATTGCGACGGTACATTTGGAAAACTTCTTCACGGTACTTGACTGGGTCCTCGACGCATATGGTACTGTTCATAAATCCCTTGTATATCCATTCAGTAATGGTATTGTTCTTGAGCTGGATTTCGTCTGGTCCCAAGTACACCACGGCATTGATAGCCACGCACGAGTCAAATAGGCCCTGATTATATGCTGAAGCATAGAGAGCCGTGGTTGCACCAGCCGAGTGGCCCACCAAGATATTCAATTTGGGAGTTTGGCTAAAAAACACCGAAGCTTCGTCCTTTGTGGCTACCTTTATGATATCAAATGCTCCGTCGTGCCAGTCGTAACTCTGGCCTAAGCGTCCCCTGTTTGCAAACGCCGATTCACCATGGTTGACGGTGTCGATGGCGATCACAGTGCTGATCTGGAGCTTTCCTGAGCCACTAAATCGTTGGTAGAGTCTGTCGATGAGGTAGTGCCATACACCCTTGTTCATTCCAATTCCATGGACAAAAAGGACATTGACAGGCAATGCTGTGGCAGGAATGGGCATTCTCCTTCTGTAGCGGCGATATGCCAACTTTAGTGCTTTCGGAGAATCTGGGGTAGGATTTTTCAAGTATGCACCTGGAGACCGGTGAAGATATGCATCAGTAACTTCAGTAGAGTAGGTGTAATATGGAGAAGCATCAGGAATCATCGATTTCGAGGTCTGGATAGGGTGGGGGATATTTTTGACCTTTTAATTACTAATGGCAGAATAGTATTGGAGATGGAAAAATATGCCATATCTCCATTGTCACAAATGCAAGAGGAATTGATTTGCGGCTTACCTTTCAAATCCAAATAAGGGCTCGTGATGAAAGATAATGCCATCATGCGGCAGCTACGCTTTAATTACAGTTCCTAGTCTGTTCTTCTTTTAATCCATTCTATCCACAAGTACAGTAACTATTCGCCCCCTGGGCCAATAGTTACGACCGTGGCTAAATATCTAGTTTAAATTCCTGGAAAATCATATTATTTGCGGCCTTAGGCACCGAGACATTTACATTGGAGGTGAGATCATAACTTGGCCAACGCATTTGCGGGAACAGTAAGCTTCTCAGCTCCACTCAAGGAAAGAAGGTCACCGCGCTTGAGCAAGTCGAACTGTGTCTCCTTGATCTTGTGCTTGTCTCCTTGGTACTTGACCTCCTGCAAGGTTTCTCTTTCCTTCTTGAAGTCTTCCTGTCTCTTCAACACATAATCAACGATAATTTCCACGGTTTCGTCTGGTCTCTCGACGTTCATCATGTGCTGGCCCTCCTCCAGATCGAAACTTGAAATGAACCTTTCTTGGACGTGGCTCCTGAAGAAGGGAGCACCTTCTGGGAGGTTCCATGTGGCCTTCTTACCTGTGACATGGTGAACGGGGACTCTGATCAAGTGTTGGATTTCCATACAGAAGGGAATAGATACCGCAGACCCGAAGTAGCAGGTCATTTGGGCAAAGTTGGAAGCCTTGGTCTTGTAGTGTGTTTCGCCTTCCTTGTCCTTTTCCACGTGCAATTCGTCCTTCATAAAGTCTGCAAGAACTCGCTTGTCGAGGGTCTTGAAGATAGAGAACTTGGTGAAGTAGTCGTTGAAGTCGTCGAGCGAGTCGAAGTCGTCGAGAAGCAAGTTCGACAACTTGGAGAAGATTTTGGAAAACTTGGCTACGCTCTCGGGAGTTCCGTACACCACTGGCTCGATAGGCACGATGGAGTCGTAAAGGTCTGGCTCGTAGAACGCAGCAAGAATCACTCCATGGCCCCCAAACGAGTGGCCAATGGCGATTGTTCTGGACTCAAGTCCGTTCTGGAAGTCGCCTGTGGTGTTCTGCTCGTACTTGACCACAGCGTTGATATCCTTGCCGTGGTCTCCCCAGTTGCATACCCAGCCCAAATTGTTTGCATTCAACAACGCTGAGTCGCCATGGCCAGCAGCGTCGATGGACACCACGGAATCCACGTAGAACTGAGCTCCCGAGCGTTGGTAGAGCTGGTGGATGTGGTACTTCCAAACCGACTTATTCATACCAGTGCCGTGTGAAAACACGAAGTTGTACCGTATGGCTCCAGCTGGTGCTGTTTGGGTGTTCTTGTAGCGATTGTACACTAACTTGAGCTTTTCTCCAACGAGAAGCGTCGATCCTGGCGACCGAGGGAAAGCAGCATCAATGGTCTTGGTCTCGACTGTGTACGACATGTTGATGATAACTAAGATGTGCGGAGCTGGTGGCACTTATACGCACTTATACAGTGTCAGATACGATCTGTCTACCCCAACATCGCACATGCATCCTCGGACTTTTTCTGGGGCATGAGGGGTGATGTGCGTGTGATAACTGGCTGCGAAAGGTTGATGGTGGCATTGGGTAGGCATTGGGTAGGCATTGGGAAGGCATTGGGAAGGCATTGGGAAGGCATTGGGAAGGCATTGGGAAGGCATTGGGAGTGCATTGGGGAGGTATCGTGAAGTATCGTGACGTATCCGGAAGGTGAATCGTGGAAGGGTAACGCTCTTGGGCTAACGGTGCTCTTTGTAAGAGAGAGCTGGGTGTATGGATGGCATAAAAGGTGGCCTTGGGGGCCTTGGGGGCCATTCGAGCCTTGTTTAATAAGGGCATTCCTATTCAAACATATCCTTCTATTCAACATACATTACTAAATTCATAAATAAGGATAATTTAATAACCTGGATGCAAATACTCTCCCAAAGAAAGTTTGCCACTAAAGGACGTTTGACCCTTTGAGATCTGGACAAACATCGGGACTACATGAAGCGACTCTGGTTTACCACTGCATATTGCCATTCTGGCGACTATCCTGTCAATTCTTGTATGAAAACTTCTTTTCATGAATCACCAAAATCAATTGGCAAATCCTGCCAATATCGCCCCAAACGAGACGCTTGAGCGATGTTGCAAACCAACAGCAGATCAGGCTGCGGGCCAACTGATCAGCTGCGGCCCGAACCTCGTCATTGGGTGCTAAGATACCACTGTTCGTGGTCGCAAAACCCTACTATTGGTCACGTGATCACCACTATATGCGTGGAACCCCACGGTAAAAATCTTCATCATGACCAAACCACAGATCCTCAGAACCGTTGCCCAAGTCAGGCAGTGGAGACGCCAGGCGCTCTTGAACAACAAGACTGTGGGCCTTGTTCCCACCATGGGTGCGTTGCACAGGGGCCACCTCTCGTTGGTGGGCCAGTCGCTCTCGGAGAACGATCACACCATAGTGTCGATCTTCGTGAACCCTTCCCAGTTTGCACCCCACGAAGACTTGGACAAGTATCCCCGAACCGTGGACGAAGACTTGGCCAAGCTCGAGGGCGCTGAGCCTGTTCTGGCGTCCGCAAGCGCGGTCTCCAGGCAGGTATCTGCCGTGTTCATCCCCAAGGTGTCGGAGATGTACCCGTCAGGCATCACCATGGACGTCTCTCAGCAAAAGGGGGCCTTTGTATCGGTCGTAGGCTTGTCTGAGCAGCTCGAAGGTGTCACACGGCCCCAGTTCTTCCGGGGGGTCGCCACCGTGGTCACCAAGCTCCTCAACATCGTCACGCCTGAAAGAGTGTACTTTGGCCAGAAAGACGCCCAGCAGTGCGTGGTGGTCAAGAACTTGGTGAGAGACCTCCTCATCGACACTGAGGTGCGCGTAATGCCCACTCTCCGCGAGCCCAACGGCCTTGCCATGTCGTCGAGAAATGCGTACTTGTCGCAACACATGAAGGACGAAAGCTCGGTGATCTACCAGGCCTTGACCCGTGGAGAAAAATACTACTTAAACAAGTCCAGTGGAGATGTTGGTGTGGCATCGCTGGAGATTATCGACGAAATCAGGTCGGAGTTGGCCAGCAAAAATGGCTTCAAAATCGAGTATATTGCCGTCAGTGACCCCAACACGTTGGAGGACTTGTCTGTGGTGGTTCCTGGAACTGGGGCAATCATTTCCACCGCCTTGCGGGTGAAGAACGAAGAGGGTAACGAAATGAGATTGATAGACAATGTCTGCTTGCAGTGAGCATAGAGTGTAAATAGAAAACCGAGCTGCAAATGGAGTCACCGTGGGCGCTGACACAACGTCATCTTGTACATAGTTGAATACAGGCATATCCTTCCGGGCGTAGGACTCACATATGGTAGGTTGGGTACATATGTGTACAATACCACCTCCTGGTCAGAGCAATTTAATAAGGTTAATAGTGTCCCTGACCTATACTATTAGGTTTGGGATATGCATAATTGCATTTAAATTGAGTATGTATTGTTCAAATCATATTCCTTAAACCGAGTTGCATTAAGGTCGGACCCGGTGCTTATTGTAAATTCCGGAAAATTTGATCCTGATAAAACAAATTAAACTTTACACAAGAAGATAATTGGAGGTGCCGCAGATTTGGAGATCCCACGATGGCACCAGGAATTAATATATACTCCTGCACACTTGAGGTTTAAGTTTGATAACTACTATCTTAAACCCTAACCTTCCACCGATAAGAACTCCTCAATATCGACGCATGACTTATTTTAATATACAGTAAACTAATTTCCCAATGCTTTGCCTACTCTCCGAACCCTTCTACCTCATAGATTTAGGCCCTGTTGCATACTCTTGGCATGGTCTCCGTCAGTTCGTGTTCCATTGCAATACTATACTTCCAATTTTCTATTGAAACACTGCTAGATGGCTCTGCGCTTGAAACTAATGTTTTTAGCTTCAATCTTATTTTTACCTCTCTTCTTAACTTCCAGTTGCTTATTTCTAATTATCTCCAAGTCCCGGGCAATTTCTTTCTCTGTCTCGTGTTTGCTTCTGTAGTCAAACTCAAAATCAATGCCCCCTCTTCTGAAGTGATCTGAAACGTCGAAGAATTTGTACCCAAATTCTAGCAACCAGATCGGATTGACACAAGTCACATAGTTCATGTATTCTTTGGAAGTCAACACCAACTCGTGATAAACGACATAGCCTCCATTGCTCAAACTGCTCCCGTTTAATGCACTGGTTGGGTGCAAATACATCTTCATGTACGAGTGCCTCATGTTGATAAATTCAGGACTTCCTCCAAGGTTGACCTTGGAGAGCTTGGCCAGCTGGTGATAGAATGATGCAGCCAAGCATTTCTTGACATCCTCGTCATTTTTGGACCGGAATAACGGTAATTTGTTTGCTTTCGTGATCAATAAGATCTGCTTTCTAATATCTTTCGCTCGGAGGAGTGACTTCAATTGGAGAAAATTCTTGTTGCACCAGCCATTGATTTTGGAGTAGTTACCTTTGACCTTCCCAAGATTGACTTCCCATTGGTTGTAGACATTGACCAAGGTTAGATGATCCGACTCACTTATATAAAACTTTTCACGGGCAGCGTCGGCTTCTCTGGCTCTCTCCTTGGGCCTAATGAATATACCAGGCACCGAGAGCATCGACACAATTGTAATTATTTCATCAGAACAATGAAACGCTGAATCGCATGATAAGAGGATAAGTTTGGCCAATGAAGGCTCCATTGGAAAGTTAGTCATGGAGTGGCCCAAAGCTGTAAGATCACCATAATTGTCGACTGCCCCCATTGACCATAAGTCGTAAAGGGAGGAAGCTAGGAGGTCCATAGGGGGAGCATCAAGGAAGGGGAACTTAGTGATATCGTTGATTTTCAACGACTTTAGCAACAACATTACGTTGGTAAGATTCGTTCTCTGGATTTCTGGAATAGGTTGAAGGTACATGTCTTCCGATGCCTTTTCGGTGTAAAGTCGATAGGCTGTCCCTGGACCGGTTCTTCCAGCTCTACCACTTCTCTGCTGGGCGTTCGCCAACGAAATGGGGATCATTTGAAGGGTATCCATTCCGAGCTTAGGATTATAAACCTTCATCTTGACAAGGCCTGTGTCTATAACGTACCTTATTCCATCCACTGTCAAAGATGTTTCAGCAATGTTTGTAGCCACCACAACCTTTCTTCTGAACCTATCTGGTGGTGCAAAGATTTTTGCCTGAAGATCGGCAGGAAGCGTGGAATAGATGGGGAGAATATCGAGAGGTGGTGGGTTTTCCAAAGTGTCCAACTTCTCCTGAATAAGGGCGCAAGTAGTCTCGATATCCTCTTGACCAGTCATAAATACGAGAATATCACCCGAAGATGACCATGTTTGTTCCCCGTCCTCTGCTAGAACTACCTTTCCAGTTCCCAAGTGTACTGTCAACACTTGTTTCACTGCTTGTTCCACATAATCTCCACCACCCTTACCAAACAACACGTCCACTGGATAGGTTCTTCCCGGAATAGTAAACCTGGGAGCTTGGCCAAAGTAGTTGATGAAACGTTCCGCGTTCATGGTGGCACTTGTGACTATTAACTTCAAGTCCTTTCTCCGTCCCAACAACTGCCTGAACAACCCTAATAGCACATCGGTATTGAGCGATCTTTCATGGGCTTCGTCCATAATGATACACGAATACTTCTCAAGCATCGGATCCGCCAAAAGCTCCCGGAGAAGAATACCTTCGGTCATATACTTTATCATGGTCTTGGTAGGGTGAGTCTTGTCCTCGAATCTGATGGAGTAGCCCACTTCCTCCCCAAGTTTACACTTCATCTCCTCGCTCACTCTTTTGGCCACAGACATCGCAGCCACCCTTCTAGGTTGGGTGCACCCAATCATACGGTGAGTACTACTGCCTGTGAATCCTTCCTCGTAGAGATATTGTGTTAGCTGGGTCGTTTTACCCGAACCTGTTTCACCTATAACGATAGTGACTTGATTTTCACTGATAGTCTTGATGAGGTCGTTCCGGACCGCAAATGCTGGAAGGGCCTTGCGTGCCTCCTGAACTTCCAATTCCTTTTGCTTTAGACTGGATTCGGGTCTTTCTCTCTCAGAGGCAGTTTCTTGTCTTCGCGTCTGCTCAGATTCTGGCTGAGCCTGTTCGGTTTGACCCGTGCGTTCTTTCGCTCTTTGGCCCCTTTCGTGCTTCACTCTTCTATCTCTCACCACATGGCTGCCTTGTCTGGCCATGATCGCCAATTCAGAGCCAGGATCTTTCACTGGGTTTATCGTGGGTCCAATTCCCCTCACACCTCCCTCTAATTGCAACGTCAAATGACTCTTTGAGTCCTCCAAAAAGGGAGGAATCAAGCTGTGCGAGACAATAGGGATCCTGCTCTGGTCAGATTCTTCGTCATTCTCTCGTATCACCCTTCTGGGACGACTTTCTGCTCTCGGTTCATCTATATCTTGTACTTCGGTATATCCATCGTCTTCGTTGGTATACCATTCTCTGTCGTTTTCAAGAGACTCGATCTGATCTTGTAGTGCCAGGAAATTGAACTCCGAGTCGTCTGCAAGCGATATATCATCTTCTTCCTCGTGGTTCAAATGTTTCCGCATTCTGTCCTTTTCGGCCAATTGCTCCAATGAGATAACGTCATTCTGTATTTTATTTGGAGTTTCCGTATACTCAATTTTGAGGGGTTTGGAAACTTCTGGGACCACGCCTTCTGACTTAATCCTTAACGCATCTTCCTTCTTGATTTTCTTGAATTTGAAACCAGAGAGCGGTTTTGGAGTGGTTTCCTCTGGGTTTTCATCATCATCACTAAATGAAAGCAGTATTGGTTTGGAAGGTTTTGGTTTCCTCTTCGAAATAAGAGTCTTGGGCTGGGCCAAGATGTCTTCCTCTTCATCGTCATCAAACAGAAGAACGAGTGCCTTTTTCTTATCTTTCCCTACTGGCTGCGGGGCTGGTTTGGAAACAGTCAGAAGCTTCGTGATCAGATTCACTGAAACTTTTTCAATACTCCCTATGTTGTCATTAATCAAATCAAAAACCTCCTTGCAAGCATCTGGATCTGATAATCCGATGGTGCTGAGATATATCGAGAACGTCTGGAGTGAATTGTTCTTCTTATAAAACGTGACAAGCGAGTGCACAAGGTTGGGGTTGACTGGCTTATTAAGGAGAGTAGCAAGCCTGCTTGCGATTGTGTCGATGATGGTGGAGGCCATCCTTGAAAGCCCATAATGTCAGTTCCGTTTGCAAAATGGCCATCGCATACTGGCACGCGTGATCTCAGTCACATGACTCAACATCCGCATTAACTATTTCCCAGGCATAAATGGGTCTGGATGGCCATACAGACTACACTATGCCAATGGTCCAAATACCGTCCCTCCTCCACAAGCGACTAGGGACTTACTTCAAGTATCATGTGACCGCTCGTGTCAAGATCACTCCTCCGCCAAGCAGTCCTGCCGAAGCAAAATTCCTTTACGACTCGTTTAGCCAGCTCGGAAATCTCGAATACTTCAGCATTCCTCGAGACAAATCGGGTTTCTCCATATATGACAACTACATCCACTTGGTTTACAACCCCTCAAAGCAGCAGTCGCTTCTTGGGTCGGCATACTTGAGGGAAGAAGCGCACTGGGAAGAGGGAGAGCATGAACTCAGAATACACCAGAAAGCGATAGTAGACAAGTTAAGACACACAATCGCATTGCCCCGGTACTCATTTATCAAGGACGACTCTCAGTACTACAATGGAGAGGTGGAAATCCAATTCAAGCATCAGCTTCCTCTAGATGCTCTTAAGTATGACAAGAAGTACCAGATCACGTCATCCACCATAGAAAGCCCTTTTCTCACCCTAAAACGTGAACCCGAGTTCTCGCAGATAGATACGCTTAGAGGCAAGATACGACACAATTTTCAGAAGTTCCACAAGTTCGACGAGATACGGTGCTGGACTGGAAAACCAGAAGCAACTAATGAGATATATGACTACAGCAAGATGATTCTCTTGGAATAGATTGAGAACGAATGCATTCCTAATACACTTAATGCTATGTAGAGCTATAGAGCCTCTGGATAATATACACCTTTCAGGGGAACCCACCTAATCACGGGCGCTGTGTCAACTGTTCAACAGAGTTGGTGTCCCTCTCCAACACCTCGTTCAAGTAGTTCAAACCAATTTGCTGCTTCATCAAGACCTTGGACAACTTGTTGAATATCTCCTGCGTATTTCCATCATTTTGGTCGCCTGATTTGTCATCCCTGTCTTCGCCGTTGAATGAGTTGATGGTGTGATCAAACTGGTAGTTCAAGTCTTCTGCTCTTTCTTTGAGGGTGGCCAATCTGGCAAAAATGTCATTCAACTTGCCTATCGGACTATTAGGGTCGTTCAATTTGGAGTTCAATACCTCGAATTGCTTGGATATTTCTTCTTCTTCGGGTAACAACGGGTATCCCTTCAACTTGAGAATGGCCAAAACGGTCGCTAATCTGAGTAAACGTCTCGACAACTTGGTATGCTTAGCCTTGGCTTTCAATATTCTAGTAGTATTGTCCAAATCATGTTTAGAAGACAATGTGTTAGCTTTCTCGTTGATATCATTCAACACTAGTCTAGATTTTGCCACATGCTCCAATTGAGTTTCAATTCTTTGGGCCACTTCAGTAAAAGACGTAATCTTAATAGGGTAGTGAAGAGCAGAAGGTCTTTTATTCATAGCATTTTCCCAATCTTCGTGGGTCTCATTTTGAGGTCTTTGCTGGTTCAATAAAACATTGATTTCCTGTTCATTATATTTGTTGTAAAAGTGAGTCTTGAGAGCACATTTGGGCGAGCTTGGATCCCACTGTTCCTTGATTTTTATCAATTGATCATTAATTGCAGGCTTGTACGCATTGTTAGCTTGGTTAACGCTTGCTTGAGTGATTGCAGAATTATTCGCGTTGTTGAGATTTGACAACGAGATTGTAGAGGTGGGTACTGGCTGCTGAGAATTGCTCCAGTTGAAAGAGGGTTGTGCGTTGTTGGTTGTATTATTGGAGCCAAATAATCCGGTGGATTGTTGTTGTTGGGGTTGCTGTTGTTGGTTTTGATTTTGGTTTTGGTTTGCACCGAATAAACCTCCAGTGGTTGCAGTAGTGTTGGCATTGTTATTAGCACTGTTTCCAAAGAGTCCACCCGATGTGCTTTGAGTGGCACCGCCAAAAAGGCCTCCTCCAGTGGCTGGTTTGTTGCCAAATAGACCACCAGAAGTATTGGTAGAGGCACTGTTCCCTCCAAAAAGCCCTCCACTCGTAGTGCTGCTGGCATTGTTGGTTCCCCCGAAAAGACCACCGGTACTTGGTGCAGTCGTGGCTGCTGGCTTTGCCCCAAAGAGTCCGCCAGTAGTGCCAGTCGAAGCGTTGTTATTACCGAAAAGGCCGCCTGTCGTGGCTCCTGTCGTGCCAGGAGCTGGAGTAGTTCCAGCAGGTTTATTTCCAAATAAACCACCACCGGTGCTTGCATTATTGTTACCAAATAATCCTCCAGTTTGAGTGTTGGATGGCTGTGCACCGAAAGTGGAGTTATTGTTGTTGTTGTTCGAAGCTGCTCCAAAACCGCTTCCAAAACCTGAGGCTGGTGCCTGGTTGGCTGAACCAAAACCCCCAGCAGTGTTGTTGGTGTTCGAGGCTCCAAAAAGGCCACCACCTGAGGTGGCATTGTTGTTGGTGCCAGTAGAATTCGTATTGCCACCAAAGAGCCCACCTGAAGTGTTGTTGTTTGATCCAAATAGTCCTCCAGAGCCTGTGCCGGTGCTATTGGTATTGGCTGTGTTGTTGTTGGTATTTCCTCCAAACAATCCAGTACCTCCTGATGGTTGTGCTTGGGCAGACCCAAATCCGGTGCTAGCAGCCGGTTTTGCTCCAAACAAGTTTGAGGATGTAGATCCAGACTGTCCGAAGAGTCCTCCTCCAGTGTTGCCTCCTGATTGAAACATGGGTAGGTTGGAATTGAATTGGTAGGTGCTGAGATTGTTTGGGTTTGGTGAAGGTAGTGAATTTTTCGAGCATCACATATTGGTCACGTGCTCGGTAATGGTACTATTGGAGGTGTGGATATATGTAGCAGGAGAGGGGGCATAAGGAAGTGCGGGATGTGGAGATTGCTTTGCAATTCCAAACAGAACTATTCCTCTTAAGCGATGGATGCTATACTAAATCCTCCCGGTTCCGCTGCTGAAAGAATTTCTGATTAAAATATTTTTGGCTTTTCAAAGATGTCAAAAAGCCCACCATGCTGTGCCACTGATCAAAACAATTGCTTCTTGGTCAATGCTTCGTCGTACTTCCTCGATCAGTGCTCATACAACTAGTCGCATGTCAGATAATGGTTTGAAAGTAATTAATGAGCCTACATCTGTTAGCAATTGTTCAGAACACTTCTTAAAAAATCTAAGAACGCAGAAATTCCAGGATATTAATTGCAACTTCCTGATTCAACAAGCCTGTTTCCTTATTTGATGAGGAGGTTGAGTGTGAGAATTGAGTGGATACCTTAGATATAGAAAGCCTATGAAGAAGCCCACTCTCCGTAATTACCTCCTATCGACAATCAAACATCGAATAATACTCTCTGATAATTTGATTGTAGGAATTGAGAAAAATCAGGCACCGCGCTAGAACTCCTAGTTTTTCGCTGTCATTATCCTTAAAAATATGCCATGTGACTAAAAGACAATTCCTCGGTGTTGCAACCCACACCTGGCAACACATGGGATTAATGCACAAAATTAGTGTCTTTAGTCAAAGCTAAAATAATTGTGGTGTGCTGCACAAGGGATTGCAAATTAAACAAGCTTTCGCTTCCGCAATAATTTAACCACTACTACTGTGGTCCTTTCTATTGTATCTTGTTCATAAAAGCCCGGAATGAGCAAACTCTGGGCAATTGCGTTATTGATTAGCGATATTGATGAAACTGCTGCCACATCAATAGTAGGAATCAGATTGCGTGATGTCCTTACAGCGCTATCTTCCTAAAGGAGGAGTAAGCGACATGAATTAAACGTACAAAAGATGAATCCTATCTCGTCAAAGTGAATGCCAACCTTTCCACAGACAGAAGGATTAACACTTACCTAGCTAATTTGCACAATGACAAGCAACAACAATTCGAACAAAAAACTCATTCTCAATGCCTTTGAGATGGGGGCTATTGGACACCAAAACCCTGGTCTCTGGACGCATCCAAGGGATACCAAAACTGATGGTTACAAGTCAATTGAGTATTGGACTAACCTCGCCAAACTCTTGGAGAGAGGAAAATTTAATGCTGTATTTATAGCTGATGTCTTAGGAGGCTATGATGTTTATAATGGGCCGGGAAACCTTGATGCAGCCATTGCCTCTGCTGCGCAATGGCCGGTTAATGAACCGAGTGCTGTAGTATCTGCAATGGCTGCAGTTACCAAAAATCTTTCCTTTGGTCTCACGTTCAGTACAATTAGTGAGGCTCCGTATCATTTTGCTAGAAGGTTAGCTACTCTCGATCATTTGACCAACGGAAGAGTTGGCTGGAATATTGTTTCCTCATACTTAGATAGTGCCTCTAGAAACCTATTGAATGGAGAGCCACTACTTGAACATGATGAGAGATATGTTAGAGCATCTGAATATCTCGATGTCGTCTATGATCTATTTCTATCTTCCTGGAGAGATGATGCTGTGGTTAAAGATAAGGAACGCGGTGTCTATGCTGAACCTGACAGACTCAGAAGGATTAATCATAAGGGCAAGTACTTCACCGTTCCGGGTCCTGGGATGACTGAACCAACTCCTCAGAGGCTCCCGGTAATATTACAAGCTGGGGCATCCAAGAAAGGTACCGCTTTTGCTGCCAGAAATGCCGAGGTGGTATTTATTTCTAGTCCCACCCCAGTATCATTGAAAGCCCAAATTGACTCAACAAAGAAGTTGGCCAAAGAAGAATTCGGTAGAGATGAAGGTACTATCAAATTTTTACAATTAATTACTGTGATTATTGGGAAAACACGTGAAGATGCTGAAGATAAATACAGGGACTATCTCAAACATGGCGATTTAGAAGGTGCCCAAGCTTTGTTTAGTGGTTGGACAGGAATCGATATTGGGAAATATGGAAAAGACGAGGAATTAACTGAAGTTGAATCTAATGCAATTAGAAGCTCTGCACAGAATTGGACTAAACCAGCACCTGGTGCACCCGCTAACTTGAAAAGAACTAGAGAGTTTCTTGCTAGTAAAATTGTAGTTGGGGGTTTGGGCCCGGTAATTCTTGGAACAGCCACAGAAGTAGCTGATGAAATTGAAAATTGGGTTAATGTTTCTGGGGTTGATGGCTTCAATTTCTGTTATAGTGTAACTCCTGGATCATTCGAAGATATTGTTGATTATCTTGTACCAGAACTTCAATCTAGGGGTTTATTTTGGGATGATTACCCGGAAAGTAATGATGAAAAGGATTCCAATCTTTCATTCAGAGAACAAATCTTTGGAACTACTAGAGATGATCCTAAATTCTTATTGCCCTCACACCCGGCACATAAATTGAGATGGACTTCCGAGTATTCAAGGGAAGAGTTTGATAAATACCTTGAAAAAATCAACTCTAGTTAGCCCTCTATGTTTTCAAATAAATATCAGATATTAAAGCGTTTATATTAGTGAATTGTAATTTGTAGTTCGTACTTTGTAGTTTGTAGTTTGTACTTATATTTTATTGTAAACATATACTAAACTATCTTAACTACATACTTTTCTGCGGACGCTCCTTTCACTTCTAAGTCATTCAAGGCTATGACAATCTCTTCTAGACCGCCAGAGTATAATTTATGCCTAACAGGTTTGATTTTTCCATCTTGCAATAGTTTAGATGTTTCTCTCACAAGTTTTTTCCCATACTCAATATCTTCGTGAAATTTTTTAATGGTAAGATCTCTTACTTTCACTGACTCGATATCTTTAGGTTTAGCCACCACTCCAACAAATTCTGCTTTGTCGGCTGATTTGTTTCTGGAGTCTATTAGTAAGTCAATCAATTGAAGTGATGTCTCTTTCGAAACACAATCAATCGCGTATTTTATTCCAGTACCTTCGAGACCCAAATCCTTCAAATAAATATAAACGTCTTCCTTTATATCTTTGAAAGATTTTTTTCTATTCACTACTTTATCGACTCCAATTTCATTGAGAAGGTAAGACTGGGTGTCAAGACTAGAAATTGAGATGACTTTAAAACCGAGAAACTTAGCAAGTTGAGCAGCATAAATTCCAACCACAGTTGAACCACCCCAAATAACAAAAACTTCTATACCATAAGAGCTTTGGAGACTTAAACCAAGGCTGTCGGTAATTAAAACACCTGCAGTAACCAATCCCACTCCAAGTGTAGCACCATTCTCTAATGTAAATGACTCGGGAAGTTCCCAGACTAAGTTTCGATTCATCACACTATACTCTTGAAACGTACTTGTTCTATTGTCACGATAACTTGTGCTGGCTATAAAAACATTCTTTCCAAGAAGATCTGACTTTTTGTCGCCCTGTTGGACAATTGTTCCGCTACTTTCCCTTCCATTTATCCAAGGAAAATGATAAATCGCAAAACGATACTTTTTCGATTTCCAGTCAATGGGGTTTAGGCCAACCACTTTGTTTCTGATGAGCACTTCATCTTTCTTTAACTCAGGTTTGTCCTTTAAATTATGATGGATCAATGGCTTGTCATATTCAGTAATTGCAATTGCCCCAAACTTTTCTTCAAGCCATTTAGTTTCTATCACACTATCGTTAACGTAATCAAGATAATCAGCCTTTCCAGGGGCTACTGTCAATGGTGATAAAATTGTCATAGAGTCTGAGTTGCAATATATTGTTTGCTTGATAACCTTGTAGAATGTCCTTGATGCAAATTAAATAGGAGCTGATAAGATTGTAAAGCAACTGTGCTCGAAACCAACCTTATCGAAAACTGTGGTGCCTCCCACGTCGTTATAGAATTGCTGTTAAATTAGTCACCAGGGTCTTTAGTCCAATTAGCACGTCATATTGGGAAGTATTATTTAATTTGGGGCTATTTTTTTCTTGTCTGGGTGATGTTAATTTGCATCCAAGCCACATTGTCAAATAAAATATATGTGACAGGGGTTCCACAAACCCACTTTAAGCTTTGTCGCAACGGTTGCCTTATTTAGAAAGCCACTTCCCCTTTACCAATCCTTAGTAACAAAAAGTGCGGCTCGGCAACCTAGATTGCCAACCCGGTTTCGGCCAAGCTATATATACATAAATGAGTAGTGAGGACTCAACTCACAAACTAACTTGTATCTGATATATTTTTAAGAAATGGCTAACTCAGATGGAGTAGAAATGCTTGGGCAATCCAGCGGGTACGGAGTACTCGTTGGGGTGGGTGGATTATTTGCAATCGGTATGATTTTAACTACTAGATTATTGCAAAAATATTTACATGAAAATGCCAATTCAACTGAAAATTTTATGGTTGCGAACAGAAATGTGGGGGCTCCTTTGGTGGCAAGTTCTGTTTATCTGAGCTGGACTTGGGCTACGGAACTATTATGGTCGAGTGCAATGGTATACAACTATGGTATTATGGCCTCCTATTGGTATTCGGCTGGTTTGGCTATTCAAATCTGCCTTATGACTGTTTTAGGAATTGAGGCTAAAAAGAAGATTCCAACTAGTCACACATCTTTGGAAATTGTTGAGATAAGATATGGGAAGGCTTGTCACTTGTTGTACATGTTCTTAAGTTTAGCTAACAACTTGCTTGCTTGCTCTTCGATGATTTTGGGTGCCGCTGGAGCGATATCAGTAATTACTGATAACCTTCATATTGCGGCATGTACAATGCTTATTCCTTTCGGGGTTTTGTTGTACACAGCAGTTGGAGGATTGAAAGCTACTTTCTTGACCGATTTTGTTCATTCTTTGATTTTGCTTATTATTTTATGTTACATTGATACTGGTGTGCTAGCCTCGAAAGAGATTGGAGGATTGGATGGTCTATATGACTTAGTGAGACAACATGAAGGCGATAGGTATATTAAAGGAAATTTCGAGGGATCTTTCATGACTGGTAAATCCCAGGGTGCTATTTTCTTCGGGATTATTTTGACAATTGGTAATTTCGGTTTGACAGTAATGGACTCCTCTTTTTGGCAGAAGAGTTTCAGTGCAGATGTTAAAGCTACCTTGCCAGGATATCTTACTGCAGGATTTTTGATTTTTGCTAACTCTTGGGGTACCGGCAGTATTGTTGGTCTTGCAAGTATTGTTTTGGAAAAGTCGCCAGTTTTTCCTACATTCCCTCGAGCAATGACTGCTTTTGAGATAGATAGTGGATTAATGTTACCCTATACTGTTAAGGCCGTTTTAGGCAAAGGTGGACTTGGTGCTCTTCTTTTGATTATATACTTGGCGGTAACATCTACAGTAAGTGCTCAAATGATTTCAGTCAGCAGTATCGTCTCGTTTGATATCTACAAGAAGTATTTCAATCAGAATGCTCAAAACAAAGAAATGATTAGAGTATCTCATATAAGTGTGGTGTTCTTTGGGTTATTCTCAGCAGGATTTTCTCTTATGTTGCATTATGTTGGCGTTAATATGACCTGGATGGGATACTTCATTTCAATGATAATTTGTCCTGGTAAGTAAGAGAGTTTTAAACCCTTGATTAACATGAAATACTAACTTCTATTTAGGTGTCATTCCCTTGTCGCTTACGATCATTTGGGACCGACAGACCACACTTGCAGCTTTTGTTGCTCCAATAGTAGGTGTAGGAGTGGGAATTGCCGTTTGGCTTAGTACTGCAAAGCACTACTTTGGAGTGATTACAATTGACGCATTGGGTCAACAGTTACCTTGCTTGTATGCTGCTCTCACTGCTTTATTTTTGCCTGGAATAGTCAGTGTGATTTTGAGTTTGACTATTAATCCAAAAAAGTTTGACTGGCTGATACTCAGTGAGAAGAATCTTCTCGTTGAAGACCCAGGCCTCAGTGATGCTGATTCCGAAACTGATACTGGAAACAGCTCCGAAGAGAATCATTCTCAAGTAAAAGGTGAAAAGTCCAGTGAAAAAAATAAGTATGAGCCAAAGGTCAAGACAGTTCTGTCAGAGGAAGAACAATATGATAACAGTCTTGAATTGGACAAGTCCCCTGAACAGGATGCGAAACTCTTGTTGAAATACCGAAAAATTGCGTACGGAGCATTTATCTTCGTGTTGTTGATTACTTGGGTTATCTGGCCCTTGCCACTCTATCGAGACTATATTTGGAGTCGGGCCTATTTCAAGGGTTACGTAACTGTTGCACTTATCTGGGTTTATGCTGCGCTACTAGTGATAGGAATATACCCCTTGATCAGTGGTAGGCATACACAGGCTAAAATTTGGAGGGGTTTATACAGAGATTATATTAGGAGAGATAGCAAGTGATTAACAATGTGTCTAGCGTTTTATATATTTATTTATTAGATGAATTGTGTGACTTGGTGGAAAAGTAAGAAAGTACTGGATAAGAAATATTAACCAATAATTAATGGCAAAAGTGTCGCAAGCGCAAACAAGTCGCAAGAGTACTTTGTAGGCCGTTCGGTGATTGGAATAGAAGCAAATTCAAGCTCGGGTGCAGGGATCTGAATTGGTTGCACTTATGCCGAGGATAGTGAGTTGACCCTTTTGAGCACCCCGGTATTACCGATTAGTATCAGTCATCCCCAAATTTCTTGCTGGGAGACTCCTACATAACATTTACTACTTATTGTGATTTTCATTGAAGCAAATTGTGCAGAATTGGACCAAGTAACATAAGATGTATACTCTAGGTTAGTATAATATTGGGAAAAACTTGTGACCTAAGAAGAGCAATTGCAATTTAAAGATTAACAATAGAATGTGTCCGTCAGAATTACGACTCAAAATTAACTACTAATTATGTCTGAAGTTTCAATGGATACAAATTCAGACTGTTTGGAAAAATGCTCTAATCATTGGATTATCTATGAAAGCAAAAATTATAATTAAATAAATTTAATTCAGGTATAATCGCTAGAAACAACAAAAATACACGAAAAATGATGTGCATGAACTTACAAAGTTATCAGCTTTATCTAGATCTGGCCTGTACAAAAGTGGGCTGATGTAACTTCAGTTGCGTCCTAATGTGTCTTGGATCTTAATTTTAGTAAGGATCGAAGCGAAAGAGTCCATTTTTCGGCTGTATTTGGTTTACTATGTTATCTGACGAATTTAATAATTCATTACGTAATCTGCACTACACTTCTACCCACTTCCTGGCCTGGAATGGCCATGTTCTAGATGATGGTGTATTAAATACATACAGAGCGGATTATGCTGTCCGAGGCCCAATACGGACCGTTTGTACCCGACGGGTGCTAATGCAGAGACTCGAAGTCTGTTCTTTATATGTAGATGGAAGTTTGTGCTGGAGAGAATCAACTAGTGACTCTACTACCTGTTGGGCCCTTATTCCTTGGCTTCTCTGGCCTTCAAGAACTGCTTGGCGTTGGACTTGTCCTTACTGGTACCTTGGAATATAGGGTTTTCATTCAAATGGATTTGTTGTTCGACCCCTGGGATCTTCTTTTCGAACTTCAAGTTGGTGAACATACACTTTCTGAATATACTTTCACTGCTACGGCAGTGGCCCAATCTGTGGTTTTCTTGTTCCAAACATTCGTAGTGCAATTTGAATTCGTCAAAGCAGTGCTTATTTATGTCTTGCAAAGCAGAAATGGCACATCTGGTGACCCTACGGCCTTCCTTCAAGCAGTCTAAGGTTCCTCCGTTCTTCTCGTCCTTGCACAACATGAAATCGTCATTGTATGGCTTACACTTGTCTCCAATGTAGTAAGCTGCTGATAACAAAGGAGCAGAAGTGGCACCGACTTCGTCTACTTCTGGAATATCCTTTGGGAGGGAGTTCTTGTCGACGTTCTCCCATTCATGTCTGCCGATGAAGAGGTCTCCTAAAACCATGGTGGGTAGTGATTGATGGAGTAGTGGTGGAGATGCCAGTAGTTTTCAGTTTTGATGCGTAATTTGTCGGAATGTGGTTGGTGCTGAGAATTACGCTGAGGCAAAGATAGGGAACGGTGTCTGGTGGGAAGGGGAAATTTTGTGGGGGAGGATGGCTCCAGAATACGTACAAGTACTCGGCTACTACTACTAAGATTGCATCTGTAAGCCCTTGGGATGTTAGGGGTCTTAGTGAAGTAATGTTAGATGTCAATTGAACACGGATTTACAGCGTCACGTGATTATGAGTCAGGTGATATAACTCCCACGGAGTAGCTAGTATACGAAATGGAAATAGGGCAGAAGAAGGTGTGCTAGTTCTATAAGAAGCGAATATGTAATCAGCTAGGTGGTCCAAATCGTATTATAATTTTTTTGACATTTATAATTTTTTTGTTATTCATCCAAAAATTCAGTAAAGTAGTTCGAATGTTCAATTCTACAATTTCGTGTTCATCTTTGTTCATATTTACCACAACAAGTCGTGTGTTATTTCTACAGCTTGGTATTCATTTACATTGGGTTCAATTTCAGGCAGATAATCAGTCTATTTTATGAATTTTTGCTACTTTATTTGTAACTATAAGAGTTGTGGATGCCAATTATTCTCTCAAATGGTTATTCTGGCCATGTCAATTCTATGAAGCGCGTATGCTTAGTGCCAACTAGCAATTTTGAATTTTTCCTTTCTATTGAAATATACCTAGATTATAATACACTTCCCATTGGCATAAAAAGACAAGGCAGTGAGTAGTGACGGGCCAGGATGATATGGATGCCACCAGTGACATATTGCCAGATCTCCCATGAAGAGCCCAGTTAGGTGATGGACTCTCAGACAAGAATAAAGGCATACAATGTTGGTGTCTTTATCTCTTCAACGCAGCCACCACATCCCCCTCGTGTCCGATGATCTTGTACACATTAAGCACCAACAATGCCAAGTCCCTTGAATCTGCTGTGCTATTGACCTTGATAATGGAGAGAGTGGCGTCCAAGTAGCTCTTGAACTCCAACTTCAATGAGGAGATCTTATTGGTAAGATAGTTGGTGGTGAATTCACTAGTCAATTGTGTATCAAGTCCCTCCTTGGATGGACTAGAGGATGTCAAGTATGCGAAAAAGTTCGATATCGACAAGTACAATCCCGTCAACGTACGCAACTTGGTGATCTTCTCTGGAACGGTATTGTCATCAGCCAGAAGGGTAAGCTCGAAGCTGGTTGTTTGGTCGTTTAGCAAGACATTGAGCTTGGCAAGGGTCTTAACATATACCAAGGCTTCACGCTTGCGTAGATAGCTCCCAATCGCTTCTTGAGACTGCTCGAGTTTCGAGGCGTGGCCAACTAGGTCGAGCTTGAAAGATTTCAAATCGGACGAGACAGAGTCGATGAGCTCCACACCACCGTTGATGGACTTTCCGAGCCGTATGAAGTCGTCGTAGTCGCTGTTGACCAAGTCCAAGAGGCTCTGGTTGAGCTCTTTCGAGAGTGCTGAGAGCTCTTTGATGAGGACGTCTATAGACGTGTATCTGTGGTACTTGTAGAGGAACTCATCGATGTTCGACTGGTCAAAGGTTTTGAAGTCGGTCCTGTTGATGGATACGGGGAAGGGAAACGCTTCCGCGGATGGTTCTGAGTCCATGATGTGACCGATGTGGAGGATGGATGTTTCCAGGAATATCAGGTTTGGTCAGGTGGGTACAGTCATGTGACAAGACATCAGGTGTTGGAATAGATGTCGTGGACGACACGTCCAAATGCGAAATTGCGTTGCAATACATATTGGCAAGATTGCATCGCTTTTTTAACAGGACAACGACCGCTGAAGTCATACGGCGAAAGCTCAGATTAAATGAATTAAGACTAATAAACGAGTATGGACACCACTTACCTTATGTAGCAGAAAGAAATATCTGAAATGAGTTTAAAGACGGAAAGAACGGGCAAAAATTACCCATGTGAACCCGAAAAAGAAAAAACGAATAACTATAGATTGAGCGAGAAATGCAAGTGACCTACGGGTATGCTGAAAAGTACCAGAATGTGTGTAACAATATTTTCGAATAAATACTTACATAGAAAAGTTGATCTCAATGATTAATTTCTAGCCTGCACACAAAATTAAAAATCAGGGTATAGTCATGTGATACTAAGTCACCTGCCACACTCACATACTTACTACCATACCCATGCACAGCCCTGCACGCCCGGAAATAATCCAGGCACCACCCAGGCGGGCTCGGACGAAAGCTAGATGGGTGCAGATCTCCCGAGTTCCGAGATCTTGCTTTGCACTCGCCAATCTCAACGTTCCATAGCAGAAATGACATATTTCCGATCAAAAACATCCATATCAGAGTGCGGATGCCAGGCGTTGAATCGTGTTCGATGGTCCAGATACAAATCTCGAGAATGCTAGATCTCGCCCAAAGAAGAAATAAGGCCGGAACGGAGACTATCCGTGGAAGAATGTCAGGACCCCCCACACTTGTCAACCACAATTGCATATGCTTGGGAGACGCAGGTCAGATTAAGATTCGAGGAAACTATAAGAGAATAGACGGTATTATTATTGTCGATGATCGTGCCTGCGGGAGACGCTCCATGTTTACCTAGCACATTGTGTGATGTCAATTAGCGGTGAGGGACCACTGGCTGAGCATGCTAAGTTTTCCAACCGTTGCGTTAGGACCTGTGTGCGTAAAATCTGGTAGGCGAGATAAAGTTGCGGGGGCAGTGCTGAATTAGCTTTCTATGCCATGCAATCCTGGGACTCTATTGTAGCGAGGGCAGTGAAATGGGGCTGAAGTAAGGATATTCCATCACTGTTGCCGGGTTTCTCGACACACAGAGACTGTAAGTATGCTACATGGCCATGTAGACACTGATTGTTGTACGCATTAAGGGGTGCTGTTCTAGTTTGCGCGTATTCTATGATGTGAAGGCCAAAGTATTCTCTATTTCCGAAAGCCCGCAAGCTGCATGCTGCATACTGCATTTGTCAATAAAATATTTTTTTAATCCTGCAAAGCCACAAGATCCACAGATCCAACCAGCACCTTATGCGTTATTTATTGTTACTGCAGGTGTTAAATCTTAGATGCAACAACTATTTGAGATGCCTGAACACATGAATTGACATGGAAACGATTGTTGCTGGGTGCCCGCTTCACAATCCCGGCTATTCCAACAAAGAAAAGAGTACAGGCGCAATTTTCAGTTCAACAAAGACCCGTGCTTTGATCAAATGTGGGTTATGACAAAGAAATTGAAAGATAGGCACAACTTGCGTATATCCTCAACTTCTCTGATTTCCCGGCTGTATTTTTGACTGGTAAGCATGGCCAAGACTCGAAATGATTGCGTAAATGTGGTTCTGCCTTCTGATTGCCACGGTTCCGAGCTCGCCCACACGATTTTGTCGGGCATAGCGATATTTTTTATCATCCTATCGTCAACAATATACATCAAAATTTATGATTGGTATTTCAGTTTAGGAAGGAATAACATCGAAGCTTAATCTAGATATAAGAATCAAGTCGTAAAGTACTAGGCTTAATTGTTCTCCTTTATTGTTCTCTGTGGTAGAGACCCTGGTGCACTCCATACGATCGCGGCAAGAAGCAGAATGTATCTCAGTGAATTTTGAACTGCACGCAAGCAATCACAGAGTGGAGTATGGATCGTGAGGCTGGATTAGCGGTAAATTGCATTAGGAGACGTATGCACCCTTTCTCCGAAAGTTGTTTCCGATAAAGGCTGTCTTAAACTACTGGCTCTAGAGTTATTTCACCCTACAGCTACCCAATGTTTGTCGGTTCTCTACTGTATCTGGAGAATTAACAACCCAGGAATGTTAGAAAATGCATTCTGAGTTTCTCTAATAACAACTCCGCCAAGGTCCTTTTGCTAGTTTTTTTTTTTTCGCTTACCTACTGCAACCATGAGAGTGTCTACAGAATCGGTGAAAACGTCATAAGGTAGACATACATTGCGAGAACAGTTGCGAAATAGTTTTCGCTTAGTGTATTCAACGATTTCCACATATTCTTGAGGACACTGTTTACATTAGGCGAAGCTCAGGTGACGATTATCGGAGATATATTCCTGGATCCGCTTTATTTTCCAGATTTTGGGTTTATCCACCAAACTATGATGACTGGGTAACACCCAAGGGGGCCGAGCAAGAGTTGGTCAAATACGCGTGGTGGAGTCTCAAAAGGGCAATACTACAGTGTTACCATGCCAAAGACAAGCACCAGCCACCTATTGTAACGCGGTTTGTCAAAAGTACATGTTATTCAATTGTTATCTCTGTATGAATTACAGAAAATCAAGTAGACATCTTTGTTGCAAAAATGAATAACGAAGTTAGGACCATAGCCGTCCCAAAACGGAACAAGGTTAGAGAATTACAGAGATAGCTTCTCTCATTTTTCCATATTAGTATCGTGAAGAGGTTCCAATTGTTCAATAAGGTATAAATTCCAATAGACAATCGGATATCGCCAAAAGTGCAGCCCCTTTAATATTTTTTTTACTTGAATTTTAACAGATCATCACCGAAATACTGATTGTGCCCTGGTTGTATTGTTCGCGCTGTATTTTTAGTTGGTATGTGTGCTTTCTTTTTTTTTTCTACTCACCTATTGACTGTTGCATTGTGCGAGGAAACACCTCGTCCTGCATGTGCATACCAATCATGCATACTAAGAGTACTTACTCTTACGGTAAATCTAAAAAGATGCATGAAAATATAGTGGCAAGTACTCCCGAATTTCACTCCTACTTCCCATATCAGGGGAAATATAAAAATAAAAATATGAGATTTCCGATTCTTGCATACGGATGAGTGGGAGCAAAGTGCGCCTTTTAGGAAACTGCGTCCCGTCAACACAGGTATATACCCTGTCATGTCAGGTGCATGTGCAAGATTCCAAATGCACAGCGAAAGACAAATTATTGACGCAGCGTGCTGCATCTAGGGGACCGGATTTGACTCCTTCCTACAATGTACATATCCCCTGCTATACTTTAATACAATACCACGATTGACCTAGGTTCTCCTACTAGCCGCCTAGAATTATACTTAAGTCTGTGTAACCTTACAACTGATAGACTGCGCATTTCGGCTTTACCTAGCCAATATTAACGAGATCAACCGAAGCAAATAACGAAAACAGTAATATCCGCTTATGGTGAGTCGATTAAATTCACTTTATGTAGCACCAGGTTGCATTCTGAATCGCTATGAGAGGATCGACATGAGTTAGACTGTCTTCTAAACTTGACATTCTCATACCAATTTTTCATGTGATGCTGTAAATATTCCTTTGACCCGGATAAAATCGTAGCCCAAACCCCTTGCAAACGTTTTATGCGACAAGGGCTCTTTGGTGCCTGAGTAGCGAGTTTCACTTATCTAAGAGGGGCAAGTTCTGACCCAACTATAAGTTCTCGTATGAATGATAATTTGGTTTTGACCTAAGGGGTGGTCACAGTTCTGAGATGTCTGGTATTTCGGATGTTGAATATTTCGGAGAAACTAATAAAATTAACTTATCAATTTGAGTACACTTTGCCAGAATGCATACTCGTCTAAAGGGATTACGCTTGAGTCCGAATAATATGTTAGCATTCAACCTTAAATGTCGGTTTCTACGTAGACAATCCAGTTTGTGTACTGGCAAAACAGTTGAAATAGTTCGATCTGGATTAATATTATATTTAACAAACTTATGAAACGGAATGAAGAAAAAGTACCAATTTTCTCGTACACTGACACTTAGGGATAGGGTATGGCCCTATCGAGACAGATAGACGAACGATAGGTATTAACTTAGCATATTTTTATCTACAAGGTGGAACTGGGTTTTTAGGCTTGCCGATTCGAAGGGTCCGCTACCTCGGCTTGAGTCAAAAGTCAAATCGACCGCGTGGCTGCAATACGTTATAAACTCGTACTTTGGTTATTCTTCGGTCCCAAAGGACTATTTGAGCGATACAACTAAAATACGGAAATAGTGTTCGTAAATCCTGAATAAGACTTCACGAAGGCGGGCTCCAAGTTCCAATCTCCTTAGTTGATGTCATCATAAACGACATTACTCGCAAATAATAATGGCAGACTCCGGGTTAAATAAGAATTAGTCAGGAGTTACATGATAGTAACCTAGGACGTAGGAATTCAATACCTCCCCTTAAGATAGGGATTGGCATCTAGATGGGGACCAAAAACCATCAAGAATTTTCTTAGCCGCTTTTCTGTTCTGTAATTCGACTTAACTGGAGATGACCTACATCGCAGAGTTTCATTCCGCTTAAAACAACTTCTCGTTTAACATTAGGCTTATACTCAAAAAGAGATTTCAAGGCAGCACAACAGCTAGACTTAGGTAAATCGGAGATTATTCTACGATGTCTCAAATATAGGCACTGTGCAGAAATCCAAAATGGAAAAAGAACACATTCAGAGAATAACATCAACTGCATTGTTTTAGAAATCCTGTACTGATGCATAACAAGAGGTAACTAGGCCCAGAACATAACAATAGTAGAAAGGTGTACCTTTAGAGGCAAAACCATACCTTTAGAGGACGTGTTTATTCTAACAATATTCGTTCAGGCAACAAATTTTCATCCATTGAGATACCCAGCATAGCATACCAGAGGAAATAATTAGTGAAAAGGGTTCTAAGGTTTTCGCTTTTATTGTTCGCATAGCTTACACTTTAATTGAAATAGAAACAGTATGACAGAGAATGTAAGGATAGGTATCGGCTCAATCCAATTTGCGGTAGTGTCTATGATAGAAGGGTTGTAGCACATATGTTTCGTAATTAAGTAACTGGAACTGCACGTGTTTCTGAAATATCTTAGTGTCCCTGGGAAGACAGCAAGGATGTGGGCGGCTATTACTTTAGTCTATCGCTTTTCGCAAGAAGCATTTCAATCCTGGTAGCAAAGGTTTAAATATAGGTCAATTCGCAGTTATGCACAGCGGCTGACTCCAACGTTGGTACTCCCCGATAAAATAACGCCAGAAAATAACTCCCGAATAGGAAAGCAATTTCAAGTTCAATGATAAGCTTACATTGCATAACAATATTTTTAAATTGAGGGCGAGGGGTATGAGTAACCAAATAGAAAAACTTACCCGCCTGCACTAAAAGTTAAAAAAACAAATCAAGGTAGAACATGCATTAAAAATAATTTTGAAAACAACTATGAACACTGGAGGAAATATCATCATCTTGAACTGCTGGAGCCCTTAGCGGTACATTTTATTTTTACTATTTTATTTTCCATGCTAATGGATTCACAGACGGTCTAACCTAAGGACGCTATTGTTTTCTATTGTAACATCCCATCACTATAATTGAGGTGAAGAACTTGCATACAGGCCGGTCGCTGTACAGTGGTCAAATCATACTCTTCTGCGTCTTTTTCGTTTTTGTTATCAGGTCTAGTCACATGGAGGACTCAAATTCTACATCTGTATATATATTTGTCAAACCCTAGTTTTACAAAATTTATTATAAGGTGAATTCACATATCTGGTACAATATACTTTCAACAGACTGACACCAAAGCAACATGTCTACTGCAGTCTATTATTCCAACCATAATACCGTTGAAGACATTCACTCCAAACATACCCTTCCTTCCTTATCTCAAATAATGCCAATGGGCCAACAGCAACAACAGACCCAATACTCACACGATGCTACCTTAGCTGCTGCCCAAGCAGTTGCTGCTTCTCCACACCAGACAGGTTCTACTGGCCAGCTCTCGCCAACGTTGGTCAACTCCAACTTGGTGCCTATGAGTAACTTGCCCATGTTTGACCAGAAGATGGTTTACCAAACCACCCAACAGCATCATCACCAGTCCTCTCCAGATGTGTTCTCACAGTCTTCGCAACCATCAACTGCCCACACCACCCCAGCATCTTCCTTCAGTGCTGGTCTGTCTGGCTACCACGCTGGTATAATAGGAAATCCTGGACACCAAGTTTCAGGTGCATCGTCTGGATCCGTGTCATCTGCCTCCTCCGAGAAGTGCGTCTGCAAGTCAAACGCAAACAGAATTCCTAGACCAAGAAATGCGTTCATTCTTTTCAGACAAAAATATCACCAGTCGGTGTTGGACGAGGGCAGTGTCATCAGAACCAACCCGGAAGTGAGCCGTGAGTTGGGAAGAAGATGGAGAGCTCTCTCTGGTGACGAAAAGGACTACTGGAACAACTTGGCCGAGGAGGAAAAGAAGAACCACGCTAAGAAGTATCCTGGCTACAGATACACTCCAAGAAGAAACGGAAAGAACAAAAACTGTATTCCTTGTCGCCAAAAGGCCATGAGACAGCAGCAAGTTCAAGTGCACAACCAACAAATGATCCAATTACAACAGGAACAATATCAGCAATATTTGCAATTACAGCAACAGGCCCAGCCTCAGGCTCAACCACAGGCCCAGCAGCAGATGGCACAACCACAGGCCAATGCTGTGCCCCAGCAGTTCAACAACGGCAACTTTGTCAGTGCCAACCCTCACAACCAACAATTCATCATTGCATCTAACTACCAACAAGGAGCTGGCCAAGTACCACAGCCACCTCCAGGAGCACCAACGTTTCAATTCTCGTTCAACAACGAATTCACTGGGCAAACCAACAACGCCAACAACAACCAGGACAAGTTATCACCCTTGTTCAGTGTCCCATACCACTCGCAAATGCAACAAATGCAACAACCTGCTGGCTCAGGTGCGTCCCACTCCCACAACAATACCCCACCCAATCACCAGGCCCACACCAGTGAATTCATGATGAACGGGGGTTCAAATGGTAACCCTCAGTTTGTGATCGCATATGATCAGCAGGCTAATTCGGGGGCCGTGCCTCATCAACAGCGTTTCAACTCGTTGCCAACACCAGTCAATGGGGCTAACGGGTATACTTTTGATGGGTTCAGCCAACAATGATCTACAGCATGCAACATCTTCTTCAATTCGTGGTATTATTCTAGTGTCTTTTCTACAGTGTCTACTTTACATAGCTAATATAATCTAATTAAACTTATCGGTTGTTGCCAGAATGAGCTCTTGTAAGCGACCAAGACGTTTAGCTTTTTAAGCTGTCAGTGGTTCAGCCGGATTAATTGAGAGATGGCCAGATGAGACGTTGGTTGGAATGTTACCACTCCAGCTGGATGCGATAGGAAGAATTGACCGAGGCAAGCAGCCACCATTGCTATCACCAAGGGGCTGTGGCTGGCATTTCAGTGGTCCAATTAGGCAGACCGCAGCAAGAGGAACGAATTATTGCCAGGGTCTAACAGCCAGATTCCAGAGTCTGATAACCTGGACTAAGCCAACAACCAGTCACCAGTTTGAAGCCTGGTTGAAAAGAAATACTACAATTAGCCAAATTAGAGTTGGGGAATCCTGAGGCCTGAATCGGAGTCGCATGAAGGGTGGGGGATTTTGTCAAACCAGGATTAGGTTGCGAGTGAGCAGAATTCGCTGCATTGGAGCATAGACAAGAAGATCAATTCGAGCGCAAACCCAATCCAGAGGGACTATTGTCGAGGGTATTGTTGGACAAGCATCGAAGTTGTTTGACCAGCAAGGAAATTGGTGGGTCGGGAATAAAATTGACGACGAAGGTTGGAAGCTTGGTCCGGATGCTACATCGATGAGTGCATGACGCAAAAGGTGGGGGAGAGACCAGAGGGGGGGAAGAAGATCGGCCACCGGATGAACGTGATTGCGGGTAGCCAACTGGACCCTCACTTTAATTTCAATCCAGGCTAACCAGAAATACTAATTCCGTTAGGCGGCTCAATGTGGAATACGTTATTGCGAGTTAAACTATATTTTTTGAGAAGTGGCTGCACATGCATGATTCGGGCATGTAAGTTGATGTACGAACTCCTACTGCATAGCTAGTACCTTAGACGACAAAACAAAACATGGACTCGAGCCCCTGTTCTCCTTACCGGCTGTGAGCATTTCCGAGAGTGTTTGCTGCCCGGATCAAATTCACAGCGGTCTGCCCCCAACCCAACCTCTGTGGGCTAATTCTGGGCTGCTGTGCAAAGTTACGGTACCAAGGCCGGCACTTATTTTCTAGTGGTTATTGTCCTGTTAGGGTCTCCCGCTAGCTTTATCAGAGACGAGATATCATTAGGTCCACTATCTATTCACTTTAAGGTGTAGTGCCCGGAAAAGCCAATTCTGGTATGCGTTTGCACTAGTGGGAGAAGATTGCTGGCCACTTGTGGGTCTGCATATATTTTTCTTTTAATGTGTCCTGCAGTGCACGTTCGTTCAACCTTAGAGAGGTCTACTTCTGCCGGTACGCAGTACATTACTGCCTTCTATTATCGACACCTCTAGTTCCTCCGATTTACTCGGTGCCAAAACGAGAAATAGCGTTTTGACGACGGTGATTTTCGTGGTCGATCGATCAGTCTGGCGGCCCCTCACAGGCTTCTTTCTGCAAAGTGGAACTAGTGCCGACGCCAACACGACAGCAAATCCTTCTGGGTTTGCGCGATGCAACTGCTTTCCTTTGCGACCGGTAAGCCCCCACTGCGACTCTGTCTGTGCCCCCAACCGATATTTCTTCCCCATCAGATCTTGCGATGAATACGTCACCGCGAATTGTATTTCGTGGGAATTTCCACTGGTTTGTGATCTTGCATTCATGCATGGTTACTCGCGATAACAGGCCTTCAGACTTACCAGCCCGTGGTGAGGAAAAGGCTGTGTCTGGCTCCTGAGCGGCCCGGGCATATAGTAGATGGGACGCTTCGGGAAAAATATCGTAATTACCCCAAATAAACTACGAGACAGGCCCCAAAGATAATACGGGTTCGTCTCTTCTTGCAGCGTATACCTGAGAATGTTGCGAGGAGCAGCTACATATTGTATACTCCGGTTAAACATTACTTCAGTATCACTAAATTTATTGGTATTCATTGTAAAACATCACTCTACAGTGTAAGTTCATTAGGATAATTTCTTACCTCTCATACTACATTTATTGGTATACTTCCTCAAACTCAGAAGTGTAAGTTCATTAAACGAAGTATCACCAAATTTATTGGCATATCCATCTAAATGCATCACTCGCAGGCTCATTAACGATGAGATTCTACCCTTGTATCGCTACATTTATTGGAACACTTTCTCTCAATACATTACTCCACAGTTAGGTTCACTAACCATTGGCCACCACCATATTAATTGGTATACTGTCTCTAAATGATTCAGTCACAATATCATTAACCATCATTTCTTGAATCATAAAATTTAATCCCGTCCTAATACTATCTACTCTGTTCGTCGTTAACGATCAGATTCTAGGCTCTATCTTTCCACCGCTAAGTTCATTAACTATTGAGTCTAGCGTCTATCACTACATTTATTGGTATCTCCTGTCTGACTCACGACTATTTAATGACGTCTCCTAGTCTTCTATCACTGGCGCATTCCCTTGACAGATGGCCATTTTAAGCTTTGAAATAAATTTTCTTTACTCTTTCTGATGAATTTACGATAGGAAGTTGCCTACATTGCACTGAAGATGCTAACCTAATATTTATTGGATATACGTCAGTTCCCTGCCCGTCCCCTTCGATGGGACTCTATAAGGCTCGACTTCGGCATTGTGTGTGCTGACGGTGTAGAATTAAAAGTCCTCGCCCAAACTATCAATGGTGATAACTTCTCCTGGCTTGAATGGGGGCAACCCCAAGTATGGACAACCATCACACCTAAAGGCATCACCCAACGCACACGAGCCACAACCTCCGGTCTTACCCTCTACCGTGAAGTCGATTTCGGCCAACTCCTCATCTCTGAACTGGACTTTTTGCTTGAGTCTTTCTTCGATCTTAATGGCCTCCAAGGTGGCAGACTGCACTGTCTGGCCCATTATGGAGTCCTGCAACAGCCTCTGGTTGGCTTCTTCCTTTTCTTCGATCTCCTTCAATCCACAGGTGCAGTCTTTGCACGCCTTTCTTCTTTTCTTGCCGTTTGGCAACTCACAGGGTCTTGGAACTATCAAGTTGGATGGGTCGCTGTCCTTGATAAGGTCATTTTCGTTGATGATTTTGGGGTTGTAAGTTTCGTATTCGTTTTCGTTATCGTCGTCGTCTTCTTCCTCGGACTCACTGAAGTACGACAACTTTGTCTGCTCCAATTTTCTCTTCATGGAGAGATCCCCCTCGTCGTCGGTGTTTGGAGCTGACGTGTCTGTCAAGCCAACAGGGCTGCTGACGAGCTTTTTGAACGTAGGAAGCTTCTTCAAGCCGGACGCAGGCCCAGACTTCTTCTTCAAAACCACGGTTTCGACTGGCTTGGGCTTGATCCACGCCTTGTTCTCGTCAACGACAAATCCCGTCATCAACGCGTCTAGGTTCTGGTCGCTGGGCAAGTCACCACTGCACTGACCATCGTCAGTCAACGTATCGTAGATCAACTTCATCATCAGCACCGGGATGGTCTTGTCTTGGTTGGGGTTAATGTAGACCACCTTGTTGTATGCGTTTTTGTCAAGCTCCACGGCTCCTTTGGTGACTCTGTCTATGATTTGTTGGTCGATGACGGCTCCATCGGTAGAGAGCGACTTCTTGACGTTTTCCACGGTCTCTGGCTCAGTAACCACGGTGGGATGTAAAAGTAATAGGACTCTCATTCTGTGTGCTGTGTGTAGTATTTGTCTTGACTTTTAAGTGTGCTGTGGATGCTAACTGGGCGCGACAGATATGGCCTTTAAGTATTAAGTGGTGCAAAAGGCTGATTACTGGAGGTTAGTCACTGCTTAGTTATTATCAGATGATCATAAATTTTTATGCACAAAAATCCTGCATGAAGGCCTGAAGTTGAGATTATCGCACGTGACGTGAGAAATACCGATAACGGCGGAGGGGTCTGCTTACTATACAGGGTGATAATTGGCTGCGAAGAAATGGTCCTGGACGATTACGGGCGGAGGGTCTAATTGGAGGTTTTGTCAGGCACAGATCTTGCTGACACGAAAAGTGAGCACGGCTGGACGAAGCTGACTCCAGAAAAATGGCTATTGGCCATTCCATTTTGCATTCGTTGCTACAAGCTACCAACCGCTGATTTTCTGCTCTCTGTACTATACAGCTGGTTGAGGATTCTATGATGGACTTGCCAGAGCATCTCGTGATGCATTACTCGAACAATGTTGCTTTCTTGCAGTGGTTCTACTCGAATGATGCGCGGCTGATCTACTCGAATAACACTTTCTTCTTGTGGTGGATTTACTCCAAAAAATGCTACGTCTTGTGGACTCACTAGAAATACCGAATAAATTTCTCTCCCGACTTTCCCTTGCGCCAAAACATCCATCTTCTCCATTGCCATTTCCATTTTGGACTGCAATGTCCAGCTGTTGCCTGACTCCTAAAACGCTTGGTACGAAACTATCACCTCTTCAAATAGGCCAATATGCTTCTGCCGAGGTTAAACTCAACCGCCAGGCAATAGACTTTGAAGAACATCTATTGTTTTCGGAAACAACCAGCCGTGGTTCGAGCACAAAGCGGACATGTCACTGTAATTAGGAACAACTTGAGGCTGCGTGATTTGTTCCGGGACGATATGCATCCTGGTGCCTATCTTGGTTCCAGGCGGACCCACAATAAATCCAGAACTTCTCGGAACAATACTTGTTCATGGGAAGAAGAACCTTAAAATCTTCGTAGATGTTTTGACTGCGTGACCTCTACCAAGAGATTCCGGTACTTACATAGTGCTGGCAGTTGTGTAGGCACTTCTTTACATATAGTTTTCTGTTGCTCAATTAATTCTCGCCGGAGATGCCCGAAACGTCGCTGTGGGAACATTTCCGGCCATACCGGCAGGATGCTAGAGCAAATTAAAGGTTTTAGCCGACTAATCGCCACGATGTAATCATGCAAAGCACGCCAGACATATCACAGGCGTGCTAGGCTCAGTAGACGCTCAGTTGGCGGTTGTGTGGGCTCAGCCAATCGAGCGCCAAATTGCGCAAGATCGGGGTTTGCACCATCCAAGTCATCGGATCAGAGGATGGGCCCCAAAGCCCGCGGTACATGATGAATTCTTAAAACGAATTCTTAAAACGAGCTTGGTCTTGCAAAAAAGGCTTATCTCGAATTAGGTATAAGCGTCGTACTAGTGCGGCTTACATTCCGCTAATCTCCTGACCGTTTAACTGGATAAGAATGACTTTTGGACTAATTTGAACCACAAATTCTTTAAAACATAGAGAAGTATGCTATGCGACATACCGCCCCAATCCTAGGTACTTTAGCACATTTACAGGCGTTTATCCACCTTTGCTCCATCCTTCACAAAATACTAAAAAATAATGTGACGGCTGAAAGCTTACTATAAAGAATGTATTTTCAAGCCTCCAAATTATTTTTAAGGGTTCAATCTGAAACTTGAAAAATAGTAATAAAATCCGGATACCACGGTCTTCTTAGATCATTGGTTACTTCTCGTTACCCGAATTGTTTACAGGAAACCAGGAGTTATTTTCTTCGTGGTTCATGGGGGCGATTTTTTCGGGCTTAGGAGCTTGTGGTACTTTTTCTGGAGTGGATGCTCTTTATTATTTTTGTAGCGAACGTGTGGACAATTGTTTAGGTGACGTATATTGTTCGTATGACCGAGGGCCAAAATGCATGTGCTCGCCTTACTAGGTTACGATAATAGGTGTTCAAGCTTCGAATCCGGTAGACACTTACCATCGTAGATGCAAGTCTTTGTATTTGCAGGCGAACGACCAAGAAATCCAGAATTCCTTCTCCGAAAGCTGCATAGAGTGGTTTATCCGCTAGATGCTGGTCTTCGCTAATATTGGGATGCTCTGACGATGTCCAATGGGTTATTGTCTACAGATGCATAATCTGGGTATCGTTCCAGAAGCTGTTTTCTGGCCAGGTCTCTGTCAACCCTCACGGAAATGTGGCCATATACCGAGGCCCACAAATTGCTCATCCTTGATCATCACAAAACTGTGCTTGTTAATTCCGAACTCACTTTATCCACGGGTGAAACTGAATAAACACAATAAAACATCCGAGAAGGGCCAAATATCAGGAGAGGAGCAAATTAATGACCAATATGTGATTTTGGACTAGCTGAAACTTTTCCGCTGTGCAATTGTCAGACCTCGAACTATCAGAAGTGGGCTTGTCTTTGTTGGAGATTCTGAGCCAAATGTGTGCCGTTGCAGCACCAAAATAATAATCTTACGGCTCGAGAGTTAGGAGAGCAGACAGTTTGGCTTAGGCATGGTCAAATGGAATGGTTACTCGTTCATTAAACGTTTGATATAATTACAGACGCGGGAGCAATAGGTGTTGCTTGGCCGCAAAATTTCAGGTAAAACATCAATAGCGAGAGAATTGAAGTGTCGCGCAGGAGTCACTAGGATTAGTTTGGCCTGGATTAATTGTTCATCGGGTCGTGGTTTAAATCGTGGAAGGGGTCGTGTCGGATTCAGCTGTCTATTTCCTCGTCCGTGGCTTCATCGTCAATGTCTGTTTCATCGTTTTCAGTGAGGTCAGCGTCATTGTCGATGGTGGTGTGTTTAGAGCTGGGTGAGCCAGCACCGTTTTTGGATTTCTTCTTAGAGCTCTGAATCAACCCTGAGATTGGAGGCAATATGGGATGAAGGGGACCACTCTGACTCTGCGAGTTAATTGGACTCGCTAATAATGACAGTGATTCTCCAGGTGATATTGGTGAAGTATCGTTCAAGCTGTGGTTTCGACTGTGGGAGAACTTAATAGCCTGAGGAGAAGACAACGACATCAACGATAATACAGCGTCCTGTTCATTATTACTCTTGCCCTTTTCGTTGTTGATTTCGCTTGGTTTCAACGCTACGTTTAACGAAGGTAACTGGATGGGATGATGATCTGAGTTGGTAGATTTTTGGGGGTGCGGAGACTCACCCACTAATGAGGCTCGTTTTCTTGAAGGACTCGAAAACGAGGTACGTGACTTTATTCTTTGTCTGCTTAATGCTGCTAGGAGGGCACTGTGTGCACTTGACTCTTCGTCTGGCGATGGAAGGTTGACTGCACTGCGTCCTTGGACCTCCGAATTGAATAATGGCGACAGTTTCAACGGTGAATTGGCATTGTATGTCGGAAATAGGTTTGATTGATGCAATACGCTTGATCCTGAATGTGGAGGAGCCATAGGCGATTGCTGTAATGTCTGTAAGTTCAAGTTTGCACGTTGAACAGAGGTGGACGGTGTCCATGGAGGCTGGTCACCTTGTCTGACCTTCTTTGTGGGCGATAGCGACGAGTCAAACGTCAACTCTGTGAAGGATATTTTGCTGGCTTGGGAGTCATCGCGTTGTATCTTTCCCAATGCCGAGCTGAGCCTGCTCTTGAGCTGGCTGCTTATTTCAGAAAGGTCCTCCTTATTTGCTGTAGGACTTCCGGCTTGGTCATCGTTCTGGAACAACTTTTTTGCAGATGAGAAAAACTGGGGGGTCTTTTGGAGCTTACTTTTCTGGTAGTAGCCCTTGCCTCCCTCGTCGGAGTCGTATCCTGTGTGTCTTGGGGTCTTGAGGACGTTGCCTGAGCTGTATGGGGAGCTGACGGTGTTGTGGTTGAGCTTGTAGTCGGGGGACTTCAAGTTTCCTGAATTAGTCCTTTTCAACGCTGGCGAGAACGGGAGTTGACCCTCAACGCTTTGTTCTGGGGTTTTCAAGAAGCTGGCTGAAAGCCTGTTTCTGCGGTCGCTGGCGCCGCCACGTGCTGTGAGTGGCCGTGGTGGTGTGCTGGGCCTCAACGGGTTGGATTCCTGTATCTTGGGCGATGATATGGGGGTGGTGGGCTTGCCACTCATGGTGCCCGGGAATTAGTGTCTGTTGGGAGGGAATGCAATGCTATGCGGACAGATGCTTGACGTCGACGTTTCGTGCACTGACTGTTTGCACGAGGGCGTAATTTGGCGGTCACTGGAGGGAGTGTCTGGAGGCCAGGCTCTGGAGGGGCAGTTTTGGGGGGGCCGGAGGGGGGATGTAGATGCTGTGGATGGGTGCTGATGGCCTATGGTGCAGGAACAGTGTCTGAGTCCTCTGCGGTGGGGATGATCCAGCAGTTGTGGGTGTTTTTCCGGGGCGCTGTTGGTGGTGACACTCACCTGTCGGATGTTGATACTCGCTTTGTCTGACCCGGTCGTGCGCGCCCAATGCTCACCATATGGCTTCCAGTAAACAAACGAGTCAAGGCGGGTAACTTCTTCCATAACCTCCTCCAATTCTTCCTCACGACGACCCTTGCCACTGTATGGAGCATGAATTCGAATGTGGCTGCTCCGTCCTCCCTTTTGAGGAAAAACACCGGCAAAAATCTCTCCATGGGTTCCGCTACTAGGACCTCGTTGCTCGGATCAAGAAACATCTTGGATGCCATCTCCGGAACAAACAGTGCCAAACGCAGGTCCTTACTCTCCACCCCGGCTTCCACCAACAAGCGCAGACAGAGCTTATCTGGCCAGGCTCTCCATCCGCCGTCCTCATCCAGCTCGCAACAAACGCCCCAGACCGTCCTCACAGAGAGAACCTCCATGAATGGAGGGCCAGTTCCACCTATACCGAGCTCCCAGCTCACTCCGTCCCAGTCCACACCAATCGACCAGCGCCCCCTCCGTGACAAGAACTACCAGCAGCTCATCCAGCAAGAAATTTATGACTTTTTGGTGACCAACCGTTTCGAACTCGAAATGAACCATACCATCACCCTCAAAACCCTCAAGCAACCCACCCAGAAAGACTTCATTTTGATCTTCAAGTTCTTGTACAATAAAATAGACCCGTACTACGAGTTTCATAAGTCGATCGAGGTTGAAGTATTCTCCCTCCTCAAAATATTGAACTATCCGTACTTGGACAGCATAAACCGGTCCCAAATCAGTGCGGTTGGAGGACAGAATTGGCCATCTTTCCTAGGAATACTTTACTGGATGATTAAATTAAATCTTTCCATACTGAACTTGAACATCGATGATTCACTAATCAGCCCGGACGATGAGTTCGACAAGATTTTCATCAAGTATATACGCGATTCCTACCAGGCATTCATAAATGAACAAGATGATTACAGTGAGTTTTACGAAGAAATGAAGATTGAGTTTGAAAAATTGAATTCCAATTTATTGCAAGATATCAAGAATTTGGAGACTGATAATGACAGATTAAGATTACAACACAGCGAATTGAACGGCCAGCTAATTGAACTACAGCAAGCAGAGAAGAAGTCAGTGGCATTAGAAGATGATTTAATCAAGTTCAAGGCTTATATTGAAACAATGGAAAACCGCAAATCGAAATGGTCAGAAATCATTGACAAAATAAAGGAGGAAATAACAAATCGAGATGAAGAATTACAAGGCATAAATCAATCACAAAAAGAATTGGAAAATCAAATCTTACAAAAGGGAATAACAATCTCGGAAATAAACAATTTAAACATTGAAAGAGACAAATTATCCAAAGCAATAGATTTGATCAGTTCTAGGCTTGAAGATGCACAATCAAAATTGAATGACAAGGATATTGAACTCATTAAGAACTATCAGAGTTTAGAGAACTTTATCAAGCAATATAACAATTTGATACTGAAAACGAAGTCACCCAACTATGATTTTGAGATCAAACTTCTGCAAACTGCTATTAATTCAATCAGTCAAGAGGCATCCGACAACGACAAATATGTTTCATTGAAGCCTAACGATATCATAAATAAAGTTTTGAAGGATGAAAAGATCGAACTATTGAAATTCAGATCGGAAATCAATTCGAAAATTCATCAATATCAGGATGAGCAGATCAAAATCCAAGAGCAGTGTGATTTAGTCATCGAGAAGAACCTGGAACAGTCTGAATATTTGGAGGGACTCGGTAGCAAGCTCACTGCTAGTAAGATGAATTACGATGAGATTTATGAAACCATGATCAATGATTCCACAACATATTCTACACAAATCGAGAAGTTGGAAAGAGAATTGAGATCAATCAAGATTAACACTAACCAGGGGTTCATTGAATTGGAAAACCAATACCAGAACACTTTGATTGAGCATGATGAACTTACACATTCATTAGCCAAGTCTCGTAAAGCGCTTTTCGACAAGTGTTGCAAGATGGCAGAGTTCATCATGAATTTCAAATTGAGCATTCAAACAAACTTATTGGACCTAGATGACTTGGCTATGATCGAATACGAAAAGGAGCAGAAGGAAGGTGAGCAAAATCTCCAGTGATATCCCAGTTTCACTAGAGACGAGAGAACAATAGTTTGAGTTGGCAATGTATTATTAGCATGTATTATTATAAGGGCACTTTTATTTCTATATACTCTCAGGTGAGATAAGTAATTTAACCACAATGAACACATACAAGGTACTGTTGGTGATTGTAGACATGGCACACTTCGAACCTAGCCTTGTATCAGTACTGGAATACTCTGCCCCACAGATCACGTGCCATATTTAACGTGACCAAACACGAATATGGTCCAAGGCAAGTCGAAGCGCCCTTCCTGCCTAACACAACAATGGCCGATATCAACGTCTACATTACATCCAATATAACCTCCTCAGAGAGGAGAATCTCTCCCCAGTGGGACCTCCACTACCTCAAGTCCAGACTTGAGCTCATCACAGGCGTCCCACCCCAGTACCAAACGATACAATACTACCCATTGCCCAATTCCAACGACAACAAGGTGATTTCTGATGCTGAGGACTACAGCGAGGCTAGAGACAAAGCGCAGACCGTGGCACACTTGAATATAGTGCCGTTGAGTCGTTTACACGTCATAGATACCAACCCAGACTCGGAGCTCGCACATCTCGAAGAGGACAACGAAGGCGAGGACTTCGGATTCAAGCTCAGTGAAGAAGAGTACGCAAAGAAGTCGGGAACTGTATTGAGCTGGAAACAGAGGAACCAACTCGGGAGATTCAACCCCGAGTTCCAGGAACAGAAGGCACGCCAGCAAGAGGAGCATCTCGAGGCATCGAAGTCGTTGGAGGTAGGCAAGCGGTGCAGAATAATCACTATCAGCTCCGAGAGAAGAGGCATCATCAGATACGTGGGCAAGATCGAGACACTTGATCAGGGCGAAAGTGTGTGGGTGGGGGTGGAGTTTGACGAGCCTGTGGGCAAAAACAACGGGACCATCGACGGCGTCCGGGTGTTTGAGTGCAGAGACAAGCACGGGAGCTTTGTAAGGCCCAAGCAGGTCGAGGTGGGCGACTTTCCCGAGTTGGACCCGTTCGACAGCGACGACGAGATGTAGGTAATTAGTAATACATTACGTAAGTCACAATTCACTCCTTTCCCGCCCCCAGTGGAGCCTGGTCAGTTCTCTGGGCACAGTACCGCCCCAGCACGACGCTGCGCACGACGCTGTGCGCTGCACATCCCCTGCATCGTTCCCTCCGCCCTCCCATCGTCACCTCATCTCCGGCCCCACCGGCGCGTCCTGCACGCACCACCGCCATCAATATTCGTTGACTAAGCATAACACTCTTTGTCCACCAACATGTTTGAATTCGTATACGACTACGCCTCCAAGGAGACCATCACCAAGTACATCCGTCTTGCCGTGGTGGTTGGCTTCTACGTGTTATTCCGCCAGTACTACGCCAACTACGCTAAGGCCAAGCAGCTCAAGCACCAACTTGCCCAGGACGAAAAAGAGGCCAAAGACAAGCCAGAGGCTGACAAGAAGAAGGAGGAGTTGCAGAAGCAGCTCGAGGAGGACAATGTGTTCGGATGGGGAAAGAAGACCAGAAACAGAAAGAAGCAGCAGCAAGCCATCATAGACCAGCTTGCCGAAGAGACCAGATTGAGATACCAAACAGCCTACGATGCTGCTGAGGACCACGACATCGAGGACTTGTTGGAGTAGGTAGGAGACTAGGAGAATAGACGTTGATTGTATCTGATGTAGGTGGCTAACATCCTGAACCGGGGCCTGTATGCAGGTGTCAGATCTAGCGGACGAGAGCTGATTTGATCCCAAATAGAAGTGCAAGCATAGTGATATCCAAGTAATTGTCGTATCTTCACTAGAACTATTTGAACTCGATCTATAGACGTTGTTACTGTAAATAATCCGTAGTTCATGCTTAGGAATAATATTAAATGAGTTAATATGTATAATGAGTGATGCTCCAATAGCATGAAAATAGTATATTAATCATCCCTCACTGTACATCTATTCTCCTATAATCTTATCCGCAATTCGTACTTTGGAATATTAAATGAGTTAATACTGTAATGAATGAAGTTCCAATATAGCACACTACCATCCAGCTTGAGGTTCTCTCTCCAATAATTTTATCAGTTTTGAAATAAAAGCTTATTAATCCTTTATGACTTAACATGTTTAGTAAATAACCAGCCAAAGTCGAGTAACGGAAAGTCTAAGGCTCTTAGTTATGAAACTATGTAAAACAGTGAGGTGTTAACAAGTTTTACCCCACAAATTCTCTAAGTAGAAGGAGGGTAACTTTAATTACCTGGAGCTAACCAAACTTGAAAAGTAATGTATCCATCTAGCAGAGGCGCTATGTTTACTTGGAAAAAACTGAATAAGATCAATCAGATTGAACAATTAGTGCAAGATCACAACGAGGTACATCTTTGCAGGGCCACCAAATGCTCAATTACTTACAAAAAACGAAACACGATATTAGGTGACTTCTTCTTGGTCCATCAAGATATTCCTACAAGCTTGAGGGTTCGGCCAAATTGCAAATACTAGGATTTACGAGTAGTAGCTCTCTCGTGAATTCAGCTAGAACTTCGGAATACTCAATAAAATTATTTTATATTATAATATTGAGGTACTTTAGACCAGCCTGCTTCGTCTCCCCCAGTATATGCCACTTTATTATCACCGAATTTCCGCTCCGACAGCTTTTTATACACTTATCTTTCGTTTATGGGACCGAGTTAAGTCAAAAAAACGGACAACCAAGCTAAAATTCATGCAAAAAATAAACAATCGTGTAACAGTTGCGATTTCTGCTTTTGAACATCCATTATGGGCTCCTAAAAGCACTCATTGCTGTAATATGCCTCTCTCTTGCTTACCATAGTCCGATCTGGGGTCGCGATGGAGTTCACGTGACAGACCATCTCAAAAATTTTAAGAGTGTACTCTGAAAAATTTACCAACCAGTACAACTCATCCCAAACATGGCAGGTGATCCATTCTTATCAGATCCTTCGAAGAAGAGAAAGAACAGGAGCAGCAGAACAACCAGCGTGGCCAAAAAGTCCCGTTCGAGTAAGGCTGATAGTGCTCCTGCTAGACATAAAAGACAAACTCAACAAGAGGAAGATGAAATCACAGATGGCAGTGATTCTGAAACCGAACAAGTGGAGTTCGATGCAGAACAAGGAAGTGAAGAATTGTCGTCCGACGAAGAGTTTGCTGACGAAAATGCAACAGATAAGAGAAGAAGATTGGCCCAACAATACCTTGATAACCTTGGGAATCAATTAGACGGCGGTGAAGAGTTTGATGCCAAGGATTTGGACGATGATATTCTTGCCAGAAGATTACAAGTCGATGTGGCCGAAAACAAGGGATATATCTATAAATTTTTCGGAGAACAAGTTTCCAGTCAAAAAGAATCCACCACCATAACCACCACCAGAATAGGCAGCAAGCATTTAACCGCATTAGCAGTTAGGTATCCTTACTTATACACCGTTTCCAAAGATATCGAGCTCATCAAGTGGAATATCAGTCTAGACAAAAAGAAACCTCAAAGAATAAAGCACATTAAGGGCCACAGAAAAAATACCAAAGGGCATTCAGATCAGATAAACTGTGTCGCTGTGTCTTCCGACGGTAAGTTTGTTGTTACCGGAGGAATGGACTCGAAGTTGATCATATGGTCCAGTGAAAACTTGGCCGTTTTGAAAGTCTTGGAGACCAGAGCACCCGTGAACGCGATTACTTTCAGAAGAGGAACAGATCAATTATACGCAGCATGTGCAGATCTTAAGATCCGTACTTATTCCATCAATCAATTTACTCAGTTGGAAATCTTATATGGACACCAGGACAACATAACCGATATCTCATCCATGGCCAAAGAAACATGTGTATCCGTTGGATCAAGAGATAAAACTGCCATGTTCTGGAAAATTGCTGAAGAATCTAGATTGACTTTCAGAGGAGGAGACTTTGAGAAGAAAAAGAAGAAGAGGGATGACGAGCCGGAAGTGGTTACCTACAACGAAGGTGCTATTGAGGTGGTGTCCATGTGTGACGAATCCAAGTTTGTGACCGGTTCCGATAATGGTAATGTATCATTCTGGTCTTTGGCGAAGAAGAAGCCATTATCCACCCAAAGATTATCTCATGGGTTGCAACCAGCCCTTGCATCCACCAAAGCCAGTGCCGAGGTCAACGAGGAGTTATCTACTAGACAAGTACCTCAAAGACAGCCATATCCTATCACTGCTATACATTCCGTGCCATTCAGTGATATTTTCATCACTGGTTCTTATGATGGAAGTTTGAGAGTGTGGAGAATCGATCAACAGAACATGAGAAATTTCGAGATGATCGGAGAGATTGCAGGTGTCAAGGGATGTGTTGTCAAGATCGACAGTGCTGAAGAGAAGGGCAAGTTAGTGGTGTTTGCCTTGGTCAGTAAGGAGCACAGATTGGGAAGATGGTTAGGTAAAATCGAAGGAGGAAGAAACGCATTAGTGAGTTTCGCTTTTGATGTTTAGTATAAACTGAGCACTGACAGCTAGAAAACTCCAGAACTACAGGTAATTTACTCTAGCTGAAAAAGCATGTCAAACTATAGAGCTATAAGCATGACTAGTCATAAAATTAATATACACAGTATATCGATTCTTGTAATATGGTAGATATAATCCGAGACTTGGTCCCTTTCAAAAATTACATGGCGATATTCTTTTTAGCCAAACCTAGTATATTGTGTTCAGGCAACTCTAAGCTATTCAGAACCAAGAATGTATTGTAAGTTTGTTGTTGAACTCTAAATAGTATGTGCAAGCATTGCCAGGTACTTCTCCTTATCTCTTGGGTATTTTTGTGATGAAATGATTTTCGGTCGTCTTAATTTTGCAGCCCCATATCGTCATTTTCCACAAGAATTTTTTTTCGCTACAAAAAAAGATCCAAATTTGAGGCAATTCGAAGAAGGTCAACTATCGATAAATTAGCCATAATTCAACTGTAGAATTACCATTTATACCCATTCAAAGCATCCTGTGTGCATTTTTCCATGTAAGCAAGCCTGCTCTGAGATCTTTGGTACTAGTAGGGCATGGAAGAAGATAAGGGTATTTCTAAAAATTTATTAGTGGTATAATTGGTATTGAATCACTGCATGATAAGATTGTACTTCCCAGGAGCTCGTCTCATAAGATTATGCTTTCAGACCCTATTAATTATCCACCTCTGAACCACAAACTGCTGAAAACCGACACATGGCAAGTGTCGTTGAAATACTCCAGTGCAAATATGCTTCAATTGTATGTCAGTCAAACTTCATTTATGAGTGTCAAATTTTGACTGTGCTGACTTTTAATTATTTATTTTTGAAAAGCTACAAATGGGACAGTAAACTCCTCCACAAAATATGCATAGTCATTCTCACATTGTGGAGAACACTGTGTCGAAACGGGTCGACTATCGAAATTGACGATTGATTAGCAATTTTCTAAGTGGCCTTTTTGTGTATTGGGTTCTTCAGAGGTAAGGACAGAAGTCAAAAAAATATTATCTTTGGTGCGACCAGAGGCCTACAATAAAATATTTGCCACAGGATAATACCAGGACAAATAACCGATCCAAGAAGAATAGGTCATGGCAGCAACCAAATCCGGCCAAAATATGTGAATTATTAATTTGTTCAAAAACTAGCTTTCAATTTAAGATTGTTTTGCCTCGGGCTACTGGATATATCAACCGGGCCGGACACATGCAATTGATTAACCGGGGGCACTACCACAGCCCCCTTGACCTAGATTGCTGGCACTCCAATTCCGCACCTCAGATTCCGTGTATCCACGGCTTGAGGGGTCGTATGGATGTACTTTGACGTCGAATTTGCAACTGCTACAGGACTCTTTTCCGGATTTCCAGCGTGTCCAAACAGACGTACATCATTTATTTTATGTCAAATTTGACACCATTTAGACACCTGACACCGTTGGGTGCCGTTTGGCACAATTTAGTACCATTTAGCCATATGTGGCATCTAGCACCGTTTATACGCTCTGCAGTCTCTCAGTGGAGATCAGATTTAGCCATATCTACCCGCAGTCGCCTATCGAAACCACCAGGGCCCTCCTAGCGAATCGCGCCACATTATGCTAGCACACACCGATTGCAAAATTAATTTCGCAATCGGTTTCGCAATCGGCCATGATAAAAGATCAAACAAGCCACACCGCCTATAGCTGATGATCACCAATCTAATCAACAGTGCTAATAGTGGCTGAAACAGCCAGGTGAACCGTTGCGTGGATCGGCATTCTCGTTCTATAAAGGATTATCATATATATATAAATATATATTCCTTTGCCACCACAGTGCCAGTGCCCAGACTTTCCACAGTACCAAGAAATCTACTATCTAGACATGGACAAGCTAGAAAAGGTACCAGTCGTCAAGGAGACAAACGCTTCGGACCTCGAGTCCTCCAGCGTTGACGAGAATAACGAGGAATGGCATATTTTCAAGGACCCAGTGGTGGCTGCACACTATGCTGAGCTCTACGAGAGGACCAAGTATGAGTGTCGTTTCCACGTCGACCCCGACTTCACCTGGACCAAGGAGGAAGAAAGACGGGTGTTGTGGAAAAACGAGTACTACGTCACTTTCTGGGCATTCATCATGTTCACCGCATTGAATTTTGACAGAAACAACATGCAGCAGGCGTTGTCGGACAACTTTCTTGCCGACCTTGGTTTGAACACCAATCAGCTCAACATTGGAAACACCATCAACTTAGTGTGCTTCTTGGTGGCCGAGTTGCCCTCGCAGTTGATCTCTAAGAAGATCGGGGCGGACGTCTGGATTCCTACCCAGATGGTGTTGTGGAGTGCGGTTTCTATGTGTCAAGCAGGGATTAAAAATGCACCAGGATTTTACATCACAAGAGGGTTGTTAGGAGCATTGCAGGGTGGTTTTATCTGTGATGTGGGGCTTTGGATTTCTTACTTCTACACCAACTCCGAGTTCCCGCTCCGGTTGTCTTTGTTCTACATTTCGAACCAGCTGTCGACGATTTTCTCCAGTTTATTGGCTTTTGCTATCTTGAAAATCAAGACTGGAGCCATTACTCAAAGTTGGAGGTGGTTATTTTTGCTTGAGGGTTTATTTACCCTTTTGGTGGGGATTTTTGCCTACTTCAAGATGCCTGCTTCCGCAGTGCAAACCAAGGCTTGGTACAGGCCCAAAGGCTGGTACACCGAGAGGGAAGAGAAGATTGTTGTCAACAGAGTGGTGAGAGACGACCCCACTAAGGGTGATATGAACAACAGACAGCCTGTCGGTCCCAAGGAATTGTTGCACACCTTACTCGACTATGATTTGCTTCCCATCTACATTTTCAGATTATTTGCTGATATTTGTACTGCCCCAGTTGCTACCTATTTACAAATCGTTCTTCGTCATATGGGGTTCAGCACCTTCCAGACCAATGCCTTGACCATCCCTTACAATGTCATTGCGATAATCACCATGATCGGGTTAAGTGTTCTTTCTGAAAGGCTAAAATCATTGGCTTTTGCTCTAGCATTGATCCCAATCTGGATTTTGGCCACGTTAATTCCGTTGAGGTTCTGGGGCGACGCCCAGAAGAATATATGGGGAACTTGGGGGTTATTGACGGTTCTATTGGGGCATGCTCCAAGTTGGCCTTTGACAATCAGTTGGTGTTCTTACAACTCCAATGGTGTCAGAACTCGGGCTGTTTCTGCAGCAGTGGTCAATATGTTTTCCCAGGCTGCTGCCATCATCGGGTCAAATATATATCGAAAGGACGATGCTCCTCTATACAAGAGGGGCAACCAGGTGTTGATCGGTATTACATTTGCTACTTTAGCAGTTGCAATCTTGAGCAGATTTTACTATCAGTTTAGAAACAAACAGAAGGAAGCACAGTGGAGCGCTTTGACTCCCGAGGAGCAGGAGAACTACGTGCATGCTTCCACTGTTCAGGGTAACAAGAGATTAGATTTTAGATTCCGCTACTAGCCATATCTGGTTATATGACTTTAGTGATTATTATAAGGTATTTAAAGATAGTAGATGTAACGAATTAAAGAGGGAATTTCGAGGTTGATACGATTATGAAGATTTGGTGATACTAAGACGTAGAATCCCAATTTTACTACAGTCTGTAGCATGCGGGAATGCTACGCTAAATGATAGACCAAACTCTGTCCTGGCCGCATCGGGTTTACACAGTTTCGCTTCATTTCTATTATTGACCATTCGTTCTAGGCTATAGTACATTTTTTAGAATTGCTCACCGTTGTATGGAGGCGAGCTGGCTCAATTTGCGATAGCAGAGTATCTTATTAGTCGAGCATTTTAGGAGTAGCTAGCCCTAGAAGGCGGCTTCATCGTCACCTCCAGCATCTCCCACATCATCGTCTCCGTCATCGAAGTACTTCTCTGCGTTATAGTCATCGTCGTCATCTTCGTCGAAGTCTTCGTCCATATCCTCTTCCAAGTCCTCTTCGTTTTCATCCTTATTTTCATCACCGTTGTCCAACTCTTCTGCCAAGTTCCTCAACTTCTCCAACATGGATTTGGCTTGTTCATCTTCTGTTTCTTCAGGGTTGTTCAAGTTGAACTCCCTCAAACCACCGTTGGACTTGAATGTAGACAACGCCAACAACTTCTTCTTCTGCTTGGAGACTCCCATTACCGAATACAACTCTTCAGGGAACACCTCAAGCTGGTAAGGGTGCTCCTCTATGGTTCTGCCGATTTTTTTCACCTTCTTGTACTTGTCGGAATATCTTTCTATCCCATCGGGAGCGGTGGCTTTCTGGACCACTTTGGTCTTATCATCTGTGTTGGCGGCGTCGTAAATGGTTCCAGTGTAAAACGAGCCGTCAGCCATCAATTTGGCGAATGCTATCGCTTGTTTGGCCTCGCTCTCCTCTTCCTGGTTCAAGGGCCCATTGACGGGCAAGATAATCTGGGCCTTTTCTGTCTCGTGGTTCGAGGACAACACATCGCTGTAATCCAACCCAAACGGCAAAAGTGCTCTGCCAGAGCCTCTACCCCGAAATGACATCGTTGATGAGTAGACGTATGGCCATCTCGTTTTTATGGCTGAGGAAGTGCGACATCGAGATCAATGTCGCGGTGTCTGTACTACGATAAGGCTGTTACGGAAAGGATCGCCTAAAGTATTAAGGAGTCAAATAGAGAGGGTGTAAGGGTGAAAACACAATCTGTGATTGAAGGTCATTTTGGACTGGCTTGGTCGGACCAAAATCTATTTGGTTCAAGGAGGTCTGGCTAGTGAGAGTCGCAGTGAGGTGGATTATCACTACTGGGACAAGCGCGCTGGCTAGGGAAGTCTCGCTAATGCTAGCGAGAGTTGCAGTAGGTACCGTACAAGATTGAATACGCCATGGAACGAGCTACGACCACCAGAGTTCCCCCAACCCTTTCGAGGCAGTATTCGGTGTCGCTGGAAGCCTTTCTATGCTCGCGAGAGTTGCAGTACGACGTTACCAGATTGCCTAAGCCATGAGTGAGTACAGTAGCTGGGATTTGTCCCTACCTGGCTTAGTGCTAGTTAATCCACTGGCAGCCACTACAACTGCGTCCGTGTCTCGCCATTTCCTTGTAATTTCCAGGGACATCTTCCACCCTTGATGCCAGCACCTTGTTGAATTCATGGCCACCAGTGTCTACTGCCACTGCCACTGCCTCTTCCCCACCACCCCTCCCTTGTGCGTCCTCGCATGCGCCCTGTCATGACGCTTTCTGCGCCTCTCCAGTGACACCAGCATAAAAACGTCTGTCAATGCAGTGAACATGCAGACACCACACCAAATATTCACTCTTCCTGCCCACATCCACTCGTCCTCTGGACCCAACTACCAAGACTCCCTTGCCATTCCCAAACCATCCAAAACGTAAATAGCTGCGAGCTGGAACGCGCACGTGACCCATATCCTCGCCTAAACAAAACCCTGATGACACTCATAGCCCTGGTTCTCGAACGGCGTGATAAGAACAGCTCCAGCACTCGTTACCCACAAATACCTCCCGTACCTACCGACATCAGCTGCTCAACAATGTCTATCGTGATCGAGCCGCAGGAGTACGGTCCTCCAGAGTCCGCAGATGGAACTCTCATCATCGTGATCTGCAGAGCCAAACACCTCCCCAACAGACGAAAGCTCGATAAGCAGAGCCCCTACGTGACAGTGCGGCTCGGGACCACCGCCCAGAAGACGCTGTCGCATTTCAGGGCAGGCCAGACCCCCGAATGGACCCACGAAATGAGGTTCACACTCACCAGAGACCGCAAGCCATTGCTCAAGTTGGACGTGTTAGACGAAACCAAGCATGATCCCACCCCCATTGGAAACGTCGAAATCGACTGCTCGGTCATCTTCTCGACCCCCGACCACCATCGCGACGGAAAGTACATCTACGACAAGTGGTACGACTTGACATTCAACGGAAGAAGAGCAGGCATGATCTACTTGGAGATGACGTTCTATCCCAGTGCTCCCGTGCTCCCTCCCAAGGTGCCTCACCAGCAATCACAGGAATACACCGCATACTACGACTCTGGGGCCTCCAGAAGCCCCAGTCCCACCAAGAACACCACCAGAACCATCACCGAAGAGGTGTTTGTAAATTCCCAAAACTCGGAGAAAAGATCATCGCTCTTCAAATTTCTGGGTGGAAGTGCCACCACCACTGATACCACCCCGTTCTCCAGCAGCCATGGGTCTGCAGAAGAAGAGCCCCAGGTTTTTGTCACCCTGCACCAAGAGGAGCAAAAGGGTGCAAAAAAGTATGCCACCAAATTCAACAAGCTTAAGAATAAATTTCTGTCGAAGGAACCTATCACAAATTTGTGGCAGTCGCCCCATTCAGGCACTTCTCCAGGCAAGAAGACCAACCTCAGCCCTAAGCACAGGCTGACATCCCCAATTAGCCAATACGACATAGACAACTTGGACCAGCTCCAAAGAGACATCTCCAAGTCGCAGTATGAGCTTGACTACCACCTCCAGGAGCCGGAGTATGACCCCACGCCTCTTCCTCCAGTCCCACCACCCCATTCGGCACCGGCCCCACCACCCCATTTCATCAAGTCCTCGCCATCGTCCAACATTAATATGTACAAGGACGTGCCGTTACCTCCACCTCCAAAAAGCGGTTCCACGTCCAGAAAACCTCCGGAAGATTTGTACCAAAAATTCACCAAGTTGCATATGGACCCTCCAGCCCCCCCACCCAAAACCACGGCTATCCCGTTCTCTGCTGACAGCATTGGCTTGGATGACGACGATAGCAATCCAGTGCCCACAGAGGTGTACATGATGGGCAAGCCGGCCAAATCGTTGACCACGGGATCCACTGACGAGGGCTACAAGCTCAACCCCAACGAAATTGACCCCCGGTTCTATGCCCCAACTCCTAGTGAACACCTCAATTCCACCCTCAGGCTCCAGTCCGGAAAGAACCTTACCCGGGAAGAGTTGGAGACCGATTTGAGAACCTCCAGAACTGGGTACTTGGGCAATGGTAAGTTCTCTCCCAGTGTGTTTGAGAGAGCAGTTCAGAACAACGACTGCGACAGTGACGTGGTGGATGACGACTACTACAATGGCCAAAGCCAGTACAAGCCGCGAGTGCCCCCCAAGGTGCCCCAGGGCTTGACTGAGGTGGAGTACTACGTGTTGGAGAAGGAGAAGTATTTGCAAGATCTTCAGGGAAGGAGGCTATGAGAAGTAATTACTAGAATAAGGTTATGAGAAGTGAGATTTCTCAGCTGATTTGGGAGAAGAGACCCTGATAATTAGGAGAAACGACGAAAACACAAAAGGGCAAAATAGTTATTACGGACATCATGCTTTAATTAACGGTAATAGAAATAATACTTTGTAAGGTATATTGATTGGATAGCACCACTACTTTGCAGATTTCGGCTAGCTAAGGTTCTCGAAGACTCCCTTGTACCTTCACTTAAATCAGGTTACACGACGCATAGCTCAAGGCTCGTATTTTGGTTCTGGACTCCTCACAGGTCAAGGCTCGCATCTTGAGTCTGGTCTCACAAAAATGTATGGACAACGCTTCCATCTCTTTCACCACTGGCTACAAGTATAACACCTGCAACCACGCTCGTTATCAGTTTGTTATATAGATTGGTGTACTATTATTATTTTTCACGGTTTAGTTGTAGGTAAATTTTGCACGTCTTTTTTGGTTAGTGACCCGTGCTTCATGCCGATTGTGATCCAGGCACAGCCATATGCACGGGCTAAACGCACCGCCAGCACTGCCTGGTTGCAAAAGTATATAGTAGGGGCATCATCAGTGGGCTTGAAAATTCTGACTTGCCCTTTGTACACTCTAAATTCATTTCATGGTGATGATTTCATCTTTGGCTAATCTAAAGAGCATCTTTAAATTGGTTTTAGTTCGCGAGGTTGCAACTATTTAATATTCAGAATACCAGGCTAATTGGAACAGACAAGCAACAGATGAATGAAATGAAGACCGGAAAGCTGAATCAATATGAAACGCCAATGGTGCACGAGAAGAGACCACTGATTTTGAAATTCAATCGTAGGAAAACGACTTCTGGGTAATCACAACTAGAACCTATCTAGACTCAAGTTTATCTTTCACATCACAGCAGAAACCGACTACATTGCTAGGCCGCCAGCCAACTTTCATTAGAAGAAACCGATTGCTTCCAGTCATTTATTAACTTCAAGGGAGTAAGTTGGAATTTCCTTTGAGTTGAGAGAAATATAGTAAAAAGTATGAGTAATATCACGGAGAAGGGAATAGTGGAAGATGATTTTAACCAAGGAAACTCCAAAATAAAGCAACGTATAAACAGAAAGCAAAAATTGATAAAAAGATAGAGATAGTGTTACACAATAGAGGAATGAGAGTATCAGGGTATAGTAATATGTGGGCGTAAAAAAACCAGGTGAAGTGATAGCAATAGTGAAAACTTGGTCAACAGGTAGAACGACTGATAACATCACACACAATGTGGAGCCACAACAGGAATCATCAAAAAGTCAAACAATAAATAGTCATGATAACAGAAGGAAACTGGTCGTAAGGCGTAAAATTGTTTGATTGGAATAATGGAAAAACAAAGTAAACATCATACCATCACCATTAAGAATAAAACACACATATCATTGACTCTCAAGAAATAGGTTCAGGCTTAGATCAAAGCAGCGGCAATGGCACCAAGCATACCCAAGGTGACACCGGCAGCAGCCTCAGCACCAAAGCCAGCGGCAGCGTTAGAGGAGGATGACGAAGCACGTCTGGTGGCCGAGGATTGGGCAGCGGAGGATTCCGAGTTTCTTCTGCCCGAGGAGGAGGATGAGGAGGAGGAGGCTCTTTGGGAGGTGATGGTGGTGGAGTTGCGGGTGTTGGCGCGAGTGCTGGAGCTGGTGGTGTTGGTCCAGGAGGTGGTGTTAGACCAGGTGGTGGAGTTGGTGGAGTTGGAAGTGGCAACCGCAATCACACCGTTAAAACCAGTCAAACTTGGGGCCTTGGTGGTCTTGGCAGCAGCGGCAGCGGCAGCAGAAGCAGCAGAGGCAGAAGCAGCACTTGCGACAGCAGCAACAGAGGCAGCAGAAGCAGTGGAGGCGGCGTAGGCCAAAGCAGCAGCCACGGAGGCAGCAGAGGCAGCAGAAACGCTGGACTGGGAGGCAGCAGAAGCGGCAGCAGACTTGGCAGCGTCAACAGAAGCAACAGAAGCAACGGAAGCAGCAGACTGGGCAGACTGGGCAGACTGGGCAGAGGCTGCTGACTGGGCAGAGGCAGCGGACTGGGCAGAGGCCTCAGAGGCAGAAGAAGCCTCGAGAGCAGCCACGGAAGCAGCAGAAATGCTGCTGGACTCCTGAGGGGTCAACAACGTCTTGGTGACGGTGATGGTGGAGACGAGGGTGGTGTCGGCATCAGCGGAAACAACGCCAGCTAAGGCCAAGATGGCGGCAGGGGCTAAGGTCTTGAACAACATTGGAGAACGATGGTGGTGGTGGTAAACAAACGAAAGACGGGGGGTGGGAGGAAGTACGACACTAATTAACGAGTATGGATTGCGCGTGAAGGCAACGAAAGGAAAGACTAGGGTAAGTGGTGTCGCTAGAAGAATGTTTTAGGATCGAGGTCTTGTTTTCTAGTGGAGATAAATCCGGCTAATGGGTCAGGGAATGGCTGCCAGGCAAGCGGTTGGCGCACGACTGCGGTGTCTGTGGGTGCTGCAGCCTGTGCATGAAAACGGCGTGAGCGAGGTGGCGGGCGCATGGCACTGATACGGCAGTGACAGGCTGGCAGAGGACGTGGGACTAGAGGGACTAGGTGGATGGCCGGGTGTGCTGGGCCTCGTCGGGCCCGTCTTCCAGCGATGTGTCAACGAGAACCACGTCGTTGAGAACCAGTCATGGGGAGCCAGGGGTGGGGATCTGGCCTGCTATTGTCTCGTGTTGACGATTCCCAGTTGGGGTGGTTTCGTAGACAGGACAGCTGCATGCATCGCGGTTGCGAGCGACACTACCGATGCGATGAATCGTCTATTGCCCAATGCGGTAGGACACCTTCCCGATGCGGCAGAAAATAAACATATGCCATGTTCGCGGCCTAATCTGCCTGTCCAATATACGAATCTGGCTGGGCCAGCTGCCCTGCTCTGAAGGGCTCCCCAAACCCAAGACACCGTTGGCGGCGCCAGAACGCCTCCTCTGCCTCGCCACCGCCAGATCACCTCAACATTCCGTGTCTCGCCATCCAGCCAAACTGTGGAGTATCGCATGGCAATCGCGGTCACAATCCGCTGCGCGACCCATTGTCGCAGACACAATTGTCGTGCCCAGTCGCGACATCGCGTCAACCTCTACACCACCACTACATGTAGACATATATTTTACAGAAAGGCCAGTCGGATGCTATCCCGAGCCAGCAGACGCAAACGCCTCTGCATGCCAGGAAATTCTCCGTACACGCCAGTACGGACCCATCGGCAATCAAGGATGTTTGAGGCCCAATCCGGGGAATGGAGGGCAGACGCCTGATAGCGCCCCGTCACATTCTGTTCTGGAATGGCTCAGAATGGCCCAGCGAGAGCTGATTTTAATTGGATTGGGGCGCCCAGCCTGATTATATTGCTGGGAGGTCTAGCCAAGCCGCACTGAATCCATTGAGGCCCTGCTACCCAACTATTATAGTACAGATATTATACTTAGATATTGGCTTGGTAGGTCCGAGTAGCTCGAGGATTGTGGCAGGGACGATGTATTGGCTTACCAGCTGAATAGCACTGATTATAGTATTACTTAGGCACTGGCGAGTAGCACTCATATGGTTGTGGATGAATGTGATGCTTTTGCTTGAGAGGAGTCTCACCAGAGTAGCACTGATTTTATTGATTATTGCTTGGAGAAACCCGAGTAGCACAAGTAATAGATGGCTGGAGCTTATACTTCGATATTGGCTACTGTGGCAAGTTCCAGCTGAAGTACCACTGCATTGGATAGTGCTAGGATTGGAGGCCTCGAGTAGCACTCCAACAGCATTCCTAAGTCAGAGTACCATCCAGATAGTCTAAGCCGCAGTAGCATCCAAGTATAGTACAGATACATGCCATTTTGGTCTTTGGCTTGGGCCAGTCGTCTAGCACGGATACGTGGCTTAGGCCTCTGGGTAGCATTCCAAATTGTGGTATGGATGGATGTTACACCATTATCTGGCGAGCCGAGCATGGTGCAGTGTTGTACCAAAGAGGATATTATACTTGTTTGGCTTGGGAGAGCTGGTGCTATGGTATGGATGCATTTATACTTGGAAATTGCGTGGAAGACCAGGAGCAGTACTGAATGTATCGTCGCCCAGGGAGTAGCATCCAAGTATTGAAGTATGGTTGCAATACACTTGGGATTTTGGATGCGGCCAGCCTCGAGCACTAAAAGTTAATAAATATGATACTTGGATATTTCCCTCACCACGCCTGGAAATATCATCGATATTTCCTTGGACTGACTGAATTACTGATTTTGATCGATAATTCACTGATAAGGCCATTTTCCTGATTAAACCTGGACTCAACCCTCAGTTCTTGTTCAACTCGTCGATCTCTTCCATCTCCTGCGCAGTCAAGTCCACCGTGTGGATGTTGCGTTCGCCACGGTCCTTTTCCCCGTCATAGAACTCGTTTTCGGGCTCCACAAGCTTGTCTTTGGCGTACTGAGAGCCTCCCTGGGTATCCATGGCCTCGGCAGTGTCCTCATCACGGTCGTAGAACATGTCTTCCGCATCCGCAGGCACCTCATTCATCTGCACCGATGGTGCATGCTTGGTGTGGTCCAAGTTGGTCAATACCGCCAGCAACACCTTGTCCAAGTACTCCCTGGAGTTGGCATTGGTCATGTTGGAGGCACGCACGTCCAACTCGTAGGTAGGGGCGTAGTACTCGTAGTAGCTGTTGTAAGGAATCTCGGACTCCAACACCACGTTGTTCAACAACCCCGTCTCGTAGGCCCACGTCCGGGCCACGTTACGGATGGTGTAGCCTCCACCGCCCAAAACCATCATTGGCAATCCGAACGACTTGACAAACTGCACACAGTTGGCGTGCCCCCTCATCGAGAGGTTGAAGGGCCCCAAACGGTCGCCACTCAACGAGTCGCCCCCACACTGCAACACGATGGCAGACGGCTGGTACCACTCGACGATAGCACGGATGATGGGCTCGAAGATCGACTTATACAGCACGTCGTCAATACCGTCCCGCAACGGCACGTTAACGGAGTGGTACTTGCCCTTGCCCAAACCAATATCGTTCAAGTTGCCTGTGCCAGGAAAGAACTCGCCAAACTTGTGGAACGACGCTGTCATCACCCTGTCATTGGTGTAGAATGCCTCCTCCACACCATCGCCGTGGTGCACGTCCGTGTCAATGTAGAGCACCCGCGGATGGACTCGCAAGAGCTCAATGATTCCGAGAACGATGTCGTTCATGTAGCAGAACCCCAGCGCCTCCAGCTTTTTGGCGTGGTGAAGACCACCGGCGTAGTTAATTGCGATGTCACACACTCCACGATTCAAGCGGGCAGCGCCTTCCATCGACCCTCCACACGAAATCTGGCAGAACTCGTATAATCCATCAAAAACAGGACAGTCGTCTCCTACGTTGAACACCGTCTGCTCGCGCTCAAACAAGGCAAGGTTGTCGGGAGTGACTCGCGAGATGAAGTCCACGTACTCGTCGGTGTGGAACTGGGTGAGTTCGTCCTTGGCGGCTGGCTGGGCTCGGTAGATCTCCATTTTCTTGTAGAGCTCGTAGTTCATGATGAGTGAGTGTGTCATCCGGATCCGATGCGGCTTCATGCAGTGGCCAGTGCCGTAGAAGTAGTTTCCCACGTCCTGGTCGTAGAAGTACGCCACCCGCTGCTTGGCAGGCAGCACTTTGAATTCGTCAAACGGGAGCTCGACATACATGATGGTGGATTATTTGCATCTGGAAAAGTCGCAAAAAGGGAGGGGCTGGAAAGTGCACGAGGAGTGCATAGGAGGATAAGCACTTTAGTCAAGGGAGAATTAGTCTTTGTACGGCAAGGTATATTGATCAAGTTTATGGAGCCAGTAAAACGTCGTGGGTGATTTCGTTATTTTAGGTATATTTATTGATCTAAAAAGCCAGTAATTCTGTTTAATTTATGAATTGCAAGTGTATATTTGTTGATCATGTTTACGGTGCAGACGTTAGCAGAGCTAATTTTCGGATCTATTGATCCTCGACGACTTCCAGAAGTTGGAAATCTGCGTAATTGACTCTAACTCAAGCTATTCATCTTTGCTTTATGGCTTTCTGGAGTAAATCCGGGCAATTTACCATGTTTCGCATGTCTTGCAGGATTCAACAAATATGCGTAATTTATGACTTCTTATTCAGCTGGCATTTGATACTTGATGGCTTGTTGAGATTGGCAACTATTTACACTTGTGGAACAATCTCTTCTCTTGCTTAAATTTGGAATTGTTTCCCAAATTTTACCCTAGTTGGATTTAGATTTCACCATGGCTCGTTCTGTAGCTGGTACCAGAGGGCCTGAATCAAAGCAAAGAGTCTTCACTGCACTACCATTTCCTATACTAACCAAAGCTTTTAAGGTTAAAATTCACTTCCTTTGGTTATAGCAGATCTAGCAGTTTGATATACACTAATTGAAGATGTTTACAAATTACTGTAATTGATTGTGGTTTTTTGCTGTGTCAAATATATGCGGTTATTTATGAACTATTTTCATGATCTTCCCACCCTGGGAATTCTCCATATGTGATTGAATACCGCTCCAAGTCACCTTATTTTTTGGCATATGGATCACCTTCGGTGGGCAAGAATCTTTATAAGTTCCCTTGCTAACATCACATCAAAAACTGCGTTCATTTAATTATCGTTTATTTCAACACCAAGGTTGGAAGCAAACTCTCGAGCCTTTCTATACTTTTGATTTTGACCTTGCAGTTCCCCTATATCTCAGCTCGGTAGTCCAATGTCAAGTTGTGAACATATCCATCAGTCTTCTCTTCGTTTTATTGAATTCTTCCAATCTTCGCAGCATAGGGCTTCCAACATTTGGGTGCAACAAAAGATGTAAATTAGGTGCGCCTTCAAGTTCTTTGTGACAAGCTCGACTGATTTTCCACGCTATAGATTGCCCAGAATACCACATTCAGTGTCTCTTCTCGCTACCCAAATTCCCATATCGATGTAAATTATCATTTTCCAGCCTATTTTGCTGAACCAATGTTCACTCCAATAGTCTACAATTACGAAAGCTCCTTCCAGACATAAATTCACTAAACACTAGCAACAGATCACCGTCTCCCCACCCATTCTCCCTGGAACCCCCCTTTCTAGCTCAATTGAAAGAATTTCACCCACTTACTCCACCTTGTCAATGCGACCCGTTTTCACGTCATAGATATATCCTGTCACAGGCACATCCAACACTAACGGACTCTTTCTGAAAAATTCGACATCTTCCCGCACGCTCTCCTCCAAGTCCTTGAATGGCAAAAACGCAACATGGTCCACCGAATGGCCTGTTTGCTCCTTGACAATTCCGCGAAGATCGGTGTCTGAAAATGTAAGCATTCCGCAGTCAGTGTGGTGAACCACCACAATTTCTTTGGTACCAAGGAGCCGTTGCAGGATTATCACACTTCTCAACGCATCCGAAGATCTGCCTCCCGCGTTGCGGATCACATGGGCGTCTCCTTCCGACAATCCCAAAGCTGCTGCTGGGTCTATTCTCGCATCCATACACACAACCACCGCAACTTTTCTGGCCGGTGGGAGAGCAAGATCGCCCTTGGAAAAAGTTGAAGAGTAAGTGGAGTTGGCAGTTTCAAATTCGGTAGCTGCAGTCATGTTTGGAGGCTCCAGACTGGCTGTTTTCGGGCTTAAATACTTCCATGAGCCATAGTTTGGGGTGGGTACTGCAGACAATAATTAATCCCAGACAGAAGCTGCCGTTAGGCTGTTTTTAGGCAGATGAACGGCTGGTATCTAACACCGATGAGATCCTTGTACTGTCCATCCCCAGACCAGGAATGTCAGTCTCAGCCATAGACTACTCTAACCTCTAGGGTGAATCTTCGTATACCATCCAATTACCCCTGAATTCGTCATATCAGGCGCCGCATCCCCACATACACCGTAGCAATTGTGAGCGGGCCAGATGCCTATAATGTCTCTAGAACGTCTCTAGAACAATTTAGTGGGTAGGCGAGGTACCAAGAGTGGTGCAGACGGTGGGAATCTGTGGTTTGAGTATTGGAGTAGCACTCCACTCTAGGTCTAGAACGGAATGTGTAGCCACCATGAATATTCCAAACCGTCTCCTATTTTTAATACCAGAAACTGCCCAGCACACCAAGAAGATTGTAGCAATATCTTCTACAAGATGTGTGCCGAAGTAACAGATACATCTGGTTTGCCAATAGCTGGTGTTCTGCAAATTATATAACAGTATGTACGCTGGTTCTATTATACATAGCTATTGGTCAAAAGCTCAATAAGTGCGCAAATATGGAGGTTTATTGGATTATTTGCTATTTAGTTACCCATTATGCTGAGTACCTCTTTCTCCGTGATGTGTGAAATTGTAGCCTTCTTGTAAGATTCCGGGCTCTTGACGCACTTGCTGTTCCAAATTGTATTTTTCGCAACTAGAATTGGCCCAGTTAAGTATTAGTGGGTCAAATGTGAATGGTAAGCACCAAGGGCCAAAAAATTCACATACGGCCCAAACTTAGCACAGTCACGGTGCAGAAGTGTGTCGTTTTATTACGATTATGGCGATGTTGGGCCATTTTAATCAATAACTCTACCGTTCCTGTTCATGGTCCAAGTAGTTAATCCTCCAATGGGGACGTGCCACCATTGTCAGTTCTACGGCGGTTCGTCGATGAAATTTTTGTGAAGATTCTTATCTATATATGGCTATTGTATACCTCATGCTTGTATTAGGAAAATTTAGTTGTTCTGGTCCACCCCTTCGATAATCGACAAGAAATCCAATTTAGCGGAGCCAACGTTGGGACTATCCCTCTTCAAAAAGTCCACGTACTTCGACACCGCCTCGCATACCTTCTTTTGTGGAAGCTTCGAGATGTGCTTCCAGAAATGCTTGCCCGACAATGCGTCGCAGGCAAGCCATTTCGAGATCGAGTGGAACTTGAGCTCCCAGTCAGTCTCGCCGAAGCAGGGGTACCTTCCAGGTAGACCGAGGCTTCTTCTAGTGTATATTTGATCACTAGTTTTGGTTTTCTTCTGGGCGTTGATAGCAGCATTGATTTTAGGATTGTGGACGTGCAAAAACATCACACTGGGGATTCTGGCCTTGTCGCCTCTGTCGGATTTGTAGTTGGAAAACAACTCTCGCGTGTAGTCGTTGTCCTGGTAAGGCCACAACCGGGAGTCTAAGCCCTTGGAGAACAACCAGTCCCGCCAGTCATCAAAGAAGTCCTCGGTTTCCTGAGGGCTGTACTGGACAATCGTGGATTCCTGGAAGTTATCTTCGCCGTCCTGGTAGCCTGCGAGCCAGGCATCCCTGGTAACAAGGTAGTAGGGCTCGTTCATCACATGGAGAGCAGGAATGAACGTTTCCCGGTCGCCCTCGCCAAACACTCCTTGGAAGAGGAGCTCGTAGTAGTGCGAGTAGCCGTAGACATTGTAGTATAATGCAAGGAGAAAACTGCGGTAGTGGGCCCGTTTGGAGAACACCATCTGGCCAGTTTCGGCTCCCATGGCAGGAGGAGCGCCTTCCAAGTCGTGCAACAGAATGTCGGTGTCCCTGTTGCGCTGGATGTAGTCGGTGTAGCTGTCACTGTTCTGGAGGCCCTGGCGACGATTGGGCTCACCAAGTTTAAATCTGGCAATATCGTAGTACGAAGGCGACGTGGCCTTGTGCCAGAGGTCAGGCCACAAAATGAACTTGTTCTTGAGGTACACCTCGGACTCGAGCAATTTGTCCACGTTCTGGATGGGAAAATTGTCAGCGTCCAATGCGATGATATTGTCGAACGACGACACCAAAAGGCCCAAGATCTTCAACTGGAACCGCTTGAGCTTGAGCTTTTTCAACAACGACGCTCCAATGGCAGACTCCACCACCACACAGCTGCCGTTCAACCGTGGCAACAACGTCTCGCAGATATGGTCGTCGTACTCCGAGTGGTAGGCGAGCACTACCTCCACTGGCAATACCGAGCCCATCTCACGAATCTGAGCCACCACTGTCAAAGCTCCCATGAGGTAAGCGCCTCCACCGTTGATGACGATACCGTCTCCATGCACGAACGACTTGGGAGGCTCAGGCAAGTCCCGCAACGCTCGCACCAAGTTGTCGTGCTTCTTCTGGAGCTCGTGGAACGAGGATTCGGGAAGAGTCTTACCCAAGCTGGTGATATACGATTTAGAGAAGCAGGGACTGCCCACGTAGTTGTAGGAGTAGCCGAAGATGGAGTCAACCCTGTCGACAGCCGGGCACTGGGGAGCGTTGTGCAAGATGAGGTGCTCGAGGATGTCGTCGTAGTAAGCCTTTTTCGAGTACCGATGGTTCAATGCCGATTCCACTTTCTGGACCAACTCTGGCAGCTCTGCCACCTGGGGGTCCTGCGACACCTCGCGCACGATCTCATTGACCAACTGTTCGTGGTTGTGAGAGGCGTAGTCAGCCTTGATGGCTTCCTGTAAGTGGACATGGTCTTCGATGGACCTGAAAAGTTTTCTGGTGTAGTAGGTCTCGATCTGCGACTGGATGTACTCAATGGGCTCGGGAGACGAGGCCACCAGGTCGGGGTTGATGTTATTAAGAATATGGCGGGTGATAGCCTCGTGGCTGATCGGGGAGGGAGTCCTGTGGGTCAACACCACGGCGATGCCGCAAACAAGAAGCACCACCACGGCGATGAGACTGCGATCTCGGGCAAATTTCCGGAGAGGGCTCATGTCGAACGAGCCTTGGTTGGAGCAGGAAGTGTCGAAGGGTGTCGGAGACTGTCAAATAGTGTTGGGACGCTCGACAGACCACAATCCAGGGTGTGCCAAAATTAGATCCGATGAAGGATGGAAAGCTGGATCGGCGCTATTCTGGCGAGGTGCATGCAGCTGCAGCAGGACACTAGCCGGAAATGGATTACGATACGGCTCGAATCACACCAGGTAGGAGGCAAAAGGAGTGAAAAGACTCCAGCGCATGCCTGCTCTTTAAGTGACGATTTCGCCCAGGGTCGGCTGCTAGTGCTCGGAGTCTAAGTGCAACGTGGTGCCCAGTGCTGCCTTGCATATGCACCAGTGCATATTTGGCATCTGGAAATACGCAGACTTTCTGCAAACCGCCAACAGACATCAAGATGCGAGAAAGAGAGATAGGGGTCGATAGACAGCATGCGTTCGAAGGTGGGATCGGCACAGTGACTGCGGGTGAAGGGGCTAGTGTCATGCTAGCATGTGTGTTCTCTGGACATGGTTGAGAAAGCATGCACGACTTTCTCGCTTGCCCATGGGCATTGACGTCAGATGCTGCGGCCCCAACCTAAAAGTATGGCGTGGATAGGAGCACGCGGCTAGCTGTGACACGATTGCCAAGCGTGAGATATAAATCAGAACATGCCAACGGTCTGGAGAGATGGGTTCCCACAACTTCCGCAGCATGCATCCCGTGCTTGCTGGTGTCTGCATGAAAAGTGACATCTCCAAGACGGCCACGCTTCGGTAATTTCTACCTTCCACCCTCCGAGCCACCCGAGCCATGATGGTGCGAGCACTGCACCCATCAAGCCGCGCCGTCCCACCCAATGAAATTGCTCATTCCTATCGCCAAGCAGGGGCCATAGATTCGGTTATCTGTACCCTGTCACTTCAAGAATTGTCTTCGCGCCATGCAGACACTCTGCTGTCACTTGCCCACCACTGCACCAGACAGCTGGTGCAATCACACGAGCGAGGGCCCCTGGTACTATTAATCGTGTGGAATACTAGAAGCTTATATTGTAACTCTATTTAGATCCTCCACCATTGACTCTGATTCTGGTTAAAATTGCGATAACATCCTTACTACCATACCGCACTTGTGTTGGACATAAGCCACAGACTGTGGAGTCGGACAGGGGGAATCTGTGGCGGAAAGGGCACATCATCGCAGGCATTTGGCCTGCAGACAAGTGTGAATAATGCAATGGTATCCAGCACTGGCAGGTTGCACTCAGGATGTTTCACACAGTATTGCAGTGATTAATCCTGGGGCACTTCTCAGGCTAGACATCCTTTTTGCCCTCGACCTTATAGATCCCAAACAAGTACGCAAGCCGGGTGATGACCAAATCCACGGCCATGTCAATGGAATCCTTGGCCAAGTTGACCTTGGAGCCGTCGATTTCCTTCCAGCAAACCGCATTTTCAGTGATTGGAATGCCCTGCATCTCGGCCAACAACAACACCTCCACATCAAAAATCCACCTCTCGTTGTGCAAGTTGGGGAAGATCAAGCGGATGGCGTCGTAGTTGAACAATTTGAATCCGCACTGGGTGTCCCTCACACTTCTGACCCCGAAGATGTAAACCAACACATGCAACCCACGCATCAACAAGTTTCTGATGAACGTTCTCTTGACCACAGCATCAGTATTGACCATGTGGGCACGTGAGCCCACCACCACCCCCGGGGCGGTGGTGCCCAACTGGTCAGTCCACCCATCAAGGTCGCTGAACTGGGTGGCTCCGTCAGCATCCACAAATAATCCGTATTCGCCTCGAACATGCAATAAACCGTGGGCCACGGCTCCTCCCTTACCCCTGTTGTGGGCCAAAGTGACCACTCTCATGACGTGGGGAGCTAAACCGTGCTCCACTGCCTTTTGGAGCGCGTAGTCGCCAGTACCGTCGTTGCTGCCGTCGTCCACGATCAACACTTCGTATTGGTTTCTGAACTTGCGCTGCAAAAACGGAAGACTTTCGTCCAACATGGTGCCCAATCTCTTTCTTTCGTTGTAGCACGGGATCACCACACTCAACACGATACCCTCATGGTCTCTCTTGATGCCCGCGTTGGCGGTGGGAGGTAATTCTCCTTCTTCGTCTCCCGTGGTCTTGTACTTCAATTCCGACGCCACTACCCTGCGTGGGGTGTGGGAGAAAATCACCACGGCTCCGTAGACCGTCAAGAGTCCTACAGCTCCTATCACGGAGAGTAAGAGGACTACCTGGGTGACGGATATCATTGGGTGTGTTGTGGAGTGGTTGACGTGTCGGCCACGAATATTTCACTGTGTGTCACGTGAATCTTAGGTAATAATAAGCTGAATATTAGGTAATATCACAGTCTATGGACTCAGCTATTCTTTTATAAATCATACCTATCACTACAGTCTCTGGGGTTCCTCAACACATAATTACCTCCCGTATTTATATCATCTTAGGTGTCTCAGAAATCGTTCAGATGGTTGTAGGCTATTTCGATGGATAGCATATGGGGAAAACCTCTCTTTCGGAACCGCGTTCTTGGACTAATTTCGAGGAGCTAAGTACTGATATAAGTATACTCTATTTTCGTTTGCCAGACTTACATCTTAGTCTTGAAAATGCAGTATCAATTACCTAGTAGTCCTCCAGGTTTGCCCTAGCTACCAGTCCTCTTGTGATACGTACCTTATCGCATAATTTAACACCTCTGTTATCACTAAATAACGGAGATTATCAGTACAGTGATGACTTTTTACAGAACCTTACAGTACCCTAGACCTCTCATAAGGTATTCCTTAATAAATTTAATATCACTGAAAGGTTCAGTATCATAATGAGCCCATGACAACTGCATTCAACTGCCCAGGTTCAGTTTACCCGTCAGGCTCTTCATAAATATAACTTATATAATAGAAATCTTTCCTCTTGACCAATAATATAAAACTACTTGAAGCTCGTGCGCTTTCGTCCACCTCGTCTATTCTGTATCATACATATATTTCTACTGGCCCCGCGATCAGGGCACTGCCAACCGGGTGACTCTGTTGTTCAACACCCGTGCGTTATTCACGTAGATTTCCACCAACTCCTCGTAACGGAACCGGTCGGTGCCCTGGAGCACCTTGTCAATGGCATTGAATACCTCGAGCGTGTCGATTTCCAACTCCACCTCAAAGCTCTTGTCGTAGGAGACGATTTTCTTCCCTGCCAGGTTCTTCGATTCACGCGGAATAAAGACCTGGGTGAGATCGAACCGAGTCACCGTCTGAGCATGGGCCCAGGTGTTTCTCTTCTTGTCCCTGACCAAGTTGGGCTGGCTGCGGGCCACGAGCTGCTCCACCTGGGTGTCTTGGACCGGTATTTCAAGTGCCAACGAAAGCCTCAAGTCATACATCGACGATGGGTTGTGTATAAATAAGTCCAGGATTCTCTGCTTTTCGATCCCAGTATATCTGGGAGGAGTCAAGGTGTTGTCCTTGGATACTCGTACCGATTTGGGCTGTTCGCCAGGTTTGCTGACCTGGAAAAAATTGTCAGTGATATCGGAGTCGAATGTGTTGAACTTCCTCTTGGGTTTATTTTTGCCCGAGGGTTTTTTGAGCTCCTCTTGGTAAGTGTGCTCCAATTCCTGGAAGAGTTTGCTGATCTCTGAGAACGCCTTCTCGTCTACCTGCATGTCGAAGTACACGTCTGAATGGTTTGTGTACACGCACTCGGTGGTGACGTTGAGGTTGATTCTTTTCCCTCTCAGTTTGTCCATAATGGTGCCGAATTTCAACTCCAACTCGACGTACTTACGGTTGTGGTCGGCGATGTCCCTGAAATTGGCAAAAATCCACTCAGCAATGGTTCTGGTCACGGACGGAGGAGGAATTATTCCGGTGATGCTGCACTCCAAGTCCGCACTGGGAGTTGACGTGTAGTCGAACACCCTCTTGTCGCTGAATTTGGTGGCAGATGTGGGGGTAGGGGTGTTTCTGAGCTCTTGCTTAGGGTAGCTATTGTGGTTGTCACGGTGATGGCGTGCTTGGTTGGGTGGGATCCAGGTCTGGGCCCATACTGGGGGGGTCTCGTATCGGGTGGGTTTCGTGCTATTTTTGATCTGTTTCAACCTGGCGAGAGCGTCCTCCTCCTCCTTTTGCTCCTTTTGTTCCTTTTGCTCCCTTTCCTCCTCGTCCTTTATATCTGATATGTCGATGTCTTCGTCCGAAGATTCTTTGTTGGTGATATCAGCAATGGAATTGCGTTTGATCGGTCGAGGCGCCTCCTGCGCAGCCTGACTGGCTCTCGCCACAGGGCTGACTGGCTTGTTGAATCCCTGCGCCTTATCTCTGTTGACGTCGTCGTTTAGGATGTTCACTATCGAGTGTCTGGCAGAAGTCACCAGACTGGTAGGTGACGACTCGACGTGTGGCTGTCTGACAACATCTTCCGATTCGCTGGGAGGCGACTCCTTGTTCAAAATGGACCCGACATTCATGTCGTCTAATCCGGAGTTCTATGGTACAGTGTCGCTGGAGATATTGGGCCGTTTTGGTATACTCCACAACAACGATGGTGGGCGAGGGTGTGCGTGACCCGAATGTATAATGACAGAAAAAGAACTGAAATAAAATTACAGAGATACTGGTTAAATTAGAATAGACTACTAGGTAAAACTGAAAAGAACTACTGGGTGGTATTAGCACAAAGCTACTTCATCTAATTAGATTTCGCTCCGTGAAAATGAAATATTTATTTTGATATTTACTGGGCGCTATCAGCTTGGAGCTGGTAAAACTGAATTAAATTACCGGGCAAGACCAGCATAGCGCTACTAGTTAATCTGGAATAGACTACTGGTAAAAGTAAAATAACCATTGGTAAAATTAGTATAGACTACTGCGCATACCAGTTGAACCATTTAGAGATGGACATCGTAGGTACGATCCGTTGGGGCCAATTCATTGCAGTAGTCTGTGGAGAAGTTGGCTTACTGCGCGAGAGTATTAATGGACTACAGCAGGAGAATGTGCCAGCATACTTAGTGGAATAAATACATAGAGCCTCGAGATCGAGGGCCCAAATCAGCCATGGGTCTGCACTTAAGCGTGGCCCAAGTTCTTGTTCAATCTCTTTTGAACGGCATCGATGAACTCCTCGGTGGTAACGTAGCTAGCTCTGTCGGTCTTGCCTTGGGCCAAGGCCAAGTCCTTGGTCATAATGGAGTCCTTGGAAACAGTCTCAATTGTAGCTCTTTCCAAAGCTTCACCGAAGTCAGCAACTTCTGGAGTGTTATCCAACTTACCTCTCTGGATGATACCTCTGGTCCAGGCGAAAATGGAAGCAATGGAGTTGGTACTGGTCTCCTTACCCTGTTGGTGCTGTCTGTAGTGTCTGGTCACGGTACCGTGGGCAGCTTCAGACTCGAATGCCTTTCCATCAGGGGTCATCAACACGGAGGTCATCAATCCCAACGAGCCAAAACCTTGGGCAACAATGTCAGATTGCACATCACCATCGTAGTTCTTCATGGCAATGATGTAGCCACCAGAAGACTTCAACATCTGGGCCACCATGTCGTCGATCAATCTGTGTTCGTACCAGATACCAGCAGCGTCGAATTCGGCCTTGTACTTGGTGGCATACAAGTTTTCAAAGATGTCCTTGAATCTTCCGTCATACTTCTTCAAAATGGTGTTCTTGGTAGAGGAGAACAAGTTGAGCTTACGCTCCAATGCCAACTTGAACGAGGACTCAGCGAAATCGGTGATGGACTTGTCGGTGTTGTACATACCCAACGCAACACCAGGAGCGTCAAAGTTGTAGACTGGGAAGGTTTGGGCTTCGGATCCGTCATCTGGCTTGAACACAAGCGACAATTGACCTGCCTTTGGAATGACCAAGTCGGTAGCCTTGTATTGGTCACCGAAAGCATGACGACCAATGATGATAGGCTTTTCCCAGGATGGGACGATTCTTGGGATGTTGTCGATAACAATTGGTTCTCTGAACACAGTACCACCGAGAATGTTTCTCAAGGTTCCGTTTGGAGAGAGCCACATTTTCTGAAGACCGAATTCCTTGACTCTTTGCTCATCTGGAGTAATGGTGGCACACTTGACACCAACCTGGTACTTGAGAATGGCATTGGCAGCATCCACAGTGACCTGATCGTCGGTTTGGTCACGGTACTCGATACCCAAATCGTAGTACTTCAAGTCGACGTCAAGGTATGGGAAGATCAACTTGTCTTTGATGAACTGCCATATGATTCTGGTTTGCTCGTCACCGTCCATCTCGACGATGGGGTTCTTAACTGTAATCTTAGCCATGTTTGTAGTGGTAAGTGTTTAGTCCCCAAATCTGGAGCAGGAATCACGTAATATATATACACCCCAATTGCCTAGTCCCGATTTGTAATACCCGGCGAAACTCGGTGCGTGCGTAATTTCTGGGGAAATTGTGTAGGATCCACATCCAGTTTGCACCAATCAGGCAACGAACAAACTGTATGACAGGATGAGGAATGCTCTACCAAGACAGCCATATCTACTTGTCCTCTTTACACCGGTTCTAGTGCCTGATGTGGTGGTGTGCAACCTTGGCTTTTGCGATGACTGTATCACACCCTGAGTATCCCCGCTTATTTTTGTCAACCCCACATCACTCCCGAGCTTCCCCATATCCGCTTACCGAAGAGCGTCTAGGCCCGAATGAAATACGGCACGTTTCATTCAACTAAGCCAGCCATCAGAGCAGTTCCGAGAGTGATTAATGTACACTTGTTTCACTGAGTGTATCATACTAGACCGGTGGATTAGAGTTTGGCTCCACAGACGTCTCCCACGTTAAGATTCTTCGACCTCCAAGCACCATTAAGCCCCAATCGATCGCTGCCCCTTTGAGATATTTTTATGGGTGGTCGGATATAGACTAAGCGCGCGACAAATCCTATTAGAGTATAGCGAGGAATCCGGATGGGTAGCAAATCCCGTTCCGAATGGGCACCATTGAACGAGTTTGGATTGAGCGAAGTTTTTCTCATAATTCACGGCCTCTTGTGACACTTGCTAGTTACTCCGCTACACCGGGACCATAATGACAACACCAATAGGGCTTAAACTATTGGAACACTTGCACAATTCGTGTGGTGCAAATCTAAAAAAAACATGTGCGGGCTTCGTGAATCGGGTAAAATCCTAAAAGCCGTTACCAGGAAATGGTGTTACATCCGAGTGTAATGATAAATGAAATGAGAATAGATGCGATTCGCCAGGTAGATAACACGAGAGCACGTTTTTAGCCCTATTATTGATATGGTTTCGCAGCCACAATCCGAGGAACTGAAACCCACCCAGCATGTGGTTGACACTCAGTCATATCTGCACCCGGTTTGATCCGATCTTCTGCATTATTAGCTGCTAGGTGCGCATACTTCAAAATGTGTTGTGAGGCGATGCGTACTAAATGGACAATGTATAAGGCTCTATTGGTGGAGCTCTAGCCATTAATCATCCATGTATGCACTTTTAAGCCATTTTAGTTTGCAAACAACGTAAGTGTGAATAATAATCACCGTAAACTGTCTCATCTTTTCACTCAAACTGGAGGTGTCGATCTTCCTAGCGCTCTGTAGAAACTCAACATGCTTGCTTGCAATATTCAATTTCGTTAACAATTTAGAATCCGGATTGATGAATTGTGTTCCAACAATTGCCTGTGAGACTCTGGCATTGGCCAAGTAAAGCTCTAATTGGTAACTAAGATAAGATTCATATAAATAATCCATAATCAATTGGAAGTTCTCGTGTGTTGCTAAATCGGTCTTCAACAAAAGCGTTTTCGTTAATTCAATCAAGGCATAATTCAAATTGTCAGAATTAACGAAGAACCCTATGCAAGCCAAGAAGTACTTTTTTATTATTAGTTTCTCCACATCAACTTGGTACGTTCTTATGCTCTGCATCTGATTCGAAAGATAAAACTCGAATTCTTGTCCAATATCGTAATTCAGATCGATAGAGACTTTCATAGCTCTTACTCTTGGCGTTTCTAGCTCCATCTTGGCCAAGGTTAAGTCTATTGGAGAAGCTTCAATTTCACTGCCAATACCAAAGATTTTAATTAAGGCATGATGGTTATCGCGGACTAGATTGTTGATCACTAGGATAAAATGCTCGAATATGGAGAACAGGACGATTTCTTGGGTGATTATTCTCTCCAATACTTCATTCTCTAATATGCTGTCCACTATATTGTGTATTCTGGGGAACTCTCCTAACACCTGAATGAACGCAAACAAACTAGCCAAGTACTGGCAGTTGAGGGATGAGCCGATTATCATGTAGAGGAACTCCGATTCGAACTGCTTGTGCATCACAAGCCTCGATTCCATGGAGCTACTCTGAAGCACCATAAAGTACCATCGTAAATATTTCTTATATTGTTGTACATTGGTAGTCTCGAGATTGTTAGTTTGCAGCCACGGGTTGCCCTGGTCTATGGGCAGTAAGCATTTGAGGCAGCTCTGGGAAAATATACGAATTATTCCTGATTGATGGACCAACCATTCCCTCGAAACTTGAACTAGGTCTGCGGCCTCGACTAGAGTAGTTAAAGCAAAAATTAGATCGTCGCCATTGTCGCCAAAGAGGAGCTTCCTTATATACTCGAGTGGAAGAAAAATCCGTTGATCCGCCCGTGCGAGATTCTCCGTCCGAGCGCTGAACCAATATTTGAGGAGGTCTGGAAACTTCTTGTATATCAGCGTGATTTTACCAAGAAACCGCTTCAAGTGCCACATGTGATATTCTGGTATTTCCTTGTACTCCTTGAATTTGGAGAGGTACTCATCTATGGTCTCACCTACGTTCATTACGGTTTCGTGATCCATTTGGTCAAGTTGTAAGAGTAGGTCAGCCATTTTCTCGAAGAGACGTTGCTGGAGCTGTAAGACAGTGAGACTGACCCCATTGGCCGCGAGGTTGCCCAAGGCATAGAAAAAGCCGCTACTAACCAATCGCACCACCGGATTGTTGGATTCGTTCTCCATAAGTGACATCACCAACTTCAACTGAGCAACTAAGCTCATTTCACAGTCATCTTTGCCCTCCTATTATAGGTTAGTACTTGGTGTTGGCTCCTCTTTGCAATTCCATATGTACTTACCATGACCTTGATCAATTCCGTGATGGCGTTTTCCTCCACCAAAAGGCCAGGACTGGTCGGGGATCTCGGACTATGAAACACATAAAATCCAAAAGGAAGCTGCATGCCTGATCTCTACTAATAATTGCACTGTTTCAGCTCACAAGCTGCCTGATTGGTGTTTATGACAATGTGGTGATGTACGCGCTGAAACGAGTGTGGGAAAATTGCAGCCAAAAGTGAGATTTGAAACGTCCGTCTTTTTGACACTTTGGTATAAAATAAAGAACATCCGGAACTATCCTCTTGATTAGCCCTCACTGCCACATATTCATTTGCTCATTCTGTAGCCATGAACTCTGCATCAAAATTGCCAAACCAATACACCTACAATAAGTTTGGGTCCAGAAACTCCAACCCTCTAAAGACTAGCCGAAGGGAGGCCCTAGAACCTGTGAAGGGGGCAATCTCTAAGAGCTACAGTGCTAACACCCCCACTACTATGGGAAAATTGGATGCTCTTGACTATGCAAACAACTATATCCATACTGGAAAATCGCCCGTGGAATACATCAGAAACATCAATAATCCCATCGAGGGCTACCCCAAATTGACCAGACTTCACAACCTCAAAAAAGAGCAAGTGAAAAAGCATGCAGTTCAACCTTACGGTGCAAGAGTTCCCACCAACAAGATTGTGCCCACTTTAAATAAGTGGATCAATGAATATGGTCTCAAGTTCGACGTTATCATGATCGGAGCCTTGGTGGAGAATCAGTTTATCTTGCCGATTCTACTCAACCTACCTATCCATCAATTGTGTGCTAAACCAGGATTCTTGTTCATCTGGGCTACTACCCACAAGATCCAGGAGCTCACTAAAGTGTTGAACAATGATAATTTCAATAAGAAGTTCAGAAGATCTGAAGAGCTCATATTCTTACCCTTGAACAAAGACTCGCCCTACTATCCTGGGGATGACACATCGTCGCTATTTGAGAAACAGCAGTGGCACTGTTGGATGTGCATCACAGGTACGGTGAGAAGATCCACAGATAATCATTTGATCCACTGTAACGTAGATACAGACTTACAGATTGAATCGCCTCAGTCGCCGAGACGAAATGATGCGGTCCCAGACTCATTGTACAAAATCGCTGAGAACTTCTCGAACTCCAACAGAAGGCTTCACATAATACCATCAAGGATTGGCTACAACTTGGTGCCAAGAATGAGGCCAGGATGGGTCATCATGGGGCCTGATCTGTTGGTGGATAACTTCGATCCAGTTCACTACGAAGAGGAGTTATACGGAAAGTCCTTGGTCAAATACAGCCAGAACAATGGCAAAACGATTACCCAGTTCTTGGTGCAACAGACAGACGAAATAGAGGAGTTGAGACCTAAGAGCCCTGTTTCAAATGTATCTAATAGTTAGTATTAGTTCATGAACTAATTGAATCATCTATTGTGTCAGATATTTGATGAATGTTGGATAAAGGAAGGTTATCAGCATCGTCGAGACTCTGAGTGAGCTGAGTTAGGTTATCATCACAACAATATTATGTTTCAAGGTATAAGTTTACATACAATTTGGTTTGTGGACAATAAGATAAATGGGTAACTTTCTGTACTTTTATACTAAAAATTTTTGGTGTCGCAAAGCCGGGTAACTAGTCGTGCGGTGCCGGGTTGCACAACCCTGAGAGATGATGGAAGCTGGGTCAAGTTGCAAAATGATAGTGGTGAAGGGTCTTGACTCTAAGTGATTAGAATAACTGACTAGATAAGGCAGGGTAATCTATAAATGTGGCAAGTTCATTATTCAGGTCCGTTGCAAAAACAAATTCTGAATATTCGTGTGTAAGGAGAATCACCGTTACAACTGAGTGCTTTGAACACTCTAGCCCGGTGAAGCCGCAAATGTAACATTGAAACTTCGTCTGTGGTCCTATTCCGAGGTTTCTGCATTTTATCAAGGCACTCTCAACAAGACGAATTTTGCTCAGCGAGATTAATGATACGAATGACAAAGTAATTGCATGAGAATAGACCCCAGCGTGTGTAGAGCCCAGTAGCTGGTATGTCTAGAACTGTAAAGTTTAGATAATTGTAGTTCTCCTTGGTGCTACACAATTATTCAAGGTGGATGCCTTCACAGAATTTCCAGACCAGTTACTGAAAAAAGGTCACCTTAGCTGTATTTCCCAGATATATTGCTTGGAATGAACCTATATCATAGCTCAAATGCAGCTGCTACCGTGAAATAGAGCCGTGTTGCATCCAAAAACAAAAACGGGAAATTGTCTATTCTCTCACCCAAAATAGTCGTAGAAATTACAAAAAGTTCCTCAAACATCCTACACGACCAGCTCAACATCCTTACTACCAATACACGTAGTGAACCTAGTTCTAAAGCGAAACAGCACCAAAAATGACATCCTTACTACACCCACATGTACACCTCCAACCTCTCAATCAACGAGAAAAGGTTGCGTGGTCTAGTTGGTTATGGCATCTGCTTAACACGCAGAACGTCCCCAGTTCGATCCTGGGCGGAATCATTTCTTTTTGCCGCCGTTACCTCTCTCCACACTCAGCCTTCAGGGTCGCCCTGGTCCAAACGCGCCCCTCCCATCACACAGCAAGCGTGGTGGGCCGTAGCCGGCCATGTCGTATGACATGCATATGTATGCAATAATACATCCGTTTTAGCCTATTCAACTACTGTCATAGTCGCATTGCACCGCCGCCAAGCACGGCACCCTCGGCTCCATCCCTTGCACCTCCCCTCCGTCTGGCATCCGTCCCTTCCTTGTGGGAGAGTTGTCATCCCTAGCCCTTGCCTGTCTGTATGCAGGCGTGATCTCTAACCTCCTTGCAAACATAGCCAACACACGGTAATTGACGGAGTCAAGCCCCATCCCTTTCTTGTATCGAGCCCATTCTCCAGGCAAAACCACCACACTGTCTGGCACCACGCAACCTGTTCCGCTACGCGCAACCTGCTCCTGCTACGCCAACTTGCTCCTGCTACGCCAACCTGCTCCTGCTACGCCTACTAACCGCCCTCACCAGCGTGTATCATCTCGCCACTCTTCCAGCTTGCGTTTAGTTTTGGGTTCAACCTGACCATTCCAGCCTTTGTCGATTTGTCATTCAGCTTTGTCGTTCAGCTTGGCCTTCAGCTTTCACCATCCAGCGTGTCGTTCAGTCCGACTCCAGCCTTCGACCATCCAGCCCTAACTCCCCATGAGCTTCCCGTTGCTCCACCAGCTCCACCATGAGGTCAAGTCCTCGCTTGACCTCAAGAGCCAGGTGACCTCGTTGATCGCTCTCTTCCTCAAGTACCTCAAGGAGCCCCGCTACCAGTCGCCCTTGACCATCAGCGAGCTCAGCTCGTTGTTCCACTACTTCTACAAGGACTTGAACGCCTTGGTCATCCACGCATACACCCTGTCCAACTCCACCAAGAAGCAGCTCATCGCACTGTCTGCCACCTTCAACCAGAACCCCAAGACTTTCGACTACCTCTTGGCCATCGCCAACTACAGCACCTCGTCCATCAAGTTGCTCAAGCGCTCCGACAACGACGCCTTGTACCAGCTCCGCGTGTTCAACTACTACAAGTTCCTCACCATCTTCGAGACCATCGAGCAGGCCCAACTCACCCTCTACGACTCCACCAACACTGCGGAAGAGTCGCTCTACGACAAGATCTTCCGGTTTGACGAGCGCGACGTCATCTACCAGGAGTTCTTGGAGGAGAAGTTGGACCTTCTCCGCCGCTTGCAGGTTCCGTTCTCCCACTTCATCGAAAGCAACCAGGGCGAATTGATCAACTTCATCGAAAACTTACCCGACCAAGAATTGCACGAGTTGAACGCAACCTTCGCCAAGCTAAAGTCCAATATTACCCCATACTCAAAAATGACCAGCATTGTCGACATGCACAAGAACTTGATCAAGCTCTTGGTCAAAAACGGTTTCAAGAACAATGCATTGAACAATGATGTCTTATTGCCCACCTTAATCTTTCTCATCATCTACAAGTTGGAAAATAAAAACGACCTTTACTTGAACTTCACGTTTATCAAAAATTTCATCAATCTTATAGACCCCTACAAGGTCGAGTTATTCAATGTGAATTTGAGCTCATATGTGCCTGTTGATAGATCCACCAAACCAATGTCTAACAAATATAGACAATGTCATTTATTCGACTTGATTAACCTAAACGAGTCGCAATCACTGCCAGAGGAGCTCGAGCATGAAGTTCCCGAGGATTTCAAATTTTATGATAATGATAAAGACTTAACCCAGTACATCTTGGAAAATTTCTTGAACAATGGTGAGATTAATTACTACTTGACCAACTTCGAAGCCATAATCATGTACTTGTCAGACATTACGATTGACGAGCTCGACACTGGCGAAGAATTGGTGGATGTTGATAAGTCCAATAAATTGTTTCATACCAGTCTACTGAAATTGGTTGAGGAAGAGCTCGAAACGCATTTCAAGTTTCCAGACGGAGAGTTGGAGCAAGCAGATAAGACCAAGGAAGACACCGAAAAGACTAGGTCGAGGTCGTCGTCCATTATGAATACCATAAGCAACAAGCTCAACGAGACACGGTCCCGGTCCAACAGCTCGATCATGAACAGTCTCAAGTCTTCTAACATTTCGTTGAGCAAAGAGAACTTTCCTACGTTGGCCAGTGAAAATGAGTCAATCCATGCACCAGCAGTTGAATCTGAGACCATCAGCTTGTCGATGATGAAGAATATTTTGGGCCGCATCGGCTCGGTATCGGTTCTGCAGTTCAGGGGTCTCGAAGATGGCACGGTGGAGACCATCAACGGCAATGATGACGACACTGTCACTGTGGTGACCCCCGTCAAGAAAAATGGATCCTTGATAAACCGATTGTCGCCTAGCCACACCAGAACACGTTCGTCGTCGTTGGAAGCCACCCAGCCGATTCTTGCAGGAGCTTCACAGAACAGCACCAGCAGCAAGCGCAACTCGATCACCTCCAAGTTCACCAGTGGGGTGTCTGAGTTTATGACCAAGTTGAATACCACCAACTACCCCGCGCTCCAGCCCACCAACAAGAACGTGTCGAACAGCTCGTTGCAGTCGCTCGACAACGGCGTCGACCACGACCATGTCAGCGTGGCTGGGGCATCGAAGCGGCCTGAGTTCACCAGAAGCAGAACCACCAGTCTCCAGATCATGGACAAGTGGTTCAACAACATTGGGGTCAACCAAACGCGGGCTCCGTTGGCCACCAACACGGAGGAGCTCGATCTCAAGGAGCTCACACGGTTCCAGAGTACCGAAGTGGAGCTGATGTCCATCAAGGACTTGCGGGTGATGAAGAACTACTACGACCAGCTCTGTCTGGAGGTGCTCCGTGCCTCGTTTGGCGAGGTGCAGACGGTCACCGGCACTCCTGGGCCGGTTCCAGTCCCAACCCTGGCTGCTGAGAACCCACCCGTGGTACTCACTGCTCCTGGAGCCGAGCCTGAAGACAGTACCAGCCTCTAGACGACTCTAGTCCTCCGTACTTGTCGCAGTTAGGTAAGCTTATTCTGCCTGCGCTGTGTGCAGGACACAATCATGGTTCCAGAATAATCTCTATAGCTAGGCGTCGGTAATAAATAGTGCTGCGATCCAGGCCTCCCCAATGTAATGGCGTCCAGAAAGCATTCTCGAGCCGTGGACGACGACGAGCTCCACATCGCGGGCAAGCGCATCAAACTCGACCATTTGTTTGGCAGCCTCCATCTCGACGAACAATCCTCGTCCCATCGCCATGATCCGTCTCCATACGCAATCCCCGCCGTGGCGTTCCAGGCTCCTGAGCTTCCATTCCAGGCAGTTCCTCCTGACTTCAACGCCTACATTGCCCACAAGATCCGGTCGCATTACACAGAGGTGCTAGTCTCAAAGATGGCGCTCATTCCGTGGTACGATTTCCGAGTGCTCGTGGTGTACCGGTTCCAGCGTTGGGTAGTACGGATGTTCCGTCGCTTTGTGGTCCGCTACAACCTCCACCATGGTGCTCGTGTGCCATTGGTCCGTTCCTACGACAAGGTGATGCGGTTAGCGTTGCAGAACGGGTTGTCCCAGCCCCAGTTGTTTGACATTGTGCTACAGGAAAACCACCGTGAAATGGCGAGGTTGCACGAGAAACACGTCCAGCACGAGCTGGCGCAACAGGAGGCAGATTTTAAGGACATCAGCTACGGCTACTGGGATAATTTGCACGGTTTTGCCCTGCCAGGAGACGAAGAAATGGACTGGGAAGCGGACTCTGACGTGGACCTCGATCCCAGAGGGTCCATCGAGTCCAATTACGGCTCGTATTATCACGATTACCACGATACCACCAGGGGATAGCAGGCATATGAATAATGGATTCAATACATTGACTCCCAAGTATTGGTCACCAATTGGTGGATCAAGCCCGTGTTGGGCATCGATTAGATTTGCAGAAATTAGTGGTACCAATTGGTGTTCCTACCAGGCTACACAGATTAATTCACTAATGGCTCCAGAAATTTCTACTAGATTAACGGTGCATGGCTCCATGTTAAATAATCACTACTCCATTCAACGTTTGAGGCAAGCATTTCACGGGCCCAAGCTCCCACGGTCTTCACTTCCATATTTCCTCACAGTCACTCCACTATTTGCGTACGACAGATCATTCTTTCACCACATGGCAAGTATTTCTCTACTCTGATGATCTCCAAATTAGCCAATTTTAGTCCCGTGATCTGATCCAGATGCGATGAGCTTCTGTAAGCGACAGAACTGACAGGAAGGATAAGCCAGAAAATAGTCACGGACAAATAACAATCACCCCGTCTACAACCTCCCCCGCCTCCAAATCATGGCCCTGCTGGATTGGCTAGCCCACACCCATCCTGCACGACTCACCCTCCCCCGCCAAGGTTGACTCCTGTCTATCGCACATGACTCCGTATCGCGGCCTTTGAGGTTATCGTTCTGCAGCATGCAGGCCCCGCTTCTATACATTTCGTACCTGCTTCTTCTACTCATCGAGCCATGACGTCCATCCTCCACCTCCCGTCGGAAGTAATCATCAGCATCTTCCAGTACTTGACCCCACGAGAAACGCTAGCCCTCATCAAAAGGCTCAAGCTGCACCAGCATGAGTTCAGAATCAAGATGATCATCAACTTGATGTACCAACGGTTGTTCAACGGCAAGGTGATGATCGTCAACGAAGTGCCCAAGGATAAGCTTCTTGGCGACACCCTTTTGACGGTGTCGTCGTTCGAGGAAATCTTCAAGGTTGACTGCTACGAAAACCATCTCTTCAAAGACATTCGTCCCAACAGCATCGAGTTCAAGTTCACCAGACAAGCCAACGACTACTCGACCTTTATCCACAACCTCTACGAGTTTAACCAGTTGTTGGAGGCCAGGAACTGTGGTAGCGATCTGGTGACCGCATACTTGGACAAAACGCTCCAAATGACGTTCTACGCGGATGCCAACTTGATCATGGTGGAAAACCCTACCTCGTTGTCAGCCATCATGATCAAGGTGTTGATCAACTTGGCCACCCATCCAGCTATGGCCCACAAGTTCGATCTGGTGGCCATCAAGTCGACCGATATCGGCAACATCTACGTTTCCCAGTGGGGCCAGCTCTTTGCCAAGTTTGGCAACTTGCACGAGCTCGACCTTTCCGACAATATGATACGGAACTACTACGACGATGCCTGTGACGTGCTCACCAAGTTCAAGTTCCCCAGGGGGCTCAAAAAGCTCACTCTCAACAACAACCAGTTGACCACCGTTTCACGCGAGTTCATCAAGGCACTTCCTCCTTCCCTTGAAGAGCTCCTGTTGAGCAACAATCGCATCAGCGAAGTTTGTCCTGGCATCGTCCCCTTCCGGGTCCGCGGCCATCTTCCAAAGCTCAGGCTGTTGGACTTGAGCTTCAACTATGCACCTGGCATCGATCTCCGCATGTTCTGCACCACCACCGACCTTGATATAGACCTTCGGGAAACAGGCATCTCCCGGGAAATAGCTGTTCGGGCAGCGCAAGCGTTGGGGTTCACGCTAGCATGACGATTAATGACGGACCACGGGAAGATTTAAAAGGATACATAGACAAATAGAAAATAAGAAGGTATAGACCAAGGTGTAGCCAGGGAAAGGCAATTTCTAGTGCAATATAGCCACAAATGAATACCTTTAAGTGAACACTGCTCCATAAGAGAGCCATCTTGTAGATATTGGTCCGTTAAGTGAAACACTTCGTATGAGGGCCATCCTGTAGATACTCGGTCTGTCAAGTGCTCCAGTCCGCCCATCCTTAGTTCAATGGTATGCTTTCCCTGGTTACTGCTCCAGAAGAGAGCCATCCCGAATACTCGATCACCTTTAATTAGCACTACCTCATAGGAGAGCACATAGTCACTCGAATTCCTCTACATGATACTACTTCAATCACAACCACTTTAACATCAAAGTCCTTAGGTGTAAACTCGCTTCCAGCCTATCTCTTGACCCAACCACAATATACCCACCTTTGAGTATCACCACCGATCCTCGATGGCTTCACTCCCCTGGCCATCCATAACACACTCGTCGAACCATTGACTACTCCACCACCATCCTTCCCCTATCCTCCGCCATCCCACCACAATATGAACCACCACCTTGCACTACCCTACTCTACTACCACCTCTCCCTATCTCACTCCTCCGTTCGGCAGCCTTTCGCGTTTACAATCTCACCTTCAACGATCGCCTTCACATTCCACACCATGTTGGGTATCTACAGACTAGGGATACCTCGAGCACTCCGCCCGTTGAGGCTGCCACTCGCTCGGGTCCTCCCGTCACGATTGCCTCTCGCTAGGCCTATGGCCTTGTTGAAACCCATCGCCCTACAAGTGAGGTTCAACTCTAGCGCCCAGTCGCCCGAACCAGTCCAAATCCCCAAACCACAAACCAACGACTCCACGGGAGCCAAGCCGAAGGCGCAATCGCTCTGGAAGGATATCCTCAGACTCTTGCGGTTGGCGCGCCCTGAGTATAAGCTTCTATTCTACGCATTGATGTGCTTGATTGCAACCTCAGCCACCTCCATGCTGGTGCCGTTGTTCATCGGAAAAATCATCGACACCACCAAGGACGACGATGACGACACCTCCGATCGTCGCATCATGGGCCTTGCGCCCGTCCAATTCTATTCGTCCATGTGCGTGCTCTTCGGGCTCGGTGCTTTGGCTAACTTCGGAAGAACGTACTTGTTGAGAACGGTGGGCGAACGGTTCGTTGCCAGATTGCGTTCGCGGTTGTTCCTGAAGATCTTGAGCCAGGACTCGTACTTCTTCGACGTGGGTCCCACCAAAACCGGAATGAAGACCGGAGACTTAATCTCACGGTTGTCCAGCGATACCCAGGTGATATCCAAGACTTTAAGCGGAAACGTCAGCGACGGTGCCAGGTCCTTGATCAGCGGTTTGGTAGGATTGTCCATGATGTGTTTTGTCTCTTGGAAATTGACTCTTTGTATGAGTTTGTTGTTCCCCCCTCTTATCGTCATGTCTTCGGTATACGGAAGAAAAATAAAGGTTTTGTCCAGACAGGTCCAGGAAAACTTAGGTCTAATGACAAAGGTCACCGAGGAGAAGTTGAACGGCTTAAAAACCATCCAAAGTTTCGCCAAGCAGAGATCGGTGGTTCATGATTATAATCACGAAATCAAAAAGATCTTTGACACCTCGTTGCGAGAAGGTAAACTCAGTGGAATCTACTATGGGATTAACGGATTGCTAGGAAATGTGTCTATGATCGGTCTCTTGATTGTGGGGACACAACTCATCGGGAATGGAGAGTTGACTATCGGAGAGCTTTCCAGTTTCATGATGTATGCCATCTATACCGGCTCCTCGGTGTTCGGGTTGGGAAACTTCTACACCGAGTTGATGAAGGGTATTGGTGCCGCTGAACGGATATTCGAGTTGATCGAGCTGAAGCCAAGCATAGCCACCAGCATTGGAAAGAAGGTCGACAATATTTATGGAGACATCAAGTTTAAGAATATCAAGTTCAACTATCCATCCAGAAAGGATTCAGTTATATTTCGCGATTTGAACTTGACCATTAAACTCGATGAAAACGTCTGTTTCGTGGGGCCCTCTGGCAGTGGTAAGTCCACCATCCTGCAGTTGCTCTTGAGATTTTATGATCCGCTACAAGGAGAAGTCACTATCAATGATCATAACATCAAAGACTTAAACCTCAACTATTACCGTTCCAAACTTGGGTACGTACAGCAAGAACCGTTCTTGTTCAGTGGGACTATCCGGGAAAACCTTGTTTTTGGCAAGGAAGATGCCACCGAAGAGGAGATTGAAGAGGCGCTTCGATTGAGTAATTCGCAAGGATTCATTGATGCATTGCCTGATGGAATCGACACCGTGATCGGGCCCTCCAACAGTACTCAGCTTAGTGGAGGTCAAAAGCAAAGAATCTCTTTGGCACGTACATTGATCTGTAAGCCCAAGGTGTTACTTTTAGACGAGGCTACATCTGCTCTCGACTCAATCAGTGAGGAGATAGTAATGAGAAACTTGAATCGTTTGAATAGGGAACAGGGCGTGGCCATCATTTCAATTGCCCATCGGTTGTCAACCATCAAAAACAGTGACCGGATAGTGGTGCTAGATTCTGCGGGCGAGGTGCTCGAAGATGGTAGTTTCACTGCTCTCTACAACAACTCGAACAGTGCCCTCAACAAGTTGTTGAAGAATCATAATCTAGAATAATGTATATAGACCATACACGATGGCACTAGCTGGTGTAGTGAGTGGGTGAATGTTCGTATTAGGTATTGTGATCGGGATAACCTCCGGCTGCTTCATTTTGCAAAGTTGTCCGGTAAGGCACCAAAGAAGACGCAAAAACTGGGCATTGATGCATTCAGCGAAACCAATTGCAAAATGCAACCGCCCCTGAGCTTTAGCCCCGGTGCTTTTGCGTCGTTTCACAACCGTCTTCTAGTCCAGTCCAAATTACCGAACTAATCTTATGGACTGAATACGGACTCATCCAGATATTGGTTATGAGAAAGCTTGGAAAGCTTATTAGAACTACATTCCCAACGATTGCAACCAAAAAATACACAATAGATTATCGGGATTATTTTTGAAGAAGCATACGGTTAGGATTAATTTTCCTGCTTAGTCCGAATATTAACATCAATGCCCTGCAACAATCAAACTCTGTACGATGCACAAAACAGATATTTACGGATCTTTTTAGAATACAATACTGGGCCCACAAAGCTCAACTCAGGGACAGGCCCAGACGTCCATAATAAGGCCCAGGCAACGAGCTTGTCGGTAGGGTGATTGAAGCTTAGTATTGGACTTTCGTCCAATTGGAGCTCATATTCGTTTTGGAGTTCCGAATTGCTAATTTTCGTGATTTTACCCAAATTGGCCGGGCGAAATTCAGAGGGTGTTCCAGCATATCAAGCTACAATTGTAAAGACATTGCAATTCGCTGGTAGCCACAGGCACTACACCCAGACGTAGCCATGCTGGGCTCTTGATGACATGCCCTCAGCTGACATTCACCGTTTCTGATCGAAAATACATATGTGCCTGCCCCTCCGAAGATTGTCGTAATTGATTCTCGCAACGATCCGTAGCACACCACCCACGGCCCTTCCGTTCATGGCCCTCTGGAGCCACCCGGATCGGATCATCTCGTCGCCAGCCGCCACAACCCGTCCTCGGTCTCACCACCTGACATCCGTGCCGGGACGCCCCGCTGCACTTTAGCCTAATTGGGCTCATCGCCTTCGCCCCAGATTTCACCTGTCACATGCGCACATACAGACAAACGGCAAGCGAGTGTCAGACGTGCAGTGATTGACCCCAGCAGCCGTTGCGTTCCCATCTCCATTGCTTTCCGGGCCTACCGTGTCGTCGTCCCCCAATTTTGCAATTGCTAGAGGCGTCCGCTCTTCCTGCCCTTGCTGACCAGGTCCTACCCTGTAATATCGAGTCTGCCTCCAGTTGCCACCACTCCCCCAGTTCTCATAGCACCTTCCCCAAACATGTCCAAAGAAGGCGAGCCCCAGACGGACCCTGCCACCAGTCCGTCCATCTACTCCAAGCTTGCGCTGGTGCTTCCCTGCAGTGTGCTTTCGCCAGTGTCTGCAGAACGAGATGACTACTTTGACAAGTCCAAGGGTCCAGACTCCCCTGACGATGAGGTGGATGCTGCAAGCCCTGCTTCGGAACTGCGTCCCCAAAACTACTTCTACAACCTTTTCACCACGGCGTCAGTCTATTCAGGCATTGGCTTTGATCCCGTCAACGACGCCAATAGGCTCAAGGATAACATCTTTAAGCTTAGCACCAGAACAAAGCGAGCGTCTTCGTCTGCAACGTCCTCCTCCAAAAATGATTCCCACCCTGTCAAAGACATCAAGCTGCCATTCTACGCTGTCTACGACAGTTCGTCTGAGGAAGACGAGGAGGAAGACGAGGACAAAGAGGCGACAGATAGTGTTTTGTCGAGCCCAATATCGTTGAAAGAGTCCCACGGTACCCACCGATTGGATGCCATAGATGAGGACGAAACCCACGAGCAAGAAATCACCGACAACAATGTAACTGCACCCGAAGATGACGAGCAAGAAGCCAATACCTTGTGGAAAATTCAAAGCTCGGGAATCTACCACCACGATCAAATCCCTGAGCCACAAGAATTCTCCATCACCGAGGAAGACGAAGACAATGACTCCTTCAGGTCATTCCACACCTCTCGCGATATAACGAGTCAATTGAACAGAAGCAGCGATGACGTACGATCAAAAGATGGTTCAGAGACCCTCAGAAGCGGCTTGAGTGGGGCCATAACTAGAGCAAACCTGGTACATAGTGTCAGAACCCCGTTCCAACAGTCTGTCGTTCAGAACTTAAATCCTCGTCTCCTCAGAGAGCGGTTCTTGATCAAATTTAAAGAAGGACAAGCTAAAGATGATAACGAGTACAATGCCAAAACTGAGTCTTTACGTTTAAGAGTGGCCAACAAGTTGGCAAAGGTTTTTGAAATTGATGATAACGACCACTTCTACGACAACTTTAGTGCTTGGTTGGTAAATGACGTATTATTGCAGGGACATCTTTACTTGACCAGAGAATCTGTGTTATTTTTTGCATTCTTACCCAAGAGATATTCCATGAACTTGAACCAAAAAACAGGTGGTTCTTATACTACCAATGATGACTCCAACTTAACGATTCAATCGGGCTCCTTGGGCCTCAAAACTGCGAAGTATGGCGAAACAATCTTTTCCTCAGTTCTCACTCATAGATACTGGGCTATTTTACGACCTCAGACCCTCAGTATCTATAGTTCGTCGACTGAACTTCATTTCCCCAGAATTGTTATTGATTTAAAATCTTGTATAAGGGCAGAGGTGGTCGAAAAGGAAAAGGAACCAACTCAAAGAAATACCTTGACTCGCCGTAACTCAATTGAAGGTGGTTCTACTCCTAGGGTCATGACTCGTCGAAATTCTAACGATGGGTTTTTGTCGCCTAGATTTTTGACCCGTCGAAACTCAAATGAAGGTTCCATTTCACCAAGGATAGCAAGCCCGAATGGGACTGATCTAAACCTATCTGCAGATGATGAAACTTATTTTTCAAATATGTTGAGTGGTGAAGCAATGGAACCTACAGAGGATAATATCGAAAGCTCTTCAGGAGTTTGGTTCAAATTGGTTACAAAGAGTAAGACCTATAGATTTCATACTGATAATTTGTACCTTGCTCGACAATGGTGCCACAATCTCACCAAGATTATCTTTCAATTGAATAACTCTAATGCTGGAAACGAAGTTTTAATCAAAATCCCCATTGAAAATGTCATCAACTTTAACAGAATGTCATTATTAAGCGCAGATGAACTGCCTAAAGATCAACCTGATGAAGAAGATTTGCCTATGAGTTTTAGAATGCACTTCCTAAAGAATCATGGGAATTATGAGGAGTCTGTTTACGATTCAAAAAAGAGCAAGAAAAAGCTAACTCAAGGTGCAAGTATTGGAATGGAAGCGATGTACTTCATTTTCTTTGACAGAGGTGAAGAGTTTTATTCCAAGTTTACTACATTAATCGAAGAACATCAAGAAAGATCAAAGAATAAAAGCGAAACTTCACTGATTTCAAAGTCTCTGATCTCAAAATCTCTGAGATTCAAAGATATGGCCAAAAAGATGGTCAGAAAAGATTCAAGAGATTCCAGAATCCGTGAATATCCCAAGAGTATTTCTACATTGCGGTCATCGAGTTCAAGTGGGTCAATCATTGATCAATTTGCACCTTTGAACACTCATCTTAAACACCCATACGACTTGCCAGAAGAAGATGATAATGACCAATCTTCATCCACACTTAAACGTATTGGTCGGAGTTTGTCAAATCCGACAAAAATGTTCACTTCTAAAAAATCATTCGATAGCTCTTCTATTATGCTGAGTAGCAGCAGTACCTTCGAAAAACTTGACTATGAACATACTGAATTCTCGGATGGTGAAGTCAAGAATGTCAATTTCCCAAGACCAATGTCGGTATCAGGGTTGAAGAACCTCAAGATGACATTTGAAACCTCTCAAAAAGATTTTGAAGTTGCAGAGTCTAGATATGAAGCGATTAAGGATACAGTTGAAAGTGATAAACTCTTCGCTACCCAAGCCGAATCTTATATAAAGGGTACCAAAGCCAAGGAGCAAGTATTACCTGGTCCATTGAACTTGACTGATCCATCAGAATATACTGAGGAAGATCCCAAACAAACAAAATTACAATCCATGAAAAAGAGTATCAAGGCATTTTCCAATGTTAGTAATATGTGGTCGTCAAACCCAAGTCATTACCAAGCAATTGATCCAAATGATCCCTTCTACGTAAAAGAAGAGAACACGCGTGAAGTGTCACAGCAACATTTTGAAAAGCACTTCTCCTTGGGGCCTGAGGTATTATTACGGGCCAGTTATTATTGTCATTTACAAAAGTCTATCCCTGTTTACGGTAAGTTGTATCTTAGTACAGAATATCTTTGCTTTAGAAGTTTGCTTCCTGGTGTATCTACCAAGATGATTCTACCATTGAACCATATAGAGAACTGTCTGAAGGAGAAGGGATTGAAATTGACATATTCGGGATTAGTGCTTACTATTAACAACTATGATGAATTAATATTAGAATTTAGCTCTCATCTGTCCAGAGACGATTGTGAGAATATGATTTTCAGCCAATTGATATTAATTCATGATGGAGATAACTTCTCGCCAAGTCCACATGAGTGGGGAAAGAATTATGATTTGGAATTGTCCAAGAAGAGACAAGCCGTGTTGACCTCTGAAACCAGGGGAGCGTTCAGTAATGATACGAACAAGACATTGGCAGCTCTCAAGATTGATAATGCTAGATTGAAAATGTTTGAGGAAAAGATCAATGCAGCATCAGGGTTGGACATACCAATCATTTTGGAGGATTCTCCATTTTACAAAACGGAAATTAGGCCGTCTACTTCTTTCCATTTTGTGCTTTTGACGATTGGGTCTCGGGGTGATGTGCAGCCCTATATTGCCTTGGGCAAAGGGTTGATTAACGAGGGACACACCGTCACCATTGCTACTCACAAGGAATTTGAAGATTGGATCCTCAAACACGGAATGAAGTTCAAGGAAATTGCCGGTGACCCTGGAGCGTTGATGTCGTTAATGGTAACTCATGGGTCGATGTCTGTGGCATTTTTGAAAGAAGCCAGTGCCAAGTTCCGAGGCTGGATTAGCCAATTGTTGAGGTCCAGCTGGGAAGCTTGTCAAGGAGCGGATATCTTGATAGAAAGTCCATCCGCGATGGGGGGTGTTCATATTGCCGAGGCCTTGGGCATTCCGTACATGCGGGCATTTACCATGCCATGGACCCGAACCAGAGCGTACCCCCATGCTTTCATTGTTCCTGATCAAAAGAAAGGAGGCTCCTACAACTACTTGACCCATGTGATGTTCGAAACAGTTTTCTGGAAGGGAATTTCCAGTCAAATCAATAACTGGAGAGTACGAGAGCTCGATTTGCCCAGGACCAATTTGTACCGGTTACAGCAGTCCAAGATCCCATTCTTGTATAACGTTTCGCCCACGATCTTTCCACCGTCGGTGGATTTTCCTGACTGGATCAGAGTCACAGGCTACTGGTTTTTGGATGAGGGTGCAGGCGAAGACTACGACCCTCCCAAGGAGTTGGTCGAGTTTCTCGACAGTGCTCGTAAAGAGCAGAAGAAGATCATCTACATTGGCTTCGGATCAATTGTGGTCAACGACGCTAAAAGCTTGACCAAAGCCATCGCAGAGGCAGTGGTGGATGCAGATGTGCGCTGTATCTTGAACAAAGGCTGGTCGGACCGCATGAGCAAGAAGGACGACTCCGAGCCCGAAATCGAGCTTCCTGCTGAGATCTACAACTCGGGAGCGGTTCCCCACGACTGGCTCTTCGCTCGTATCGACGCAGCCATCCACCATGGAGGCTCTGGAACCACGGGAGCCACCTTACGAGCCGGATTGCCCACGGTTATCAAGCCGTTTTTCGGGGACCAGTTCTTCTATGCCTCGCGGATCGAAGAGGTGGGAGTCGGAGTGGCTCTTCGCAAGCTCAATGCCAAGTCACTCGGTAAGGCGATTCACACCGTCACCACCGACTTGAAGATGATCGAAAAGTCCAAGAAGCTCAGCGAACGAATCAACCAGGAGAACGGGGTGCTCACGGCAGTAGAGACCATCTACTCGGAATTGGAGTACGCTCGTCACCTTATTATGAGCAAGCAGAAGTACAACGAGCACTACAAGCAGCACCACCCAGACTTTGGGTCCCTGGGCATCCAGACCCCGGTTGTACCGGAGGAATCGGAGAGCAGCGAGGAGGACGAAGACGAGGAGGACGAAGACGAGGAAGACGAAGACGAGGAGGAGGACTCCGACGAAAATTAGTCTGGTTTCGACTCGGAGGACGAGAAGGAGAAGGACTGAGAGGAGGGCTCAAAGGAGGACACCGACCAAAACTGGGTGTTCTATTACAATTTTATGAACCACGCCTACGTAGCTATTGTACGACCAAACCCAACGTAGCTCGTTACTTCTCAATAATTACGAATTATACGACCACGCACGTAGCTGTTCCGCCTACGAATTTGGTAGTTGGCATTAGAAATAGTCGGAGGGTCAAATGGCGCAGCCTGACTTGTTCCTCCTTGTTCACTTTCAGAAGAAGGTGCAAAGGCCCAGTACCCACCTGGAGAACTCTTGCCAGTAATTACGGTCGACCTTGCGAAATTATCCTCAACACCACACACGTAGCTCGTCACTTGTTCATATTTGAATTAAGAACCAGACGTACCACCAATGAAAATCAGAAATCTCAGAAATCTCAGAAATCTCAGAAATCTGAAAACCGTTTCTTCACTTACACAGGAAAGCCTATTCTGCACCACACTCGGGAAACCGTTCTGTACTGTAGTCTGCTCTGGCAAACATCGCCTCCAACCGGCCAATTTGTGCACTGTACCGGTCTGTGGGTGTGTCTGCCATGGGCTTCTTTCTTCCCCCCGCCTCCCAGAGCAGTACTGTCACCTAGTCTTGTATGCACTTAGGGCCACCCCAAACCCCCAAATCAATTACCGACCGTGGCAGATTACTCACAGTCACGTGCTGTTTCCCTATCACTGGGTTTGCAGCTGTTTCGCCAACACCCTGCCATAGCCCAGCACCACCAGGACGACTACTCCAGGTGGAATCCCTCCATTGGCCCAGGGTCCATCGACGGCCTCAGCTCCAATGCTGCACAGAATTCTGGCCACGATCGGCGGTTCTTCCACCATTTGTAGCCGAATATTTGTAATGCGATAACGATCCCCATGCATGAGTCAACTTTTCTGGCGTATAAGCAGGGCTGCCAACGAATTTTCACCTCCGCAACTCCTCCAGCTATACCTAACCACGTCTCCAGAACCGCCTTCTAGCATCCGCCATCCGCTTACCCACGCCTTCCCTGTTGTACAGTGAGGCTCCATGACCACCACCCATCAGCCTCCCATGACGACCACCTCCACCACCTACCGAGATATAACTGCAGAGCAGAACGAGACCAACCCCTACGCCAGGTTGGTCAATGGCCAGACCATCGTCGAAATACCCTCCTACACGTTGGAGTGTGGCGAGACCCTCTACAACTTCCCAGTCGCCTACAAAACCTGGGGCAGGTTGAACGACGACAGAGATAACGTGCTCTTGATCTGCCACGCCTTGACAGGATCCTCTGATGTCAGCGACTGGTGGGGTCCCTTGTTGGGCACCAACAAGACCTTCGATCCCTCCCGCTTCTTCGTGGTCTGTATCAACTTCCTCGGGTCCCCCTATGGCTCATGCTCTCCTGTCACCATCGATCCCGCTACTGGCAAGCCCTACGGTCCCTCGTTTCCTTTGGTGACCGTCAAAGACGACATTGGCATCCACAAGCTCATTCTCGACTCCCTCAACATCGCCAGCATTGCCTGTGTAATTGGAGGCTCCATGGGCGGCATGATCGCCATGGAATACTCCACCACCTACAACAACACCAACTACGTCAAGTCGGTGGTGGCATTGGCCACTGCCGCAAGAGCCTCAGCGTGGTGTATTTCGTGGAATGAAACACAGAGACAATGCATCTTTAGCGATCCCTTCTACGACGAGGGAAACTATTACGAAACCAACAATAAACCAGATTCGGGTTTGAGTGCTGCTAGAATGGCTGCTTTATTAACCTATAGATCAAGAAACTCGTTCGAGACCAGATTCGGAAGAAAATTGCCGTTCAAGACGCAAACCGAAGAGTCTGTCAAAGAAGCCGTCAGATATCCCAAGACCAAGGACGAAGAGAACTGGTTGATGCACAACGAAGGACTGAAGAACTCGGGTGCAGTATCCTCCAACTCATCTTCTGCAAAGCCACAAACCTACTTCACTGCCCAATCATACTTGAGATATCAAGGAAACAAATTTGTGAATAGATTTGATGCAAACTGCTATATATCGATTTCCAGAAAGTTGGACACTCATGACATCACCAGAAACAGAGTGGATCCTAACAAAGTCACAGAGGACCCCCTCCCCCATGTTTTGGCCCAATTATCCCAACCACACTTGATCATAGGTATTGAGTCCGACGGCTTGTTCACATTTGGCGAGCAACAACTCTTGGGGGATAAGATCCCTAACTCCACATTGAAGAAGTTGGATTCGCCAGAGGGACATGATGCCTTCTTACTCGAATTCGAGGTCATTGACGAGTACTGTCGAGAATTTCTTCAGCTGAGTCTTCCTGAGTACTACGATGATTCAGGAAAGGTGGATGTGTTTGAGAATTGGGAAGAGTTTGTGAAATCACTTGACAACGGAGGCAATTCTGTGTTTGGAGAAGCCGAAACGAATATTACCAATTGGTAAACAGATAGATCAATATATTAATCCCGTAACAACGTATTGTAGTAGTATTTTGGTGGATGTACTGTAGCTGGTACAAATTATGTTTCTTCCATCTGGTTGACCGCGAGGCAATATTCAACTAAGTACACCAAGCTGAAATTGTCATATAAAGCTGGATAGAACATATACGAGTTGACTAAATAGGAAAGGGTAAGTACCTTAACAATCCTATCCGCTCAATACACTTTCCAAACCCAACTTGAACCTGTCCATATGCTCCACCAATAACCATAATAACCTGTGAACTTCGATTGGCTTTTTTCTCACTTTTACTTCTTTTCTTCATCTTTTCATCAAACAACGCTCCAGTAACATTAACCACCCTGAATACACCAAAGTACAGTGCAAAATCTCCAAAATAGGCTTCGCTTTAAAGGTCATTATTGATTAAAAACCTCCCTAACTACCAGACATCGTAGCTGGACTAACAAAACTTCGATGTATTTTGCTCATAGCAAGTAACGTATGGTCTAATATTTAGAGCATTCATTAGATCCCAAGTAGCTTGCCCAGAACCTTGAGGCAAATCATTCAAAAGTTTATAGGCATACAACTTGGTTTAGGAAGAAAAAAATAAACATCATCAGGAATTGGGTACTCTGGCCGAGTTGGTCTAAGGCGCCAGGGTAAGGTCCTGGTCTCTCCGGAGGCGCGAGTTCGAATCTCGCGGGTATCATCACACCAGCAATTCCTACACTAATTACCTATTTTCCTTTCTTTTTTTTGTGCGGCCAACAGTTGTTACTACTTGAGATCATTATTAACCAATCTGAATTGGTATTACTACATGGGAATGACTTTAAATGCTTTCTTATCTATTTCTTATCTAATCTTCAAGTGTTGAAACAAGTATGAGAAATTGCACATTTTATTTTTAAAAGTTTTACAGATCTTTTTGAAAAATCGTGTAAAAGTCACACTTGTGAATGATTCACGAAATGAATTAACGAGTAAATTCTCCGTAATAATAAACAATAGGAGTAAATCTGCTATTGTTTATCCATATCGACAAATAGATACAGCTCGGTATTTTGCGAGAGATACATCACATCTTCAGGCTGATTCGTGCATCAACTTGACGCAATAAGTATACCATAGCCTGAAAATGCAGGAGGGCTAATTATGACATGCTGCAGCGCTTCGAGTAGAGTCGTCATGGAGTCCTAGTCCGACAATGTTTGTTGAAAGGTCTGTATTAACTATACTATCTAAAAAAGAATTAAAGGAACTGGATGTAATTATGTTTCCATTAATGGGTGAGCAAGAATTTACATAATGGTGCAACATTTGCTTCCACTAGGGGTATTGGATGGATCGTTAATCGATTGCTTCAATCTATTGTTCTGGGTCTCCTCTTTCTGGGTGTCGTTAGCACCAGACTGGGCCTCCTCTTGCTTGTTCAATTCGTTTTGCTTTTGCAATTCCTTTTGTTGTTTCTTTTCAGCACTGATGGACGCTTCCTTACGCATGATTTGACGTACAACGTCAACGAAGGCCTCGTCAACATTGGTCTTGTACATGGCGGAAGTTTCGTAAAAAGGGACCAAGCCCCAGTCCTGGGACACCTTGATACCGTCATCTATGCTTAACACACGATCGTCCTCCAAGTCACACTTGTTACCGATCAACACCATAGGCACGTTCTCGGAGTCCTTGATTCTCAACACCTGTTCTCTCAACGCCAACAATTCCTTCAACGAGTTTTCGTCTGTCACCGAGTACACCAACAAGAAACCCTTTCCCGATTTGATGTAAAGTTCTCTCATGGCTGTGAATTGGGCTACACCCGCGGTGTCCAAGATCTCCAAGTCACAGGCTCTGCCGTCGATTTCGATCTGTTTTCTGTAGGAGTCCTCGATGGTAGGATCATAACTTTCGACGTATACACCTTGTACGAACTGGACTGTGACGGACGATTTACCGACACCACCGGCACCTAATACGACGACCTTGTAGTCTGGATGTTAGTAGCTGCTAACTCAATGCCGTATGTGTTTGGGGTGTTGTGGACCACTTTGGTCTTGTGCTCCTTGTGGATGGTCCATAAAACACGTCTCTCGACTCTCGTCAACTGGCAAACAACGGGGCAGTCGGGGCGTCTAGCCAGCACTAGCCGGCTAGCACACCTTGAAGGCCGCACTGGCAAGCTGGCACCAACGTGCCCTCCTTGTAGACTAATACTTACCTCTCATAATGCTCTGGTATAAGGATTAAATCTTTTCCAAATGCTTGAATTTCGCTTACGCTCGTGAACTGGGCTCAGTATGGTGGGGTGCCCACCGCGAGTGGCTCAGGGCATCACTTTGCGAACGCGTAGTAGCCCAGGCGGATACCGCTGGCAATTAATGCGAACGTCGCCGTAGTCCTCGGCGGCGATAGCACTCCGGTGCCACAGGCGTGGTGGTGTTGGTGGTACTGGTGGTGGTACTGGGGTGCAATTGCCGCCTGCCCGTGAACCGCACGGCGACAGGCGCAAAGACGGCGCAAAATGCGCGCTGTTGGCGAGGCCCCCCCGCGACAGCATGGTGCTGGCTCCTCCAGGGCCACCGAGCCGGTGGGAGCTGTTGGGCAGTTGCTGGGAAAACCGTCCTGGTTAGCGACGATCGATGTTCACGTGACACTTCGGCTAAAGGTGTCTGAGCGAAGAATGTTACGGGGTGGGAGTGACTCGTGCTTGATTGGGAGTCAGAGTGCCCATTTCTGGCAAAATGGTTTTTCATACTCAGTTTGGAGGTAATTTCCATACCTCAATACTATATAGCTAACTACTGGAAGACGCCACGAGACCTGGAACCCAGTTGTCCCAGTTGTGTCGTTGGAGGTACTTCAGATAAAGGTTCTTCAGCTGTCAGTGAATTTGGCTCCCAGGCCAGAAAAACTGCCGTTGAACAAACTTCTTCACGACTACAAGGGAAGAATGTGTGGCAACGGACCCAATGGAGTGATTCCCAAGTAATTGATCTCGTTGTGCGACCGCGTGTAGTGGTACTTGATGTGGTCGAAGTCGGTGGTCTCTTGGAAGCCAGGAATCTTCCAGTACAATAATCTCAACCAGTTGTGGAGATGGGGGTAGTCATGTCTGATCATGCGGATGTTGCACTTGAAGTGCTGGTGATACACAGGGTCGAATCTGACGATGGTGGTGAACAAACGGATATCGGCTTCCGTTAACTGGTTGCCCAACAAGAATTCGAGCTTCTTGCCTTCGGCATGGTTCTTGGCCAAGAGCTCCTCCACCTTGTCCAAATGCACAAACACATTCCTGACCTCCTTCTCGTAGGTTTCGGCCTTGGTGGCAAAGCCTGCCTTGTAGACTCCGTTGTTGATGTTGTCGTAGACCCAGGAGTTGAGCTCATCGATCTCGCTGCGTAATGCCTCGGGGTAGACGTCAATCTGGGCAAGATTCTCCGGCACAAGCGAGTTGAACTCTGTGTTCAACATCCGCAAGATCTCGGACGACTCGTTGTTGACGATGGTCTCCAACTTCTTGTCCCACAACACCGGAACTGTGTAGCGACCAGTATGCTCGGGGTTGGCCTTGAAGTATACCTCACTGAGCCTGGAGAAGTTGTTGATGTGGTCAACAGTGCCATTGGCGTGATCACTGGCGCCTTTGGCTTGGGCAAGCTCGTCAGCGTTGATGAACCGCCACCCGTCTTGATCCAAGTGCCAGTGGACGATCGAGACACTGATGATGGACGTCAAGCCCTTGAGCACCCGCGTGATCAACGTACGGTGCGCCCACGGACAGGCAAGCGACACATACAAGTGGTAGCGGTTGGCCTCAGGGGGAAACCTGGCATTGGGGGCAGAGCTGATGGTATCTCTGTACAAAGAGCCCTGGCGGTTGTACTTTCCGGTCTTGTCGGCCCACGAGAGGATTTTCTGACGTTAGTGCTGGCCAATTGCCCTGGTGCTTGTGGTACTTACTGACATTTTTGGAGCAGGAATGGTGAGACTTCATTTCCTTTATATACGATTGCTCCACAATTCCAGTTTAGTAATGGATTACATCTGTGCGACACTCGTCCCGCCCATCGCCAGATGATCTGCGCCTGTGGACGGCCCACCACGGACGGCAGCATTGAGGTCGCCCAGTGGGTGTGTCATGGGTATGGTAGCACGGATGTTAGGGAACGAATCGCTCGTGGGGTTCGTTGGGCAGTAGCATCCTTACTCTCAGGCCATTATTGCCCCATTCTGGTGCAATTACCCCCGGAGTTCTGGGAGCTTGGCAACGGATGCCATGCAATGACTTCAGGCTTCAGGAGGTGGCCAATCACAGCAGCAATGGCACAGAGATACGAGGCTAGACGTTCACACGCATGAAGCGTTGGAGGCGATAAGGGATGCGTCCTGTATAGATAATAACCCCACAACTCCACATTTCAGTCATGGTACAACTAGTGGCAATCGTGGCCAGGTTGGAGTAAAAGCAGATCTGTTCTATTTGGTGACTATTCTCATAGCGAGTGATCAGATCCTATGGTTAGCATTTGCGACTGTTTCATAGTGGGGGTAGCGTTTGGACTGCTTCTCATAGGATAACACGTAGTGCCTGCTTTCATAGTATAGACTCCACAATGTGTATTCACCCTGGTGCTTGATTCGATTCAAGTGCACTAAGCTGCTCTTCCACTCACAAATGACAGAAATCAGAGCAGACCCTGTGGTTGCGAAATCACCAGGAAAACACACAACTTGGACTCATCATTTGCCGGAGAGTCTGATTGAAGTGCTCTGGATACTCTGCCATTGACTAATACGTCACCAGATGACCAGAATGCGTGCTCCATCATAGGTGAGGTGATGGAATGCTGATGGCAATTTCACATAAGCTCGTTAAACTGATTTAATGAGCCATCCGCAGTTTCGATGTATAATTGCTTGTACTCACAAATAAATGGACTGTAGATAGAATAATCCCCAGAATTAACAGAGACATACACACCCGGGATTACACCCATGGGGCCCTACAGGTGGTTGCAATGGCAGAGGACATTTATTCAGGCAATCACAAAGGAAGAATGTGAGGCAAAGGACCCAACGGAGTGATTCCCAATGGATTGATTTTTGCGTGGGACCGAGTGTAGTGGTACTTGATGTGGTCGAAGTCGGTGGTCTCCTGGAAGCCAGGAATCTTCCAGTATAACAAGCGCAACCAGTTATGAATATAAGGATAGTCATGTCTGATCATACGGATATTGCACTTGAAGTGCTGGTAGTACACAGGGTCGAATCTGACGATGGTGGTGAACAAACGGATATCGGCTTCAGTCAACTGGTTGCCCAACAAGAACTCTTGCTTCTTGTCTTCGGCGTGGTTTTTGGCTAAAACCTCTTCTACCTTGTCCAAGTGCACAAACAAGTTTTTCACAGCCGTTTCATACAGCTCGGCCTGAGTTGCAAAACCTGACTTGTAGACACCATTGTTGATGTTCTCGTAGATCCAGCTGTTGATGTCGTCTATCTTGCCTTGCAAGTCTTTTGGGTACAAGTCTACCTGGGCGTATTTTTCGGGCAAGAGCGAGTTGAACTCGGTGTTGAACATCCTCAAGATCTCGGCAGACTCGTTGCTGACGATAGTCTCCAATTTTTTGTCCCACAACAATGGCACGGTAAAACGGCCCGAGTAGTTGGGATCGACTTTGAAGTACAACTCACGGAGTCTGGATGCGTTGTAAACGTGGTCGATAGTGCCGTTGGAATGGTCGTTGGGGCCCTTGGATTGGGCAAGCTCGTCGGAATTGATGAACCTCCACCCGTCCAGGTCCAAGTGCCAGTGGACAATTGACACCCCGATGATGGATGTCAAGCCCTTGAGGACGCGTGCAATCAAGATACGGTGGGCCCACGGACACGCAAGCGACACATACAAGTGGTAGCGGTTGAGTTCAGGGGGAAATTTGGCATTGGGGGCCGAGCTGATGAAATTTCTGAACAAGGTGGGTCTGCGGTTGAAGTTCCCTTTGCTATCGGTGGGGGTAGTAGTCTGTAGATGTTAGTGTGGCTCAATTCAGGTGGAGTTTCTGGTACTTACTGACATGCTAACAAGAAGGCGACGATGAGTAATGCACTTGCAATGAACTAGACTTTAGTAACAATGCTAATTACATCAGAAGACGGCTGGTGGCTTTATATAAGTTTGCCACACTTCTGGTTTAGTAATCGTATGGGACCCATTTAGTAATTTATTACATCAGACTAATTTCAAATGGTTATGCGGGCCGGGACCCTTTAGGGTCCCGCATTGTCAGCTCCATTAAGGGCGGGGGCAAACATTTTGTGGGACGGTACGTGCCGATGCAAGCAGACAGTGAGAGGGTTGTCAGCAACATACGACTGGAGACAGACTGCGGAGCCACAATCGTAGTGGGCTAGCAGTAGAGGTGTTAAAAATACGCACGGTTCCATGTTGTGGTAGATAGCCCAGGCTAGGTAGACACTACTTCTGCATTGACTTGTCTATTCTGCATTAATCATTAATTGCTATCAAGTATGCATATGCTTCACACGCATTATCGAACATTTGGGTGACCCAGATAAGGCAAGACGTCCTGCATGCACTTCGGCAGAGGACACATCAAGTCTCAAGAACTGGAGTCATACCAGTTGTACAAATACCGACGATGCTGCTACGTGGCCAAAGTATCCTCATGGGCCATACTGGGATCCTGGCACAATAGTGGCTCTTCAAATACTGAAAATACTGTCAGCGTGGCCAAATAAGACCAATGTTAACGGTTCTATAGTGGTTTGATAGATCGCCAACATATTTGTTTGTTCCGATGGCCAGTGCCTGTTTGGCACATCTGTGACCACAGAAGGGGAGTGTATACCCATATCAATGCCAAGCTGGGACGATGAGGTGGCTGTTCTATTCAGAAGCGTACCATAGGAGGATGCTACAAAAGGGGTCATCGGCCTAGGAGCCGTGCAAATTGGTTTGTCCACTCCACGAATATTTGCTTCCGCCGGATGCTTCTTGTGTTCCACGGAGTTTTCCCCTCCATTGGCAGCTCAGGACTAACCATACCCGGCGACAGTGCCAGCACCAGGAAGGTCGTGCCTCTACCCACAATTGACCGGTCACGTGATGTGCCCCCTCACCACTTCTATTTCAATATGGTGCAGACTACACCAGAAGAACCCGTTGAACCGCTCCGCTAGCAGTCCCTTCGCTGATCCCAGAACTCTTCCCGTCGCCTCCAACATGGCAGCTGCTCCATCTGATTTGGGAATATCGGATGATGCCGGAAACAACCTGAAAGATAAGGATCACAAACAAGTGATACCCGCTCAGTCTTTGGCCGAAGTGCCTCAGGAAATGATGGAAGACGCTAAAAACCAGCACCACGAGCTTACACACGACCAACAGGCCCAGCCACATTCTGCTGTTGGCAGTCAGCTATCGTCATACCTCCAATACTACCATAACTTTGGCGGAAATCCTCCTTACTATCCCAGTGCGAGTCCTACGAGCAATGTGGGGGCAGTTACGAGCAACCAGAACAGCCAGAACGGCCAAAACGGCACGATATCAGCCGTTGCTGCACCCTCGTCCCAGCCGCAGAACGGAGCCACGCAGAACGCAAATGGCTTCTACACCTATCGCAACACCAGTTACCCCTACCCAAGCACGGTAGGCGAAACTCCCGCTCAGTACAACTACAATTTCAAAGCAGGCAGGCCCAAGACAAAGACCAAAGAGTTGCAGGTGAGAAAATTCGCTGTTACGAAACCCACCAAAGATAAGGATGCAAAAAAGCACGACTGCACATTTCATGGATGCAAATGGTCTTTTACAAGACAGTCAGACATGAGGCGGCACCTCAAATCACACTCCGAGCCCATGTTCCGGTGCCCATACTGGAATTACGATCCTACTTGTCACCGGAATGGCGGTGCATTCAATCGGCTCGACGTGTTGAAACGTCACCTCCGATTGGTGCATTATGTCAAGGACAAGCAGCAGCTAGTAGCTGGCGACTCAAAGGAGGATCCAGGGTGGTGCAGATCTTGTCAACGAATGTTTCCCAATTCAAGGATCTTCATTGATCACTGCGTAGCATGTTCACAGCTGCTTGCCCCAACCGATTGGAAATCAGCCAACAGTGAAGAAAAGCCATATTTGGGTCTAGTTGGCACCCTGGGAGATTCAGAGTCTCCAGCACCACCCCCGGAAGAGTTTCAAGCATTGACCCAGGCAAATGACGCGAATCAACTATACGAAATGTCCAGAATAGGCGCCGAAGAAAAAGCAGAACCTTAGCACGTTGAACAAGAACTACCCTCGACTCTGTCACTAGTCGCAAAATCTGAGTCTAACTTAAAAACAAAAAACGACACATAGATGTACCATAATTCATTTCTACATTGTATTAAATTGACACTAATATACAGAGATATAATACACCAAAGGGCAACCATTCCACCACATCCCGATCACTCTTCTCCTTCCTCTTGTTCTTGTTCTGGGTTTCTTTGATCAAAGAAGTCCAAAATAGCACAGTTTGGATGAAGAATATATATAATTCGAGTTCTGTCAGGCATCACTGAATCTTCTGGAAGCTCGGAACTTTCAGTGTTTGATGTGACGCTCATCAAAATTCTATCTTTAGTCAATCTTCTCATCACTTTATATGCCAATTTTCTTTCTTGGTAAAATTCTTGTTCTGTAGAAATTTCGTTTTCCTTCTGGGTCAAGTACCAGTTGACCAACTCTTCTGCGGTGTATCCTTCTCCACCTTCGTTATCATTATCTGAAACCCTCTTGACTATCAAGTTCATCATTGCTACGTACTTGTCATAGGAAATGGATTCCTTCTTGGGTTCAGCACTAGAGTTAGGTTCTTGGGTAGTTGCTGGGATCTCTGCGATATCAGCTGCATCTTCGGCTGGAGCGCCAATAGATTCGGATTCTTCCTCGTCGATCTCAACATCATCCATTTCCACTCTGATGATAGATTGTCTCAATAAGTCATAGGCTTCAGCAATGAAGCTAGGGGTGATCTCCTCGACACAGTTGGCCTTAGCAATTGCCTCGGCCAATCTGATCATGGACTCCAATTGTCTGACCGTGATTCTGTACGAGCTTCTACCCAAACCTTGGGAGTCATCCTCTCTCAATTCTTTGTATCTGGTAACCAAAAAGTCTCTGGCCTCCTTGGTCATTTTGGGCTTAAAGGTTTTGGCGTATCTGATATATCTGGATAATTCTTCTGTACTGTATGGAGGGTTGATGGAGGCATCTCTCAACATGTGCAAGTCTAAGATATGGGATGCCAATTGAGTATCGATTTTCTCGTTGCAATCGTCCAAGATAACGAAGAACAAATCGAATCTGGACATAATTGGAGCCGTCATGTTCAAGTTTGCTCTCAATCCGAGCTTTCTGTTGTAACGGCCCCCAACCGGGTTTGCTGCTGCCAAAACTGAAGTACGGGCATTTAAGGTGGTATGAATACCTGCCTTGGCAATGGAGATAGTTTGTTGTTCCATGGCTTCGTGAATCGCAACTTGATCACCCAAGTCCATTTTGTCGAACTCGTCAATGGCACAGATACCATTATCGGCCAACATAAGTGCACCCGCTTCAATGGTGTATTCACCACTTTCCTCATCCTTGACCACAGCTGCTGTCAAACCAGCAGCAGAGGAAGCCTTACCTGAGGTGTAGATGGATCTAGGGGCAAACCCACACACGTATTTCAAAAACTGGGATTTGGATGTGGAAGGGTCACCCACAATACAAATATTGATGTCACCTCTCAAGTTGATTCCGTCGATGGTCTTCTTGTGCACTCCACCTAGCAATTGCAACAAGATCCCCTTTTTGACCACTTCGTGGCCAAAAACCGCTGGGGCAATGGACTGCACCAACTTGTTGTAGATGTGCTCATCCTTGACCATTTCCTTCAACTGAGCCACTTCGGAGTCGGTGAGAGATGTCAAAAACATTTCCTGCTCGTTGGAACCCTTGTAGTCGATTTCACTATCGGTGGAAGTCTTGTTGACCAAGGACGAGACGTGGCAAGCGTGGAAGGCCAATTTGTAGGTCAAATCTCTGACTCCCAACGACTTCAAGCCGGTGATTCCCGAGTTCAACTCGGTACCTCTGTTCTCTTTGACCGACTGTGGTTTGATTCCAGGCAAGCCTAGCTGGGACACATCGGGGATGACGATCTCAGTGCCTGTGAACTTGCACTTGTCTCCTGGTTTTGCTCTTTCGACAGTCTCGCCTCGCAAGATCACATCGAGAGTTCTGGGCATAGAACCAGTAGGAATTTCACTGGAGTTCTCCTGGATTCGGACTCGTTGCCAATCGATAAACTGGGACTTGGACACGTTCAACGTGAAGTACGACTGGTTTTCACAAGATGGACACGAGGTGGGCTCGGTGTACTTAAACACCTGTTCGATGCCTTCGATGATGGCAGAACACATGTCACAGGTGAAGCAGGCACGGTACAACTCGGGACGCACCTCGGAGGTTCTGGTGACGGTTCCTGAGATCGACATCAACGAGCCGATGTTCTTGGTGCGGATATCTCTGATACGGTCCACGGTGGGAAGATTGAAGAACGAGATCTGGAACACACGCTCGTTGGACGAGCCGGAGGTGGTGGAGCCCTCTGTGGCAGTAGCGGAGTCCTCAGTGGTGCCAATCAAGCTGGTCTGCAAAATGGTGGGGGCATATTTCTTCAACACTCGTCTCAAGCCCTTGAGCAAGAACGGATAGAACCGGTAGTACTGCTCCAAGATGGCCGACGCAAGCACCCCGTTTTCTCGCGCCAACAAGTGCTGGTAGTTCACGTACAACGTGGTGTATTCGTATGTCTTCATGGTCTCGATTTGCGCGAGGTACACCTTGCCATCCCACTCGTGGTTGCCTTCGTCTTCGGTGTAGTCTTCGAGGAACTGTTCAAAACTTTCCCTGACCTTTTCACCCGTGACATCCACCACTTTGGGCACGGCTATCTGTCTTCTTCTACCAGCGACCATGGGAGCAGGCGCCACTGGCGTGGCGGCTCCTCCCTGGGACATGTTGGACTCTGAGTAGAGCTGGGGCTGGGTGCTCTGGGGAGTGAACGCGTCCCTCCCGATGGACGAGGGCGGCTGTGATGAATGGAGCAAGTTGGCTGCATCGGAGGGAATTCTCCCTGGGGACGAAACGAAGTTAGCCATGGTGGTGAGGAAGAGGGATGAAGTGGAAGATGAGGATGGATATAGGTGATTTTTCTGACGCGTCGAGCCCGATTGGGATAAATTGGGTACATGACGACATGGCAAGGAACGACATGGCAGGGAACGACATGGCAGGGAACGACATGACAAGGAACGACATGACAAGGAACGACATGGCTGTAGGCACGACATCCCCAACATCATGCCACTGGCTGCCTGTAGGGGTTTCAGATGGCTGAGGTGGGCAAATAACTCACATTTGAGCAACGAATTATGTCATGGCTCATTGCATGCCCTGTCTGCTTATGACTCCATAAGTGTGCCTCTGGGAATAATTACATGTCTTGCCGGTAGCAACGGTTTCGCAACATTTGGAGCAATACAATCTCTAGGCAGCTGGTGGTTTATTCTGCCACGAATTATGGAAGTACTTTCGTAAACATCCCTTTATTAGACCTGAATTTCATATTCTAAAACAATTTCCCCTCATCCTTGTTGAACATATCTTGGGGAAGTGAAATAAGCCCGCATTGCGAAACTTCCTCTGAGTGCGAGCACGATGCCAGTGCAAGCTCAGAAACCCTGGCAATACCCTTCCCTGTCTTGCGAACCAACACCTAGCTGTAAACATCCATACCTCAATAGTGGGGCGATACCCTTGCTGTATCTATTCCTCAAGATCTTCAAACTAAGATTTCCTAATGAGAGTAATTACCCAAGGGAGTTAATCACACGCATTAATCCTGCCCTAGTTCCATAATTTTGAGGGTTATGCATCCCACATTATATTTTAACAATATTCTAGCCCAGATTTCTTGTGTGTTCACAACAATCGGCTCGGTGTGCCCATTATCTTCCCTTTTCGTACAAAACGAGTGACAGAATATCTGGCTACTTATTTCTATAACTAGCGCGAAAATGCATGACTGACAGATTATTGCTTTCATCATGTTTGGAGGTACTGTTAGAACTCCTGGCGTAAGACAGGCCATCCGTGCCCTCTCGAACGAGCCTCAGCGTGAGTATAACACGGAATAGTGTGGTGACGGCGGTGGTGGACCGAGATGGGCTCGCAGAAACTCCGAAGACCCTCTGGCTCCGGAACTGGCCTTGACCACTTTCTACAACCACCACTAGCAGCGGGCTTGAAACGACTCCAGACGTTCCTCTGACGAACTCGAGGCATCCTCGAGCCAATTGACCCCTCAGCTCGTGCCCACCAGCATACATGCCTCATACTAACCATCAGCCAACCCAACCGCATTGAACCTTCGTGTCGGTAAGATTATCCTGTGTGAGAAGCACGCCGATGCAGACAAGCTCTACGTGTCGCAGATCCAAGTCAAGGACGAGCAGGAGCTCGTCCAGGTATGTTCGGGGTTGGTGAACCACATCCCCATCGAGCAGATGGTAGACCGTCGCGTGGTGGTGTTGACCAACTTGAAGCCATCCAAAATGAGAGGGGTCAAGTCCGAAGCCATGCTTCTCGCCTCGGAAATCGACGGCCAGGTGGACTTGATTGAACCTCCTCAGAAGGCAGTGTTGGGTGGCAGATTGCAGTTCGAGACCTTCTTGTCGGAAGTGGAGCCTTCCAGACTCAAGCCTAACGTGTGGGAAGACATCCAGAAACACCTTCGCACCACTTCCCTGGGCGAGGCTGCCTACGTCAAGGACGGAAAGGAATACATCTTGAAGTACGGGCCTGGCGCCTCCACTTCGCTGCTTAAGAACGCTCCTATCAGGTAGATGGGGCTGTCTCGTCTTTCTTACACTTGAACCTACTTGTAGTTATGGCCAGTTGGCATACATTGTTCTGGGCCTTGTCTACTAATTACAATTTGTTCATAAGTAGATGTTTTGATTAACGTAAAGTACGCATGCTAAGATTGTAAAATCGCTGTACAACCCGTAACATGGCCTGACATTGTGTTAGCTGCTCAGCAGATAGTGGTTATTTCACAGAACTTAGTTTCCCAAGTTGGTAGTTCTCAAGTACGACTTCAAAGTCTTGAACTCTCCGAACTTGGCCTTGGCGTCCTCATTTGAGACAGTAGGTGGAATAATCACGTCTTGGCCAACAGTCCAGTCAATTGGGGTGGCAATCCCCTTGTTGTCAGCCAACTGCAAGGCATCAACAACTCTCAACACTTCAGCAGTGTTTCTACCAGTGGAGGCAGGGTAGGCCATGATCAAACGAACCTTCTTGGCAGGGTCAATAACAAACACAGATCTCACCGTGCCAATCATCTTTTGCTTGTCAAGGTTGTGGAAGTCCTCTTCGGTGACCATGTCGTACTTGAAGGCAATTTCTCTGGTGCTGTCGGCGATGATGGGGAATCCGAACTTTTGGCCGTTAGTGGCAACTTCTTCAATGTCCTTGATCCACCCCTTGTGGCTGTCGACATCTTCGGTGGACAAACCGATCAACTTGACGCCTCTCTTGTCGAACTCTCCCTTCATCTTGGAGAAGGCACCCAATTCGGTGGTACACACCGGTGTGTAGTCGGCTGGGTGCGAGAAGAGGACCAACCAGTCATTTCCAATGTACTCGTGGAAGTCAATCTTGCCCTCGGTGGTGTCGACCTGAAAGTTGGGGGCAGTGGACCCAATTCTGATTCTGGGCTGGTCCTCTTGTTTGAAGGAAAGGAAACGGATACCAATGGGCTTGGCTCTCAATTGGGCTCCGGCTGGGGCACGGATGGCACTACGTAAAAATTGTCTGGTAAGCATGATGTTCGGAATAGTTAAGGGTTTTTCAGTGGGTATACTGGCTAGAATATATAGCAATTAGTCGATGTCACGTGACAGCAGCACCAAGTGGTTTTGCAGCAACCACCCAACGTATTCTGGACACGAACAAACCACAGCAACTTACTCCGCTCGCAAACATCCTAGCAATGCAGAGCCTTGGTGCTAGACTAGCATTCTAAGCAGTAGTAATCAGCCTAATAGGGGGTGCGACGGGTAATGTGTCTAATGGTAAACATCCGTGCTTCAATAGCTACTTTTCTGGACTCTAGCTTGGGCTGTTTCCAAGGGTATTGTGTGTATTTCTAAGAGTATAACAGTAGAGGAAATTAAGAGGAGTTTATGGGTGTTTTCCGAACATTATTGTAAGTATGTTACTTGGTGGTTCAACAGGAATGGTGCTACATCAAGGCCGTGTACTCATTAAAACATTATACTATAAACAGAATCACTTTTCCGAAATCATATTTACATCAAACCATCCGAGAAAGTCGTCGTCTTGGTAATTATCGTTATTCAACCATCCATTCGATTGTTGCTGGAAGAAGTTATCGTACTGACCAGCTACGCCATTGTTATGGCCATTTTGCACGTAAATAGGCTGGTCCATCGATGGCGACTGCAAACCACTACCCATGTACATGGAGTTGCTGGGCAACGGATCCAACGCTTGCTGGTCCACGAAAGCCTGGGTCAAATGTGATTGCGATGGAAGATCCGGAGCTTGCAAAAGGTTTTGGCGACTGAAGTTGGGGGAAGCAGGTTCGATCTTGGGCTTTGGCTCAGTAGAACGTTGGGATGGCAAGTGTGCAGTTTGCTGCACCCTGTCCGCCTTGGAGTTTGCATCATCACTGATAGTGTCCTTCATACTACCAGTGGCCTCGAGCATGGCCAAGGGAATACCATTAATCTCCAAAGGCTTGTTTAGCTCTGTGGCATTCAGGCGAGCCTGGTTCATGGCATGGTCGGTAGGAACTAACGTAGTGATGGTGGTACCATTTGGACTGGTGGTGGTTATGGTCTTAAAGTCGTCCTTGGTAATCTGGTTGTAGAAAGGCAAAGGTGCTGGCCGTTTTCCGTTGGTTCCGTTGGTCTTGTTATGTTGGCTATTGGAATTTGGAATCTTCGTTTCTTCAAGTGGTGGCGAGGAACTGTTGTTTTTATCCATCAATATTCTTCTTCTCGCCTCATGAACACACCAAACCAAATCATAAAACAATGACGCGGTTAAGTGTGATCTCATCCGAGATATGATTGTACCATTGACCTCGTCATTGAGTTCATTGGTGAGAATCTCAGGGTAGGTATATAACACAATATTCAAGTTCTCCAACACCTTTGCATTCCTCGAGATATCGTTCTTCAAGTCTTGCCACGACGATAAGGTGTTTCTCAAAAGACGATGCACTGTGACAATCAGCTGTCTGGCACTGTCCACGTATTTTTCAATCAAGTACCGAGATAAGTGCAACTTGAATAAAATTAAAGCTGAGTACGTCAAGCTCTGTCTAACATAGATGGGTAGTTCAACCAACAGCGTGTTATTACTGAGCATTTGCGACACAATAGTGACCACCCTGGTGGCAGATAAATACGCTGAACTAACGTACTTGACTTGGTCCTCAATTGGGGTTCCAGGTAAGAATGCAAAACAGCAGATCATAAGTTTCATGTACAAGAAATAGACCTCAACGGCTGAACCTTCTTCAATCTTCAACTTGAATCTCAATCTATCCAACTCTCTGTCCAAAATGTTCAAAGATCCGGCTCTGTTCAGGGGTTCCAAAAGACCGTCTGGTCTTGTGACAGAGATACCCATGACATTAACCATTTTGCACTGGAAGATAGACAACGAGATTAAACAACGGAAATCTTTTGGTAAAGACAGATCAATTCTCGCATTTTCAAGTAAGTAGTCTGTCGTGTTGATTGAAGGCGGAAGTCCCAAGACCGAAGACCAGAACTGTTCACAGAAGAATACAGCCAACCAGGATCTAGTTCTCCATTTCTCGGCATCGGGACCAAGACTTACCTGAGTTCTACTAAATTCTTGAATGAACTCACCACCTCTGTGCAAACCTAACTGCAAAGATAAGTTCTTTGCCAAACCAATGAAACGATAGGAACAGTCATCCAACACCTTTTCGTTTGGCAAAGGCCATATTGACAAGATGATCAATGCCTGAATGACATGGGTTGATCTAGGGGTTCTGATCCAACATGTCTCGATGGCAAGTTGCTTAATGAGCGATGCAAGTGACATGTAGAGAGTCGGTTCTGGTTCTGATATGGCTGCTGTCGAAATAACGGCCCAAAACAATAATTGTGACTTGTGGTATAACTGAGTGGCCGACTTCGAATTTATTATGGGAAGGAATTTCAAGAACTTGTTAATAAATCTATCGTGCAATTCATTTGCTTTTTCTAGTGGGACAGATACATCTCCCAAAACAAAATTCAGGATGGGAGCATATTCAGTTTCCTGCTTGATGTGCGGAGTGCTTGCTGATGATGGAGTGTTATCAGAATTTTCTTGCAAAACTTGCGAAAGCTGAGTAGTGCCGGTGCCGACATTGTTATGGGAGGAGTCATTAAGATGATTTATGGGATGATTAAACGTGGTAGGCGAGGGTTCCCAGTGAACTGGAGTGTTTTCGCCCTGGCTTGAATAGGTTACCGATTGCGGTCCAGGTGTGGTGGTATGTGGTTGCAGTTGTTGATGTTGTTGCTGCTGCAAGAAGTTGAGGTTATGTTGATTAATTGCCTGAGTGAGGAGTGATTCATTGCGGGTAAGCATTTCGATCTTAGCCTTGATCTCGTCTACGTCACTCTTCAAAGATTGGATCTGTGAGCCCTTTTTGGGTCTAAACTGAGGATCTATTTCACACTTGAGGCCCATCCGCTGACACCTTTGACACGGGTTGGGATAGTTTTCCGAGGCATCACACTTGATCTTGTGTTGACGACAGAAAGTACACGATGTGACAGGTCTATGGCCAGTTTGCTTTGGCATGGAATCCTCAGACACATCGTCACCAGTGCCATCTGGTGAAGGGGCATCGCTGGGAACCGAAGACGTGTTCTTGCGTTTGTATCTCCTGCTTCCAAAATCATCCATGGACTTGCGCTTCCCCAGGCTCCCTTTGGCCGACAACGGGGTGTTTGTTCTGGATCCAGGCACAGTGATGCCTGGTCCCGAAGGAGTCGAGGGACTTGAGAGAGTGGGTTTTGGTAAAATAGACTTGATCTTGGATTTCATCTTGTTCTTGTCCATTTTTGTGGAGTCAGAAAGACGTTGTTGAGTGGTAGAAAATATGGAGTATTCTCTATCAGGACACCTTCTTGTATTGGACAACAGTTCCAGGTGTTGGGATGTTGGATACTATCGCACGGTGGATGAAAACAGGGTCTGTTTGGATGGCGGAGGTGTAATGAAAGCAAAGAGTCAGATTCTGGAGTAATTCGCCTGGAAGTAGTGCTACGGCCCCTTGTGGGTTACCCGGCCATTACTGATGAAAAAGATAAAAATTTTCTCCGGTTTTTGCGGCGGCCCCGTGCAGGAGCGCTTATTAGGCCACTACCCAAAATAGCAGCCATTAGAGAGCAAAAGACGTGCTTTCCCACATTTCGCCCCCAAAATGGCTGGTGCTGCAGGCCGTGCATATTGTCCAGGTCATCTTGCTGCTGATCGTATAGATAATTGACGCAGCACGTGATGGCTCTCCCTGCAGCCAGTACCCGCCGGTGGCCATGACAGCCAAGCCAAGCCATTTGGCTAGCCGCGAGCTCGTGATGGCTAAGGGCAGGTCTTCCCAAAACTCTTGGCCCCGTTCAACTGCCGCTATTTATTAGCCTGTTCGGCATCGCTTGGATGTGCCGTATCCGTTGGTTTCAGGGTTCAGTGTTTTATGAGAAAAAGGAAGAAATATCAACAAATTTGCATATTCGGTCAAATAGCTTTGGGCGGCATTCCCCAAGTACAAGTGAGCAACAACAGACGAATGATTCGGAAGCAGGTAGTTCTGTTTGGAGTCGGAGAATCTAGAGATTCATATTACAGTTTGTGTTGGTCATGGTTCCACGCATCATAACTTCATTTTACTTCAAACACTTTGTTTTACACTGGTTAAACTAACACTACTGGGATTCTGATTAGATGTTTATTACTAAACCTTGCGTTAACAAACGAACACGCTGGACGGCACACGGCCGTAGGCCGTTCGTATTCTCATTATTCATATACGGTAGAGTGAGATCTCAGTGGCTTGGACCCTGAATTTTCGGAGTTTGTGAGACCTGGTTGATTTTTGGATCAGTCCAATGTTCAACAAATTGCACATTTTCACTCATCTCAGCACCGGGCCTCGACAGTTCCGAGCCACTAATTTTCTTCTTCTTCGACTCTTGGGTCTCCTATACCATCCTCATAGATGGCAAACACACACTCACTTTCGGGAAGACACGGACTGTCATAGATCTTGCAGATTCTGGTCTCTGCGCGTCCCTTCTTGAAAGACAATCTGGTGGTCGACGCGTGAGCGATGATGTTTCCACCAATTGGCTTCTTGGGATCTGGGTTGAACATGCCGGCCATTCCATCGACCTGAGCCACCACCTGGTTGGTGATGACCACGGCAATGCCGAACTCGTCTGCCAATCTCTGTAGAGTACGCATGTACTTTGCCACATGTGTCTGACGTGCACTAAGCTCACCTCTGCCGGAGTAATCGGTACGGTAGAGCGACATGATCGAGTCGACAATAAGCAACGAGAATCTCGATTCTGCCATCATTTGTGCTGCGAGCGAGAGGAGCTGGAGTTGGTGCTCGGCGTTGTAGGCCCTGGCGTAGGCCACGTTATCCAAGCAGTCGTTGGCGTGGAGGCCGTATCTCTCTGCGATCGACACCAATCTGTTGGGACGGAAGGTTCCCTCGGTATCGATATAGAGACACTTACCCTCACCTCCACCCATCTCCACTGGCAACTGGCAGGTGACTGCCAAAGTGTGGCAGAGCTGGGACTTCCCAGTTCTGAACTCACCGAACACCTCTGTGATGGATCCTGTTTCGATGCCTCCACCTAAGAGGGTGTCGAGCTGCTTGGATCCGGTGGTGAGACAGATGAGCTCCAGTCGCCTGGAGTGGAACTCGGAGGCGGTGGTGAAGCCGAGCGGCACGAGCTTGGCGGCCTCATTGGAGATCTTGTCTGCCTTTGCCTCACTGATGCCCTTTACGCCCACGAGGATTCTCTTGGGGGTGTAGGCGATACTTTCGATGGTGTGGTAGCCCTCAGCCTTGAGTTTTTTGATGTCGCTGGCGGAGATACCGTTGCCCTCGAGCTGCTCGATGAGGAGGGGGCCCAGGGCTGCTTCGTCGTCCTCGATCTGGTCGGGGCGTGCTTCTTCTGCGGTCATTGCAAGGTGGCGATGATTGTTTGAGACGCGTTTATGGCGCGACATCAACTGGTAGGTGCGACATCGAGTGTATCGCGACATCCCACCGGTGGGATGTCGCACGGTCTTTGGATCGATGAGATCAGGAAGCGAGACCACAAAACCCCGAGGTCGGGGTGTGAGCGCTGGCCCGCATGAAACAGCTCCATGCAACCGAACGACACTCGTGGCCGGATCCAGTCGAGGCCGGGGAACAAGAGGCAGGGAGGTGGAGGCGCTGGTGGCTAGCCCCACCAGCGGTTCTGGCCAGAAGCAGTCAAGATAAACAGGATGAAACGTCAAGATAAACAGTCTGGACCTTGAGTTCGGACTTGAAACCTTCTGGGGCCGTTGTGACGGGGTTCGGGGTGACGGTGACGGGGATATCGTACGCAGTTCCAGGACGTGCTGCACTGCGGGTGTCAACCACGCAGACTTGGGGTGCACGGCATAACAGGTGGATGGGGCCAACAATAGCGGCCGGGGGTGCGGACTCCCCGCGAGCCAGAATAGGAGGAAAGCTGGGGGGCCAAGCAGGCAGAGTAGGCAGAACACGCAGAGAAGACACCCAGAGACATCGAGACACCCAGAGACATGCTGAGACATGCTGAGACATCCAGAGACATCCAGAGCCACCACACAGAGCCACCACACAGTCGCCCAAGAATAACCTCTCCCGCCAGTGTCTACCCCCGGTGTAGTAACCCACGCCCTGTTGTCTCTGCTCGCTCGTGCCTCGCTAAGCGCAGATTTCCGCCCCCAGCTAGACGATGTGCCCCGTCGTGCCCTGTCCGTTTACCTTCCCAATCCAGCTCGTAACATGGTGCAATTCGGCTCCGGCGTGCGCGCCCCCAAACGTAAACACCGCCCCAGCCAGGAACAATCATTCCAGCACTTAGTCGTAGGGTATTGTTGTTGTTGTTTGGCGGAGCCTACTTCTTTTATACCGATTCATCTGCTTCTGTTCTCCATCTTGGCCTTCCACTTTTTCCCACGAAACACGCCATGGCCTCCCAGGTAATGATGATATCACCAGAGGTGGGCATGGACCAACTGGCCCACCAACTGGCCCACCAACTGGCACAACAAACCCATCCGCTGGCACAACCACTGCAACTGGCACAACCACCGGCTGCTGACCACCACGAATCCTCCTCCTCCGTCGCCTCCCCCGTCTCGTCGCGGGTGGCCAAGCGAGTCCACCGCGAGGTCCGTTTTGGCGCCTACATTCTAGGCTCTACCCTTGGCGAGGGCGAATTCGGCAAGGTCAAGCTCGGCTGGCGCAAGGATGGCAAGCACCCTTCGCAGGTGGCCATCAAGCTCATCAAGCGAGACTCCATTCTCAAGGACTCGGAGTCCGAAATCAAGATCCACCGTGAAATCAACTCGCTCAAGCTCTTGAACCACCCCAACATCGTCAACTTGGTGGAAGTCATGAAGTCCGGCAAGTACATCGGCATTGTGTTGGAGTACGCCTCGGGTGGCGAGTTGTTCGACTACATCCTCCACCACAAGTACCTCAAGGAAAACGTGGCCAAGAAGCTCTTTGCCCAGCTCATCTCGGGCGTGGACTACATGCATTCCAAGGGCTTAATCCACCGTGATCTCAAGTTGGAAAACTTGTTGCTTGACAAACACAAGAACGTCATCATCTCCGACTTTGGCTTCGTCAACTCCTACAACCGTGAAAAGAACGACCTCATGAAAACCAGCTGCGGCTCGCCCTGCTACGCGGCCCCCGAGCTCGTGTTGACCCAATCCCCTTACGAGGGCAGAAAGGTCGACATCTGGTCGGCTGGTGTCATTCTTTACGCCATGTTGGCCGGCTACTTGCCGTTCGACGATGACCCCGAAAACGAGGACGGCTCCGATATCGTTAGATTGTACCACTACATCTGCAAGACTCCGCTCACCTTTCCTAAATATGTGTCTCCGCTTGCTAGAGACTTGTTGAGAAAGATCATTGTTCCGGACCCCAAGAAGAGAATTTCCATGAATGAAATTAGAAACCATCCATGGTTGGCTCCTCACGCTAACTTGCTTTCGATCAGACAACCAGAATGGGACAGAATCCAAAAACAAAAGGATGACATCATGTCGGCTCCTACAAGACAAACGGCAAAGTCCCAAATGCCACCTCAGTACAACCAGAACAAGAGATTCTCCATGGTCAACGAACGCACCAACAGTTCTGCCCTTATGTCTAGTGCTACCAACTCGGTTCATCACACCTCTAATATTCAAAGTGCACAGTCCCATGGCAGATCTTATTCTTCTACCTCCATCAGTCAGCTCTACTCCTCTCCATCAACGTCGTTCTCGATGGCCAATGCAGTTGCTTTGCCAAAGACTGGTTCAACGGCTACTCCTGCGAACCCAGTCAATCCCGCTTCCCAAGAATCAAGCTCGGTCTCTAGTTCTCCAACAAAGTCCGGCTACGTTCCTGGCCATACAAAGTCTGCATCTCTTTCTACTTATCCTTTGGCGTCCAATGCTTTGAAAGCGGTGGTGATTGATGACAACAAGCGCAATTCGATGACTTCTTTGGAATCATTGAACCTTCAAATGCCTCCTCCATCCACCTCCCCTACAAACAAACATTATACCACCTCGAACAGTGGCTTCCACTTCCCACCTCCAACGAGTCTTCCAAGATCGACAACCTACACTGGTACCCCTATTTCAACCATTGTCGAAAGTCCAACCAAGAGACCAGAACAAAGTCCAATGCTTCCTCCTCCTGCACCATTGTCTACCAGATCAACCACTTCTTCTCGTGAGTCGAGCAGATTACCCCACTCAACTAATAAACCAAGACCAACGTCATACCACCCATCATCTATGACTTCGTCGCTCTTATCTGGAGGCAACGGTAGCACATCTGCATTATTGGACTACATCAAGATTCCTTCTCCAATCAACTTGCCAATTCCTCAGTTCCTTTCAACTTCTCCAACCAAGGCTTCGCCAGTGTCCGAGATGTCGGAAGAAACAGTCAGATCACAGCATAACAGCCCATCTCATCCTGCACCTTCAAGGAAGAACTCGGTGGTCACTCATGTACATGTGAATGGGGTATTGAGCAATGAAGGGGAGTCCCCAGACAACTCGAAGAAGAGGAACTCAGTGTTGAGTTACTTGGAAGACAAGATGGATCAATTGGATCTCACAGATGTGCAGGCAAGCCCTATCAAGGGTAGCTCCGCTTCACCCATCATTGGTGGTCCTGAAATCGCCTTGACTCCACAAATAAACCAGCTGCCAACATTTGATATTCAAACAGTCTCACCCACTGTCCAAACGGATGAAAAGGCACACTGGAAGGATAAAATTGCAAGTGCAACCCCCTCAAGAGAGGTCACACCTGAGTTTACCACAAGTACAGTGAAGGATAAGCATTTGAGCATGACTGTGGAGATGGTGCAAGAAAAGTCACAAGAAACTGTGGACTCGTTGCCAAAGAAGGATAATAGGCTTGAAGAACCATTGAGTGTGAAGCCGAAGACTAAAAAGAAGTCTCCAGCACCAGCTGTCGAGTCAAGGACCGAGAGGTCTATGAAGAAAATACTGAAGGATGAAGACAAAGAAAACAAAGAAGCCAGAGAAACCAAAAAGCGGAATAGGTTCAGTTTATTATCATTGTACAGTAGTTATAACACTCCGGCATCAGGAAACGGTAGTACAAGTGACGTCGCTACTACATCTACCACATCATCTTCTCCCTCGGTCAGTTCCAAGAAAGTGTTGGAGCCAACAGATTTGAACGTACCTCCTGCATCCTCAAATTCCTACAAGGAACAACAGAAAAGAATCCATTCCGGGTCTTCTTCTAATTCACGTAAGTCCAACCAATCTAGTACCGGCAGCTCTTCTGCTAGTGGCAAAGAAGCTAGTGCTGCTAGAAAGGTGATGGACTTCTTTAAGAGAAGAAGTGTGAGAATAGGTTAAATTGCCAGGATGTTTATGAGTTACGAATGTTTGTATTTTACGTCTATCCGATTAATTTTTAATTTGTTGCGCTTTTGATGACTGCTACTGATATAGCTAGATTGGGTAATGTACACGTATGAGTAATTGGCTTGTAGAGTTATCGACCGAGCTTGGCTCGGTTGCAAAGTGTAGGGTCTCGGCATAAGGGGAATATGGGGTAGGCAACATATGACTAATAGTACCAGGTCGTCCGCAACCAAAGCCACACACGTGACTGCCATCTATAATAGCTTACAAGAAGTGACAATTTCACTTAAAACTCATCAACATGGAAGAGGATATAGATCCAGGACTACTGAGCACGGGACCTCCACCCCAAGAGACTCCCAGAGGCTCACCGCCGCGAAAACCGTACCATCCTCATATCATCGACTTGGAGTCAGAGTACGAATCTGATTCCAAAGATGACCTAGACGATTCCGATTCTGAAGGCGCCGATGCCGCTGTTGCTGCTGAATCCGAGCCTGAATCCGAATCTGAATCTGATGACGACTACACCAACGAAACCCTCTCCTCGACAATCACCAGAGAGATCCAACAGGGGACATATGTCTGCCTAGTGTGTACCAGTGAGATCGACCACACATCCAAGGTGTGGTCGTGCCGCTCGTGCTATCGAGTTTACGATCTTGATTGTATCAAGGATTGGGCCATCAGGGGTTCATCCACAGATAAGTCCAGTAAGAACTGGAGATGTCCCTCTTGTAACATTGCCACCAACAAGATTCCTTCTCGTTTTACTTGCTGGTGTGGCCAAGTTACCAACCCGACCAACAACCCGTTGGTTCCCTTCAGTTGTGGCAACTCATGTACCTATAAGTATGAATCGTGTATTCATAGTTGTAGCTCCATCTGTCATCCTGGCTCCCATCCTATTTGCGGAGCCATGGGCCCAACTATGAAATGTCACTGTGGAAACATGCAGAAGCAGCTTCCTTGTCTCATAACTCCGTATGAGACCGGCTGGGCTTGCCCTGATCCATGTGAGGTCACGCTATGTGACTTTGGCCACAAATGCCCAAGAGGCTGTCATCTGGGCTTTTGTGGATTGTGTGACATTGACATTAATATCCTGTGCTACTGTGGCAAGGAGCACCTTGACATCAAGTGTAGCGAGAAGGACTTGAAAGAATGTCAAGACAAAGACGGCGTGCAGTGGGTAGGAGGCGTTGCCTGTTCCAATAAGACCCGGGTATTTTATGATTGCGAGGTTCACTTCGAGGACTATTCGTGTCAGCCATTATCCTTCGAATCAGCCGTGTGCAAAATGGCTCCTTCCCAAGTCACCACCTGCTACTGTGGAAAGACCACCATCCAGGACAAGGACAGAACCAAGTGTACTGATCCGATCCCCGAGTGTGAGTCTATGTGTGAAAAGCCATTACCATGTGGATGTGTCTGTTTGATGAAGTGCCACGAAGGAGAATGTGAATGCCACAACTATTTCGATGTGAAGTGCTCGTGTGGCAATGAGACATTCATGGTTCCATGCAAATTCATCCAGGACGGCCACAAGCCAAGATGCACCCATAAGTGTCAAGCACTTTTGAACTGCCGCAAGCACTATCACAGAGAACAGTGTTGTGCGTACGAACGGGTGGCCCAGGAGAGAGAGAGACACAAGAAAAAGGCAATCAGAAACAACGTCAGAACCAATTTCGAAGACGATATCATGTCTCTTGAGCCAGCCCATATCTGTACCCGTCCTTGCAACCGTTTGAAAGCTTGCGGGGCCCATTACTGTGAAGCTTTATGTCATAACGGGCCCTGTGGCGTCTGCCTTGAGTCCAGCAATGAAGACTTGGTCTGTCATTGTGGAAAGACCAGGATCGAGGCTCCGGTTCGATGTGGAACCAAGCTTGTTTGTCATGAGCAATGTGTGCGTGATAAAGCCTGTGGACACAGAAGAGAAATCCATGAATGCCACGAGGACTCTGTCAATTGTCCAAAATGTACCGTTTTGGTTGAAAAGGAATGCAACTGTGGTCTCAAATCAGATGTGCCTGGTGTTCTTTGTTCTCAAGATAACGTCTCGTGTGGTAACATATGTACGGTTGCCAAATCTTGTGGACATCCATGCTTGAGAGTTTGTGCGTCGAAGTGCACCAAGGACAACATTCACGATAGTTCAACCATTTGCAGAGCCCAGTGTAACAAGATTAGGAAGAGTTGTCCCCATACCTGCAAGCTCAAATGCCATCAGAACAAGTCTGGCAGAAGCAAGGACTGTGATGTTACCCGATGTACTGAAATGGTTACAGTCACGTGTGAATGTGGCAGAATTGACAAGAAAGTACCTTGTGGAAGCACAAGAGATGAACCAAGTAATATTGGAAACATCTTGGAGTGTGATGAAAGTTGTGCCCAGGCACAGCGTGATAGAGCCTTGAAAGAGGCATTTAGCTTCTCTGCTGAAGATTCAAAGAAGGTTTCCGATCAGGATTTCATTTATCCAGACTCCATCTTTGAAACGTACGAGAAGCAAACCAATTGGTGCTCTCGAGTCGAGAACTTGATGAGAGCTTTTATTGAGGACTACAATCTTCAATTAGACAACGGTATCAAATCACCTAGAAGAACCTTCCACTTCCAAGCAATGAGCAAGCCTCAGAGAGCTTTTATCCATGGCTTGGCAGAAACTATGAACTTGTATTCAGAGTCACAGGACCCCGAGCCAAAGAGATCAATTTTCATTGTAATTACCAGATTAACCAAGCTCCCAATCTATTCCATCACTGAGGCGTTGAGGCTCAGAAGGGAAGCTTTGTTTGAAGCATCAAGATCCGCGCTCACTTCTGAGGAAGTGAGCAATACATCTTTCAATGCATTGGTGATCCAAGATGTGTTCTTTGGAATTACTAAGGAAGACCTAGGAAATGCTTTAGCAAGAGTTGTCGAAGATTTCAGTCTTGCCAGCTATGTTCTTAGTTGGATCAAGGACTCTACCTTTGTCTTCTATTCTAAAGAGTTATTGAAAGCGGGTACCGAAGAGTATGTGCAAGAATTGACCAAATTGGTGAGTATTGTACGGTCACTTATGAGAGAAAAATCATTAGCTTTTGATTGCAAGTTGTGCTTGATCGACGAAGAAGCGACGATAATCTTGAAAACCGAAGGCAGAAAGCCACCAGCTAACGAGAATTCAAGTGCTGGATCCGAGAAACAGAGTAACAACATTTATGATGTTTTGGGAGAGGAGGAGATCGTCGCACAAAAAGCCGAGGACAAGACAGAAATATCCATGGATGGCACCACTGAGCCTGCTCTTGATTTGGAAAACGCAAAGAAGCAAGAAGACTCACAGGAGCCAGAAAATCCAAAGGAACCAGAAATCACAAAGGAGCATGATTCCACCAGCGATCAGTCGCTACAGGAATCGACTACATTAGAATCAGATGACTCGACCCATGTCGATGAAGCTGGTTCTGAAGACGTATCCAGTTAAATATGCATTTTGATAGTGCATGAGCTAACTATTTGCATCCGCAATTCTAGACAGTATGTACACATTTATTAATTACACAGTTTCTTGCTGTTTAGAAGCTTCTGAACTTGTAGGCTCAGGCTGTCCAGCATTTTCACTATCCTCTTTCTCCACGACAGCGGGTTTGGTGGATTCTTCTCCCTGGGTTTCACCATGGTCATTACCTTCACCTTCACCGTCACCTCCCTTCTTCTTGTGTCTTCTTCTCTTTTTTGGCTTTTCCTCATCGGCTTCACCAGGTTGTTTAGGTTCTGGCTTCTTCTTCTTTACACTCAAAGGATTGGGACCCTTTGGACCCTTTCTCTTCTTCTTTGCAGGGCCATCTTCCTCGGTTTTGACAGGCTTAACTTCTTCTTCCACAGGCTTGCCGGCGAACTTGGCGTCGTTCAATCCCTTAGTTAACTTCTTTCTTTCGAACCGTTCTGAAAACTTGGCACTGGCATCAGATAATGGCTCCATCACCATTACTGAACGGTTCATGTAGATCAATGGAACACCGGGGATCTTACGCAACAACCTTCTTAGATCGATGCTTTGCGAGGCTATGATGTATCTATGCTTGTTTTCTCCGTCTATGCTGGTGATAGACTCTATGCACTTATCTGGATTAATGGCTTCACGATGGTTACATTTTCTTCTCTCAAAGGTCTTGGCCACGTCAATAGCTCGCTGGTTCTTGCTATCGTACAAGGCTTGCATGCAGCACTGGGTGATCATAGGTTTGGTTTCTCCCTGGACAGTTCTGTTCAAACCTTTGTCTATTTCAAAAGAGGCATTGGTGCAAGTCAACACAAGTTCTGCATCCACAATGGTTTGATATGGTTCTCTGAATTTGAAGGTATGGAGGTAAACCACCATCTGCTTCTTGTAAGCTTTAGCTCTCTTTTGTCTCATGGCGTAGGTTGGAATAGATGGTCTAGTTTCAAGATATGCGATGAGGTTGTATGGATCCGGGGAGTGTATATAATGCGCACACTAGATAAACCCACCAAGAAGACTAGGTGGCTAAAAGGCAATCAGCAGCCGATGTGTTCATGCATATAGTGCAAGTGTAGTGCCATGCTCCTGATTGGCTTGTATTGGTGTTTATGGAACTTTCTAATTCGTACTGGTGCTTGATAAAACCTAATTTTTTCGAATTAAATTTATTGTGCCAGTTGATGCTAGTCGTCAATTTCTACAGAGTACCCTTCATTTCATCACAAATGTGTAGGTTACTTTATGCTGATCTATGTAATTTTAACGTGAATAAGCTGTGGGTACATGTTGTGAAATTGTACCCAAGCGACTCATTTTCTAGTTCCCTTTACAAGTATGGGAATCATTCCTCCAGTAGGAATGGTAAACTTCCTATGTCCGACCACAGTAATGAACGAGCGGATAGTGCCTGCGTGTGAGGTGATGGAGACGAAGGAGTTCTCACTATTGAATTGCAACTTGTCGTCCTCGAATAACTCTTGCAATACACCATTAATTCTCAAAAACTGCTGGTGGAGCTCTTCTCTTACTGGGTTGTACTTGACTGCCAACTCATCCGATTCCGTGAAACTAGGTTCAAAGGTCAAGAATGGGAATTTTTTCCCAATGTCAGATTTGGGAGCTCGTTGATGACACAAGTGGACACCAATAGTTTCCCGCAAATTCTCAAGGACAACGGGCAGAGGGATACTCTGGTCCTTCCAAGTACGTTCTAGGGTCTTGATCGAGCGCAGCAATGGCGACACGTAGAATTTCGTGGGAAATGGGGCTCCTTCGCGGAGTTGGTTGTTCCAAGCCACGCAGTTTTCATCGGCCTGTTTGACCCCTAGCTCGGTGAGTTCGGCATCGGGGCCCCAGGTGATCTCGTTATCGGTCCCTAAAAACCGCCATTTTGCAAACCACTCTTCTTTGGGGTATTTTTGCAGGGCTATGTTGTGCCATCCTTGCCCATGTCTGGCAAGGAAGAGCACTTTGTATGCCACGTTTGGAGGTGACTTCTCATTGAGCTCATCAACCTCTCTCTTCAACTGCTCCCAGGGCTTGGTGATGCCGAAGTTCTCGTTCACATAGTCGAATTTCATGTCATCTGTCTCGAGGGAAGCCTGCTTGAAGAAGCCTTGCACTGTTTCAAACCTCCAGTTGACATCACATTTGGCCAAATTTTGGAAGTAGAGGTCGTCTTGGTCCAAGTCGCCATGTGCATCCACCCGGTCTCGGGCATTGGGAACCATGGAACTCATTGCGGGTGTCGGGCCGGGGAATGTGTCGCAGCTAATGGTCGCAACTGAATGGTTCCTGGCTCAGCAGCGATTCATCCGCATTAGGCACAGTCTGCACTTTACGTCGGCCCAGCGCCAACGGTTTGCATGTTGCATGTGTTTAGCTTTACACGTTACACCTAGACCACCTCGACTAAAAAATCCACTTATCACTGTTTATCACGCCAACGAGGGTTCTGCAAGATGTCCGAGCAAGACGCCATGGACGAGAACCTGAAGAAGAGAAGTCATGAGCAATTGAATGGCGAAAACACAGAGCCTAAATCGCCAGCACCAGATACTACGGTCAAAACAGAGGAGAATGGCACTACCGAAGATGGGGTGGAGCCGAAGAAGGTGAAGCTCGAAGAGCCCGCTAACGGCGATGACAAGAATGACACAGAATCCAAACAAATTGACGCAACCAACGGGACAGCACAGGAAGACGCTCAAATCGTGGTTGTTCCACCAACTGTGCCCCAATTGTTTTACAGTCCTCTCAAGACGGGATTGGTTTATGATGTCAGAATGAGATACCACGCCAAAATATTCACTTCTTATTTCGAGTACATAGATCCCCACCCAGAGGATCCTCGCCGTATTTACAGGATATACAAACGGTTGGCAGAGGCTGGGTTAATCCAGGATAGTTCCTTGGCTGGTACCGAAGATATCGGTCCGTTGATGGTAAAGATTCCCATCAGGGAGGCTACTGCAGAAGAGATATTGGAGGTACATTCCGAGGCGCACTTGCAGTACATTCAATCGACGGAACTGATGAATAGAGAACAATTGTTGGAGGAAACAGAAAAGGGAGACTCCATCTACGTGAATAACGATTCCTACATTTCGGCCAAGTTATCCTGTGGTGGTACAATCGAGGCTTGTAAGGCAGTGATCGAAGGTAAAGTGAAAAATTCCCTTGCAATCGTTAGACCGCCAGGCCACCATGCCGAGCCCGATACTCCAGGAGGTTTCTGCCTTTTTAGCAATGTTGCAGTGGCAGCGAAAAACATTCTTAAGTCATATCCCGAGTCAGTCCGCAAGATTGTTATTGTGGATTGGGATGTCCACCATGGTAATGGTACTCAAAAAGCATTCTATGATGACCCAAGGGTGTTGTATATTTCGATTCACAGGTATGAGAATGGTAGGTTTTATCCAGGAACAAAAGCTGGTGGCTCAGACATGGTGGGTGAAAAGGAGGGTGAAGGTTACAATATCAACATTCCTTGGAGAAGTTCTGGCGTGCATGACGGTGATTACGTCTATGCATTTAACAAAGTTATCTTACCCATAATTGCAGAATTTGATCCTGACTTAACCATTGTCAGTTCTGGCTTTGATGCTGCCGATGGTGATATAATTGGTGGCTGTCACGTTACACCAGCAGGCTATGGGTTCATGACACATGCGTTGAAGGGAATAGCCAAGGGTAAGGTTGCAGTTATTTTAGAAGGTGGATACAACTTAGACTCCACTAGTAAGAGTGCTTTAGGTGTTGCCAAAGTTTTGGTGGGTGAAGTACCGGAGGACACAATTTCGTTGCAGCCCCATTTGGATACAATCGAAGTTATCGATGAGGTTTTGAAGATTCAATCAAAGTACTGGAAATCCTTGAAACAGGGCTTACCAGGAAAGTCGTTTGATGAGATTTATGATTTGTCCAATGAAAATGAAAGTTATAATCTTGTGAATATAGCTGAACCAATACGGTCTCATCAATTGTCGGACTTATTCAACAGACATTCCTTCATTAGCATTCCCATCATTCCAAAATTTACTGCCAATGAAAAATCTAATTCATTTACAAATGACTTGCCGCCAAACTTGGATGATATTATTGTTGCAAGTCCTAACATTTATGACTGTTCTATTGTAATTTTAACTATCCATGATCCTCCTGATATTTGGGCGAATGTCAACCCAATAAATGGAAATATAGAGGCAAACTCATCAATCGTTTTGCAACATCCCTTGACTCAGATTATGGCCAAAATAAAACAGGAGACCGAAAATAATGATTCCACGCAATCTAACGACAATATTGGGTATATTGATATTAATATTCCTTCATATCAATTTCCAATTCCTGCAGGCTCCTCTGCTTCAGGGCAATCTCGAAGCTATAACCCAACCATTTTTGCTCAAGAACTCTTGTTGTACGTCTGGGACAATTATTTAGCATACTTTTCCCAATTGAAGAAGCTAGTATTCGTCGGATTTGGTAATGCTTATCAATCAATTGTCCACTTGTATGGAAAGAGACCATCGCAGGAGATCAAGGAGTTGGTTAAAGGTACGGTTGCTTTCGTAGGAAGGTCTAGTTTGAAGTCATTAGTTTTGGCAATGGATGAATCAATGGTGGACTGGTACTATCAAAATTCAGTGGTATTTACGAGTTGTCTAAATGCTTGTTGGCAGGGTACCAATGGGACTATTGGAAGAGGGGCATCTGTTAAATCCGAAGCAAACGGTGCTGACGATGGAAGTAAAAGACCAAGAAGAAAATTCGGTAGAGTTTTGAGAGCCAATGCCGATGGACTTTTTGATGTGATAAATGAAAAGTTTGATGAAGGGATGGATTTCATTCTTGATTCGATCGAGGATTACTCCTCGAGTGATACCAATAGCTAGAAGAAAGTGCCAAGGGAAGTTGTTACTGCACTGACAAATTTATTTTACCCGAAGCATGATTTAACTGGTTAGTCGCTTTCTTTGACTGTATGCGAAATCTGCAGAGAACTACAATAATGAAAAGACATTACAGATATGTTGTTACATCTTTACAACAATACTCAGAATAACCATCATCTTGATTACGTTTGAAAGTCTGCCGGATAAGCGCTCCCAAATGACTTCTATACCTTGTACTCTATCAATAAATGTATAATTAGGACTGAAGCCGAATACTATAATGCTTATACGTAACTAGGGAATCTTTTAGAAAATTGCTTTTCTAAGTCGTCAATGTCTGGAACCGATACATCGCTGGAAGTGCTGAGCCTTCTGTTATGATCGATTTCTGACTGTCCCGTTTTAAGATGCTTAGGTTTGACAGGCTTGGGAGGTACCTTCTTATACGAAGAAGAAGTAGACAATTTCAGGGAGGGTTTTGGAATACTAGTTTGTATGCCCTTTGCCAACGGAACACTTGATACTGAGATAGATTTCTGTACTGGTTGGCGAGGGGCCTCGGGCACCTTCTGTCTTAACTTCCTTGTGGATAAACTATCTGGCACTTTAGGAGGAGTTAAATTCTTTGATCTATACCCATTATATTGGCTATCCTCTTCGGAACTTGAAACATATTGGGTACTATTGATGGCATCAATATCATCAACATCTTTAACTTCCGTATATTTGCCATAACCTTCAGCTGTTCTTGGGGTCGTTTCTTGTGGATTCATCAACAACTGCATTCTCCTTTGTATTGACAATTTTTTAGCTGGTTCTGGAGCTTGCTTGTCAGTCATTGATTCTTCAGGACTACTACTAGTTTTTCTGAAACTGTTTCCAGTTAAAAGTTGTTTGATAGAGGTAATGCTTGATCTTTTAGACCTCGACTTTGTTTGGTCATGTCCAGTGTGATTTTCGTTGATACTGTTACCCGTGCTTATTCTTCTTAAATTATTCTTCAAAGAGGCCTTGAAGCTTCCTCCTGTATTCTGCCTTGAATTCACTTTATGTGATTCTTCTTCTTTACTCCTCAAGAATTCTAACATACTACCCTTTTCATCTTCCAACCTATGTCCAAGATCATCACTGCTTCTGTGTAATGCTTGTTGGACATAATTCTGTATCGAAGTTGAGGATTTGCTTTGGGGCTTATCATTCAAGTAAATACTCTTTGGTCTCGATGCCTCAGGTGTATTTTCTTTCTTGGGAGTGGAGTAGGTAGACTTTGGTCTTGGTTGCACTTTACCAACAGTAGGGAGATTCACGGTTGCGGATTTCAAATATTTCAGCTTATCTATCGAAGAGAAAGGATCTGCAGGCTTGTTGTTCTTGAGATGGTGCTTAGTATAATCTTCCTGTGGACGCAGTGGCAATTTGGGTTGGTCTTCCTTTTCGGTGACGAGCTTGCTATGTTTGACACTGTATGGAATAACACTAGGAACTTGAGTACCCATCATTTGAGCAATTTCTCCTAACAATTGCACGGCATTAGGCCTCCTTCTGGGGTCTTCTCTGAAGCAGCATTTGATGATGTTCTTTAGTCTAGGAGAAAACATCAGGCCAGGACGATCATGGAATCTCAAGGTTGTCCCACACGAAAGAATTGCAAGCTCCAAATCTTCCATGGATTTTTGATTAGGCAGCTCGAAGGGAGTTGTGTAGTAGCATAGCTTGTAGAGGAAACATCCTAAGGCCCAAATGTCCAGTTTGTCGTCTATGGGAAAACCTTTGGATAAGTCTATCATCTCAGGAGCTCTATACTGAGGAGTGGTGTGGTTCATTATGTCGTCTTTCGTAGCATGTAGCTCCTGGGGGGTTTTTGGAGCGGGAATGTAGGGGACGGATGAGCCAAAGTCACATAACTTGAATACTCCCTGGGAGTCTATGAGCACGTTTTCTATCTTGATATCTCTATGAATTAATGGAGGATCCAAGTGGTGGCACATGGCAACACCGATAGTGACTTCAAACATGATCTTTAGGATCTCGGGTTCCGTCAACTTGTCCACAAGCCTGGTGTTCATGAGATCAATCAATCCGTTGTTTTCACAGTACTCCATGAGCAAGAACACCTCGTACTGCTGGTCCGTCGAGTTTCCGTTGGAGCTCTGCCCACCAGGAGCACCGGCAGCGAGTCTTGATGCATGCGAATCAATGTATGATACTATGTGTTTGTTGCCTCTGAGACGTCTCATGGCGTCCACCTCTTGGCGGAGCAAAGTCAACTGCCATTTGTTGGGGACAACCACCCGCTTCAAGCAGGCGATGGACGATCCGTGAAAAGGCGGGTCAATTGTGCATGTGTAGACATATGCAAACCCACCTTCGGAGATGTATTGGATAATGGACACATTGTGACTTCCCACAGTCAACTTGGTGCCACTGGCATAGGCATTCGGAGGAGGGACTGGCATAGGGGATATGTGGCTGATTCGATGGCAGTAGAAGCCGAAGAGCCGTAGGTAAGATGGTATGGGAGGCCCGCTCTGTGGGGTTTGATCGGCTGGTGATGTGCCTAGGGTTGGTGTTGGCGTTACGTAACTAGTGATTTTCTTGATCACGCTTGGTAGTGCACACAGGCGTATGGGTAGTAGGAGATATTGGCAAGGCAGGGACAAATGCTAAGCAGCAGGCAAGGGGTGCGAGTAAGCGGTGGAAAATGTCTGGGCAGATCTCGTGGGGGCTGCGGGGAAGCAACGGCGGGGCCTGTTCCTTGCTGGTGATACCTGGCATGGTGGGGATGGATGGGCGCAGTTGCGGCTGAATCAGCGCTGACGTAATATGCCACGAGACAACGGAAATAGTCAATCGTAATAATTAACAGTATTTGCTATCGCACTATCGAGATGTATCACCTCTCAATGTTCTTAGTTAGCAAAGTGAATATCACGCCTCTACTAAGCAGATGTATCATCCATTAATGTTCAGCTCAGATAGCAATGTACCTCTCGATGCACTTCTTATTTTGTTGGTGACCCTAAATAGTGCTCCTCAATATTTCATGTAGTTTCAAAACTAAGTAAAAGACAGTTCAATCCGAAGAGTTCACTAGAGATAAAATTATTCTAACAAAGAGTGACTCACTTTCACCGCTTCAATCCAATGCCTTACATATCTAGTTTATTTTATCTTCGTATGGTTATCCAACCCGATACAATCGAAAAGATGGAATCACTCTAGTCACGTCCATACATTGGCGGCATGAAGATTAAAGCATAGAGGAAATTCTTTGGGGAATAGAATTACTTTTGAAATCGTTGAACCTAATAAAGAGTTAGTTTCAAGCCACACTACTGTACAATGTTAGTATTGGGGTATGCACTCGGCTATTGAACCCTTGCTTTGATTCTTCATGTTATTATAGTTCCTGGCTGCTTATTAGTGTGGCTCTCAAACGATGGTTACACCTTGGAACGCAAACCCCGCTACCGGCCCGGAGCATGTAAGGTCACCCAGGGGCGATACCGGTTGTAATTACCACTACCAGTTGCCGCTAGTAGGACCGCAAAAGGCACTCCGAAGGATGTGCCGTTTAATACGAGGTGGTTCATGCGGCCCGGTTAGGCAATCTCTCGTGGGAACGGCGGTCTCCGTACCTGGCGGGATAGCGGGCGGATACGGCAAGATCGTTAATACGACATGCAAGGTATGATAATACCGGGAGCAGGAAATTCTGCGGGTGCATTCTTCGCTGCACGGCAGGCGTTTGTGTTAGAAGGGGATTCGCCAATCTTCTATTACGTAAGCTCACACCATGAATTATGTAAGCAAATAAATTTATGGGTGTGCGATGAGCTAGGCAACCACCATACGATGAAGCTCTACTTCGAGGCCGAACAGTTCCTCAAGCCCAACGGCAGGACAAACGGAAGCTTGCAGTCCCGCATCTTCAATGACAAGAAGCTCACCAATTCGCCCAAGCACGTGTTTGCCGTGGTGTACTCCACCCTCAAGTACAAGGACTACATTGTAGAGGTGATACGGAAGTCAAAGATCAAGCTGCAAATGGTCAAGCCCAAGGTCAGCGAGGAGTTGTTGATGCTCCTCGTGCACGACTTGTTGTTTTCGCCCAAGGGCCGTATCCAGCTGGGCAAGCATCCTATCAAGGACGCCTTTCTCAAGCACCGCACCCGGCTCCAGGCCGAGTTCACCAAGCTCAAGTTGCGCTACAAAGTCAAGGCAGCTTCTGAGTTGCCCACCGAGGAGGCTGACGGCGACGAGACCCCTGTCAGGTGGTTCCGGATCAACACCATCAGGTGCGACAATGCTGCGGTGGCCAGCCAGCCCTGGTTCGGTGCGCTCCAACGGGTGTCCAGCATAGACGAGATCTGCCAGCCAGGAGTGATATACCACGACGAGTACATCCCCCATTTGTACGGAGTGCACCCGCGCGAAAAGATAACGTCCACCCAGGCGTATCTCGACGGACAGATCATCATCCAGGATCGGGCCTCGTGCTTCCCGGCTCATATCTTGAACTACACGCCTCACCAACACATCATCGACGCCTGTGCCGCTCCCGGCAACAAAACCACCCACAATGCCTCGTACGTAGCCGCCAACGGCGTGGTGTATGCGTTCGAGCGCGACCCCAAACGAGTCAAGGTGCTCAAGCTCATGTGCGACAAGGCCACTGGCCCCCAGCGCAAGTTGATCCAAATCACGAATGCCGATTTCACTTCTACAAACCCTTCGGACTTTGATCTGGTCACTGGACTAACCGTCGATCCTTCCTGCAGTGGGTCAGGCATTTTTGGTCGTGCCCTTGAGGAACAGGACAAAGAAGAAATCGATACCGAACGGTTGGCCAAGTTGGCGGGGTTCCAGTTCAAGATAGTCAAGCATGCGTTGCTGTTTCCTGGCGCCAACCGTGTGGTGTACTCCACTTGTTCCATCCACCCGCACGAAAACGAGCGGGTGGTGGTGGACCTACTCAGCGATCTGCAAGTGCAGGCCCAGGGCTGGAAATTGGATTTGCGCAACCGGGTGCTCCCCAAGTGGCCCCGCAGAGGCTGGAAAGAGGAATTCTCCGCGGTGGCCGGCGGCGATGAGGCCAAGATGGAGGAGTTGGCGGGAGGTTGCGTCAGGGCCGTGCCCAAAGAGGATGGAGGTATCGGGTTTTTTGCGGCCTGCTTCACCAGAGAGCCCCGCTCCACCGCTTAGCGGACGCCTCGTATGTTGCTGGCTGCCCTTTGGCGAGGTGGCCCTGGCTAAACCATCTGGATTCCTCTGCATAAGTATCGAGTATAATAATAGTATTAATGGTATTATTTAGCCTTACCACTGGTTGTGCACAATCAGGGCTTTTGTGTAAGGGCCTGTGTGCTGAGCGCGGGCCATGAAACTAGTGGCCTTTGTTGTGACACGCCGGAAATGCACCGGTGTGATCTATCATCCAATGGAGCGCCGAGAATTTCCTCCTGTCAGCTGTCAAGTGAGGAAATTAGGTGAGCCGCTCGTAGATGGCACGATCACGGGGATTGGGGTAGATAGCGAGTGTTGTCACCGTGATAACTGTGGGCCGCCAAGATCACCAGACCCTTGGTTGTAGCTGCCGATGGGCCCATATCCCCTGGTTCTGGCGGCCTTCTCTCAAATGCCGCTAATAATAGCGCGCACCGCCAAGTATGTCAAAAGCTAATTCGGCCCGAATCGCGCTTGATGGACGTCACTTTTGGCACACCTTCCAGTCAGCTGGCGGTCCTGCCCTGGTTTACGAGCCCGATAAAGGCCCCCACACACAATTGCCTAGCGATCGTCCTCCGATACTCAGGCAAACTCTCCGCTTTTTCCATGCGGAGACCCGTACTTCCGAAAATGTGTGCCGTTTAATTTTGGAGCCGTTCCTCAAACGGATTGCTTCAACAATTACCTTATCTTTCATAATACATTTTGGATATTTTAGTCCAGATCTAGCGGGAAGTGGCTTTGCCCGGAATGCAACGCCAAATGCCTCAATAGATTGTGATGCCGTCCTGTTCTTCCGGTACCTCTATCGCTATTCAGCTCGCCAATGTGTGTCATTCCATTCCAATAGTCTAAACTCTCATGCACCGTATCAGCCCTTTAGAAGGACAAGAAGAAATGGGGAAAAAAATAAATGCACAGCGTGCATTTAAAATAATTAATTCAGAAGATTGATATCGATACTAACTCTGTTATCAATGTCGGCAAAATTGTGGAATTGGGGTAGCTTGTATAAATAGTGTTGGAATTGCTTGCAATTAAGCACCACTTAGCTTTTCTTTTCAACCTTGTCTATAGGCTTCTTTAATCAAAATGGACAAGATTAAGGATTTGCTTAAGAGCAAATCGGTCGACGAAGAAGTCACCGTTGTCAAACACCCAGACTTCGAATCTGGTGACGAAAAGCTCCCAGTTAACTTGGCTGTCTCCAAGTCCCAGGAATTTGACCCAGTCACTTCCAACCTCCTCAGTGATGTTCTTAATGATGATTACGCAGCTATTGTTGTTGAAGATGATTCTCCTTATGCTGAAGTCAGAGCTTCCGTTCCTTCCACTGATGACCCAACCCTTCCACAAAACACCATCAGAATGTGGGTCATTGGTATGATCTTGACCACCCTTGGTTGTGGTATGAATCTTTTGTTCTCATTGCACGCACCATCTTTCAACATTACCACCTACGTCACATCCATCTTGGCTTGGCCAATGGGTAGATTATGGGCTTGGTGTATGCCTAACATTAACATCTTTGGTATGCCTCTTAACCCAGGTCCTTTCAACATCAAGGAACACACCCTTATCACTATTATGGCTAACGTCTCCTTCAGTTCTGGTCCAGCCTACACCACTGATATCTTGCTTTCTCAAAACAGATTCTACGGTTCTGATTTCGGATGGGGATTTGACCTTCTTGCTGTGTGGAGTACCCAATGTATTGGTTTCGCCTTTGGTGGTGCTGTCAGAAAGATTTTGGTTGAGCCATCTTCTGCTATTTGGCCATCTAACTTGGTTACCACCACTTTCTTAACCAACATGCATATTAACGAAAATCACCCAGCTGATGGTTGGAAGATTTCTCGTCTCTTATTCTTTACTTTCGTCTTTATTGGATCTTTCGTTTACTACTGGTTCCCAGGTTTCATTTTCCCAGCCTTGTCCAGTTTCTCTTGGATCACTTGGATCAAGCCAGACAACGTTATTCTTGGTCAACTTTTTGGTTCATCTACTGGTTTAGGTATGTTCCCTAACAGTATTGCTTTGGACTGGAACGCCATTGCTGGTTACGTTGGTTCTCCATTAATTCCACCTGTGAGTACCATTGCAACTATCTTTTCTTCCATTGTCATCATTTTCTGGATTATTGTTCCAGCCATTGCTTACTCCAATGTTTGGTACTCTAAATACTTGCCAATTTCCTCTGCTTCATCTTGGGACAGATTTGGTAAGCGTTACAATGTCTCTAGAATTATTGACAGAAAGACTTTGACTTTCAACCAAGCTGCATACGAATCCTACTCTCAACTTTACTTGGCTCCAACTTTTGCCATTTCTTACGGTTTGTCTTTCGCTGCCATCACTTCCACCATTGTGCACACTGTTTTGTTCCATGGTAGAGAAATCATCCAACAAATCAAGCAACAAGAAAAGCCAGATGTCCATCAAAGATTGATGAAAGCATACACTCCAGTCCCAGAATGGTGGTACCTTATTGTTTTCCTTATCTTCTTTCCAATGTCCATCGTTACTATCAGAGTCTGGAACACTGAAATGCCAATTTGGAGTTTGGTTGTTGCTTTGTTGATTGCCGTTTTCTTCTTGCTCCCAGTCGGTGTCATTTACGCCAGAACTAACATCGCTGTCGGTTTGAACGTTATTACCGAGTTCCTTGTCGGTTACATGGTTCCAGGTAAGCCACTCTGTATGATGTTCTTCAAGACTTTCGGTTACATTACCAACAACCAAGCCGTTACCTTTGCTCAAGACATGAAGTTAGGTCACTACATGAAGATCGCTCCAAGAACCTTGTTTGCTGCTCAATTTGCTGCTACCATCTGGGGTTCTTTGGTTCAAGTTGCTGTTTTGAGATGGGCTTATGGTGCCATTGAAGACTTGTGTGCTCCAGATCAAAAGAACAATTACGTTTGTCCCGGAGGTACTGTTTTCTTCAACTCCTCTATCATTTGGGGTGTTATCGGACCACAACGTCAATTCTCTCCTGGTCAAGTTTACTATAAGTTATTGTTCTTCTTCATTCTTGGTGCCCTTCTTCCAATTGTCTCGTGGCTCATTTTGAAGAAGTGGCCAAACTCTCCAATTAGATGGATGAACTGGCCAGTCTTCTTCTCTGGAACTGGACAAATTCCACCAGCCACCGCATACAACTATGCATCCTACTGTGCTGTCGGATTGTTCTTTGGATGGTTCGTCAAGAGAAAGTGGTTCCACTGGTGGACCAAATATAACTACTCCTTGTCCGCCGGTTTGGATATCGGTTTGGCTTGGTCCTTGTTGATTATTTTCTTGTGTTTGAACTTAACGAACACTGAAATGCCATCCTGGTGGGGTACCACTGTTATCGACACCCTCGAGGCTAACGGTAAAGCCATCAGACATCCATTGGCACCTGGTGAATCATTTGGTCCATCCACTTGGTAAACCTGCAAAATTATCTAATTTAATTCTCTCTTGTGAAGTTTTGTCACCTAGTATGAGTTTAATCCTAATAAGCAAATAGCTCAGATATCTATTGAATGTAGTTTGTATGGATCGCCATTGTTAAACTCCTGATGTTTGACACGGAGCACCCGCTTAATACCCAAGATTGTACGTGTTGGCGTAATGTCTTCGTCTTTCAATGTGTGAATATACTTTCTGGGGAATTTTGATTTGTTTGCAAATTGAGTTCGCATTCGTCATTAATTCGGCTAACGGCCACAGTGCCGTTGAACATGGGATCAATAGCTGTTATTAGAAGTTCAGTTTCCAAGTAGCAAATCCATCTAGTTTCCTTGTAGGAGACCTTGAGTTGACTTCCTGATAATTCAAGTATTCAGATGCTGATGTCTGCAATGTGTAACGATGATCCCCGTAGATAGCAGCATTGCCACCCTGGTCCATAAATGCTTTGTCAGGCCCCTAACGGAATCCATACAACTGGCGATGTGAGCAATCTAAAGCATGTATTGTGTCAGTTTTTCAGCTGTGTTTCGCTTGCAGCTTGGCGTCAAGTATTATGATCTAGTGCATTCTTCTCTGCAGTAGGAGTACAGAGAGATGATCGACAAAGCCCAAAGCAAGAAGAGTCCAAAGAACCCGCAAGTAGAGGCTGAGTATGGGCCCGTATCAAAGCTCTTATCCACTAGCTAGTTCTACAGTCGGTTAGTTCCGCAGCTACTGATACCACTTTGGCAGTTTACTCTAGTACTCAATGGGGGAACATGATAAATGCAATGTACCTGGCAGACCCCGATGTGCGATCCGAATCCAAGCTTCTGTGCATGACTTATTTGAAGTTGACAGAATGCATGTAGAGCTGAATTGCATCATGTCAATGCATAAACCATCTGCTGGTTAACTTAGTTTGCATGCAGGTACCCAATCCATCAGCTTGAGTTGCCCCCTTTTGATTGTCAGAGGTAGACTCTCACTGGCAACTAAATGCCAGTTACCCTTTGGGTGGTCAAACTGAGTTATAAACAGTGTATTGAATCCAAAAGCACGCATCTGCAGATTTTAGCAACCTGCTTGTCATTCCGCCTGCTCCATTATGCGAGCAATAACTACAATAGAATTGGAATTTGATTGCCTGGATGGTCTAACAACGGTCCATGCTTGGAAGCACTGTCGATCAAGATGAGAAAATGTAGGAATGAAAGATAGGTGGAGTTTAATGTTTAATAATGGACCGTAATCCATCTTATGGTTATCTTAAACTCTTATACCAGCCAAATTTTCGTGGTTTGCCAGGTATATTACTGTATTAAAAGTTTTGATGCTATTGTTAAGGCTGTCAATGCTGCAGAGGTTTCAATTTTCGTGTGAGGCATGCAAGGAACCTTACATTCGTGCAGCTTACATAGCCTTCTACAACAACCTGCAATTTGCCAGCTCATATACTTCATCTATCTAAGCCCGTTTGCACCCAGAATCCTGGGTTGAAACTTCAGTGCGTTTATGATCTTGACACAAAGCTGCAGACTGACAGGAGGTTTTTGCGACCACGCATTTTTTGCACCCATAATAAGGGTATAATCAGAGATCTCGCGAGATCCATAGAACGAAAAATACTAAGAATAAATGGGATCTGCTGGTTAGCTGCAAAAGAGCAAAGGATCTGGAAGGCGCGCTCCTGTGTCTGTGTACTATATACTTACTATGTAAAACAAGAATCGTTCTGCCCTTTTACCCAAATCTTTCTTCCTACGATCAGCAAATAAAACGTTGCAATGTCTATGAATAGAGATACTACCAGTCCCTGCTCTGAACCATCGTTGCCTGGCAATGCGGTTAAGACCTCGGGGTCTCCTCAGCTTTTGGAATCGCCTTCTGTGAGCGGCTCCGCTGATCTAGCGTTGAAGCCAAGGTTACTGGAGTGCCATCNCACCAAGCTGACAAGTTTCCTGCTCTTCCCTCCAAGAAGTTGGTTGGGAAGAACATGGCTGTCCCTCCTTCCAACAAGGAATGGGCCAATGGTGTTTGTGGTCGTCTCAACATGACCACTTCCTCTTTTGAAGAGAAGGCTCCTCACCAGAGCAGAACCCCTGGTGCAATTGCACCCACTTGGGCTGAAGCATTGTTTGAAAAGAAAAGCTCTCCAACGAAGAGCGAAGCTTCCAAGTTGCGCGAGAAGCAGTGCTACACTGTGAAGAAACGCTCCAAGAAAACTGGAACTAAGGTTGATGCTGGTATGGAAATGCCAACCAAGGCTACTGAAGTTGATAATGGTATGATTGAGCCAATTGTGGCTGCTGAAGTTTCGGAGGAAACTAATGTTGATGTTGGTATGGAAAAGCTGTTTGTGGCAGGTGAAGTTGCAAAGGCAAAAAATGTTGATGAAGGTATGATTGAGTCAAGTGAGTCTACTGAAGTTGATGACGGTGTGATTGAGCCAATTGTGGCTGCTGAAGTTTCGGAGGAAACAAATGTTCATGTTGGTATGGAAGTGGCAAATGATGTTTCGAGGGAAGAAATTGTTGATGGTATGGAAAAGCCAAGTGAGGCTACTGAAGTTGATGCTGGTATGATTGAGCCAATTGTGGCTACTGAAGTTTCGAAGGAAACAGCTGTTGAAGTTGGTGTAATCAAGTCTATTGCTTTTGCTCGCATGATTAATCCTAATGATTGTTTAAACATTAGAGCACCTAAATTTTCCAAGAGCAGGGCCAGAAAGAACAAAAAGAAGTCCGGAAAGGCCAAAAAGGCCAAATCCTCCTGTTTTATTGAACACATGGAGAATGAAAAGGGACACCAAACAAATGATGAAGTTGATGCAGACATTGCCCACTTAGAGACCGATGAGCTCGACACTCATGCAGACACTTCGCACTTCGACACTGTTGAGGAAAACACTCCTGACGTTGCTGAAGAAGATCCAGGCATTTTACACTTAGACACTGTCGATGCCGATACACCTGAAGTCGATGCTGAAGAATTAAATTTCTTCTTGGACCTAGAGACCATCGAAGATGTCGAAGAGGCCGACACACCTGAAGTTGATGATGAAAAAGTAAAATTCGTCTTGCGCTTAGAGACCATTGAAGAAGTCGAAGAGGTCGACACGCCTGACGTTGATGCTGAAGAAGTCAAATTGAATTTGTACTTAGGGACGACCGAAGAGGTCGACACTCCCAGCGTTGCTGCTGAAGATGATGCAGACGCCACGCACTTCGAAGCTAAAGCTAATGGAAAGGCAACCGATACTTGCGTTAATGTTGAAGCTACCCAAACCCTTACGCAATTACTAGGCATTGGGATGGTCACTAGTCCTTGCTTTGATGAAGTTGAAGTAGTTGAAGTTATCACGCCCTTGGTTGACATTGGGATGGCTACCAATTCTAGCGCTGAAGCTACTAAAACTCTTATGCAAATACCGGACAGTGAGATGACTAACCAACCCGATGCAGATGCTGCCCAAAGTACCATGCTAGCGAAGTCTAATGAGGCAGACACTCATAGTATTGAGGTTCTTGAGACTGCAGAAATCCTTTTGCAATTAGCAGCCAGTGGAAGTTACACAAACAGCGCCGAGGCACAAGACATTACCTATATGCCAGACAGAGGGAAGGATACCAACCAGAGCAATGTCTGCTCATTACCTCCATTGGAGTTGGAAGCTGATGCAGCGACTGACGCTTTTGGAGGAGGCGGTACAATTGAAACAGTTCACTTAGAAGGCTGTGCAAACACAAACGAATTTTCCGATGCTGCTCCACAAGATTTTATTGAATTACAATCATTCGTGAAGGAAAACTATTCTAGCAAGAATGATTTCATTGGGACGGGATCTGAATTAGAAGGGGTGGTCGAAAAAACTGGCGAACACCTTCTTGAATTTCCCATGAACTTAGCTTCCAGTGGAAAGGTAAACCATCCTAGCCTTGAGTTCCTTCGGGATATTATGATTACAATTCTTGTTGTTCTTCTTGTATGGAGCATTAAGAATAGTGTCATTCTAAAGGCCTACTTATTCTATTACCTCTTCATTCTGGATTCTGGAATGAATTTCACTCCTGGAATGTCCTGGAACTTTGGATCTTTGTGTGAAATTGATTACACCGCTCATGTTGATGTTTTGGAGGGTATTCCCAAGAGAGAAATAATGGCTGAGAGCACAGACGTCCCTGACGAGGTTGATGTCCAACTTTCTCCTAGATCTTCAAACTTGGTTGAGAACCCCGAGGCAGATTATGATGAAGGCGTAATACCATTTGATCTGAAAGAATTATTCACGAAATCAGACTTACATCTTGAGACTCAAGATATCGTTTCTGTAACCAAAAATTATCTTCAAGTTTTCCCTAACGGTCTCGCCTTATTTTCCAATGAGCAGGCAAGTACACTCCAGTTCCAGGGTCTTGATGCTAGTGTGAGAAGTTCTCCAATCATAAAGTTAGACTATTTCTCGAATGGGTCCACATCGCCTACCAAACTTTCCTTGAGAAGTTTCAAGCCTGTCGATACATCAGCAAGTTTTGAGGGAAACTCCAAAGATGCATACTTCCTTTTAGAGGTCCAACAATCCATCGATGCACTTGAACTTGATTCTACTCACCAGAATGTACTAAATCCAGAACCTAAGTTGGACTGGATCAAACACTCCGAGGCATACACCGAGGCAAGAGTTGGGGGACTCGAGCCTAGGTATGCAACGAGCAGTGGTATTGAATTTGGTATGATGGTAGTAGTAGTTCTCCAGTTGCTAGTGCTTATGGTGGATTGTGTGGTTTCAAAGACTTCGTTTCCTCGGTTTCAACAACTTGGCTTGTGGACAGCATTCAGCATTGTCTCATGGCTTTTATTCAGATAATAAGTTGATTTTGGTTTATTTAAGGAGTTTAAAAACAGACATGAAAAAAGACTCTTCAAGTGTTATATTAGTTGGTTAAATTGGTTGGTTAGATAGGTTGGTTATAATTGTTGGTTATAATTGTTGGTGATATTTGTTGGTGATATTTGTTGGTGATATTTGTTGGTTAAATTTGTTGGTTATAATTGTTGGTTATAATTGTTGGTTATATTTGTTGCTAATACAGCCAGGTCGAAGTGAAAATGACAGTGGAATGACACTGTAGTCACACTTTGGGAAAATCCAGCCTGCGGGGGGCGGTGCTTTGGTTAACACATTCGACGCTTGCTAACAAAATTATTAATTGCATATACTTTTAAATGTCCGTCACTGACGGATCACTTTACATTTTTTATAGTAATCAAATTTTCGAGACTCACGTAGGACTTATTGCTTTCTCTAGAGGTTTATTGTAATATTTCTAGGGAGGAAATAGTTAAGTTGCAAATGAGGCTAGCTATTATGACAATACTGTGCCTTGAGGTTTGTGCGATTTCCTAGCCAGAGTATAGGTATATTTTTTTGTCTTGGTGTGAGGTTGAGGAACCGGAAGCGGTCCTGTGACAAGTCACTAGTGACCTAATTAACTTCGATGCTTGGCTTCCGAAGACAGCCTTTTGAGCAGTAAAGCTAACAAGTCCAACTACAATACACATCTGTCAAACATCACTGCAATTGCCCCATTGGACAAAATTTTTTGACTGGTTCTGAAGATGGAATAATTAGGAATTAGCACATTGTTAATCCTAAAGGATAGTTCAGAATCTAAGTGATACTAGTGAAATAGCAACCCCAGACTACACATATCCTAACACTTCAAAGTGTTTGAGGGAGAACATATCAAAAATCAATCCATTGTAGTTGATACGATTCTCAAGATAAGGGCAAACCGAAGTTGACAGGTACGATCGTACGGCATAGGGGAAGGCGAGAGAAAGTGTCCAGCCCGTATAGTCTTTGTTGCTGGTGGAACGACCTGGGCCTCTTCAGGACATCTGGCTTGATATTGACCGTCAAGGCGGACCCTAGCAGTTCTGTTGACATTGAACAATCCGGTACGAACCAATACATGCCATACTAATCCTTACATGTGATCCCAACACAGATAAGATCGTTCTGTCTACTATTCTGTACGACCAACCATTGCTGAGCCCCCTAGGCACCAAAAAACCCCCTAACCTAATCAGAAGTCCGCTCGACGCGCCTCAGACTCCAGCCAGAACCTGTCACCGTTCAAAGCCCGCTGGTGTAGATATTGCCCAACCACAGCCTTGACGGTTGGAACTAGGATAATTTGCACGTTACAGACAACATGCAGTTATCACACGCTCGCTGTCTTGTCCAACTACCATCTCATCGCTGCACACAAGGAATGGCAGAGCCTCCCTCGTTGTGGAAGGCGGACTAAGCCCGAGGATGGAACAGCCGTCATTTTCCCAGGCCGAGACGTGTGTGCAGGCACATCGCCTTTGGGCTATACGATCTCGTTCCCGTCGTTTATTGTCGAGGTTGAACGAACGCGGTGGCTACAAATCGGGCAGAGTCGTGGCGAGCGCAGAAAAAGAAAAGATCCACGCCTTTGTATATAAGCAGAGCAAATCGTTGGGCACTTATCGTCTAGATCTTCTGGTATTTCCACATTTTGCTAGGTAAGACTCTACCAACTGTCATCATGGTTAGTCACGTCTTTCACGACTATTCCAGCTTTGAAAACGCCACCACTGTGGCTGGTGTCTTCCAGAATTTCAACAAGTTGCCAAACTTGAGTTTGGCAGAGAAGATTTGGGGTAGTATCTACTACTACATTGGTAACGATTTGTTCGCTACCGGATGCATCTTCTTCTTCGTCCACGAAGTGGTTTACTTTGGAAGAAGTTTGCCATGGTTCATCATCGACAGAATCCCATTCTTCAACAAATACAAGATTCAAGATACCAAGCTCCCAAGCTCTCAGGAACAGTGGGAATGCTTCAAGTCTGTGTTCATTCACCACTTTGTTCTCGAGGCTTTCCCAATCTGGTTCTTCCACCCTCTCTGCCAGTACATTGGTATTAGCTACGAAATTCCTTTCCCAACCTACAAGACCATGGCCTTACAGTTGGCAGTTTTCTTCGTTCTTGAAGACACCTGGCACTACTGGTTCCACCGTGCCTTACACTACGGTGTCTTCTACAAGTACATTCACAAGCAACATCACAGATACGCTGCTCCTTTTGGTTTGGCTGCTGAGTACGCCCACCCAGTCGAAGTCTTTTTGTTGGGTTTGGGTACCGTCGGTATTCCAATTGTCTGGTGCTACTTCACCAGAGACTTGCATCTTTTCACCATCTGTGTCTGGATCACCTTGAGATTGTTCCAAGCCATTGACTCTCACTCTGGCTATGAATTCCCTTGGTCATTGCACAACTTCCTCCCATTCTGGGCTGGTGCCGACCACCACGACTTGCACCACCACTACTTCGTTGGTGGTTACGCCTCTTCTTTCAGATGGTGGGATTACCTTTTGGACACCGAGGCTGGACCTGAAGCTAAGGCCCACAGAGAAGCTAGAATGAAGCTCAAGGCCGAAGCCGCTCAAAAGAAGAGTATCTAATCCATATTTATAGAGCTAGAGGAACTAATACTATAATCTTTTCAAGTGTGGATGGTGTAGGCTGTTTACCAGGCACCATATGTTAATATTAGAAATCATCCAGAAGGTATAAATGTAGAAGTAGATGATAGACAGCTTCAAGACATGAACAGGTGATCGGACTATACTGGAATTGGTTGCTGTACATTGCTAGATTACGGTGGTGGTTGAATCCAGCTCCGGTAATCGTTACACCACGGTTTTTGCTTCAGAGTTAGGTATGATAATTCATTCGTATTAATCAGTATGTTATATATTTCGTGCTTATCAATTTACGATACCCACTATCATTCTTGAATGAATGAGCTTCTTTGCTTGGCTAGATCCGCCACATAGGTAGGCTACAAAGATTCCATGAATCATAAATTCGGTTTAAATAACTATTATACGTTGCGTCATCGTGGGCTCACTGAGCTTCACTCCATTGGTTGAACTCCTTTCTCTTCTCAACAAGATCAACAAAGTCCACTCTGCTTTCGAACTCTGCGTAATCGTTTAAGCCGATTCTTTCGCTGACTGCCACTGCTCGCTTCATTTCAATGGGTCTGAGATACTCGTGGTCCTGTTTCACAGCCACGTTGATGTTGATCCCCTTCAATGCACCCTCGCTGGACTCACTGCCCTCCACAGTGTATGCCACCTCGTTCCTCACCGACCGGATGGCCCCCAATATGATCAACACAAGTCCGTATACCGTTTCGTGGATGATGTCGGAGGGCACGGTGGTGAAGGTGCATTCTTGGTGCATCGACTTGGCGAGCAAATGGAACTCCATCGACGAGTATGCGGCGTGGAGCACCAAGACGCCTCCCACTATGTAAAGGACTGACGACATGCTGATGGTCTAGAGTGTATTCTAGTGTGGATAGGCTCTTCAGGCGCACTAGTGGAGACGATTTATTCCTGGTCACATGACTTATCTCTGACGACTTACAACCCTCCTCTGTTGTTACGACCCTCCCATCACAACTTTCGTGCTGCCTCCACCGCCTGCTGCAATACCATCTTCCTTGGCCTGCTGTGACCATCCTTACTGCTGGTCCATCACGTCTGTCCAGCAACTCGCCATCGGCAATCCCCGCACTGTGACGATAGCCAACCACCTTTGCTATCTTCAACCCTCCACGCGACCACAGCTCGAAGAAGCCGGCCATTGCGCGTCCTAGCTGCTTGCCCTTCACCACTCTCGCCCGTGGACCTCGTTTGCTGACACCGCGTGCTCTCGTTTCTTCAATTCTTCCATTCCAGCATTAATATGTCTACTTCCACCATGGCCGGTCCCGAATCCTCCCCAATTCACGTCCCCGCCCCAGAAAGCCAGGGACCCAACTACATCACCTCGCTCGACTGTAAGATCCTCCAGTACAAATACTCCATAATCAAACTTGAGCTGGTTATCGACAGCATCCAGAAACTAATCTTAAAGTGTACTCCCAAGCCAGATTCTGTGGAGGATGCCAATGCGTCGGAGCCACCGGTTAAGATTTTCGATTTTCTTCCGCTAATCCATTATGTCGTGCTTTTGACAGGAAGCTTGTTCTCCATCAATGATAGCGCCTTCCAGGCCAGACTAGAGTTGTTGGCCAGTTTCAAATTGGTCAAAACCTCCCAGATAACCATCTCCACAGCAGTGTCTCATATTCCATACGACCACCAGGATACAAATGTTACGCCTTTATCGGAAATACCCAAAATTCCTACGGCATTAAAGTGCTTGAAGATCTTGGAAATATTGGCCAACACATGTTTGCAAGGGTACCAGAAAAGATTTTCCCAGGCTAAAGTAGAAGCCCTGCATTCCAGAGAGCCACTTCCTCTGAATTATTATGATAAGCTCGATTCCTTAATCAAAAACAGCTTATTCGACTCCAAATCTGATGTGGATTTGACCTTGAAGGACACTATTTTCAGCATTCCAAGAGATGACCAATTATTGCAAAATGAGAACTTCATAGAGGCCACTCTTGTTGATATGGATTTCAAGATGTTGTTTTTAATTACCAAGAATTTGCAAGCTAATTTGGACAGGTTGAGACCAATGATTCTTAGATATAAGACGATCAAGACCAACATTCGGAGCTTACCTGATCACAAGTATTCCCTTCACAAGATATTCTTGTTAACCCTAAGGTTGAATGACTTGTATTCTATCTTTAGGAAATTTGGCAGAAAGATTTACTTATCAAATTACCAACATTTGACAGACCAAAAATTGTTGTTTCAATCTTCCAATCTGGTATATTTCAAACTGAACATTTTGAACAGCATGGAAGATATTTTTAATTCAGCAAAGAAAAATGGAACCGTCATCGCTAATTTAACAAGATTTATTCGTCCCAGTGCTAGATTTGAAGTGACTCTCAAAACAATTAATGATTTCAGCAATTTTGCAAGTCAAACGTGTACTATACTTGAGTCTAATATTCAGAAGTTTGAGGAGTTTGGAATGAGTTGGATTACTGCCGAGTTGCGTTTTAGAAAAGTCTATCAACTACCAAGGAAAAATTTGGTGGATATTTACCAGAGTCTCCAAGAGGTGAAATCCAATGACCAACCTCCTGCAATTAGTGTTGCCAGTGCAAGTAGTCCAGCTGTCTCTGTCTCTCCGAAGGTCACGGAAGCATTTCCTTCGGTGAATAATTCTACAAAAGGTATTGAGAAAAAGTTGAAAAAATTGGACTTTAGTGATTCCCCTCAACACTCTACCAGACCTTCTCGTTCGTCATCTGTTTCAAGTGTCAACAGTAATAATTCCATATCGTTGGGAAGACGTGGGTCGCTTAGTTCCCCCAAGAGAAATTCATTGATCATACCTCCGACTTCAAACTCGAGTTTGAAAGTGTCTCCCACTCGTCCCAGACCTAATTCGATGCTTTTCTTGAACTCGAACAACTCATTATCGAACCTTGATACTGAAAAAACTGAAAAAGTGGATTCGCCAGTTGGTCGTCGTCGGTCCAACTCACAACCCACTGTTAGTGATGCGGCATCCGGTGCAGCTTCTGCATTGAACAATAGTTTTGGAAATTCGAAAGCAGCAGTTAAAAGGTCTCCATCGCTAACAAGGAAAACGGCTCCGGTTCCTACTCCAGCTGAGAAACCACCTACTTCTTCAAGTAAAGTTCAGAATCAATTATTGGCCGTGGCCGAGGAAGATTCGGATGAGAAAGTAAAGGCCGTCAGCAGAATGAGTGCCAATCAAAGATTGCAACAGCATCTTCGTAAGGCAGCCAGGACGGGTTCGTTGATGACACAGGAGAAAGAGCAGTTCACATCTGTGACTTTTGACCCTAACAACCCCAGTGCTACTAACTTGAGAAGACCTACAGAACATTCATCTTTAGATGAAGAAATTCCTGCTACTTCTCCAGCTCCAGTGAAGTCGGGTGTTCCCATTCCTACTGGTAGTACACTGGTTCCAACGGTCCCTCTAACCAAAATTGGACCTAGCAGAGACCAGGTCACACGAAGAAATACTAAGCGCAATAGCGTATCATCTCCTATATCGGACATATCACCAAATCAGTCTACATATGCCTCGTCCGCTTCTTCCACCAACTCCAGTGGAGTTACCAAGAAGGTGCGTTTCACCGGTGTGGCAGAGTATACCGAGGCCGAAGATGCTCCTTCCAAGTACTCCAATAGAATTCTCAAGAACTTTGCGGTTTTCAGAAGTCCGACTATTAATTATGCTTTCAAAAAGAAGGACCAAATTCTCAAGCGGGAGGAGAGTATTTCATTTAGACACCATTTGGAGTACGAGGGGGAAGATCCCAACCTGGCCACAGCTACAGCTTCAGTACCGGTGAACCGGTTCACAAAGATAAAGAGCAAGTTGTTGTAATGACAGCAGAGAATATGCACAATTAAACGCAACTGAGGTGCGAGTATAGTAGTTAGAGTAAACAGATATTACTCTAGAGTGTTTGAATAAGCCTGCTAACGGTGGCCTTTTTCGTTGATGCGTACACTCCAGTACTAACTTCTATTCTAGCATAATTCACTTTTCAGTTGGTCAACCTAATATAATATACAAGACCCACCCTTCCATCCGTATTACTCTCTCTTTACTCTGCCAGCCTCTACTCTGTAGCACACTGTGGCCGTTTTCGCTTTCGGTTCTTGGCCATCTTCTCCATCTTACTCCCAGTGCGCACCTTATCGTTCGCACAGTCGAGAACTCATCGCAAAATTTCTCATTTGAAAAATCAATCAACATCACCAACATGTCCAAGAGGTCCATAAACGGCGAAGAGCCCGTCTCTAAGAGACCCAGCATTGCTCCCAAAAGCACTAATAAACTAGGTGAAGATGGAATTTCCGAATGTTTCCATAAAGTTACCACAAGAATGTATGTGTCTTTGGCACCCATGCACTTAAAGAACCCAATTAATGGTATCAAAGCACAACATTTAGATCCTTTAATCATGAACTATTTCCCCAAAGCCAAGGGAGTGGTCTTAGCATATTCCAACATCAAACTTTCCTCCGACAACATAAGTATTGACTCTGAAGATCAGCCCATCTCCATTGCTAGAATCGAGGGCTCATCTCCATTCACTTTCTTGTGGGTCACCCTCGACTTGTTGATATGGAGACCTCAGGTGGGCGACGAGTTGGAAGGCTACATCTACATGCAGACCGCATCCCACTTGGGTTTGTTGGTCCACGATACCTTCAATGCCTCCATCAAGAAATACAACATTCCAAGCGGGTGGAGTTTCATACCAAACCAGGAAGACGAGGTCCAAGAAGAGACCACCACGCCTAAGTTTAAATCCTTCGGCTACTGGGTCGATGAAAACGAAGTCAAGATAGAAGGAAAGTTGAAATTTACTATCAAAGCCATTCATTCCGCTGGCAGAGTGGTATCGGTCGAAGGTACCTTGATCAAGCCAGGGGCCGAAAAGGATGCCCAGCCCGTGTTTAGAGAACGCAGATCCTCCGCATCTAATGGTCCATCAGGATCTCCAAAGGGTAAGCATATGAAATTTGATGAAGAACCAATAGAGACAGTGACTGAAATCCCAGAGCCTACCGACGAGAACGAGTTGCCCGGATATGCCAAGGATAGTGACGACGAGGATCTTGTAAATAATAGTGATTCCGATGGAGATTCGGATTAGTTTATAAGTGCTATATACATGTATTCGACTGGCGAATGTAGTTCGGCTACCGGTGCTAGCACCTCTAAAATAAAGCCCTAACCAAGTATGTGAGGTTTCTATTATGTTTTGAAGATTCGGTCTTGATGAGTTTAGTCTATTATGTTTAAGCGTTTCCATTTATTTCAATGGTTTATCATCATTGATCATCCTCCAGATCACATCTTTATCCTTCAGAGAAGGTGGGTGGTACTTGGTGTTTCTCGACCCATAGATTAGCTTATACCACCATTTATCCCTTGAGTGTCTGGAATGACCACCTAAAGACCGCATGCCATTTGTTCTGAAAGAATCACCCATAGTCAATTTCTGCACAATTTTCAACTTTCTGAAGTTAATGAATGTGATAATCAAACCTTGTATGATCGAAATAACTACGACCATTCCAAAACCCCAGTTGGATTCTTCGATGTAGTTCTTCAAGTTCATTCCATAAAAGGCAGGTAATAAGGTAGCAACGGTAAAACCCAAGGTGTAAACCGTAATCTTCAATTCGAACAACATCAAACTATTTCTGTTTGTATCAAGAATGATATTGATGATCTCTTCGGTAACTTTGATATCATTGAGCAAACTACCTGCTTGCTGAACAATTTCATCACATTGATTATAGTAGGATTCAAGAATCATTTCTATTTCTTGATAATCATCAACGTTCGACTTTATACTCGTCAAGTACATGCCTTCCAAATCTTCGTCGTTGTCCAATAATTCTTCTAAGACGTTCTTGATAAGAATTGACTTTTGGTAGAATGATGACAATTTTTTCAGCTTTATCAATAAGTCCTGTAACTTTTTCCGGTCGATTTGATCTTCTAGTTCTGTCAAAATACGACCACATGTTCGACGGTGTTGATACAACTCAGATTCTAGGTAGCTCATCACACTGATGAGGATACTTTCTAATGCTTTGAATTCGTAGGGAATGTCTGAAGGAAGCTTCAACTTTAATTCCAAGTCGTACATGAATATTCCCAACTTTTTAGCAATCGATGGAGTGGATGTGTCGAAAATCATGACACTGTCTTTCTTAATGATTGCTTTGATGTGCAACAAGTTGACCAATATCGAGGTTGGTGGTCTAATCATGATGGATGGAATGACATCGACAGAAGAAGTATCGATTTTCCGTAAATCTCTGGGGAATAGGAAGTTTTGTTTCAAAAAGTCCATCTTGAGATACTTTTGAGATACTCCCGTTATGTTTCCCTTTTTATCAAACGTGGTACATGAAACGTAAAGATCGTTGGGTGTGATGGGCTTGAGTGCCTTGTACGGAACCTCTTGTACATTTAGTTCTTCTGGTTTGGCTTGTGTAGAAATCTTGGGGCGTATTGAGATAAACCTAGCATTTATGGGATAAGTGTAGTTCAGGTCTTTCACTGACTTGTATAATCTAGATTCTGAAGGAGTCCTTAGCCCTACCCGTGGCAAAAAGTGGTATCTGGAAGCTTCACGGGCAATATATCGGTATATCATCTCGTGTCAAGTTCTAATGACACTGATATAATCTCGGAAATGCTGGGCTCTATTCTTGTGCTTTTATAATTAGAAGTCACTAGCGATTTTGTACAGTGCAATGAAGCGTGCAGTACTTTTAGACAAGCGGGTTGACGTATATATGGTGGTAATCTAAAGGTTTTGCCTTCCGAACGGATCTGGATGGTTATACCAGTGAATTTTTACATGTGCTCCTGCATAAAACCAACAGTGACATGACGCTACAGGCACCATAAACAAAAACTATTAGGATTGAAATATAAAGAATATAGCATCAAATGGTGGGAGGCACATGAGAGATCTGCAGACCTCCCGCAAGAATTATAAGTGTTCTCTAATCAACTAATCAAAGAATTTTCTGGTAGCAGAAGGACCGAATAATTCCAATCTGAGACCAGGCAAAGCAACTTGATTCAAAATGTTCAATCTTTCTTCCAAAGTGTTATTGACTTCAATCTTACCAGTACCATTGACCACAACAACACCTCCGGAAACATCCTTGCTCAAGAAGTCGTCTTCGTTGACAGTAATAGAGACAGCGAACTTGGACTTCTCTTCGAATGCCTTGGCAGCATCTTCAGCAGCCTCCTTGGCCAATGCAACGTCTGCCTCTCTGACCTTGATGGTGACTTCCTTTTCTAATAATGCTAATAAACCTTCTTCGATCAATCCAACCAAAACTGGCTTGTATTTACCCTTGTTGGAAGTGAGTTTCTTCAACTCCTTCTTGGCTTCTTCGAAGATTTCCTCCAAGACTTCTTCCTTGGTGGCCAAGATTCTCAATCTGGTCTTGTTGCCGATGGTGGACTTGGTAATTTGTTGAGCCAAGGAAGCCTTCTTCAACTTCTGTTCGTAGGCAGCATCGATGGCGGCGGTTTCAGATCTGACGATCGAAGCCTTCTCGATTTCGTACTCCTCGTCGGCCTTCAAACGGATTTCCTTAGCCTTTTCTTGTGCTTCCTTTTGGATAAAGGCTTGCATCTTGCTAAGCTCCGATTTTACCTGGGATGTTAGTATCAATCAGCCACTTTCATCAATTCGGCATTTGCCCAGGCGGGTACGTACCTGTTCATCTGATAAAGACATTTTGAATGGATGGTATGAGTGTCTAACGCTTTATCTTATCATTTAATTGGTGGTGCTTTTCGTTGTCCATGGCGGGTGGCCTACGCACGACCTCGTGAGGAGTGAGAATTGCCAGCGGCTAATGGTGGCTGCGAGTTTGTGGAACCGAGAAGACAGTACTAGCCAGAGAAAAGGTTGGGGATAGTGTAGATCTACAGCTGAGCTTATTATCGACATGGAACTGAGTGTACTGGCAGTGCAGTGTCTATTTTGTAGTGGACAGAGGATTTTAGTTGAATTGTGAGGCGATTGGAGAAGTGAAATGATTGAAGTTCAGGCTTGGTGTGAGCTATAAAGCCCTAGAAAGACTTGAAATGAATGAAAGACGTGTTCATGGAACTTCTTTCTACACTAAATTTTTGTACTGTATTGGATCTGATGAAGAGTTTGATGTATTCTCAAACATAGAACCGATGGATAATCTTGTGAATTTTGTGAAATTTTACAGTAAATCAGTAATATTGGAAAGATATCTCGTCTTTCAACTGATGGAGTCAGTATCTACGCAGGTCAAAAATCGATTTTGATTGGTGTCACCCGAAGGCGTCTAATAAATACTTTGTTTAAATAATTCCGTCAAGGGCCTTTCTAGCCAACTCGACACCCACAAAAGTGGCAGCGTTGGCAGGGAAAGATCTGGCCAAGGCTGGACCCACTCCTGGGAAAAATGCCTTGATACCACCCTTGGCGTAAATGTTTCTGGTGGTCTGTGCAATAGAAACATTGGTGTTGGAGGATTGCTGAGTGGACTTGATGGTGTCAATTGGGAAAACACCCAACCACATGGAAACACCAGCGAAACCACCAGCAGTGGAGATGGCCAAGAGGGACATGTCTTCACCAGGCAGGGACAACTTCTTCTTCAAGTATTCGTATGTGGCGAAGTAAAGAGCCGAACCAGGGCCGTCTCTGGCCAAGGTGGCCACCGAACCCTTAAAAATGGACCGGATCCCGCCGGTACGATACATTTCCTTGACGACAGAGCCCATGGTGGTGTTTTTTCCCTCTGCAACTTGCATCATGACCTTGATACGCTCGAATGGAGCAGCCACCAAGGTGGTGGGAACCGCGGAGATGAAACCAGCGGTGGAGATGTTGGCAATGGTGAATTGCTCGGGTGACTTTCCAGTGAAGCTTCCCACAAGTCTCTTACCTACGTCGTAACCCCAGAAAGACACGGCAAACATGGGGGTGACACCCAAAAGGGGTGGGAGAACGCCTCGGTAGAAACCTGGCAAGCCGTCCTTCACGAGCGTGGTCTTGATACATTCGATGGACGAGTTGTAAATACCAGTCTGAAGTCTGACCTTGACAAGATCAAAGGGGTGGCCAGTGAGCACGGCACTAATGTTAGTATGGACCTAGAACGGGAGAAACATCGTCGACTTACCAAATACCACCGAATCCTCCGGCAGCGAAAGATTTCACGTTTTCGACTAATACACTGTCTGTTTCGTCCATGGTTGGTGTGTGTGGAGAACAACGAAGAAATCCGGGGCGCTTTATAGATTTTTCGGAGAGACCGAGGCCCTTTGGTGCGGTGCGGTGGTGGTGGGGCCTGCACATGCTGGGGACTCCGTGCCCGAATGACAATAGCAGCCGGCACCACCACAGCCTGGAGTTCGTATATTGACGCAGGGACAACAGGCTGTATAAGAGCATACTCGGACCAGGGCGGTGGGCTTGGGCCGACCCGAGGAACCTCAGCCGCGCATGCTCCAAGCCGTTTTCTGTTAATGGGTGCCCCACACGATTTACGAGCGGTTGGTTGGACCGAATGCCCCTTTCTGTGAAAAACCGCGGTGTGCATTAAATCTACTTAGACGAACATGGACGCCATAGGCTTAAGCTCGTAATCCACCTTCAAGTCCCGGACAAAGTTTGCAAGCCCCTCCTGGAATTGTTGGTAGATGTGTCGGTAGATGCGGTCAGTGATTGCCTGGAGCTTATCCTCGGTATCCTGGAGCGCATCGATCTCCACCATGTCTGCGTCGATCTCATTTTCGGCCTGCGAGGCTTCGATGTTCAAGATCAACACATAGTTGACAACCAAGTGGTTGTACTCCTCGGCACTCTTGTAGAACCGGAACACCAACTCCAAGAGCTTGTAAACCTGCTCGATGTAGCTGGTCTTGGTGGTCTTGCCGAGCGAGTCCTCATTGATCAACTTGCTATTGACGATCTTGCTCAAGTACGCTTCGTGCATCTTGATAATTTCGTCAAATGTGAGCTCGTTCACGTTGTGGAGCACGCGTTGTTCAGATCCGCTGGTTTGCGGGCTGCCTTTGATCGACTGTATGAAGCTGGGGTTAAATGCATTCAAAAGTTGCAACAGGCGATTCTTGAACCCTTCGTTTTCCTCATTCGTGTATACCTCGTTGGACTTGAACAACTTCTTTGTTATCAATGTGTGGTAAGCATCCTCAATTACATCAAATGACAAGTATTGCACCAATGAATTCATAAACTTGATAAGATTGAACCGGATCATGTTAATAGTATTGAACGATTTTATAAGCCATACAATCTTCTTGTCTCTGATACTTAATCTGGCAGTTCTCTTCACTTTCAGATACTTCAAATGAATCCTTTTTAGTTCGTTCTTCCGCAAACTGACACAGTCCAATGAGTGTTCATTCAAAAGATATTGTAGATGGCGAAGTCTCCATAAGAAATTGAACATTTTCAAGTACTGAACCATGTGGTTTTCAAATAATGAATTGATGGGTAAGTCGTCAATTCTATATTCCAACGTGAATACTTCCCATCCAATATTCCCGTGAATTGGATCCAATACTCGAGCATCCAAACGCTTAGAAAATTTATTGTATTTTAAGGAGGAATTATTGATGGATTCGTTCAATATCTTTGAAAGATAATTTGATGAAATCGTGGTGGATGGTTCATTAAAAATTTCAGCTCCACTCGAAATTATGGAGTCAATAAAGTCATTCTTTTGTATGAAGTAAATCTTTTTAAAGTTGTTAAGATGTTGGGCCATTTCATTCTTTGGTCCATGAATGATGTTCGTGAAATAATTCAATATTTTTTCGTACTGCTCATTAATCAATTCATTAAACGCGACAGTATTCATTGACTGTACTCCGTGGTTCAATTGGAATAATATATGGGAATACTTGTTGCTGTATTGATTTACCCATAAGAGTTCCTTGCAGTACTTATTCAAGTATATTAGCATCTTGCCAATTTGCAAAATCTTGAAACTTAATACCTTATCAATAAAAAAGGGGATTCTTTCTGGTAAGAATAGAATAATATCGTTGAATTCATTCTTTTCAAAATCAAATTTTACGAAAAACTCGTCGCTTTCATCTATCAATTCCCCATTTATTATCCAGTGCTCAATAATTTGATAGTAAGGTGTGGAGATGCTCTGAAATATTTGAAGGGCGAGTTTCTTGATTGATACATCACCAAATTTTGTGAGTTCGTAAACTTTCGACAAGAAGTCGTATCCGTTGACTTCAAGCACCTGAGTAACAAGTGAGTAGAGTAGTCTGAGATTCAATATCCAGTCATATATCCTGTTATAGACTGATATGAGAGATGCTGGCTGGGTGTTGAAAAGCTCATTGATATGGTCGATATAGGCCAATAGTTGTGATTCTAATACCGTTAAAAATGCGGTCTGTATGGGAGAGCTAAGTTTACCCTTATTGTGCTGAGTAAAGTTGTGAAGCCGTTTGTATAGTAATGCACATTCCAAAATGTCAAACAATATTCCAGAATAACTGTTGTTGACGTTGGAAGGAAGTTCGATTTGTTTGTCTGAATCGAATGCCAACAACTTGGAGTCAAGGCCAAGTAGGGTGTAGGAAAGATAGGTCAAGATAAGATCTTCATTCATGGATTCGTAGTAGGGCTTAATGACCTGGTCCAACGGTATTAACGGAGTGTCCTTGTAGGGAGACGAGTGAGGGTACTCGACGCCAGCACCCATGTTTCCCGATGAAAAATCGCGGTTGGTACGTGTATAGGGTCGGCTAGAGGGAATTGCAGGCGAAGTGCTGTGGAAGTCGCTGTGAGGACTGAGATTGGCTCGGGAATGGCCAGGTACTGGCGATGGCTGCGCGGGGCCGTCTTTGAGCACGCTCAAAAACACCAAGTAGCTGTGGATCTGATCCAAGGTCTTAACCTGGGCCAACGAGTCTAAGATGCGCTGGAAAGCCGCCCACTCGTCACGGAAGCCGTTAGTGAGGAAGTGTGTTTTGAAGCGAGCAGTGGCCTGGTTGATTTCGTACTGTTTCTGGGACTGGTCATTGGTGGACTCTGTGCGGGAGAGTACCACGAGCAACTCGTGGCTGACACTCTGGATGAACTCGGGACCGAACTCGGCTGGCACGAGCGCTCGCACGAGCCGGTTCGTGTAGAGCTTGATGAGTTGGGACTTGTCCATGGCGGTGATGGGTTGGTTCCAAACAAACATTCACAGCCATAAACGCGCTTCATCACCAGCACACGTGACGCGGACCAAACGACGCCATGATGGAAGGACGGCTGCTGAGGCTTCTAGGGGGGCTGTTAGGGAAGGAGGCGAGGAGAGATGTGCCAAAATTATAGGTTCTCTTCAAGATAGCATTGCGATGGGCTCTCTATGAGTAAAACCAGCTGTTAAACTAATCTGGCAAATGGGTAAATATTTCAAGATAACAACATAATTGTGGGATAATAATTATACTAACAAGGGTGATAGTACTTAATCAGCCACTACAAATGCCCCAGAGCCGTTTGGAGCGGAATTAGGGTGGTTCGCGGTGTCTCACTCTCTGAAGTCCCACTGGCTAGGGAGATCCTCCACCACCGCTCTCCGGCTGCGCACCGCTGCGCACCGCGCGCTGGCACCAGCTCTAGTACCGGCAGCACGCCAGCACGAGAAGATGGCAGTACAAGCAGCACGAGATCGGGGGGATTGGCCATCGCTGGACCTCGTTGCAGGGGCGAGCCCCTGGCCGCACGGCTTAGATCAAGTCCGATATCTCCATCCCCACTTACACAGTAGTTAGGCGCTGTCGTATTGTAGTCATGGCGACACTATAAAAAGGCAGCGCGGCCATACAAACTATATAAACTAGTAGCTTTCCACACCAGAAGAAACACCAACAGCAGGAATGACAGGATCCCTCACATTGGGGTTGAGGTCGGCGTCAGTCAAGGCCAACTGAGCATCGGTCCAAACGTGTTGCACCTCAGCAGCGTTGGGCTCGCCAACTCCACACAACCCACCCTCAGCGGTCCAGTCGGAGATTCTGTTCAAAGACAACTCCTGGAAAACCGAGTCGATGGCGCTGATCAACTGGTTGGTGACCTCAGGTCCGTGGCCGGGAGTAGGAGTGATTCTCAATCTCTCCTGTCCGATAGGAACGGTGGGGTAGTTGATGGCTTGCACGTAAATCTTGTGCTTGTCAAGCAACAAGTCGGAGGCACGCTTGGCGTCAGCAGCGTTACCAACCAACACAGGCACAATGTGCGATGGGTTGGGAATCACGGGAATACCAATGTCGGTCAAGTTGTTCTTGACGTAACGAGTGTTCTTTTGCTGGCCAATACGGTCTTGCATGGTGGCACGTTGGTAACGAATCGAGGTGCTCGATCCAGCCAACACAGCAGGGGGCAACGAGGTGGTAAAGATGAATCCTGGTGCATACGAACGGAACCAATCAATCAACTTGGCCTTACCGGTGATGTAACCACCAACGGTACCATAGGCCTTACCCAAAGTTCCGGTGACCATGTCAACTCTGTTCATCACGGTTTGAGTTGGAGGACTGGCGATACCGGCCTTCAATTGGGCTTCAAAGTCCAAGTGTTCGGCAACACCGGCTCCGTGAGGACCGTACATACCAACAGCGTGAACTTCATCCAAAAAGGTAAGGGCACCATACTTTTCAGCCAAGTCGCAAATGGCCTCGATTGGAGCAACAGACCCACACATGGAGTAAACAGACTCAAAAGCAATCAACTTGGGAGTGGACTTGGGGTACTGAGCCAACTTCTGTTCCAAGTCGTACAAGTCGTTGTGCTTGAACACATGCTTCTTGGCACGAGAGTTACGGATACCTTGAATCATGGAAGCATGGTTCAACTCGTCGGAGAAGATTACTAAATCCTTGATCTTTTGACCGAACAAGGACAAAACTGCATCGTTGCAAACGAAACAAGACGAGAAGACCAACGCAGCCTCGTGCTTGTGCAAAGCAGCAAGTTCAGCTTCCAAGCGAATGGCATGGATGTTGTGGCCCGCGATGTTACGAGTACCACCTGCACCAGAACCGTACTTGTCCAAGACACGCTTCATTTCTTCCAAGGTGCCGACGTTACGACCCATACCAAGGTAGTCGTTGGAACACCAGACGGTAACCTTGTTGGCTTCGTCGGTACGGTGAGCCATTGGGAATTCCTCGGCTAATCTGTTGATGTTGTTGAAGAAACGATAGGACTTGTCGGTACGCTTCTTGTCAATCTCGGTGCTCAAGAAACCCTGGTAGTCGAAGGCAGACTCCGAGGAGGAAAGGTCCATCTGGCTACCAGTAAGCAGGTCGGTCTTAAACGAGTAAGGAGTGGAGCCGGAAGGGGTTCCGGTGGTGGAAGACGCGATGGAGGAGGAAGCAGTGGCTCTAGCTGGGTTAGAGGCCGAGGAGTAGCTTCTGGAAGACTCCTTGGCCACCATAGCAGCACCCATGATGGGGCAGTGACGAGCCTGGCTGGCCAAGCCGCCTGACTGCTTGCTCAATTGGCGCAAGGCCTGGCTAGAAGAAGCCTTGACAAATGGACACACGTTCATAGAAACACGGGTAAGCGATTCCATCTTGAGTTCTAGGGATAACGTTGGTGTTCTCGGAGACGAAAGTGGTTACCTCGATGATGAATTATCACAAGTGACGTTTTTCTCCATATATATAATACGATGAAAATTTGTTTCGCTCCGGCATACAACCATTTCTGGGTCGTCAGACGGTGTTTGGTTGTGCGTATGTGAGTACCATTTCTTTTTGTGGTGAGGCACCTCACACAAGGTTTGAGGGGTTTGATTGTCACTAACAAAGTGGGTGTGGGGACTGGCGGAGTTGCAGATTTGGGGCAGCCGGGTTGCGGTGCTGGTGGATTCGTCTACGGGGACGAAACCGGTAGTGGCCGCTGGCGGCCTATTGTGACACCACAACCCCGAACGAGCAGTTTCCTACCTGAAACGGGGTCTGCTTGGTTTTACGCCCGCAGCCATTGGCTGCGGTGCACCACGGATCCGTTTGCCTGTTGCGGAGACGGGGTTCTACATGTGAACTGGCGTTCACGTGAGTGGGTCCGGTATCTGAGTCATGCTAGCCGGTGCAACACCCACTGCGCGTTTCCGGCACGTTCGAGTACCCGCGGCGCACCCGCCGGATAGGCGGGATGTCGGCAGGGATGGCACGTGACGCAGTCCAGTGGGGCTCTACACTTGCATTTTGCCTATTTCGGTGCTATTGTCTATATATGGTTTATCACATACCAAATGGTGTGTGATAAATTAAA